TAAATAATAAAAAAAAAGTTCGTTTCAATTATCCCAACATATACCGTTGGCATCACATGCACCCGAAGGTTCACGATCGGCTGCCGGAGTATATGACCACATTCCCACTGGTATATATTGCAAATTTTCTTCAGAGCGGACCACTGAATCTGCCGATCATCAGAAGAATTATGACAATAGCCAGCACAAGCAATGACCCGATCATGGCACAGAGCAGTGCATCTGTACTACAGACCAAAGCTGTACCAAAACGAACTGAAGAGAAGAGAAAAAAGAAAGGCGAAATTGCTCGCTTTATATAGACATTTTTCTCGTTCGGGACTTCAAATCCCCGTGAATTCTCATTGGCCCAGATAACGGGTTGCGTATCAACTTGTGGGTTGCCTACTATGGCATAACAAAAGATACAGCACCAAAGGAAATGAAAGGAAGTGGTATACTGATGGTCAAGTAGACAAGCGTGCTTCGGCGGTAGTGGTACGTGTCTCTCACCATGGGCTGCTGTACCTCCGATGCTGTCGCCGCTTGGTTGTGAGGGGGTCCGTGCACGGCACCGTGTCAAGCGAAAACAAAGACACGAATGTGAATGAGCATGTAGATTCACGGAAGAAATGCTTTTCTGTGAGCAATCAAATGGCAATACAGGAGTGATTGACAAGGTAAACAACTTAACAGATTCTACGGCATCAGTTGTTCCTGATCCAGCATTAGTAAACATTAAGAACACGATCCTCCCAGCAGCCAGTTTCTATTCTTCACCCAACAAGGTAAACAGCATGAGTATAGAGCGTAGTCCACAGACTATTCCATTTGATCAGTATCTTTTGATTGCATGTGCTGTGTGCGGGAATAGATACAACACACACTTGACTCCAACGCTGCAGTATATAAAAAAAGATCGTTATCTTTTACTGTGAAGCGTGCTTGTCTACTGTTGCTTTATAATTTTCGCCATCCCTCTGAACTACGCCGTGTAACCTCCCTCCATCCACTCCGAATTCATACTCTATCCAAGTGTGCTGCCGCAGATAAGCTGACCGCTCATGGTAAGTATACGCTGCCGCTAGTGAAACTGACTCACCCTTCATTGATTTTCATTGCTGCTGATAAAGTTAATCGGTTCGTTTGTTTTTGTGCGGGTTCTACGTTTTTTTTAGCAGCTTTCAAGATCCATTGGGACGATCAGAAGAATAACACCATAAACGATGACTTCTTACTGTACATCTTTTGACCCTTTTGCGCGTAACTCGTTGCTCCATTGATCACCTTGTTCACCCGCCATTCCTTTGTGCACTTTGAGTACCAAGTAAATTGGCCAAATCGTTGCGTAACAATGCGCTTTCACTCTACGGAGTTTTCGTTTCAAGGGAAAGCTGTTGGAACGTTCGAGGTTTGACACACACATCACTTGTCACTATCCAAAGAAGAAAGATCTGTGTTGCGCTCTTCCTGAGCTCCTCGTTCCTAGACTACCTTTGCTTCCTGCTGACTCACGTCAGTAAATGCTTGTCACAAGTGTGGGTTGATTCAGTCATGGTTGCCTTTTGCATATTACTTTTCAATAATTCGTTTGCATCTCTTTTTTTCTTTCTTTGAGAGTAAGGAAGACTGAACTAGCTTTTGCTCTCTATGTTGCTATTGCCAGGATGACTTTAGTTATATAATCTAGACATCCTGAATGCTGTTGTTTATTCGTTACCGCATCTGCAGGGTATTACAATGCTATCCAATCCATTGAGCGGAGTTGGGATTCAGGAAGCTTACTAGGGTGATGTTTATATCTTGGTTGACAGCACACAGTAGCACTCCAGCGTCTTGTATCAGGCTTGCCTTTTCTCTGGCGTTTTGAGCTTGCTATCGTATTGTTGTTCGTTTGGTAAGCATCAAGCTTAAGACACTGGGTTCATTTACTGAACAACTGCTCATGAGTTTGTTACATATAGAGTTTAAACAGACAAAGTACTGTAGTTAGAATTTGCCCAGAAAATATGAGGAACACTTTCCGGGAATCGCTATATTTTAAGATGTTCTTGATCCCGTATATATCCTAGCATGTGGAAGATGATAATGTTCCCGCTTACCATAAATATTGACCTTTGTCAGTAAACTTGACTCCAATAAGTCCTCTGCGTAGTATAACTCTCAAAGCGGTTCGAGTATAGTTGCAGCAGCACGTTGGCCAATGAAATCCAAATACCGGGCATTAAAAATCCACTGCCCGACATGAACAGGAACGCGCGTATGCGCATACATACAGCATACAGACTGCTTTTTTTTGGTCATAAAGGGAGAGGGGAGGAGGCGACGATGGTCTTTCTATTCAATAACGGAAGAAAGAATATTCTCACTTCATTTTTTTTTCTCTCTTCTGTCACAGAGACTATATCATATAGAGTGCGAGGTGATCCCTTTTGTGACGAAAAGAGGTACACAAGCATTTCTGATATATAAGGAAAGCATAGGGTAACCAAAAAAAATTAGTCTGTGCTTTCGCTCAGGTTTGAAAGGGCACCAGACTCGCTGCCGACCAGATCCACATCGTGCTGCCTTTCCATCAATCCTGGATCTAGTAAGTGTATATGTAAACATTTCAAGTCGATGCTTGACTATACAGATATCACAACAATCCAACCTGGAAAACTGATTAATTAAACATGCTGCCAATATTGTTTATCAGCTCATTATAAATAAAAGTACAAGCCAGACTGCAAATATCACCGCAATGGTACTCAATTATTAAAAATATGTTGTATGGCATACGAAGATCATCTGTCCGAGATAATCCTGAACACCCCACGACTTCAATCTTTTTACTAGATCCTTCAATGATACGAAAAGCATTGATGCCTGCATTGGTGAGACTATAGATCCGTGAAACACGCAATAGCACCGAGCTTTCGACTTGTTCAAAATGCTCAAGGACAGCACCAGTAACACCTTTCACGGCTGTCAGTTCCAGATTCAGTATTTTGGTTTCCTCAAGTCGTTGTGCCCACACAATCCATCCTGCCTCTGTGAGAAAGTCGTCGACACTACAGTAACAACAAAGGCAACGAACAAATATAAGAGTCAGAAAATTAGAAATAATCAACACCACATACGATTGCTCGGGTGGGGCAATACAGTAACAGATCAATGTAATATACTTTGTATTCACATTTTCATACATAGTGCGTATTGTACTGCGAAATAAAAGAGCGTATGGGATGAATATCTGTCTATAGTATAAACCAAAATATTCTTATAATGATCTTTTATTCGAATTATTGGAATGGTAGTATCTGTTGATTTTTTGCAGATTACCAACATGATCGTAGGTACCGGAAACTATCGCTGAAAGAAGTGCTGGCTGCAATTATGTGCATACTACTATCACAATTGGGCCGGCACCATGTGATTTGAACGGTGACAAGGGCTTTTCACAAATGACATGTCTTCCACAAGACATAATAGAGACGATATTGAGTCGATTTCGGTGGGTTCAGATTGTAACGCCTGGCATACTCAACCGATCGAAAATAACTTTCCTAATGAGCTTATGTACTGGGCCTTTTATACTGCAAAGAATACAAGGCAAGTTTGGGTTGGCGATCTGGTTCGTGTATATGTGAATATGAGGATGGTCTGTTTGCTTTGCGATACGGTTTTTTATTTTGCCACCAGCAATTTGCAATCATTGTTGGTATAGTCGTGAAGGTAAACCAACTGTATTGTTTTTGAGAGCACACATGCGAATGCACAGCCTATGGGTTTTCGACGACTTAAGCACAAAAAGGCTCATTTGCAACTACATAACTGCTCCAGAGAAAGCACCATCAAGTACCCAGCGCAATGGCAGTAGGAAGATATATAAAGAAAAAGATCGCGTTTATTACAATCGTCACTCGATCTGCCCAATAGTTACAATTACATTATTTAAGAAAGTACAATAAGAAACCAAGTTTATTTAATGTTGCTTGACAAGTCGACCGACTTTTATGAATCCTCCGTTCCCAAGGGAGGTTGCCCTCCCTTGTTTTCCGCAAGCCTCAGTTCCCGGCAGAACCTACACCTTTCCCTTTCTTGTCCACAAGCCTCAGTTCCCGACAGAACCTACTCCTCCACAGTTCCTACAAATAAAAGAAATATGATAGCACAAAGGTCTGTCAGCGGCGAACATATACGTACCCACAAGGGAGGTTGCCCTCCCTTGTTTTCCGCAAGCCTCAGTTCCCGGCAGAACCTACACCTTTCCCTTTCTTGTCCACAAGCCTCAGTTCCCGACAGAACCTACTCCTCCACAGTTCCTACAAATAAAAGAAATAGCACAAAGGTCTGTCAGCGGCGAACATATACGTACCTCTTTGCACACACTCTCGCTTTCAGTTTTTGAGGAAGATAAAAAACCAAGATGAAACAAAGAACTTTGCAACTGTACAAAAGATGAGCAAGAGCCAGTCGTGCACGACTAGCTCCCTTCAACTATGTACACCCACAGGGACACTCGTCCTGGATAAACAAAAAGAAAGGTAAAAAGTGATGATATGTCGCACACCTTTTGGCTTCGCTACTAGCAAGCGTTATCCGTTCTTTACTTCACTTCTTCCCGTCATAACGTGCACGGACCACCAGCTCAAGCTCAAGATATATCAAATTTTAAGCAGAACAAGATCGTTTCTCGTATTCTTTCTGTTACTTAAAACCAATTCAAGTATCGACTGAAAGGTATGTGTGTTTGGACTAGAATCTGCTTTCATGAGCTATAATAAGGCAACAACCTACAATAACGATGTATACGGAATATGTAACATCATAGACCAACTGATTCGTTTCTCTCTTTCCCCTCAAATTACACACAGACACACTCTCTCCGTTCCTTTCACTTTTCTTATTTTATTTCTTTTGTACATGCAATGTCGTTTGATTCAACTCTAAAAACAGCAGGAGATCAGATCGAACTTGTTATCGACACTTGGACACGACCCATCAAACCTCATCTTCAATCTATAAGCAGATTTCTGATTGTCGCGACATTTTACGAGGATGCTCTGCGCATTGTTGCACAATGGGGCATCCAACTTGCTTATTTGTCAGAACGATGTCACTTACCACGGGTGCTGACGGGCATGTACCTGGTGCTCAATGTTGCGGTATGTATAATAATAGTAAAGAAGAGGGTAGATGAAGAAGAGTTACTGAGAAGGAGGGCATATAGAGCATGTTGGTCTTTTCAAGTTTTATTATCACCAAGCGTCACGTTACGATTTCAGTCGTGGCTCTCTTGGCTGTAGTTGGCACCCAAGCTTTGATGTATGGCCTTGTTTTTGACATGGTAAGGGGAAAGCTGTCTACAAACGCACAGACCGAACATACCTTGCATGCTAACCATGCGTGTGTAGCTATTCTTCTTGCGGAATTTATCCATCATGGGCGGTCTGCTGCTTTGCCTATCCGAATCGCTTTTACGACGCCACTCGAGCCAAAAGTCCTCGACCATGTTTGCATTGCCGCAAATGTCAGAAAGCGAGCGACACAAATATTTCCAACTCGCTGGCCGTGTTCTCCTAGTTCTTTTGTTCGTGGGCTTTATCTTCAACGGCGAATGGGGCTTCCTGCGGGTGACCTTTTCGTTGATTGGTTTTGCCGCCTGCGTGATGGTCGCTGTTGGTTTTCGTGCACGCTGGTCTGCCACTTTTCTGGTATCTCTCCTGTGCGTCATGAATATGCTGCTCAATAACTGGACCGGTCTGTCTGGTTCCCAACGCGACTTTGTAAAATACGATTTCTTCCAGACGCTCAGTATCGTCGGTGGCCTGCTCCTATTGATCTCTATTGGACCCGGCGGTCTCAGCTACGATGAAAAGAAGAAAGAATTCTAATCAAAACTTATACCACATTGCCCCTTGTTTTTATTTACAACATCCTATATCGACTTTTTATTCTCTTCTTCCTTGTTGATTGATGGCTGCTCTTTTCTATCAGCAAGAGGTGATGGTGATGGGGATGATGCTAGGCTATCTGTAGATGCTTGCTGCTTTGGGGACCCATTCGGTGAAGGAGGGTCTGTGACGATAGTGAGCATGTAGGCGGACGCAGCCTGCGCGACGCCGAATCCAACAAATCCAACCACAGGGATTCTTGTCAAGATATATGCAATGGCCGAAAAGCCAAACAAGACATCCTTTCTTCCACTGAACCATCGCCGTTTTTCCTTGTGCGACATGCTCATTCGGACAAAATACGGTTCCAGCAACTCACGCATCAATGCGCGCATGCCAATAAGCGCCCGGATTAAAGCAATGGTAGCCGAACGAGGCAAGAATAAAAAGCACACACCCACAACTGCTCCTTGGGTTTGGCCCAACGATCGAAAGGTAGCATAGGCACCTGATAAAGGTGCATCCACAATTAGTAACGACAGCAACAATTTTAGAAAAAAGTAGGATGATCATGTCATGATAAAAAAAAGTCGGGTTACTATTCTACCTGCTGCAGGAAATACAAATTGTCCAACGATGGGTAGCCGTGACAGCAAAAAGATGAGAATGCCGAGCCGCAAATTCTTCCACGAGCGCTTCATGTATCCTTTCATGTTGGTCCAGTATTCTTTGCGATAACGGCGTTTTGACAAGTTTGAAGCGTAAGCGGGTCGTTCGGGATGCAGTGAATCCATATAGCGCAGGGACTCCATGAATAGGTCATCGAGCGGTTTCGGATACAGGTAACGCATGAACAGTAATACCAGGAACGGCAGTGAGGAAACAAGATCGCCTAGGTTACGATTGACCGAGACCAAGGCGTCGTCTGCTCCTCCGAGCCGATCGTGTCCGCCACCGATCCACAGTAAAAGACGTAGTATTTGTACAGGAAGCGCAATCACAAGTCGGACAATGCCGAATAAAAGGAACGAGAAAATGGAGAGGTAGAGAAAGATGCGAATGAATTTGTGTTGTCGAATACTCGGGTTGCGTGCGACAAGAATAATGCCATTGACAGCATGCTCGACGCCTTGCTGCAGACCAGCGACAGTCCAGCGCGCCATAATGAAAGTGAGGAGGAGAAAGGGAAAGATTTGGTGCAACCTCAATATGGCGTTTGGGCTTTTAATTTATTCACATGTCCAAGAATTTCTTAACGCTTAAGAGATCTTAGCTGGGGGTTGACCTTTTTCACACTGTGCACGATATGCTCTAACTTGATAGCGCCCAACCTTTAGACATGTCGATGAGAGGATATTGTTCAGACGCATGTACCTCCTTAATACGGCCCATCACCGACTTCTACTCAAGGACATCGGTTATGTACAAACTGGTTGGTATCTGTTTCATAATTTTGCATGCTAGTTACCTACTAGCAATAAATTAGTATAGCTTATTTAGCACAAACTACACACATAGATGCCAAACTTGATTGCAGATATCTGCCGCCATGTATGCTACGTATAGAGGAAGTTGATGGAATGGACACGTAGTGCCTTGCTGCCTTTTATTGGTGATTAAGTGATCAATATATAGAGAGCGAGACAGAAAGACAGAGAGAGAGAGAGGGAAAAGGATGCATGACACATACACAGCCCGTGCGATCAATCGTTTTGCAGAGTAACCAAGTTCCAAAAGCTGATGTAGGGAGACGTCAGATTGGTTTATTCAAATTTGTTACCAGGAAGTATGTTATAAGTGAAGCTATATATCTTTGAAAAAAGAAATGATAAAAAAAGAGCTGACTATAGCAGTTTGAATCTAAACTAGTTAGAGGTCATAGCGCTTCTTGAGATCGTCGGCAGCCCATTCACCCCAAGCCTTGTGAGCCTTCTTGTTAGGGTGGTAGCTGTCAAAGTACATGTGAGTCTCAGGATCATCGCAGAGGTTGTCTTTGCCAATACCAGGGTCGCAAGGGCCGTTGTCAGTGCGCAAGCCAAGGCTCTCGGGATGATCCAAGAGGTTGTTCCAGAAGGTGCTAATGTCCTGGAACTGCACGTCGATACCCTTAATCTTCTCGAGCTCCTGCTTGGTCAATTCGTTATAGGCGATCTGCAATTCCTTGCCACGCTCCTTGTCCTCGTCTTTGACCACGGGCCAGCGCCAGAATGGAGGGCAATTTTGGATCAAAAAGTGCTTGGCGCCATACTTTTCAACCAACTTGTTGACGGTCTTGACAACGCCGCCGGTAACATCCTCGACACCGTAACCGGGCTTGACAATCTTGTACTGGTCAGGGTTGATGATACCGTTCAAGTCATTGTAACCAATGGAGATGATGTAAAGATCATCGGGGGTACCGTTGGCTTCAAGTTGCTCGACCTGTTGGACAGTGCCAGGGACAGTGTACCCATTGAAGACGGACATCATGTAGGCATTGTCGGCGGGGGCACCACCGTGGCCAAAGTTAATCACCTTGTGGCCATCCAATTCGTCTGCGACGTACTCGAGCCAGGTGGGACCGTTGCTAAAGCGGCCCTTCCAGTAGGGAGGAGAGACAGGGAAGCCGCTGTGCTTGTAGTCATTGCCATTGTCAGTGAAACTGTCGGCATAAGCAATGATCTTTTCCAAGGCAGAGACGCTGGTTGCAGTTGCAAGGCAGAGTGCGCTGAGAATAACTGCTGTTTTCATACTTGTAGTAGTAGTTGCTTATAATAAAGATGATGTGTGTGTATGTGTGTGTGTGTGTGTGTGATAGGAAACACAAAAACACAACTGTAAGGCTCTTCTTTTATATCTTTCTTCTTTCGCAGAAACCGGATGTTGCAAAAACGTCAAATCGTTCCACATTGTTAACACGTGCCCTTTGTTACTATTTGACGAGGAGATTTTTCCTCTATGTTTCTTATTTTTATTATGCAATTCAGGCCGATCATCGCCGAATTAAGGACGATCCATCTGACCTGTGTCGGAAGAGCTTGGTGCCGAAATGTGGCTCGGTGGAATAGAATGGAGATGCGGTGGATGAAGAAGATGCTGTTGGTGTTGCAATGTCATTATAATTAAACGTAGTGTTGGTAGTAGTAGTAGTAGTGGTAGTTATGAAGGAGGTAGTATCATTGGAATTGAAAGGATCACTGGGCGCTCGATCGCGTGTGCCATAGCTACGTGTTCGACGAAGATAGCTCGGCGGCACTACATTGCGAGCGTATTTTAAGAATGCGGGTTTGGTCGCTTGTGGAGGAACAGGCGGTGGGTATATGTTATGTTTGTTTGGATGATCGTTTGTTTTACTTATTGGCCATGGTGGCGCACTGGCCTGCGGTGAATCGACGCTGTCTTGCCGCGGTGGCGTGTCGGGAAATGCTATTGTTGGATCTGCTGCTGCTGCTGCGCTGGATTGGTTTTGTTGCTGCTGCTGCTGGTTTGGTTGTTGTTGCTGTTGCGGTAGTGGTTGCTGTACATCATCGGCAAATGGACTATATGTCAATGCTGTAACAGGTTCCTTCTTTGGGGATTCCTCAATGGCGCTTTCGAACGGATTGTTTGATGCTTTGGGTGGAACAAATTTCTTGGTCAGAAGGAGCGATTGGCCAGTGTCAATGGCGGACGAGAGTTTCTGAAACGAATCAGCATCCATTGAGACACGTGATGTGAGCGGTGCCGGTCGTTGCTGCTGCTGTTGCTGCTTGGTCGGCGTGGCAGCGACCGTGTCGAACACAAACAAGTTTTCCTGCTCACCAGATGTTTTTGGCTCTGTTTGTATCGGCGGCTGTGGAACGGAGTACGGCACCGATCGAGATCGCGAATGTGTATACTTCTGCGTGTCGGTCTTGGTTGGCACCGCAGCAGACGTGGTAGGTTGCAATGGCAACTGGCCCCAGGGGTGCTGAGCAGACGGCGCTGTTCCTTGTTGAATGTGCTGCGGTTGTTGCTGGTTCTGGTATCCGTGGTTAAACTGCTGCTGACTGCTGCTGCCTGCAGTAGATGAGCTCTCACTGTTGTGCTGTGATTGGCAACTACTGCTGGTCACTGAAGACTGCTGCTGCTGCTGTCGAGGCGGTGCTTGTTGTGGTGGAGACATGAAGGGGGCAGATGGAACAAAGACATCCACAGGCTGTTGCATAGCCGGCTGACCAACGTACCACGACGTTGGTCTTTGCGGCTGCTGCTGCTGCTGCTGTGCTTGCTGCTGCTGGTGTGGACGAGCAGTGGTGGTGGTCGTGTCAATCCAGGAATTTCGGGTCGCTTGTGTCGCCGAGGGCCATGCACCTGTACTACCTAGAGCGGATTTAGACAGCGTCGCTGCTGTGGCGGGCTCCATCTGTGGCGTTGCTAGGTCGTTCATTGCCGGCTTTATTAAGGCATCGATGGCATTTGTCTGGAAGCGAGGTACGGGCGCTAAAACAAACATCATAAGCCGTCCGTTCTAATACGAGTCTTCCATCCCCCTCCTTCAGAGGCACGCGCACAAACCCTTCTTTGACTATTTTACGCTACCTCCCAAAAAGACCATATCGCGACTGATTGTCCTGCCATTTTGGGCATGTGCAATTAATCTGAGCATTGCGTAAAACTGGAGCTCGTCCAACCCATCCACAGTATCCTCAAAGAACCTCAAAATCTAGTAAACACCTGTTCTTTAGCGCTCCACTCCTCTCTTTGGCTTTTTCGTTTACTTGACGAAATAAGATAAACCGCACAAAGGCAGTACTCCACTCCCCCTTACACGGCAACAAGACTGTTTATTACCTGCTCGAGCTTGTGGTCAGGAAGGCAGCAGCCTCTCAGGAATTTCAAAACAGCTTCATTGTCAAGATGTCCGATGGAAAAGGGGTCAAGGTCTTTCCACCACGACTGGTAAGCACTTTGTTCCTGCTCGGTCAGCTCATCTAGATGCAGAGTAGGTGGGCCATCGCTTGCTGTGGGTGTGTCGTACGGCCGAAACTGCGCAGCATTGAGTTTCTTTGCAAACTGTTGCGACCTTCTGTCATCCGAATGGCGTGTGCTGTGTGTACGTAGGAATGTCGACTTTAGTTTATTCATCAAGTGTGGACATTCAAGTAAATGTGTAGAAAGTGAGGGTGAGCGCTTGGATATGTAAAGTGTGTGCGCGAGGATGTGTGTGGAGAATAGAGCAAGTAAAGAAAAGCAAGAGAGGGAAAGAGAAAAGGAAAGGGAAAAGCAAGTTTCATGCCATTATTTTCGCTTGCCGCGCAACAACGTGGCGAATCTTGGCAACTGAATGAAATCATCATCACCACCCTACCACCCACAGGGCCCCTGTCCGCCTTGGGCCCACTGCTCGCTTTCGTACGTAACCTTCTCTTTGGTCTCCATCACAAGGAGCAGAGAGCCGTCTTATGCCCACAGCAGCAACAGCACAAACCGAATGATATGCATTAATGAAACCATGCTTCTTTGGTATTATTGCACGGCCTTCTTCCTTGCATTCAAGAATGCAGGAGAACCTGCAACGTTGTTGATTTGATATAAACAATTCTACTGCCACAACGACCACTGCTACTGCTGCTGCTGATGCTATTCAATTCTTATTTCTTACACTTATGCAAGAGAGACGGGCTTCACCTAGCTCAAGCGTTTTAAGCAAGGAAACAAGCAGAAATGTCAAAGAAATAAAAAATTCTTGCTTTTCGGTGAATGATGTGACACGAAATCTTATTTTTCATTTTTGGCTATAGTTTACACCTTTGCTGCAAAAAACACACACACACACTTAAGACACATAATCATGTCAGCACCTCATTCTGGAATCACTGCCGAATCCCTCAAGGAAACCATTACTGAGCAGCTTCAAGCTGAGCATGTTGTAAGACAACCTTTCACATTAACTTTTTAAATACACACACACACACTCACACACACCTAAAACGATCCCCCACTCACGATATACACGAAATATCTTAGGAAGTTGTTGATCAATCTGGCGGTTGCGGTCAAATGTTTGAAGTGATTATTGTATCGCCTATTTTCCGTGAAAAAAAGCTACTAGCTCGACATCGATTGGTCAATGAGATGCTCAAGGATCCGATTAGTAAAGTCCACGCGTTTTCACAGGTTTGGCTTTTTTTAATATTACTCTTCGCACTCCTCCCCACCTCCTTTTTTTTTTTTTTGACCACGAGCCGTACGTACTTCACTGACTTATACTGCTGTAAAACAATTTTTTATAGAAATCATACACACCAGAAGAATGGGAAAAGAAGCAGCAGCAGCAGCAGCAACAACAACAATAATAATAAGAATTGCTATCTAGAACAGGAATATCAGAAGCAAAGAAGAAAAGAAAAACGGACAAATACATACAAAAACGCCCAATGTCTTTGGGATGATACCGCTAATTTGTATATCAGATAACACACGTTGTCGGTATTACTGTTTGCTTATTTGCTCGATTCGGGAGTACGGCTATGGCGTTTGACCAGTTTGTGTTTACGAGGAAGAGGAAGACCAATCCACGATGTGATTCAACTAATGACCGGATCATACATACTCATCCAACTCGAGAGTGATATGCTGGAGCAACAAAAAGAAAGGTCGTCTTTCATGCGGATCAAAGCCGTCAATTCTCGTGCGGGATTAGAGGTGTACCCGGTTTATATGGTTCTCCTATTTACCCTATATAACAACAGATATTGCAACATGGGATCAGCCCCAACCGAGGTGTTTAGGTTATCTGCTTAATATGTGACTGGATCACAATATTGTGTGTTTGCGTGAAACACATCTTTCGACCGTTTCAAACAAGGTGGATTCCAACCTGACACCTCGCTATAAGCGCACGATTTCAGTAACAAACAACCGAATCACTACTACACCGAATAGTCATTCTTTGAATTGATTCCAATCTGTTAAGGCAGTCATATGAGAGAGAGAGAGAGAGAGACATTTCAGTGAAGGATGGAATTTAATATCTGAGGATGAATGGCGAGCGTATACTTGCAGTCAAAAATATGACAAAAGACCCTGTGACTCTAGGTACACGACCAAACTTATTATTTTCTCAGGATTTGTTGACAGTGCTTGTTAAGATTTTACTATGTACCATATCTTATACAAGTCAATATGGAAAATACACCTGGTGCTCTAAAGTGCAGTGAACTCCTTATCATTGGGATATACACAGTTAATAACGTGAGTTGAGGCAATACCCTAAGGTGAACGATGTTATTCGACAGTCTGCGGATGCCATAACGTAGTGCTACCAAAAACTGTATTGACAGTTGGAATTGCTGTTATGGCCAAATATAAAGAAGTACGAGCTTCTCGGCTTGAGCAAGCATCTGTAATGTTTGTTGAATATAACTTACTAGGAGCGTTAGTCCATCAAAGCTACTGGTATCACCATACCACAACCTCCTTGCATGGCAATCTTATCAAGACGTACTGCTTTTGTGACTGATCTGAGGCATCACACAGCCCTTATGCAATAACAAGCCTTAGGCTTTGTATGACGCATATTATACTCAGTGACACGTTGAACGTAAGGAGATTAAATCATTCTCCAAGTGACCAGCTTAGGTACAGTAACATATCGTAGCCGGTTCTCTGCAAAATAGCTCGCCGACCGCATTTTGCATGGAAATCTCAAAGATGCAAAAAATAGAAGAGTGCTGACGCTTGCCTTTCCCTTTTCAAGGAAATTTTCCAGGTTTGGGTATAGCTAGTGTACGAGTGCCAAAATTAGACATTTTAGGCATTAGCTTGCGTCACACTTGATACACAATATTATCAATCCAATTCTTTCTGAAATGCATTAAAAAGAGTATTTGATACCGTCCCTAATACGCCGTGAACCTGGGGGTATTAGGCATTTTAACCTACGACAACATCGTTCAAGTCTTCTTTTGCTTGACTTTAGTGTGGGTCTCCGCCTCTTATATGTCAGATCACCCTCTAAGCGGCCAAGGTTGATACGATAGTAGATAATAGATGGTCGGTTCCGGAAACATAGCTCGCCGATCGTGTTGTGGTGTGAATCTCCAAAATTGTAAAAATAGCAGTGCTGACGCTTAGTTTCCTTTTCACGGAAAACTTCCACGGGCGGATATAAGTTTCCGTGAAAGCGTAAGTAAATGCCAAATACAGACATTCAGCTTGCGTCATGCTTAAACCATGATATTGCCAATCTATATACATCCAGTTTAAGATTGATTGATAGCTTGGTGCCCGTCCCTATTGCTGTGGCGTGAACCTGGATTATTCCGCATTGTAATCTATGGCAACAATATAAAAGCCGTTCATGCAAAACAAAAGCAAACATCTTTTTGTTAATTATCTCTTCTACCACATAAACAGTATGGTCTTTACTCCCAACAAGCAACTTGTCTTTTTGAAGTCTCTTCCTACCGGTTATCCTGTTGCCGGTGAACATTTGGCTGTTCAATCGTCATCGACGATAGATCTTGACGCGCCTCTTCAAGAAGGTCAAGTTCTTCTCAAGGTGCATTTACTTGCTATGGACCCTTTCATGAGAGGACCTATGCGCCTATCCGAACCCGGCGACTACTTTCCCTCCTATACTGTAGGGCAACCGATCTATGGAATCACCACTTCGACCGTCTTAAAGTCCACCAATCCGCGGTTCAAAAAAGACGACTTGGTTGTTGGTATGACGACTTTCGAGGAATATACTATTGTCTCCTCAGGTCCCTTCTCGGAATGGCTCGCTGTTTGCAATGAGGCCAAAACGTCTGGCTTGCCGTTGTCTTACTATGTCGGTATTTTGGGTATGCCAGGCCACACGGCTTATGCTGGGTAAAGTATCTTCCCTCCAGTTTTACCATCAAAAGTAGACGCATTAAGTTCTTTACATGAGTGTACGTTCTTCTACTTACAAGCAGATTAACAATCATACTCTAGTTTATTGGAAGTCGGTAAGCCCAAGAAAGGAGAAACGCTGTTCGTCTCCGGCGCTTCGGGTACTGTTGGTCAGCTTGTTGGACAAATGGGCAAACTGCTCGGCTTGCACGTGGTGGGATCGGCCGGTTCAGATGAAAAATGCGCTTTTCTGAAGGAAGCCGGTTTCGACGGTGTTGTCAACTACAAGACAGACAATATGCGTGAAAAACTTGCTGAGCTATGCCCGAACGGTGTTGATGTATACTTTGACAACGTGGGTGGCGAGACATTGGAGGCCGCTATTGAGCGTGCCAATCGCCTTGCAAGGTAAACATCAGCAAATACTCTGTAGCGGCACAAAACAGTATTAAGCACGAAAAGAAAAGGCGTCAATTATGAAAGCTAACGAGTAAGATGTATCGACGCGTTCTGATATAGATTTGTTTGCTGTGGCATGGCTTCAACATACAATGCGGAGAAGGAAGTTGGTATCCGCAACTTGTTCAAGATTATCCCCAAGCACATTACTCTCGAAGGATTCGCAGTAACGGACTACTCGCATCTGGAAGGTCAATTCAAAAAGGAAGTGACTCAATGGCTGTTGGATGAAAAGATCAAGTATCGTGAAACTATAACAGATGGCTTTGACGAGGCAGCACAAGCCTTTGTTGACGTTATGCATGGCAGGAACTTCGGTAAACAAGTTGTCTTTGTCTCGAAGCCCTCCTTCTAGAAAATGTAACACACAGCCTATGATGTTTTTTTTGAGCATTCGAATTAGCCATATAAGTTCTACATAATAAAACTTTGCTCTACGCATATAAAAAAGCTCTTTTTGTCGCGTGTAATTGCCAGTATTCTTACTATACTGCAATACACTGCTGGCGAAAGATTACGTTTTTCTGGAGGTTATGTTTAAAAGGTCTTTCTTGATATTAATGCTTTTTCTAGTATAAAAAAAAACAGGTCGTTTTCTAAAAGAAAAGAAAAGCGGCAATTTCACACGTAGCCACTAAGCACCACATAATATTACGAGCTTTTGGTATCTCTTAGAAAGGCTCATATGCTCGTACATACACCTCTGACTTACATACTCTTGAACGATACGAATAGTAATCAAACCGGTACTATAAACTGCTCTGATCTAATTATTGTTCTGTTATTCCTTTTGCTTAAATCCCCTGAAGGTATATAAAGTGCCTTTAAAAATCTTGCTCACTATCTGATGAATGCTAATTAATTGTGACAAGCAGTAGCTACTAGCTTATAATCACTTCGTAGAAATATACTTATGCGGACCTGGGCCAGACTGGACATACGACTAAAGGAGATATCTTACTCGACACGCCGTCTACATCCAGCACATAATCTAACAATCCATCCAGACACGCAAACAAAGAGTGAATAACCATCTTTTGAGCAGCTGCAGCAGTATATACATCGGATGGGTGGCTGGATTAATCTTTGACTTTACTTTTGCACACTCAGATACAGTGCCTTATCTATCCGTTAACAAAATGTTGTAGTTTCTTAGCTGCTATAGTACTGCCACTGCTTTATATGAATATGAGTCTTTTACGTGGTTGTCACGACCTCCTTATTCTGGAGCTCATCCATACACGAAAATATAATGAATATTAGCCTTAGAGAGTTTATCTGCTGTACTTTAATGATGTCAAAAGAACCGTATTTGTCACGTAGCATCAACGCAAAAGCTACAAGGCACAAAGTCACTAATTTGTCAAAGTCCGTCAGTTTTGCAAAAGGCTGGCATTTTTTTCTGGCAACGCGACCGTGTGTCCTGTTGTTCTTTCTTTGTCAGATCGTTGCAACACAACTCTTCTCTCCTTCACGTCAATCACCAAATCAATACCTGGTTGCGCGATTGATTACGAGCCAACAATGCAGATCGGCGCCGCTCGCGAACTTCACGACCTTGTGTGCCAGACACGTGTGTCGACTGCTCCTTCCATTGCCAATTGGCTGCAGCATCAATTACAATTGAACAAACGGTCTCTACTCGATCTGTTGGACGACCTCCCGAAAAATGCGCAGGACCGTAAAACGCTTCAAGAAGGTACTTTTGGTATTCTATGAACGGATTCACTGCAGAACCTTTTTTTAATGTTTGCCTCACTGATATAAGTCTCTCTGTCTTGCTCACGTTAAATAAATCATAATTGTACACTCAGGTCGTGCCAACATCAATAACACGATACACAAGGTCAACGACGAATTTATAAAAGAAGCATTGTTTGTATCAGATCAACTCGGTTTGAACGAACACGTTGCAGCAAGCTTGCTACTAGCTGGTGTCGCAGCTGCTCCTCGCACAAACAGTACAACGATCGATGCCGCCATTACAGCCTACCATGTGGAACGAGGCTATTTATTAGCGTGCCTTGACATCATATTAAAGTCGGCAAAGGATGCGTCGGTTAGACAAGATATTCGACTGGTATTTCGACAGTTCGCAGCCGAACTTGTACGCGAACGCGTCTCTGCTGAAGGAGCTATGGGCACGTTTCCTACGAAACTTGTAAAAACATTAAAAAAGGTCACCGCAACACATAACACTTTGACAACCACAGGATCGATCCCGCAACAGCAGCAACAGCAACAACCTCAACCACAGCTACAGCAACAACACCAACCTTTCCAGTTAAACCAGCAACAGCAACAACAGCAACCACAGACGCCACAGCCAAGTAAAGAGCAGCAGGGTACAACAGTGTCGTCAGGACGGCTGGGAGAGCAAATCACCAGTTTCCGGCTAGAGCGTTTGATGGATGAGCGGCTTGGTGTTGCCCAGATTCTATATCACATCACATCCTTGTTTTGGCTGGAACCCGATGATGTGCTGCTACTCAACGACACACTACAACTTTCTGAACTGTCGGATATCGCCATTCCTTACATGTTGCTTGCCTTGGTCGCCGCACTGTCTGCCACAAACCATACCGACAGCGATCCTCCAGCACTCTACAACAATGTCGATTTCATGAGAAAGTTTCACGACCGCATGCTCAAGAAATCATGGAAGGTGCCGGCCGTCAAAGCAGTAGCAATGGTACAGTGGATTTTGTTCCAGTACAACGCGGTGCAGATGGACCGGACTATCGAGCAAAGGTTACCGGACAAGTTGGACAACCTCGACAAGCTCATCTACGAAGCAATCACAAGCAAGGCATTCGAGTTTATGAACGAATACATGTTATACTTCCAGCAGAAGAACGCAAGCATCGACACGGATCGCGGACTCTTCAAGCTGTCCCTGTATGACGACAAGGATGTCACGACCGTTGATCCCAGCGACTTTACAAAGTTCAACGCCGACATTCGACTCGATTTCCAAATGTTTGTTGTTCATGAATTGGAGCAACTCACAAGCGATTTTATCCTGCACCTGCAACATATCCTGCGCAAACTCAAGTACAGGGAGGAAGACACGGGTATGCCTGTACAGCAGACGCCGATATCGTCAAGAAGTGCTATCACCACTGGCGAGGACGACAGCAACAAATGCCGCGATCTGGAGAGATTCATGGATCTTCTGGCGAGCATCTACCGTGGACGGATCAACGCTGGATGGCAGTTTTGGTTACGGTCTGACAGCCATCTCGCGTCATTTTTGAAGTGGTTGGTGGAGGTTCGACAGTCTGGCACTGTTCGTGCAACATACAATTTCCTGGCTTCGATTTCCATGGGCGATGTCTGTGCACCGCGCGCATTCCAGGAACTTAGCTCGGGTACCAATCGCACCGACCTTAGCTCAAGCAGCCTGTTTTCATGGGGAAAGCTCTTTGCTGCCCTCCAATACTATGCTCCGCTCTTGAGCAAGCCCGGCGAAGAAGTTCCTCCTGCACTGCCTGACAACGAAGAGGAATTACTTGTCACGTTCTTACTGTTGCTGCAGCAAGTTGTACAGTACTCGACCGACGCACGACAGACTCTTTGGATCGACTCACTTTTACGCGCACCTGATTCCATCGTCGGCATGTTGAGCAGCCGCACATCATTCGGACTACGAGCTGCACTCTATGGCGTTCTAGCTGCATTCTGCTCGCCCTGGGGTGGAGGTGTTATCAACTCACTCGGACGGACGATTTCAGAACAAATGTGGGACATCCTGGAAAATAGCGAATTCTTTGTCACGAAGCGCCAACTGAGCAACCAACAACAACAACAACAGCAGCAGCAGGACGGCTTCTTGCAAAGTAAGAATCAACCCAAGTCGACGCAGTATCTGCCAGGAAAGCAGCCCAGTTTCCTGCGTGAATTGGCACTCGAGCGTGCAAGCAAGGACTACAAGGAAACACTCGCAGTGGTTAAGCTACTGGGATCTGCCATCCACACTATATCGCGACGCGAGGAGCTTATTGGCGGGTTTCAACCCATTATCTCATCTGTACCATGGACCCTGGGCAAGAACAACCGAACTCCCGGTGCCGAACCCTACGTCTCCTTGGTGATTGACGACATCTTCGTTGCCCTGGATTCTCAAGAATATCTGTATCCTGGTGCCAAGTGGGAGCTAGCCGAGGCCTGTCTCAAGGTGTTTGAAAACAGCATCCTTTCATTTGATCTACGACAGCTTCGACAGGTTCTCGCTGTGTCCAGCCGTAAAGCACAGAGCCAAGCAGCCAGCTACAGCCTCGCGCTCCTAGGTCATCACAGTGTTGGACAATCCGCAGCTGATATGCTTGAACCATTGCTGCTCATGTATTTGGGTCATCCTGGTTTCACAGTGATCGTACGTTTGCTGTCTGGACACGCATTTGCGAACGCCATTTTCAAGATCATCCAAGAAGGCTATAATGGTATTGTCACGAAAAAGGAAAAATCGCCGTTCTTTGTGCAGTGTGTGGCTAGCAGCTTGCGCATCATCAACCGCGTACTGGAGCTTCAAGATAGCTTCTGCAACCTCTTAATACCCAATATCACTGGCCTATCCAGCAGAATGTCCTCTTCACAGTTCAAGCTCGGTGGTCATTTGTTCCCGCCTCTCCCGTCACTGGCGCCGTTCGGTCAACTGATGCTCGTCAATGCAAATGCCATTGTACAGGTCGCGCAGCTCGTCAACTGTGAGGATCAAGAAGAAATTTGCTATCTGAGCACCAAGATTCTGCAAGCCTTGTCATTGGAACCTCATGATAGCAATATCGCATCAAGCAATAGCGGTATCCAGGCGGCTATGGGTGGTATCGGTGTTAAATTGACCAACGTACTTCGTGGATGCAAGGACGAGTCTCTCATCTTGTATGGATTCAGTGAGCGCTTGGGTATTGACGATGCAGAAGTAACAACGGCCGAGGACTACGAATACGATATCAACAATATCCCGTTCTGGATGGCAGAAAAGACGCTGGCGAACAAGTATGCATTCGAGACCGATTTCCGACCAACCCTGTCGTCGTCAGTGCGTCTTGCCATCGTTGACTTGCTGCTAAAGAACTCTGCCCTGGAAAAGCCATCGCCCACACTCGCGAACTTTTTGCTCGGCTACACCGGTCCTGCATGGCAATCCAGCAACAGCTTGCAGGGCTTATACAATGACGAGTCCGTGCGCATTTGTTTGCATACCATTCTGGATATGATGAACCGGGGCATTACAGACGATAGCGACCAGGAGGACAAGCCGCTGATTGCAACGCATCCAGTTCTGGCAGAAAAATGCTATAAACTCATCTATCTGCTTTGTGCCAAGGTATCCACGTCGTCGGTCACCATGCGCTATCTTCAAGACAAGGATGATTTCTTCTACAACCATCTGCGAGCTTTGCCAGCGCGCTTCGAGAGCTATTCCGATGCCTACAGCCCCGTGTTCCCCGGTAATATGGCTTGCACGGACAATACTGTTTTTGAAGCGGATTTCTTTGTTGTATTGTCGCAGCTGCATCAGCGCGCCTGGCTGTTGAAGACGATCGCTCTAGAGCTCCACGTTCTGGCAGGCAGCGGTCAAAAGAGCAACGTACGACGGATTTTGGACGTTTTGTACGGTACAGCACGAATCAACAACAATAACGACGGCACGATGGACGTGGATAATGAGCTCATGTTCAACTCTCGTCGCTTTGAACAGCCACTTGTCAAGATGCTCGAGATTGTCAGCTCGTTGGACTTCGGTTGGGAAGACTCACTGAAAACAATCAAAGACGAGGAGCTCCAGTTCTTTGCCGGATTTGATCCTAGTGTCTTTATCATTGAAAACGAGCGTGATTGTGCCGTGTACGACATCCGAGCCGTGTATCAGATTCTGCGTCAAGACCAAGCAAACAAGCGACAGGCTGGCATGCTTGCAAACGACGAAGACAATATCGCGTTGGAGAAGGAAATGGGACGGATACTTGAAGCCTTGGTGGCCGACAACCACAAGCGCGAAATCGCCAACGGTAAAGTTCACTGTTTGCGTGCCTGGAAGCAGGTCGTTCAAGTGACCTTATCCGAGTGCTTTGACAATTTCCCATTCGAAACCCGTGAAAAGATTATATATGATCTGTTGTCGGCCTTGTTACCCAAGATGAAGAAGGCTGCTGGAGCAGACGTGCATTTCCTCAAGGGATTCAGCGAGGTAATCCTGACACTGTTGACCCGCCTACGCGAGGACAAGCTTCGCCAAGAGGTTCTTGCAGCAAACCCTACGGCCAGCGTTGAATCCACACGACTTCCTGACGAGAAACTGCGGTTCATTTTCAACGGTATTCTGGCGTGCACTCAAGAGGAAGGCACAACGATTGCAGTACGAGGTGACATGTACACTGCTCTTGTTAACTTTTTACGCTATGTGGATCACAGCAAGAACGAATTTGGAGCAACCATCCAAAAGCGACCCTACAGCGACATCCAAAAACAGTTTATTGACACGATTTCTGTCAACGATAAGTTCTTGGATATGCTTTGCACCGATGCCACCGATGGACTGAGTATATGGAAAACGACGGCCTATGTTGCTGTGGACGCCCTTTATGTCTTGTCAAGCCAGATGCGTAACGATGCTATCTTGTCGTTCTTTGTCAAAAAGAACTTTTTACGCTACAGCATTGATATGCTTCGACGTGAAGACGTTAAATTGCTCAACTTTTTGGAGCAGCCTGATGGTAGGCTTACTTTCTAGATTTGTATTTCGTGATAGCAATGGAGAAATCACTTGTAAACTAACGGATCATATTGTTTATAGTGCCTAGAGATGACATTTATATTTATGAGACCAAAATGTCACTTTTCCTGCGGCTTGCTTTGTCCAAGGAAGGCTCCAAATTGCTGGTTGAGAACCGGATCATCGAAGTGTTGAACCATTGTCAGTTCATCAATGCACGACCTGAACAAAACCTTTTGCGTGCCGGTATGCTTTTCTCTCTGATTATCTTCAACTATAGGCCACTTTTAAGAAGGAAGTGTACTTATTTTAGGTGCATTAGGTCGGGCCTATGTGGAATCAGACTTCAATAACCGCTACGAACAATTGCTGATGCCAGTCCTCAAGCTTATTTCCGCACTGTTGTGCACATTGGGCCACGTTAACGTTATCGATAAGGTAGAACACTAACTCGTTGAAAAGATGAAATGTAACATCGTATTTGAAAACTTAAACCGTGGCATCGTTGAAATAATAGGTCGAAACATGGACACGAAAGCAGCAAGAGGCATTGTTGTATATTTTGACTGATAACCAACAAGTAACCATCTCATCGCTTACGCAGCTCAAGCTTGTCACTTCGATCCTCTATCACTTGAGCTGTCGACAAGGATTCTTCGATGACTTGGTTACTCGAGGATTGAACCAACTTCATACTGCCATGATCCACTTGATTGCCAAATATTTAATCCCGCAAAAGCTGGCGTCGCAGGTGGTCCCAGTGACCGAAGAAGAAATAAACTTGGCCGAAAAACAGGTCTTTGGTAAGTTTTCCCAATCGGATATCTATTACACCTCAGGCATTGCTAGTAGGAACAGTATGCCGGATGTATTATCTTTTAAATGACTGATGAATCGGATTGATGAGTATGTAGCCAACGGAGGTCAATCTGCATTATCAGCAAAGGCGGAGGAGCTTGTATTTTCGATACAAATGAATTTGGCAGCATACGCTCAAAACGCAGCATTTATCTCTGACGAACGAGGCAACAATGTCTTCAAACCTGTTTTCAGCAACACGCTGACCTCCGCAACCGATAGTGGTGCTCTGTCATTACGTCATGGTAAGTGAGAAAGCACTCCAAGTTTGGGTATAGATGTATGTTTCTCACGTCTTTGCGATAGTTTCCTTGAAAACGCCATCGTTATCGACGCTTGCTGCATGCATACGTCAAACTGTACAGACGTTGCACAACAGTGTAAATGAGCACAACTTATTACTGTCGCAAGAAAGAAATGTTGCGTCACTCAAGTTCGAAGAGGTTCGCGAAATTGCAGAAACAGCCTTCCCATCAGCACTGGGGATTCAGTTTGACAACTTGAGTCCATCACAGCAGCAACAGGTCCTGGCGATACAAGTAGAAAAGCGCGCGAAACGAAAAGCGAAACAAATGCGGCAATTAGTCTGTAAGTGATATAGGGGTGATCATTATGCTTAGTGCCACGGTGGGTTTTAAAGTAGTGGATGGTGGTGACTAACGAAGCACGTTAGTTATCCTTGAAAATATCTTGCTGGTGCTATGGCGCCATCTCGAGTTTTACATGAAATCTGGTGTGCTCTCAGCTTCAGCAAAACCTCTTGATCTGTATTCGACAGACTCGTTTGCAGTATCTAACCAAACCGCCATGTTCCAACCATCCATCGCAGTAGCAAGCAATCTGAAGACCACATCCGCAACTGTGCTTGAGCCAATTCTGAAAAAGATACAGGAGTTGGATATGGGTATACCCCAGCTGCAATCCTCTTCAGCTTCTGTCCACGGCCTCTGTGATCGTATCAAGAAAATCATCCAAGATAAACCGTAGTTCCTTCCACTTAGTCACAAAATACATACACGCACATACACTTTCTTTCTCTCTCTCTCTCTCCCCCACAATCCACTTCAACACAATCCAATCCAATAAAACATTTTCCTTTGCATAAAACACATTGCTCTTTCCTTTGTTTGCCTTCCACGATTGCATTTTTTGGTTGTTGTTGATTTATTTTTTTTTGCTGCACATTGCTCACACACAGAAACTGGTTTTAAGCAGAGCTGGACTTTTGCATCGACGAGGTACGACGTCTCTCGATCTTGCGGTCCTTGGCCTCCTTGACGCGCTTTGCCAAAAGCTGCTTGTATTCAGCCTCGGCCTCGGTCTTGCGCTCAAGACGCTTGCGCTTCTCCAACTTCTTCTTGCGTTGACGGCGGAGAGTGACGGGGGTAACCAAACGCTGGATCTTGGGAGCCTTGGTGTAGGGCTTCTTGTCAGGGTTAGCGGGCTGAATGGTGCGGCGAATGACGTACTGGCGAACATCGTCTTCCTTGGTCAAGTTGAAGAATTTACGAATGTTGTTGGCACGCTTAGGACCAAGACGCTTGGGAACGGTGGTGTCGGTAAGGCCGGGAATGTCCTGTTCGCCCTGCTTGATGACGACCAAGTTCATGACAGCCAAGTCGGACTGAACAATGCAACCACGGACCGATTTGCGCTTGCGCTCACCAGTGCGGCGAGGGCGGTAGCACGAGTGGCCCTTGCTCAACAACAAGCGGACACGGTGGGGCAAAAGAACACCCTGCTTCATGGGGAAACCCTGCTTGTCGTTACCACCAGAAATGCGGAAAACGTAGCCCTTGAATTCGTCACCGAGGGCATCGCCAGAAACTTCCTGAGCCATGCGCTTGTCGTAGAAACCGCGCCTATAAGAATGATTGTATCGTGTGTTAATCGGTGCGACTCATTTTCTCTTTTGAGAATTATTTTTTTCTCGGTGGGTGTGGCGTTGGTTGTTACAGGCTGGGTGGGCAAAACTTACAGGCGACGCTCATCATCGATTTCAATCAGCTTTTGGCAGCCGGTGGCCGGGTTGGCAATGTTCAACTAAGAAAATGGCAAAAAAAAATAAGGGTGTCGGTTCATCCATCCGTTCATCGTATCGATCCATCCGTCTATTGTTGCGTGCGTTCCATGCTCCCTCATCACACTCTTTAATCTTTTTTGGCGGTACAGGATACGTACCTTCATGGTCGAAAGAGGATTCACATTGATTCGCCCAGCTGGCTTCACTTAGTGGGCAGCATCCAGCATCGGGAGTTCAATTGCCCCGATTGGCTGAACGACGACTAGTTTAAAGATTGGTATTGTTCAGGCTTTTAATGACGATGATAATAGTAGGCCGTGAACAGGTTGTGTCAAGTGGAATTAGGTGCTATGAGTGTATACTTTTTCGATTGCTACCATGTGCTGGCGATCAGGAGGAGGATATTGCGTATAAAAGTAAGGGAAAGAGTAACTGGTTCACGTTTTCTTTTGAGTGTGTATAATAGAATGGAGACGACATTTAAAGCGCCCGTTTGGCACCACCACGTTGTCTTTTCGGCCCACCTCCTCGACGTCGACCCGGTGTTCCTATTGCACGTTCCGATGGACTTGAGGATCGCTTGTTTCTGCCACGCGCAGATGCACCACCTCGCGACGGCCCCGGTGATCCCGGTACAGTTTCATAATCATCAAAGAAACGCCACTGATACATGTAGCATTCGTTTGCACCAGGCAACTCTTGGATCATTTTGGTAATATTAGGATGCGACATGCCAAAGTACTCTGGGCCAGAAACTGCAAAATGTGTTCTTTGGGATTCTCGGTTTGCTTCCTTCATGACTGTAGACCACGCAGCAGTAGGATTATCCTTCTCAATGCAGTTGTCTGGCTGGTCTTCAGGCGTTATACAGAACTGTGTCATTGTGATACAAGACACAACAGGCTTGTCAGCTCGGGAATCTTTCAGTCGCGTCATCATTTTTCTTTTACCTTGGGTGCTCCTTGCCCTTCTTTAATTTCACACGTGTATGTCACTAGATTGTCCGGATTAACCATACTCTTGTAAACTCTAAGGAATATAAAAACCTGCATAAGTTCTCCGTGCTCTGACGCACACACACATATCTTTACGCAGGATGTACAAACCTCTCGATCTTGTAACCCACAGGAAAAATGTATCTGTTATTATGATATGCAGCTGGTGTGGTGATGATTCGTCCGAGTTGTATTAATCTAATCGTTCCAAGCTGTACAGGGAGAATGTAGTCGCCGGCTTCATCCTTTGTAACCGCCACCAGGCGATATCGGCTTTTTCGGCTAATGCCTTGTGTATTGATTGGTCTCTTCCGTTTACGACCTTGGTGAAAGATACATATATGTAGGATCAGGTACTTGTCCGCAACGTTCTTTTCTAATCAAATTGCTGCCCCCCTTTCGTCCTTCTTTCCAAACCTTCGTACCCATTGAATCCACGGCAATATACGTTTCTTCCTCGCTACTGGACTCTTCCGAAGACGATGACTCTTCATCCGGTGAAGCAGGACTCAATTCTCCCAGATCGTCGTTTTCGTCATAAATGCTGCTATCATCGTCGTCTTCATCGCTTGCCGTTGGATTTTTTGAATTATGCTGCTCTGCAATCGAATCAAGTAGAGCACTAATATTCATATTTTCTTTTCTTGAGTAAAGCATATTCTTATGATAACCCAATCATCAACCACTTATCCTCCCCAGATCAAACTGTAGATCTCACCTTCGCTGTCTTCGTAAACGCGAAATCGTCTTTGAAGATTTGTCAACTTGATCTGTCAAATCGCGATTTCGCTTTTGTAAAACGAACAAACCACAGTCGCAAAGGAAAATTTACGCGCATTTCGTCAGTGTTAGTAAAGAGCTTTGATACACGGCAGTCTTCCACTACTTTTTTTTACTGCTTTGTTCGAAATCTTGGGGTAAAGTTGGAAAATAACTTCATACCTCAAGTAATAACTGAACTTCTTGTTCCATCTTCTCTATTTTCGCCAAAGTTTCAGCCTCTTGTGGAGCATCCTGTGATTTGCTTGCAGGTGACATGATGGATTTCGGAAAGAATGCAGAAAGAGCACGAATGACTGCGTTGGTCATTGTCCGCTTTGTTTGCAAAAAAAAGACTCTGAACAAAAAGAACCAGAAAACAGCAGTGCTCCGCTTGGATAGCAATGCATATATACTCCTACTTATGTGTAGAGAGTATTTCGCTGTGCTCTACTAGACATCTCTGAGTGCCAAATACGCCGCACTTTTCCATTGCCTTTGTTGCACCTGTCAAGTACCAAAAAGATGTGCTTCTTCATGACGTTGGATCATACAAAAAAGCCTCACCCTTCAATTCAATTATCAGTAATCCTTATCACTGCTCGTGTGTATCACTCTTACAAGCATGACTGTTGAAAAAAAATGACACCTTTTAATGGCAAGTTACAGTTTTGGAGTGATATATACAAGCATTGAGTGCATACAATCTATCGATATTGTTGTTGCGGATAATAATAGTAGCTTTCTGGTTGCTGATGGTTACGGCTATTTTGGCGCTGTGATGGCATTGACGACGTTGTTGTCATCGTAGTCGTGGGCGGATCCCGATAGCCGTCGTCATAGTAATAGGTGCTCGCAGGTGTCATTGGACTAGCCAGCGTGTAAGCTGTTGCTGATGTAGGTGGCATCAGAAAACTCGTGGCAGTAGTGGTGGTATAATCATGGTTTCGGCCATAGTAATCTGCAGCGATGTTCTCATACATATTCGGTAGCGTAGGCTCAGGTAATGGCTGATGCTGTGTAAGCGGTGTTGTAGACGAACAATTGTTGTTTAAAGACGATCCGCGCGTCAAAGTCGAATTATGTCGCCGTTGATGAGACGAAGGTTGAGGCGCATATTTACCCCATTTGGTCTCCTCAACTGGAAGTTTACCAACCGATGATGGTCGTTTGACAGTTTGGGAGAATATCGAAAAGGGCAGTAGTAGTAGCCACAAGAGACAGTTTAAACACGCACCGATATACGTTGCATCAATCAGTAGGCACCTTTGGCAAAGTTAGTACGTTGTATCACTCACTCAAAGTAGGTTTACTGGTATAGTACTGAAAAACAGAGAAATGAATACCGGTGATAAAGTATAGGATAAAGTGCGTCGTTGCTGGCATCGAGCATGTCACAGTATGGCATGAACCCTTTGGCTGGCTGCTTGAATTCGACAAGGCCGTCTGTCCATGGCTCTTGACCGCCCAAAAAGGTGATGAGCAGAATGGTAACGGATAACGTGAATATGTTGACGATACTCAGTGTTTTGTCACCACGAAGTATATGAGCTCGTCGGCAACAACTTGCATGGATACATATTGCTGCAGAGCTCAAGACAGACACCGACAAGGTTATGTACCACAGTATATACTACATAATATGTGTGCATTGAGCATCGTTATGTAAAAGGATTAAAAGGCATGATTATATCGTTTACCTGCCAATGTCCAGCTTGAAACCAATTAGGTATGGATGTCTATTTATTTATTTACGCGGTAGAAAATACACAATATATGAGTCGGATCGTCGTTGTTGTCATCACAAACAAAGAGCAAAGTGAAGAGCGAAAAAAAAAGGGATAAGACGATGCTGTGGAGGTACCATTCTTGTTCACTTTACCTGATGCTGGTATACACTATACAACGCGCATTGTGCTGCATGACTAGTCAATGTAATAGCACCCGTGATGAACACAAAGGATCGCAAAACATTAATGCAAACGATCGTACGCATGAACCGAGTAAGTACTAAATGAATGGACAGAAAAGAGAGGAAGAGAGCACGAAGCAAAAAAGTAAAAGGATTCGCAAATGAATTGAATGCAGCAAACACTTGTCTCCTAGAGAAAAGTATAAAAATAAAAAATGAAACTGATCTCGGACAATTCCTCAATTCAACAATCCGCTCGTAAACATAATTAAAGGATGATGCACCTACGCATGTAACAAACAGATAATATGTGAGTTCTGGATCTGCACCCTGGACATACGCTTATATAGCCATAAATGGATTTCTACATAGCCCTTTCCCCTCCCTCCCATTTCCGTATATCAGACAGGACCATGAGTATTTTTTTAAATGATGCTTTTATTCACTTCCACATCAGTCACATCTTTGTTATACTGTACATTGCAAAAAGAGACAACAACAACACTGTGTTCACTTTCTCAAAAAGTTATTTAGGTGGGAGATATTGTAGCATTGACCGGAATCGTCGCTCGATGAAGTGAGTTAAGGATTCGCCACGTTGTTTTCACTTGTACTGCATACATAACACAGAAAGCGCGTTAATTTTGACACCATCACCAACAGAAGCACCGCGACAGGGAGGGATAAGGAGTGCGATAGTAGAACCAAATATTATCAACCCGTATTACGCACACGACAAAAGTAGATGGCGATAAATGAATTGATTTCACTCGCGATGAATAATTTATACGTGTATGTACACAGAATGTATGATTTTACATTGTTATTAAAGAAAAGTTCTGTGCACATCAATAATTTACAAGGAATGATTATATGGCTTTACAAAATACATGTACCGTTTGTTGCTTTAATCTATCTACATGTCTAAAATTTGTTGAACAACCGATGGTGCAGTATTGCTAGGAGCAGGACCCGCACTGCTATTGTCTGAAATTCCATCTTGATTAATGGTCTTTTGCAAAACTGTCGTACGATATTTGGTCACGATCTTCTTCAATGCATAAGGCAAAGCTGACCATTCAAACACCTTGACCTGTTATTGATATTATCAGTTGCTCAGTTAGAAACTGAAATACTTTCTGCTGAGTGAGTACGACAACACTTACGTCTTTCTCAATGTTTCTTGGTTTTGGGTTGGGAAAGTTCATAATCACCCTAAAGAAATCAGCCGTATCTGTACGTCCTTTACTGACAGTGGTAGGCTTGAATCCTTCGAGATTACGCCGTATTCGGTTCTTCTCTTCCATCGAGAGCGAAATATCCATAACAAACTGTAAAAGGTTGATCAAATCGACCGATGTAATAAAGTAATCTTGTCGTGCTTCCCAGTAAACGCATGATACGATACATAAACCAGGAATTTGGTTCATTTGGCCGCCATGCGCTTCTTGGGCTACAGGTTGAAAACCACATAGAATTCGGTTGTTCTTTTCACTCCGCCAAAACTGAACTAGACGTCGACGTTGGCCCCATTCGTCTTGCGTCCAATCATACTGCATTTCCGTCAAGTTGCCTTCAAAGTCCAAATCAACAGACGTGCTACTATTGGAGTATGCATACATTTGGTATTGCTGGTGTCGCCGTTGCTGTTCCTGTTGCTGCCGCTGTTGTTGTTGTTGTTGTTGCTGCTGCTGCTGCTGCTGCAGGGAAGATAGCATAAAATTGCTACTGTCATCGCTCTTACTGCTAGTGCTAAGATATTGCGTTTGTGGATCGTCCAATGGTACAGAATCAAACATATTCAACCCGGGGATGGCTCGTTGTTCGTGACGTTGAACTTCAGGACTAGGCATGATACGGGGCATTTCGTTCTGTTCTCTTTTCATTGGATTAGGATACGGCTGGTGCTGAAGATAAAGAGGTTGTGGTGCTGTTGCTTGGTGTTGGGGTAAATTCGGCCGACCGTAGTCCAAAGATGGCTGTCTGGCTGTTGGTGCAGCTGCAGTGGGTGAATAGTAAATATCCTGTTGCTGATATTGTTGCTGTCGTGGCTGCTGAAACGATTGTTCGGCATAAGCTTGTTGGTAAAGTGGCCTGTGCGGCGATGGGGGGCTATATGGTATTTGTTGTGGTAGTGGCGAATGTTGTTGTTGGTTGTACGACTGCGGCATCAACGACGGGGACACCATGGACGATGTACGGCGCTGATGCAGTGATTGTGGTACATACTGTGTCGGTGAGAGTTGGTATGGCATCGAATTTGGAGTTGTCTGCACGTTGCCGCTACCACCTTGATATAGTCCTGTTGTGTCAAAGTCGTATGGACTCAGAGAGTAATGATGCTGCTGTTGTTTTTGCAAAGAATCGTCCATCTAGTGATACATGCGTTTGTCATGCAGCATATTCGTAAGTAACACAACAGGAGAGAGAATCATTGTGGGGACGGACGATCATACAGTTTTGAAAATGGTCTTACTTGCCTTTTAGTTTAGAAAAAATGAAACCGTGCTTTTCTAAAACGGTAAAATGGAGAAAAGAGAGACACAAAAAATTGCAATCGTATAAAAAGTGGGTCGAGAAAACGTAGAAAGCGTACCGGTCGAAAATTCTTCAACGATGTCTATTCTGATTGACCCGGTTTTTGTGTAAACCCCTGACTGTCAAATTTCTTTTTTTTCTTTCAAATTATTAAACCATCAATAAAAAAGAACATTTATGCGTATACCCTGTTACGCCGAATAAGATGATGATGGAGAAATGTCTAATGAAATAGAGGACAGAATGTTATATAAGTTGATGACAGATATGACGCATTAGGATATTCGGAATAACAACGATGTCATATATAAAAATGACAGTAGCAGCTTATGAAAGAAGACTACATTAGTAATTTGGTGGGCGAATACTTGCTGTACTTTTCCATATAATCTACTTATCCATATAATTCACTTACACACTATCAACGAATATGGTTGATATAGCAAGCGTTGCTGCTAGGAGGAATCCGGTGACGGTTTCCTATTCAGTTGTTTGTTCTTTTGCTGTGGCGGTAGTTAGTAGTGGCAGTCTTCGTATTGGTTAATAAAGAAAGGTATCATATACGCTGTTTGCTTCATCAGTGTGTTATCATATAGTAGATAAATTTGAATTTTAAGTGGTGCAGCAACGATGTTCGCCTTTAAGCTGACAATATCATTGTAGGCAGGAAGAGGTTGTCAGGCAAATTCAACAAGGACGGAATTTTTAATTACCGAGCGGCGTTGAACCGCTACGGCACGGGGGTGGCTACATACGTGATTGAGCCACATCATTGATTCGCCCTCTTTTCCCGCGTGTATGTATCAAAGGCAGAGCAAAAGGATGGGTAGAGCGAGTAGAGAAAGGGAAATACGACGAGCGAACACATGGATGGATGCGTTAAATGGATGGATGAAGACATATTTCGACGAGATAAACGACGAATCCGACACCATCCATATTAGGGACCAAAAATTATTATTGGGAAAAGGGCATTTGACAATTCAATGCAATTTATACTCATGCTCCTCTTTGCTGTTAATTTCTTAGATAGCACAACATGCTCGTTACCAAGCAGAACAGAAAGGCCATTTACGAGACGCTCTTCAAGGGTAAAGAATTTGACGCCAACTTTTTTAGACTTGTCGAGAATCACAAATATTCCAGTAACCATTAAATCAATTTGCGAATTGTTATTATAATAGACGGTGCCGTCGTCGCTGCCAAGGACTTTGACCTCCCCAAGCACCCCGATATCGATGTCCCCAACCTTGAGGTTATCAAGATGATGCAGTCTTTGACCTCCAAGGGTTTCGTCAAGACCCAGTTCTCGTGGCAGTACTACTACTACACCCTCACCGATGAGGGTATTGACTACCTCCGTGAATGTACGTCAAAATAGTAATTGATACGGTACACGTCAATTTGTGTGCTTGTTGAAGGGACAAAAAGAATATGCATTAGAGGTGTCCAAAAACTAACAAAATGGATGATATGTCTTATTAGACCTTCACTTGCCCCAGGAGATTGTTCCTGCTACCTTGAAGAAGTCTGCTCGTCCCGCCGCTCCCCGTCGTGCCTGTAAGTTTACTATTCGCTCCTTTAACCGTGTCAAAGTTTAGCACAATCACGGGTTTATTAATATCATTTTGTTATCTGTAGTCGGTGAGGGTCGTGAGGGTGGCCGTGGTCCCCGTGGTGATCGTGATGACTACCGTCGCAAGGAAGGTGCCAGCGGTGACTTCAAGCCTGAGTTCCGTGGTGGTTTCGGTAAGATTATACAGAGTAGTTTATAGAGTGTGCCATTGGGGGCAAAAAGTGTATGGGAACGATTATTGATTAATTGTTCCTTTTGCTCGTTCATTATAAAATTACATAGGTCGTGGCCGTCGCGAGTAAACAAAAAACCAACAATAAAAAAGGCTACATTCCATCAACCTTATCGTATTGTGTGTAGATATACAAAACAAAGTGCTTTATATATAAACAAATGATAGGCGCCACAATATTAGTTGGATACTATTTAACCAAACTATTACTATTATTACTACTCACTGTTGCCATTGTGGCACTACTACTGCTATTTACCAACATATTTTATTATTATGATCATGACCGTTCATACATTAATTGAGGGGAAAAAGGATTGACATAAAGTATGTGGCTCACTAATCATACTTACCAGTTCAGTTCATTATCTTGTATACAACGGTTGCACAACATGCTTGTGGAGTGGCAACTATCTTGTCCAACTGTCAAACTTGTCTTTTTCTATGTGCAGCCCCAACAAATGTTTTCGGTGCATTTACAAATATGAGTGATATATGCACGGGTTTGGAGGAGACGCTAAGTCCAATACTGTACTAATGTACTGTACAATATGTATTACCCAAGGATAGCATCCCAACACCGAAAAGAGGGAATTATTGATGCACGGTGCTGTACGACGGGTCGTTTTGCGCGGATTACATGTACAGGCTTTGATCCTGCATGATGTTGAATTGTGCAAACAGAAAGTAATTGTCAATTACATAGGTGCTACTTTCATTATCGCTCCGCTGCTTAAGTATTTGCCTTTTTCCTTTTACCCTTGCTTTTTGTTAGGTAAAGGGATACTGCAAGGAGACAAGTTTTCGAACACAAAAGGCCATTCAGGAGCATGAGGAGAGTTGATGACGGACTGGAAAAGCGAAAAAGAACAGGGAGAAGCGACTCAGGCAGGCTTGGGATTGGGGGGTGGGTGGGAGAAAAGGAAAAGAGGTAATATCGTTGATCTGCATAGTCCCAGTTACAAAAAAAGAGCAATCACACATACTACGCATATACCTCAAGGTGGTATGGATCGTGGGATGTATGCATGTTCCTTATTGCTATTTAGCCCTTTTGCTCTTTCACATATGTATCGCTTATTCTTCTTATGTTCAGCTATAAGCTTTTTTTAGCCTCCTCTTTTCTCCTCTCTTCCATCTCGTCTCTCTCTCTTTCATCTGCTTTTTTTACTAATCTAATATCGTATCTTCTTCTTTTCTTCTTCTTTGTGTTAATTTGCTATAATGAGTGTACAAGCAGCAATAGCGTTACTAAACAAGAATGCGCATTCGACGCCAGCAGCACCAACACCGACGTGGAAAAGCAACACCTCTACCTCCACAGCTGGAAACGTTAAAACAGACGAATTGAAACGGATTAGGACTAGAACGTCCAGCGGTGGAGTCGCATCTATTCTTAGTAAATTCGATCAGCAACAGCCACAGCAACAACAACAACAGCAGCAGCAGCAGCAGTTATCGCCACCAACTGCTACTAGTAGTTGCAACAGTATCAGAAAGAGCAATAGTATCAGCAAAAGTAACACATCATCGACGACACCAACAGTTGTAGCCTCAACAGCAGAATTGGCTTTACAGACACCACGTCAGACCGAATCAACGTCGCCATCACTAGCAACAAAACCGCCAGCGTCAACAGCAGCAGGAAAATCCACAACATCAACAGTGACACGACGCAGTCGAAGTGCAAGCGTACGTGTTCGTGCAGCAACAATTAATCGAAACAATGTGGCAGATACGATTTCACATGAGCTTGCAGCAATGCATCAAGAAACCTTGGACAAGCTGCAGGCAGCTGAAGAAACAATCAACTATTTACGCCAAGAGCACCAACATCGAAAAGAACAACTGCGCCAGAACACCAGCAATACGACAGAGGACGAAAAGAAAGGCGATACTGCCGATATGAAAAGCATGGCTTCGCAAATACGCGATTACGAAATACGTATCCAATATCTGAGCGAAAAGTTAGATCAATTATCACAGGAGCACAGCACGCTTGAACGGCAGCTTGATCAGGAACGTCGAAATAAGCGAATCACGCTAGACACCCCTATGTCCCCTGAATTTCGTCCATTTTCCAAGTTGTTTGATGCCAGTAACACGACAGCTAGTTCTGCAACAACGACGAGTACTACAGCTGACGACGATAGACGACGTATCACGGTTGATACCAACATCACCAGCGAAAACGACGAGTTTTGGAATTGTCTTTTGGACGTGTACGAAAAGGGCTCCTCTGTGAGCACTGCCTTGACGACCGAAGAAGAGGATGAGGGGGATGCAGAGCAGGAGCAATCTAAAACTAGCAACACCATCAATAGCAAAAACAACACCGCCAATAGCCATAGTAGCATCAGCAAGGCGATCGCAGTAACAGCGAATGATAGTAAGGAGCAAGCAGCGGAGCTCCTTTTTGTCAAAAAGCAACTGACAGCAGTGGAAAAGGGGGCGCAGATGATGCTCGAGCGACACATACGAGATATCGAGAAAGAACGACTGCAAACACGGACGTTGACGGAGGTCGTGCACAAGCAAGATCAACTCATTGCATCGCTCGAAGCTAAACTTTGTTCTGACGAATACTCCTCAAAAAAGGATAACAATAGCCATCTGTTACTCCAGGAACAAGTCGAGTTACAGCGGATTGAGTTGGAGGACAAGCGCAGTTTGTTAACCCGCTTATTGGATGAGCGAGAAGAGTTGATGCGACAAGTCATAAACAACAATAACAATAACAACAACAAGCTAGTTGGTAGTGGTATGCGTAGTCGGTCCGCTTCCGTCCGCTCTTCAATCGATGTCTTGTCCGAAATGTCCAGAGAGCATAGACATCCGTTGTCAAGAGCTTCGTCGTCGTCATTGAGACAGTCGCCACGCTCATCCTATGGTTCTCATGCCGCTTTGGGAAGATCCACACCTCCACCTACTGCTCCACCAAAGGATCCATTGCCGCCTCTCCCGCCGCGTAGCTCATCGTCCATGCACAGTATCTTGTCGCCTGCGACATCATGGTCCTCTGCAGATTACGCAGCCGTTACAGGACGCTACTCCAACAATAGCAAGACGAGCGAGATTTTCAGCTCGACAGTGTACAGAGAAACTTTATCTAATGCTACAAACGAATCATCACAACAACAGCAGCAGCCAGTTTGGCTGGATTATCCACCTTCAATGGATCAGCAGCAGCAGCATCAGCAGTACTACTACCAGCAACAGCAATTACAGCATAAACAACAGCCACAATCGCCAACATCTTCTAGCGTTAGTCGCCAACCGACAATCAAATTAAGAAAAGCAGCCAGTAACAGTAATGCAGCCTTTTGGAAAGGCTGGAGACGCCTCGGCTCCAAATAGATATTTTTTATATCACTTTTACAATTTGCCTCTTTTCCTATCCACATTCACTTTTCTATTCTTTCCTCATAATCATCACCATCATCATCTAACTGTATTATATGTACCACTTCCCTCGTCACTTATTCTCTCTCTCTCTCTCTCTCTCTTTGCCCTTAATTTCGTGTATACAACTTCAACATTGCAGTCTTTGGTTTGAGTAAAACATTAAAACAACTTAATAATAGTAAGTAATCATGGTGATCAGAGAGGTATTATCTCACATGTAATATGCATGTAGGATGATGATGATGGAGAGGGGGATTTGTTTTTAACCCCAGGCTGCCATGGTGCTGTAATTTACTATAAGTTGCTCCTCGGTCTTGAAAGACTGAGTAACAGACAATGCGTTAATTATTGGAAATCCATATGGATGACAACACATCCCCCCAAAATAATGAAATTATAGCAGTTCTTACTTTGTACAAACTCCCAACAATTTCATCAGGAGCTGGTGCAAAAGCACTGTTAATATACAAAAACTGAATCGCACGTTAATTATCTCTTTTCTTGGTTAAAGTAGGGTGTCATTTGAATATATGTACCAAAGGATCGGAGCCCTGATAGCGCAGTTGTTTTCGAAGAAATTGTATCACCATTTGAAACTTGTTGGATGCCGTGATCTTGTATAGCTTTTGTTTTAATATAGGCGCGTTGCCGATAGCATTGAATAATACAAGCACTATTCATACGTATTTACCGTTAAATGAGCAATTTGTGTTCATTTCTCATACACACACACACATATACACTTTATAAAACCTCCCTCCTCGCTAACCAACACGACAGCTTAAACATAAAGTAGAAAACCTTTTGTGGCATCTTTTAGTTTTCGAGATTCTAAAACTTGTTCAAATGACTTTTGTAATGATTCTGATTCAGCAGTGGTGGTGTTAGCTGGATCGGTAGCACTAGAAGTAGCAATGTCGCTCTGTGATGTCTCTCCACTGTCCATTCTGTAAAATGCCCTAGCCGCAGGAACGACTACCGACGGGAACAAAAAGAGATAGTGAAAAAGAAAGTCCGCAGGTTCTACATTAAGTGACGTATTCCCGATGAGTTACGCGTTTTTAAAGGTGTGAATATGTCGGAGACAAGAGTAGAGCAGAGTACAGAGACAGATACAACGGCTGCCAACTGTACGCGCGTTACCTTTTTTTTTTCTTCTTTTTCAACGGTTTATAATCTCTGATACACCATGGTCAATGAACAAAAAACCAATGCCAGCCAAAAAGACCTGGACACCAAAAAAGACAATCAGCAAAAGAAAGCCGATGACAATGTGAAGGACAAGGATAACAAGAAGGAGCAAGAAGAGGAAGAGCTCGTAAGTGCCTGATTAAAATCTTGCGTCTTTCGAGAAGGGTCAGATGCAAAGAACTCTTTCTAAATGCTTATTTTATTTTTTCTACTGATATAGTCTGAAGAGGATCAACAGTTGAAAAATGAGCTTGAATTGTTGGTCGAAAGATTAAAGGTACTGGATTTGTTTTTTATTTCTGGCGTAATATATACATAACGGACGAAGCATTGACAGTATCTTTTATAATACAGGAAAGCGATCGTCAATTGCATCGACCTGCATTGGAACAACTTCGTACCTTGATTCGCACTTCGACTAGCTCAATGACATCTGTGCCTAAGCCCTTAAAGTTTTTGAGTCCTCACTACTCTACGCTTAAAGAATTGCACGCATCGTGGCCAGAATCAGCAGACAAGGTACGTTACAATATACTCTATCTACTACCTACACACGATTGAGAAGAGAAAATGGGCGGGACATGGTGGAGCATATATGAAGGAATTGGTAATGCTAAACGAGGCGTATCATTAAATGGTCATAGCAACTGTTTGCCGATATTTTATCTGTACTGTCAATGACGTATGCGGAAGAAGGCCAACGCGAAAGTTTGCGATACAGATTCATCGGATCAACAGAGGAAGACATTGGCTCATGGGGTCACGAATATGTTCGACATCTTTCTGGCGAAATTATGCAAGAGTACGAGACACGAGCAGAAAAGGATGAGCCTGTTGATAACCTGCTCAAGCTGGCATTGGAAGTCGTGCCATTTTTCTTGAAGCACAATGCTGAGGCTGATGCTGTCGATCTTTTGCTTGAACTCGAATCTATTGAAGAATTGCCGCAATTTGTTGACAAGGATACATACGAACGTGTCTGCTTGTATATGGTTGGGTATGTGGAAACGAAATACGTTTTTCTTTGACATATGTACGTGTGTACTAAATTTATTTTAAATGTTACATATATGCTGTTAATTTTGTTTTAGATGCGTCAACCTTCTCGTTCCTCCAGATGACATTCGCTTCATGAAGGCCGCACGTACCATTTACCAGCAACAGGAGAAATACGCACAGGCCTTGAATTTATCGATTCGTATGCGCGATATGGATTTGATCCGTGAGGACTTTGAATCTGCCAGCGATCCGTAAGTTTTTTTTCCTTTTGTCATATAAATGACATATATGTCACGCATAATTTCCTCAATTAAACGGAAATATGAAACCGATAGTTTGTTGAAGAAGCAAATGGCATTCCAACTCGCACGTCAGCAAATTCAACTTGAGACCGAGGATAGCGAATTGAATGAGTGTCTCAACAATTCGCAGCTCTCCAAGTACTTTATTGCTCTTGCTACTGAATTAGACGTGCTTGAGCCCAAGACTCCTGAAGATATTTACAAGACACATTTGGAGAACCACAGTACGTCCTCTGCCTTTCAATAAGATCGTTTCCCCCAAGAAGTGTCGACGGTATCTCTTAACGTATTTTTCCTCTTTTTAACTCAATCCTAGGAATGACATTCAGCGCTAATGTCGATTCGGCTCGTAACAATCTTTCGGCAAGCTTTGTCAATGGTTTCGTGAACGCTGGTTTCGGAAAGGATAAGCTTGTCGCTCCTGATGCAGAGTCGACCAACAACTGGATCTACAAGACCAAGGAGCATGGTAATTATTATTCATCATTAGATGGGTATAGGGAAAAGAGCGGGAAATTCGGCTGGTTAATGTGATTCTGATGCTTTGTTTTAAATAGGTATGATCAGTGCTACTGCATCTATTGGTATGATCCTGTTGTGGAACCTTGAGCAAGGCTTGACTATCGTTGACAAGTACTTGTATTCGGATGATGACAACATCAAGGTAACTTTTTTTCCTTTGGAATCAGTGGAGTGAATATCGAATCAGGACAACCGATTGGATTGCTCAAATCGCCAATTCATTTCCTTAGGCTGGTGCTCTATTGGCCATGGGTATCCTCAACTCTGGTGTTCGTGAAGAGACGGATCCTGCCATGGCTTTGTTGACAGAATCTATCGAAAGCGGTAGCGTCACCATTAAGCAATCTGCCATCTTTGGGTAAGCCGTCTTTGTTTACCTGCCTTTTTTCCCGCTATGCTTAGATAAAACTTAACCATGCATATGCAATTGAAATTAATACATCTTTTAATGTAGTCTTGGTCTCGCCTACGCTGGATCTGCACGTGAAGAAATCTCGGATTTGCTACTACCAATTGTCAGCGATACCGCCTTATCCATGGAGTTGTCGTCCCTGGCAGCTCTTGCTTTGGGTATGGTGTTCGTCGGCACCTGTGACGGTGACATTACCAGCACTATTCTCCAGACAATGATGGAACGTGAAGATTCATACCTCAAGGAGACTTGGTCTAGATTTATGGCATTAGGCTTGGGTCTCTTGTACCTCGGTAAGTTTCTATGACAAAGCGAACGGGTTGTAAAAGAGTGAGATAGGGGTTTTCTTTTTTCTCTTTGTCAGAGACAGGCTTACAAGACATAAGATCAAAGCTGACGCGATTTTCATTTTTTGATTAAATAGGCCGCCAGGACGCATCGGATGCAACCATCGAAACATTGAAAGCTATCGAACATCCGTTGGGCAAACAAGCAGAAGTTTTGGTTGAAGTGTTGTCGTATGCTGGTACTGGCAACGTATTGAAGGTTCAAAAGATGCTTCACATCTGCAATGACCATATCGACAAAGAAAAGGAGGACGATCAGCACCAAGCATTTGCTACAATCGGTATTGCACTGATTGCCTTGGGCGATGATATTGGTTCTGAAATGTCGCTTCGTACGTTCAATCACTTGGTAAGAAAACAGGGATATATGGCCGCTTGGTAATACTCGTTAATGATTTGATTACTAAATAAGGTACAACTATAATCTACTAGATGCACTATGGTGAACCTGTAATCCGCAAGACAGTGCCTTTGGCACTAGGCTTACTGTGCGCATCCAATCCAGTCGTAAATGTTCTCGATACGCTCAGCAAATACTCGCACGACAATGACAACGACGTGGCCATCAGCGCCATTTTCGCCATGGGTCTCGTGGGTGCAGGAACCAACAATGCCCGTCTGGCACAAATGTTGCGACAGTTGGCAAGCTTCTATCACAAGGACGCAACCAGCTTATTCATGGTGCGCATTGCTCAAGGTCTGCTACACATGGCCAAGGGCACGATGGCCTTAAATCCTTTCCATACCGACCGATCGATCATGTCACCTGTGGCTGTTGCAGGTTTGATGTGCAGCATCATTACCATGACCGACTACAAATACTGTAAGTGAAGGTGGAACTTACTATTACTATTATCATTACCAAGTTATCACCATATTTCTTGGGACTTGGATCATAACTAATAATCACACAAACAGTCATCTTTGGTAGATTCCACTACTTGCTCTATTCCCTCGTCACTGCAATGTATCCACGATTCTTGATCACATTCGACGAAAATCTGGAAAGCTTACCAGTAACAGTCCGTGTTGGTCAGGTGCGTACATTAAGTCTTGAATCATGAGACATTATCCCCCCTTCCCCGATCCATGCAGTTGCTATCATCCCCTCTTCCTCCGCCCAAATACTCGAAAGAAGTGACTAACTTATACACATGATGGAATGGTTATAATTTTTGTAGGCCGTTGATGTTGTCGGTCAAGCTGGTCGGCCAAAGACCATTACTGGTTTCCAGACACATTCCACGCCTGTTCTCCTTGCGCACTCTGAGCGCGCAGAGCTTGCTACAGAAGAATGTAAGTCTCCCTTTTCAACTTGCTGTTATGACAAAGTTTGGTGGCGGATGACAATACTGAAAGATTTCTCTGTTGCATAGACATATCAATGGCACCTGTTCTTGAGGGAATAGTACTGTTAAAAAAGAACCCACTTGCGATGATGGAGGAGTAATGAAAATCGCCAAAGCAGTAGTAATAGTACGATGATTTCTTGAAGGACAACAAAAAAATGGTACGGTTCTCTTAGACCTCTTCATTATCAAACAAAATGTTTTCTTTTTCTTCTCTATCTTCACCACACACACACCCCAATCCCTGACACATTTCATAAATCTTAAAAAAAACAGTATGGCAAAAAAGCAAAAAAAAAAATCCATGATTTCGAAACTTTCTTCTTCACCCCCGTCCACAGCCCCTTTTCCTCCTTTTTTTTCTAATCCATCCATGCAGATCCCATTTTATTATCTCTCTTGTCTGTCTTGATCGTATGCATTAGCACTAATGGCGACGATGCTAGAGGTCGGAACAACAAGGAGGCACAACGATAATGGGTGTGATGCTGGCGACCCAAAAAAGAGGATACAGGCACAGCACTCGGACAGTGCTTTTACTTTGAGATTATCTTTCATTTTAGTTCAAGATGATGTGAAGGAGGAGAGGGAGAGAGAAACACAATACAATCATTGAACTAAATATCGCTATTGCTATATATCGCTAAAATGGTGTGTGTCTCGTTTAAGAGTGCTTGTGTTTGGTATGGCATGCCGTTCTTACGAGCGTTCGCCACGGAGACGACGAGCCAATTGGATATCCTACATGCACAAATTCACGCACAAAGTTCCTCGTGTTTAGTATGCTTTCAAGAGCACTTCTTTATAAGAATCGCAAACACCCCTTTTTACACTCTTTCATATGCTTTACCTTTGGCTGGATGGTGACACGCTTGGCATGGATAGCAGCCAAGTTAGTATCTGCGTGCAAGACAATGGAATGTTAGTACCTGTGTTCCTAGCTTACAAGAAAATGCTTGTGTAAAACAAGAAAGTCAAATTCTTACCCTCAAACAAGGAAACAAGGTAGGCTTCAGCAGCTTCCTGAAGAGCACCAATGGCAGACGACTGGAATCGCAGATCAGTCTTGAAATCTTGAGCAATTTCACGGACGAGACGCTAGTATAGTAAACCAACGTTAATATGTATATAAAAAAAAGGGTCGCTCTCGGTTTCACTTTGTTTCTCTAATTTGATTTTTTTATCCGCAGCCAATTTAAAAGAGAAAAAGGCTCTCTCACCTGGAAGGGAAGCTTGCGAATCAAAAGCTCAGTGGATTTCTACGTTTAAAAGAAATCAACATTAGTTTTATGCATTGATTACTCACGGAAAGGTTCCAAATCTTGTCAATCTTTATAAAATTTTGTATTTACCTGGTAGCGACGAATCTCACGAAGAGCGACGGTACCGGGCTTATAACGATGGGGCTTCTTCACACCACCTATACGAATCCGCAGCAAAAGTCGAGATTAATAAAAACAAACTATGGATTCTGGCTTATAAAAGTAGACAATGTTTCAGTTGCTGTTGCGAGACTATACATTACCAGTAGTAGGTGCAGACTTGCGAGCAGCCTTGGTAGCGAGTTGCTTTCGGGGAGCTTTACCTCCGGTAGACTTGCGAGCGGTTTGCTTGGTTCTGGCCATTTTACTTTTTGTTCGAAAAGGGAAAGAAAAGCAAGGTCGACCTGCAATGCCGCTGACCGTTCTTTATATATTCAGAGTCATATTCAAACCCCGCGGATGCTTTCTATACTGGGAGAAGCAAAGCGATTTCCATGTTTGTTTGTAAGACATAGAGCGTCTGCTGCCTACGTTGAGAGAAACGGCAATTAAGAACACTCCTCACTCTTGGAGCTCAGACTGAGGGTGCCATTACTATCGGCATGCTGTCATACATGAATGTTATCCATCCTCCTGGACTGACCTGAATTTTTTTCTATCTTTTTTTTTTCTGGGTTAGGGCGACAGAAAGTTCTTCAATGTAGTCTCAGGGGAATATCTGCGATAAGCAAAGAGCCCGGAAAGATTAGCATTTTCTAGCATAAGAAGGTGCCGCCCACACCAGCGCCAATTCTGTTTTTTATTATTCGGTTACATACCGCAGGTTCTGGTGTGACATAAATTAGCCATCAACTGCGAAACGCATTTACACAACCTGCAAGACTGGGTGACCAACCCGATTGTAAAGAAAGTTATTCAGGTCATCCAAAGATTCTAAGCCATGTAACAACGCCACAAGTGCTCGCCCTGTAAAGACATGAACGATGATTCCGTGAAGGTGATGAAATCAAATAGTAAAAAACGTTTGCTTGAATCCCTTGCCATTGCAAAACTCCCTTACATCATCCTCTCTGATCGCTCTGATACATCATGTAGTATTTGGGTCTGAAAGGGAAAGAACTAGCAGGGCAACAGCCCAAGAGAGCATCAAATCACATCACATTTGGTTCGAAATTCAAAGCTACTATTTCATATGCAAACGTATCGTTTTGTCTGATTGCAAGAATATGTAGACGAGGCATGAGCTTTGTATGTATACTGTACGTGTATCAGTGGTAATAATGTCGAGAGACAGTAGCATGAGAGATTAGTGGCAAGACCCAAGAAGTCGGATGATGTAACTTCCCTAGTGAGCTTATGTACTGGGCCTTTTATACTGCAAAGAAATCAAGGCAAGTTTGGGTTGGCGATCTGGTTCGTGTATATGTGAATATGAGGATGATCTGTTTGCTTTGCGATACGGTTTTTTATTTTGCCACCAGCAATTTGCAATCATTGTTGGTATAGTCGTGAAGGTAAACCAGCTGTATTGTTTTTGAGAGCACACATGCGAATGCACAGCCTACGGTTTTCTCGACGACTCAAGCACAAAAAGGCTCATTTGCAACTACATAACTGCTCCAGAGAAAGCACCAACAAGTACCAAGCGCAATGGCAGTAGGAAGATGTAAAAATAAAGATCGCGTTTATTACAATCGTCACTCGATCTGCCCAATAGTTACAATTACATTATTTAAGAAAGTACAATAAGAAACCAAGTTTATTTGATGTTGCCTGACACGTCGACCGACTTTTATGAATCCTTCGTTCCTCAAGGGAGGTTGCCCTCCCTTGTTTTCCGCAAGCCTCAGTTCCCGGCAGAACCTACACCTCTCCCTTTCTTGTCCACAAGCCTCAGTTCCCGACAGAACCTACTCCTCCACAGTTCCTACAAATAAAAGAAATATGATAGCACAAAGGTCTGTCAGCGGCGAACATATACGTACCCACAAGGGAGGTTGCCCTCCCTTGTTTTCCGCAAGCCTCAGTTCCCGGCAGAACCTACACCTTTCCCTTTCTTGTCCACAAGCCTCAGTTCCCGACAGAACCTACTCCTCCACAGTTCCTACAAATAAAAGAAATATGATAGCACAAAGGTCTGTCAGCGGCGAACATATACGTACCCACAAGGGAGGTTGCCCTCCCTTGTTTTCCGCAAGCCTCAGTTCCCGGCAGAACCTACACCTTTCCCTTTCTTGTCCACAAGCCTCAGTTCCCGACAGAACCTACTCCTCCACAGTTCCTACAAATAAAAGAAATATGATAGCACAAAGGTCTGTCAGCGGCGAACATATACGTACCCACAAGGGAGGTTGCCCTCCCTTGTTTTCCGCAAGCCTCAGTTCCCGGCAGAACCTACACCTTTCCCTTTCTTGTCCACAAGCCTCAGTTCCCGACAGAACCTACTCCTCCACAGTTCCTACAGATAAAAGAAATAGCACAAAGGTCTGTCAGCGGCGAACATATACGTACCCACAAGGCAGGTTGCCCTCCCTTGTTTTCCGCAAGCCTCAGTTCCCGGCAGAACCTACACCTTTCCCTTTCTTGTCCACAAGCCTCAGTTCCCGACAGAACCTACTCCTCCACAGTTCCTACAAATAAAAGAAATATGATAGCACAAAGGTCTGTCAGCGGCGAACATATACGTACCCACAAGGGAGGTTGCCCTCCCTTGTTTTCCGCAAGCCTCAGTTCCCGGCAGAACCTACACCTCTCCCTTTCTTGTCCACAAGCCTCAGTTCCCGACAGAACCTACTCCTCCACAGTTCCTACAAATAAAAGAAATAGCACAAAGGTCTGTCAGCGGCGAACATATACGTACCTCTTTGCACACACTCTCGCTTTCAGTTTTTGAGGAAGATAAAAAACCAAGATGAAACAAAGAACTTTGCAAATGTACAAAAGATGAGCAAGAGCCAGTCGTGCACGACTAGCTCCCTTCAACTATGCACACCCACAGGGACACTCGAGCGGGATGAAAAATAAATGAAAGGTAAAAAGTGATAATGAAAGAAACACTGCAAATGTACAAAAGATGAGCAAGAGCCAGTCGTGCACGACTAGCTCCCTTCAACTATGCACACCCACAGGGACACTCGAGCGGGATGAAAAATAAAAGAAAGGTAAAAAGTGATAATGAAAGAAACACTGCAAATGTACAAAGATGAATATGAAGACTAAAGAAAAGAATAAAGGGCAAAACGCGCAGTCGATTCTTTTTTTTCATGAGCCCGATAAACAAAATGACGGAGCTTAGAAATTTTGTTGTCACTACTGCCCTAAAGAGCCAGTGAACTGCAGCAATGTGAAGAAGTGCCTTGATGATAATTATCGTTGTAGTCTGACGACTGTCATGCTAGTGTCTTTTTCTTATGGTGCGTATCACTATGCGGCTCCGCTTGCCGTGCTCCGCTCTGATCCAACAATTGTCGGCGGCGGGTCTGTGCGCTTTAATGGAACAAAGAACCGGCGATATAAAAAGAGTATTTTTTTCATTTTACCGTTGGACAAACTGTGTGTTAAGCTGAAGCACCACAGCAGCATTATGCTTGTATGGATCGTACAGTTTACGTGCATAGAGCGCTCGTTATTCCTAATGATACCTCAACGGATGCAGCCTGCGGTCGTCAATTTATTGAGTAAAAGATCCTTTAATCAATGTCCGGTAGAATTGGATATCCTGGAAATTAAAAACTAATAAGGAACTGGCGAGTGTGAAGATGCTGAGAAGCATTTGTACAACTGCAGCCAATTTATGAGGTGAACGGATTGCTGATGTTACTGCTGGCCCAGCTACAAGTGCAATTATTCTTGTATATGCCCTCGTCAAAAACGACGATCGCGTCAAGTCAGTACCCGAGCGCACGAGGTTGAACAGAGTCGAACAGAAGACGCCAGCAGAGGACGACCTCAAAGCTGTGGGCGTGTGATACGCAACGCCATTCACAGTAACCATAGACTTTAAAGCACAGTATTTTGGTATCGCTCACGACAGGTATAGCTGTGGGTCGCTCGTTGTCACGTTTAGGCAGTATGGAGAGCCAGGATTATTTGCTTGGTGGTTCTCAACCAGGCATATCTGAGTGATCGCTACAATGACCGCCACTACCATCTTCATCAGCAGCTACAGGTATGGCCGGCGCTGCTGGAGCTGACCGACTGGCTGTTGCTACATACAACAACATTAAACACCGGCAACCCAAGGTGGAAGAACAGCCTGTGGATTCCGCAACATTTGAACATTAACAGTACTATGGCAACGACTATTGGACCTTCTTCTCCGACGCACGCCATTGCGGATAACCATGACAACAATAGAGTTCAGGCAGGACAACAGGAGCAACAGGAGCAATATGATCCATATCGACCCAATCCACATGCTAGCTGGTTGTCTCAAGCATCCGCCATCGATCCTTTCGGTACAGCAGCTGCATACAACTACGCTACACAACCACATCGAGCTTCTGCAGCAGTTCCATCAGTCGAGCGACCTCCTACTACTGTCATTCGCGAATCCGCCTATAACAATCTCCATCACGTAATTCACCTGAGATGGATGCTTTTGGAGACGGCGGCGGCGGCAACGGTGGCAAGCGAGGAAGCTGGCTCTTGAAGGAAACTGCGGTATGATGGCAGCAAGGGTCGGCAACGGGCGCACGTGCATCTGGCATCACAGCAACGACCGATGCAAGCAGTGTCAATAACGATAGTTCTACCATTAATACCACTGACGAATTTAAGCAGCAGAGACCTCAACACATTCAAACAGATTCTGACGTTAACAGCAATAATAACGAAGGAAGAATGTTATGGGACGACGCATTAGCAAGCGCTGGCGGTAGTACAGTAGCACGCTCAGCTTCAACAGCATCGACCAACCCATTCCGTAGCAGCATGTCTAATCCTCGTGGTAGCGCCATTTCAGCCTTACGTATACCACCTATTCCAAGAAGGTGCTCGGTCTTTAGAAGACCATGCCGCCATGTCCAGAATAATAATACTTCGCCAATTATGAAGCAACAGCATCATCACAATACTATGTCCATCTAAAAAACACAAACCGAATTCAGTTTTACATGATAGCAAGGTTTTTTTATGCAATGATTTTTCTTTTTGTAGCAAGAATCTATGATGTAGAATGTAGGCCCTTCTTTCTGATTTTGACTTACGTATCTCACCTTTATGAATATATGAAAGCACTTCACATTGACTCATTTTGATCTCATCACAGCTCGAAACGCGTTTAAACAAAAAAAAAAAAAAAAAACAAGCTTACGCAGTGCAGAACTACAATGAAGCGATTGAACTATACTCGCAAGCTCTTGCCTCACTGCAAGTATGACCGGTCACTTTTTTTTCCATCTCGGGAAGTAGCTCAACATCAGTTGCGCGCTTATAAAAATACGCTTAACGACTGTTCACAGGCGAACCAAAGCAACGATATGACCGTCCTGATGCATGCTGTATTGATGCAAACGTCCTACTTGCTGTATTAGCAACATCTCAATCTCATAGCAGAACTCGATTGTCGCAAACGATAAATTATACAACGCCTTCCGTAAGCGATAATTTCCAGGGTCTTGTCGCTGCTTTCAATATATGATTGCGATTGATTACTGCTGTAGACATGCAAATTCTGGCATACGCTTCTTAGATATCGGTGACCAGATATGTGGTCGACTACGTACTACTGCGCGAAATAATTTCTTACAAGTAGTCCTGGAACCGCCTACGTATACAACGCTAAGAATAGCCCTCTGCGACTGCTCAACAATCAAAGCAATGTTCTTAACATCAAATAACTTGCTGAAAAACTTGCTACATATTCATAATTACAAAAGGTGGTACTATTGTACGCAAGAATACGTTAATTGTTGTATTACGGCAGGCTGGAGCAGGAGCCTCCTTTTTCCTCTCGACCAGATACCTTGTGAATTTATACGTCCTGTGGCAAATCAGTTAGACAGCACAGTCCGTAAAACGACAATCCAAGGCTTCATCGACAACTTTATATTGTAGTAGCGACCACTACATATGACGTTAATTTTGTGGACATAAATGCTATAGTGATGGGCATTTAAGACAAGGAGCATGGACAACAATGTTGTCCACGTGAGTTCAAGAACATTCATATATCTTTTCAATAAAGCGGACGAGAAAGAGAGAAATGATTTCTATATAATAGCACTTCATCTTAACACTGCTAGCCAATACACGGCTGAGTGGTCCGACGTATAACTATTGGAAACCTCATTTTTTCTTCAAGAGAAACAGTTAGAAAGAGTCAGCGTTTCTCTAGAAATCATTGATCATAGAACAGCTGTTATATTCTTGGTGAAAAAAAAAGTTTCTATACTACACTACCTTTTGCACATTTGAGATACTTGTAAATGGAACGATTAAACCAGGCGACTCTTTTTGGTACGAGTTCGCACATTAGTTTCGACTCCAGACACAGTTACAAAAACTTTGTCTTGTCTCCTCAGCAGCAGCACATAAAATATGGGCAATACAGTCATTTTGGATAATGGCGCGTCCATGATCAAAGTAAACACTGTCGACTATGAAGAACCGCGGTAATTAAGAAGCCTGAGCAAATGTTTATATGTTTTCTATATTATGATCTTACTTTGTTTACTTAAATGCTTATTGTTGTAAACTGAAAAAAAGTGTAATACCAAACGCGATCATTCGTGGACGAACCGATCGACGGAACTATGTTGGTGATCAAGTTGAACAATGCACTGATTTTTCCTCATTATATTATCGACTTCCTTTTGAACGGGTTAGAACGCAAAAAAAGGATTCTTAGCATATGTAAAAAGCGGAAAGGCTCATAGAAAATAATGCGTGTCTGTCTTCAGGGTTTTCTCACCAATTGGGACGTGGAACGAACAATATGGAACCGTGTATTTGACAATGTTCTTCAGGTACTGCTGCTGCTGCTACTATTTGAATACTTGTATTTGGAAAGGGAGAGAAGAAGCTAATGATATGCTGGTTCGTTCGGGTAACAATTAGACTGAACCAAAGGAAAGCCGGCTACTAATCACAGAGCCATGTTTTAATCTGGCCAATATTCAAGAAGCCTACGATCAAATGATTTTCGAAGAATACGAGTTCGCATCGTGTTACAGAACGATTGCACCTGAACTATGCACATTCAATGATGTCGCGTTATTATTTGGCGACCGCCCTGGATCTATTCCGGATTGTGCCCTGATTGTTGATTCCGGTTACTCATTTACCCACATTGTACCTTTTTTCAAAGGCAGGCCCGTGTCCAAAGCTATTCGTCGAATTAATGTCGGTGGCAAGCTATTGACGAATCAATTAAAAGAAATCGTTTCGTTCAGGTGAGGAAATTAAAATCAGGGCAAAAGAAGCTGTGTGTGATAAAGGTGAACTCATATTCAGTATTTTCTGTGGATATGTAAAGATACTATGATATGATGGAGGAGACACATATCATCAACCAAGTCAAAGAAGAATGTTGTTATGTCTCGCAAGATGTTTATGGCGACTTGGATATCTGCAAAAAGCCGTACCAAAAAAACTCGATTGTGCAAGAATACGTGCTACCCGATTATATTAACACTTATCGAGGTCATGTACGACCGAAACAAACGCGCCAAGCAGCCATGTCACGACAACAGCAAGACGCCGAGCAAATCCTGACGATGAATAATGAGCGGTTCATGATTCCGGAGATCTTGATGCATCCTTCCGATATTGGGATCCAGCAGGCCGGATTAGCCGAGGCCATTACACAAAGCGTAAACGCTTGCGAACCAGGTTGGTACTGGTGACGAATGCACGAAATAGGATATACTAAATTAACATAATTCGGGTGGCCGTGTCACGTAGAGATGCACGGATTACTTTATTCAAACATTGTGTTAGTGGGTGGCAACACGCTTTTTGAAGGATACTGCGAACGGATGTGAGTAGGAAAAAACTAGCCACACAGAGAGAAGAGGAAGAAAGAGAAAAGAACCGATCCACACGGTCCTGTTTCATCCTATTATCGTTATTACTGCTTTTAATACTAAGCTATGGATATTCTAGAACGAATGATCTGCAAATGATGGTACCCAGCGAATACGATGTACGCGTGGCTCAACCACCAAGGTAAGATACCATACACGCATGCACCCACGTACGAAAGGGGAATTATGTCCCTCTTACCATGACAAATGCTAACTTTGATATGTTGCATGTGGCAATGACGCTATTCCCGTTGTGTATAATAGCCCTACGGACTATGCATGGGCGGGTGGACAGCGGTTCGTTGCGCTGAGTAGCAAGTCCGATTTGCAAAAGAAATTTGTCCAGCGAAGAGAATATCTCGAATATGGAAGTGAAATTTGCCGGCGCAAGTTCGGAACCCTTTAGAAAAGCAAGAAGCAGTTCCCGCCCTAGTAAGCGCCCCTGGCTTTTATGTTTTAAAAAAAGAAAAAAGACTCGTCCACACACGCACAAGGATAAAGAGGGAGAGAGGAACGCTTACAACCGATGATGGGATTCATTATAATGCCCTGCAAATGGGCGAGACTCTTGTGCTTCACGAATCCGTACAACGAAAAACATGTTTGGGTAAGCAAGCACGTGTACTACATCAGTCTGTAACATATACCGGGTAATATAACCCAGCTATTGCCTTTGTACATACAAACACAAACATTCATTTCCAGCCGAAAGGGCCCAATATCTCATTCTACGTAAAACAAATGCTAATACAAAAAAGCACAAAGGGCTGGAATGGCTTCTTTGTTACAATACAAGAATAGATGCTATTTTTATTGTCATGGCGGAAGAACAAAAGTCAAATGAAGCAAAAATGACAAACTGTGCTCAGAGGGGGATCAATAAAAAAAAAGGTCGTTGGGTCTACTATATATAGTATTTGGACGTTGCAAAAATGATGAGTACGATCGAAATGAAGGCTCGCTCAGAATTCCATGTGCCAAACGGACATTGAAAAAACCCTGTTAAAGGTGATATCTAATTTGCATGGTTGCTACGAGTGGAATCCACTGTAAGCAATATGGGTAACCATGGTTACTGTTGCCAAGATAATCCAAAATCTGGAACCTTCATTAGTAGGATCTGGGCTTGGTTTCCATGGCAGAAATGAGCGGGCTAGTTGTCAAGGGCAACGACAAGTGCTGCGAGTGTTAGAGATGATCCGACATCACGCATTTGAAGCCGTTGATAGGGGCTGCCGAAAATAGCACTACTCAAGTGTGTACCATGGAATATAATAAAAACGCTGGCATCAAACGTTTCTTGCTAAATTGCATTTATGATTTATCGCCCATAAAAAAGAAACTCCCTTTGGTGCATCCATTACACATTCTACCACAGTGCACACGTTTTTATAGTTTCCATTCGACGTCCGCCTCTTTTTTCTTCCTTCTTCTTCCTACTAGCCTCTCGTTTCGTTTTCCTTCTTCTTTCTTTCTTCTCTTTCAACCAGCCTTTCCTTTTTCCTTGATACATCCCCTTTCTTCCTTTCGTAAACACCTTCGACTTTATACACACACACTACCTTTCTCAAGTGATGCGTCATACTCTGCTCTGGATTGCGGCGCTGACAGCGTCCGCTGTTGCTGATCCTCTTACTACGATCCCACTTTTCCGTCGAAGCGACGATAGCGGTATCATTCGTGCCGCTGCAGATGAACTCGATAGTGGTGTGGTATGTCCACGGCTTTCTGTGCTCATATAATCCGCCAACTTTAGCAGGAAGATTCATCGCCTAACATTAAGCTTTGTGCAAAATATATAGCTCGGTGGCAAGGTGCTCATCGGTACACCACCTCAAGAGTTCACCATGGCCTTCGATACCAGTAAGTTTTGTTGTTGTTGTTGTTGTGTAACATGACATATCTTTCAAATATGTGTTGATTGCTTATGTGTTGTTCTCTTACAGACACCGGTTTCTCGTGGGTGCGCGGCTCTCGTGTATGTTTGAACTTTATTTGTCGTTTAGCCGATTGTTTTTTTCATAGGGTTGCTCACTGTTGATCATTCATTTTAGTGTAAGAGCGAAAACTGTCTCGATCGCTGCACGTACTACGCCCGTCGATCAGAAACCGTCACTTCAACTGGCCAGAAGTTGAAGGTCAAGTACGGTGAAGCGTGCGTTGAGACGACCATTTATCTTGATACTGTTGAGTTTGGCGGTCTTTCAGTTGAAAACATGCCTTTTGGTGGCGCTTATAGAATGACTGGCTTCGATGCAGGCTTTGGTAAATTAAACAAAAACCAGTTAGTGCTGATGAAAAAGAGCACGTAAAAATATATGTGTTATATAGAAATCCGAGACATCTTGACTAACTCCAGCGAAAAATAAATAAAATTTGGCTCCTAATAGATGGTTACCTTGGTCTTGGCCGCAGCGTCGATTTCAACAAAACGCATATTTACTCGAGCGCAGCACAAGGCCTTGCACGTCGTGATTTGCCCGCCTCTTCATTCGTCGGCAACGCTTATCAGCAAGGCACTGGTATGGAGAGTGCTCAGTTCGGCATGTTCACCACTGGTTCAAGCGACAACGGATTCGGCAGCTCCGGCGCTGTAACTGAAGACGATGCCACGTCCGACGGCGATGCCACGAATCCTTCTACACCTGTCGAAAATCCCGCCACTAACTCGACCTTGCCCGCCAACAACTCGACCGAACCTGCTCAACCTGCCCAACCTGCCGACACAGAACAGCCTGCTGAAGACCAAACGAGCGGTGATTCTTCTACTTCAGAAGTCACATCCGGTGGTTTTGGTTTCTTTAAGCGTCACTATGATGAACCTGCCGGTTACTTGGTTCTTGGTAAGTTGTAACGCAGCAATAGACTATCGTTCTTTCCCGCAAGTATTAAGAGAGTATCCGTTTGCTAAACTCGTCTGCGACTCTTTCATTAAATCCGATTATATAGGCGGTATTGATAAAAGCGCCATCAAGGGTAAAGTTGCATACATTGACCTTGTTGACAGCAGCTCCGGCAGTGCCAACTGGGAAGTGCCCATCTCGCTTGTGCGTTTCGACATGGATCTCATCTTGCAACAAAAGAAGCATGCCAAGGCACTGATTAGCACCTCGCAAAACTTCATTTACATGCCCTACGACCAAGCCGATATCTTCCACGAAGTGTTTGGCGGCAAGTTCCAAGAAAGCACAAAGACGTACAAAGTCAAGTGCAGTAAGATCAAGGACATGCCTCGCTTGAAGCTTTATTTGGGCGACTGGGCAGTCGAAGTCCCTGCACAGTACTGGACTCGTGTCGTTGATGCTCCCACTGACTGCTGTGCTACCCGTATTGCCCGTGGCGAGTCGGACCGCGACTGGATTCTCGGTACCAGCTTTACCAACCTTTTCTATACCACCTTTGACCCTCTTGAAGAGAAGCTTGGTTTGGCACTTAAGAAGGGTCAGAAGAATGATGGCCTCAAATTGATTGACAAGTCCCAAGATTAAACATATATAATTCGATAAGCCAGATAGCAGACGATTTTATATATTACCTCTTCTTCTACTACTATTACTCCGTATAACAATGTCTTCTTATCAACCCCCATTCCTTTCTTTCCTTCTTTTTGTAAAGTATCATCATTTTCCTTCTCTTTTTATTTTCTCCATGAGCGAAGCTTAATAACTCTTGAAAAAGTTTTGCACACAACAACAACAACAACTATACGCATATCATATTAAAACCTTTTGTCCAAGTGCTGGTTCCCATTTGGCGACTTTAGAATCATTCACAGTACACAAAAAAGCTCTTTCTCTTTCTCGCTGCCTTTTTTCTTCTCCGCTTAAGTTCCTTACTTAGTTCGGCACTCTTTGACACAGACAGAACCATTCAGTCTTTTTTTCTTTTAATCTGACATGGCAGCAAAGATGGAAGCTAATCCTCGGGGCATTCCTCGATCTCCTTTTGTCGTACGTCTGACTTTACCTGTTAAAGTTGATTTAAAACTTCAAAAGTTGGGCGATCTAAATGCTTCTTTATTTTTACCATAACGACAGGAACGCGTAGAAGATTATGTCTCTGATGCCGAACCGGCCGATGTCGTGTTGCGCAAATTCCAAGAAACCATTAGGCAAGTGTCCTCAATTTGTATACTTGGATAAAGCACCAAATATGTAGGAGCGGAAGCGAGTGTAACTTACACATATATACAGCAAATACAAATTTATGGAAGTCAATATGCTGCAGCGTCGAAAAGTATTGGAAGAAAAAATACCAGAAATTGAAAAAACGATCGCCATGGTCGATTTCTTGATTGAAAAACAGGAGGTCAACGAGCCTGTCTATACTGATTACGAATTGAACGATACACTGTATGCAAAGGCCAAGGTGGAAACCTCTGGTACCGTCTATCTGTGGCTCGGTGTAAGTGGATGGATGTTCTTTGCCATCGCCATCTCGTTCGATAAGTCACAGGGCTCACCGTATGTTTTATAATATTAGGCCAATGTCATGTTAGAATATACCTTTGAAGAAGCGAAAGACTTGCTCACATCCAAATTCGATACTGCAAAAACGTCGCTTCGAAACACAATCGAAGACCTTGAATTCTTGCGGGATCAGATTACCACCATGGAAGTCAGTACGTATCGATAAGTACCCTTCTTGTCTGCAAAATGAAAGAGAAAGAATCGAGTTACTGACTGATTTTGCAAATGAAATCGTGCTGTAGATACTGCACGTATCTACAACTGGGACGTCAAGCAAAGACGCTTGGCCCGAGAACAGGCAGCAAAGTAAAAGTAGCAAAAAGAAAGAATCTAGTATCTGTAATAAAGCATTTTGTAGAAAATACGATAATTGCTGTCTCTTCATGATGTCCTATCAGATACAAGTGCTACTAAAAGATAATAATTATTCTGTCGTATATGCCCAAATGGCTTCTTCTAGTACCGTCTATATCAGTGACTATAACATATTGTCATTATATTTTAGACAAAGCCTCGTTTCTTGTTAATTAGGTGATCCAGTACTTTGGCATGGCGCTTACCTCGTGCCTCGTGAGTTTATATCGAAAAACGGCGGTACAACCCAATAGAGAAACGGCTTTTCCGTGGCGCAATCTATCTTCTTCTCTACTATCTTAGATGCCATATCCAGCGCGAGCGTTATGTAGCTCGCTAAAATCCTGTGATATACTGTCTTACAGTAATAAGAGAAAAGGAACTCACTTTCCCACTATAATATATATGATCACAAAATAACTGGGAGGAAACGATCCAGATTACGCCTTCAAAATGCTTGTTGTCGGAGTGTGATGCCCTTTCACACACGGTTTTTTGAGGCGAGGCAATAAATCCACACTTACACTCATTCATATACACACTCAACCAACTTTTTGGGAGTTTTGCCGATGCCTAATCGTCGCCCTCCACCTCCACCACCACCACAGGCGAGTGCAGCAACCTCCTCCAATCTCAACAATGCTCGTTTACAAGTCAATCGTGACCCAGCACTGCTTCAATTTACATCGTCTCAGTTCTCGTCCTCATCCACTCTCGTAGACAACAGTATGGTACTGGCGTCGTCTTCTTCTCCTTCCCCTATCAATATACCATCCACTGGAACTCGTCGACTTCACCACAATAGCCGTAATTTAAGCGCAGGTTCAGCAAGTGAATTTCATTCTTCGCCTCGGTCACTTGGGCCTCGAGACAGCAGTAGTGGTGCTGGTTCACCTAGCAATCCCTTTGAAGGATCCCCCGTTGAGGAACAGCACCACCACCAACAACAACGGCTACAACAACAATCACCAATGACACGGCAACCAACACAACAGTTACGGAGAACGGTACCCGGTCGAAAAGCAGCAAAGAGCTCGGATTATGCACTAAGCGTCGTGTTTACTCAATTCGAAAATATTGCTGATAAAAAAATGGAATTGATTTTAAATATGGGTGTGGTAAGTTACTGTAGAAAGGAACTTCATGCGTATAGGGGGGATCTTGTAGGAGGCTTTGGAAGAGTATCTTCACAAACAGAGAGAGAAGATACACCAAAAGAAGTTGAATGGACGCTAAGACATTTTTATTTCTTTTTTAGGATGCTGAAGTAGATTTTCGGAAACTCTTAGCGTCCGGCGCCGACCCGACCTTCGATAAGCTAATAAAGTCACTGTCATCTCTTGCTGCATCCCAACAAAAGCAAGTTATTGATGCAGTGATGCGATGGCGCCGGGCAAAGATCGAGCCTCTTGACCCTGCTCTTCTACGTCGTGTAAGGTAATTGGCATGAGAGGGGGAAGGAGATGAGGTTAAAGAGGGTAAAATAAAAGCTCTAGGTTCTTATAACTCAATGATACTACGTATGTATGGGTATTAGTGAATCGGCACCACTGTCGCGTACTAAAGATGTCAGCTCGATTCTCAAAGAACGACAATCGGTTAGTAAAAGGAACACATACATCTGTGTAATGAAAAGGTTACTTATTTTCGAATATATATCATTACAGCTTGCATCAGTCTATATCTTATGCCGGGCATTGATAGAAATAGTTAAATCATTCACTCCAGAAACTTTGCCGGAGGACTTGGGAGAAAACTTGGAGGAGATTGTATTCAATCAGTTAAAGAAAGCAGACCCGTAAGTTTAGGAATAGATGTTATTTTTACTAGCTCGTAGCAGTTGGCTTTCAATAATCTAACTATCATTGCGCTCTGAAACAATTGTATATAGGGAAGCGATTAGGCGATCAAAAAACAGAACAGCAAGTATGGACTTATTTGCAGAATTAATTGGTGAACTATCCAACGTACGCTTTGCATCCGTCAGTGATCGATTTATTGCGGAGCTCGAGAAGTACAACAGTCAAACGATTATGAAAGAACGGCAGACTCATATGGAAATGTTGATTCGCGGGATGAGGTTCTTAAAGATTAAAGTGAGTTTTGGTATCTTTCTAAAAAATCGAAGAGAGACGAGGATTAATCAATGGATTTCATGTTCTGTGATATGGTGCAGATATACCCACTAGATGCGTTGGAAGAGACGGCAGACTTTTTGTCAAGTTGTGCAAGTTTCTTTAAAAATGCGCATGGCGCTAAAGTCAAGCATAGCTATGCAAAACTATTCGTGCAATTACTTTTACCGATAGCTGGGGTACGTTTATAGAAGATCAAGAAAAGTAATAAGGCCAAAGGGGAATCATGTTCACTCATTCATGCTTCTAGGTAGCTGTCGCCGAAGTAAACTTCCCTGCATGGGCAAAAGCAGTTGATCTCGTATACCCTAGAGCGTTGAAGATGACGCTTAAACCCCGTCATGTGTTGGTACGTGAAACGGAACGGTGATATGCACATTAAGTACAACAATCAGATAAACAGCGCAATAACCACCTTATATGTACAGGCTGGATATCCCCTTGTGACTACATTATTATGCGTCAGTAGAAAAGAGTTCTTTGCTGCTAATTGGATGGCTAATGTTGAGAGTTGTTACCAAAAATTCAGCAAGGTAAAACAACAAAGATTTAAGCTACAGTGTGCATACAAATAGCAATAGCTTAATTAACATTGAGGGTAACAATTTAGGACAAATATACCCGACTATTAGCGCTTGGATGCGTTTCCCGCCTTGTTTGGACTTATCTTTTCCGGTGTACTGAAAGTTCCGCAATTACGTTCAAAAAGCTCGATGGAATCATCAAAACACTATTTCCGCCCTTTCGACGAGCTATATACCCATCCGAAACACCATTAGATCACTTCATCCTCATCACCTATTTTATGCTCATGCGAGATGTCGATACAGCCATGAAAAGCGTCGTCTATTACCTCCTGAACGCCGACAACGTAGCCACAACTTTACACTGGGAGTATATCAACCCTGAACGAATGATTGTTGCCTTTCGCGCTTTCCGCATGATGCTTTATGATCACGAACGAGGGAGCAACCGACCACCATTTCCAAGCGATCCCGATATGCTTGGCACTGGTATTTCCATGCAATGCAGTGCCAATATGTTTTCTGGACCTATTCGCTCAGTCAAACCGGATGTCATTGACCGAATCGAAGAAATCACGCACAAATCGTTGCTGAGTCTGGACCAAGCGTTTGGGCGTCTCATTGTTCTGGATGAAAAGATGGTTGTACAAAAAGCACCTGGAAGCATGAGCTCAAACACCAGTAGTAGTGGTCTTGGTAGTGGCAACTATTCCGTCCCAATGTTTGTCAATAGCGTCGGTATATCAGGCGCATCAGATGGTGGTCCACAAGTTCAACATCAGTATTCCACATTTGCCGTGTCCTACTCCAAGGATAAGCAGGCTTATTTGGACGTTATCAAGGCAATCTTTGACTCAATGCCACGACTCATGCCCGCCGGGATTCCGCTACCAAAACTGGTTGAAATGCTGTCACGTTACACTGTTCATGCAGATCCAGAATTGATCCAATCGGCATCACAAGCATTGTTACGCATTGCCGAACAAATTGACAGTCAAACCGTGGTAACGGGCTATGCACGTTTTGTGTATCGCATCGAAGACAAGTTCTGTGATATCCTTACGTCGCTAGCGGGTGGTCCATTGACAGGAGGCAATCATAATGGAAATGGGGGCGTGATGAAACTGTATGTGGATTTACTCGCCACTTGGGTGGATCGTATTGACTTGACACCGCTAAGGGAGCTGGACATCACATCGTCGTCGAACGGGGAGCCTCATGGCTGTAATGGGGAAGGCAATGCAGCTGGCGATCTTGCGGCGGATGTTCACTCTGATGTCTCTCGTCTGTTTAGTATGGTGGAGGAAACGGAAGCCAACGGTCTATTGTTCCTGTGCAACCAATCGTCAGCCATGCGACGGTCGGCTATACAAATCATCAAGCTTGCTGCCGACCTTGAGACGCGATTACGAGAACTGACCCAGGATAATGAATCTGAACTGGCCAAACAGCTGGTCAAGCACTTTCCTACCGAGTGCAAATACAACCGCCTTTACAACTTTTTGGAATCCGCTGGTCAAGATATGCTTAAGTTTGACAAGGACACCAACATGTTGCTTGGATCCAAATTGACCGTCGAAACAAGAATCCGCATACAGCAGCATCAGCGACGTGCGTCGCCTAGTGTATTGATCCAGATCATAGAAAGCGACCATCTATGTGACTTGGCAATATGGAGCATCTGCTATCCAGAGATCTTTAAGCAGAGTTTCCGTCACTTCCCTGGTACAGTGGCCTTATGTCGGCAAAATATCTGTACGCGACTGCTGCAGATCCAACCGTCTATTCAAGGATCACTTGAGACTGTCAAGGCGGGGACGGCGGGTACGCTGAGCATGAGCAAAAGCAGTACGAGCCAAAAGATTGCCAGTAGTGAGACGATCGAGCAATGGAAAATGTACATTGTGTTTGCATGTGCCACCGCAACCTTGTCCGAGGACCGTTCACCTGTAGCAACATGGGCTAGCAGCGGCAGGAAAGGCTCTGCTGTAGTCCAAAAAATTGCATCCGCGCACGACCTGTTTCGAATGACGCTCCAGTATCTTACTTGGGAGCACCGACCAATTCGAGAGGCTGCCCTACAGGGCCTCGGCAACGTTAATAGCGACGCATACAAAATCCTGGTAACCGACCTACAGAGTCATGTCCGGATTATTCTAGACGATGGAAAACAACGAAATAATCAAAAGCCGTATCAAAACAAGCGAAGCAAAAAGCACGATCGTTTACGCATATCACTGATGCATGTACTCGAATTGACGGCCGGGTGTCTGCACCACAGAAAGTATTTGGAGGACAAGGACGTTATGAATGTCATAATGAGCTATATCAAGGAGACAAAATCGTTCTTGGCAGACAGCGAGATACAACTCGAATGGGAGTATCACAAGCTGCGAGTGTATCTTTGTGGTCTTGTTGAAAAGCTTTATGAGAGGCTGATGGGGCTGGATGATCCCACAAGCATTATGTCGTTTGAAACAAGACTGAGCTTGTATAAGATGTTTGAAGAATGGTGCGGATACGGTATATGTGCGAACGCGACACGGAGCCGGGAAGCCGCAATGATGAGAGACGTGCTTGAGCAATGCAAGGATAGCCAAGAACGAGCGAATGCCACTCAATTGATGGAAGAAGAACGTAAGGCTTTGGAGACGGCATCTTTAAGTGCGATGGCAATGTTATGTGTAAGTCTCTTTTATTTGAAACAAAAAAAAAGAAAGGATCGGATGGTCTATTAACTATCCTTTGTTTAAAGCGTGGTCCACTTTATGCATTCCTCGGTCAAAAGAAGGCACGACAGGCTGTTATCCAGTTTGATATGTTGAACGTACTGAAATGGATTGATGCTGTGTTTGAAAGTCCAGATCCCAAATACCATCCCATTGCTAGGTAAACAAGATGATGATTTTCCTTGTTTGTAATGTGTAATCATTCTCGATTATTTCTTATCCTAAACGGGCTGTTTCGAATTCTTTCTATTTAGACGGGCTCTGGAAGCTGTATTAATTTACAATCAAGACCAACCGCTTCTGCTGGACGACATCATTGAGCAATGCTATGCAGGCAATCCGAAGCTCGAATTCACTCAAGGTTACTTTCTTGCACTGGCAGATATCGTTACCAAGGTCGAAGACTATCCGTGCCACATTCATCAGATCATAAGCCTAGCATTATTCAAGGCGGGGGACGCTAAAAAGACTATTCGCAAGTCGGCCATCAACCTTCTGCGAGTGATCGAAGACCGGGTGTTTGCCGATTCATGCGCAAAGGAGTACGAAATCGGTATTACGAGCAATTTACCGACCATTTACAAGCATACGCAAACTTTGCTCTCTGCAAGACTGGCAGTAGATCATCCGGAGCAGACGTTCTCAATGCTTTCCGAAATCACGCAGCGCTTCGACAACATCAGTTCCAATAGCCAACGTGAGGTGCTTGTGTACATGCTCCCCTGGTTGCGCAAGATCGACCTGTCTGTTGGCCCACAGGATACCGAACTAAGCGCCTCTGCATATATGGTGTTATCGAATATTTTTTACCTAACAATCAAGTTTGGGGATAACTATGTCAAGGAGATCGGTGCTTTATGGAGCCAACTGGTCGACCATGGTCGGAACACTCGAGCCATTATCATGTTTCTCTTGGACATGGGCCTCGAGATGAGGAATCCATGGTTTCTCATCCATGCAAAGCGAGTTTTCGTCTGTCTCGGTCGAACACCGGCATTCAGTCGGGTGGTGGAAGAAACTATTGCTGAGATTACACCTCGCTCGATGGTTCCCCAGCTGAAGGAAATCAGTAGCAAGTATACGCAAGCATTTCCGTTACTGTACGTCGCCGACATAATGAAGGCGCTGCCAAAATACTCGAAACGACCCGTTTTCTCAAAGGGCCAGTTGGCAATGGTGTTCCTCGTCGACTTGGCGATCGAAGCTGGGGCAGATTTAGCACCCCATTTGCCATTGTTATTGCATACAATCTTTGTACAACTAGATCATTTGACAAGTATCATTTGCGACCAGTCTCGATGTTTCCTTATCAACTTGATCCATTCCATCGTTATACGCCAATCCATGGATTCAGAGGCTTCCGCCAAGGCGACCGAACTGATCCAATGGCTTACTGCCAAGGAAGGCAAGCGGCTTTGGGCATACGAAAACATCACACCCAAGAACCGGCACTTGCAGAGCGCAGAGGAACTCGGTGATCTTTTACATAAAGTAGTCGACGTGTTCTCTCACGAAGATCCGGACCTCCGGCAAAAATGGGGCGAGACTGCGCTCAAGTGGGCAACTTGCTGCTCTGTTCGTCATATCGCCTGCCGATCTTTCGAATGTTTTCGTACACTGATGCCGGCATTCAATCAACACATGCTTGCCGATATGCTAGCACGACTATCCAACACAATCGCAGACAAGTCCGATGAAATACGAGGCTTTGCACTGGAGATCATCCTGACGCTGACAAAGGTGACGAAAAGCATGGACCGAGCGCAGATGGAGCAATTTCCGCAAATATTTTGGGCTGCGGTTGGGTGTCTCTACAGTCCATATGAAGCAGAGCACACTGAGGCGCTGGTGCTGCTCGAGGTCGTGCTGGAAAAGTATGGATTCTGCAATGATTTGGCCGGATGCTTCCCTAAGAACTGGGCGAGCGAGTTCGAAGGTCTGCAGCCGCTATTGCTAAAAGGGTTGCAGTTTGAATCGGCCGAGGAGAAGACATTTTCGATTTTGTCGTCTATCATGCTTATCGAGAACCCTCCTCTAATTGATCCCTCAGAAACAAGGCTACTTTACCTCTTACTCGGTTCTTTATGCAGGCTATTGCATGGACTTGATGTCAGCGAATCCTCTGACAAACCGGATGCCTTTGCTATCAAGCTTGCAGATGAGCTCGCGCGACTTTTCGAATGGTACTCGCTACCCGACGTTCACAGAATACTTGCGACATACCCCAAGCAAAAGAGCAAGTTCCAAGAAGACTATCTCAAACAGCTATTGGGCTCAATTCGAGATGTTTTCCTGAACAAATACGCCAACCAAGCCACGATGTTCGCGCTCTTGCTGGTCAAGAACAAACGATCCTACTATCGCGAGAAAGGACTCATGATTGTAGAAAATCTTATACCCTATGTTAAAAAGAGCGACCCGCGATCTGCATTAACAGCAACAACAACAACAGCAACAGCAATACCGGGTGGTAATAATACTGGGGCCGCTACATCCACAATACCCATCGACATTGCAACCCTTAGCTCTTTATTAAACCTCGTCCAAACCGAGTATGCAGACAAGGCACTCAGCATACTGAACGCCGGCATTCCTGTTGCCAATATCCCACAACCACCTTCCATCATCAAAGACCCTTCAACACCGACATCAGCGCATAGTGCAGGCACTGAGCGCGCACCCAGCAATACCACCAACGCAGCCAATGCATTATGGGGCTTTGGACCCGCAGCTGTCAGTCTCGCATCACAGATTACCCGACACAACGTACATGCTGTCGTATTCGAATGTTCATCCGTTACCAATCAAGAGCCGATAGAGCACAACATCCAATTTTCCATAGAAGACTTTTCGCTACTCACGGGAGAGCCGCCGCGACAAGAAGACCAAACTGATTCAATTTCAGATGAAGTCGAGGTGCCAACCACATCCACAACCGCCACGGCTGCTACTACAGCTGTCGCACGTCCCGCTTACGGAGAGGAACTGATTAACGCACTCAAGGATCTTGATGATTTCTTTAACGAAGACGTAGAAACATCATTGTCCCCATCCAGCTCCTCTTCTCGTATTAACATATTAGGCCCAGAATCCCGCAACTCTGGTATTGGATTTGATTCTGATAATGAAGAAGATTACGATATACAATAGCATTCATCATACATAATAAACATCTTCCAATATTCATTCACTTGTACATACATTACTTTGTTAATGACTAATCCATTGACCACGTTTCTTCGAATCTATATCCTTCATATAGCCGATACTTTATGTTTTTATAGGAAATTGGTATTTTGACGTGGGAAGTGTAGTATAGTAGTATTATAAGAGAGATTACAAAGATTATCCTCGGATCCTCTTCCACACGTCGTTTATCGTAATCGTCTTTCCAGCTGACCTTGTGTGGAAACGATTTTGCGATGGTTGAATCCGACAAAAGATGGCCGAGTATCAAATTTATCAATGGTCCTGTACGAAAATAAGCATGTGAGATACGAAAAGAGGGAAACGCGTGCGCGCGCTCTCCAAAAGCTTACATTGTCGACATTTGTGATTCCAATGCAATGTTTTTGAAAGGTGCTGCTGATATGATAACTCCAAACAGTGTTGCTAGTGCTGATAATAAACATTCGACAACAATCTAATGCGATTGAAAAGTGTTAGCTTTCGTTTCTTTCGGGATTCACTACCAAGCTTCACTTATTTTACCTCGATCGGCAAGACTGATTCAGCTTGCTCTACCGCTTTCAGGTACGAAAGATCTAAACATGGTCCTTTAACAAACAAATTCTTAGCACTTGTTATTTATATAGAACGTACGCTCATATGTCGAAAACGCAGAGTGGGCCAGGAACAAAGTACTGATGAGGGCAATGACCTTGCCAGCAGATTGGCTCATGATCAGCGCAGAAAGAGTGTGTAAATGGGTCAGTGTTTGCCAGTGCTCCGACTGAATTAAGTATGGAGCATACCCTCATGTAAAATGTAAACGCACTGAACATTTCCTCTCATAGTAGGTCATCATTGGAAACACTAGATCAGATTTTCTGATACGATGACGATAACTTTGACAATGATGATTATACAGAGCTTAGCCACGGTAAAGATGAGATATGTACGCGTTCGAGTCTTAAAGTGTGTTATTCGCAACCACAACAATTTTATGCTACTTTTCTTTCCAGCAACGGTATTTCCGTATGTATGTATACAGCAACTTTTAACACAACTGTACACTTTGGCTTTCATCAATTGCGTGTTCATGGACAGAAGCTGGTTGCAGCAGTAACTGATAGACGTATCATTCTGACCGCAGTTCCAATATCAGCGATAGCTGACGGTACTGAGGGTGGTTTGATTTTTATTTTCCTTGCCGTCTAAAGACCTTTTTGCTTCACCAAGAAGAAATATGAGCAGCCCTGCCGGTGTCCTTCGCTTCTTGCATATTATCCAAAATCTTAAGGTAACAACTATTCAATATCCAGAAAATAATCGCGCGTCGATTAACGCTAAATGACTGAATGCGCAACAATAAGAAAACCAAACGAACGGGTTGGGTGGATAATGGAATCAAGCAACCTGAGTCCATTGCCGATCACATGCATCGCATGGGTATCATGGCAATGCTAATAGACGATCCTTCGTTGAATCGCGACAAGTAAGAGTCTTTTCTGCATATGTTATCATTCGTCGTCGCAGTATAGTCTGTTAACAAGACTTAAACTAAATTACACAGGTGTATCAAAATGGCGATCGTACACGATCTAGCAGAAGCTGTCGTGGTTTGTACTTTTAAAAACGCTTCTCCTGTAGCGCCTTTTAATCGAGGCAACTCATGATAGTCCCCATTATTTATTAGGGCGATATTACTCCTCATGCTGGTGTATGCAAAGAAGACAAGTACAACATGGAAAGCGTAAGTCTACTTATGACTGCTTATTCTTTTCTTGGGTATAATTGGCGATTCTTAATAGAACACTGTCTCATATTTTTCAAATATCCAGACTGCAATGCGTGATTTCCAAGCTCTGTTGGGTGATACTGCCATGGTTCGTGAAATCGTAAACTTGTGGCAAGAATATGAAGATGCACAGACTCCAGAAGCCTTGCTGGTCAAGGACCTCGACAAGTTCGAAATGATCGTGCAAGCGTTAGAATATGAAAAATGTGAGTTTGGTATAGAGCGATAGTACTTGCTTTTACACATAATGACTTTTTACTTCTTTTTATAACAGCCGATAAAAAATCACTTCAATCGTTCTTTGATTCAACCCAAGGCAAGTTCAAGCATCCAGCTGTCAAAGCTTGGGCTGAAGCGCTTTATCAAGAGCGTGCAATTCAATAAATTGGAACTTGAGTAGCTTACATTTCGGGCAAAGTTCGAATGTGATCATGTTTTTACAAGAATACCTGCATAGGCTGATAAGTAAATATGATATCAAGTGATGCTAGTCTTGTCATCAGTTACTGTTACTAACATTGATACAAGATACGTCATGCTATTACCGTTGTTTTAACCAGAATATTTTACGTCTCCAAAAAAAAGAGGAAGAAGAAAAGTAAAAGCATATATGTCATAGGATCACATATTGAAAGAATCGGTTATGGCTGGGGCAGTGAGGAACAACGGGTATATGGTTTGAGGGTATCATAATGTAACATGCTATCTTCACATCCATCGCTACGAAAAGTACCTACAATACTACAAATATACAGCTACACAATATCTATAGTACAGTACGAATGCTACGGCGAATGACAGTACCTGTAGGGAGAGTCAACAGATCAACAAGAATAAAAAGTGGAAATGCTCACTTGATAAATGACGCTTCACATATACTGTACATACTCGACATTTTGAATGTTTATACCAACAAGTAAAGCCTTTGACACCTAGAAAAAAATCTGAGCAGCAAGAAATCGATGTCCTTTACAACATCCTCCTTAAAACTTCAACCCTACCAACAAACAAGATAAAAGGTATTGACAAGGTAACTGACTGATCGTTTCAATATCGCTGGTTAACATAAGAATCGATATCTTTATATATCGTCGCACTAATCCCAAATGAAAGGAAATTATGAGAGTAGCAGTAGCGAGAGTTGGCTCCATACAATTGTAGGGGTGGGCTACTTGGATGCGACACCGCAGAACCTGCTTCTTCGTACTTACCCGGTCATTCAAATTTCCATTGTCGTTCTCTCGCATTCATCCTCCTATTAAGTCCGTATTTGTCTGCTTTATCGCCCTCCCCCCAGAAAAAGACATGATGCTGTATTTGTTAAAGAAGTTTTTTTTTTTGGTGCTCGGTTACATACATACTCGTATTCGGAACAACCTTACTATATAATTCGGCTTTCCGACATCATCATTAATGCAAATCAAAACACACAGTTATTTATTAATGCAAAAGTAGGGGTAACAGTAAAACAAAAAAAAAAACCAGAGAGAAGAGACAATATAGGACCAAAAACCCCATCGTCATGGAGCGCCAAGTTTTTCCGCTTCATATCATGTCGACCCATCCTAGCCCGCACTCTCGCACATCCAGCTCACCATTAGGTTTCTTTTCCTTCCGGGGGGTTACTGCTTAAAATATTCCTGTGTTGTTAGTGTTTTGACTCTTCTAAGCTTTCCCTTTCTCTTCTTACTTTTTAATTCTTTGTGTGTGTGTCTACATCCCATTCTTGCTATCAATAACATTACATACAATATTATATAATGCATATAGGACGGTCTCACTCCTCGACAAGCACTGACGGCCGAGATACTATTATCGTCTCTTCCTCGACGCAAAACGTTGAAAACGATGAAAAGATTCAGCGACTGCATTTTAAAGAAAATCAAGCTCCAATTGACGAAAAAGACTCTTCAACCTCTTATTTTTCAGCAACATCGTCCACTCGAACTCACCCATTGGCGTGGATCGGATTGTTCTTTCTCGTCGTCTTACGGTCTTCGGTCTCGATCTTTCAAAACACCTTTAGTCCTATCCCGAATATAGTGGCCGATTACTTGAATGTCAGTTTGACAGAAGTCAATTGGCTGTTTAACATCCAGGCCGTTGTTTATATAGTGTTAAGTTTTATTACCGGCTGGATGTTTGAGCGACTCGGGACGAAAAGATCGGTAAGTATACTTGCAAAAGCGAAAAAGTGAATTAAAGAAGAAAGTTTCTGCCCTTATAATTGTCATTTTGATATATAACTTTGATATTTTTAACAAAAGTACATTGTCTATTCATAAATATAGCTTATCATTGCTGGTGTTATTACTGCTGCAGGATGTTGGATACGTCTTGTTGCCGTCGTAACTCACCCACCTTCGTATCCGATCATGATGGTTGGCCAAGTGATTGCTTCGGTAGGAAGTCCTTTAACACTCAATATTATGACAAAGGTAAAAATTAGTGTATGTCATACAATGGTTTGATATTCTTTTTCAGATGCTTACATAATTCAAATAGTTCGCAGCAGTTTGGTTTCCAGAAAACAGAAGAGCGACGGCCGGAATGTTCGTTGGTAATATAACTATTGCTCACCACGCAGCACCCACCGTTACTTGATCGCTTACCACACACTACATTTAGCTTCCAATTACGGTGGTATTATTGCCATGTTTCTAATGCCAGCTGTGGCTACCGGCGAAGATAAGATTGAAATGACGGTAAGCCTCTACTTTCACTTCAGACGTTATTAAACAGTAATTTTCACGTTTACTAAGTGCAGGACTTTGACCGCATCACACGATATTCTCGTTTACTACTAGATTATCATGGTAGCTGCAATTTGTACAGGTGCCGTTCTACCACAGTTCTTTTTGCCAGCTAAACCGCCAGGAGGCAGCCATAGTGTTACAGCTGGTGAAAAGGATGCTGATACTGAAAGGGCAAATGTGTCCTTCTTGCATTGCACATTGACCTTGATGAAAAGCGTACACTTTTGGATGTTGTGTGGAATTCATGGCATCAACGTCGGTCTCAGTATTGCTTGGGGCGCTCTATTGAACCAAGCACTCGCACCCTATGGATACTCTGATGCACAATCCGGTAACATAGTTGCAGTTGCCATGGCAGCAGGTGCCATTGGAGCACGTACGTCGACAGATAGATATGCAAAGTTGACATCAACGTTGTTATAGAGCTTCTATTACACAAAGCAGCATAGAAAACAACTGAAAAGTAACAAAATACCCGTCTGTAGTTACCGCTGGCCCAATGCTTGATCTGACTAAGCAACACAAGTTATTCCTCAAGTTGATGGCGCCGTTTATGTGCAGCACGTACGTTGCGCTTATATTTATCAGTTGAGTCGCTCTTCCTTACAATTGTATGCTGCTGTACAAACACGATCAGAACCGCTGACCCTCATATGGATGATAGTACAACGCGACTCCTTTGCTGGTATTCTGTACGTGAATGCATTGAACAACTTCTTCTTGTCGTTCATGGTGCCTGTTGTTGTTGAACTCGGCGTAGAAGGTAGCCTTTCAATTGATCTGCATCTAATATAGCACAAACGTTTGTTCACGAGGCTTACAACAATGTATGACAACAAAAATTTAGTATCACATCCGATACCCGAATCCATATCAACTTCGATTCTCTGGCAGGCCGCACAAATCGTTGGATTTATTCTAGTGCTTGTTCTAGACAAGTTCCGTGACCCCAACGGCAATCCATCAGACAACATGTTTCGTGGCCTGGTTTTTCAAGCGGCCATGGCCGGTGTCTCTGTTGTTCTTAGTTCATTCTACAAAGGACCGATGCGACGTCAGGAAGCATTTGCTGAACAGCGACGGCACCTGCCGTAATAATGGCAACTGCAGTGGTTCAATTTCATGCATGCTGCTTTCGTGTGTGTAACCTTATTCGTTTACTTGTATGATTTAGTCGTCTTGTCAAGAACATGAGTTATATAAAATCCATAGTATAAAGTATGTAAAAAATAATTGTAGAAAAAATTATACTGCGAGGAAAAAAAGGAGTTGCAGCTTGCTTGTTGTACTTTTGTTTTTGTTTTTTAGAGTGTCGATGTGATGATAAAACAAAAAAGCAAACGACTATATACTTGTATTATGCAATGTTAGAGGGGAGGGACAAGAAAAGGGTAAGTACGTGCGTGCGTGCGTGCGTGCGTGTTGATAAAGAAAGAGATAGAGAGATAGAGAGAGAGAGTGTGTGTGTATGTGGGATGTGAGTATATATAATATCTTTTTAGATCTACTGTTCAAGGAAGAAATAGTTGCCAGAAGACTTCTGTTCCTGATCCATTTGGGAGTCCATCTTGTTGATTCTTGGTCGGAAGTTGGTAGGGTCACGACGGAAGGTAATTTGGAGAGATGCCAAGAACTTGTTCATACCAGACAGCAAGGACTGGGGCGTGTTGGCAACGGCGTGCACGGAGGGCTTACCATCGTAGACAACCACACGATCAGCCAAATATGTAGCCATGATGAAATCGTGCTCAACAATGAATGCAGTGCGCTTAAAGTGGACAATGAAGCGCTTGATAACCTTGGCAGCAATGATACGCTGTTCGGAATCGAGGTAGGCAGAAGGCTCATCAATAAGATAAATGTCAGCAGGCTGACCGAGGGCAAGAATGATGGCGACACGTTGCAATTCACCACCAGACAAGTGGGTAACTTCTTGATCGAGAACGGCCTCCACGTTGAGCGGCTTGACAACATCGGTTTGAAACTGAGGGTTCAAGAAAGCAGCCTTGATCTTCTTGATGAACAGCATGCGCACAGTGCCCTTAAACTTGGGCGAAATCTTCTGGGGCTTGTACGAGACGTTCAATTCAGGGACGCTTTGACCGCCGTCTGGCTTCAAAAGACCGGCCAACAGACGGATGAAGGTCGTCTTACCGGTACCGTTCTGACCCAACATGACCACAATTTCAGAATCCGTAAAGTCGCCAGACTTGACGTCAAGCTGGAAGTCACCTATATAATCGCATACTCGCTATTAGAGCACAGATCCATCTACTCCAAGACTACGAAAGTTTGAAACTTACCGAGCTTCTTTGTCATATCGGGATATTGGTAGTTGCGGTTTTTCTCAAGCAAAACATCGTCAGTTTGCTCGGCAATCTTGAAAGTCAACGATTCATCACGGAAACGCAAGTTTTCGGTTCTGATCGTACCGTCCAAGAAAATGTTGATACCGTCACGAACAGAGGCAGGCAGGGTAACAACACCATAAACGGATGGAATACCGTACAAAATACAAACGTAATCGGAAAGGTAATCCAATACGGACAAATCGTGCTCTACGGCAATAATATAACTATGATGTAACAAGGGATAAGTCTGACTGTTACATTGCAATCCAAGCTATAAACCAGAACACAGGTTCCCCACACATACGTTTCAGAAGAGATCAACGATCGGATGACTCTGGCAGCATTCAAACGCTGCTTGACATCCAAATAAGAGGAAGGCTCGTCAAACATGTACACGTCAGCCTTTTGCACAGCCACGACACCAATTGCGAAACGCTGCAGTTCACCACCAGAAAGCTGGCCAACCTCACGCGACAAGACACCCTTAAGCTCTATACGGTAGAATTAATTACAGGGCATATTGTAAGCTATCACATTGCTTCTGATCTCTATCCCTCTGCAAAAGTCTCAACTTACCGAGTTCCTCGATCATTTCATCAAAGTTGTTGCGCTCGAGCTTATCCTCAAGCAATTGGCCGACCTTACCACTAACGACCTTGGGGATGTGATCGACATACTGGGGCTTGATGATAGCCTTCAAGTTATCTTCCAAAATTTTGGTAAAGTAGTTCTGCAATTCAGAACCACGGAAGTGCTTGAGGATATCCTGCCAGTCAGGTGGGTTGTCGAATCGGCCCAAGTTGGGCTTCATTTTGCCTGAAAGGATCTTGAGAGCGGTGGATTTACCAATACCGTTGGTGCCGACCAAACCAAGGACCTGACCAGGACGAGGCACAGGCAGACGATGCAGCTTGAACGAGTTGGCCGAGTAACGATGAGTGACTTCGGACTCGAGGTTGGTGGGCAAGTTGATAATCGAAATAGCGTCGAATGGGCATTTTTTGGGACAAATACCGCAACCAATACACAGTGTCTCGGAAATGAACGCGATCTTTGACGTGGGCTCGACTTCGATACAGAATTTACCTACAATATCCAATCACTCGTTAATCTGCGACGTGCTTTTTGCGTGGCAATAACACCACCACCCCCTGTTTTTTTTAATCCAGCAAACCCCATAGATACGTACCCATGCGGTTCACGGGACACGACTTTTTACTGTACAACGAAAATAAAAAAGAACGCAACAATCGGGTTAGATCCAGCGAATCGAGCCACTGAGTAACAGTCTTACCATTCTTGCCGACATTTCTTGGGTTTGCACTTGTCGGCATTGATAATGGCAATACGAGTCAATTTGTCGCTCATCGTTAATGGCGAATCAGGTTGAGTGGGGAGTTGGCGTGAAGAGAGTAAAGAGTTGGTATTGACTGGATAAAACAAACGAACAAAAAATTTTTATGTCCCGCAGCGTCCACCTGGCGGTGTCACGTCAAAAAAGGTTCACTGCAGACATGAGTGGGAGTGGCACTTTAAACCTTTTTTGTTCTCTCCAACAATAACAAAAGAATGGTCTTCCAAAGAATTGTCAATTACTGGGTCTCCACCTTCATTACTGAAAAACTTCTTTCAAGCCCAACATTCCATCGCATGGCTGCTACTACCCACAAGCATGTTTCCGGTGTAACTAACAAGGGTAAGTTGTCAACAAAGGTTCCTGCCCCAGCTTTAATTCATTACTAACTAAAATGATTGTTATGCTAGGTTCCCAAGTGAGCAATGATTTTGTAAAGGCATTCAAGGAAAATCTTGAAAAAGAATCCAAAAACTACCGCAAGTAGTTTTCCTTTCTTTTCATCCTGCTATATTCCCCTTTCCATTCACAAAACCTTCGTACATGTACAAAAGTACCTTCTCTTTACCGTTAACAAGCTATACATATACATATAATTTTTAAACTATTTTTTGCAGAAAAACTGTGACAATGTGAATATTATTACTTCAATAAACAAGTACCAGAAACAAGTGGAGGAGTGCATGTAGGATGATGGGATCGTGAGAGGAATATAACAAGGGAGTGGGAAGACAAGTGATATGCGAGTTGAAATAGATGGGGATGTTTGTTATAGTGAGTAAAGAAGTAGACGGATAGAAAAGGTGGAGGAGGAAGGAAGGGTAGGTAGGAAGAGATGAATCTAGACGATATTTTCAGGTGATGGTTCTTGGGCAATGATACCCTCCATCTTTCGTGCCCGTATGTAATCACCAATCGCTCGGATGATGATAAACCATCCTAGCAACATGAGGATGTACGCAATGATATCGGCGTTTGTACTATCTTGATCGCTATTGTTTGTGTCGCTGTTGCCGTCGCCACCGTCGTCCGCTAACTCAAAGTCGTCCAAGGATCCTCCTGTATATAGAATAAGGGTTTGAGCTATCACATAATATAGATGGTAGTAAAATGAGCCTCAACAGTAAACTTACGACTTCGAATATAAAAGCCATATTGAACAAAAGTAATTCCAAGACCTGCTCGCGATCCTTGCTGTAAAAGTAGCAAACAAAAACAAAGTCAGTATCATTAACTGGTAGTTTAAACTTAGTAGTAATGGCTACCTTTGCTGCATGCGATGTATGGAGTAAATAAGTCAACATGAAACCGACAAACTGAAAGCTTGCAGAAACTACAAACAAGGTCATATACCCATTTAGTACAGGAGACTCTCACCAACATCATCGCTCTTTCACACACATACACCAAGGCGTCGATAAATTAGCCTTTCCTCTTCCTGCTTACCTAGAAGGTTCCATGCAAAGTTGAACAAATTACCGACGGGCATGCTTTCCACTAAAATGATGTCACCCATGCCAGGCGGTGCAATGATTGTCGTTTGCCAGTATGGAGGTGTGGCGTCTGCTGCGGCGTCCTCATATGCCTAATTAATCGAGAATTTAGACGAATAGGATGGCGGATGAGTAACGTAAAATAATAACAGAAGTCCATTTGAGTATGATAATTGTTACGTCGATACGTACCGGTGGTGTCTCATCTAGCTTGTTTCCTTCTCTGTCCGGTTTTGCAGACATGTTGGAAAATACGCCATCGTTCGTAACAGGCAATATTGCCGGCCTTGAGCTACTATGTGCGGAGGTATTTACACTACTGCTCGACGGGTAACTTCCAACGTGTGGTTGTGGTGCGTTTAACAGCCGTTGAGATTCTGTATGGTTGTCATCGTCGTCATCGTCGTCGTCTAAACTTTCTCCAAACGTTTCCTCTAAATCGTTTCGTTGACGACTGGGTAGTGGAGGTCGAGAATTCGGTCGTTGTTCTGCATCATAGCTGGGTAACTGTTGTTGCTGTTGTGCTTCTGACGTTCGGTTGTCGACGAGATGTGCCTCGAGTGGATCATCGGCAGTTGGCACCTAATCAAAAAAATAACAAAACGATTAGCCTCTCAATTTATAGAATGTCGAAAGAAACGGGTTGAACAATTACTCTTTGATATCGACTCGTCATTACGGGGTTCGTATCAGTAATAAAGCTTGGCAAAAAGAAAAGGTGGAAGAATGAAACCTTGAGAGCACCATTGAATATGGTAACACATTGAGTTTGAAACACCGCTGGGTTAATCGAGTCTTTGGGTCGCATGCGTGCCAGCAGAAATTATTTCTTGACAGAAACGCAAAAAAAAACGATTCGTTACGTATGAATGAGAAGCAAATAGAAAACGATGGCTCTACAACGACAACAGTGACGACAGTAACTACAGTGACTCAGCAACAGCAGCAGCAGCAGCAAACATGGTTAACTTTGCCACCCGCACCCACAATACAATCTTTGGGGCTTTCTAACTGGCCATTCACCAGGCAGGATGACCAAGAGCTATTCCAAGAAGCATTGATTCCACCAGACAATTTTAACATGGTCTGCGAACACGTTTACCGCAGCTCATTCCCGAAAAAGAAACATTTTCGATTTTTGGAGAAACTCAAGCTAAAGAGCGTTTTGTAAGAAACAATCTTTTTATTATTTTTGAAGAGAAAATCGATCCTTTCTGACCGCAGTATGTCAAAATGTTTTATGTGTAGAACCTTGATCCTTGAAGATTATCCCGAACAGAATATGAAGTTTCTCGAAGAACAAGGAATAAAATTTCTGCAATTTGGTATCGCTGGCAACAAGGTTGGTTTCTAGTTCCTATGGTTGTCCCAACATCCGCGTTAGAGTTAACGGGGTCGTTCTAACCTTATCCTATCCTTCGATTGTTGTGTAATGCGCGTTGCTTATACGTGCTTAGGAACCTTTTGTACAAAGTAAGCCTGCATTCTACTTTAATTTTCATGCACACAGAAAAGCCAATTTTATACCTTGATTGTTTTCAGTTCCGGAGGATAAGATAAGCGCAGCATTAGCAGCCATATTAGGTACGTTCAATTTATATTTTTCGGCTAGGATGTCGAAGAATGAGCAACTAACGGGGTTTTTTTTGATAAACAGACAAGAGGAACCATCCAATGCTTGTTCATTGCAATAAGGGCAAGGTAAATTCGAGTGTGAGCACGAGGTCGAAATTTGAGGATGTATCATGAGAAAGGTCATTCTTATACGCTCCATGTTGCTGCTGCATTTTTTCGCTTAGCATCGAACGGGCTGCTTGATTGGGTGTCTGCGAAAAGTGCAAAATTGGAGCCATACGTCCATTTTTGATGAATATAGACGGTTTTCGCATCCAAAGTCTAGATCCATGGACCAACAGTTTATTGAGCTATACGATGCGAACCAAGTTTGGCCGCTTGTCGATCGGAGGTATCTACCGCGATGGCCCACACTTGGTATGTTTTCTAAAAGAATGATTGAGAGAGCACGACTTTGTTTATATGTGTCATGCGTTGTTTGAGGGCTGATCCTTTTCGTTTCAGCCGACCCACTTTTATAATAGTCGCGTGATGGTCCTGGAGATTTCATACATTCTTTTCTTTTTGTACATAATACCAACTACTGCTATACATTATTATGAATTCTAAATTCAGTGTCTACTTTCATAAAATCCCTATCCAATGTCTAAATACGACTAATCTAGTATCTTTCTTTAAAGATACGTTAAAGCAATTGCTCGTGGTAGTTAAATAAGTATGAGATACATACAACGTGTATGGTGTTTGATTTGAAATATGGTTTACGCCGCTGGTTGTTTCTCCGTATATATTCTGAATAGGACATCTACAACTTTTCGCATACAAGTGATAAATCAGCAGGAAAGAGCCATGTAAGAGTGGATGTACTTGTGCCTCTTCTACCAAGTTCTGTGCCCACTGCAGACTCATCATGGTCCAAAGCAAGTTCCATCAAGTGCTCAAGCTCTCAGTTCCAACAAAAAGAAAAGCAATGATATTATGTTCTAGAAACTGAACATTCTTTTTCTCCATAATTTGTATATATATATCACACCTCTGTTTTTATGCCTGTTCCCTCCTTCAGTGTCATGTAGATCATCATCGACTTATCTTGCATGGACAACATTTACAGTAGTACATAATTATCATCGTCGGAAATATCAAACCATCAATTGTCACAACTGCTAACAGCCTGTACATACATGGAAGAACAGTGTATATGTAGTTTAACAACTTCACTGCCTAATGACCAACAAAGAGTTCTCATCTATATGCTCCATTTGTCCATAAGGAAAACTTTACTTCTACTGAAAGTATTTACTGACTCATATAAGTTTAATAATAGGTATGTTCAAGCCTCAGTTACCCTTGATGAATATCATATAGCAGCGCATTCAATCCATTGTGACGTGCTCATTAACAACCTATCAAGAAGCTTAAGTTATAGATACAGTTAATGTAGATCTCTCTTGCCGATATTACAGTTACATTAATACAAAGAGATGCCACCAACGAAGACTATATGGCATTGTGGATGGTATGGACTATCTCTGCTAAGTACAACAGTACATTAGGAGGAAACCGTGAGGAACTCTGAAGAATACGATTCAAACTTACAATACTGTATGTGGCATGATATGCATGCAGTATGAGCTGCTGCTGCAGGAATCAAAGTTTGTGCTTTTGGTGGCGGTACCGTGCGCATGTCACTCACTTTACGAATTATGAAATAAGCTCCAAAGTGCTTTAAGAGAAAAGGCGGAATGGCTAACTATCATGGCATAGGAAAAGAAGGCTGGTTTAAAATAAAAAGATCTCTTCTCTCCTAGGACGATTAATGTCCTTTTTGAGCGCGCTCTCAAAGACACAATAAGAGAGGCGGTCCATCGACCTTTTCCTACTTGATCTACGAAACAGCAACAGCAGGATGCTATATTCGTGGTACACGGGGTCGTCGGCGTTATATCCTGTGTACGAATGTGAGCTATTCTAAGAACACGGTGCATATTATTACCTGTATCATACATGCCCGTGCTTGCATGTATAATATTTTCCAACAAGTCCCGTTGACATCATAACTTTCAGAGGTGCTGGATGATACCAGATGAGCCAAGCAAGGGGGTGAGGGGTGAGGCGTTAAAAGTGAAAGAAAGTGTGTATCATACGCAAAGCTTTTTTCTTCCAAATGGTCATTCTTGGCACTATTGTCGAAGACGGGCTGCTACATGTATCGTAAGTTGCAGCTCTTGCTATGCAATACGATACCAATGGGCACATCTTGAACCGACAAAGAGCTTGGTCATAAGCTGAGGACCTGTTACGATACTTTAAAGTATAGTTTAGGCCATCGTGCAGTTGACGATGCACAAGGCAAATGACAAGAGCTTCATCTAAATCATACATTGCTTAATCAGCGAGGTATTGTTTTTGTTACCGTGATACCATCCGTTGCTGCTGCTGCTGCTGCTGCTAGCACTATAGACGTAGTGGTAATACTATATGTAATGTAGCAGGACGGATTTTCCACTCTAGCACAGAGTTCTCAGGAAATAAACCTAAAGCACGAAATTTATGATAATGCACATCTTGAATCCATGCACGTTATATACCTGTTTTTTCGCTGCCACACCACACGCACGCTTTCCTATGTAACCTCTTTATAGTAATAAATGCCAGCAGGTTAGTCTTTTTTTTTTCTTTCGTTCCGGCGTATAGCACGCACCATGACAGTGAGTTCACTAGCACCCGAACCATACGGTACTGACATTGTTGTCAAAGTTGTGCAAGCTGTTGTTCCTGTCAAACTGGACGATTAAATGGCTAAACGACACATGTACACAATACTTTTTTCTTTCAACCCAACTTGTATTATAGATGCTGTAGTTAGATGGCGCAGAAAATGTTTCGCGCGTATGAACATTTAGTAAGAGACCCTATCGGGTGCATCATTATGAAATCGCAGCAAGGTAACGTTATCATTGCTCACACGCAGTCTGCATACTCTATAGCATTATGTATTACCAGTGGGATTTCTTAAGACGTGTCATATTTGTCCTGATGATGGTTAAAGATGTGTCGAGCTTACATATGATCAAATTTATAAATTATCAGATGGTAGCGATGATAGCTCAATTTAAGAAGCAAAACAACTAGAAGAATCCAGACAGCAACGATAATACCACTGCAGTAATGGAATCACATATTCATCAGGTGAAAGTTCATTTGGAAGAAGAAGAAATAGGAAAAGTCGAGCAAGATGACTCCGTTCGTAGATGGCTTGTTGGTTTGAAGGCGTCCATTTGCGCCCCTCAAACTTCAGTAAATTCATTAAGCAGTACTATACATAAATCAAAGTATGCAAGCGAGATCTACTCATTATGATTGGCCTTAGCACTGCCGATTCTTTGTTTCCCTTTAATGTTTTCTTAGCACACTGACATAAGAACCACTCAGTAACATCAAACTACAGACGTCATCATCGATCTACGCAAAGGATACAAATTCGAGCAGACCAAAGAGTTTACAACGCGGTCAACATGCATAAGAACTATTTGCACGGTCATTGCGCAAGCTTTATCGCCTTCTTGTCGCCTCTTGGAAGTGACGTTTGGTCCAAGAATCACGCTTTAAAAGAACCAAAATGATACGAAACTCCTGTTGTGATAAGCTACGTGCAGGAAAAGAGAGAGAGAGACGAGCAGCTGAAACAGACTTTCCGAATTTGAAGATCTGGCAGTTATACATGCCTGTTGGCGTATGCTCTGATGTTGCCTCTTAAAAAATAACCCCTTTTCACAAAAAGGGTCGCACCATATCCGCGGTAACAAGCAATTTAGGCGAACACAGAAAGTGAAGAAAAGGAGTGTCAAAGTGTGATAAAGCGCGTTGTGATCGTGTTACTGTTGGCTACGATACAGATTGTTCTCCGCTTTGTTTAGCACAGAGCTGTGGGTGGGCAAAAAAATAAGGAACTTGTCAAGCACATGAAAAAAAGGCAAAGCAAAAAATATAAAGCGGTAAAACGTTTATGAGAAGAGTGCGAAAAGAAAAAGATTGTTTTATTTTGTTTATCATTTTGTTTATTTGTGTTTAATAAAAAATAAAAAGTTCGTTTTAATTATCCCACCACATACCCGAAGGTACGTGTCCACATTCCCACTAGTACATTGCAAAAGATTTCCTATGACCGGACCACTGAATCCGGCCAATCCTCAGACTCCTCTTGACAATCGCCAGCACAAGCAATGACCCGATCATGGCACCAAACAGTGAATCTGTACTACAGATCAAAGCTGTACCAAAACGAACTGAAGAGAAGAGAAAAAAGAAAGGCGAAATTGCTCGCTTTATATAGACATTTTTTCTCGTTCGGGACTTCAAATCCCCGTGAATTCTCATTGGCCCGGATAACGGATTGCGAGTCAACTTGTGGGTTGCCTACTATGACATAACAAAACATACAGCACCAAAGGAAATGAAAGGAATGGTATACCCGATGGTCAAGTAGACTAGCGTGCTTCGGCGGTAGTGGTACGTGTCTCTCACCATGCGGAGCTGTACCCTCCGATGGTATCGGCGCTTGTTTGTGAGTGGGCCGTGCACGGCACCGTGTCAAGCAAAAACAAAGACACGAATGCGAATGAGCACGTAGAATCACGGAAAAAGCGCTTCTCTGCGAGAAATAAAATGGCAATATAAGAATGACTGACAAAGTAAACAACTTAACAGATTCCCCGGCATCAGTTGTTCCTGATGCAGCATTAGTAAACATCAAGAACACGATCCTCCCAGCAGCCAGTTTCCATTCCTTCACCCATCAAGGCAACAACATGTGTATATAGCGTAGCCCACAGACTATTCCATTTTATTAGTATCTTTTGATTGTATCTGTGGTGCATAATGTTGTGCGTGTGCGGGCATAGATACAACACACACTTGACCCCAACGCTGCACTAAATGAAAAAGACCCGTTGCCTTTTATCTTAAACTGTGCTCGTCAACCATTTTCGCCATCCGCCAAGAACAGTTCTTTGAACTACGCCGTGTCACCTCTTCCCTCCGTCTCGAATTTATACTGCTGCTGGTGAGGAGGTGCCCACCCTCCATCTCAGTTTATGCTGCTGCTGCGAAAATTCCATCCTCATCCCAAGTATGTGCTGCTGCAGACAAGTTGGCCCGCTCATGATGAGTATACGCTGCCGCTAGTGAAATCGACTCATCCTTCATTGTTTTTCATTGCTGCCGATAAAGTAAATCAGTTCGTTTGATTTTGTGCGGTTCTACGTACTCTTGAGCAGCGTTCAAGATCCATGGGGACGATCAGTAGAATAACACTACAAACGATGACTTCCTCCAGCTTTGACACTTTTGCGCGTGATTCGTTGCTCCCTTTATTACCTTGTTCACTCGCCATCCCTTTGTGCATTTCGAGTGCAAAGTCAATTGGCCAAATCGTTGCGTCACAATGCGCTTTCACTCTACATAGTTTTCGTTTCAGGGGAAAGCTGTTGGAACGTTCAAGGTTTGACACACGCGTAACTTCGTCACTATCCACAAAAGAAAGATCTGTGTTGCGCTCTTCCTGATTTCCTCATTCCTAGACTACCTTTGCTTCCTGCTGAATTACATCCTTTATGCTTGTCGTTAGTGTGGGTTTGTGCGTACGTGATCGGAGCCTTCGTTATGTGATAATATAAAAAAAGAGAGACGTAGCGAATTTTCCCCTATTGTTACCTACTATTTTCACAGCAAAATACACATTATTATGCCTCTGATTGTCTCTTTGCAGACTGCTTGTCGTTTCCGAATTAATGATGTTATTATAAAAGCCCGAGAGAAAAATCCTGCTCTTTTGCAGTTGCTTTTTATACAAGTTAAGAGCACCGTTTACTGTGTATTACGTCCCACTTACCTTAACATATAGCCCTTTTTGGTATAAATTACGATCCGCTTAATATTTTATTATGTCTTGTCTTTAGATGCCACAGAAAAGTGTGCTGGGGACGAGCAGCTTCTTCGCTACAAGACTTCTCTCAGCAGTAATTCTATTCACGACTGGTGTGTTGACTGGTGGCAAGGTGGCATATCAATTAAAGTTGGCAGGGATAGTAATAAGTGTTTGCTCTTGGACTACATGCGTCTGTATGTAGGGCTTGCCGTAAAATGGACGCTCCAAGGTTACGTTTTCGGTTTGAGCCACTGATCCGGCCAGCGTACAGGAATGTTCACCAAGCTCATGTCACCTTTACCAATAGGTCAAGAAGGACTTAGTCTCTGGATTGCTTTCAAAGGCACTGTATACCGTGAGCGACGACTGATAATGAGCGTCGAAATGACTATCTGTACCCCCCAATAGGGATCGTCGCTTGACAGAAATACTTTTCAATGGAAGTTTTCCCAACAATGGATTATGATATTTGGGGAATCGTTTGGTCATATAACTGTGTGGACAGTAACATATCATCAAATACATAATCTAAGGAACAAGATGGGCGGTGGAAATAAATAAATCACAACGTGATCTGCCGACGTTGGTCAACATTTTAAACTTGCGTTGAATCGATTTTAGATATAATGAGGATAATCATGAAATCTCTCCAACAACCATTGGAAAAGAAACGTCATATATTTGGGCAAGAAAACCATGGCAACTATCATCTACATTTTTAAATGCGGTGCTTCCCGTCTTTGCACCATCATCTCATCGATCATACACGCCGCTCAATGTTGTTACTGTACGTGGAAGTTCAATTTCATCCTGTACGTGGCTGGACACGCTGATAATTACGCCTTGCGGTATCAATCAGCGCTCAAGCAAGGCGTGCCCTTTCCCCATAATGTTATCGAACAATTGATGAAACACGTTGTAGCCGAACAAATTGCAGAGTAGATAGTCTGAAAGAGAGACAGCAAGGGTGAGTGTTTTTTCAGCATTGATTCCGGGGAAAAAAATTAGCTGTAAAAGATAACGAACAACAACAGCGCAAAGCATGTGTTATTTCCTTTGCTTAATATAAAAGAAGTAAAATTTATGCATTAATTTGGGTTACAAGAGTCTTTCTACCAAGTGATATAAAAGAATCTAGAGATGATTAGTCTAATGTAAGCGAACAGTAACGCAGCAAAAGTACTCTGACAGAGCTGTACATACTGCATAGATAGCGTTCTGCTACGTACTAAATAGTACTTTTTTTCTTTCCCTGCGCATGGGTATCTTTTAAAAGAGATTTGGCAGGAGTAGCGCGGGCTAAACACAGGTGATTGATGTGCATCTTCGGGGCTTGTAGCAGCACATTTGGAGACACAAGCATTGAATCATATCAGACAACAATAGTATTACCGTGCTTGCACAGAACAATCTGTCACTGACTAGATTTGTGCGTAGTAATATTTGGTAATCATAATGCTTCAGAAAGGCTGAAAATGGCTGTATGATGACTATTCGCTACGATTCAAAAAGAGTACAATGACAATACAAGTGTCATGATTTGGTACATTCACTCTAATAAATCGATCTCAAATTCTGCTTATAATAAAACATATGATAGGATATACACGTTATACAGTAAATCACCATAAATGTATACACCCTCGATAATCGCAGCCCTCACTGATTACAACGATTTCCGATACAATTGCTATAGGTGCTTGGTAAAAAGCTTATTAATTCATTATCCGTCAATTACCACCATTTTTGGCTGCAATTAACGGCGACCTAGTGTATAGAATACGATGGTACTGACAATTTTTATAATTAATACATTTAGTTTATGTGGAAAGAATAAGAAAAAGAGAAGTACAGTAACAAAATCAATGAAATAACCAATCCTCTTCCCTTTCCTTCAATTAAGAAGCCAGGATCGTCATTTCAACGAAGGCGATGATCTCCTTTGGAGACACCTTTCAATTTTCCATAAATAGATTGGGATAGTTGGATTTGGTTACATTGGAAGATGTATTCTTTGTCAAGTAGCCCCTGCGCGGAACACTACTAACACCATATCATATGAACATCTTATGTAAAATTTGTACTTCGTTTTCACATTTATCTTCTTATGATGAAGAAAAATTCAGTGCTGCTTTGCCTTAAGACGCACTGCTTGATCCTATTTCCTTGTATCGCTGTTTTCTTTCTCCACACAAGAACCTCTTCTCAGTTTGTGCTTCTTCTACTACCGTCCTTGTTAACTTGTTGCTATTAATGATCATGTCGCGGAAAAGTGGATTAAGTCGAAGAAACAAGTGCAATGGTAATAACCGTAATGTATACATATTTTTACTTTACAGACACAATGCGTGCATGCTTTCTTGTACGCATACGTGCTCGCTTGTTTATTGTGGTTGATACGAACGAATTCACACAGACACAAACAAGCTATTATACATATATATATATATATCTGTTACTATCCTATCTTGAAGTATATTAACATCTAGTTCCAGCCAATAAAGCGAGTGTCATGGGCAAGGGATGCTCCAATTGTCGCTCTGCAAAAAGTGAAAAGCGGGAATGGCCGGATTTGGAAAGCGACAACTCGGTTTTTTTTTTCGTCTGTTTGATCAAACTCGTTACAGATGGGTGATCAAGAGGCAACGCGTGCATGTGCGATCGGTCTACTCACTGCCGACCACTACGACAATGTCGAGTCATTCATTGAAGAAGCCATTGATTCTGGTCACGATTTCGTTGCAACACCTATCGTGCATCCGCGTTATAGCCGTGTTTTGAAAACAAAGGATAACGACAGTTGGAGAAACGTTCCAGTCTACGAACGTGACGATCTAGTTGTTCGCAAGCCAAGTAAGTTGGTTGTATGAGAATATCTCTAGAATGAGAACGTGGAAGCTGATTACTGTTGAATAAATTTGGTGTAAATAATGAAAAATCACAGGTTGGTCGGATGCTATTGTCGGCACCTTGTCAAATTGGCTAGAGCTGGACTCTTCCGATGCAAATACACGCATCAATTCCGAGCTGGTAAGCGTTATGATAAATAGAAATAAAATGCAATGCGTGCTATCAGCTATACTGATAATCAACCGAATATGATGTATATAGGCACTGAAGCAGGAGTTAGCTTGGGCCTGTCATCTCGGGTTGTTTGCTGTCATGACACCTGCTTTGTCAGAAACCAGCTTATCCAACCTGGCGCGCGTGGTCAACCACAACGTGGGTTCAATGTCTGTAACCCAGGTAAGAACTCTAAATCTATCTATGCTACTCATCACGGATCAGTTCTCCAAGACGGATAAAAACAAATCATGGATTTAGATGTGGGTGCGTGTCCTGTTAGATGGAAGCAACAAAGCATGGAAACAGTGGAACAAGTTCCATGCTCTGGCTGAACACAATCCCAAAATTTATGCTGGTAAGTGATGTCGTGCTGTCTGAAATTACTGCTGTTACTCCAGAAGAGAATGGGTTAATAATAGGGAGTTTGTTTAGCACTTCAATTGCCCAAAGAACTTCCTGAGGATGGTTTGCTTTTGGATACATGGTTTGCCGAGCCAATCAAGACGGTAATTGTTCCAGCCGACGTATTCATCAGCAATAACAAGGGCTACCCTGTACTTCCGAAGCCACATCAAGCGTTTTTAAAGAAACTGATGCACCGCGTAAGTAATCAAGGTTGGAAAGATCAAGAAGCAAGTGGGAAACAGAGAGGAGTAACAACTGGCTTGCTATTAGATGCAACCACAGGTTATCGTCACGTTACCAGAGACAAAGCTACATGCATCTGCTACACCGTCATCCTACCAAGAATACATCCAATACCTTAATCGAAATCTGCCAGAGCTCAACGATGTCGAACGCTTTGCTGCAGGCTATCATGATTACTTGCAGGCACCCTTGCAGCCGCTGATGGATAATTTGGATAATTCAATGTATGAAACTTTTGAACGAGATCCAATCAAGTATCAACAATATGAAAAGGTACATCGCAAGGCGGTAGCAAATCCTATTCACAACAAGGAAAAGGAGTAACTGATTTCCCATGACCATGTACAAAAATAGGCAGTCTATCACGCGCTGTTGGATAGGGTTGAGCACGGTTCAGATTATGTTTCGTAAGTGCTCGTTACACACACACACACACACACTGGAATGTGCAAGCAGATTATCAATGTTAACAGCCACGTCAACAAACATTACTAGCACGATTATGGTGGTGGGCGCTGGACGCGGCCCCTTGGTGAATTGTTGTTTGCGCGCAGCCGAAAAAGCAGAACGCAAAGTACACCTCTATGCACTGGAGAAGAACCCCAACGCCTTTGTCACGTTCGTGTTCATTCATAGCATCTTTTTTTAGCTTATGCTTTCGCGCGACTGACAAAGAGTGTATTATTAGATTACAAAACGCCAAGGCAGACGTATGGCACGACAAGGTGACCCTGGTATTTGCCGATATGCGAAAATGGAAGCCAAAGACAAAGGTAAGCAGGAGCTATAAGAAAGAATGGAACTGCAGGATGGATTACTAATGCGACAAATACAGTGCGATATCCTCGTCAGCGAGCTCTTGGGCTCATTTGGAGACAATGAATTATCACCCGAGTGTCTGGATGGCGCACAAAAGTTCCTGAAGGGTAAATTTGCTCTTGGGTGTTTTGGAGCTAAAAAGAAACTAATTAATTTTTCTTCATTTTTAGAGGATGGCATATCGATTCCCGCCTCATACACTGCCTATGTAACGCCATTATCATCATCGAAACTGTACAACGAAGTGGCTGCCTACAAGGACTTGGTCCATTTTGAAACGCCCTATGTGGTCATGTTTCAGCAAGTGTGCGAACTGGCTCCATCCAAGCCGGTGTGGACATTTGAGCATCCAAACAAAGCAATTGACGATGACCCTCAAAACAACCTGCACAACACCCGGTACAGCCAAGCCAAGTTCCAATTAGCCGACCAGGACATGATTATGCACGGCGTTGCGGGCTACTTTGAGTCGGTGCTGTACAAGGACGTCATGATCTCGATACATCCTGACACGCACTCGCCTGACATGTTTAGCTGGTTCCCTATCTTTTTCCCACTGCGCACGCCTGTACAAGTTCCTCGAGGTTCCACGGTGACACTAGACTTTTGGCGTGCGACAGACGCCAAGAAGGTGTGGTATGAGTGGAGTGCCGACGTGGTGTCTGCCGACGGAAGCGATGTTGCGATAAGTCCAATCCACAACAGCGGCGGTCGATCGTACTGGGTTGGCTTATAGTCTGCTATGCAGAATCCACCCGTATCGAATGCATGTGTAGCCATATGTGGCAGTGTAAAGTAGTGTAGAGCAGTGTTTTTTCTTCTGTAAAAAATGTATATCCGCTTCGGCAGAATTTACGTCCGCAAACGCCGCAAAAGAAAAAGGATCTACGGATGAGCCGGGCCGAATATATGCTGTGATTTTTGGAGGGGTTTAGTTTTCAATTCGAGAGCTTCTTTTCCTCGCATACCCTCTTTTTTTTTGTTTGTTACTATCGCTACCTTGTTGCCTTGGAGAAGTCTAATTGTTTTCCAACCCCACGGAGAGCTTCGTCCCGAAAAATATCTGTGTAAGAAAAGTGTAAGTTGAAGGGGCTGTTCTTTCGGGAATGAGTGAAGGAGTTTTGTACTCCAAGACAACAAACTAAAGCGAAAAAATTCTAATTATTGTCGCAGTAGCCTGTCGAAGCCAGCAAAAAAAAAAAGAAATAACCCCATACACATTCACGTTCTTTCTCCAGGGGGTGTTTTCCTCTTTCTTTTTCTCTTGCACAACTCTCTTTAACCTCCCAATGGTTAATAAACGGTTACGGCTCAAGCGGGCATTCCACAAAAAGAAAGATGCAGACGACACCGATGAAAATGCGTTACAACGAACTGCCTCGACGTCGTCGTACATGCAACAACGTCGGAATATCTACGTCAACATGGACTTGCCGTCGACCGAATTCGACGAGAAGGGGAAACGCATCCATTCACACTATGTCAGCAATCGAATCCGTACCGCCAAATACACACCATTAACATTTGTGCCCAAAAACTTGTTTGAACAATTCCGTAATGTTGCCAATTTATACTTCTTGCTGCTTGTCGTATTGCAGTGTATACCTGTTTTTGGCGTCGTCGAGCCTGCAGTGTCAGCATTGCCGCTTATGGCTATTCTGCTTATTACGGGTATCAAGGATGGCATTGAAGACTGGAAGCGCAACCAGAGCGATGCGCGCGTCAACAACACCATAGTAACAAAACTGGCGCATTGGAATAATGTCAATATTGAGGATAACACAGGCAATCGATGGCATTGGCTCTATGTCTGCATTGGATTCCTTTGCATGCTTGGCGGGGTGGAGAACAAGTACGCACACACATATCGCATGGCGATCACGACGAAGAAGCCGGCTGCTAAACCTATCAAGCACCGCAAAGCGCCATCCCGACGATCATTGACAGGCGAGTCCTCAACCGCCAGCACCAGTCAACAGCAGCACCAATTGTCCAACAACACAAAGCAGAACGGCTCGAAAAAATTTATGAATACAGTACGGCAACGGTCAGACACGTTCCGTTCAGAACTCAGCAACATGTTCAAGGTCCAGCCTCGGCGACCCTACCGACCCGGATCCATCCCTCATTCTGTCCTGTACCGTACTGCCACTGGTGACACGGCCAGCACTCGCCGCGCCTCCTCGGTCAATCCCGCCGGGCTCCCATGCGCCGAACGTGCACCCGGCGACGCACCGGCCCCCAAGTGCAAAGTTTTTTGGCAAGAAGTACGATGGCAGGATGTGATGGTGGGCGATTATGTCATGCTGCACAACAATGACGATGTGCCCGCCGATATGGTGATTTTGTCCACATCAGAAACCGACAACCTGTGTTATATCGAGACCCAGAATTTGGATGGCGAGACCAATTTGAAGGCTCGCCAGGGGTTGGCCGCAACGGGTGATCTCAAGACCGTCCATGATTGCGAACGTGCCCGGTTCTACATCGAGAGTGAGCCACCGCATGCCAATTTATACCAATACAGCGGTGCGCTGCGCTGGGACATTGACCAGCCCGAGGATAACGAAACTACCGTGTCGCATCAAAAGACCGAAGCAGTGACCTACAACAACATTTTGCTGCGTGGTTGTGTTCTCAGAAACACCGACTGGCTGATTGGCGTTGTTGTGTTCACTGGTGACGATACCAAGATTATGCTCAACCAGGGCAAAACGCCGTCCAAGCGTAGCAAGATTCAAAAGGAAACCAATCCTCATGTAAGATCTGCTTCGTTGACATGATACGCAAATTGCAGTGTGTTAACGTTGTTCAAAATACGTGTAGGTTATTGCTAATTTCGTCGTGCTAGCAATCATCTGTATTGTCAGTTCGGTTCTGGACAGTGTACAATTCCACGATAGCGGGTCAGCGCCATTTTTCGACTTTAACATACGAGGAGATAACGCTTCGTATGATGGTTTCATGACATTTTGGTAAGTGTCATAAGTAACGCATGGTCACTCTTGGTTTGGGCGTTTCCGTTAATTAGTCCATTAATTATTTCTTTCGCTCTGTACAGGGTGACCTTGATTTTGTACCAGAACATTGTGCCGATCTCTTTGTATATTTCCGTCGAAATCGTCAAAACATTTGTAGTAAGTTTTATCTTGGCATGTTTGTTTATCACGCGTGTTGTAAATTAAATACGGTCCGATCATAGGCATACTTCATTTATGCAGACATTGACATGTACCACGAAAAAACGGACACCCCTTGCATTCCCAAAACATGGAACATTTCAGACGATCTTGGCCAGATTGAGTACATTTTTTCTGACAAGACTGGCACGCTCACGCAGAACGTAATGGAGTTCCGGAAGTGCACCATCGATGGAGTGTCTTATGGTCAAGGTGTAACCGAAGCTGCTTTGGGTGCCCAAAAGCGTCTACAAGGTACTGGTGAAAAGGACTTTGCCGGAGGCTTGGATGACAGTGAGTCTGGTGTAAGCATGTCCCAGGACGATGAAGATCAAATGGGACATGTTAAAAAGCAAATGTACGAAAAGCAGCAAGCTCTCTTTGAGAATACACACGTCGGTTCGCATCCAACATTCGGTGACTTGCAGTTCTTTGACGACTTGAAAAACCAAGGGTCGTCTCATGCCATGGCTATGATCCATTTCATGACCGCGTTGGCCTTGTGCCACACAGTAATTGCCGAACGTCCTGACGACGAAAATCCAGAAGCAATCGAGTACAGAGCGACATCACCTGACGAAGCTGCTTTGGTCGCCACCGCACGCGACCTTGGCTTTGTCTACCTCGGCCGAGATGCTAACACGCTTAATGTTGAAGTCATGGGCGAGCTCCAGCAGTTTGAATTGTTGAATACTTTGGAATTCAATTCTACCCGCAAGCGCATGAGCGTTATCGTCAAGCCCCTAGATAGCGACCGTATTTTGATGCTATGCAAAGGTGCCGACTCTGTGATTTTCGAGCGTCTGTGCACGGATTTTGGTGACCAGACTGAACTCGAAAAGAGCCAAAAGCAATTGCAGGAGTCAACCACTCGAGATCTCGAACAGTTTGCCAACGAAGGTCTGCGTACGCTATGTCTTTCTTATCGGTTCATCTCGCCTGAAGAGTACAAGGTGTGGAACAAGACTTACCAGGAGGCATGCTCAAGTATCTACAACCGTGAAGAAAAGGTCGACGAGGTTTGTGAGGAGATCGAAACGGATATGCTGCTGATGGGTGGTACGGCTATTGAGGACAAACTCCAAGAGGGCGTTCCAGAGACCATTGCTGAATTGGCTCAGTCTGGTATTCGACTATGGGTGCTGACTGGCGACAAGACCGAAACAGCCATCAACATTGGCTTCGCTTGTAACCTGATCACAAACGACATGCGCATGATTATTCTCAAGGCCGATGACCGTGAGTCGACCAGTAAACAGCTCAATGATGCACTTCACCAGGTGAACAGTTCTCAAGGTCAAAAAATTGCCCTCGTTATTGATGGGACAACGCTGAAGTACGCCTTGGAGCCGGCAACCCGTGAGACTATTCTTAGAATCGGTATGAAGTGCGCCAGCGTCGTTTGCTGCCGTGTCAGTCCCAAGCAAAAGGCTCAAGTCGTAACTTTGGTCAAGAAGGGATTAAAGGTCATGACTCTGGCTATTGGTGACGGCGCCAATGATGTGTCCATGATTCAAGAAGCCAACGTCGGTATTGGCATTTCCGGTGTGGAAGGTCGTCAGGCTGTAATGGCATCAGACTACGCTATTGCCCAGTTCCGATATCTGCGCAAGCTGCTTCTTGTTCACGGTCGATGGTCTTATATACGGACAGCGGAAACGGTTATGGGTTTCTTCTATAAGAACATTGTGTGGACGTTCGTCTTGTTCTGGTACCAGATTTTCTGCCAGTAAGTAAACCGCTCTTAAACATACTTGTAGGAATACGAACTAAGCATAAAAACCTTTTGATTTTAGGTGGACCGGATCTATGATTTTTGACTACTCACTCGTCACTCTGTACAACTTGATTTTCACCTCTCTACCTATTATCTTTATGGGCATCTGGGATCAGGACTTGGATGCCGGGACATCTCTCCGCTATCCAGAACTTTACCGCATGGGTCTTCGTAACGACAAGTTTAAAATGTGGCTCTTCTGGGCCACCGTTGCCGACTCTATCTTCCAGTCAGCTGTCTGCTTTTTCTTCCCGTACATGCTCTTGGTCGCTGGCAATCCGGATAAGTCAGGCTATAGCGTCTCAAATGGTGTTTATGAGATCGGCACAGTCATGTCAAGCATTGCAGTTATTGTCGCCAACTTGTTTGTCGGTCTTGCACTCTACAGCTACACGTGGATCCAGGTGGGTATCATTGCACTCTCGATCTTGGTGTACTATGCCTTTGTCGGTATCTATGCGCAATTCAACACGTTTATTTTCGCTGGCCACGACCGTCTCTTCGCAGTCGGTTACTACTGGCTCGTATTGATCCTGACCGTCTTTGCAAGCTTCTTGCCTCGTGTCACCGTGCATTACTTCTTGCGAATATATTTCCCGTACGATAATGATATCGTGCGTGAAATCGAGCTGGTGCAGCACAAGGGTCGCCGTGAATCGCTTACTGGCAGAGAGACTGGCGTCAGCACGAAGACTACAGACAATTAATTCTACGTTTCATATCTCTCCCTGTCCTCCATCTTTCCTCTCCTCTGTATTTTTTCCTGTACTGCGTTTTTGGACACTTTTGTATTTTTATTATTGCTTTTTAGTCTTCTATACTCTTTCATTTTACATTTTTATTATACGCACGCTTTCACTCTCGTAACGGCCCCCTTTATACTTCAAAACTGTACTACGTCTCTTTAACTGTAATAATTGTATATATAATAATTTTTCGTAGTATTTTACTAGAATAACTTTACATCGTTAATAGTAGAGAGGCAGTTGATCTTTGCCATCAAGAAGTAGAATATAAAGGGTATCATATTGTGTTGTATGCCCAGTTACTTCATCAGTTGAGCGTAGTGAACTTTCAAAGCTGTAACCGACTGGGCCTTCGCAAACGAGACCATCGGTTCGTTAGCTCGTTAATCCATATATATGTTGCTTCCTTTATCTTCTTCCATTGCTATGCCATTCCCGCTCTTTTTTTTGGATGGATAGGAAGTTGTACGTTGAAGATATATGATGCGCATAATAAAACTGTTTGTAAAATATGCCAGCTTTGCTGGAAACGTCGCGATTACTACAACTAGCGATCCCTTGTTGATATGAAATATATTATTTATTAGCAAAAATATGCTCTTGACAAAGCAATAATTTAAGTACACGCGCGCGCAGTAGAAGTTTATGGTGTTAATCGTATTTCTCCTTGTGCCAAGTCTTCTCATCCTTCTTTTCCCAGTCACCATCGTCTTCTTTCCAGTCATCATCATCCCCTTCCCAGTCATCATCGTCTCCTTCCCAGTCGCTATCCTTATCCCATTTGTCACCGTGGTTCCACTTTCCGATCTTCTTTTTGCCCTTTCCATGGTACTTGTCATAGGGGTAAGTAAGATAATAAGCATACTCAGTTCCTTCAGAAGTGACAGTGATGCCAGGGATATCGGTCGTGATGGTCTTTGTCCTGGTGGTGCTTGTCATGGGAGAATCTGTATGTCTGTCCGTTTGCGTCATATAGGAGGTAATTGTTCTGGTCGTTTGCGTCGCATGTGTCACATGCTCCGTCACTCTATTACTGTCGGTTACTGTGAGGATCATAGTTGTAGGCTCTGAGAAGGATGTAACATATTCAGTTGTGCCTATTGAAGGTTCATCGCTAAACGTAACGACAAAAGTCTCGGTTGTTGGAACTTGAACCAGTGTTTCCACGGCCGTTGTGTATGTTTCTCCAGGAATGACAAGGGTCATATCAGTAAGTAAGGTTTCAACAGTTGTATAGACATTCGTAGCAAGGTTGGTGATTAGGGACGTATCGGTGGTAGTGATCACATCGATAAGAGTGATTTCCGTTGTTACTGTTTCAGGAGGTACAGTAATTACCGAGTCAGACACAGTGATGGTTGTGCCTGGTTCGGTTATGACGATTTCAGTAACTTCTGTTGACGTCAATGTATTCGTAACCAATTGCGTCGAAATATCAGTGGCAGTGCTGGTAAGTGTTTCTGTGTCGTATATCTCTATTCTGCTTGTAACAGTTGTTGGCGGTTCGGTCACCGTTACTTCAGTAGTTTGTACTTCGCAGTCAGTGTCGACATCCACAAAAAATGTAGTATGATAGTCTGGAGGGAAGGTATAATCGGAAGGTAGCGTAAGTACGCCAACATCGGGTCCGTAAGTCATCGTTGTCATAGCCACTGCAGTTGATGTGTATGTTGTGGTGACGACTTCGACCATAGTAGTGGTGCCTGTGGTTGCTCCCCCATTGCCTGGACCGCTGCCTCCATTTCCAGGTAAACAATCTTGGAACTCATCGCAGCCGTCGCCAGCAGCAGCATAATCATGAATTTCCACACCAGTTGGGTAGTATCGCCATCCATAGCTGAGCCCAATGATGTTCCCGGCAAAGGCGCCTGTTGTACCATCAAGTACGTTCGCTGGAAAGTAGCATAATTAGCGTCTTATACTTGAATTTTTTGGGCTTCGTCATACATCTATGAAAGCATATACACATACCTTGAGGTGCCAATGAGAAACCTTCAAGCTGACTTGCAGTGTTTCGAATAAAGGTGATCTCGCCCGTGACACTATATTCACCGTTCAGGTTCACTGGGTAGATGTTGTAAATAGTCTTGCATGCATTGAAGCCGTTGCTTGGATTGTTGCTGTTAATCTCAACCGTACTGCCAGCTAAAACAGGAATCTTAAAATAGAAATTGGAAAATGATAAGTGTTTCAATTAGAGCTAGAGAGCCCCACTCTGTAGAATATGGTCCTTTTCTACTTACGTTGAAAACAACAAGTTCATCGTCGCCTTGGCTCCAGCCACCTTGAGGGCCGTTCCAGTTGCCTTGATTGAAAAAAATAGCTGAAGGGTCGGATAGAGTACCTTGAAGATCACAGCTGGAGCAAGTATTGAAGGTGAAGATCGAGTATCGCGTGCTCGACGAATCAAGGACATTGACAGTGCCGTCTGCGTTTAGCTGCACATTGGGCGTTAAGGATGAGAGGAGTAGCGAGGCCACAATGGATACGCTTTCCACAACATCGAAATCAACAGGACTCGAATCGGTAAACAGCGAGCAGCCTTCGCCTTCAGAGAGCAGCCTCAAATCTGCAGAGACACTGACAGACTGATAGAATACGCTTCCGCGAATTCTGGTATCGTATGTATCCACTTCTCCTCCAATAACCAAACCAAATCTGTCGACAATGCTTGACCCGCTGCAGCTGAGCGCATGATTAGCGTTGACTAGGTAATTTGGTGCAGTGAAGGCTCCTCCAACCGCCAGAGGACCCAAAATGTCTTGAGCACCGCCCTAATATCCATCCCATTATTCAAACAAATAGTGTTAGCGACGTTTTACGTGCTACATGAAAAGGGAAACTTTTATACTTGAACGACTTTTACAGTGATAAAATCTCCAAAGAAAACTCCGGTGAAATGGCTAAACTACACATATCATATATAAGAACAGGTGATTCGCAACAGTGCCTTGACATTAAACAGCGTGAACTTACGACTTCGGCGGCATGAGTTTCTCTCTGAGCAGGGCAGAAATGATCAAAGTCCTCAAGCACATCTCGTTTATCAAGACGGTGTGATTTTACACTTCGATTTCCAAGCTCGGCAATAAGATTCCCAGCTGAGAATTTCCCTGGATCTGGCACTGCCTGAACAGAGACGATTGCGAGTACAGCAGTGGCTGCTGTTGCCAAGGTAATTCGGACGACGTGGTTAATCCACATTTAACGAATTTTACAGTAAAGGAAGTGGAAGACAGTGTTTTGAAAAAGAGTAACTTGAAAGTATTTTTCTGCTTGTCCTTAAGAACAGGAATGCAGTATCTGGGAGAAGAATGTTTTCAGGACTGGTGGGAGGATGATAACCTGCTTGCATTCCGCAGAATGTACCAGATCGTTTCGCAATGACAGTGGTACACAACAGAAATTATTTCACCGCCATACGTGCTTCCACTGACTGTCAATTTATTTTACATTTCAATACAGACATAAGATTTATTTACGTTTAAATAAGACACATCATCTTCAAGAAGTTTGATATTTTTCAATATGAATATGGCTGTAGTTATATGTTATCTATTGAGTTTGGTTTCCGTTAATGTGTCAGCTACTAACTATTAAATTAACAGAACTCAATATAATATATATGTATCTTTCAAACCATCAAAGCAGCTGGTGCCTCTACATCGGCTAAACGAGATAGTCTGTACTAGCTTATATAGATCTCAGGCTCCTGAAACAGCTATAAGCAAATATACTGGTGGCAAAAGTTCGTATAGCACAAGAGATATGCTATTTAATTCTTTACCTACCTACATCATAGATTTATATGAAGTATATATGACAGTGTTACATTTATTGAGGCTATACAGTTTATATACGCCTATTGAGAGTATAGTGGATGATATCGAAGCTATATACACCTGTAAAGGCGTACACTGTTAACTATCCATATCATACTTGTGGCATATCCTTGCTCTATCCTCCAATAAATTACGCAGCACTGCTACTTTTAACTGTTCCCTTTCAAACACAATACAGCCGCAAACATTAATGAATATTATCCGAGACTTCATCAACAAGCTACTGTAGAGTGAACGACGAACGCAGTCCAAAATAAAAAATGTAAAAGTGTTCTTTAAAGCAGTAGAATCGTACAAACAAGCGAACAATCGTCCACAGGCGGTGTAGCTTCATTTACGATACGCGATGTTAAATATCTAACGTGATATGCGTTCATAGACGCTTGTTGATCAAACCAATACTTTCTGGGAGCTCTCAATTGCGCCATAACAACATTCAGAACTTATTTTACTCCTGTTCGCGTTGCTCAGAATACTAATCTACATGCGCAACAGGAGCAATCTCTGTCTTTACACTCCCACTATCTTCAGAATGCTAATTAGTACGGCGCAGGCTGAAATATACATAACCAACTCGAGCGATTCGCTAACTAGCAAACTGAAGATATGGGAATCACGTTCAGTATCCTCACACAATCGATTATTATTATACATATAAAATCCAACAGCAATATAAACGAGCGCAGCAGCTATAACAGATGCAAGTTGCTCGTAGGCGATATGATGTGTATACGTATGCACGCGATATCAATCACGAGGTTCACTCATTATACTTATTCAACTCTGTCTTGGTCAATATTTACGATTGTTATAACAGTCCGAGGCTAGCAACAGCACCGGAGCATTAGGCAGATGTACTATAGTTGCAGCAAGGCGATACTTACATACTTTTTGTGGTGACGTTTGCGGCAATAGATTTTTTGTTCATGACTTGCCTTTGTATTCTCTATGAACAAAACCCTCAGCTTCTGCCAATGTAAGTTATATCTCTACACTGCTGTTCATCATTATTATGTATCCTCTTCAAGATCGTTTGTGCGAAATCTGCTGTCACCAAAAGTCATTACAAATAAAGGAAGGATGTGCGGATTACAACCGAGATAATGGAGCACCTATCACCTCGTTTTTAAATTAAAATAGCTTTTACTGTTAAACAACCACGTTGTTCGGGATGCTGTACGGAACATGCTTGACGAAGAACTTTTTGGACCAGCGAGAACTGGAAACATAAATGCACACATGATCACTTTAGCATGGTAAAGGATCATTAAACTAAATCATAGTGCTAATAAAGACATCTAGAGAATAAATGAGTGAGACCCTTTATGATTTTTTAGTTGAAGCAGTAAGTATGCTTCGGTGTGTGACAAAGAACAAGAGTGCACCCGATTTACTCGATCGCTCAAAACAACTTTTTCATTATAATTCGCAGCAATGTTTCTTTTCGGTGCCGATGTGTTCTTCTCAACTACACGGATAATATTATTGAGAGTATGGTAACATATAAGCTAGAGTCTAGAAAGAATGTATATATTCTACAGCACTAGGTGAATTTATCACCACTCACTGTCATCTTTTTCCCATTTGCTGTCATCTTTTCCCCATTTGCTGTCATCTTTTTCCCATTTGCTGCCCTTTTTGCCCCATTTCTTCTTCTTCTTCCATTCGTCCTCCCAAGGATCGTTAATGTACACTGTCTCTTGATCTGTTACTGTAACAGTTGTCCCGTCATTCTCAGTGATAGTGGTAGTAGTCGGTTTAGTGATAGTAATAGAGTTAGTAGTGGTGGCAGTAACTGTCAAGCCACCGTCAGTTGTCCTCGACGTGGTCGTTGTCGTAGTGGTTGTGTTTGGAGAGCCTGGATTTATTGGCAGGCAGCCTTGAAAATTGGCACAATTGGCAGCGGGGTAGTCGTGGATTTCTACACCCTGAGGGAAGTACTCCCATGTGTAGTCCAAACCAATAATAGTACCAGCAAAGTTACCCGTCAGGCCATCGCGGATGTGGCCTAAAAGCAGCGATGAATATCATTAAATAAGTTCAAGTGGTTCCTATGAGCCTAGTATAAGAACAAGAAAAATTACCTCGTGGTGCAAGTGAAAAGCCTTCCAATTGACTGCCGGTTTCCCGAACAAGAGTGAAGGTACCACCAGGAACAAATTGGCCGTCTTCATTGACTGGATAAAAGTTATAGATAGTTCGACATGCATAGAATCCCTGGCTAGGTTGGTTGCCGGTTAAGCGAAGAGTGCTGCCATCGGTTACCGGAATCTGCAAAAGGGAATTTTTGCTAATATTAGTTATCTCATATAGCAACCAAAAAAATAGAGACCAAAGTCATACATTAAATACTATAGTGTCGTCCTGGCTGGGTACATCACCGGACGGGCCATTAAAGTTGCCATCATTGAAGAAGATACCCGTTGGATCGGAGAGGGCTCCATCCACTGGACAGTTGCGGTCGTTGCAGGTATTGAAGGTCATGACCTTATAAGGTGAATCGCCACCAAGTGAAACGATCTCCCCTCCCTCGCGCATAACAAGGTTAGGTGTCATCATGGCAAGAAGGCGATTAATATCACGAGATGCTTCTTCGACTGCGCCAAAGTCGAAATGCGCAGTTCCTTGATCAGTGTAAACATCACAAGGTGGGTCTTCTTCGTGAACTTCGTCTACGGTTCCACCGCCTGCAAGGAAAGCATCACCATGTACGTCGGTATCGATAGTATCGGTAACACCACCAACGACTAGACCGTGGCTTCCGAAGGAATTCTGAAAATCGCCGTTACATACAACTTCTTCGTTGGCATTAACGATATAGCCAGGTGCTAAAAAGTGGCGACAGAATCAGTAAAAAGAATCATTATAGGATCACGCATGTTATCTATGGCTAGCAAACTTACCAGTAAATGTATCGCCAACAGCCAAAGGGCCCAGGATGTCTTGACCACCACCCTAAAATTTTAACCATTCAGGTAAGTTTCTACTATCTATATACTAGACATTTAACAGAGAAATATCTACCGTGATGAAATCATGGAAAAAGATACCGGTAAAATGTAAGAACTACACATTTTAAGTACATAAAGCTAATTAGCGAACACATGAGATTTAAAATGTGCCTTGTAGCGACGCTCACCGCTTCACCAGCAAGGGTATCAGTCTCGACGGGACACTGGTCACCTAATTCATCTGGAACGGACGTCAAATCACGCTTTGTAAGGCTAGAACGTTGAAGTAAGCCTGTGTCGTATAGATGGGTTAATGTTTCGCCAAAGAAAGGGAGGGCATGGATAACCGGCGCAGCTGCTGCAGCAGCAAATAAAACTGATGTAGCTAAATGGATTTTCATCACTCTTGACGATCCAGCTTACACTATTACGGCTTTTAATGAAGGACTTTATATATTAATCTGCTACACAATATGTGATTCTTCTGCTGTACCAGGTGCTTCGAATACAAATTTTGAGTTTCAAACATCACTGCATTTTGGACTTGATACTCGGGTAATATTTCGGCGATTTTGAGAGGAATGTCGTTATATTTGGGCATATTACTCCCTGTAGAGGTTTTTCTTAAGCACATAGACTTTATCATATTGGGGGCTACTACACGTTTGCAAACGATTGGCATACGACTAGCACAGACATAAGCGTCCGAGAATTTACTGTGAGTATATTTATGATTCAAATGATATGCTTATGCTACGCCGTGAAGTCCTATATGTTCTGGGACAGATCTTATACGTGTAAGTATATCCGTCATAGAAACACTATATACATTCCAAATGACGGTATTATGCAGTCCTGAAGCCAATGGTATCATAAAAAAAATCATTCTCCCCAAGCATAAACACAACTTGAAAAAGTATCCGTTTGATTCCATCCTTCCTTCTCTAAATCTGCATATATCGCTCCATCGGAAAAACGTACATTCAGGTGTTATGGCACATATCAGGCGTTTTCAGCATTTCAAAGCAACGGTTTATTCAGAGCTACACCCGGTTATTGCTTATTTCTTAGCAGCCTTAGCAGCACCCTTGGCCTTAGCCTTTTCTTTGCTCTTCTCGATAGCGGCCTGACGAGCAGCAGCACGGACTTCAGGCTTCTCGGCACGCTTGGCGCGGATTTCATCCCACGAGGAGCCACCAACAGCACGCTCAGCCTTGACGGTGCGGCGGGTGCGCTTCTTGACGATCTGTTCGGTAACACCCTTCTTGTTAAGGCGACGATAGATTTGAGTCCAGCGGATCTTGCGAGGGCTCAAGCGCTGCAAGAAGTACGACTCGGCCTTGCCGTTGAGGAAGCGGAAAGTCTAATTCATAACATGCAAATGTTAATAGCGTGAACGAGCGATGTACGTTAATTTTTTCGTAAATGCGTTCGTGCTTACTCTACATTATATTTGAAGAGTTATAATGATTAGCAAGCTGAAAAAAAGGGGAATGACAGTTGCACCATGCATCGTTAAATTACCTGCTGTCACTGCGGACGTAAACTTTGCCCTTGGAAGGGTAGATCTTGTAACCGGAGAACGAGCAAATCTCGAGCCTGAATAGAATAGTATGGTAAATATGGATGGTCGATGGATATGCACTACATACAACAGATGGATGGATGGATGGATGGATGGACTGATACGTTACTTCATGGTGATGTACAAAGAGGGGGAATCTTGATTTCGCGGATTGGCCAACAGGGAATATCCCCTCCCCGCGGGCGCCAGTAAATTTCAGACATAGTCACACAGCCGGCAGACCTACCAGATTGCATTAAGTGGGTGCGAACAATTGCAATGCTTACAGCAGATAACTCTTCCATCTGATAGAAAATGCTTTTGGATAGTAAAGGCTTTGTAAAATCCATTACAGTCAATGGTTTGTAGCAGATTGGTGCTATAGTGCCATAGTTATCACCATAGGGACGTGTTATGGTGACGAGCCAACGAACTAAATAACCAACCCATTTACACAAATTCTTTTGTTTTGTCAACAAAGGCCAAGCATTAATTTTGTTTATTTTGGTTGAGTTTTGGGTACTTCTGGAAACTCCAAATCCTTCAATTTGTCGGTTGCTTCTTTCTTCTGAATCTTGCGAGTGTATTCCCGTTGTCGCATATAGAAATAGTCCCTGTTTAGCACAAAACGCACGGGCTGTTGCGGCGATTTCGGCGTGGTGGGCTCTTCCGTCTTGTCATCCTTATGATCTTCCCCTTTTTGCTTGTCTTCATTGTCTTGTTTCTCCTTTGCATCTTTCTTGTCACCATCGTCACTTTTTCTTTTATCCCCGTCCTCGCCATCCTTCTTGTCCTTGCTAGTTTTATCGTCATCGTCCTGCGAAGGCTTTTTCCGCCATGAATTCCATGCCGAGCCTATGCTGGCCACCAGGTCTGAGACACTGTCACTTTCTGGAGGACGGTCCTCGAAGCGTTTCTTTGCCCTTGGGCTAGACGGAGCCGATTTTGTCCCACTCGACCCACCGACACGAGTGCAAAAGTTGGTATCGCCTAAATGCGACCGACAGATGTAAAACCAGTCGAGATTACTGTTGTCTGCCAATGTCAATACGACTGCTGTGAATTTGCTACATATATAGCACGGTCGCTCGTTTGTCGTTAATCTTGCAATGTAGAGGTTTTGAATTCGCTGGCTCATAGAAATGAAGAAAACACAGCCGTTCTGAAGTTGAAAAATCGGTCAGGTGCTAGGCGCTGCGTGCAATGCAGATCGATTGGTTTGTGTACACAGCAATTAAAGTTTCGCATCATATCAACCAGCTTTTCTGATACTTGACTTTGTCAACATGTAATTACGCTCAATTGTAGCGGTATGTTTGATTGGAATCCACACTTTATTTCCCAGCGAGAGGGTCCATATTCTTCTCAACTCTGAATAAACTGGTAATAGGTACAATTCTACATATCTATTATATGAAGATATCATCCGCCTTGAAAACTTGCAAACATTTTTGCCTGCTATTGTTGCTTATCACTTCTCTTACCTAGCAACCCATAGTAAACGAGTGAAGCGGTGTAACAGGGTGTGGGAAACCCTCCACCCCCAACAAGGGAGCGTGCGCGGGAGCGAACGTCCCATGAATGAAAAGGGAAACTAGATTCTGCATGTCAACGGACGACCACCGTAGTAGATGTAACAGTGCTTATTAGAGTGCTATAGATTACGTGAGCACAACAGGCAGACAACCTTTACTATGAATTGGTACAGCTAGTGTATCATAATATGACCAGTTTGCCTGCGTCTTTGTTACGTAAGATGCTCTTCATCGACACCCTTCTTCTTTTGCAAATACAATTTGTGCTAATACATCATCAATTCTTGGTAGACTCTCGGCTTTAAATGACTTTGTTTAGGGTTTAGTATTTAAATTGGGTAGATTAGCAGTAAAACAGGCGATCCCAAGGAGCTTCAGGGTTCTAAGTGCTATAGACAAGACCAGTATAGTTAAGAAACAATTCTGTGTACGCTCACGTGGTTTTTTTTACGTACCACATCCGAGTTGAACTTTCCAATATCATGACCACCTCTAGAAATCTTAAACGGTACATAATATGCATTCAACATCGTTTACTAAACTCTCTGTTGTAAAGCTGCTATAATGGAAATCCATTCTTGTAACGCACCATTACAGTTATAGTTGTGTATGGTTAAAAATTAACAGCTTGATGCCAATACGTGTCGAGGAAAGGTAACTAATGCTTGTTGTCATTCATGTACTATATACTGACGTAAGTAAGCGACATTTTCACAATCGCATCTTCCTACTCAACCAAACTAACATGTTTCATAACTTGACTTACATTACGATAAACGAAAACAACAACAATACTGTAACAACAAAAGGACGAAACAAATACTGTGACAATCATACAATAAGCATATATTATTGTTTAGATCAGAATGAGAAGTAAAAACGAGTTCTGCCATCAGAGATCATTTTCGTTTACTAAGCCGTAAATATAAAGTTACACGAGGCTCCTTATGCACTACATGCGCAGGTAAGCCGTCAGACGCAGCACTCTTCCTTTCTGGTGTCATTCAAGCAGTTGTCATGACACAATCAGTATTTTTCCGCCCAGCTCCAGAGGTGAAACCTGGTGACACACATTCCGTCCTAACAGTAGCCACTCTCAAATTTGGCCCCGCGAACGAGTCAGTCGAGAAAGGAAAACGCGCTTACGCAGACCAAAAATATGACGACGTGGTCAAGCACTACACCTGTGCTCTTGATGCCTTGCAAACGGATCGATCTTCTTCGGTTATATATGGTCATCGAGCTGCTGCGTACGATATGCGAAGCAAGTACAAACTTGCAGTGGAAAATGGTCGAGCGCCGAACCCTGATAACAACGCGACTTGTCCCGATCCATATTTTGCTCTTGGCAATGCGTTGCTTTGAAAGAGAAATTTCGTGAATTTGCATCTTTGTATTAACGAGGCTCAGAAGCTGCTCCTCAAGAGAATCCACACCGTGGTATGTATGCTTACTACGAAACATGGCTAAGTTCTGGATCGTGCGATTAATTAGAATCAGCTCTTTGTGCAATCGCTGCCAAACAAAATACTTTACCGCATCCTGTCAAAAGTATCGACCCCAGAGCGTGCATGTTTGGGCATGACCTGTCGCTTTCAACACAATATTATGTTTCGCAAATGGCCGCACATGTGCCACGCAGTAGTTGATCTCGATGGTGGCGTTGACTTGACTCGGATGTTACGTGGCGAGCAAGATCGGGACGAATGCTTATCATTAGCCTTATCCGTGATTATATCCAAAGTCGAGTTACTGTGAGCAAGTCCTTCAATGTTTCAGTGGCACTTGGGCCAGTTGATAGACACGGCTGTGGAGTCGGAATAATAGGAATGGATGTAAAGAGGCAGAGTTGTATAAGCATACAATGGATGAAGTATGCCGAGATATGACACCAATACAGTAGTTGAACAATATACACCAGTTATTTCTGCCATAGTATCGATTGTAGCGCCAACTATCTAGTGAACTATGACTGTTAAGTCTACAATGACAACACCTGAACCAGCCAACACAGTTGAGGCGGCCATGACTACAAAAGCATCAACAGAATCCTCAATCCGATCGTACAGTCAGCCAGTCTACATCGCCAAATAGTATGTAGAATTGTTGCTATTAGTGATTCTGGCATGATGAAGAATTCGGAGTGCCATAGAACAATATGGATAATTGAAAAGCGAATGGTATATATTTCGTTAAGAAGGAAGAAACCGCCTTTTTTTTTGGCGATATGAAGGTTCGATATGTATATATAAAAAGTGTAGGAAGAGAGAAATAAATGGGGAGAAGTTACTTTTTTCTAGGTTGCTTGTTAATGGAGTAGAAAGTGCCTTTTAGCGTTGAACAGCTTTTGTACTCTTTGAACTGTCCATCAGCCAAGCCTTGCTCGTAGCAAGCTTTCCAACTCATTTGTTTGTGTGTTTGCAAGTACTTTTCTTTAAATGTATGGACTTACTCTAGCAAAACTTGAATTTTGTTCCCAAAAAGAGCGGAACTGAATTTCACTTAGAGTATTTCACCTGTGTGAGCATATGCAGCAGCCAAGCTTATACTTGTCCTTCTCGAAATTCAGCGATCTTCTTTGTTAAAACACTAATCCGCAACAACAGACAATTAGAGTTTGCTTGCATTAGAGAAGGAAGATCTTGTGGAAAATAAAAGACACTATTGCGCTGCTGGTTAATCTGAGCACATTGTCACCAAGTAGCCGTGCATCATGGTTGACCTAGCACTGCATTGACGTGTAGTAAATATCTGTTGTTGCAGATTGGTGTTTTGACAAAGAAGATCGCTGAATCTTGAGAAGGACAAGTATAAACTTGGCTGCTGCATATGCTCATACAGGGTGAGATACTCTAAGTGAAATTTAGTTCCTGCTCTTTTTAGGAACAAAATTCAAGTTTTGCATATAGGAAGTTAATTTATATTTATTAATTAAATGATAAATCATTTAATTTAATAATAATCATTAAGTGTCAAGCGTTCTAGTAAATTTCTAATTTCATTGAAATTTATCTGAACTTAAGGTGGCGACCGTAAAGGTCTAGCCTATATGTTTAAATATAAATAGTGTTATCTGTTCCGGATTAAACACATTTATATAAAACATATTATTTAGAATTAAAATAATAAAAAATTAAAAAATTAATTTCTTTTTTATTTTTATTATTTATAATCCACTGTTAATATTAATTAATTAAAGTTCTAACAAATTAAAATTTGTTGAACATTTAATTATTAATGATTAACTCCCACACTCTATGCGTCAAGGTGTGGCACAGACGATGTATCACGTAGGATGGAACTTTCTGTCCACGATTCCAATGCACGAATGTTTGGGGGCAGCGGTGCTTGTGGAGGCATCAAATCACCTTCCTCGCACTCTTGAGCTCTGTACTTATGGAGGCATGTCTCGGTATATAAAATTCCAGCGCTCACCAAGCTTTGCACTAGTTTTATGTTGGTAGGCCTATTTTGTTGGGTAGTTTCCAGGATCCTCTTAAACTGTTTTTAAACTTCTGTGGTCACAGTCATCAATGTATCAACGGTGGATTGATGTTCCTAGATAGGGAACTACTTCTTATAATATAAAAAAAAAGGGTTTCATTAATAAAACAGATATTATAGTTTAAAAAAATTTTATATATTGAAATGTATTTATTTTAATTTTTTTAGTTTTTATTTTTTCATTTATTTTTTCAAAAAAGTTTTTAATTCATATATAACTTTTTAAACCATATAAATGTGTTTAACTCATAAAAATTATAATGTTTTTTATTGATTAATCCCAACCTTATAGTAGCAGAATAGTAATGAGCATATCCCTCCTTTAGGTGTCCTACTATTAGTTGTCTAGCTATTAGTTGTTTATTAATTTTGTTATAGTTAATAAGCCTGTCCTAACCGGTATAGCCATTGATGGCTGATATAACTTTAATCAGAATCATTACTATCTTCATCTTCACTTCCATTTTCATCTGTATATATCTGACTATATTCAATGATTAACTTCTGCATTTGCTCTTGACATATTTGCATAATATCATCCCTATTTGTTTCTTTTGCTTTTATTAAATCAATATAATATCTAAAGTATGAATTAAAGAACCTTTCATACTTATATTTTTCCTTTTCAAGTTTCAAAATAAGGTCATCAATAAAAGTACAATTATAAGTATCATTTAATTTATCCATACAGGGCTTACATGCAATCATATACATATATTCACCCCCACCTGATTCACATTCATCATTTTCAGAATCACCCTATGAGGCATCTGCACCAGAGGTGTTTTCTAACATTGCATCAGAAATATGAGGATTTGAGGGTTGCTGAGAATTTGATTTTTCAGTGTATGTTTCTTTTATTTGTGTATTTGAAATATGAGGAATTTCAATTTGCTGAAAATTTAAATTTTCAGCAACTATTTCTTTTGGTGGTAATGTATTGTGATTTTCATAGTATTTCTCATATTTATGTAATTTTTCCTTTAGTTTTACATCCTCCTTTAATGTTTTCTCTTTACTTTTTATAACAGAAATAATATCTCTTTCATTATTCGCTTTACTTAAATTATTTTTAGATGACTCTTTTTGTTTTTTTGATGCTTTACGTTTTATTAATAATGTATTCTTTCTAATATTATAATAGTCTTCACAGCCGAGGTCGCAGACCGACGGCTTACTATTATTATTCGAGGCGTAAGCACTGATTCAGGTTGTGTTACCATTTTTTCTTTATTGGGTCGAAAGTCTAAAGAAATAAAATATGTGATATATATATGCTATAGCTGTATCATATACAAGCGACTGGGAAACAAACAGACAAACAAAAGGGAGAGGAGGGAGGGACAATCTGAATCAGTGCTTATGCCTCGAATAATAATAGTAAGCCATCGGTCTGCGACCTCGGCTGTGAAGACTATTATTCTTCGGCTAGCACTGATTCAGATTGTGAATGCAGAGAAACAACCGTCGGAAGGGCCATCTGAGTGAAATCTGTAGCCGTCTCTCGAGAGATACAGTAGAAAGTGTCAAAAACCGAGGAGGATAGCTAGGAACCATAGATCAAAACATCGTCTAAAGACGCCCCCGCTTGCACCGCTGCGGTCGAGCCAAGAGCTCGAGCCTTTGGTCGTGCGGTACCTTCAGGTCTTGGAATCATATCAAGAAAACGCTTGATGTGGTTGCTGATGCGCTCTGCACTGATAGCTGTGTTGTTGTTGTGTACTACCCAAATAAGCTTGTAAACATATTGGCGTGGACCATTGTTGAAAGGATAAGAACGGCGACAAGGCGTTTGGCAAAAGCGAGTGTGATAATCAACATATGTCTGGACCAGACAAAGCAAGGAGGTCTCATGTCTGTGGATATGAATGACTTTTTCAATGCGTTGTTGATAGCGCTTTTCCTTTGGGCGAGCAATCACCAGTCGTAAATGACGGTCTGTTACATTGGTGCGACCATCGTCAATGCGTTCTATGTCGGATGGACGAAGGAAACCCGTAATGGCCAGTAGGAAACAGAGCTTGCAGGTGAGATCGATTGCGCACATAGTGAGATTGTTGCCAAGGTCGACAATGTTGCGGATAACAGGTTGTATATCATATCGTGGTCGGTCGAACGAACGGATGGTCTGATCGTTGAGAGCGGAAAAAAAGTCTTTGTAGTGTGTGTCGTTTGCGAAAGATGATGTGTCGTCATATAGGTCAAGAATGGCTGATCGGTAATTAGCACATGTACCTGTAGCCCACCCAAGATGAACATGACCATAGGCCAGGAAGTTGACCAGCTGTGCTGGATTGGCTACGAAAGGATCGATGTCGTGTTGTCTGGTCCAGCAAATATAACGAGGTTGGATAGGTTGATAGTGCGCGTTGCGCTGTTGAGTATGTGCGGGATCGAGCATGATGGATGTTGCGTCTGTGCTGAGACCTGAAGCAGTTAAACGGCGCCGTTTAAGTTCCAAGCGATCATAGTCCAATGGGGATTCTTCTGCAGGAGAGATTGATCGTCGCCGGGTGCTGCTTGAATCGCGTGGCGCGGTATAATCTTCGGCTTCGAGATGCTGAGCTGTTGTAATGTCGGGTACCAAATCGCGCTCGGCCATCGAGGTGTGATTATTGTTGCTGTTATTCGTTCTTGCTGAATCTTCTGTATGGTGCGCTGAAAGAGATTCCATGGGGGGCAGCAATAAACTCGGCGATATGGTGTCCAAGGATGTAGAAGGCTGTCCGTAGCAATCGCCTGTTGATCTGGTCTCCAGCTCATGTATGCCTTGAGCTTCGCGTTGTGGTGAGAAGCAAAGCAATCCAGATGATGTGGACCCCATGCTTGGTCCAGCTTGCTGAAATACTGTGGGCTGATGCTCCATTCGAGTTGACGTTGAAGCTGTCAGGATGGTGGGTCTGCTGGGTTGAACTGACTCGGAACATACATCAACTGTATGCGCGTATTGGTTTCGAGACATTCCTTCCAGATCTTCATTGCGAGTGTCATCAGAGCATGAGACCGGGTCCCACCGAAATGATTGACATATGCGATCGTTGTTGTGTTGTCGCAATAAAGACGTAGAACCTTGCCACGAAGTGTCGGATGTCGTATTGTTTGTTGGATCGTCAGGAGTTCCTTGAAGTTGATGTGATGCTGTTGCTGATGCTGACTCCATGTCCCGGCGATCGACGTGCTGTTGAAAACCAGGCCCCATCCCCGATCTGATGAATCCGTGTAGACTTCTATCTGGGGGTAGAAGGGATAAAACTCTGCCCGTTCCAATATTGTAGATGCTCTATCCACCAGTGAAGCTCTTGACGTACCGATGCTGATAGCTGAATCTGCGAGCTCCATGTGAGTCCTCGAGCTAGCATCCGGTTGCGCCAGGCGATCATCTGGCGAGTGTAAAGACGTGCTGGCAGTACAGCTAAGGTTGTGGCTTGCGCTTTCCCGATAAACGAGGAAAGAAGACGTACTGTTGTTGTTGCTCTGTTCAGTAGACGTCGTGCTTCTCGTCGTAAGTCTCATAGTTTCGTTGGAGGAACAGAGAGTTGCATGGTCTTGGTATTGATATGAAAACCGAGATGATCGATTTGTTGAGTTGGTGTGAGATGAGATTTGGTGTTGTTCACCAAGAAACCCAGTGCGCTCAGTTTGCTGAGTACCGCTTGAGTGTGCTGTGATGCTTGCGCTGACGACTTGGCTGCAATCAGGACATCGTCCAGGTAAGCCGAGATCCGGATGCCTCGTCGGCGTGCCCAACGAAGCACTGGTCGAAGGACTTTCGTCCAGACAAGAGGAGAAAGTGAAAGGCCAAACGGAAGAACGCGGAACTGGTACGTCTGATTCTGCCAACGAAACTGAAGAAAGCGTCGCGATCGGTTGTTGACTAAGACGTGCTGAAACGCGTTCTCGAGGTCGATGCTTACAAGGTGATCGTTTGGTTGTAGCATGCGGCAAACGTGGCTGATGGTTTCCATCTTGAACGATCGGTTCTTCCGCAGATACTGTAAGTTGAGAGGTCGTAAGTTGAGGATGGGTCGTAAGCCCCCTGTTTTTTTGGGGATGGTGAACAGTGTGGAATGAAAACCGTTTTCGGTTGTTCTTTCGATGGCGCGGTTCTGCAAGAGAGTGTTGATCTCGGCGCCGATTGTCTTCGCGGCTGTTGGTGTGAGGTGGTGATACTGATAATTATTGGAATCGTGACGTCGGGTAGGTGGAATCGTATGAAAAGGTATGGAAAATCCGTTTTTGACGACGTTGTGGATCCATGGTGAGTCGCAAAACTTTGACCAAGCAGAAGCAAAAGAGCTCAAGCGCCCACCTACTGGTCCTCGTCGTGGTTGTTGTTGTTGCTGCTGTTGCTGCGTTTTTTGCCGGATTTCTTTTTGCCTTTCTGAAAACCCGATTGGTTGCCAGAGTCACCACGTCGTTTGTCACTTGACGTCTCATCTAACTGTTTGGTAGTACGAAAGTCGGATGACTTTTGTTGTTGTCGGCCTCCGGATTTGCCACTGTTCTTCTGCGTGGATCTGTTACGGGCAGCCTTGCGAAGAGCTTGGGATAACTGTGTATATTCCAAGACTTTACCAGCGTCCAAAAGTGGAGCGTTGGGCAGCGACCCAGGGGTATTAGCTGGGGCGTTTTTGAGGCCAGTATCACGACATATATTATCACTTCGAGTCTGAGTGATAAAGGATGCCACATCCGAAACAAGAGTGTGGATGGTGTTGGCGAAACGTAAAGCGGTGTCAACGTCCACTTTATTGGTGCGTATTGTGTCGTGAACGAAAAGATCGATTGGTCGAGTGAGCCCTGACAAGCGATATTGGATATCGCGAAGTTGACGATCAATGCGTTGACCCTGAGCACTAACTTCAATGTCGTTAAGTGGAGGAGGCGCATATTGACGACTGGTGTTGCGTGGACACTCGTGAAGAAAGCTACGGCGAGTATCGTCGTCAAGAGAGTTGCGAAAGAAGTCTTTTGTCATGCCCGGAAGGGCGTTGACTAGAGCCGGATAAGGGGTAAGCAAAGTAGTAGGAGCTTGCTCTGTAAGATTCGGATCGTCATCTTCGTCCTCTATGTCAGTATCCTCGTGTGCTGTCGGAGGAGCGTCAGCAGGATGAACAGAGGTGGAACCATGGTGTTGTTCAAGAATAGTGAGACGTTCTTAAATTGCTTAGAGAATAGTGTTAATGTCGGGCGTAGGAGACTCATCAGTCATGATCAAATGGACTCTCGACGGTTGTGTGTACCAGGAGCGAAAGAAAAAATGATACAGCTATAGTATATATGTTTCACATATTTTATTTCTTTGGACTTTCGACCCAATAAAGAAAAAATGGTAACACAATCTGAATCAGTGCCAGCCGAAGAATAATTTATATCATATTTTTCATAAATCGTCTTTTCAGCAAATTCTTTGATATTTATATTTTTATTATTTAAAAATATACTTAATTTATTGGTATCAAGGACAATTTTGTCATTGTTGAATGTGATTGTGTTGTTCATGTTTAATATTATGAGGTATTATTTTTATATAAGAAAAAAAATTCAATTTTTATTTTTTCAAGATTTTTAAATATATGCATACCAAGACATACATACATAATTTAATATTATAAAAATTATTTTAGTTACACCAACTTATTGTAGCTATTCATCCAATTAGTACTAATAAATCAGAGCATAATCATTATAACCTCGACCGGTCCCCTTAGGCAAGGAATACTTGGACGCAGCCTAACTTGACAGTGAAATCCTTAACTAAAATTAAATCACTATTTACAGTAGATTTAATTGTTAGGGATTGATACTCATATCGTGCTCTAGAGCTTCCTTAGCTACTTTGTATAACAAAAGCACCGTTGGATCTTCCTTATATCTAAGCCCAAAAACTGAACACTTCTGTTCAATAAAAACATATGTAAGTGCAGCCAGTGGCGGGCAGCAAAGGTGCATGGTTGCTGTTGTTGCTGTCGTTATGGTTATCGTCAATGAATTCTGAGATTGTTTTCGACGTCATAATGAAATGCCCCTTTGCCCAGAAATTGCTAGGCAGCTTTTTCATAAATCTTGCTTTAGGGTGATTGATAAATTTGTCAGAAATTTTGGTGCAAATGCTTTTGATGGCGATGGTAAGTGCAATGGGTTCCACATGATACTTTTGATATATGTGGTTGCAATAGACGTTAAGTCAGTGTAGAAATGGCTTGCAACTACATTCTGTATCTCTAATGCTTCCGACACTGCTTGGACAGGCATAAAAAAACAGCTGCACACTTTCCACCAAGTCATTCTCTGTTATGTACTATGTAGCTGTTTTGGGAGTGGTTGGTATTTAACTAAGCTTAGAATAATCTATTTCAACAGGATAAGCTTTAATATTTTAATCATCATTTCAAATTTGTGAAAAATATTTTACATTTTCGAAATATATCAAAATGCCAAGAAAAATAAAATTTATTTTCTATATCTTTATTTTAATATTTAAATAATGAATTATAATGTATTCTTCAAATAAAATCTATAGTTTTTAGATATTCAAAGAAAAGAGATGAATTATTAATTTATCCTTTTCTTATAAATAGTTTATTTAGTAAATAGGATAATGAAATTAGCTTATAATATTTACTATTTTAGTTTATTATTACATTAGTTTAAACTCCAAAAAAGAATTCATTCTTTTTTATTTCTATCTGGGAATATTATAAAATTTATAATTTTATGAATATTCTAAGATATTCTAAGAATTGAATGTTTCTATATAACAATGAATAATCACATGATTATTTCTCTATATTATACAAAAATTTAAAATGCAAGTATGTTTAAATTCTAGGATAAAAAAATAAATATAATAACATTCAATGTTTTAATAGAGAAGAATTATTAAATAATTATCTTTTATTGAAAATAATAAATAAAAGATAACTTCATTATCCTCATTATTATTTCTAAAAATAGAGAAAATATATTTTCCTTATTTTTTAAGAAATGGATAAAAGTTATACTTTTATCTCTTTTCTTTGAATATCAAGGAAAATAAAAATTTTATGATACTCCCAGGATGGAAAGAAAAAAGAATGAATTCTTTTTTGGAGTTTAAGTTTAATTTAATAATAAATTAGAATAATAAAAATTAAGAGATAATTTCTATCCTTAATTATAATTATTTCTAAAAAAGATACATTTACCAAATGAACTATTTCTAAGAAAAGAATAAATTAATAATTCATCTCTTTTCTATAAATATCTGAAATTTTTTTTTTTTCAAAATTCTGAAAATACAATAAAATTAATAATTTAAATACTAAAATAAATATAATAAAAATAAATTTTAAATAATTATCACAAATTTGAAATGATGTTTAAAATTTAAATAAAACATTAAAGTTTTTCCTGTTGAAATAGATTATTCCAAGCTTAGTTAAATACCAACCACTCCTAAAACAGCTACATAGTGCATAACAGAGAATGGCTTAGTGGAAAGTGTGCAGCTGTTTTTTATGTACCTGTCCAAGCAGTGTCAGAAGCATTGGAGATACAGAATATGGTTAATAAGCCATTTCTACATCGACTCAACGTCTATTGCAACCACATACATCAAAAGTATTATGTGGAACCCATTGCACTTACCATCACCATCAAAAGCATTTGCACCAAAATTTCTGACAAATTTATCAATCACCCTAAAGCAAGATTTATGAAAAAGCTGCCTAGCAAATTTTGGGCAAAGGAGCATTTGATCATGATGCCTAAAACAATCACAGAATTTATTAATAATCACTATAACGACGGCAACAGCAGCAACCATGTACCTTTACTACTCCCCCTACTGGCTGCATTGACTTATATTTTTATTGGACAGAATTGTGGTTAAAGTTAAGTACAGTACATACATAGCACAGATTTCATATTACTATTAAGAGCAGCTGCAGCGGTCGCTGTTACGAACCTGTTATATTAAATTTAACAGGTCATTTAACAGCCAGACCCTGCAGCGGTTGCTGTTAACGTCCTGTTAAATTTAACAGCCTCAACAAATTCTGTTAAATTTAATAGTTTCTTGAATCGAAAAAAAGGACTTGAAAAATAAAGTTAAATCTCACTTCATTCTTTGTTTGTATTCTTCAAAATGAACCACACTACTTCTAACGCCACTCCCCCATCTGACGTTACTGCCGCTGCCCCCCTGTGCAAGAGAAAGGGCAAAGCTTTTAGCAAGGCCGAGGATATTGCTTTGGTGAACGCGTACTTGGGGACAACCACTGACGAAGTAACGAGCAATGACATGAGCGAAGACACCATGTGGTCGCTCATCAAAGACGAATTCGTCAAAGAAACTGGCAATCCCTTTGACTGAGATGTCTCCTCGCTACAATCTCGATTTAACTCCATCTTGTCGCAATGCCAATTCTTCTCTGCTAGCTATGCAAAAGTCTTGGCTGTAAACGACAGTGGTTTTAACGACGCACAAAAGGTCGGGCGCTTTTGCATATTTCATATATAACTTGATGTATCCTTAAAGATAAAGAAGTGACTAAAGATGAGATAATAGTTCGACAAAGCCTGTGAGTTTTATGTTGATAACCGCCCTGTCAATAGTGGCAAAAACTTTGGCTTGAAGCACGTGTGGCATATGCTTGCGGAGCAACCAAAGTGGCAACCAATTGTTGCCAAGAAGAGTTGCGAGCCTATGGTAGAAGGCCAAGCAAGACCCATCGGTCAAAAAAAAGCCAAGGCCAACAAGAGAAAGCGCGCTCACGACGAAGAAGAAGAAGAAGAAGAAGCAGATTCGATCGAGAGAGAAACGTTGAAGACGATGCGGATCCAAACAGAGATCGATCGTGAACGCGCTGCAACTGCAAAGATGAGCGCGCATACGTATCTAATGATGGCTCGACATGCAGTAATGAGCGTGGATCCTCATGGATTCTCCTCTGACAGAAAATTCTTCTATGAGGCCTTGCAAAAGAAGATTACCCAGGAATTCAAGAAGATACTGGAGGAGGACAAGAAGAAGAAGCAGCAGCAGCAAGTGCTGGAAGAGGACGAGGAAAGGGATTGGGAGGAAGATGGCGATGACGAAGAAGACGGATGTGAGCATCAATAAAAACGTTTTAAATTACGTAGCCAAAAACCAGGTAAGTATTTATCTTAAAGGACAATTTATTCGTCACCATGACATTGCCAGATATGCTCGACAAGATCTTCTAGTAGACGTCTGTGGGTGTCTTTGTCTTTAACTTCGCGTTGACGTCTTTGACGCATAAGTTCTTCCAGTTGTCCACCATGCTCGATGGATGGCGCAACAGTGAAAGAAGAAGTGTCGTAGTCCAACTCATACTACTTGTCATACCCATCGCGCTCGTCCTCAACGATCATGTTATGCAAAATAATGCATGCCTTCATAATGTTTGACAGGTGGGATACATGCCAGGAGCGTCCAGGCTCGCGGACTATTGAAAAACGTTGCTGCAGTACCCCAAAAGCGCGCTCAATGTCCTTACGGATAGATTCTTGCCGTTGAGCGAACAACTAGATCAACAAGGTTATTATTTACATCTGATAGTGACAATAATATAATAAAGAAACGGTACCTTTTTTTTGTTACCCAGTGGGTGTCGAATGGTCTTAACGAGTGTTGCCCAAGTTGGGTAGATCCCATCGGCCAAGTAATACCCTTTGTCGTATTGTCTGTCGTTGATGGCGTAGGTAATAGCTAGGGAACGACCGTTAATGACATCGTCGAACAATGGGGATTTGTGTAAAACATTGAGGTCATTACAGGAACCGGGACACCAAAGAATGAGTGCCAAATCCATAGATCATGTGAAGCAACGGCTTCCAGGATCACCGTTGGGCCACCTTCCTTGCCAGACGTATACATTCCGGCCCAACCAGTGGGACAGTTATTCCACTTCCAGTGCATGCAATCGAGGGATCCCAGCATGCCTGGGAATCCCCGTGCCTCTCCAAGGGCCAACAAACGCTTGAGATCTTGCTTGTTTGGGGAACGAAGATATTCGTCTCCAAAGCATTCGATGACGCCTTCACAGAATCTCGTCAAACTCTCTCTTGCTGTGGACTCGGCAATCTTAAGATACTCATCGACAGCATCAGCAGGTCCGCCATATGCTAACATGCGCATAGCTGCAGTTCTTTTGACATAAGGGTGGGAGCCGAGTTTTCCGGTCGCATCCTTTGTTTGTTGGAAGAACGTGTACTTCTGTTCAAGCTCTTCCATTATGCGCAAAAACAACTCGCGCTGCATGCGGAACCGACGACGAAAAAAGGTTGCATCATATCTTGGGACTTGGTTGAAATAGTCCTGCATAACTATCATCTGAAACATGCTGCGTTGACGGTCGATAACCTTGCGTTTTGGCTTTTGACGTGCTTGGGCAGCGGAAACCCTTCTTTCTCGAGCTTTTTCCAAGATACGTGCAGTGATATGTCGCTTATGACTGCTGTTCTTTTCGGATTGCTCATTGAGAATTTGTCTTTGTCCACGTTTTTCGAAGAATGCTGAAATCATCGTTGTTTGGAAGATTGTAAAAAGCAATATTTTCATGTAGTTCCTGTCTATTCTTTTATTTCAACCAATGACGTGTGAACTTAACAGCTTCATAACAGTAACCGCTGCACGAAATGCCCTGTTAAGCTGTTATGCACTATTAAGTGGGCTGTTAAACTCTTAAATTTAACAGTTTCGTAACAGCGACTGCTGCAGGTGCTCTAACAAGTCTATACTTTTTGAAGATATTTTCAATATTATATAAAACCTTTTTTATATTTTCAGATTCTAGATATTTTTAATATCATATGTTTTGAAAAATTTTATAATATGTTTGAATAATTGTACACATAAGTAATCATTTTCAATATTTATAATTTCTTCTTCTTCTCTTTCTTCTAGTCTCTCAACTTGTTGAGAATATCTCTCTTTTTTAAAACTAATATTTTTATGTTTTGAGCAATTAATTTTATTATTAATTTCTTCTTTAGATTTTTTTATCAATATATTTATCTTATCTATAATCATTTTTATTATTTGATATAATTCATAAAACATTTCTTTTAGTTTTATTTTGAGTATTTGGTGAAGGAGCACTCATTTTATCATTAATATTATATATAGGTGAGTTATTCAAAATTTTTATTACTTTTATCTTTCTTCTTTTTTTAATATTTTTATCAGTATTAGTATTATTTCTTTTTATTTTATATTGTTTCCTATAAACATTATTATAATCTTTTAGGATTGTAATTTTAAAAGATTTTGTTTTATTATTAAATTTAATATTAACTTCTAGTATATTCTAATTCTCTATTTCTTTTGTAATAAATATCCTTTTCACATATTTTAAAAATGAAGATTCATTCATTGATTTCTCAAAATTATCTATTTCATCTATTATATCTTTTTTTAAATTAAAAAAATTCAATTTTATCCATGCATTTCATACAATTTTTTTAAAATCCTATGCTGTGTTTTTGATAATAATACTCCAGAAGTGTTCTGTCTTTAGACTTACATACAAGGATGACCCAATAGCGGTCTTATTATACAAAAGTAGCCAAGGAAGCTCTGGAGTATGATATCTAAAACCATCAATCCACTATTGATACATTAATGACTTGTGACCACAGAGGTGTAAAACAAGTTCAAGAGGATTTTAGAAACTGCTGAACAAGATGGGCCAACAGACATAAAGTGAGTGTGAAGCTTAGTGAGTACTAGAGTACTATATCCTAAGACGTGCCTCTACAAATAATATGGAGCTCAAGAATGTGAGGAAGGCGATTTGATGCCTCTACCAATGCCGCTGCCCCTAAACGTCCATGCATTGGAATCGAGGACACAAATTTCCATCTTACAAGATACATCCCCTATGCCACACCTCAACAATATAGAATATGTCCATTCATCTAAAGAAAGGTAACTGAAAACTCACAAACAAATGAGTTGGAAAGCTTGTTACGAGCAAGGCTTGACCAATAGACAGTTCAAAAAGTACAAAAGCTGTTCAATGCTAAAAGCCACTTTGGGAACTAATTATAACTTAATAGAACATTGATTAATTAGTATTAGTGGTGAGTTATAAATAATAAAAATAATAAAAACCTTAATGTTTTCATTACTTTATTAATTTATAAGTCCAAAAAAAAAAAAGAAAAAAAGAGGTTCATGATAAACCTTTAGGCTTATCATAGAACATATGATAGATAATGAAAGAAAAGAAAATTCATTTATATCCAACATAAGGACGAAGGATGAAGTGTTCTTAATTTTGAGATAAAGAGATGTAAGAGGTAGACTAGATATAGTCCACCCTTACATGCAGGATTAATTAAATATAGCAACTTTAGCTTTTAAGACTTATTATGTAATATCCTTTCAACTCATCCAACATGCAACCTAAAAAAGTAGCTTCTCCCTATTGATTTCTCTCTTCCTACACTTTTTATATATACATATCGAACCCTCATATCGCCAAAAAAAGGCGGTTTCTTCCTTCTTAATGAAATATATACCATTCGCTTTTCAATTATCCATATTGTTCTATGGCACTCCGAATTCTTCATCATGCCAGAACCACTAATAGCAACAATTCTAAATACTATTTGGCGTTGTAGACTGGCTGACTATACGATCGGGATTGATGACTCCGTTTATGCTTTTGTAGTCATGGCCGCCTCAACTGTGTTGGCTGGTTCAGGTGTTGTCATTGTAGACTTAACAGTCATAGCTCACTAGATAGTTGGCTCTATAATCGATACTATGGCAGAAATAACTGGTGTATATGGTTCAGCTACTGTATTGGTGTCATATCCCGGCATATTTCATCCATTGTATGCTTATACAACTCTGCCTCTTTACATCCATTCCTATTATTCCGACTCCACAACCGTGTCTATCAACTGGCCCAAGTGCCACTGAAACATTGAAGGACTTGCTCACAGTAACTCGACTTTGGATATAATCACGGATAAGGCTAATGATAAGCATTCGTCCCGATCTTGCTCGCCACGTAACATCCGAGTCAAGTCAACGCCACCATCGAGATCAACTACTGCGTGGCACATGTGCGGCCATTTGCGAAACATAATATTGTGTTGAAAGCGACAGGTCATGCCCAAACATGCACGCTCTGGGGTCGATACTTTTGACAGGATGCGGTAAAGTATTTTGTTTGGCAGCGATTGCACAAAGAGCTGATTCTAATTAATCGCACGATCCAGAACTTAGCCATGTTTCGTAGTAAGCATACATACCACGGTGTGGATTCTCTTGAGGAGCAGCTTCTGAGCCTCGTTAATACAAAGATGCAAATTCACGAAATTTCTCTTTCAAAGCAACGCATTGCCAAGAGCAAAATATGGATCGGGACAAGTCGCGTTGTTATCAGGGTTCGGCGCTCGACCATTTTCCACTGCAAGTTTGTACTTGCTTCGCATATCGTACGCAGCAGCTCGATGACCATATATAACCGAAGAAGATCGATCCGTTTGCAAGGCATCAAGAGCACAGGTGTAGTGCTTGACCACGTCGTCATATTTTTGGTCTGCGTAAGCGCGTTTTCCTTTCTCGACTGACTCGTTCGCGGTGCCAAATTTGAGAGTGGCTACTGTTGGGACGGAATGTGTGTCACCAGGTTTCACCTCTGGAGCTGGGCGGAAAAATACTGATTGTGTCAAGACAACTGCTTGAATGACACCAGAAAGGAAGAGTGCATAACGAGTCTCGTGTAACTTTATATTTACGGCTATGTTTCTCAAATCTAACCCACTGTGTTCTATAACAGATCGAGTATGACCGCTTACATGAGATGACAACAGACTGAGAGTATTTTACTTTCAATATGTTGCAAGTAGGCTATGTACTGCACATCTATAAACAGCTTTTGCAGGCGCTTTTATATAGTATGATGTGAATCATAGATAATTTCACTGTTACACTGTATGTCTTATGGTTGCGCACAAATATGATAACAGCCATGATGAGCGGTAGATTACATATGCGTTTTGGTGTGAATGAGTGGATAATTGTCGACAGAGGTGTGAATGGAGCGAGAAGTAGACATATTTTTGTACTATTGCGCGAGGTTTTATTTCAAATCAGGCGCATAAAACAAGAGTTGAAGAGAAGAGACTGAGAAACGTTTTACTAAGTGACGAGAGATAGTCAACTTTCTCGAAGGCGGGGTTGCCAAAGGAGTATGATTTGGGAGATACAGTAATATTTTTGTAGACAAAGCGCCAAAGCGCTTTCCATATACATTGTTTAACATACAGCTTATGGTTACGTAGGTGGGGAGATGATAGTCTCTTGAGGAACAGAAATGGAAGCAACCTTGATAGACCTCAGATTTTATGTGTATATTTAACAATATGGCCCAGAGTAAAATAGCAGATTTCGCAGGAAAACCTGGTCTCTTACCAAATTTTGTGATAGCAAACCTAAAGCGCCGGCAGATGAAGCACGCACTCGGCGTAGCATTACTGTCGTTGTTTATTCCTGTGTGAAACTATACAGATGTTTAAAGTCGATAAGGTAAGCATTTCCGGGTTTGTGCTATAAATGCCAACGGCCGTATATCTGCCGTAGCAGGGATGGCCCGACCTTGGATCTACGTAGCTCAAAGTGTACCATATTATCGTAATCTATATTATCATGCTTAACAATACAGTACTTCTTCTCCGGCCGGTGTTGGTGCTGATGATGCTGGTTTTTGTCCTCTTGACTAAGCAGAAGGGCTTAACAATACAGTACTTCTTCTCCCGCCGGTGTTGGTGCTGATGATGCTGGTCTTTGTCCTCTTGGCTAAGCAGAAGGGAGGGGCCTAATAAGTTCGTGTTAGCGCTCGATTTCTTCCTATCATCCATCCCATCAATATTATCATGCTTACCGACACTTCTTCTCCTTCGATCCTTCTGGCGAAAGCGAAGTTGACGCGTAGTGGTATTGTGGTATGCAGTTATGGTAATGGAGTGCAATATACTCTATTAGCGTCTTTGTTTTTTTTTCCTTTTTTTTTGTAATAATCCGTCCCAACACTTACCACTATTGCCTTTTATCTTGGATTTATGTTGCAAAAAAGACTTCGAGATAATTAGTGTTAATCTTACTGTTACCATTGCTAGCATGCGATTCCTTTCAAGTTTTGTTTATATTGGCTTCGCGTGGAACGAGGGACATGCTGCCAATGAATCGGGAAGACCCTCAGACAAATGACATAAGAGTGACCACACGTTTGTTGACAAAGGGAAGAAGAAAGGTTGAGGTGGTCGCAGAGCACATCACACCTCCTCCCGCATGGAGGGCAAGACTATTAATATGCTCAATTTCACAGACATCCATGGCAATACACAAACCTTGTAGCAAGCAGATGCAGTAGCAACTTGAGCTTTCATCCGATGGCACTATCTGCAGGAATGAGTTGCAAAAAAACCTATCACACCGCCACCTCTCGTCGTGGCATGAAGTCGTACATCATGCTCCAAAACAATTATAATAAATAAACGGCCCGTTTCTCCTGACCGCGACACATTTAGTGCGCGATCATTTTCATTCAATTGATGCAGCATAAGTGGATTTCTTTATACTGCATATTTCTGCCAGAATGAAAACAGCGAAAAAAACTGGCATCCATAGGCAGGCCTGTATTCTAATCCGCACTCCATCTGCCCCGGATAACAATGCTCCCCAGTACACATGCCAAGGCAGCTCTTTTAAGCGTTGTTAGGGGTAAATCCCATGATTTTTCGCCGAATTATGTATCCGTTGTTGACGCTGTGCCATGTTTTGACCATGAAATCATCCACGGCCATCTAGGGAGCTACTATCCAAGTACCTTGATGATGATGCCTTTTTCGGCTACACAACAAATATACTGAGAAGACGCACGACAGGGTAGGTGATACAATGTATCAATCTTGCATTAGTTGCCCAGCAAGATCTTGGATCGTGGTTGGAAATATAACATAGAAAGATGTAGTACGATCTAGCGTTTATGTGGCTCCTGCGCTTGCAGTACGAGCGGCAGAGTGCCTTTCTCTTTAGGTAACCAATTTTACCTCTCATGAGATCCCATTCTTGCGCACGAAGCTCCGAGTATCAAGTGATATCCTATTCTATTACCTGCTCCACGCGCGAAATGAGAATTCTACTATTTCATAACGCTAATGAAGCAAAGATTCAATTTCTCGTGAATAAGGTACGGGAAATATGATTAGTATTCATACGCATTTTGAACAAGATATGACAACATGTAAGCTTTGTAAACTGTATGTATGCAAATTTCTAGGTGTCTTCTGTTTTGACCAAAGCTTAAACCATAATGCCGATGCTGAAAACGCCTTGCGCCCAAGCCGGATGATCCTCAAGGACGAGAAGGTAGAAGACTTGAAGTATTCTATCAAAGCTCAAGGTTTCACTTTGAATGAGAATGGATCAGCAAAACTCTACGACTTTTACTAAGAGGAAAAGCGGTACACAAGACGCCGTAATGGAACCCGCTATAAGCAAAAATATTTCAAAGGGATTCAAACGGTAAGATAAGACCATCAAGATTCTAATTAAATTGCGAAGTACCAAACTTATGCTCTACTAAAACGTATATTGTAGATTTTGATAGAAAGGGGCAAATGGCCTGAAGGTGGGGTACAGTACGTGCAAGTTGTGCTGCTGAAATAGCAACTGGTGTTCAATGTTGTGCTCGCCATATCCTTGCAAACGAGCCGGATTTAAGAATCAGAAATCTGCTCTAGAAGAAGCTGTGAGAAAAAGGCAACATAAGTTTGAGCTCTATCCAAAATTCCATTGCGAGACAAACTTCATGGAATGCTATTAGGGCAGAGCAAAGCGCAAAGCACGTTTGCAATGCGATTATTGCATTCAATATTATTCAAAAAAAAACCGCTGAAAACCATAAGCAGTCCACCTTTTCACTGTTTTTACAGTAACACTTTTGACGACAAGTGACAGAATTCTACGAGAGGAGACTTTCAATTTGTGGTGCTATAAAAGCTTTATGAAAGGTGATAATCTACAAACAGAAATGGTGTCATATCTGTTGCTTTTGTCGCCTGTTTCTGCTTCGTGCAAAAAGTAAGCCAGTTTATATGTTGTAATCTCAAAAAAAAGTAGCAGCTAACTCGTCATCCTCCATGCATACTGAGGCATAAGGTGCTGTTGCTATTGTAATTTGCATATGCACTTTCTTTCGTGAGCGTTGTTTGATATTTTAATTTTAATGCAGCCGCTATAACGACAAATCGCTACCGGCTTTTCTGATTGCTAGAAAATATAACAAGCAAAATGTAATTGATTGTTTATATATATATGTCGCCACTTCTCACTTTTATACGATACTTTTGTCTCACGATGGTTGATATATGTACGGTGTAATACAGCGGCCCAGGTATGTCGAGTCTCACAAATGCTCTCTTCTTTGTATAATAACGTCCTTTCATGTCACTGCCCCACCACTTACAACATCGTCAAAACCAGAGTTGTTATATTACGCGCAAAAACATTCTTTGTTTACTATGTACTGCTCGTAGCTCATCATCAAATATGATATATGAGAAATGGCTGTTGAAAAACATTCGGTTCGGGGTATTTTATACGCATATCATACACTACTAATTCTTTCCGAATGCAGGACCCAGCAAAGTTATGACCCGTAACGAAAAGTAACGAACAGAGTGGACCAGTTGCCGCCAGCTTAAAGTCGTGATTGATACGTTCACTGTGGGAAATTACGTATTCGAACGCAAATCTACTATCAGTATGTCTTCAAACAGTATAGTAGAAAATTTCCTGTAGTGGTTCATGGATACAAAGATCTGTTAACTGAGATTAAGATGAACATATCGTTTTCTTTCTTTATTTCTACCTTTCATTTTCCCTCCATTTTTCAACCCGTTGGGTCACTTTCGTAACAATGCCGTCTAAGTGTTTCGTCACCACGGTGGTGGTATGAATATTTTGGTCATGTTGCTGAAAATACAGCTTCTTGTTAACTGTTAAAGGCCGCTTCTTACGTAGTTAATGCTGGTATGACTATGTTACATTACAGTTATTTAACGACCGTAACTACTCTCATGCTGCCAACACAATTTGTTCACCCTTATACATAAACAAGCAGAAAATACTGTATATAAAAGCATAAGTTCATGTTAACATTGCCTTATTCACATGTACTCACTTTAGGATCATGAATTGTCCAGATATCCTAAATACATATCGTATAATAAAAAAGAAAGTTATGAAAGAAGACTAGGTATATTACCACAGACATATCTTCTGCATGTTTTTGTAACCCCTCGAAAAAAGAAAACACATTTTTGCGGAATGCTTATTGTAGTATTTTTAAATTATAAGCGCGGTAAAGATGTACCTAGCCAACAGCTCTACTAAAGCACTTTGACAGGTACTTCACTTGATTTGTACGTTGAGCAACCTACTATGCTCTTTTTGCTGGTTATTACTTTTCGCTACATACTTTTTCAAAAAGCAACGGCATATAAAAGTAACACAACACATAGGAAAGCAATTCCTTTTTTACGGTGTAAGCAGAAAGATAATGAGGAGTGAAGGCTCTGTATGTCCTCACAAGGTTTATCAATTCGCATCATACGTTGCTAAGCCTTCAAAGATATGATTATGTACACAGCGATTGCGTGCACAACAAATCTCTAAATTCCAGCATGTGAAGCCCGCCAAAATCACGAGTACATTTTTGTGTAGCAAAAGCAGGCAGGTGGTACACTAGCTAATGACTGTTCCGCATGACTCTTGCTGACGACAGATGTGGCCATCGAACTAATAGGTTTTTCGCATAATGACGGGTCACTTCCGTAATGACTCTATAAGCACTTCTCTGTCGGGAAACTCTAAACATGTCTTGAGAACAATTTTATTATCATATATCAGCTTTAGATATTTACTCCGAGTATTTGTCTTGTATCTACTATTTTATGTTATGATCCGTTACTACAATATCTGGACACTACACTCAATGACAGTGATCATCTTTTTAACGTAGTACATGTTTCTTCACCGGAGTGAGAGCCGTCCGGCAAAGACGGTGTTGTACAACATTGGAACGGTTTCGGGATACCATACACAGCATAGATCCCGAGTGGCCCTGATTTCTTGACAAGAAGGTTAGGAGGAAGAAGGAGGAACGTGAATGGGCCGGCCATCTTTTAAAGGTTATCATCGGCCTAATATGCCAATAACTCTATGCACAAAGTTGCGTAGCCATTGAGGTGCACGCATTATTTACGGCTTTATTACTGCGCATGATGTAGTGGTAGTAAAGGTTGCAACCAGCATAGATGAAACGAGTTACAAAGAGAAGATGCATGTACCCGGTACAATGTAAACGAATGCAATATATAGAACACTAAAACGAATAGTAAACGAACTACACTCAAGAGTGTCGTTTCATAACTGTCTATTTGTAACATTATATCGTAATAAGGACAAACAAGGGGTGTGGATGGGGTAAGCACTCATTCCGAACGAGCCGACTTGGTGCTTGATCATGCGTCCAGCTGTTGTTACAGCTCAACAGCTGGGTTTTGATTCACATGACCAGATCAATTGTAAAATGCTTCGCTACATCGCACCGACTGGAAATGATTTCCCTTTCTTTCCCATGTTTACGACAGCGAACGAGCGTTTACACACGCTAGAGGACGACAACAAATTGGATGAAATCGGATATCCGCAAACGAGACTACTAAAACCCGTTGAACAACGCGGGCCACACGTAGTGTCAGCACCAACGAAATCGCCACCGCCGGTCTTGATGCCAAAACCTACTCCTGCTGTACCGCCAACACAAAGATTGGTTCATCAACAGCCGCCCCCTGTACCTTTAACAACAAATAATGTTCAGAGTAACAATAACATCAGCAGCAATGATAATTCTATCCACAGCAAAAAGACAGCTACTACGATCTCAAACAACACCTCCAAGATTTACAAGAATAATAACAATATTAGCAACGGTAGCCACAGCAACAGCAACAGCAAAAGTGTTCACCATACGATGCAAACAAGTACTTCGCCCTCTAGTGGTGCGACTTACACCACCCCACAGCCCTCGTTATCGGTAGAATCGGAAGCCGACAAGAAGAATTTGCTAAACAAATCGGTGGTGACCAGCACCAATACCAACTCTAAAGTGATGCCTTCATCTACCGCCCCATCCGATAATAACCATAAAGGTTCCACTGTACGACCTCAAGGCATTTTGATGAGAAAATTGGGTGCAAGCAATACAGCATCCCCTTCTTCTTCTTCTCCATCTTCCGTACGTAAACCTCTCACTGGGACAACCATAATGAGCAGCAGTAGCAGTAATCAGCCTCATCCGGTGTCGCTGCAACAAGATCCACACAATAGGGTATCATCTTCATCAAGCACTGTGCGACAGCAACAACAACAACAACAACAACAACAGCAGGCATCGCGCACCGACGCCACTTCCGGTGCTCCTGCAGCTGCTCCTGCTGTAGCCGCCACCAACACATCATACAACAAGGTCACTTTCGAGGATACCCAAGCAGGACCCGAAATCTCCGCCGAAGTCAGGGCCATTATGGATCAAAACGACTTATTAAGACGTGAGGTGGACTTACTTCGCCGCCAGCAGGAATCATGGCGCAGATCCAAGTTGGAGATGGAACGCGCAAAGTTGGAAATGGAGCGCGAGCAGCATGTTGTGACCAATAAACTCGAGCAATTAGAGGAGCAACTTCGCCATTACTGTTTCATTGCGACAGGCTCATACCCGACAGGTGCCGGTGCTGGTAGTACTAGTGGTGTGCGTAGCGAAGAGAAGGGTAAAGGGATCGTACATCCGACACACTCAAGGTCAGACCCCACCACAGCATCACCTCGTAAATTTAACAAACCGCCGAGTGGTGGGGGGCGGTCACCCGCATCGAAGCGTCACAGGAGCAGAAGTGTTCCGCGCTTTGACGAGGAAGGAGAGCATGCTTCACGCTACGCTGCGCCGCAACAATTGCCACGACGCCGCTATGACGACTACGACTACGACTATGACGATTATCCACCACAGCCAGAGTCAACGGACGAGGAAGAAGATGAAAGATGGGAAGAGTTTAGTAGTCGACGGTTACCCCCACCATCATTTACGCGGCAGCACCCTCATCATCAATTTCGGTACTCGGCTGCTCATCCACCACCACCGCCTATTGTTCCGCTAGCTGGACCACCACCAGCTTTGCCGCCTCCTCAGCTACCACCCATCAACAGAAAATGGGAAGGACGAGGTGGATCACTTCGACGGAGAAGGTCAGGTTCCATGACACCATTTTTGCCAAGACCAGTACCTCCCCATTATCACACACTACCTCCTCGACATCAACATCATCATCTTTGGCGAGACTCAGGATCGGCGTATGAAGGTGCAGGAGGGGGCGATTATGCATGGGATGAACCACCACCGCCAACTCATCGGTCGTCGCGTTATTATGACGAGCCATCAGATGATTTCGACGATTATCCACCACCACCTCCACCACCAGTAGGAGCATCACAAAAACGATATCCGCATGACAGACGTTTGTCCATTGGAGGAAGAGACCGTCGGTCATTTCCGGCGTATGGGTCTTCCATGTAATTATTCTGTATTAGATTGATTATATTCTGTACATAAATAAAAAAGAAACCCAGACTATTGGTTTTCTATTCATTTGTTTTCAATAAGTGGTTGAAGGGGCATTGGGAGTTGATGGTCAAAGCGAACTTGTGTGCTCTTCAGTGCGTGTTCCAGCAGGTTGGACCAAGTATTGATCTCTTCCTTCTCCTGCGATAGAGCCAAGATCTGCTCAATCCATGCTATAAGGCCATGATTCCGGATGAGGCTGACAGCAATATCCGGGATGCGGATTGCTCGCGACACGATCTAAAGTTAATTCATTTGTGTAAGGAATGGAAAAATAGAAGGCAAAGGTCACATGAGTCCCCTTGCTGGATTGTCCTACGTACCTCAACGACGGCTTTTTTGCTTGTGTGATCAGCCAATGCGGAATTGTAGAAGGTCGCAACCAAGTCCCAGACTCGGTTGCGGGAGAATATTTTGTAGTCCTTGTGAACATTTAAAGAAAAAGATTAGCCACTGATTCTATCAGCTAGGCTTTTTTGTGTGGAACACCTACCTCACGTGTCCATATTGACGAAGATAGCACATGTAGGAGCCACAGACGTTCCTTCTTGTGAGTAGCGGTTGCTGATGTAAATAAGAATGTAAACATTGGCACAAACTTGATCGAGAAAGATCGCCAAAAAAAAAACAAACAATGTATATGTGAGTAATGCGTGGAAGCTTAAGCCTTTTTTGGGAACCGCATCTTTACTCACGTTCATATCAAAGCTTGGTGTGCGCAAAATCCATCTTGTAATATGAGGATACATGTAGTGGCCAGGCTGCATCAGAATTGTAAGTGCCTGTGCAACGCACACAGTCACCGTTGGAGGAATACGTGGTGGAACATCCGACCCCGATCGATCCATAATGGAATTCTTTAGTCCGTTCAGAAGTAGTTTGACTTCTCGGTCCTCGTGAAATCTGACATGCTACAACGTCATTGTTAGTTTCCTTTCTTTTTGCTTAGCAAACGGCTGTTCACTAGAAAGTGCGCTTTTGCGTAAAACATACCTGCACCATGTCATAAAACTGGTCCATCATCTGGTATCCCAACATTCGTACTTGATCATCCACTGATGAAAGTGACACCGTGACTAAGCCAAACGCGTTACAATCGATAAACTTTCGACAATCTATCGCTCCGCTTGATATCAGATTTGCAAACAGCGGTAAGAAGAACGAGGGATCGTATATTGCTTCGTCTTCTTCATGTTCCTCCGATGTTGCGGGTGCACCCAAAGTAACGTCGACTGGAAACTGCATAAAGGTTCGCTGCATCAAGGCTGGGTCGATTGATCCAAGAGTTTCCATGGAAATGGTGTCAGCATGAAGCAATGTACCCGCTTGTGCATGTGCTTGGCGGTTCCGATCAGAGCCCGGACCCCACATAAGCATCTTTGGTAGGATCGTAGTGCGACCCCGGGCCTCGCATGACCTCAAAATTTCCAGTATCAGCCGGTCGGGCTCTGAGGTTGTGGCACCATAGCTGGTTAGCAGCTGATCGAGCAAACCGTGTTGATTGGCCAGGATTTCAGGTTGGATTGCGTTCAGAGCATGAATCAGCTTGATGATAGCCGCACGTTCATTTGCATTTTCTCTGGTCGTCGTTGGGTTAGTTAACTTTTGATACTTGTCGTGATCCAGCACGCGACGGATATAGGTCTCGATTGGTTCATGCTTGCCGTACTGCAAAAACAGAAGTCATAATAAGCATCCTGCTAACTTTTCGTACACCCCAAACCCTATCATCTTACGTACATTTTCATATGCCTTTGCGACCAAGGTACTTGTAAAACGGATGGCAGCAGCATCGGCAATGTTGTCAAGTACCGTGTTTAAAATGTAGTCGCGTACGATTTCACCATCGATCGTTGTCCAGTCGAAATCGCTTGCGCGCATCAGTTCGATAAGGCGATCATAAAAATTTACAGAAACCTCGGTCGACGATGCATTATCCGGATTGGCGCTTGCTGCCAGACGAGGTAGGACCGTTTTCAAAAACGGTTGTAAAAATTCGTTGTTATTGCTACTTTCGCACGCCATTTGTACAATGTCTACAAGCTGCGATGTCATGGGTATATTCTTATCGAGAGACTGCACCACAAGCTTCGGTATGTCGACAGAAGACGTTGTACATGCTTCAGCGACAAGAGATATGTCGATATTGCATTGGTATCCTGCAAGAATATGTTGGACAACGAGTGTACTGCATGTTGTAAGGAGGATCGATATGGCCGTAGGATTCGATGCGCACGCGTCAAGTAAAGAGAGGATATCGTTGTCTTGATAAGTGCGTGATTCCCAAACTTTGGTGACGATGATGAATGCTTCGTCAGGTAACTCGATTTTCTGTCGCGAAAGGTCGTCAACGAGAGCAATTAATAACCGGCCGACATCGGATTGGAGCTGACTCTGTTGGTTCACTTGGCAGTATTGTGTAAACGATGCATAGTCCAATTTAACGAGGTGGCTAACGAGTTCTTTGGAGACACGCTTCTGTCCGAAAAGGTCCAAATTCTTGATGGCGATGTGGACAAACTACGTATGTGGTTTTTGTCAGTAGAGAGTAATTTAAGATGTAGAACTTCATCTACTCCAACATTTCCCCCTTCTTACCTCTGCGTCCAAGTTTTGATACTCTTGCGATGCCAAGTACTTCACTTGTGCTAAAAATCGATCGCTCAACTCAATAAGAACAGGATGAGCCAGCAATGCATCTTTAAGTTGTGCCAAGCCTTTAGGATCATCCTTCTTATCTAGCATCGTAAGTGTGTGTCGTAATAGTACAAAGGCGATGTTTAACGGCCCATTATTGCTGGATTCACTGGATGCTGTCAGAACCGAGAGTTTTTCCAAAACTAACGTTTGGATAGTCGTCAACTGCTGCCAATCCATATTGATCATGGCGTGTCGCATAGCTTCTATGGCAACCGGATTCTTGTCACAGCGCGTCCAAGTGTTGTGGAACAAGGTGGCAAAGGGAATCGCTGTGATCAAGCCAACAACGGAGTTCCTACATATAGCAGCACATTCAGGATACTATTTACAAAATCCATGTGTAACGTATAATGACCCTTACCCTTCTATTTCAAGAGATTTAACGGAGCGGATGTCGTCATAGTCAAACAGGCTTCCTGCTCGTGGGTGGCGCTCTGAGAGATAGTCGACTAGGGGCTCAAAGGATGCCAGATCCAGCTTGTTGGCGCATAGATCCGTGATTGCACCAAGGTACTTATTCAGCTCAACGACTGATAGTTCTTGCAGGATATCAATCAATGATTGTTGTTTTTCCTTGGTGCCAGTGGCCGCTTCATCTAACAAATACACAAATGCAAACAGTCAGTTACATTGAACATAATCCACACTCAGCAAGCCCGCCAACATACCAGAAATCAAGGCTTCCAGCTGTGTATTTTTGTCATTGGTATTGCCAAACACTGTGGCTTTTTCATCTTGATGCGCCCCAAGTAAACATTCTTGTGTTTGTTGAGCCATGTCCAAAACACTCCATTCTTTTGAAAGTAATGGGGTTGTCTTTTGGTTTTCGAACTCGTTCACCTGACTTTGCAGACTCTGACATACATGCTCCAAATAAAATGGTACCTTTTGCTTAGAGACAAGCAGCGTAATGAGCTTTGTGATAAATCGCATAACTGGCCGCTTCTCGCCCTTGAATGATTGTATGTGTTGAACAAGAGTCAGCAGCAAAGGACTGAACGGGAAATCGCTGGAATCACTGGAACGTAAAAGTTGACCAAGCATTGCTGAGCTGTCATCCCGTTGAAGATATTCCGTGTTGACATTGTTGAGCATATCGACAGCTTGATCCAGGTACCGGTACTGCGAACGACTGAAGCGTTCAATACATTCATCCAAGAACTGCAAAACCGTTGTCTGTTCGCCTGTAAGAGCAACATTTCCTCTCATTCCGGCTGTGGCAAAGTTACGTGGCATGGATTCCAGCCAGGGCCGTACTTCATCTGGATCGTGGCGGAACATGAATGAGTCGGATAATGTCTGGTTGATCAACTTGCTAGTTAATTCGCGGATATGTTTGTATGGTGTTTGAAGGTAAAGCGTCAACAGTGTTGTGATGTGCGAGAACGATCCCTTGCCTATACGTCTGTTAGTAGACGAATATAGAATACATAGTGTAGACTGACTAAAACATACCCGCTTTTCCTGTCCATTTGAAATCAGAGACGCTTAATAACAACTGCAAAAGATGCACAAGCGATTCTGGGCGCATGGATAGGATATCACTTGGAATGAATTTGCCTGGGTCCACTGTCGATTCCATAAACGTTTCTGGCAGGTATTTTTGATAATAACTAATTAAACGGAGTGCAGCATCGTACAGCATTTGGTGCCGAAGAGCAATATTGTCTCCTGATTCATCGTTCATTTCGTTATCTACAACTGTTGAAGATGACGATGCGGCTGGTTGGTAGACGGTAACGATGGTCAATAAGTCGGGAAGTCGTCGAGTAAATCCTTCGCGGACCTGAGCGACGCACTCTTGCCATTTTTTGCTGCTTTCATCACTGTCGATCGTCAAAATAACCTTTTCCAATGCTTTAAGAACATCGGCGTATTTCAAGAATGCTGCTGACAAGAAAAGCATGGTAGCGTAACTGACAAGAGGGCTGGCATTTTTCAATCCACGTGTTGAAACGGCTCGTCCGAGAATATTTGGAAGAATACTGTCGAGGATGACGCTGCTTGTCGGTGGAGATGCTGGATATAGATTGGTGTCTCCGTAGTAAAGTGCTGGGACCGGTAAGCGAACGATTCTCTGCAACAGAGCAATGTTGGCGAGCCATTTACTGCTAAGTCGTGGTTCAACAGAAAATGATATCCCTTGCCAATATCTAGAAAATATACGGGCAAATGAGTTTTTTGTTCTTGCTCCTTCATGCTGAAAAAGCAAAAGACAACAGTAAGCCCTCTATATATTCTATTTACCCTTGCACCATTCCTGGACATGCGGTCAAAATCCTGCGAACCAATTCTTGCTGTCGCATGTCGTCCGAGGGCTTTAAAGATGTAAGGAACTTTGCTATAGCACGATTCTGCGCTTTCTCTGCAGCTTTGCCTTGCTCAGCATTAGGTATCGGATACCAGCCGTCATCTTTATAACACAATCCGAATCCTGGTACAGTGCATACAGATATCAAGAATTGGTGTGCCAAATCGGCGGGAATCTTGGTTTCCTCTGCAGTCACTAACTCGGGCTCCGTCCGTGCGTATAATTTGGCAATCTAAAATTACAAACATACACAAACAAACTTTTAACACCAAGCCATAAAGAGAAGTCCTCCTACCCACACAGTACCTTTTCCAATATATATGACGAGAAGAAGAACGCTTTGACTGGTCGTGGGATTGAATAATCTTCGATAATGTGTGATTTTGTGGTATTCAAGATTACTTCCGCTAACTACAGTAATTGTTAGAAACATGGTAGTATGCAGCGGATCTCCTCCTTTATTCATTTTCTACTTACCGGATATGCGTCCTCATCAATTCCGCCAAACACTGCATTCACCAAATTGCGTACACCAAGTGCCTCTTTCTTAACATCTGCGTCTCCGTATTTAAACAGTGCAAGGACAAAATGTACATAGGATGTTCTTAAATCTGAAAAAAAATACATATTAGTGTAACTATTACTTGTAGAAAAGGGCATAAAAGAGTTAGAAAAAGGTATTTACCGTATAAATAGCTATTTGGATTCTTGCTTTTGCCTTTCTTTCGATAGCGCGCAGCTCGAGAGAAACCCTGGTATAGAAATGCTTAGCAATGAACTAGATCAGCAAATATACTTGATTAAGCATACCTCTGTCTGAAAATTAAACGTATGGAAAACTTCTTTGGTGGCTGCTGGGCCGATGGAGCACATGGCCTCGAGTACTTTGAAGGTTGCTATGCATTGTGGAATCCGCATTGATGCGACGCCGCGGTTGATATACCTTAACTGTCGTCCCAAAATCGCTTGGACTAGCTGCAGACCAAAAGGACGAATGATTGGGGTTGTGCAAAGGGTTAAGAAGAAACTAATAATTTCTGGGACAAGGCACTCCAGACTTGCAATATTATCCTAATATGTTTTTCAAGTGGTAATCAGAACCAAGTCTCGCAATATACGTGTAATACAAAAGTTTGGTAAAAAGTGCTTACACGAGCTTGAAAATCCCACAAGTCAGTTAGATCTGCACAATCACTGCACGATTGAACATATTCCACGAGTGGTCTCGTTCGTTTCGCCATGGGATCGACACGATTTTTGGTCGCTTCCACGAGTTGAACCTTTAAAACGGCAAGATCTAAATAGTTTCAGAATGTCGTGAGTGGGGGGGGGGGCGGGAACCGTCAACGTGTTGGCTAGCGACAAACCATTCCATGTATGGGAAGGAACTATACCTCTTCGCAGCGCATTAGGCTCGCGCTGTCGCAAGACTTTAGCAACTTCGTCTTGCGTTGCATAAAATGGCTGTGCCATGGTAATTATGTGCAAATGTCAAACTGTTTGAATCAGTGGAGAACAGAAAAAATAATTTCTTAAATATTTCCTTGGGGGGATAAGTGGCTGGCTGGCTCTCTTTCGCGTTTCTCCAACTCTTTCTCCCCCCAAATCCTCTCGCACAGCAGTACAATAGAAAGGACGAGACGATTTACAAGTCATGGTGGACCTTTTAAAAGCATTTCAAAGCAAATCCATCCCAGGAGCATGCGACTATCTTCAAGATTACTGTGATGTATACATTAATACGACTGTAATGTCAATGGAGCATGCGCGATCGCTTCATTCTGCTTTGCCAGGCATTCTTACAGTTGTGTTTGGATCACCTACAAGCAGGTACACATACAAACATACACGTACACCAAATACACCACTTGCTTTATTTGATCCTCTTTGTTCATGCCTGTGCTAAGACCGAGATAGAGGATGGATTCATATAGAAAATCAACCAGAGCACGACGCAGCAATACGACGCGCGTTTCGCCGTGATGGTCCATTTTTGAAAGCTCTGATGTTTCTAGCCAAGTATCCCAACTATTCATACGATATGGCACCGGAAGCGTTTTCGGTAAGCTCAACTTTTAAGGTGTTTCAATAAGCTCGTGATGCATTTTTGTAATGTACTAAATGTGGAATTAGGAGGACGTCCGCAAGGCGTTGGCTGCCGGTGCGACCCAGTATTTACCACGACTCTATACGAACTGTGTCCATTTCGAGAAACGTTCCCGCACAGGCACATCAGATATCCGAGAATCGGCCATACGGCAGTCGACAATATTTCCACGACCGTTGTCTGGTGAATACCGCGTCAAATTCAACATTGTCCAATTTTTCCTCCATCACGTGGTAAAGGTGGCTACGCATAATACACCAACGATACCTGTAACAGCTGCGCCACCGTCTGCATTTGCCTCAAGAATGTCGTCTACTATGTCAACTATGAGTAACGTCGCTACCTCTTCTTCAGTATCTGCTTCCACGAATTCTTCTTCTTTGGGCGGGTCGCGGATAGCTGGACCTAATAGCAGCGCCACCTCGTTATCAAATCAACAATTACATCAACAACAGCAGTACAACCAGCAGCCACGACCACGGTCAATCATTGGAAGTGTATACGAACAGCTAATGAAAGAGTACATGCGGCATTTTATACCATGCGGACAACCCACAGACTTTCATCCAGCCGTCGGAACGTTCTTCCTAGATGAGTGCATTGAAACCTGGATCCGCAACACTTGGGTTGCTCCGATGCAAAAACTCGGACCTGGAAGAATGCACTTTATTGCACTGTTTGTAAGGTACATCGTTTCTGGTGACTTACGACGATGCTACAGCGACAATGCCACGTGGAACAGTTATCGGATGGTATACAACTCAGTCAAGGACCATCTGTACGCAATGATTTCGCGCCTTGCATTTAACTGGGCCAGAGACGATGACTATCTCCAAGTAAGAGTCTCACGAAGAATTAGACAAAGTAGAAGTGCTCGTTATACGATAACGTTAGACTGATTTATTTACTAGGTTATATCACTTTGGTCTCTGTGGACAATGCCATGGATGTTGGGCGCAAGACCTAATGGCACCGAGAACCAAACATTTCGACCCATTGCGGACAGCTGGGCTCAATTCATTATGGAAAACGTTCTATTCTATATCCCTCTCACTATTATGTTCTTGCAACGAATACGAACGTTTACTTATCCCGACATACCTCTTCCTCCTGCTCCAACCACGACCGCACCGTTTCCTCACTTTCATACGCAAACTCTTTCTATGAGCACGACAGCAAGAGCCACAGCAACAATGCCAGCAACGCCCAAGCCCTCTAATCAAATACGAATTACGTGCACGCTTATCAATGTTTTCAAAGCGGAAGGTCTTGTTGACTTTCTGTCCCATGTTGAACAAGCGCTAGTACGGCTACAGGAAGAGACCACACCGACGACAACAGCATCAGCAGTGCATGTCAATCGTCAAGCAATCGATGTGCTCGCAGCTAGATACTTTGGAGACCAAAAAAATCATGTTCAAGCTATTCTGAAAAAGACGTACGATGACCTGATTCAGCTGAACGGTGGCACGTGGACCTGCACCAATCTGTTTATTAAAGAAGCGAGTCCTCGATCGAAGCCCTTGGTTGAGTCACTGGATGCTTTAGACCAAGCTAGTATTCCTCAGCCTGATGGTGCATCACGGTGGGGTGGTCCTCCTTCGATGCCTGCAAAGTCAGCCCAATACTTGAAAGAACTACAACAGGCCTCTAAATCATTCGCAATTGTATTCGTGGTATGTTTCCTCTCTTCTTTAATGTATCTAATGGTTTTCATATCTGTAACAGCGGATTCCCTTGGGGATGTGGGACTCTTTTTCCTTCTTTGTATGTGTATGCTGTTCATCTAGCTCCCGAAACCGGTCCACAAAAAAGCAACAAGCACATCAAGATCTATCTTCTCTACGCTACAAAGCACATCCGCTCGGTCTATACCTTCAGCTCCTCCTAAAAAAGAAAAAGCACCTCTTGCTGGGCTTCACGACGGTGGTTTTTTGACTGAAGATGAAAAGGCGATGGTGAGACAAGGACAGATGCGGTGCAGCCATGAAAATATACCGGTGGTGGGTCCTCGTGCCGAAGAAGTTGTAACGTCCTACGAACTCATGTTTATGGTGCGCTGGATCATACCATTCGACCGCTGGATGAACAGACACGTATGTATGACAGTCATTTATATGGATAAACATGCCACATATTGTAATCAGTGTTCCTCACGCGCACACACGCAACTAACTACACTGTCTTCTGCTATGATACTGTAGTATCAACGCTTACATCCAGGAAGGGTACCCTTTCTGCCAAAGAAACTCACAGTTCGGCCGCTTGCAGACTATGTCAATCTTGGCTATTTTATTATATTTTTTTGGATCCTTATAAGCGCAACAATAATGGGCGCATAAAGGAGTTCTCGTTGATTTCGCCAAACACCGACAAACAGGTGCCTTAGAGCCGACAATGCACAGAGAGCTTTCTTTTTTCTTTCTTTCGTTCCACTTTCCCTTTTACTTTTTTCAATATCTTCGTGACATTCTGTTTTTTTGATCAAATCTGTTTGTCACTATAAACGGCATCACTTTCGCTAGGTTTTGTACTCATTTCAGGGATAAACCTAAAAAGTTTGACATACACATTTGAAAAAGCATGAGCGATCCAGTTACGGAAATGACAACGACTGAAACCAACAGAAACCAGCCCAATCCCGTGAACGAAACGTCTGCACGACAAGAACGCCTGTCAGGTGAATGCAATAAACCTCAAGTACGCATCAATGATTGCTTCTTTTAACTCAAACTTGTTGTGTGCGTTCAATACTGGATAATCCGACATGGAAACTGATGGAAACTTTTTAACAGAGTGACCCAACTTGGAGCGAAGTTCACCAGAGTGAGCAAAAGCTTACAGAGTCTCTCCGCGAACAGCTAGATAGAGTAAATATTGTCTTTCTTGGTGGACAGAGAAGAGGAGAAGGGGGGGGGAACATTGTGCTCTAATCTACATGTTTTGCAATTATGAACAGGCACGCAAGGATAAAGCCAACTTGGAGGCTGACTTGGAAACACGCGCAAAAGCTTTTCAAGCAAAACTGAATCAGTTACAAGCAGGATCCAGGTACGCTTTCTTTGTTTTTTTAATAATTTGCGTGAGATAGAGTTAAGAGAGGGTGGAAAAGACGTAGGGCCTTAAAGAACGAAAATGTGGCAAGAAAAGGAGAAGGGATTTACAGTGCTGGAAAATCATAATCATACACATAAAGATGCACACAAGAAGATAGGACATGTATCTCTCATACATATTTTGTGTTCATAGTGACAGGATATCACGGCTGGATCATCTGCTCAGTTTGGAAAATACAAATGAAATCAAGCAAGAAATCAAAAAACTGCACGAAACATGCATCAGCCAGGAAGCGCGTATAAAGAAACTCGAATTTGATTTGGAGACGGAACAAGGTCATGTCAATATTCTACGCCATGATAATCAGATGTTGAGACAGATGACAGTTGATATGGTATGTGGTGCTTGCCTTGGGCTTTTTAACAAAGTTGAACCTCCGATGCGATGGAAGACTGAAAATTCATGCAATTATATTAGACAGTGCTCGCTGAGCAGGAAGAAGAGTACATCTCAAACAAGTTGTTGAAACGCATCTCGGGTCTCAAAAAGGAAAAAGGGGAACTGCTAGTGCAGGTGGAACAGGAAGAGGAGTACTTGACCAATATGCTGCAAAAGCGATTAAACCAGGTAGCTAGGAAGGGTGGAGGGCAAAATAAGGTCACACCCGGTCTCCATGGCAATTAATTCGTTTGATTTTATTTGACTTGTAGCTTCAAAAAGAAAAAATCGATATGGAAAATGCGCTGGAGCAAGAGCAGGAATACATTGTCAACAAACTACAAAAGCAGTTGGATTCTCTTCGTGCACAGCAGCCGATGAAGTCACCTTCTGCCAGAAGCATACAAGATGTATCTCCGGGATCACTGCCTGTAAGTCCTGCAGTTACTGGAGCCGGTTCATCCCCGTCCTTAAAGTAAGCAATAAGGGCTTGTGTGAAATTAAGCTCATAGTACATAGTAAAGATGCTAACAACACTTGTTGACAAGTGCAAAAAAGTGGATATCCCCACATGCAACTGGTGCAAATCCAGATGTGCCTCCCACTGGACTCATTGAAGTGCTGCGTGCAGAGATCACGGCCTTAAAGAACAAGACAATGGAAATGGAAAAAGAATGTAAGGTTAAACAAAGTAAAAATATGCTGCATAAACTTTGTGTGCCCTTTCTGACATTGAAAGCTACCCATATGCTAGACCTCTCCAAGACTCAGCAATGCAACAAGTACAAGAGTGAGCTAGTTCAGTTCCGCAAGCAGAATGATATGTCTACTGAAGATATACCTTCTGACGAAGGGTAAGACCCTTGTCCCTGTTATTGGATTCTCCTATTATTTTTGTGTTGCTCGAATATCTCATTTAGCTATATGCACATAGGATTCCTGCTGTCTTCAGATCCGTCCCACCTTCACCAGGAAGACAAGTGCGGGTAATTATTTAAGCTTTTCTTAAAAAAAAAAGAAGGGTAAAAAGAGACGCTGACGATTTGTGGATATAGGCACGACGTTCCACCTCAACTTCTTCTCAAAGATCAATGACGTCGGACAAGGCTAACGTCAATTTGAATGCCATCCCTCCGCTACAGCTTGATAACAGCACGTCCACTTCAACAAATACCTCCACAAACCAGCATGAAGGCAGTACGAATAGCACCGTTTCACCACAGGCAATTCCCGATCAAGGTAGCAGCGTGTCACGATCTCGTTCAGGTACAATTTTAAAATGAGCCATGCCTCTATAGCTTTACTTATTTGAATTTCTCTGCATAGAATCTACAAGCTCAGCGTCAGGTAGCTTATCGAGGAGAGAGGCTGCAGCAAGACGTATATCGGGTGGATTGTTTGGCTTAAGCTCTCCTCCACCTCAACACCCTCCTCACCCGTAAATGCCCTCCTACTGCTCTTCCTTTCACACAGTAAATAGCATTATCCAGCTTCTAAATAACAAAATAACAAAGTCGAATCGAAGTCAAACATGCAAATAATAAATGGTTGATAAATTTTGTTGGCTTTTGAGGTGTTTTTTTTTCATGGTGCGCCATGCATCTAACTACAAGATAAAGCACAAAATTCTTTATTATTTCTGCGACAAAGCTGTAACGTACCACAGATGTCAGATAACATTCATCGTCACTTAGTCTACAGGTTGACATTAGCGTGCGCAATATCTGTGTATATATAACAAAGCTCAAATTGAAATGATGAGTTTTCTTCTTCAGTTTTGATATATGTAGCGATTATCAAACATGGTATGTACTTCCTCTTTTAAAGTATATTATACTGTATATTCGCAGACTTCAAGTAATCATCAGATGTGTAGTGTTCAGCCTATGTTGGTAGATAGGTTTAAGCGTTCTTTTACTGTAGTATCGTGCTTTATGTACCGTGGGCCTATAATGGCGGATGGATCATTACTGCTTCAATTCATACTGAAGGTCATATTTTCTCTCCTACGGTCACCATACCGTGGTTCCCTGTTTAATTTCAACCGGTCTATAAAGTGTTGAAACTACTGAGGGTTGGCACAAAACGAGGGTGTTTCAAGCGGTGTTATATGCCTAAAGAGGAGTATAGAAACTGAGGGTTTATCTTATTGAGAGCAAATGAATTAAACGGGGAACCACTGTAAACGCTATTCATTGTATCGCTTTGAAACTGAGCCCCTTGAGTTGCATCTGAACAACATCTTTGGATGAGTGAGGTGCTTTTTTGTGGGGATTTTGGATTTTTCATTGGCCTCGCCACGTTAATTAGTATTTCATGATCCCCATCGATCACAAAATCTGATAATCAATGTGTTCAACTGTTATACCTTTAGTATGGATTAAGCAACAATACAGCACATTAATATATGACGTCTTTTCACTTCCAAACAGGCATACAATCATATAACCTCTTTCTATAATACCAAATTACCAACTCGCCTGAATTTTGGCACATGATGACAGCCGCTTAGACCTGTTCAAATCAGTTTAGCTGTAGAAATGGCTAAACCATCGGTAGAACAATTATTCTTGTGGAAGTGTCCGATGCATTCATAACGATCCTTGAAAATCCAAGGAGAACAATTAGTTCTGCGCTTAGTCGTACTCATAACTGCAGCAGGCATCCCAGGTGCAAAGCCTCTAGTTTATAGGCCATTGTAGTTAAGAGAAGTTGGCAAAATACGATTAGTGTACTGTATCCGATTTCGGAACATATATCCGTATGACAGAGCGCCTTTAGAAGAAGTAGCCTCGGGTTAACAATTAGTAGCACCATTGTGTGAGAGTATACCAGTGTGCATACCCTTGCTTGCCCAGCATATCTCATGCTCTTTTCAACCTTTCAATAGCATCATTAGCGTACGTGGAAAATGAGGACACACGCCAAGGTTATATTATCACGTCTGAAGGTGGTCCAAGTTGAGAAGTCGCATCGCAAGGAAATTATGCTATTAAACTCTCTCATAAATTCTAAAGATGCTTTCAAGTTGAACAACACAGCCTTTTTAAAAAGGAGAAGACAAGCCGCTGAAGCTACTGAAAGAGGTTTTGATACGCTCAGTAGCTATGAAGCAACAATAACGTCGCTCATCAACGTACTGTATATGCTGCTTATTGACAATGTGGCTGTATCGTTGAAAATGTGAGGGTGGGATACAAAGAGCCGTTGCATATGTGGAGACTAGGAGTAATGTGTGAAAAGTTAAGCATATGCTGCTACATTTCGCTATACTGGTTCGAAACTAATAAGTAATGCTATGTTGATACATAGGAATGAGCCTTTAAGCCCGAGGCCAGAATGATGCACGTTAACACTGTGCTCGTCGGAAATACAAACATTGCATGTAGCCAATAGCCTGACGCCTTTGTTTTCTGTACTACAGCCACCAATGGCGCAGCCGTAATTACGCGTTCGCTTTATTCTTTTCTTTCTCCAACACCACAAAATGGCCAGTTTCGACAAGCCAATTGGGGAATACCCTGTTCATGGCTTGATGCCAAAGCAAGATACTCAAGCAGCAGCTTTCCTAAAAAAGTTTCCAGAGTACGACGGTAGAGGAACTGTTGTCGCCATTCTTGACACAGGTATGCCGTTCAACCTTTTTAGCATAACCACCAGTAGCAGCAAGGCACCGTTCCTGAAAGTCTTTCTCACACAAAAAATTCTTGTTTTAAAAAGGTGTCGATCCTGGCGCTGCTGGAATGCAGGTTAGCATTACAAAGATAGAGATCTCGAAACTAAAAGTAGATATGCTTGAAAGCTAAGCAAGGTGGATGTATCTGTGTAGGTTACCACAGACGGGAAACCCAAAGTCATCGATATGGTTGACTGCACAGGAGGAGGTATATGCAAGAAATAGTATGCGTATACCACGCTTGTATGTTTGTAGTTGCACTCACACATATATCCTTTAGGCGATGTTGACACGACCATGGTTGTTAAACCTACCGAAGAGAATGGTCTCAAAGTGATTCAAGGTTTGAGCGGCAGAAAATTGACATTGGATCCCTCTTGGAAATGCCCCTCAGGCGCGTACAGAGTCGGTCTCAAACGTGCGTATGAATTGTTTCCTTCTGAGCTTATCCGACGACTAAAATCGGTAAGAGGGAAAAAATTGGATTGAACTGAAATAGTCATTTTTTACCTTTTTTGGCGGCTAACTCGGCATTGCTCTTTATAGGAACGCAAAGAGCAATTCGAATTAAAGCACGCTCAACTTCTCAACGAAGCCCAACAAAAGATCACGGAATTCCAAAAGGAGCATCCTAACGTTGGTGCAGACGAATCCTTAGCAGCAACCCAAGCTGATCTCGAGGCTCGCGTCGAAAGCTTGAAAGAATTAATCAAATCGTACGATGATCCAGGTGTCATCCTGGATTGTGTGGTTTTCTTTGACGGTCAGGATTGGCGCGCAGTGATCGATGTAAACGAATCTGGCGATCTTAGAGGCCAGCCATGCTTGACGGACTACCGAAAGGAACTAAAGTACCATACGTTCGGAAAGGCAGACCTGCTCAACTTTTCTGTCAACATTTACGAAGACGGAAATCTGCTTAGGTAAGCAATCGCACACTAGGTGACTCGAATAATCGGTGAAAATACTAATGTCTCTACATAGTATCGTCACACTCGCAGGTAGCCACGGCACGCATGTTGCCGGTATTACTGCTGCTAATTTTCCTGAGGACCCAGCATTGAATGGCGTATGTTTTATTAAAGCGGGAACGTAGGAGAGGAACGATTCCATTAAATACGCGTGTTTTTTTGGGGTGGATGGAAATAGGTTGCTCCCGGTGCACAAATTGTTTCGTTGCGCATTGGTGACGCTCGACTTGGCTCCATGGAAACTGGTCCTGGCTTGACACGTGCCGCCGCACATATGGCCATTAACAAGGTCGACCTTGCAAACATGTCATATGGTGAATCGAGCGGCCTCCCGAACGACGGTCACTTTATCCGCCTTCTAGCTGAAGAGGCCATTTCCAAATCTGGATGTATCTTTGTTACAAGTGCTGGCAATGACGGTCCTTGCTTTAGCTCTATTGGTGCTCCTGCTGGCATGTCTGCTAGCTTCATTACTGTCGGTGCATTCGTCAAGCATGCGCAAATGCAAGCAGAGTATGCTTTACTGGAATCTGTCGGAGAAAAGCCCTACACTTGGTCGTCGCGCGGTCCGTGCACGGATGGTTATCAGGGCGTAGATATCTATGCTCCAGGAAGTGCAATTACAAGTGTTCCAGTGTACGGATTGAATCGTCTCGATCTGAAGAATGGCACCAGTATGTCCAGGTATGTGATTACAGCTTCCTCATCGGACGTCCATTCAACACGAAGCAAATTTCTTAATACTAACTTGTACTGCATAGTCCTAATGCCTGTGGCTGTGTCGCGTTGCTTGTTTCCGGTTTGAAGGCTAAAAATCAGAGCCATACGCCTTATCGTTTGAAAACTGCTATTGTACAAACTGGCAAGTCCGTGAATGACCCACTCAATGTTGGATTTATTCAAGTGGATAAGGCATGGGAGTATCTTGAGACTTACGAGCACTGCAAGGACCTTGACATTATGTTTAAGGTAACACTTTCAGCACATCGATTTCTTCTCTATCTGTGTTGACAAATTGGTACTTTAGGTGGGCGTGTTAAAGAGAGGAAACCAGCGTGGCATCTATCTTCGCGAGCGAGACGAAACCAGCCAAGTCCAGTATCTCGCAGTAAAAGTACGTCCAACTTTTATGGGTGAGACAGATCCCGAGAATCCCAAGTATAACTGGGCCAAGTTTGAGTATGACGCACGCATTGCTTTGGTGGCTAGCGAGTCCTGGATTGGAGTACCAGATTACTTGTATCTTTCTTCAGGAGGTATATTGAATGGTTACCCTTTATTTCTCGAACAAAATTTAAGAGAAAAAGAACTCAACAAAGAATAATGTTTAGGTAATGCGTTCCAGGTCAAGGTTGATCCAACCTCCTTGAGCGAAAGCGAATTCCATTACGGTGAAATCCTCGGCTATGATACCGCTGCACCCGAACGGGGACCACTCTTTAAGGTTCCTGTATCCGTTGTCAAGCCTACCGTGCCTGGCAAAGGCTCTTTGGAGTATCGAAACGTTGAGTTCGGACCAGGTGATATCATGCGCCGCTTCGTGCAAGTTCCAGAGGGCGCAACCTATGCAAAGCTGACACTTCGAGCCAAGACGAATGTCGATACATGCCCGGCTCGATTCATGCTACATTTGCTTCAGCTTGTTCCAAAAAAGAACCAAAAGGACAAGCAAACATACACGTTTCTCCTTGGATCAGGATCTTTTGGCGACTCTAGCTCCGAAGATCAAGTCATTACAGTTCGATTTGCAGTCCGTGGCGGCTTGAACATGGAGTTCTGTCTTGCACAGTTCTGGTCTGGTCTCGGCAAGCATTTTGTTGACCTTGAGATTGAGTTTCATGGTGTACGTCTTGCCGGAAACCTTGCTGACGGGCAGGGTGTACTCCACTTGGAACCTCAAGTTACACGGTTAGATATTGTTGCCGGTGTCCGCAAGGAGAACAAAGTCGATATCAGCACGAGTTTTAGTAAGTATCCTCTCTCTCCTTCGTTTTTTGATCTCTCTGCTACTCGAGTCACTAACTCGGCGTTTTTAGATAAGCTGCGTAAATACCTTAGACCAACAGATGCTACCATTGCACCACTCCACGCAGACCGCAACACATTACCAGACACACGGGTTATGTACGCCCTTGTACTGTCTTACACATTCAAAATTGATAACGGCACTTCAATCACTCCTCGATTCCCCACGGTCATGAACCAGTTATATGAACATTTCCTTGCTGGTGTCTTTGGCATTGGTGAGTTTTAAAGCTGCAAATACCCTAATATTAAGTATGATGCTAAACTTATCTTTAAATAGTATATGATGCCAACCGCAAGGTAGTGGGCTATCTCGACGTGTTCGATCATACCTTCAAACTAGATACAAAGGGCGAATACACTATCATGTTGCAGCTGACGACCGAGGATGAAGGCGCTCTGGAGAAGCTCAAGAGTACTATTTGCGAATTAGATATGAATATCAAGAATGTCAGTTTCAGCACATACGGAAACATCAAGGATGTCTACTCTGGCGGATCGATCTCCAAACTACAACTGGAGAAGCATGATCCAAAGGTTTGCTACATTGCGCCGCCTCTCAAAGACCAACAATGGGTTCCCAAAGAAGCAAAGCCAGGCGATGCGCTGGTGGGCAAACTGGCCTTTACAAGTAACAAAGTTGATGGAGGACAGTACCAGGTAATCTATGTGATCCCTCCAGAACCAAAGTCAAGCTCCGGATCGTCGAAGGAATCAAGCAAAGATAAAAAGACCCTTGAAGACGACAAGATCAAGAGCCAAATGGCTGATGCAGTGCGCGACCTTCAAATATCGTATCTTGACAAGTTTGGTGAAAATTCCACAGTGCAGCAGGCGCTACTGGCCAAGTTGGAGCAAGATTATCCCAATGACATTACACTCCTCAACTACAAGATCGATGCTATCTGGAAGACGGCCGGCGGTGTTGTTGAAAGTCTTTTGGCATCGTCGTCTGATAGCGACAAGAAGCTCTCCAAAGAGAAGGCTACAGAGATTGTGGGTCACTGCGACAAGATCCTTCAGCAAATTGACCAAGCTCCACTACTCGAATTCTTTGGCCGCTATCAGAACAAACAACAGTCAGATGAGTCTGAAGACGTTAAAGAGCAGCGCAAAGATATCGACAAGAAGGCCCAACAGGTTGCATCCGCATACAAAAATAAGACCCTGGCACACGCATGCACCCTGACAAGGGAAGAGCCCCAAGAATTCGAAGCAAATTTGAAGGCATGGAAGCAATGGGGACAAGACGAGGGAACTCTTGTGTCCACTTTGGTCAAGGTCAAGCGTGACCATATCGCTGGCCATTACGGTACCGCATTGAAGGCAGTAGAGAAATACTTGTCAGACCTGAGCATCAAGCCTGATACTGTCTCTGATATACAAAAAGCATGGGCCATTCGACGCGACATCTACAGTGATTTGGGTTGGGACTTATGGCACAAGTACGATACAAAGTGGTCATTGATCCGTCGACCACCTGGTGGACTCGCACGGTTCTAAGTAATTCATATTGCATAAAAAAGGAAATCGTGATGTGTAAACACGAGAATAAACAATATTTTATATTAAAGTATCAAGAGAAGACTGATTATTTGTGATAAAAGGGGGGGGAATATCATCTAATCGTATTTTTTGCCGTTTTTGCCCTTCTTTTTCCAATCGCTGTCGCCGCCCCAGCCCTTGTCATCATCCCATTCTTTGTCGTCTTCGTCCCATTCTTTGTCGTCGTCATCCCACTCGTCGTCATCCCACTCGTCGTCATCCTTGTCATCATCCCATCCCCCTTTCTTGTCGTCTTTCCATCCACCCTTCTTGTCGTCTTTCCATCCACCCTTCTTGTCGCCCCATCCGTCTTTCTTATCGTCCCAACCACCTTTCTTCTTCTTCTCTTCGATGTAGGGATAGGCATAAACAGTACCGCCAAGAACTTCGGTGGACTCATAGATCGTCGTGGTGAACGTGGGGGGAGAGATGGTCGTGGGCGTTCTGGTTGGACGGTCGGTTTCCCACGATGTAACTGGTACAACAGTGGTGACCGTCATTGGAAGACCGTCAGAAGTGATTACAATCGTTTCAGTAGTGGTGTAAGTGTATACACTCGTCTGTTCCTCTGTAGTCAGGCTATAGCTTGTTGAAACGGTTGGAGGAACGGTGATAACTGTCTCTTCAGTTTCGACGATGGTCTGCGTTACCACAGAGGACAATGATGATACATATTCAACCGTTGTCTCGCTAAGAGTGCTCGTGATGGTTGTAGGCACTTCCGTAACTTCGGTCAATGTACCAGTGATCGTGTATGTCGAGGTCCCGTCAGTGGTAAGGGTAGTATACGTTTCTGTCTGCGTTTGAGGAACATCTGTCTCGTATGTTGTGGTTTGTGGATCGGGTGCAGGAACCACTACAGTGAACGTCGTTGCAGTAAGGGTCGTTTCTGTCGTTTCTGTGACAGGGGCATCGGTGGTGATGGTAGATCCAGGCAGTGTGACTTCGATAGGAAGCGATGTAATGCCTACATAGCTCCTGGTCGTAGTCTCAACCTCCGTTGTTGTAATTGTTCCTGCGGTCACCGTTGGTGTTTGTACGGTGGTAACGGTTGTATAGCTCGCTGTTGGGCGGATAGGTAGGCAGCCGGCGAAAATATTGCAGTCGTCATCAGCCGCACCATAATCGTGAAGCTCAACACCGACTGAGCCATAATACCAAGCATAGTCCAAACCAATGATGGTACCGGCAAAAGCACCAGTGGTCGAATCGCGAATATGGGCTATTCAATGTTTTCCGGTTAAATTAACATTTACTGTGCCCATAGAATTTACATATGTTTACAACTAGATCATACCTCGTGGAGCCAATGTGAAGCCTTCGATTTGTCCGCCAGTATTACGGAAAACAGTGATTTCGCTGTCAGCACTGTAAATACCCTGTGAATTCACAGGGTAAAAGTTGTAAATAGTGCGACAAGCATAGAAACCTTGACTTGGGAAGTTGGTCTTGAGTTCAATAGTTTCACCTTCCGTAACGGGGATCTAACAGCAAAAAATAGATTATAATATAGGCTAAGTACACTTCTTCATCATGTCAATTGTGATGTGCTAAAGCTGTTGCTAACAACTGCAGTCTGGACATACATTGAACACGACAGTGTCGTCATCACTGGGCACGTCTCCTGAAGGGCCATTGAAGTTGCCTTCGCCCAGGAGGATAGCACTGGGGTCGGACAATACACCAGGAACGTTACAATCACGATCGTTACAGGTGTTAAATGTGAATATCTTGTAGTTCGAATCACCCGTACCAAGGTTCGTAATTACACCGTTGGCATCAATATACATGTTGGGATCACTGGCGGCCAAGATAATAGATGCTTCGATGGCAGCGTTTTCGGCAACTTCAAAATCCATTGCACCAGTGCCAATGTCATCAAAGATAGCGCAACCTTCGCCTTCATTGAGTTCCACTATCTCTTCCAAGTTACCGCCACCAGCATGGACTGAGTCACCATGAACACGGGTATCTTGGGTAGCGGTTAATCCTCCGACGACAAGACCAATACCATCGAGACCAGTAGTAGGAGGTACGGAGCAATCCTGGCCACGGTTTGCATTCACAATGTAGTTTGGCGCTGTAATCATCAAAAATATGGAATGTTAATTAGTGGTGTGAACTGTTTTACATATTTTATATCCAGTGGAAGAGACTTGCCTGTGAATGTGCCTCCTACAGCTAATGGACCTAAAATATCAGTACCACCTCCCTAACATTCGTGATAGAAAAGCACATCAGCATTTATTGTAATCACATAAAACAGGTTAATAAACTGTTGATAATTACGTACAGTGGTGAAGTCGTCGAAGAATATAGCGGTGAAATGAAGGAACTGAATATAGCAGAAACAGGTGTATTAAATGTAAGATTTATCATCAGTAAGTAGCTTACCACAGTTATGTTAATACAGTTTTAGTTACTACGTACCATGGCACCAGCAAGCGAACTGCTATCTACTGGGCATACTTCCCCAATGTCGGCGATATCACGTTTCTGATAAAGCTTACGTCCAAGAATATCAAGGATGGGGTGGTCATCAAATGTGTAATGAGAAGGAACCGCATGTGAAACACCAGACGATGAAAACGAGGCAAGAGTCGCAGTGCATAGCGCTGCCAAAGAGACCTTCCAGCTAACCCGCATTGTGGATAATAAGGAAAGGTAACAAAAGCAAGTGGTATAATGAATATACTGTTTCTTGATTATTAGAATCGAAAGAAAAGAAATGAAAAAAAAGAGTTGAAATGAGTGGCTATGGAATGAATTGCCGTTGCAACCGACGATCCAGGTCTTAACATCTAGGAGAATTCTGACGGCCATAGCTCAATAGGCATCGCCGTTCAAATTACACCCACTTCTCTACATTTCTCAACTGTGTTTTCTAAACTATTAAGATATGAAGACATACACATACATTGCACACGTGTGCTAAGCTACAAGTAAAATATTCTAGTTCGTGATCTTTGTTTGTGCAACAACTATCGATAGTTCGAAAAACTAAACTTCTATGCTCATATTGATTTGCTTGAAATGCTGGTGTTTCAAGAAGAAACCATAGAGACGTTATTTGAGCATGTATCCTAACTCGGAAGATATATCAATGTGTATGTGTGTAAGAAGTAGAAAAAGAGCAATAGAGCCAATATCTTTTTATTGAACTTATGTTAAGAGTATCTAGGTATTATACTTCGGAGGATTATGATCTGCAGAAGATCATGATTCTAAACTCTACCATTCACTATCCTCCTGCCAATCTCCATAACCGCCTTTCTTGCTATCCCAATCGCCGTATCCGCCCTTCTTGTTATCCCAATCGTTGTGGCCACCCCATTTCTTTTTCTTGTGCCAATCTTCTTGCTCGTATGGCATGACATATACAGTAGGACCACTGGCCCCAGAGATTGTCTTGACAGCTTGCGTCACCGTAACAGTTGGGACGCGACTTCCCTGGTCTACAAACATTTAATAGTCAACGACTGTGCTGCATATTCGAATAAAGGAATGCATGTGTGCGTGTGTTCACTTACAATCTTTAACGGGGAAACAGCCTTGGAATTGTGGGCATTCGTCATAGCTGTTAATAGTAGCTCCAGGGCTGGTTTCAGACCACTTGTAGCTATTGGCAATAAGCTGACCAAGGAAATTGCCGTTTGCGCTATCGATAATATTGGCTAACAAAGTATGTAAACAGAATGAGTCAGTTCTCTGCTACAAGCTCAAGGCAAGAAAACAAAAAGAAACCCATTTACCTTGAGGTGCCAAAGTAAAACCAGGCAACGACCCTGCAAAATCACGGGCAAATTCTATAGCATCATCATAATCATAATAGCCAGCATTATCAACAGGATAAATATTGAAAATTGTTCGGCATTGAGGAAGTCCAGAAGAGATGAGGTTGTTGAGGATGGTAAGCGTAGTGCCCTTAGTGACCGGAATGTTGAAAACTACAGTAACGTCTTCACCGGGCACTTCGCCGTGGAACCCTTCGTACGTGGCAGTGTTATCGTAAAGGAAGCCGCTTGGATCAGAAGACCAGAAAGGTACATTGTCTGTATTGCACGTTTCTGCCGAAGTGCAAGTATCAAAAGTGAACAGTGCAAACTGGCCATAGGTAGAGTCACGGATCTTAGTGACACTGCCAGTGCTATCCATTCGATAATTTGGAAGGGCATTGGCAAAAATGGTTGAGGCGGTGACAGCGGCGTCTTGCGCGATGCTCAGTTGCTGTCCACCATATGGAAGATTTGTGTTCACCTCACATCCGTCTGCGCCTTCAGTAACTCCAGAGGTATCGCCACCGCCAAGCAAGGCTGTATAACCATCAACGGATACATTTTCTGCGGATGTTTCACCAACAACAATGAGACCATAATCGACGAATGTCGTGTTGGGGCCCAATGAACAGTCGACTTGATCTTTTCCGTTGACGGAATAATCTTTTGCTGTGAACGAGCCACCAACTCCCAATGAACCATCAATTGCACCGTTAACATCGCAGTTATCGCATGACTGAATAAAACAAAACATTAATATATCATTTGATGATTGTGCCTTGTAAACAGATGTTTCAAACACTTACGGCAGAGAAATCGTTGAATATCAAACCGTTGAAAGCAGTGAACTATATCATTATGGAGAATTCCTTTGAGAAAACAGTATCTTGATTCATCGCGGCAAAATATCGTCTTTATTATTTACCACTTCACCAGTCCATGTGGAGTCATCGAGAGGGCAAGCAACATTGATTGCACGCTTGGATAAAGACGATTTAGCCGATACAAGTGATGCGGCCAAGGCAACGGAGGAAATAATAGGTGCCCAATGTACCATATTGATGGAAAAGAACAACAACGCAAATGGGAAAAAAGAATGGAATGAGAGATACATAATCCGCATATATACGTCCTATGCACTGGAATGATGCGTCTGATTTTCGATCCAACGGGACTGTGGGACGTATCAAGCCTGCGTGCACACCACATAAACAAAAAAAACAAGAGTATTTATCGTCTCATGTTGAAATTACAGCTGGTCAGCCTTTGCACCAGCACAATGACAATGTGGGCGCAATCTCCGAAGACAAGTTCTGTGCCAAGTATGAGTTTATTTTCCAACGTATATTGTTAACATCAGTTAATTATAATAATGTGTGTGTGAAAATAAAGCTGATAAATCTAATAACTAGAGTATAGTATATATCCATGTCATGATAACAAAATGAATAAGGGAATCGGTACTATGTACTTGTTTTTTTACCAGCTTTCTTTCTCCCAGTCACTTCCCTTCCAGCCTTCATCATCTTTCCAATCCTTCCCATGATTCCAGTCGTTTTTCTTATGTCCTTTGTCATTTTCGTAATAAGGAACCACGTAAACTGTTTGTGATGAACCAACATACTCCGTGACAGTGGCACCATCATTATTAGTCACAGTTTCGGTTACGGTTGGGACACCTAGAATCGCACGGTAAGTATTCCAACTCATCCAAACGAGCCCGCTATTTCATCCATAGCACATCACTGTTTTACCTGGAGCAACAGCGAAGCAACCTTCGTAGTTGGAACAGCCGTCACCCGCTTCTTCAAAAGGCTTAACATTGTTGTCCTCTACCCCATCTTGCAAAGCGTAATCGTAACCGACGAGTTTGCCAATAAAGGAGCCTTCGCCACCGTCTCTGATTAAGCCTTAAGATAAACGGTCATTGTTAAATGCGGTCAAGAACATAACATACTACGTTGCAATTTTACCTAACGGAGCCAGAGTGATCCCTTCAAGGTTGGCAGTGTTGCGAAGCAAATAGAAAGAACCTTTAGGCCGGTAGTCACCGCTAGTAGTAACTGGATAGAAGTTGTAGATCGTGCGACAAGCGTAAAAGCCGTTGCTTACAGCAGGATTGTTTATGTTGAATGATCCTTTCTGATCTACAGGTATCTGATATATTGACAAATATCATAATAGTTAGAATAAGGGATACTGTATTATATAAAAGAAAAGCTGTTGCTGCAAGAAGAGGAATGTAAAAGTTTTTGTCCAATCTTACATTGAAAACAACAGTAGCATCAGGTGATGGAACGTCGCCTGTGGGGCCTTCGTAATTGTTTTCACCGCCAAAGATACCGGCAGGGTCAGAAAGATCACCAGCTATATTACAAGCCCCGTTGTTGCACGTGTTAAAAGTGAAAACTTTGTAGGTATCGTCTTCTGAGCCTTTATCGACAATATTTCCAGTAGCATCCATGTACATGTTGGGCGTCAAACTGGCGAGACGCAAGGAAGCTGTAATCATTGAATCGGTGATAATGTTGAATTGGAGGTCGTACGAATTCGTCAAGTATAGAGAGCTGCAACCGTTGCTAAGGTCTACTTCACCATTGGTACTAACGAGTTCTGATCCAGTTACGTAGACATCCTTGTTACCGTCTTCACCGCTTATGACGAGACCGTTTTCATTAACGGTAATGAAACTTGTTTCGGTGGCGTTACAGTTCGTGTATCTTGCAGCACCAAAAGTAACTTCTGAATTTTGATATGTTCCCTTCAATCCCAGAGGCCCATTAAATAGTGTACCGCTTGGCTATCATTAAGACATACAAAGAAATCAGCTTCATTATCCTCTTTGCTGCTTTTCGTTTAATTTGAATCACGTAAAATTGACTTACAAGGTAAACCCCTTTTATAAGATAGGCGCTGTATTGTGCAATCTAGACCATTGAAGCAAAACAAATTAGTTTGAAGAACTTTTCAACACGGTCTTTTTCTCTTTCGTTTTCTCCTTTTTTTCTCCTCCAGTACTTGCAGTTCTGCCGGCATACGATGATTGATCAAGGGGACATGACGTGAATATTGTCGATACTGCCCGCTTGGACATCTGGCGAGCGCTTGAGGATGTAACAGCGGACAGTAGCACAGCTGCACAGGGAAGTATCGCTACGCTAATACGGACCATGAGATTGGGGAAGAGCAAATACAGCAAAAGAGGAATATTTACGATGCATGCCTTCAAACTTTATAATTTCAAAAATCACCGGCAACTGGTATGACATTTACAAGTATGCGTCACGCAGTTTGCTGGAGATCAAATAGCGTTGTGTACAAGTCTATACATATCTCATTGATTAAGACTTATGAAATTTGCTCAAGCTATAAGTAGTGCTGTTATATGGAGCTTAATGACAGTATAATATACATTGCTTGGGAAAAGAGGGGAGAGTGCATGGCACGGATATACATGCATAGCATTTTATAGATGCAATCAGAGGAACAAAGAACAGAAAAGCGATGCAAGAGGTTGACGAGGTGAGATCTACTACTATGTACAGCTACGGTATTGACAGCGAATCCATAACCTTTTCTAACAAAACATTTCCTCCCAAGGATACAATCTCTTTGCGCGCTTCTTGCTCTTTCTTTTTGAGAAAATATTCGACGTACTCAAATGTTCCTGTTCGTTGAATTATTTCCAAAGCATACTGTTTCACTTCAACGGCAGAAGGCTTTTGGCTGACGATATTGAGCAACTGCCGATTCGAAGGATCAGCACGAATGGCGTGGATGATGGGAAATGAGAATTTGCCCTCTGTAAGATCCTCACAAAACCCCTTGTTTTTGGAATACTGTTGGTAGAATCATCAGCTTGAATTGCAATGATCACTTTATATCAACACTTCCCCTGTGTCTCTGATATGTATATCCATACTTACAGTGTCTGACTGGAGATTCATGTAATCGTCGCGAACCTGAAAGTGTATTCCTATGATGTTGACGAGGTAGGTATAATCCCTAAGTTCCCCATAATCGCCAACCACATTATCATAGGCAAAATAGTTAGCTGCTACGGACATCGGAAGAGGACATTCTATCCATGTTGTAAACTCCAAGTAACATATGAGTACGCTCATCTTACACAGTGCTGCTGCTGGCTTCTTGCATCAATCGGACAGCTAATCTGAGTAATCCGCTCGTTTCTATCATATGAAAATTTTACTTCAGTACCCTCCTTTTCACTGGTTCTATTCGCAACATCTACATCCCTCAAACGCCCCTCTCGATATACTTACTGTTGTTCACCATATCAACGTATTGCTCCTCGGTTGGGCACGTGAGAGAATCCCTCCAAAACAGCTCTGTTCCTTGACCCCGGTGTAAATTTAGCAGCTCTTCCGTATATATCGTCACCATGTACGGTTGGTTTAGTTTTAAAATCTCTTGTAGAGCCATAAAATACACGTAGTTGGCCGAATTGATGGTTTGGGGTACCCCAAAGATATGGTGTGCAACGGGAACCGCTCGTCTGAGGTCAGAGTCATCTTGTACATCATCGATCCTATTAGAAGCATGCAGATTAGTTCTTTTCATAACTAAAGGAGAAAAAAAAAGAATGAATGAAAAAGCTACTCGCTAATTACATTAAACTCGCCGTGTGAAGCATCTGTACGACATTGGTAATTACTTTGAGTTTATCGGATGGTACTTGGAGCCAAGCGTCGAATGCCGCGATCAACTTTGCACGAATGTCCTTTCCAGGGTGATCGCATAAGTACTGGTATGGTTCTAGTAGAATCTAAAAGCAATTAAAGAAAAAACAAATGAGCTCCTTGTACAAGCATCGTGGGATATACAGCGTAATACTGTACAGCGTCATCGTAGGAGGGTTTTGTGTTGCTGCCGGGAATCGGGCTTGAAGTCATGAGGATCAGAAAGTTGTCAAGTGAGAGAACGCTGCTGGATTTGCCTTTATCTGAGTTTCTTGGCTAAATCGTCTCTCACACACACTCGGCATATGCGTTTCCGAAATGAGTGAATGAGTCCAGAAGAAGGAGTATATAATCCGTCGCAGCATATCTTTATCTACTTCTTTCCCTTTCCTTCTTAGAGATGATTATGCGTTTGCCTCTGTTGACTTTGCTTTTCACTGCTGGAGGTGGTTATGCCTATCCTACCCATGTGCAACTATCAACAACCTCAATACTGAAACGAGAGCAACCAAACGTACCGAAAACACCAGATTTGAACCTGCGTCCTTTAGAATGGGGCCAGGTTAATTTTATCCATACTACTGATATCCATGGTAACTTTGTCTGTTGCCATCTTCTGACATGAACACTAAAGGACATATAGCTAACTTGTACTTTGGCATCCAATTGAATCCAGGATGGATCGAGGTTAGCAAGAAGAGTAGGAGCCATACTGTAAATACTGAGGCGTTGATAATCGACAACTATATCCTCCCATGATCTTTTTACAGGGGCATACACAAGAAGCTTCGTATAACGGCGATATTGGAGATTTCTATTCGTTTGTTGTACGTAAAGGTTACGTGTTCTTCTTGAGGAAAAAAAATCAGCAAAGAGAAAGTAACGAGCGACTGATGGTTTATTAGATGCGAATGAAAGAAAAGGCACGATCGTTGAAAAAGGATCTTTTTGTAGTGGACACAGGCGACACACATGATGGTGAGAGTTAGGACCCTCCTTCTATCATACCCCAAAGTACAACCGTAATTTTTGACATTATTTTAGGCAACGGTCTTAGTGATGTCACTAGTCCCCACGGCAAAATTACCCAGCCTATGTTAGCTCATGTTCCATATGACTTGCTCACCATCGGTAAGATCTTTTGAATGCTTCTGCTGAACCATTCAAAAATAACTGATGCATGCCTGCAGGAAATCACGAACTTTATAGTGAGTCAGGGGGCGCTTTGTTTCGCCTCCCGCCCAGAGCTTGTGGTAATAATACTAATGTACTATCGGATGCTAATTTTACTGTGCTGGATCGAACAGCCAATGATGTGATAGAGGATGTGTACTATAACTTTATGCCGAATTGGCGTGGGCGTTATCTCGCATCGAATGTATATTTCAAAGATGTGCATAGTGGCAAAACTGTCCCCTTCGGGTAAGATAAAAGAGATAATGTAAGATGCATCTGATATAAATTCAACTCGCTGCTTTCAAAAACTAGTGACAAGTATACGTATTTCGAAGGCGAATTTGGCACACGCGTACTAGCATTTGGCTTCTTGTTCGATTTTCAAAATAACGACAATACTTCAGTCATCCAAACTGCAGAGGATGAAATAGAAAAGCCTTGGTTCACTGAAGCTCTCACGTCTCATACACCCGATATGATAGTAAGACGCATCCTTGACAGCTATATACAATAGCATTTAGTTCTAGTAAGCCACTCTTAAGACTGCAACCAGATGAATATTAACCACCCCTTGCTCTTTGATCATCTCTAAACAGGTATTGATAGGCCACACAGGTATCAGATCTAAGGAGTTCACGGTTGTGCAAAAAGCAATTCGGGAACATTTCCCAGTTATCCCTATCGCTGTTCTGGGTGGTCACAAGCATGTTCGCGATTTTGCCATATACGATGGGCGTTCAGCTGGCATCGCATCAGGAAGATTCATGGAAACGATTGGATTTTTCTCGATACAAGACATCCAGCCGTCAACAAGACTGATTGAACAGAAGGAAGAGGGTACCATGCAATCGCCAGCAAATCTTACATTTTTTAGGCGGTACCTTGATCAAAACCGTGCCACATACCTTTTCCACACTCTTCTTCATGATACGGATAAGGAGGATGGCAAAGAAACAAGCCGATTCGACACCGTGATGGGCAAAAGCATCTCAAAAAATATTACAGAATGGAGAGCTAAGCTTGACCTGATGAATACGCTCGGTTGTGCTCCACAGAACTACTACCGTACAGACGTTCCTGCCAATGATTCCGCGAGCATATTCAAATTGACTGTGGATGGTACTGTATACAGACATGGTTTTCTTTTTACAGTACTTTGGACGATTTCTTTTTCTAATCTGCCCACAGAGGTGTTGCCCAAAGTAGTTACAAACTCGGCAAGAACCAACGCGCCTTACTACATTTTTGATACGGGTACACTGCGATACGACATCTTCAAGGGAGCTTTTACAATGGATAATGTAAATCAAGTATCGCCCTTCACGGACCGATATGGTTTCATTGCGGATATTCCCCGAGAAACAGCACTTAAAATAGTGCAACTGGCGAATGATGCAACATTTGATCCCGGTAATGCAAAAAGGTCTTATGATGCTGATGTATGGACGTGCGATGACAGTGGATTTCGGGGCTATTTGCAGCGCAGTACAGTAATGACACCTGGCTACACAACCAAAGATGATCTCGGGACAGACGGTACTTAAAACATACGTAGTACATTTTAACACATCTCTTTTTTTTTTGTATCGCTGAAGGATGGTTTACTTTTAACATAGGTGACGACACCAAGCATTTGCCTCGACCAAGTCACAGCCCACCTCATTTCGTCGCCTCAAAACTACCAGACACTCCACTCGTAGACATTGTCTTTACAGACTTTAGCTCGAGCTTTATCCAGCAAGTAGCAAACCAAATTGCTGGAAAGCAACTCCAGGTTGAGCCTGTGTACACCAGCGATCCAAATATACGAAGCAACACCTTGTGGGTTGAATTTGTCAAAAAGTATTGGTCGAAAAATTGTACATGAAAAAGAAAGAAAACGAAATATACAGATATTAGATAGAAGAAGATCGTAAAGAAATTATTTTTTTATGCATCGTCATCGTCATCGGCTGGTGCGGGCTTCGCGGTGAATTTGGTAGTAATAAGTGCTTCCTTGGGTATGGTTCCTTCACTATTCAGATATGAATAATCAGGGCCAATGGCAGAATCAATGTGTGATATAAATTCATCAAACAACGCGTTTTCTCGCTCTTCTTCGAAAAGCTTCTTGTAGATCCATTCAGCCTTGAAGGCGTCGATGGTTTTCTAAAAGGCAGCCATGCCATTAAGGTGTTAGTAAACCGTCACCAAGCTCGATATCGCTATTTGAGCGTAGTATGGATATAGCATAGCTGCTTACTCTGTATGGTTCAAAATCAATTTCATCGCGGTATGTTTGTCCTTTCTTTTCATTTTGTGCATGTCGGTTGTATGAGCCAAAAATGGGACGCTCCAGCAGTAAGCCGAGAGCCGGTGCCTTGGGGATATTGATTCGATCATCACCAAAGGAGTTTTCAATGATTTTCAGCGGTGTGCGGGAGCGAACGGCTAATAATGCCATGGCTATCGTGAAAATAGAAAGACAGCAAAGTTAGTGAAATTTGATCCGTACTCACTATCTAGTAGTGAAACTTACAAATCATCTTTCGGATTTGGTGCAGCATAAAGGATTGTCCATGCAACTTTACGCTCAACCATTCGACGCCATCAATGTAAATAGGATCTTCGACCTTCGTACTCATGATGTAACGGAGGCAGCTCTTATCCAAAGCACCACGGCCGATCGTGTAGTTATGGAAATTATGCGTTCCTTGGTACATGCCCATAGCTTCTCTGAAACTGGCAAGATCCTCTTCGTTAATGCGATATGCTTCCTTTGCCTTGATCTCTTCAGGGGTGCTGCGAGGTAAATAGAAAACCTCATTGCCATAAACAAGCTTCAAATCATCTTCGTGTTCCTGCTCCTTCTTCAATTCCTTTGGCGATGGAGCCATGAAAGCGTATGAGGGGAGCAAATATTCGTAAATACGGGAGTCGCATCCTGTTTTGGCGTGAAATGACCGCTTTGTAACAACGTAGCCTACAGTTCACAGATCAGTAAGTCGTCCAAAATCGCCGTTCTCTTAGGCATACGAAAGAAAAGCTTCAAGTACCCCAAACCCGGATCTGGTCCGGCAAATGCGAGTTGATCTCTTTGACAACGTCGTCGCCCGGAGTGCTCATTTTCAGTGACAGCACGTTTCCGGCAGCGTGGACACCTTTATCCGTTCGTGCGGCTCTCATCCAAGCACTCTACAGTACCAAATTCCAGTCAGTGCCCAACCAGATTGGCGGGAAACGAACGGAAAAGTCTTCCTGATTATTATTACCTTCTTGGGATCATCTGCATTGGCTTTAGAAATCGCACCTGCTTTGCACAAGGCTTGAAAGATATCGTCTTCGATGGTTTTGGCATTAGGGTTACTATCAACGTTCTCTGTCAGTTACACACTGCTTTTTCTCCTCTTCTTTTTTTTTTGTGTATACATACAGTTGCATTCCCTGATAACCAGTTCCATTGAACCCAATGAGCAACGCCACTTTTTTCTTTGGCAAACGTGGCTCTTTATCACCATCTGCCTCTGGTTTTTCTTGATTGTCCTTCGCTGACCAAGCATTGTTCTTTTGAAAATGGTCTCTGCGTTCTTTGGTGGTCTTGAAGCGCTTCTTTGCCGACTTGGACTGGCCACCACCACCGCTCTTGTTGTTATTATTCTTTCGTTTTTGACCTGCTTGAACGGATGGTTCCTGTTGTGCTTCTGCTGGATTAGCAGGCTTCTCTTTCGACAACATGGAGCCCATTAAGTAGTTGTATAAAGAGTGAGAATATGAAAAGAGTAAGGGAAAGACGGGAGCAAAAGCGGCAACTCTAATTAGCTAGAAATGGGGTTGGTGTCCCCCACACCAAATGTGGCTTATGGCGGCTATTATAGCAACCTCATCTCAATGCACGTTACACATAAAAGTTCACTTTATTCTGTTCAGCTGCTGTGTGGTACTGAAGATCCGCTCGTTGACAGGATTAACCTTGTCTACGACTTTATCCAGGTGCTTGTTCTGGCTATCAATCTCTTCATTCATCGTGCTTGCCATTTGCTTCAAATTCTTGGTTGCGCCGCTCAACAAGCTCAAATTTTGATCAATCTCGTCTTCCATGGCCTCGTCTTCAGCATCGGCTTCAAACTGATAACGATTTCGATCAGACTGCGACCTGCTTCGGCTCGAAGAAGAAGCTCCTGATTCGTTCATTCTTTGTTGTGTGCGTTGCATGCGTGCTTGCGACTGGTATTCAAACTGCCGAGCCTGGTCTCTTTCGTCCATAGCATCCACATGCGCAAGTTGCTCTTGCTCCCTTTTCTGTCGCTCACGAGCCTTTTTGTTAAACGGATTCTTCCATGCCGGCAAGAATATGGATCGATTGAGTCGTTTGAGATAGCGTGTCTTTTGTGCTGCTTCGTCGACTTGCTCTTTAGCAGTACCCATGTCTCGATCGATATTCGCGATTTGTCCTAATTAAATATATCATATCTTCAAGTATGAGAATCACATCTTTGCAAATAAGCTGGAAAACTGACCTGCTTGCTCGTTAAGGCTGGCGAGAGTTTGACCGCCAGATTCTTGCGTTGCATTGATCGTTTGTAAAGCGTTTCGAGTACTGTCCAAAGTATCTTGTTTGACATTACGAATGTCTTGCTTGATCTTCTCCATTTGTCGTTCACCATCTTCATCCGCAAATCGAGTGGCTGCATAGGCATCCTCTCCATCACCTTCGTTGTCGTTGTCGTCATCAATGCCTGGTCTGTACCGGGAACGTTGCTTTGTTTGTTGCCTCTGAGTCCTCCGATAATTGCTGTAGTCATCACCATTATCGTGCCCCGTTCTTTCACCTAAAGTTTGGTGATTTTGTTTATCCTTATCGTCTTTTTCGGCAAACCTCAAAGACTCTGATCTTTGTTGGCTTTGGAGAGGTGATGATCGGTTGCGCTCTCGCAGTTGCTGCTCCACATTGCACTGTTGATTTCGTTTACTACTGTTCCATTGTGATTCGTTGGGAGGGGACTTTAGCTCTCTATGTGTATTACGAATGCTATCCTTGTCTTTAGAAGCAAAACCGCTGCTGAACGGATTGTTTTTGTCTGCTTCCATGGAATCACTCTCAAATGGATTCGTAGACATATTTGGTTGCTGATGTGTGTTGTTGATTGAAGGTAATTGAGGAAGAAAAAATAGAAAATTCATGCAAACCCTAATCTATACCCACTGAGCATCCGCAATGAAACTTGGCCACTTGTATTCACCCACCCCTGCCTGTCTTTTAAGTCTAAGGCAGACACATCCTGATGGGATCTCGCCATTGTATACAATACAGTGGCAAACAACAAAACATAAGTAGTGAAGAATAATGATTTTTTCGTATTCGATTGTAGAATGGTAAGAAGTTTTGAGTTGTTTTTGTTTCTTTTGACGTAGTAGAAATAGAGATGGTGTGCGTGTGCGAACCCGCTTGTGATGTCAGATAGTGAAGGTGAAGTGGGGGAGAGAGAAGAGATGACGGTGAAGAACGAAGTGGAAGAGAGAGAGAGAGAGAGAGAAAGTGTCTATTGTTTTGATCTACCGGAAACTACCATTCGTCGTCACTTTCATGAGTTTGCGGTTGTTGCTGACGTCTGGCACGGATCTATTGGAATTGTTTAGCATACATTTTACAAGAATATATACCAAGCGGGAGAATAAAAGAACAGAATAACACTATTACTTACAGCATCTGCCAAAGAAGCGGCAGCGTTAGATGGTGGTGGTGAAGCTGACGAAGGCCGTGGAGGTGCACGGGGAGCAGGTGTAGGAGCCGCACCAGGTCTTGCTGGAATTGCCGGCTTTGCCATAGTGCTTGGCTTAACAGGCACAGCGGGTTTGGGACCAGGAGCAGGCGGTGCTCGTCGAGCAGCAGGAACGGGTGCGCCGGCGGATGATGATACAGGTCGAGGAGCAGGTGTTGGAGCTGATCCGCCATTACCAGCAGCAGCAGCCTTTCTAGCTTCCAACTGAGCTTTCCACGGAGGCACGCCGTTTGCCGTTGGTGCAGCAATACCGGGCATCACTGGTATAGGTGCAGTAGTGCTGCCAGGAGCAGAAACAGAGGGAGGCGAGATGTTCGATCGGGGGACTGGAGCAGCGGCAGGTTTAGTTGTAGTACTAGCAGCAGGAGCAGGTGGTGGTGGTGGAGCTGCACGGCGAGCTGGAGGAGGTGGAGGTGCAGGAGTAGGTTTGGGTGCAACATACTCTTCCAAGTAATTGCTAGGAACCCATCCTTCTTTACCATCCTTGCGCGCTAACCACCAGCCATTTTCGTCCTTCTCGGCAATTTCCAAAATATCATCCTTTTCAAATGCAATTTCTCCAGATTCTTCAGATTGGAACGGGTAGATAGCCTTGAACTGTGGCAATGATGGTGTGGCAGGTGCGGGTGGAGGTGGCGGAGGTGCTGCACGGGCATTGTTTTGAATAGGTGGCAGTGGTCGAGAAGCGGCTGCAGAAGCGGCTGGCTTGGGACGAGGCGCAGAGCGTGCCGCTGATGCCGCTGGCTTGCGAGCAGCTGGCTTTCTCGAGCTTGTCGACGTCAGACGAGGTTTAGTGGCGCACGGTGGGAATGACGCTAGGAAGATCAATGATATCAGTTATGGATGCCTTTCCCTTACCTGGGCTTTCGGTCTACTACCTTAACTATCTCATGAGGCCTCTTTTTTAAACTACTTACCACTGTTGGCAGGTTCGCCAGAAGGCACATTGACCACATGGCTCTTGTATACGTCGTCGCGAGGTACCTTTTCATTCTTGACAAACTTCATGGTCACAGACTTGCCACCCTTCTTCTTGTATTGAATTTGCGGGTCGACGTTTACTCGCAACCGACCACCGGTTTGTTGGGCCATATGCGTGATGAGTTCTGTTTTGAAAATACAAGAAAGGATGGTATCCCCATCAGGCGAGTTGTCCACGTGCAGCACAATCCAGTCGTCACGAAGCGTAGATGTGCTGACACCGCTGATAACATTCAACGAAAGGATCTTTTCATCAGTCATGTTGATCATCTTTCCATTCTTGGTCGTCACCAAAACATGAAGACCTTGATTTGTCTGTAAAAGATAGTGTTGGGATAAATAAACCTTGCACTAACGATGCTGATACAACTTTTTAGTTGCTATACGTACCAAGACAAGGGTGCGCGGGCTAGGAATACTGGACCGCATCGCTCTAGGAACAAGCGTACTACCGCGCATACTGAAAACCACTTCCTCGCCGCCCTTGAGTGTCAAGGCATTGCGAATCATAGTTGCCAAACCGGTACCGCTTCGAACATCAAGATAGTCACCAGTGAATTTACGCATGCTGAGAAGCGAAAATCGACGGCGTTCCTTGCGACCGCCCAAGAGTTCATGACCATATTCACGTGCTTGAAGATAGCCAATGTTGTACTTGTTTTGTCTCCAGAAACGCTGGATCTTGCGAGCACACTCGTGCTTGTAACGCACATACGAACGCCAAGCGCGTTGGATACGTGTTGCCATGTTGTGCCAGTACTTGTCACGCAAATTCTCGAGCGCGAAAATCTTTTCAAACAGAATTAGTATAAAATCATCACAATAACTCTGGGCAGGAGAAACGACAAACTTACTGTTTCAGGGTGACGAATGAACACCTTGGAAGTACCCATCTGCCATTCATCTTGAGGGATGTTGTTGTGCTTTAGAATCTCTAGAGCACCACTTACAGGATCCCCGTGCCAGATATATTCACCAGCATAGCCGGTCGAAGGGCACAGCAAGTAGAAGCGTTCGACGAACTTTTCAAAAGTCTACATGTGTTATCAAGAGCTAAATTAGTAAGCAGGGTGCCTTGAACTTCATGAACGAATAGCGATTAGGCTTACCGTTCTGTACGCGTAACCAGCGCGACGGACACGAATATTTTCACAGAGACCAAGGTATTGAACCTGATGAAGTACACGCTTTTCATTGAATTCTGAAGAGCTTCGGTTGTCGTTCGGTTTGATGGTACGGATATAGCTTGGATGGCACTGCATCAGCTTGGTCACCAGAGCATTACAGGAGAGCTTGATCTTGTCACCGGCAGTAGGAGGTCTCTTCTTTGAGTTAGGATCAATGCGTTCGGGGAACAAGGTCTGAGAAACGAACGAGTTCGAAGATGCAGCGGCGAGATTCAACAAGTCCTTCAACAACGAATCCCTGTTCTTGTCGGTCATGCCTTCAACGTTGTACAACACTTCACCAGCATAGTGGCGGATCAAGAATTTGGATCCACGCGATTCAAAATGGGCATTGGATGACAGGAAGCCGAGACGTTGCACAAACGAATTATCCGCAGCACCAGGGTCAGCATGGGCCGTTGCACAGGCATCGTTCAGGGCAGCAAAAATTCCAGGAGGGCGCTTTTCTTCAATGAGATCACATACAATCTTGTTGTTGAAGAATTGGATCGGCGTCCACTGGATCTGCTCACGCACGTATTCTTCCTGTTCGGCCTTGAGTGTCAGTTCAATGAAAATTTGCTGGAGCTTCTCGTTCACGTAGTTGATGCAGAGTTGTTCAAAGCTGTTGTCGTCGAAAATCTCAAAGCCGTAGATATCCAAGACGCCAATGACGTATTGATCGCCACCACGCGATTGCAGCGATAAATTGACACGAGTGACAATCCATTCAAACAATCGCTCATAGACGGCTTTTGCAAGAGCATCACGCACAGATGTGGCCTGGGTGACGTTGAGTGGCACTTCGTACACACTGCCTATAAACAAATTCAGCAACCCATTGTGCATCATCGGACCAAGGTTTCCATTCTACAAGAGCATACCTCTTCGTCCACCACGCTGCGTTTCCATTACACGATTGGTCAGTGCCTTTGACAATGATTCGTTATCCACTTCCAAGAGGTATGCGATAAAGTTGGCAACTATTGATACAAAAGTGCATTCAGTAAATCTTTCAAATCTCTCTTTGTTTTTCGGTTGCTACCGCTATTAAAAGCTCCCTACCATCGGGATCCGAGATGGCTGCGTTGCCACTATCATCTTCGACGAACAAAAGGTTACCCAACCACAAGACCACAGCCAACATTTTAAAGATCTCGTCCTGTTCATGCTTTTGCAATCCAACAATATCCATTGCTTTCTATTTAAATGTATTTCGCAGGTCAGTACATAATGCCCCTAACAAGACACTCTATGTTTAGGTCACTCCACTTACAATAGTTTCACCATATTCTGTAACATCGTTGATCCCTTCCACGTCCAAGCATCCACTGCGGCTAGTATACAAAAAGCTTTCGGGCCCCTGCAAACCATAAGCCTCTATAATCCGCATTGTTTGATAGGTCAATAACAAGATACGGTCAAAAAAAAACTACGACGCTGGCATGATCTCAATTCACATGCAGTACCACTCTTACCTTGATATTCAGGTGGTGCCGCCTTGGTAAGTTGATAGAATACGTGAAAGTTTCGCTCGTTTTCAATTTGACCGACGACACGATTCTAGAACAGCGGGTGGATGGTGGCAGCAAACTATTTAGATTACATTTGTCCTCCCTCTCTTTTTTTGTGTCACATTATATCCCCTTCCCCTCTTACCTTTTCCAAGAGATAGTTGGTAATCACTGCACCAACAGGCTCGCCCTGAGCGTTGAATTGAATTTCTAGGTATTTACCCTTAGTTTTAAGAGTCAGGGGTGGGGGAAGGGCGATGATTAGTTAATGATAGGTGCTCGTTAATTCATGCGAAAGCCCGTTTCTAAAGAACACCAATCTCCCCTCCAAAAATAAAACAACAGAAATAAGCTTACATGACGACTGGAGTTATTGTTTCTCAGCGTTTTAGCACATCCGAAACTTTCCAATAAAGGATTTGTTGCCAAGACCATTTCCTTGATCTCCTGGATGGACGAATTCTGGCCGCCGCCAGAAACCGCCGCAATATATTGCATTATCCGCTTGGCAGCTTCTGTTTTACCAGCACCTGATTCACCACTGATGATAACGCACTGGTTTTCTTTGTAACTGCTCATGTGATGATACGCGGATTCTGCAATCGCAAAGACGTGTGGAGGCATCTATATATACACACACACACACACATTGTATAAACCAGCGAGGTTCTTTGTGAGTTTCCGAGATGTATAAATAGAAAATGACAGATATAACAAACTACCGGAACTCCATCTTTGAGCTCCCGTTTATGTTGTTCCTTTTTGATTTATTTTACCTCGAGCAGATTCTTGCCACGATAACTACCAAGGGTCGCATCTGTGTAAATACCGAGATCGCGAAACGGGTTAACACTGATAAGGACATGGCCAATATATGTCTGTTGAATAAGAAAAAGCAAGATAGTATAGCAAGATGAGCAAAACGTTGTTGGCGATCTCTTATTTTAACTTTTCCTTGGATGCTGTTTAGCTACTTGCATAAATCTCGGCATTTTGCCATCGTTTCATTAGATTTTCATTGATTGCTTCGTTGGTAATCTTTGTCAAGAGCGTCATGTCGGATACACCGACTTGCTTCTTTTTGACGCCTTCCTTCCAGTCGGCTCTAACTGGCCGACTCGCCTTGATGACCTTTTTCTCGCCTTTTTTACCAAACCCTTTCTATATGAAGGAAGAAAAAAGCAAGTTAGCAATTCACTGCCTGCATGTAGTGTCGTCATCAAGAATGACTTTGAGGTCTTTGTTGCCATGTGGAGAAACACTTGCCTTCGCCATGGTTTAGTTCTATGTAAAAAGAAAACTATTGGAACAGCGTAATTCCAGCCCGGTTGCCTTATTGCGAATTTTAAGAAATCGAATTAAAACGCCGAATGCCCAGAAGCACGAGCTCATTCAGCCCGAACGTCTTAGGGCACTATAAACGGCTACGGCGGTTACCTGACTTATCTTTTTGGAATCCCAGGGCCAAATGTAATAGACGAGCGATCGCCCATCAATCTTTTTTACATGATCCTAAGATATCCTTAAGCTGGTGATGGGCTGCTATGGACTATATATCAAACTGTCCTATACATCTACACAGATAGAACTGATAGGTTAAATATGGGTGTATCATTCGAGAAGGATCTATCCTCTGTATGTAGCGTAGTACTCCAACTTGCTGCTGCAATGAGATCACCCTGTCCCCAAGAAAATGCCAGAACAACAACAATAACTTTTCGAAGAAGGGAGCGGACTTTAAAGTTCACTCTACGAACAACTAATTGAGCGCGACCCACCCAACCACGCGCCCAACTTTTTTTTTTTACCTTGACCTTTTTTTTACCCTCCAAAGTAGCATAAATGGTAAAAAACAACTCGAAATAATAAAATGGACTTAATCTGACCATTTTACCTGAAAATTAGGCCGACCGGGCACCAGAATCCACGACCCAACAAACAGAAAAGAAAGACAAAGCCCCAATCTTATCGCAATCGGCACGATCTGGTCTTCAGGTATATTTTTTTTTTATTCAAGAAAAAAAAACACAGTTTATCAGGAATAGAGAGAGAGAGAGAGAGAGAAGAAAATAATAACGCACGTACTGTTTTTTTATAGTTCCCCGTCGGTCGTATTCATCGCTACCTGAAAGAGAAAAGTCGACACAATGCACGTGTGGGAGCAAAGGCAGCAGTGTACACGGCAGCGATCCTTGAGTACCTGACGGCCGAAGTGCTCGAACTTGCAGGCAACGCGACCAAGGACCTCAAAGTCAAACGTATCACGCCTCGACACTTGCAACTGGCGATCCGTGGTGACGAAGAACTGGACCAGTTAATCAAGGCTACGATTGCTGGAGGTGGTGTCCTGCCTCATATCCACAAGTCTTTGATTGGCAAAACAAAGATGGGTAAAAAGGTTTAAGGCGCACTCTGTAATAAAGCCTTACCCCCCCACCCACATACTCCCAATGCTTTGCATTTCTCTCTCTCTCATTTTCCCATCTAGTACATAGTATTGTTCAACCCCTCTCATCCTTCTTCTTCTTCCTTTTCTTGCTCTCTCTCTCTCTTTCTCAATACCAGATATAAAAAAAACACCCCAAAAACAGTGGAGTAAAACGTATATATAACACAATATATAATTTACATTTGGTTATGACAACTACACACACACGAAAGAAAAAGAGGCCATTACGCTTTGTCAGTCGTCAACAAATGAAAAAAAAAGAAACAACAAAAAAATTCTCTATTTACCTGTTTGAAGATATCGTAATTCACTAGTGCTGCAGGCTTTTTTGACGTGGTCGAGGAAGGCCTTTGTGGAGAAGGTGATGTTGATGAACTGGGAGTAGTGGAGATCGTTGATCTTGGGCTTGATGTCGGTTCTTCCATTGTCCGTCGTCGTCGTTTAGGTATGTTGGATGAAACAGACTGCATAACACGATTAACATCAGCGGGTTGGTATGCAGATACGCTCGCGCTTGCTTGCTGGCTGATTTCTTTACCTTTGAAATTGGATCGAGCGGCTTCTTTTCAGGCGGCCTGAGGGGCTGTTGTTGTTGCTGGAGGCGATGTGGTGGTGGCACAAGCGGTGGATAAGACGCCTGCCGAGGTGGAGGTCTGTTGTGCTGTTGCCATAGATTGTGATATGCTTGTGATAATGACGAAGATGGTGTGGATACTTGGACAATAGAAGGTGTGGGTGATGAGGAGGAAGAAGCTGGAGTCGTTGATTGTGTGCGCATTGGATGCTTTTGTGGCTGTCTGTACATGGCGTGTCTAATCATATATGTGCAGAACACAATGTTAAATAAACTGAGCAAAACTTATTATTTGCAATGTTATATTGCTTACGTCCGGTCAGCAGCTTTGCGGGTCTCTTGGAATAATCGGCTCGTCTGACTACGCCCTGTTTTGAGCGTATGCATACACGCCATTTCAGGTCATCGTCGGTAAGTAGTGGTAGCAGATAGTCTCATTCAATAAAAGAAAGCAGGAGTTTACTTACTGGCTGAATCGTAAGTGGCACTTCCACGACCGTGTGTAGGGACATGGCCGCTCAGGACTTTGATGGATCGAGCAGCCTTTTCATCTTGAATCTTTGCATATCGCTTTTTAACTTTTGCACTGATCATTTCCCGCTTCCGTTCGTTTTCTTTGAACCGTTGCTATCACAGCGTGTCCAAAGTATATACGGTAACGTCGTCAGTGCTGATGTTGTTACCAGTGTGTATCAAATGAAAGAAAGAGAAGGAAAGTTGGGTACCATGTATGTCTTTCGCCACTTTGTTGGATCGCGGTGCTCTCCTTGCTGATATGCTTCACGAATGTCCATGTATGACAAGCAATGATCGAGCCATAACTCTAAAGAAAAAATAGGCCCTGTGAGTTTTCTCGTTGCACTCCATAGTCTTTTTTCTTATTTACCATTAGATTCTGATACTAGATGCTATAGTGACATGATTAAGAATATGAAAAAAAAAACCGAGAGTTAGCTCTGTGTTGTGTGCAAAACAGAAATGGATAAAGTACTCGTGCAGGTAAAAAAGAAACTTACGGGGTTCGCTTTCTCTATGCACAGCAATTGTCTGGGTGTCGCTTTGCGTAACGCTGGGTACAGGAGGGAATATGGGGTGCTCCCAACGTCGTCGAGACCTATAGATCACTGCTGGTGAGATGAAGAGTTGCTATAATAAAGCATGTACCAGGAATTACCATCGAGATGTCGGGACAACGTTTCTTGGGAAATGGTAACCAGTGATTTGATCTCTTTGGACATAGCGACAAGGGACAAAAAGAGCTCGCTCGCTCACACTCTTCAGCGCACGGCAACAGTCAGTAGCGGGTAGCACTTTTTTTTTCTTTTGAAAAAAAGAGGCGGAATTCGAGTCGCCGGTGGTTTTACAGAATGCTATTCCATTATTCTACTCACCTATGAAATCTCAAACTGAGCTTTCTTTTCAAAAGGGAGAAAACGTACAAAAACATCACAATGCAACAACACCTCTTTATTAATATCCATCATCATCTTCTTCTTCTTCTTGTTCATTGTATCTATTGTGTCTATTCCACACGAGCCTTGTTGATGCGAACAGAATCCTTGGGTCTATGTATCCACAGTTGAAGTTAGATTATTCTTTCCCAATTTGACTCTGTCTAAATCCATGCTTTTACCTGTCTGTACTATCCGTTGGCACTAATCCCATTCTCTTTACCACATTCATGCCATCGCTCACCCGACCGAAAATCGCATGTTTTCCTATACATTTGCGTCAAGTGGGCATTTTGTTGAGTTCATAAAGCGCATAAGCGGCAGAGGTGATTAAACAGTTTCGTCATTACCATCGAGCCAAGGCGTTGGTGCCAAAGTGATAAAAAACTACAAATACAACACACAATGAATATAGCGGTTCCCATGGCAAAAAGCGAACAATCGTATTACCTGTGAGCCATTCGTGTTTGGTCCGGAATTAGCCATACTGAGGATGCCAGCACCTGTATGCTTCAGGTCAGAATGAATCTCATCCTCAAACTTGTCTCCATAGATCGACGAGCCGCCTCGACCAGTGCCCGTAGGATCACCACCTAAACCGATCCGTTTAGTAACCCATCCTTCGTCTTATCTAAAATCCACCTCTTTCAATTTTTTTTGCTTGCCTTGAATCATAAAGTTCTATATAAAAGAATTGACATGTTAGCTTTAAATATGTCCAAGTGTGTGCAAATAAATGCCTTTATTGCGACTTGCCTCGATGATACGGTGAAACTATACCAGTGCAATAGTGTAAAGCTTATTTGAGTAACATATCGACAACACCGTACTAACGCTGTGCAGGATCTCTTTAAAAACTTACGCTGATGCCGTCATAGTAACCTCGTCGAGCCTGTTAATCCCAGTGAGCCTTTTGCACGAATCTGATCGAAGAGTATTGATTCACTTACGAGTTCATAAAAGTTCTTGCAAGTTCTAATCGCAAAAAAGTTCTCAAACGCGTTAAGTGTCAGACATTACTAAAGGAGGAGTTCTTGGCAATATGATATTATAAACGTACTTTGGGGCATGCTTAGTATAAAGCTCGATATGGATCGCCCCCATTGAGGTCTCCAAGATCACCGTGTTTCCTTCACTCATTCTTTCTCTGTCAGTGTGTCGAGAGTGTTCCCAGCACAGTCACCTCTTTTTTTATAAAGGGAACTCGAAAAAAATGCAGCCCAGCGGGCTTTTTCCTCTCTCTCGCTTTCACGTCTTATTAATCTTAGAATGCCCTCAGACAGAAATCGATCACGATCGCCATCACATCATCGCTCACGTTCACCTCCCCGTCGTCGACCATCCTCTCGCTCAAGATCACCCGCTCGTCGTCGTCGACCATCCTCTCGTTCAAATTCACCACCGCGACGCCGACGGACTTCACGCTCTCCGCCACCCTCTCGATCGCGACGTTCACATTCACCACCATCACCAGAACGACAACAACGACGTAATCAAGCAGGAGGAAGAGGACGCGGACGCGGACGAGGAAGAGACGACCGGAACAAACGCTATGAGTGGGGCCGTGCAGAAGATCGCGAACGGCCCAAAACGCCTCCACCTGTCGAGAGCGAAGAGCCTAATTTTGGCTTATCAGGCAAACTAGCAGCAGAGACGAATACCGTCAAGGGCGTCGAACTCAAGTACAACGAACCAGCCGAAGCAGCCAAACCCAAGACTAAATGGCGATTGTACGTTTTTAAGGGTGATCAACAGATTGACTTGTTGCACATTCATCGGCAAAGCGCGTTTCTTTTTGGACGTGATCGTGTTGTGGCAGATATTCCAGTAGATCATCCATCGTGCTCAAAACAACACGCAGTGCTCCAGTTTCGACTCGTTCCTGATCCAGAGACAAACACACAAGTCGTCAAACCGTTTATCATTGATCTTGAGTCGACCAATGGCACGTTTTTAAACGGTGACCAGATACCAGCCACTCGGTTTGTCGAAATGCGGATGAAGGATGTGCTCCGGTTTGGCCAAAGCACCCGAGAGTATGTTTTGTTACATAGCACATGAAGAAAGCAAATAAACCATGTCTCCCGTCATCTTCAAAACCTGCCACTATGCTCGTGCCATTCAGATAGCCTTACATAGTGTATCGCAAAATCAAGGACATTAGAGTGTGACACGAAGCACTATTTGACACTTTGTATGATTGTATTGGCATGAATGTTTATTTACATATTACTCGCAAGTGGTTTGTTGGTATCGACACATAATAGAATACTGGATTATTATTTCTACTGCACGGATGGTGATCCTTGGATACTAGAACCTTGTTTAGCCCGTTCTAATTCGTCCATCAATGCTTGTAACTCTTGTTCTTTTTGAATAACTGTTTGCGTTGCGGTCTATTTACAGGCAACATACAAAGTTTCAATATTACCATTACAAGTGCTCCTCTTTTTCCATATCTTACATTTAAAGCATCCATTGCTTTGTGATATACGCTGTCGTATTGGCTGATGATGTTCTTTGGGTCAATGCCCGTTAATATCTGAGGACTTGTCAATCTGTACATTTGAGATGAATTTTTAGAATAGATTTGCGCTTGCCATGCTAACTTTTTACTTACGTTGTTGATGGGACGAATTGCTGATAGGCGAGTGTGCTTTCAGTCATGTTGACGATATCGATCGGTACCCTGTTGTATCTAAATGCGACAACAGTTTCTGTCAATTTACAGGTTTCACTTTGAATGCGAGAGCTAAAGATAGGAAACAACGAGATGTCCACCTTTCAGCATCCCAAAAGGCAATGTCATGTGCATGTGTGGACGCGTCGTTTTCTTCAAGCAGGGACGCCGTTAAAATTGCCATGCCACGGAATTGCGGCAATACTGCGCCGAGATTCTGCAGTAACGCTTCTTCTCGAACTGATAACATTAATGCCGATTGTCGACGAAATCGAAAGTATCCTATCACGTTGTTCTTTCTGTCACCGAGTTGGTTGTACAGACTTTCGACGTCGATCTGGCCCTGAGCATTGTAAAACCGCGCTCGGATTGCGCTGTGGCCGTCGATAACTTTTTTTTTTTTGCCAGTAGTAGCAGAAATAGCAGTAACACTATGTTTTAGTCCTAGGCTCGTAACTTTGTCTTTTTCTTTTTATTACTACTAAGCAAGAACAGTCAGTCACTCACTAGTCAACCGCTGTGCAGTGTCACTCGTTTGATCAGAAGCATCGTCGATCGCTCCAACGGTTCGAGTTGCTGTCATTCCCATCAGGAACCCTTCCTAAATGAAACAGGTCCATAGGGTTAGAGCTATTTTAGTCAACTAGTTTCCCCCCAATAGTTTAACCCGAAAATAAAACAGAATAACCAGACACAGTACTACATCGGTTTCAGAGTTTGCGCATTGATGCAAAAGTGCAGCTAAAACAGTGCCACTTGTACGAACGGAATGGTCCATACTAAAAAGAAGCTTGCCCCTCTCCGCAACTATTTTTGAACTTGCCATAAAAGGGTGAGATGCTATATAGCACACTTCTATCAACCAAGCGGGCAACCGGTCCGTTTCTTTTTTTTTGTACTCCTTTCATCTTCTTTCCTGGTTCGACCACGCATACACCCTAAATGTCATTCCTACATCTGGTCGCCTTTGCCGCAGTTGTACTCGGCTTTTGCTTTGTAGTACTTAGTTTAGGTAATATGGAAGCTCGAAAAAAATATTGAAACGATCGATACGCGACCGAGAAACCAACGCTAAATTCTTTTTTTTTATATAAAGCTTGTGGACTGTATTACTTGGCAGAATTGGTAATGATTCCCAAGCACGCAAAACCAAAACGTTCATATTAACATGAGCATTGTATTAGGTCGAAGAATATACAGTATACACGCGTAAAATCATTAAAGCAATGACAGCGGTAAGAGAAAGAAAGAGAGCAAATTGAAAAAAAAACGCAGCTAGTAGTTGACATTGTAGACACGGCTTTATATTATAGACTGTTGTAGGCATTCACGTGTTATTGTGGATTGTGGATCGACTACCGTTCCTGCTGTTGGCATTCTCCATTTTATGTCACGGCGTGTATACGATGAATTTAAAAACGTTCCCATTCATCAGTCTTACGAGCGTACCGTTCATTGCTAGTTGCGGTATGTTGTGCATATTTAAAAGGCATCACTGAGTGGGAAGCTTAAAAAAAAAGGTATTGCTGGAAAGAGAATTAACGTGTTTTGGAAATAAAAAAAATTGTAGTACTTGTATTCGTCGATCACTTTTTATGGTTCAAATTCTTTACAACGCATTATCGACCATTTATGGACATTGCGGCATTTTTCGGTGTATGTGTTTGGTTGATTCCGTTCACTTATTTTATCAGTCTCAGTGCCAACGATAATGCGTTGCCTATGGCAGGAGGTAAGCAGATTCGTCAAAGGAACGCACTCCTTTGAGAACCAGGTGATGGGGTGATGATTGTAACGAGATGGCAGGATACTGACGGTGATATACTACGATAATGACATGTATTTGAAAGAAACGAGCAGCAGCAATCCCACCACTGTCGACGCCATTCCTTCGCATCAGAAGAAAGGATTGTTACGCTCCTTGTTTAGCATTTTCGAACGAAAAAACAGCGACATGTTACCCACGACACCATACGTTCCTCCCACAACGACAGCGACGGCACCTGCATACGATCCTATGGCCAGCGCCGCTAGCTCTACCACCACCACCACCACCACCAACATGCCACCATCCTCCTCAACGGTCCACGCTGCACCTGTTACTATGGCAGCTGGCAACCAGTCCTGGTCATCAACCAGTTATCGCGATCACAGCAACATCTCCAACATCCAGCATCGAAAAGCAATGTAAAATTATATCTTCTAACCTCTCTCTTTTTTGCCGCGCTTTGGAAAACCTACCTGAACATTATTCCACACACCACGACGCACACACAAAACTCACGCAGTCATCAAAATTCCATCTTTCTTGTAACATGATAATAAATAGTACACGCAATTGCACCATTTCATTTCAATGTGCACATAGACTTCAGTCCTGAAGGATGGACTGGTCATCCGATGACCGGGGATACATATTAAATACGTGTCGTCATTTGATTGGCATCTATGCTGAACAGTGTAAGATCTACCTCTTCTTGGGTATGCTGATGCGATAGCAACGCATGTATCTAGACATGTGAGAGATTTTATTTCTATTCGGCATATTCAAACACGAACAATGGCTCAAAGACTTATCTCATCTAATGCTTACAATGTATGATAAACTCGACATTTGGGCGAAAAGAAGTTTGATATTGTACCACATGTCGCTGGTTGAATCATCCATCTAAATGATCTCGTTATCTGTAGTTACGAGCCATTAGTGAATGCGGGGCATTTGGAGGATGACTTGTGTGTGAGCAGTATGTGGGGAGATCAGGTTGCACATACCCTATTTCGAATTCGATTACTTAGCTCCGCTCTTAGAGAGACCACACAGTGGAAACAACAATTCTCTCTCTCTCTCTCTTTTGTTCCTTCAACTCGTTTGCAACCTCTCTTGTTTTTCTGACGGAAAACAATTCTGTTTGGGATCCTTTTTCTTCCATGTCGCGTCCGCAGCAGAAATGGCTCGATATAGGCTATGACACAGCCTTGTGGATCTTTAACATTATGCTCGAAGTGTTCTTTCGAGAAATTCGACCTCGTGGAGCACACAGAATCCCGCGAAACGGTCCGGTTATTTTTGTTGCAGCACCTCATGCCAATCAAGTACGACACAAGAAAAACGTTATTCGTTTGAAATTTCAGAATCGTCAGAGCTAATTGAGGATAGTTGTGCCAGAGTACTTACAAAAAATGAACCATTTTTTTTGTGTGTGTGTTGTAAATGTTGTTATATAGTTTGTCGATCCCTTGATTGTTATGCGAGAATGTCACCGACGCGTATCGTTCCTTATTGCCGCCAAATCCATGAAGCAGAAAGCTATCGGTTTTCTTGCTAAAGTAATTCATGCAAGTAAGTTCTTGAAAAAAAGGCTACCTAGTAAAAGGATAGATGGTGATTAATGATTTCGATATAAAGTACCCGTTGTTCGGCCTCAGGATCTAGCGACTAAGGGACAAGGACGAGTCACCTTGTTGAATGCCAAATCTGATCCGCTGCGCCTGGTTGGCATCGATACCAAATTCATGTCGCAATTACAGCCCGGCCACTCGATCGTGCTACCTCGCAACGTTGGAAAAATGGACGTAGCAAAGGTTATCTCGGACACTGAGATCGAGTTGAAATCCGAAGTACGCGAAGAGAAGTCATTGAAGCTTCTGACATCGGCTGAAGGAACCGCGTATAAATGTCTGCCTCATGTCGATCAAGAAGAAGTTTACGACCGTGTATATGCCGAATTAAACAATGGTGAATGTATCACCATCTTTCCTGAAGGTGGTAGTCACGATCGTGCAGAAATGTTGCCATTAAAAGGTAAAAAGATTGGCATGCGGGGAGCAGAAAGAAGGAAAGGAGAGTTTTGTCACTTACCGCTGTTTCATGACATGTTTGTTCTGCTATCTTATCAGCTGGTGTCACCATTATGGCGTTGGGTGCCATGGCTAAATACCCCGGACTGGATGTGAAAATTGTTCCTTGTGGTACGTTTGCGCACAGACAATTAAGAAGGAGGCGAAGGGCCAAGGGGGGGGGTGTGTGTGGAAGAAAAAAAAAGGAGTGGAGAGAAAAGCATATGATAACTAAAACGGGAGGTCGGTTATTAATATGTGGGTGACAGGATTAAACTATTTCCACGCGCATCGATTCCGATCAAGAGCCGTGATTGAGTTTGGAAACCCGATTACAGTCGCTCCTGAACTTGTCGAAAGGTTCAAGAAAGGTGGTTCAGAGAAAAGAGAAGCGTGTGGAACCCTTTTGGATACCATCTATTACGGCTTAAAGAGTGTTACTGTAAACGCCCCCAACGATCAAACTTTGATGGTAAAGTTTTGTGTCAACATTGATTCAGAGCACAGTAGTACATGCATCGCCGTAGCTTTCTCTGATTTCCTGATACTGTATCCATGATAGGTGATCCAAGCTGCTCGTCGTTTGTACAAGCCTGCTAACCGTCGGCTGCACATTGCACAAGTGGTAGATCTCAACCGACGATTTGTGATCGGTTACAACTTGTACAAAGATGATCCCAAAATCATCGAACTGCAACGAAACGTGCTCGCATATAATCAGATGCTTAAATACCATGGTCTTCGGGATCATCAAGTGCCTGATATCAACTTGCGTGAATGGCGAACTTTCTTTTTGCTTCTTCAACGTATTTTAATTCTGATTGTCTGGGGACTACTAGCATTTCCAGGGTAAGCTGCTCGATATGTTGATAGAGAAATGTTACTGATACAAGGATTGTTCATATTAGAGCAATCTTGAATATGCCAATCATGATCGTAGCTAAAGTTTTAAGTTATTTTAAAGCTAAAGGTAACAGATAGGATCTCTTGATGTCTTGCTTCTCCCTTTGATGTACCATATAATCGGATTCTCATTATCGCACTGCTTTCTTTTTTGGAATTTGTAGCGGCCTTGGCAAGCTCAACCGTCAAAATTAGAGGAAGAGATGTGCTGGCAACATGGAAGTTTTTGGTTGGCTTGATCCTGATTCCTACGCTCTACGGCTTGTATACACTGATTGTGTTTGCTTTTGCCACGAAGACGGATTGGAGCTGGCTCAAGATATGCGTTGTATCACTCGCTACATGGAACCTACTACCATTTGTCAGTTATGCAAGCATGCGCTTTGGTGAAAATGGCATGGATGTATACAAGTAAGTTTAGAAATCTTGGCCATAAACTCATGTTAGCAACGTTTTGGATACTCAAACCAAGCGAGGATTTAACTAAAAACGTACTGTTGGTGTATCACTTTTTTAACAGATCGCTTCGACCGTTATATGTCGCGCTGATTGATCCAGACAGTACGCAAAATCTACGACAAAACCGTGAAAAGCTTTCTCAAGAAATCACTGAAATCATCAACGAATACGGTCCCAAAGTATTTGGTGATTTCGATCCAAACAACGTATTTCGGAACGACCCTTCAGGCAGCAAAGAGTCTGTCACCGAACTTGGTGAAGGTGGCAAAACATTCTCACAGATCGCGAGTCGCTTTTTCAACAGCAAGGCATTGGACTGGCTGGATGATCGTAACATCTTTAACTTGACAAAGCAGGAAGACGAAGAAGAGGATGTACTTCATTTCTTGGATAAGCACAGTGGTCTGATAAGTGGTGGGTCAGCAAGTGAACAGAAATGATGACAGCTCGCAGTGGACGGCGTACACCAAAAATGACTGGAATGACAAGCACAAAAGATAAACATCAATAAGCAGCTTTCTTTCCTTTACTCTCTTTATTTTTACCATTAACATCTCTCTTTCTATCTATAAATATCTATCTATTTCTCTTCCTTCCTCCTTCCCCTCCCCCTCTTTGTCATTTTCCGTTCTATCCAACCTTTCCAATCGACCGCAAAAGGGTCTGAACTGTAGCTAAACTTTGTATATCTAAAATAGATCTTTTCTTTAATTGTTAAAATACATTTTTCAAAACATGCTATGACACAGCATCTACGTTTTCTACTATCAAAAACAAAACTTATGACTGCAATTTTCATTGATCGGCGAGAAGCATCACAGAATATATATTGATGTAAACCGGTGAAGTTTGCAATTATTAATTTATTGTTTAAAACAGCCTGGTTATTATGGTCCCCGTGGAATGCAAATCATCATGGATTGTTTGACGAAAGAACTATCGAAGTCGAACCACCTGACAGCAGCAAATACAGCCCCAATGCCACCACTTCAGTTTGTCCAGCAAATTCTTGTTCCGGAGACGGCCGCACGACTTGCAGGATTTTTCCTTATGATTAGCGGTGCTTTTTTTCTCATGATGGCGGGGTTCTTTTCTTACTATGGCGTTTGGGGGTCTGTTGATTGGCGGTGTGTTTTTTGTAATTGGCAGAAGCTGAAAATTACAATGGCGGCCTGCTTTTTGTGATTGGCATAAGGTGAATATTACAATGGCGGTGTAGTTTCAACAGATGGCGCCTCAAAATCACCTGTTGATATAACATAGGTGCACCATTACCCAACTTCGACTTTAATATACGATAGATGTACCATACCAGACTTCAACTTCAAAACTACACGGACGCCGAACAACAATAATCCATTCTAAATTTAATATGTCTGAATGTTTATACAGTTATTTATTATTACGGCGGCGTCGTTCCATTGCAATATGTTTTCCTGCGGTGGAACGACGCATTCCTGCTTTTTCTGCTGCAGCAGCTATCGTCATCTTCTCCTCAAAATAGCTGGAAAAGGTTCGTCTTCGTTGCTTGGGTGACGATATCCCTTGTTCTTGGTTGCTCTAGACCTTCCAAAACTTGAGATTGGACCAGATGGCCTTATAGAAATATTTCATGAATAATTCCGTGTATAGTTGAGACAACATGCATTTCGGGAATAAATTATACTTGGAACTTACCAAGATCCATCTGGTTATCTATGATAGGATCCACTGGAAATGCAATCTGGGAATTGGGGTCCAAATCTAGGATCGTTTGATGAAAGGGATCGTATAGTATGTCAGTGTCAAAGTCAGAGAAAATAAAAAGTGGTATATTGGAATCCATGATGTTTTAGAATGTAGTACATTGAGTCTGTTTCTTTTCATTCGTGTTCAAATACTTTTATTTGGACTGGTCAGGTTGGATGTTTGTGAACTCCAAAAGTTTCTCCGCATCGGCAATTTCTCACTTTACTGCCTCTGCATATGCTTTTGTTTCTCTAAACTGCTTAGCCCATCGATGCATTGTAGCTTTTGGAACAATCGCTCTGTCATATCCTTTATTCTCGATTGCGCATCGTATTATTGCCTCCTTGATTTCCGGATTCTCTTTGTTCCATTTCGTCTGCTTTCGTTTCGAGATTTCTTTTAATCTTGCAATTTCTTCTTCTAGCTTTCGGATTTCCAAGACCGAAGGAAGTTCATTGGATGGTTCATATTCTTCCCCTGCTCGCATTGCATTTAAAGTTCTAATAAATTCCTCTATCAAAGGTTTAGAAAACTGTAATAACGATTGTACAAGCAAGCATACCAATGTATGGATCTTCTCCCTCAACGACATCAATGGTTTCACGTATTTCTTTGTCGGTAAGAGCCAGGTTATCCATAAGAAATGTTGTTCGGTTTGAATAGGGAGTCTGTAACAAAGGCGGTAAGGTCCCCATATTATATTAAAGAAATAGCATAGGCACAATGTTGCACACAAGAGATTTTTTGGGTTTTGATTCACCGATGGGATAAGTCATGGTCGGTAGAATGAGCACTATGTTGGCCCTACGATTGGGACATGTCATGGTTGAGCGAAGAAATAGCATAGGCACAATGTTGCACACAAGAGATTTTTTGGGTTTTGATTCACCGATGGGATAAGTCATGGTCGGTAGAATGAGCACTATGTTGGCCCTACATTTGGGACATGTCATGGTCGAGCGAAGAAACAGCATAGGCACATTGTTGCACACAAGAGATTGATTCACCGATGGGATAAGTCATGGTCGGTAGAATGAGCACTATGTTGGCCCTACATTTGGGACATGTCATGGTCGAGCGAAGAAACAGCATAGGCACATTGTTGCACACCAAGGAACGGATCTCGTCCTGATTACCGTCTTATGTGGAACAAAATGTACCTATGCTGTTTCTTCGCTCGACCATGACATATCCCGATTGTAGGGCCAACATAGTGCTCATTCTACTGACCGTGAGTTATCCAATCGGTGAATCAAAACTCAAAAAATCTCTTGTGTGCAACGATATGCCTATGCTGTTTCTTCGCTCGACCATGACATGTCCCAATCGTAGGGCCAACATAGTGCTCATTCTACCGACCATGACTTATCCCATCGGTGAATCAAAACCCAAAAAATCTCTTGTGTGCAACATTGTGCCTATGCTATTTCTTCGCTCAACCATGACATGTCCCAATCGTAGGGCCAACATAGTGCTCATTCTACCGACCATGACTTATCCCATCGGTGAATCAATCTCTTGTGTGCAACAATGTGCCTATGCTGTTTCTTCGCTCGACCATGACATGTCCCAAATGTAGGGCCAACATAGTGCTCATTCTACCGACCATGACTTATCCCATTGGTGGAATGGACCGAGAAAAAGTGGACTGGAACCCAAAATCTCTTGTGTGCCTGTGCCATTTCTTCGATCGACCATGACATGTCCCAATCGTAGGGCCAACATAGTGCTCATTCTACTGACCATGACTTATCCCATCGGTGAATCAAAACCCAAAAAATCTCTTGTGTGCAACATTGTGCCTATGCTATTTCTTTGCATGTCCCAATTGTAGAACCGGAAAAAGTAGCTTGGAGTGGCTATAAGCTGTACTATTTTATTTGTGCCTGAGTTTTTATACATCCGTAAAATGTAAACCAAAAAGTATTTAAGCCGAAGTCAAATAACACTTTTCGAAATCATTCACAACATAATACACAATGACCTTGGACACCCATACCACTATGAACACCGGAGATCTGGACTATTACGAAGACGAGGTTGAGGTGCAAGAACGAGATGCCATGGGATTCGATATGGCGCTACCATTCGCTGAGGCTGATGAAGAATTACAACTACCACCACCACCGCCATACTCCCCACCAGCATCAACTCCAATAACAACATCAACAACAACATCAGCAGCATCACCATCACCATCATCAGCAGCACCACCATCACCATCACCATTACCACGACAACAACGTCGGCAACGTCGACAATACACCAAGGATGATATTGTTTCTGTCCTTCGTGCTTACTTCCGGGAAGGACGTACCATGGAAGAATCTGCGAGAAGGGGTGACATGCCGAAGACAACAGCCGCCAGGCTCATCCGCACGTATCGCCCCCAAATGCCTCCACGACCAGCTCCAGTCCGTCCTCGTCAAGCAAGCATGATCAACCAAGTTGACGATGATATTTTGACGACTACCTTACAATAATAAATACAAATTTTATCTTGCTGGGATTTTCTTGGTTTTATAGTAAAATAGAGTAAACATGTTTATAATTATGATTATGCTGAAAATATAGCATTCACTGTGTTACGCGGTACAGCTGCGCTTTGTCCTGTCTCATCTTCTTTGTCACTTCCATGAAAAACCTTCAACTTTGTGTTACCAAATACGTATGTTGCGGCAAAAAAAAAAGTATAAAACCAGTACAGCTTTTCTGCTGCAGCTTGTGCTTACATTTCGTTCAAGATCTTTACTCAACTATTACCATGTTATCTATTGAAAACCTGATACTCCCACACGATACTGACGTTGATATCCATGAAGATGAGATGGAAGTAGACGATGTGTATGAAATTGTGTCCGACGAGTGTAGTAGTTTTACTGGTGGTGTCCAATCACTTGTATCAATGACCAAGAGGAAAAATATACCACAGGTACCTAATTAAAATCTTCTTGTTTTACGAGTTTTTTGTTATTAACTGATGGTCGTTAATATGATAGGCATGTTCCACATTTATGTTAACGGATCCTCCAACCCCCACTTCGACCGTCACCGTAGCCACCCAAAAAGCAACAGTGAAAAAGGTCAAGGGAAGACCTCGCAAAAACATTCAGCAAGAAAACATTGTTCCAAAAAGTATGTTACTTATTATTGCTAAAACTTCAGTTGCTTTCAATATCTAACCCTTATCTACAATAGCTTTCAACGGCGCCAAACTTGCCAAGTTTTAGAAGCGCATTGTTTTGTGCTGCTATTGATGAGTCAAAATAATAATGTTGTGCTTAACTTTTATCTATTACATTTCAAGTAAAAGCCATTTCAGTTTACCCCCTTCCCTTCTTTTGTCTTTCAATGATCGCTGGCGGTACTACTATATCAAACTACACCAATATCCGTATCCGGCAAGCCAGTATTCTAAAAGACATCCAGAAATGTGTTGACGTCCATATAATTTTTTTGTGAGCGTCCAAGCCTCGAGTACATAAATACACTACATGGAGCTATACTACTGAGATTCTTCATGCAATCTAACGAAGCCACTTTGAAATTTTTGATTTGCTTGACGCTACTTTTAATATCAACACTAGCGAAAGTATCAAATGTAGGGGATGATGATAAGGGAAACCCGATCGGATATATACGTTAACAGTAGTTTGATCCAAAGATGATAGTAGTGTGGACACACTCAGTCGATTACCAAGTAAGTCTATCACAAGCTCGGTGCAACGGCGTTTGGTCGCAAGTTTGTGCAGGCACTCGAAGCAGCTGCAAAGACGGAGGGGCATCACGCTCTGAAAAAAAACGTCGATATTATGACTCACTAGGCTATGTATTACAAGATCCCACTTATTAAACGCGCGTTCAAAGTCCTCATCAGCAACTATGGAAGAGGGGACTTCTAACAGATGCAATCCCTGATATTGTTGTACATATTGCGTTAATTTCAGGTTCGAAATTGTGTCTACCTTTTTTACAATACAAAACTTATGACTGCAATTTCCATTGATCGGCGAGAAGCATCACAAGAATATATATATATATATATATATATATATTCATGTAAACCGGTGACGTATGCCAAAATATAATAAAAAAGAAGGGCCTGCTTCTACACGATAAAAATATTGCTACAAAATCAAAAGACCAGTGCATAGAAAAACTTTGTCTACGATAAAATTAAATTTGGCTCGTGTTATTGCGATGGACACGTTATGGATGATGCTGTTGCTGCATTGTTGGCGAGGTATAATAGTTGTTGTTGTTTTCTCCTTTAGTAGTGGCGACAGGGTTATCGTCACTGGACATGGCAGCATGGTCCTCCAAAGTCCAAGCATCTTCTTGAATAGGTGGTAAGCTTCACTTATAAAAATCATCACGATCCCCACGTTTCATAAAAGAGATTGTCAAACCGTTATAAATTGCGCTGATGAAATTGGCAGCGGCCGTTTCTTGATCGTCAGCTAAGAAAAGAAGGTCATATCGAGTATCAATAGTATTGCTGGTACGCTTCACATATAAAATCATCATGATCCCCAGGTTTCATACTCTTTTTATATCGCCGGTTCTTTGTTCCATTAAAGCGCACAGACCCGTCGCCGACAATTGTTGGATCAGAGCGGAGCACGGCAAGCGGAGCCGCATAGTGAAACAAACATATACGCACCATAAGAAAAAGACACTAGCATGACAGTCGTCAGACTACAACGATAATTATGATCAAGGCACTTCTTCACATTGCTGCAGTTCACTGGCTCCTTAGGGCAGTAGTGACAACAAAATTTCTAAGCTCCGTCATTTTGTTTATCGGGCTCATGAAAAAAAAGAATCGACTGCGCGTTTTGCCCTTTATTCTTTTCTTTAGTCTTCATATTCATCTTTGTACATTTGCAGTGTTTCTTTCATTATCACTTTTTACCTTTCTTTTATTTTTCATCCCGCTCGAGTGTCCCTGTGGGTGTGCATAGTTGAAGGGAGCTAGTCGTGCACGACTGGCTCTTGCTCATCTTTTGTACATTTGCAGTGTTTCTTTCATTATCACTTTTTACCTTTCTTTTGTTTTTCATCCCGCTCGAGTGTCCCTGCGGGTGTGCATAGTTGAAGGGAGCTAGTCGTGCACGGCTGGCTCTTGCTCATCTTTTGTACATTTGCAGTGTTTCTTTCATTATCACTTTTTACCTTTCTTTTTTTTTCATCCCGCTCGAGCGTCCCTGTGGGTGTGCATAGTTGAAGGGAGCTAGTCGTGCACGGCTGGCTCTTGCTCATCTTTTGTACATTTGCAGTGTTTCTTTCATTATCACTTTTTACCTTTCTTTTGTTTTTCATCCCGCTCGAGTGTCCCTGTGGGTGTGCATAGTTGAAGGGAGCTAGTCATGCACGACTGGCTCTTGCTCATCTTTTGTACATTTGCAAAGTTCTTTGTTTCATCTTGGTTTTTGATCTTCCTCAAAAACTGAAAGCGAGAGTGTGTGCAAAGAGGTACGTATATGTTCGCCGCTGACAGACCTTTGTGCTATTTCTTTTATTTGTAGGAACTGTGGAGGAGTAGGTTCTGTCGGGAACTGAGGCTTGTGGACAAGAAAGGGAGAGGTGTAGGTTCCGACGGGAACTGAGGCTTGCGGAAAACAAGGGAGGGCAACCTCCCTTGTGGGTACGTATATGTTCGCCGCTGACAGACCTTTGTGCTATCATATTCTTTTATTTGTAGGAACTGTGGAGGTGTAGGTTCTGTCGGGAACTGAGGCTTGTGGACAAGAAAGGGAGAGGTGTAGGTTCTGCCGGGAACTGAGGCTTGCGGAAAACAAGGGAGGGCAACCTCCCTTGTGGGTACGTATATGTTCGCCGCTGACAGACCTTTGTGCTATCATATTCTTTTATTTGTAGGAACTGTGGAGGAGTAGGTTCTGTCGGGAACTGAGGCTTGTGGACAAGAAAGGGAGAGGTGTAGGTTCCGACGGGAACTGAGGCTTGCGGGGAACAAGGGAGGGCAACCTCCCTTGAGGAACGAAGGATTCATAAAAGTCGGTCGACTTGTCAGGCAACATCAAAAAACTTGGTTTCTTATTGTACTTTCTTAAATAATGTAATTGTAACTATTGGGCAGATCGAGTGACGATTGTAATAAACGCGATCTTTTTTTTTACATCTTCCTACTGCCATTGCGCTTGGTACTTGTTGGTGCTTTCTCTGGAGCAGTTATGTAGTTGCAAATGAGCCTTTTTGTGCTTGAGTCGTCGAGAAAACCGTAGGCTGTGCATTCGCATGTGTGCTCTCAAAAACAATACAGCTGGTTTACCTTCACGACTATACCAACAATGATTGCAAATTGCTGGTGGCAAAATAAAAAACCGTATCGCAAAGCAAACAGACCATCCCCATATTCACATATACACGAACCAGATCGCCAACCCAAACTAAGTGATGTTTGCCTTGATTTCTTTGCAGTATAAAAGGCCCAGTACATAAGCTCATTAGGGAAGTTACATAATCCAACTTGTTGGGTCTTGCCACCAATCTCTCATGCTACTGTCTCTCAACATTACTGCTACTGATACACGTATACTAGTAATACTCATAGATAGATTGAATATGGAATGTATCATCACTGCTTAAGATTATAACAAGTTATCCCGTCAAGTTCTTGATGTTTCTTATCTACAATAGCTTTCAACGGCGCCAAACTTGCCAAGTTTTTAGAAGCGCCTTGTTTTGTGCTGCTATTGATGAGTCAAAATAATAATGTTGTGCTTAACTTTTATCTATTACATTTCAAGTAAAAGCCATTTCAGTTTACCCCCTTCCCTTCTTTTGTCTTTCAATGATCGCTGGCGGTACTACTATATCAAACTACACCAATATCCGTTTCCGGCAAGCCAGTATTCTAAAAGACATCCAGAAATGTGTTGACGTCCATATAATTTTTTTGTGAGCGTCCAAGCCTCGAGTACATAAATACATTACATGGAGCTATACTACTGAGATTCTTCATGCAATCTAACGAAGCCACTTTGAAATTTTTGATTTGCTTGACGCTACTTTTGATATCAACACTAGCGAAAGTATCAAATGTAGGGGATGATGATAAGGGAAACCCGATCGGATATATACGTTAACAGTAGTTTGATCCAAAGATGATAGTAGTGTGGACACACTCAGTCGATTACCAAGTAAGTCTATCACAAGCTCGGTGCAACGGCGTTTGGTCGCAAGTTAGTGCAGGCACTCGAAGCAGCTGCAAAGACGGAGGGGCATCACGCTCAGAAAAAAAAACGTCGATTTTATGACTCACTAGGCTATGTATTACAAGATCCCACTTATTAAACGCGCGTTCAAAGTCCTCATCAGCAACTATGGAAGAGGGGACTTCTAACAGATGCAATCCCTAATATTGTACATATTGCGTTAATTTCAGGTTCGAAATAAAAAACCATTATACATAATTAATGGTTGTCACGTAAATTGAAGGCATCGCGTACATTATCAAATTTGGCCAATAGATCCCATGTACATACACGGTATACAATAGTCGCCAAAAATTATCGACTACAAGAGAAAATAGAAAGGATAGCCCCTATGTATGACTAAGGGAGAGAGAGAATAATATTGAACCAAGAGATAATATCATTGGTGGAGAAGTGACATTGTCCAAATCTACATACACACGTGATTGAGGATGGTCAGTGAAGGAAGAATCTACTGTATTGGAGATGAAAGTTTCCCATCTTGACACGCGCCAACAGTACATCTCAAGCTTCCATCGCCGGAGAAATGGATCCAAGAACACCTCACTCAGGACGCAGACTGTGTACACTACCATCTGCGCCGGAGACCAGTGAATTCCTTTGTCATGATGGAAAAGCGTCAGAGTTGGGAAGAAAAAAGAATTATGGTCAACTCTTTGGTTTTTTTCTTCAGCATCATCTGATTTGTCGTATGTACAATGTATTGGCAGCTGCGATTAACAAGGATGCATGTATACAGTCAATCCCTGCTTAGTCCAACTGAATATGTTTATATTTCAAACTATGTGCAGTACAGACATAGCCAGTCAGATGAGAAAAAACAAGCAGCTAAAGCTCTTCACTATCTCCTGTGACATGTGCAATTCGATTTCATTGATAAAAAACATATACTGTAAACTAAATTCACGATATGAGTTTTCAATTTTTTTGGTCATTTGCAATACAGAGAGAATGCTTAATGTGCAATGTGAATATATGATATCATAAAGAGAAGTTGCTTATAGGCTATGCAACTATGCCATTGATGAAACTTATGTAAGGGGAGGAGGTGCAACTGGTTTTGGGCTTTTTTATCTTATACGCTTTTGTATCCTCATTGCTTGTGCTTGTCGCCGACGAGCAATAGCTTGGTTTTCGGACCTATACAGTCGTCTTAGGAACGTATTTTGTTCCATCGTCTGCTGTTGTGGTGGACGAAATGGTAATTGGGAGGTATTAGTGTTGATCCTAATTGGTCGTATCGGGGGTGCAGCAACCGTGGGAGAAAGAGATCGAGAAGTAGCAGTAGCAACAGGCGCACTAGGTTTAGATGGTGGGAGGGGAGGTAGAGTTGATGACATGTGTTGAGGCTTGTCAAATATTGAGCTACTTGGCATGCTGGATTCACACTCCATGAATTCATCGTCACTGCTTGATAGTGTTGTCGTCGTAGGCGGTTCTTCTCGTGATTGAGCCTGAATCTCGGGCATTGTTGCCGGCTGTGTCACGGAACGATGGGGGATGTGAGCACTTCCAGCAGCATGATCTGAAAATCCACCACGTACAGATTGAGGTCCATCACCATCGATATGTAAAGGTTTGGCGCTGTGATCTGCTGGTTGTATTCTCATCGGCTGTTCCATGGAGCTGATACGGGGTATATACAAATTTTGAGTCATTAACAGTTATGAGATTTACTTTTTAGCAGTATTCATTTACCTAGCAGCTTTGCGAGTAGCATTTGCTAATTTCTTGGCATCTCGTGTATAGCTTTTTAGCGTATGAGTGAGCTATCAAAAAAAGGCATTAATCTATATTTGAGCAAGTAGATAAAACGAAGCCTACTTATATATTCTGCAAATACTACCTCCCCTTCTTTACTTACTATTCGGATATCAGCAACATGATTTTTTCTCAACTGGTCCACTTGAGTTCTCAGGTCTTGCATGTCGGGGATAAAGGCTTCGTTAATCTCGTCCCCGGCCAAATCTAATACAAATAAGCGAAATGTATTTCTGTGTGTGAGTAAACCAGTAAAAACAACAACGAAGGGTATGATAGCAAGTAAGTCATTCCAAACTGATAGAAATTTGACAATACATTGTTCCACAAGAGTATTGTTTGGAACAATACTGATGCTTTCATGCGGATCACAGGAGCTTAGTGCGTCGCGAACTGCCTAAGAAATATGATCAATTTACATTAATCGTCTATTCTCTCCAATGAGCTTTTCTAAAACGTTGACTTACTATAAGTTCAGGCTTGAGCGTGTAATATGGCATGCCAGTAAGTAGTTTTGTCATTGGTTTCTTTGTATCCCCTCGCCATATGATCCCGTATGCGACGGTGGCATTGTCTTCGTCTTCGCGTCCAGGCTTGTTGCGAGATATGGCCAGGTGTACAACGTGATCGGTTTGTGTTCTGCGAGGGTATTCCATTGTTTCCACTGGTAGAATTAAACAAGTAGCTTGTCAATTAAAGGAAAAGAAACAGAGACGCATTCAAAACAGCCGCAGCAGTGCTGTGGCCATTCGCAACAACACAAATCTCCAATAATTCTATCTCAGTCATTGCAAATGACTTTGGTTGAAGATTCTGTAATTGCGCCAAGTTAAACCAAATTATTGATAAAAGGCATAAATAACCAGGATCCATTACTTACAGTGATGTTCTTTATGGGAAGAAAAGCGAAGAAAATACACCACCAACAAAAGGAAAATTCAGGTTCCGCGGGTATTCTGCTTTAGGCGGTCGGGCGGTGTCTGTAGAGACCTAGCCAGTTAAATTTACAGAATAAAGTGCGGTATAGAAAAACTGACCAATTGCTTGTAAAAAATGAAGTGCGGCATTGTTACTTACGCCAATAACAACAAAACAATAAGTCTGGCGCGGTGTTGCCACCCGATTCCTGGATGACCCATCTGCGCTCACCTTCGAGCATGTATCATCAGTCCGACCACCGACTCCTCTCAAGACTAAACATCTAGGGCATATCTCTGGCCGCCTTCTCATAGCATGCACCTTCCTCGCCATCTGGCGTGCGCATTGGCTCTTCGTTTTTCAGCAGCAGCGTTTCTGGCCCAACGGTGTTGTCGCTTCCTCCATTTTGCTACTTAGAAAGATAAATGCTGAACACCAAACAGCTGTGTAATATTCCCCCCCCCCCTGCCTTCATCTTTTCCGCTTTGTATATATGTCACCAATGAGCCAGCTTCTCTCGGCTCTAAATAAATTTCATCGCTTACAAAAAAAAAATACGCCAATAACAAAGGCGAAATAAAGTCTGTCCAATGAGGAGTGAAGAATAACATCCAGCATTACACAAAGCTTAAGTGCGTTCCGCAGTATATATAGAGCTGCTGGGAACCCTGGTGCAGGATGAATACTCGGGTTACTGCTGCTACAACCACTTTGACACGACACTGTCAAAAAGTACTTTTTTACGCTTGACATATCTACGCACAGTGAAGTATGTTTCCACTGCTCGATTCTCACTTATTGAGGGACATTCTCTCAATTTTGGTCATTTATTTTTTATCAGTTTAACGATTTAATTACACCGATGGTGGGACGCGATGAGGAAACCTTGGCAACGCCTAAAGTATATGAGCCGTACCTGACAAGTGTCCGCAACAAAATTGACAGAGAAAGAAGAAGCATAGGAACGCCAGCTTGCTACGAAAACAAGACCTTTTGGGTTTTGCCACCAGCCCCTTTTTTCGCCATGTACAAGAAGAATTACTTTGAACCAACCGACTTATATTTGCCACGTGTGTTCGTTTGGCTAGTCCACCTTTTGGTAGAAGAGCTCAAGTGTCCCAAGTGCAAGCAAAAACTCACAGAGCTTGGATTTCCATCAAACCCACTTGCCAGACGCATCGCAGACGACGACGATTGTTTTACCATCCTATCTTATCGATATCAATGCAAAAACGACGGATGCGACGTCTACACAATTATGGGCACAGACGAGAACTTGATAGAAAAATCGCTACCCATACAACTTGCGCTCGAATACCCGGCCACACTTTCACATAAAAGCGGTGTATCTAAGGAGTTGATGACAAATATGCGGGTCTGCTTTGGTAACGGAATGGGGCCGGGTCCATTTGCAAAAGCATTGAGCACTAGACACCACCTGCGACACGACAAAATTGAATGGCAGTATGCGGAAGGAAGACCACAGCAGCAAGAACATTCTTACGAACAGCAAAATCCATCACCCACTAAACATTCGGCAATCAATTCGTTTCATAAACCAGTGCACTCGGCATCAAGGCAGTTCAAGAATTTCCCATCATTCGATGATCGAGATGGATATGGTGGTTCGACACCTGGTCCCAAGTATCTCACAAAAATGTACAATGAATTTGTTGAAATGCATATAAGCGACCACTACAACCACATGAGTTCTCTACCAGCCACCATAATCAACATTGACCACAGCCATAAGGTGAGTTTAATTTATTTGCTTTTGCCTATATATATTTCTGACAAGTGCTTTGTTTGTTTTTGATAATAGGTGACAAAGCATCTTTGCAAACTGGATTCGTGCAAAATTTTTGAAGGGTTGGTATTAATGACAAACGAATACGGAGAGATTCGGTATCAAGCTTTTGTGCCTACTACATCCATGGATTACATAGAACAAGGGATACAAGGTATACTATACTTTCCTTTCTAATAATTTGCTGGTTGCATTACAGTAACCGAAACTAATTTTTGCGATTAGCCAATAATTTAAAAAATGAATCTTTAAAATTTTTAGTGCTACAAAGTCTTACTGCCCATGGTCATCGTCACTCAGAAATCCTTTTTACTGACAAAGTCGAGGCCGATAAACAGTTTTTTGAAACACAAATCGAATCTCTGCGTACTGAAGCTCATCCACGTATAGTCGCTGATCCATGTTATCATCTGCCGCAGCTACAGCTGCCATCAACAATTTCAGTAACAATTCACAGCTCACCTTTGCAAATCAAAGCTGCTTTGACACCATTCTCGAACAAAATGGCACTGAACAGCAACCGACCGTCGTTGGTCTTGACGCAGAGTGGACATTTCGTGAAAATGATCCAACGTGGCATCCAGTATCGATAGTACAAGTTGCATATGACGACCGAGTATCAATATTGAAGCTGGAGAAGTTATCATCATTGCCACATGCAATCTGGACGCTGCTTAATCGCAAAGTTATTATCAAGGTTGGTCGTAACATCGCAAATGATATCACTCGGCTTTCACAATCTTTTCCTCAACAATTCAATAACCTTCAAGCATCCAATGTCGTGGAGCTGTTGACAATATGCAACGAGTACAGATGCAAACCAGTTACTGAATCAAGTCTGGCAGATATGTGTGCAGCAATTCTACAACATCGTCTATCCAAGGCTTTACAACAAGGCAACTGGGAAGGTCGACTTACTGACGAGCAAGTACACTATGCAGCTTAGGATGCCTGGAGTAGTCGGCAAATTTATCTCCAAGTGACATCGCCTAGAAACGACATCATAAATCGACGAGCTGGTGTACATGTAACAATACTAAGCGACGATGGTACTGTGGAGGTGGCGCGCGGGAAAATCAGCGATGCTAGACAAAGTGGGTATGTACATATTCTCTCCCTTACTTACTCCTTGCTTGCACCAATTCGGAGTAGGAATAACACAATAAGTCAAATTATATTACTAATATTAAGCTAACTCTGACTTCTTTCCAGAATCTTTAATAAGCGGACGATAACGGAAAATCGTGCACTGGTTGAAGTTACTAATGTCTTGGTCCCTGCGGCAAAGTTGCAATTATGTGTTAGCCAGCCACTTTCGTCATTTGGTGCTGCTCCGATTTGTATATTAGTGCGTTTGTTGTCACTCCGTCCTTGTTATCAACTAACCATATCGCAGAGCGTGGATCATCCGGAATCACAAGCTGGTCAAACTGATCATAGCAGCGACAATGACGTGCAAGCATGGGATATCTATGAAACTGACTCGGAGGACGACATTGACGATGGTATGCCGGGACCAACGCCAAACACTTTAGCTATCGACGAGAGCTCCAAGATTTATGGCAGTCGCCTCCTCGATCCTATTTTACAAAAGTATCGACCACAACGCTTGGAACAAGATAACGTCATCCACACCAGAATCGTCCAAAATGCTTGGCATGCGCTCAAGAGAATCTAAATACCAAAGAAACATGGGTTACGCATAGAATTCCAACGTAAATTAACCGACGCAAATTTGTGGATGGATTCTGGAGATGTTGCAGCTGTTTCTCGGGTTCTGCATAAAAAAGGAGAGAGATTTGAATTGGGTATCTATATGATTCTCTTTTATTGTGGGCGACAACAAGCTTAAATTTAACTTATCAAAACCATGTTATTTTAGTTCGTAGGCGTCGCAAATCTTGGATTAACGAGCGAATTCGCCGCGTTGTCCCACCACCATTCAAAATTGTACAAGTTGTGTACGATTTATCCATGACGTTTGGACCTCTAAAATGCGCCTCAAGTGGTCGACCGTTATTTGACAAACAGACCTGAAAAGATGCACGAAATTTGCTACAGCTTATCGGCAAATGATATTTGAGCGATTCACCTGGAACATCACTGTACTTGTTTCGACGACGGGATGAAAATGGTTTGGCAATATATCAATGCTTGAGGGGAACAAAGTCTCTTGAGGGCGGTGTGCACCAGAATTTTAAAGAGGCATTTTGGAGCTTTCAATGCGAGTCCGAGATTTGCGGTTAATTTGCTTGTCGAATATCGAACACAGCATAACTTGCATGTAAGTGTATCTCATATCATAGCATAAAAAAAGTGATCAATTTACTGAACAACTCAATACATTTTCTTATGTGGCAGGTTGGTACGCTGAATCGCACAGGCAAACAAAAGAAGGGACATTACGATATTTGGATGAAGAACAAAATCCAGCTTGCATACTTGCGACGCGAATTGCAGCTACCAAAACATTGGCTTGGTTGGCAGAACACGGATCTGTTGGCCTCGACTGAAGAAAGGTTGGCATTTGCAAGACGAGGAACGAAAGCTTGGATACATATGGCATGCAGCGGTAAAGACCATCGATTGAACAGGCCAACAAACGAGATAGTGCAGCTGTGAGAGCAGCATATTTAGCATCTCGTCAAGGCACCCGGTATCCAATACTACCTGTACATACTAAAGAAGAGGTAGCTTTGTTCAACCGACAGATATCTCAATTCTACAACAGTCAGCAACCGAACTCAACGAGGTGGACCGTTTTCGCCAAGTCATGGAACTCGACACATACTGACGGGCGCAATATTTCTTGTAAGTACCCACAGTATCTGCGCACATATTTCAACAAATGGAGTCAGAACGCGGTGATAAGGAATAGCTTGGAAGGTACAGCTCGCCCACGATCCCAAATACGTGATAACTCTGATCGTACTGCTCAAGTCTTGGAACCTCGATCGAATCCGCCAGCACCGACACTGCCATCCTCAATACAACGTAGTACATCCAGACGACTGCCATCTAGATCTTCTGTCTGCCAACCGCTTGCTCCACGGCCAATGCAACAGCAACAACAAGTTTACAGCCAATCTGATTTGTATTCCTTTGCACGTCCATCCATGTCAGCATTACCGCCACCGCCTACTACATTTACACTACAACCGCAACTGCCTCCGCCGCAATTATATCCATCATTCCAAGTGCAACAGCATATGCACTATAGTCCTACACCTCAGCAACAAGCAATCCAGCCACAACACCAACAGCATTATATACGGCAAATGCAACCTAGAGCACCATCATCATCACCATCAAGCATAAGCCGTGCTGATTTCCTCAAAAGCCTACCACCAAAGAAACAGCCCGGACTTGTCAAAATGAAGGCTGCACTGATCCACAAAATTGCCCTGGCAGTCAAAACAGATCTCACCCATCATGTAGTGAAAATAATGATAATACACGAAAAAGAAAGAATTCGAGTTAGTTACTCAACCACAACTCTATTTTTCTCCACATATTTGTAATAGTTTTTATTACTTTCTCGCGTAAAGAAACATATCATCAAATATACACATTGCACTTGCGTCTACGTATTTTTTCCTTTCTTTACAATATGTTTGTTGTGACCGGTAGATGAAATTCCTCACTACGGATATGGCCACCGAGCCACATCATATGACGCTAAAAAAGAAACAGCCTCTCACCGGTCAAAAACTTCTACGATTTTTCTTTCACCAAACTGTCACTGGAAATTTACTGCTCGATGGTTTCTATGCGTGCCTGTAATTTTACGTGGTTCATGCAGCCAATTTTGCGTATGCTACTTAGACGAAAGCAGGATGTATTCACCTGTGGTATGATAGAAAACGATCAAGGGGACAATGACAACGAAAAAAGCGATACCACATTTCTTGAAAACTACTTTGCTCAGCTCTCGAAAAGTTGTCTCGGGTGATATGAGCGAGTCACTGGGTGGTACTGGCCTACCGGAATGGTATCGTTGTATTTTATTCTGCATTTACAGCATATCTCCATTTCTTGCACTGTAAGTCTCATCCGACACTTCAAAATTACATTCTATGCGCCACTTGTATGCGTTTGGTTCTTCAATGTATGTACATACATGAATTTTCCTTGACGACCTATGCCATGCACTTGAACACGTTGTGTCGCCATGAAAACTTCACATTAGTTGATTTTTTTTATCGCAACAGAAGACATAGCCAAACGACCCTTTCACCACCGGCCTTCGGCTCCAGCCCACCTGGTGTCGAACAGCCAGATGAGAAGTGTCAAAAAGATTTAATTTTATTTTGTCGCTTTGAAGTGATCTGCGAAATAAAGGTTCACATGTATATGGCTTATATACCCTGCATGCCACGTTTAAGAACAAGACAACTATATTTACGTCTTGATATTGTCATACATAGGATAGAGGAAAACGTCAAGAATGTTTATTGTTCAAAAAGCATCTACATCAATGCAAGTTCGCCCATTAATTCCATCATTTCGTCTGTATGGTCTTGATCTCTTTTCTTATCATCTACTACTTTCTGCTGATGGCTATTATACATTCTTTTGAGATTCGCCAAAACCGAATCCGATGCAGCAGTATCATCCTTCTTGTCGCGTGGGCTGCTGCAATACCAGGATTGTAAGAGCCTTGAGATTATGTCGATGGCTCTTGTTGTGCTGCATCCATCGTATCTTTTTTGGATGTCTGTTTGAAAATATCATGCAACCAAAATGATCCTTTGTTTGTATCGATCAAAGATTTTTCGTTCAAGCTAGAGTAAAGCTCCAACAGGGTGGTCGGTGCTGCGAAATGTCTGGCTTTATGCTTTTGTGCCTTGTGTTTTTTTACGCTAGACCTGCGCTTCCTGCCATCAATGTTGTCCCGTCGGTTATAGTATATGTGCCGGCGTTTTGGCTTTGGCTCATCCATCGGCTCAAAGATATATCATCAAGAAGAAAACATATTAACATGAATGATCATTGAAAACGAAAATTACTGGCTCAGTTGTCTCCATCATCTGATAGCATTCCAGACCCTTGCAAAAACAAGACTTAAACCAGCGCTCTGCCTTTTTTTTGAAGCACAAAGATCTACTGCAACAACGCGTCTGTCGGAAACTCCATAACTTAAGAATTAGTATCATGCAATCATTGTTATAACCGGCGATAAAGGATAGTTAAAGCACTGCTACGCCGTGATATGGCATTTATCACGCCGCATGAGTGATGTTTGTCACGGTATGGTCGCGAGAAGAAACGGCAACGTGCAATATATCAAATCAATTTACATCACATGACTGATATACGAGGCACACCCACGGACTGATAAAGTCTTGTCACAGCATGTATTAATAAAAGTCGCAACTCAACTTTTCCTCTGTTAAAGACACAAGCGTTGCATAATCTCGTTCATACTTTTACGCACAACGCTTTCATCATTTGTCATTTTCTTTTTCCTACGCAAACATCATCATTATGGGACTTCTGGTACGGTGACGTTAATAACTCAACTCTTGGCAAACGTTTGTGTATCTAACGCATCGTAATATGAATCATACTTAGGGCTTCCATCCGCTCGCTAAGCGGCTCGATTGTTTCCAAACAGCCGATAATGCTTTTAATCTCCTTATCGAAAAGGGGATAACGCGAGTTTTTATCGACTTTGCATGCGTCTTTTTTGAAGACTTGCGACAACATGCGCCCGATATTTTGCACATTTTGCACTTGAAGAGTATGTTTTTACGGGTGTTATACAATGTATGTTGTAGTTTTCTTACCACTTCAAATCACTGTAGACCATCCCACAGAAGAAGAAACAAATGGCATGTTTATTCGTATCACTCTTGGCATCATCGAAAAGGCGAGTAAATTGGCAAACAATCAAATCCAAGTAGTATTTGTCATGGACGGCGACGCCTTTCCACTGAAAGCGAGAATGCATGCCCAGCGCGATGAATATAGCAAGAGCCATTTTCGAAAAGCGAAGGAAGCATTTATCCGTCCTTCTGAGGGTGTCCACAGCAGCAAGTACAGGAGAGCTGCGAGAGTATGGGTTCGCTTTTCCGCCGATATTAAACAGGGAATCATACGTGTAAGTATCAAATATTAACCAGAGTGAAAATCATAGATTTAAGTATTTTTTTTTATTTATCAAACAGGTTCTCCAGATGGCTGGTGCGGAAGAGTATAGTCGAAACAGCACGCGATTGTTTACATACCATCAAGCAACGTATGAAGCCGACAGCGCAGTTGTCGCACTTGCCAATGCCTTTCCCGCAAATCAGGTGGCGATATTCTCACCTGACAATGATCTCTTTGCTTATGGCGGCTGCCTTGATACGTTGCGCATCATGAAGGTTGACTGGGGAACACTCAGGGTAGAAAAAATGACAACTAAGACGCGTGTTCTACAAAACCTACAACTCCGTAATGAAGATGAAGATAATATGGATATGGCGGAGCGCCGTCTTGCTGTGTTGGCTGCCTCGGGAGGCAATGATTACTCCATGCATCTGAGCGGCATACGCTTTGGTGTTATGCGTTCTACTTTGATCAGAATTATCGATGACGAAGGACCAAATTCTCTCGGAACGAGGCCAGATGAGATGTTTGAGAATTTGCTTGATCTGTTTACTGTACCTTTCTTCGTCACACAAGAAATGCGTCTTGCCCTATACCAATTCTGCTTGTCACCAATGCTGCTCCCAAAACAACATGCAGGACCGACACCTAATCAGTTGGAATTTGAAGAACGTATACCGGAATATCCTGCTCTTTTCCGTCCCCCAGAGCCAGCAGCACCTCCTCGTAACCCTCATGTACCTCGAGGACAACCTCCATTTTTGGGCAGTCTTTACACCTTCGTTCCAAACGTGCGTTGCGTGACATCGGATCAAACCACACCTGAAAAAACTGATGACCTTCCCAAGCGCCCCAAAAAAATTAAGCCCAAAATAAGAAGAATCAAGACGCGAAGAACGGGCAGCGGCCAAGGGCAAGGCGTTCGAGGTGGTGGACAATTTAGCAGCGTCAGAGTGACAAACCTGCAAACACACGAAGAGCAAACTGTATATCAGAAAAGCCGCGCAGTCACCACTTGGTCGATGGGTCTGTACTGTATTCATCACTGTTATCTGCTGCCGTTCGTCGCAAGCAAGGAGAGCCAGGAGAACCAGTCCAGCTGCAACGTGAAGCAGAAATGGAAGCAAGGCTCATGGCGGACATTCTGGGAAGCAAGAATTATCTTTGGTTCGACAAATCACCTTACAAATAGTCAATCTTGCTATTCGATACGCGCATGCATTACCAGCTGGCCCAAAAGCTCAAGCTTTCCGACCGCTTTTCGCTGACAACTCAAGTGTAACGTGGTTTAACCTTTTGCATTGCGCGATGAATAATACTCAACGGGTGAATATCGTTGGACTTGCTCCGTTTTTAAGACTGCCGCCAGTCCACTATGACCCTGTCACTGCTGCAGCCCAACAGTTACAAGTGATTCCAGATGTTCCAGAGTATAATGCCGAAAACAGCCCGCTTCGCTTGCTCGGATCACCAGATGATATTTTGAATAATGAATCTTTGACTGGTCGCCTGTCTGCGAATCCACAGTTCCGCGAGATCATACTGTACGCTAGACAAAAGTGGCTTCTGTACTATGGTGAACAAGAAGTCGAGCAGCCCCTGCTACTTTCGACCAAGTTTCGCTCTGAGCTCATCAGACCAATTTCAAACTAACTTGATCGGATGTTCAGACAAACTGTGGTCCAAGGCTTTGCTGACAACAGTATCAAGTATCTTAAAGCACGTATGCCTTCTCTGGCCCGTGTCCCGAGGGGTTGGCCCTTGGAAAACTGGTTTCGAGCATATGTTTTATCCTAGCTTCGTAACGAACAGGTGGACGCCCAACATCAAGAGCAGTACGCAGCTTTAGCCCAAGAAGTGCGGAACCAAGTGCGGTCCTGGTTAGTGCAGCAGCGAAAGAACTTCGCAAGAATCCTGTTGAGCTCAACGACGAGCGAATCGACTTGCTCCTCAAGAGAGCAGCAACAGTACCAGCTAATTTCCCCATACATGAAGATCTCCCGGAGTATATCTACTCTCGTATTTGGCACATACCACTAAGAAGCAATGAAAAAATGGAGTCTGTAATCAATTTGTCGAAATGTTTAAAGGTTGCTGAATCGCTCGCACAAGAAGCCACGGAAGAAAATCGACAAGCTTTGGAGACGTTTATCACTGAGGAACGCTTGTTTTTACAAGAAGTGACAGGTCGCCTAATTGGAGTTCGGCTAGCTGACCAAGATCAAGATCAAGGGCCTTTAGACATATTTGACTGTTTGGTGATCAAGCGCCCTCGTGATGATCGATCTCAAGTCGTTGCTGCTGGTCAACAGGATCAACCTCCTTCGTCGCCACCGCAAGCTGGACCGTCACACCCTGTCCCTCCAGTGACGAGATCCGCGTCAAAAAAGGCTGGTGGTCTCAAGCGTACCATTGAAGAAAACCAGCGTGATACTGCACTTGATAATGCAGTCGAAACTGATGACGACAGCGCTGAAGAAGATCCGAGTGGCGGTAGCAATCGTGGTAACAACGGCGACAGCAACGGCGCCGACGGTGACCCAGTACCCGTTGTGGCTTCAAGTAGCCAAACTCGTCATCTTCTTTCGATGCAAATTGCCATGCTCGAGCGTTTACCTGACACTTTATCATTCGCTGCGTGCCCTTCTGCTGCAACCAAGACAATCCCCGTACAACTTCCATCAACGTTTATTCGTAACATATTTGACGACCTTGAATATTTTACTGCGCCGATATACATGAATCTGCATGCGCTTATGGAAGCAGAAACAAACATTGACAACAGGGCTCGACTGCAAGCTGGTACGTTGGGGTGATTTCGGTGAAATGTGAGCAAAATTATAAAACTTTTTACTGACGAATTTTGGCTTCTATGAAATGTTATGTAGCGAGAGACAGTGTGAATGATGCTCGTGTACGATTGCAAGAGGGATATCGCAGATATTTTAAGTTACAAGAAGAAGAAAGGATCCAATATGCAAGAGACCACCATGGCCAGCAGAATCGTCGGGCTGTCCGTTCCAATGACCCATATTCTTTCCTTGTTGATTTGGGCATGGTACTACCAAGTTGCAAGACGGTGCTTTAAGGACAAAACAGTGTGGATACGAAAAGTTTATCAATGAGACCCTCGAGGGTGCCGTAGAACCTGGTACACCGCGGTTTACGTTGCGTATGATCAGAACAGACGGCGTGCAACTGTTTGCGAACATGACCGACTGGTCCAAACCTGGCTCAAGAGGCGGTTCTGGAACTACTACTTTGCGTTACCTGCCAGAAATCAGAAAGATGCTTGCACGTGCTGAAGCAAATGGTAGGTAGCCGTAACATAGGAGAAATGCCGTATCGACATGAAGTTAATCAGTAAAATAATTCTTAAACGTATTAGCTCCAGAAGGTGAACGAGGAGTAGGGGAATATGACGGTGCCATTGGCCTTGATCTAGGTGAAACGTTTGCCGCAGGTGCATTTTTTTTGCCCAGCGAGCACCATGTCCATGACACCGGTGTTCAGTATACTGTGAAAAAGAATGAGCTATATGGTCGACAAGGATTGAATGGTAGATGGTTACACGACAGAAAGCTCGCTGCTGGTATGGATGTACTGGAAGCGCGACTTATGGCTGGTAGCAAGAAATTGAACCTTGCTAAGTTCATGCTATACGTGCGTGCATGGCAGACTGACAATGTGGGCATCAATCTCTGGCAGTTCTATTCTCAGCGTTCGGTTCGGCGCAAAGCTTGGGACACCCGCATTTCCATGGATTCCGCAATAAACAAGGCCACGGACACAATTCTGAATATGATCAAAGGTCCACCACCACAACGATTTCCAAGCGACCATCATGCAATTACGGCCGATGACAAGAGAACCCGTCGAAAACGTAGGAGACGAAGGAGGCGTGAATGGAACAAAGAACAGTGGGAATCCGAACGGCCCGTTCTGCTCGGTTTCGGTGCAGACGCACTTACTACTGGCGATCATCGAAGAGGCTCACGGCCCGCTTTGGATGCTAAGCTAGCCACAAGGTTACTCATTCGAGCGAAAAGCAAAAAGGGACGTCGCTTTGTACCTGTCCGCATTGACGAATACGGCACATCAAAGTTCTGCCCGCGCTGTGCCATGTTTGGACGTGCAACTGAGTTACGGTTACTCCGGCAGCCACCTCCTCTTCGCCATGCCCTCAATATGGACCAACTCAACGATCTTGGTGAAGTCAAAGTCATCCGCATCAAGGTTTGTCCACAATGCCAGCAAGAAGGCCATGGTGTGTTTCATCGAGACGGTGCCTTAGGTCATTGTCAGTCAACAATTGCGAAGGCAATGCTCGAACACGGCCAAACGGCCAGATCAGTTCATTCGCCCATCGCGCAAGATCCCAAACAATTAGACCGTCTTCGTCAGGACGGTCGGGTTTACACCCGTGGCTTGCTAGTGGTAAGTAATAAACTTGCTGTGTGCGCATATTCATGGTCCGGTTGCTAATTATGGAACCTCCAGACATGGTCACACAGCCCTGCTTTATGCAAAGCTTTTATGGAAATGTACAACGATGCTTGTTGCTAACGTGCAAAGGGAACGATGTACATATATTAACCACCAAACCGAGTGAAGATAAAGAGCTTTTAAGGGCGGGTGCAAAGGCAGTGCAACTGTTTATACAGCACCTTTTACGCATAAATTAACAGAAAGCTACGCTATAACAAAGGTATACTTACCACAGAGGATTGAAGTGAGAGAAAATGTACGTAAGCAATTTGATATTATACTGTCATGCGGTTCTGCTGCAGACACGTTGGCCGTATTAGCCAAGATAATCAACAGGAGTCAAAAACTCATGGAAATACTGTAGTTCGTGTTATTAAAAAACTCAAGCCTAGCAGCAGAGCATCTAAAACGAACCTTTGACATTGGTGCTGACGTTGCAAGCGGTAACACTTTGGATGTGTTATTAGTACGTCACAAGTGTTATTTTTTAGCATCAGTCAGTAGAACTTGGCTTATATATTACAGCATTACTGTCGTTACTTTTTAACTGAAGCAATCTCGTGAATTTTGAAGAAGTGGGTTTTCGCGTTGCTGAATTTGACAATACCGAGTATTTGAACTGGTCACATGCAAGTGATGTCCTACAACGCTACGGTGGTAAAGTTTGATTGTCTAATAGCAATGCATGCCATTCCCCTTGTTTGAAAAACATTGAACGATACCACCTTTTATAGATGATATGTAACGAAATTCTACTATCTTGCTACAGGCCGAATTTCTACAGCATGCATAGCGACAAGCGAGGTATTAAGAAGATTATAACTAACGAAAATAATAATATACCTGGTTATGTGTATGCCATATAAGTGTGTATTCTCACAGGAAATCGCTGTCGTGCATATGTCTGTGGAGAGCTCATACGTGATATGCGTGTACGTATGATGTGAGCTGTACAAAGAAAACCAAACCGACTTCCTGGTTGTGGCCCTTCCCCCTCTTCTTCTCCTTAACTTTGATAAAAAGTGACCAGCAACAACGAATTCAAGCATGCATGCATGAATGCACGCGTGCGCGTCGTGCTAACTATCCGTATGTACATGTAGTAGTATGTACACAATACTTGTACACTTTAGCAGGATTTAATAAAGTATACACTTTATTACTTTAGACGCTGCATAAAAGGAAAGCGCCACAGCATAGTCGGAAGAACGACAGGAGGCAAGATGTTCTTTATGCGTAAAACAGTGTAGTGTGTATTAGAGAAATATATGCGCTTGTACATGAACAAAGGTGCAAATTTGTTACAACATGAAAGGAGGTTTTTTAAAGAAAACAGTGCGTAATGGTGCTGTGAATTGAAGGGAAAAAAGAAAGAGAATATGGGCATGAGGATCAGAAATGTCAGGTTGTGCAAATCCTTGATAGAACTAAGGATTACTATCGTGGTATACTAACAGTGATAATAGTAGCAAGAGTAGTAATTGTAGTTTGTTCATACAGCTTCAAGTTTAATTTTTTTAAGTCGTTGGTTTTCAACTTCGGAATTGCCGGTGGGAGCATCCGGTCTTTTTTGATGGCCAGCGCCATTATTATTACTAGTATTGTTGCCTAACGGAGAGGGTCTATAATCGCTATTACGCGTTTGTTGTGATGCAGCAGCAGCGGCAGCAGCAGCCGAGGAACCAGCACCAGCTGCAGGCCAATGGAACGCATTTGAAGCCGTCGGGGTAGTAGAGAAATTCAATGGACTGGGTAACTCGTTTTGTTGAAGGAATTCTGGATATATTGAAAATGGCGAGGGTAAGTTCTGTGCAAATTGTGAAGGTAGAGCAGACGTTGGTGATGTTGGGCCCTTGCCGCCGCCACCGCCACCACCCCTTTCTCCCATAACACGATTTGGATGCTGCTGGTGATGGGGTGGGTACTGCTGTGTTTGTTGTTGTTGTTGTTGATGCTGATGCTGCTGCTGCTGCTGTTGTTGTTGTTCGTCATTGGGTATCTGCACGCGCAGATTGGATGGTTTCTTGTCATTGTTCGGAAGTAGCGGTGATGATCGCACTTGGGATGATGGAACAGCAAAGCCCATCGTGCCCGAGTTTGTTTGTGACAGTGACGACGTCGATGGTGATGAGGACGACGAAGATGACGCAGAGGCGCAAGGTGGTGGTGCTGGTAGCGATGCAGGTGCAGGAGCATCAATAGGCTTGAATGTGTTTAGTGGTGCAGGCTGTGGAGACAAAGACGGCCGAGTAACGGACGGCTGTGGCTGCTGTCTTGAATACAACTGTTGCTGCTGTTGCTGTTGTACAAGCATCGATTGAGCCGGTGGAGGTGGCTGATGTTGCTGATGGTGGTATACAGCCGGCCGCGGACCGAGAAATGCCGTTGACGACGGGATTGAGGTCGAAGGTACAGTCTATCAATGTATTAGAATACTTACCACAAGCGCAAAAGCATCACGATCACTGTACACATACCGGTTGTACCATCTCTGGCGTCCCTGCATAAGTTACTGGCGCTGCTGATACTGCCGTGGTTGCAACAGGGCCTGGATTGCTGCTCGTATTATACATAAAGGGTTGTTGTGGGTGATAATTGCCGTAATTATGCGAATGCTCTTCATGCTTGATTGGTTGGTGATACATTGGAGGGGGCTGAGTAGGCGGCGGCGGCGGTGGTGGTGGCATCATCATAGGCTGCCGGTGCTGTTGTGGTTGTTGATGATGATGGTGGATTGAAGGAGGAGGTGGTGGTGGTGGAACGGCAGCGGCAGTGACCATGGGCGATACTGATTGCTGATGCTGCTGCTGCTGCTGCTGCTGTTGCGACGGCGGCGGCGGCAAATATTCAGGGTCGTACTCCTGATCCGAAGCATCCAGATCCTTTCCTTGATCAAGACCGGAATCCATAAACTGTCACGACTCTGCTGTTAGTAACTTACTGTACCCACTCTTCACTACGCTTCCACTAGCACAAAAAAGACGGACTCACGTCTACATTGTTTTTACTCTCGTGTGGCTCTTGATACTGTAGAGAAAGCAAAGAATGAGCAACACACACGTGGCGACAACGACTCTCTCACTCTCTTTCCTTGCTTACCTCTGTATATCGCAGCAACACCTTGTCCATATCCTTGCTTGCATACTGCACCAGCTTGTTGTTCGAGTTGTTGAATATGATCAGGCCAATGTCACAGTTGCAAAGGACAGACAGCTCGTAGGCCTTCTTCATTAGACCGTATTTCCGCTTCAGGAAAGTGACCTGCACACACGCCGCGAGCCCCCACCCATAAGGCACCTTGTTAGTTTCTTTGTGACAACGGATGGCAATAATAAGAGGCGACCACTATTGTAAACATGTCTAGCACGAACCTGACGGTTACGGTCGTCTTGAATAGGCTGGATCTTAATTTTCTTTCGTCCCATTTGCTATAATACGAGTTGTAAAAGAGAACCTGACAACAGTAACAAATAAGATATGAGTACTCGGATTTCCATTGGCAAGACGACCCAAAAACTTTTTTTTTCTGCTATACTGCCCCCTCCGACCCAAGCAGCAGGCGCGGATACTGACGAGCACAGCACGCCATGGGCTCATTCCGCCATGACGAGTGTGCGGCAGTGCAGAAAGGGACGTGTGCGTATGTCTCTTGGACCGCTCCCCAGTGGCCTATGCGAAGGCTTTGTGCTTTACCTTTTTGTGTCTGTCTGTCTGTCTTGTGGGGTGGTAGTATAAAGAGTGGGTTGCTATAATTAAAGGGCAAAGGCTCAAAAAAAGGATTGCGAAAAAAAAGCGTCGCGAAAGAAACCAAGTATAGTCTTGTATAAATAGAAAAAAAAAAATGCAATTGCCGCATTTCTATTTATAGTTTCAACAGGAACTACCACCCTCCCTTCTCCCTCCCCACCCCACCCCCCCCCCCCCCAAATCAATCTCTTCTTTTCAGTCCCAACATTGACCCGTACACCCTTGGTACATATTACGTGAGCAAGTATACTTTTATTGTTATTATCAGAATGGTGATGCTTGTGCGCTACTGCTGTCCTTTCTTGGAAGGTAGCAGCAATCGGTCTAGTTCATGCATCAGCATGCTGCCAGCTGAGCTGACATTGAGCGACTCTATCCCTCGAGCCATCGGCACCGATACTCGTAGCTCGTCATCCAGCCCTTTGACACCGCGATGCTCTGAGCTGAGGATCAGGGCTGGCCGTTGTGGTAAAGTCTGTGTCTTGCCTTGAAAGTTCCAAAAACAGATATTCGAGCCTGGAGGCGTCCACACATCGTCTGCTCTGCTGCTTCCTGTTTGAGACGACGTAGAAGGCATCATATCTGCTACGACGGGTGTCATGTTGCGCGATCGCAAATACTCAACAAGATCAGGTACCGGCACAAGCTTGTGAGGCCACTTGAGCGTTAATCCGCGCGATGCCCGAATCGTCTTGTCATTATACATATCACACGTGCCTGTTGTGATCAGCCCTGCGTCCCAGCCGAGCGCCATGCCCGTTCGTACTAGATTTCCCAGGTTGCCAGGATCATTGACGTGATCGAACACCAACAGCCGATCGGCACTGTCCGGCACTCTCTGTGGTTTTAATTCCAACTCTGCAAAGATCTCGTGACGACCGGGTCGCGACGCCGTACCGAGAATGCGCCGAGTGAGATCCACATCACATACAAAGTAGCGTTTTGCTGGGAACGCATCAGGATTCTTCAGCACGTCGATGGCTGGATGCTTAATTGCCGATTCGTCATGCGGCTCTTTTTCTGCTGTTATTACGAGCGATCGCATTTTGAATCCATCATCGCGCAGTTCGCGCAACATTTTTAAACCGGGGACCAAAGCCGTTTGATTCTCTAGACGGTACGATTTGGATTCCCGTAAATCGATAAAGTGTTTTGTGAATTGTTGTTTTTGATTGCTGAGCCGTCTGAACAATTGTGGAAACTGGTATACTCGTGGTGCTGTTGCCATGGCGCGCGGGTGTATGTGTATGTTTGTACGATTTTCTGCTGTGGCGATATAAAATAAAAAATTATTCTTCCTTTCTCGCTCGGACTGTCGGACTGCGTCATATCCTTTCCCCCCGCCCCTCCCCCCCCCAAAAAAAAAACCACGGGACTTGAAATGCTAACTTGAATAAAGTACACGCTCTTCAGGTACGTAAATGTGAACTTTTGCGTTATTTATACAAATTGGTGAGACTTAAAGCAACGCGAACACCAGCAGCATTTGGAAGCTTCAACTCATATAAGCATCGATCGACGTGGCGCAGTCTGTTATTGTGACACAGAGTTAATGGCGCTGAGGTTACATGTACCAACCAGCATTACCAATGGTGTTATTGTTAGCAATCACCGTAGAACAAGCTAGAGCTTTAACTGTGTGTCTACTTGCAACGGCAAAGCCATTATCACTTCCAACTGGGATTACTTTGAAGCGGTTGCCAAGGATGTTTTGACAACGCAGTTGAATGAGTCGTAGAAAGACTACTACTTGTCGACACTCAAGAAAAACGTCACCACCTTTGCCGATTCTGTCGTCTTCGATTTGCGCAAACGGCAGCCCACCTAATTATCGCTTAGCGATACATGGTGTGACGTCCCTATAACGTGCAGAATGAAAGCATGGTGTTACTTGAAGATGCTGTTAATGACGAGTTTCCATTGAAGGCGCGTGTACAGCATTGGGGAGCGCGTTTGTTAATGGTGCGTGCATTCAACGCTGCAAAGGAAAAAAGTAAGATATTAGCACAAGAAAGAACCTGTTAGTGTTAAGTTAGTTAGCACATGGTACTCATATTAGGAGTCGTTGTCGCTGAACAAAAAACTAACGATATCAGGTATGCTGTGCAACTGAGTAGCTGCAATCTTTTTGACGTATCGAAATGAACAACCAATGTGTTTTTTAGTGAAATCAACCTTTTCTTGATAAAAGGTATGATATCTCATTCTATAGATTTTTTTTGATGAGCAGTAGAATCGAATAAGTGATACGGTCATATTCTATTGTCTGTCCTTGCCACGCTTCGCTCATAGCCCCTCGCATACTGACAACCAACAATCATCGTCTGTCGCCGATATTTTATCGAATCGAGAGCCAAGCGATGGTTTAGACTTGGAGGAGCACGATGCTCCATTTCTGACAACGATTTGGACTGGATGCAGCCCTGTCTAGTGATAGGTATCAAAGCGACGATGAACAGGATGTACAAGGAGATGTACGTCTCGAAGCCAAGATGTTGCATCATTGGAGGAGTTGCCAGGTAATTTTGTCAAGTCGTCAATAGGCTGATTCATCGCTGATTGATATTTCTTGAAGTTTTTTTTTTTATTTCATTGGATTACAAAGTTAGATACACAGTATTCTATTAAGCTATTTCTTGGTGCGCCTGTTGACCAACGTGATCGGAGACGAAGTCGGCGTCCTCAAAAATACGTTTCCAGTGCGCCTGCCAGATAGCGAGGGCAGTGCAAGCAATAAACAAGTGGAAAGAGAGCTTCTTGAGTAGTGTGCGTAAGATGGAGGTGTTCCATATTACTTACCCCTCAGTCTGCTGATCTTGTTCAGCCTCGCAGACATGAGGGCAAAGATTACAAATATCGTGTGTTTACAGACTATTGTTCAATCGCCAGAAAATGCACTCACGATTATCCTCTGGTGATAAAAGGTTGTATGACTTACAGGATTCATTGCCCTCGTAGATTTCTTCGAGACGACCAAGGGAGGCGGGGATCAACCTCCATGGCTACTGTCAGCGCATCAAAACCAGTTTCAACAGTGGAAACCAATCGGCGCCGTTCCTTTTCTGTCCCCGCGTACACACGAGCCACCTTGATGTGCAAATCTTTCAAGTTGCTCGAGCCCTTTTCAGGCGCAAGAGCACCAACAACACCTCGGATCTGCACAGCACGATCCTCAAAACAGGGGCCATCGACTCTCAAGAGCGCATAGTAATCACCTGAGCTATGTTTGCCGAGCTATAATAAAACCACAATCCCGATCCAGCAGTTGTGTTATACATCCTATTTTTGAAGAGGATGACAGAGAGAAGCTTGTTTCATTTTCAATCTTACCAGCGCATCCATGGCCATGGTGGCTAGATGCAACTGCTCGGCGGTACCTTCAACGACAAAGTCGTAGCTCAAAGAGCCACGAGCAATGTCTATCACCGCAAAAGAGAACTGCTCAATAGCACGCACTGTGCGCGGAAGCGTATTGGAGTCTACGAGAAAAAAATAAAACTTTTTTTCAAAACAAGAGGCATGGAAAAAATCCTAGACGCATGAAGAATAAGAGCGTTTCTTTGATACCTCTTCTCCAGAATTGTTGGTTTGACGTGGCAACGGGAGCCACGTACAACTCAACCTCTTCACCTTAATCTCCGTTGTCAGCCGACACTCCATGTTCCTCTTGGAGTAACTCAAGCTCTGTGTTTCGAGCTGGACCCGTAATCACAGAAGTTGAAGACGTTTCTGGAGGTCGGTGTTAACGCAGCTGCTTGTTTTGAACATTAGAAAGAAAAAAGAGTAAAATTACTGTCAGACTGAAGGACCTTTGTTAGAGAACTGTACACTATCGTGACCGTACCTGGTGATGCGAGATGTTACTCATTGAATGTCGCAGTGAAAAATGGCAAAAGGGCGTAAGCAAAGAAGAGTGCGGGAACGCGACCCACAGTCGTTTTTCAGCACAGCCAACAAGTCGGAGTTAACTATTGAAGCAATGCAGCACCAAGCTCAGAACATTGATGGTTTCCTTTCCCCCCCTTTTAAGTCTGGCTCAAGGTAATTCAAAGAAACAACCAGATCACGCTGTACCTAAAACAGAGACGCGACGATATTTCGAACGGTACGTTCCCAAATATGTACACATAGACACAGTACCATCGGGACAAATAATAGGAATGAAAGGCTCGAATGAGGTCAATCCAGAAGAATCGATATCACGGTTGTATTTATATGAACGTGCTCCATCCTTTTTAAGATACTCCATCCTTTTTAAGATATTATATTATACTGTATAACATACGCTCAGGCACAAAATATATTTTCGGTATGAAGCCATACCCACTATAAGTAGACCTCCATCCTGTTTGTTTTAAGTTTATCGCTCGTTGTTATCAAGATAAAAGCAGCAAGGGAGCAGGAAGTCGCTTACTAAGAAGTCCTCCACTGTTCCTGCATTATCAATGAATCTTTTTAGCATATACATAGTATAATAAGAAATATGTTGACGACGCGTAGTTGGGCCACTATGCGTATGATATCTATAAGTAAATATGGTTACTTTTTCTTTAGTATGACCTACTGAATTATATTATATCTATAGATCTTGTTAGCCACCAGTATTATAAACGTTAAACAGTTAGAAAGCTAGAGATAGGTTGACGATGTGATAATAATTCTACTATAGAACCGTCATAAACTATCTGAGAAGTGATCCCGTCATGCACATGCACGATAACAACAGGCACTACTCCTTCAACGATTTTCGTGGTAGAAATTTAGTGGTTAGATGTTCGAAGAAATGTTATCATTAAAAATACGCAGCATCGCCTTACCGAGATATAGAGCGTTTATAGTTTAAGGGAAGAGAAAAAAACGCTGTACGGTGATATAAAAAAAGTCTTTAGGAGGGTACGTGATGATATACATTACTGTGCATTTATCATGCATAAATAAAAGCTTCTGTCTCACCAGCCAATTGATATGCACGGCATTTCACCGTTTTAGGCGAACAAAAGGCTCCAACCTTATTTAAGCTTGCACCATTTTCCCCCTTTAGGCGAAAAGTGTCTTGTAATATTACGCGACAATTTTTTTTGTACCAAGCATCGCGTAATCATACACAAAGATACACACGCAAACCAAAAGCAAAATAGACAATGGCGCTACTATCCTTATCTACTCTACTTTCTGCTACCACTAGTGCTACTGTGACCACAATCCTGGGTTTATTAGCGGCGATTCTAGCACTCATACTGTGGTCAACAACGAATCAAAGTGACGGATATCCTCCATATGCGCCAGGCCGATTCCCGGTGGTGGGTCATCTACCACATTTTGGTCGTGGTATACCATTACAAGAGCTTTTTCGACGCTGGAGTCTTGAAATGGGCCCTGTATTTACCGTGCAGTTTGGTGTGAAACGATGGGTCGTTCTAAACTCGGTGGATGCTGTCAAACAATTGATAGTCGACAGAAGCACCATTTACTCGTCAAGAAGTCTTCCGGATACACTTGTGAATGACCTTATGGATGGAGGTATGGCTAATATACTTGAAGGAGGGAGAAATCTTGCGAATCAATGATGGATGAATGACACGGGCATTGCCATGATCTGTTGTTGCTTTGGGCTTGTTAATTCTGACCGAAATTATCTTTTTTCAAAAGTGGACAAAGGTGGCGGTTTCGCCTTTTATCCGTATGGCAAAGAATGGCGTTATCTGCGTAGAATTGGTGAGTTGCATCCAATACATTATTTATGGAGGATAGATGATTCATTTGAAACCAATGTCTCGACGTTAACTGAACTGAGAAATACCATCATGTCTATAGCACATACAAACCTGATTAAAAAGAAGATTGATTTATATCAACCGATTATCGACGAACGAAGAACCACTCTATTGCGAAACATTTGGCGTGCTACGCATGATGATAAGAAAGGAGCTAAAGTAACAGTGCAGGGAAGAGCAGGCAATGCCATTACGCCAACCATGTATATTGAGCACTTTACCATGACGAGTATTTTGGCTATGGCATTCGGGTCAATGGCGTATTTCAAACCAGGTGATCCACAGCTCCATCAAGCTTTTGCATTGACAGAGCGCATTGCAGCATTATTGGGACCGGCCGAGCAGATTCGAGAGTTTTTCCCAATTCTAAACAAGATATTACCGAGTTCGAGAGCCGAATTTGTCGATGTGCGGAAAACCATGGTTGCTTTCTACGGTGGACTGCTGAAGCGGTTCAAGGAGCAATCTGTAAATGAAGATTGCTTTGTAAGCGAGATCTTGGATAAAGGAAGTTTGACGGATTTGCAGATCATCAGTTTCGCATCCTTATTTATTGGTGCTGGTACGTGCAAACATAACATCATACACATGGTTGTAGTTCCTTGGTATTTATTGACGATTTGGCTCTACTCTTTTACCTCATTTGATGTCCCAGGATCCGAGACAACAGCCTCAACACTCGAATGGATGATCGCATTACTGGCCAATCACCCGGAGATACAAACCAAAGTGTACGAAGAAATCAAGAACAACATTGGGCTGGAGCGTTTACCCAGCCATGAAGATGGTAAGAGATACCGTCTCCCAAAAGTGTATTATGTTGCTGTTATCAGTATCGCATAAGCCAACAATATCGTATCTACAATCATCACGTTACAGAGTCGAACCTTCCATATCTCCAGTGTGTCATCCTAGAAACTCTGCGTCTGCGTCCACCTGCCCCACTATCTGTTCCCCATGCCACAAGCCAGGACGACACTTTCCAGAACTGGTTTATTCCCGGTGACACGACTGTGATTATTAATCTACACGCTATCCATCAAGACCCTGCTCATTACCCAGAGCCAGAAAAGTTTATCCCAGAGCGACACATGGCTTATGTCCAGCGAGACAACCGTGACAAGTTTAGTCAAACAACAGAAGATCGACCCCATTTGGCTTTCTCGACTGGCCGTCGTGTATGTGTTGGCATTCATCTAGCTGAGCGTAGTCTGTTTATGGCCGCATCCGGTTTACTTGGTTGTTTCCGCATTGATCGGCCGTCCGAAACTCTCTTGGACGTTGACACCCCACGCAAAGCCCAGGCGCCCACTTTCGCACCCTACACGTACAAAGTGCACTTTGCACCTCGACACGAGAATGTCTACAAGCTGATAGACTTTGAAGCGTCTCGTGCATAACTTGATACTTTATAGTCAGTTTTTATCTATACTAACAATGTCTTAATAATAAAGTCAAGTACATAAAACAGCCAGAAAACGAAGCGGAGTTTTCCACCTTTTGAGCAATGCCGAGCCTTTGCTGGGCAAGCAGCACTCTCTTCCTTTTGTCCTAAACCCATATCAATATAGTATGTCTTCCTCGGCAGGTGGTTCAGATCTCTTTCAAAGCTATGAGCAGGATTTTCAAACTGTGACCGATAGCATCCGTCAAAAGATTGACCAACAAATTTCCACTCAGTCGGGAGGTATGTCTTTTTTTCCTTGATTGTAAAAAGAACGAGTTGTGAGAAAAAAGGCCTCTCATTCATTTCCACTGAGTTAGAGCAACGCAAGGCAACTGTACGGGCTGCCGAACGCGAAATTGACGAAGTCGATGAAATTGTAAGCATGACTCCATGCACATAATTTATGCACCTTTTTGAGTCAAACGGTCTTGATGAATAACCAACTATCTTTTTCCGGTGGTTTCTTTAATGACAGCTTGGCCAAATGGAAATGGAGATTTTGAATATCCCAACTCCTTCACGCACTCGTCTCCAAGCAAAGCTTCGGTTGTTCAAGTCTGAAGCAGAGAAAATGAAACGCGACTTGGTATGAGGAGAAGATAGGAATTGGGGAGGGGCGGATTAAGGAAGCATGAAGGCAGAGGGGAGGAGGAGAGGTAATCACGAGATATTCTCACTCATCACAACTCTGTACATCCTCGATGATAGCGACGAGCAAGTGCAATAGCGCCAAATCGTGCCTCAGAACGTGATGAATTATTGGGCGATTATGCTAACAGCAGTCAGAGCGATCTGGATGCATCAACCATGGATCAGCGCCAGCGTTTGTTGAGCGGGACTGAACGTTTGGGAGAATCGAGCCGACGGTTAGAGGATAGCCATCGATTGGCACTGGAAACAGAGGGCATAGGTATCAACATCCTGAGCACTTTGAAGGGCCAGCGTGAGACGATGCTGCGTGCTAGAGATACGGTAAGATATTATCGAAAAAGTTACTATACCGGATCCGTGTATTGCAGCGATTGCTAACTCTACAACAGCTGTCTGAGGCGGATTCATACATTGATAAGGCATCGAAAACGCTCAAAGGCATGGCACGTCGGTAAGGATCATACAATTTCTATGGTGCGATTATCTGTGTTTAATTGAAATAAGTAGTTAATCGGTTGTCTTCAAATGATCATAGCATGGCCACGAACAAAATGATTACGGCCGCAATCATCCTGATTTTGATTGCACTGATCGTGCTTGTTATTTGGACGAAACTGTTTTGATGATGATATTGCTGCACCTCGGCGTATAAACAACAAAACACAGATTCACTCGTCCCTCTCTTCTCTGCCATTCCCCCTGCCGTGTACTTTTCTTTTGTTCTCTATTATTGATATGAATTGGTGGATGATACAGTAATAGTGGTTACCCCCTCTTTCTCCTCTTACACAATAACGACAATAACATTATAACAACAAACAAACCAAGGTATTATTCTTCTGTACTTTTTTATATACTACTATTATGTACATTTTGATGTAGATATATGCGCGTGCATGGGGAGTAATATGTATGGATTGTTGCGCGGATTGCGCATCGTGTCGCTAAACGACAATCTATGATCGCTTCTTGCTGTTGTTACGGTTGGCCTTTTCAATCTTGATATCGCATGGCTTTTCAAAAAGGTTGGAGTTGACTTTGATGAATTTTTGTGATGTAACGTTTTCTGCTCCTTGTTGGTTTTTATACACCACAAAACCGTACTTTAGATATTTTTGAGTTTCGGGACACTATATACGTTTTAACCAAAACAAAAAAGAAAAAGTCATGTTTAATCTTTGGAAGCTATTTGTCAGTGTACATTCCTTGAATGTGTGCCCTTAATTTACCCGCATGATCTTATATTCGACCATTTCACCATACTCGCCCAAAGTCTTAAATACAGATCGGGCATGGGCCATTGAAGGAACCACTTGTGAAGTACGGAAAAACAGGCGTGTGGGTGAAATGGTACGAGCTGCCGTAGCAGTAGCGGATGCTGCTGTTGTTGACATTATGTTTTTATGCTTTTGTTCAAAGTTGTTTAAAAAACAAAAAAAAGCTGTGGTGAAAAACTCAACAGCAGGCTGGGTCGTGACGGGTAGAACCTTTTGCCGACCCAGGTTTGGCCACCATGCATTTTTTCTTATTCAAGCCTCCCATAATACTATGGCTCTTACTAGCTACTTTCTAAAAACTGAAGTCGTGCTCTTCATTTTGTATGCATCATCAAGGTCAGTCGCTGTCAAAAAGGCTCGTAAATAAAATGAAGGAGGTGATGAAATAAAACCATATTCTCTTGTATTTTTTTAAGAACGGTGCACTAAATCACGCTGTCAATCATAGCGAAGCACTTTGCGTGCTATTAATTTCTTCAATTATCAGTAGCAAGAGACGCTCGATGTCGCCGAAAAGCTTGGTTTACACATGGAATATATTATTTACGTGTAAACAGTGCGTATGACGATAGAACGCGATCAATGTTAACTTATTCCACATAAGCTCTGATAACAGACTACTGTGTCTCTTGCGTTTATATATAGTAATACATATATTTTTAAATTCATCAAATAGTGATTCCGTTTTAAACTGCTGCTTAAGACACTTTACCATGACATCATAAGTACATCGATGATGATAAGTAGGAAACCAAGATGTTGTATGTACATAAGCGATAAGATAGAAATAGGGCCTGTCCATTTAGCCTGATGAAGAGCGCTATATTGAACAACTCTTACTAGAGTTGGAATCGAGGTATACTTCGTTAGCGACCCGCCAATCATCCAGATATTGCACACAGGTCGATAAAGAAGCGTAACCATTTTACTATGAATATGTATATGATCTGAATTACTGCATCTGTCAAAAATGTACTTGAAAAGGCCTATATAGCGAGCTTAGCAATGACATTATCATTTATAATCATGATACCAATGACAGATTTTGTCATAGAATCTGACAATGTACAGTGGTCCCCCATTGATGTCAAATCCGTTAACTTTCAGCTACTGTACCCTCGTTACATCCTCGTTGGTTTCACTTTTTATTTACATGCAGAAGGGATTGATTCTCTTCAGTTATCCATGTCTATATAAGAAAAGAAATCTGCTGGTTAGAAAATATGAGTGAAAAAAAGGTCAATAAATATAGTTTTATAACAAGGAATAGACAAGAAACGAGTTCAGAAAACTTTGTCGCTTGAATAAGTTTGTGTGTAGTTGTCGCATAATCTTGCGACAAGTCTAAGAACATCATTATATTCATCGAATGTGTCCAAGAAATTCAACACTATGTTGAAGAAAATGGGTACGAGACAGATGATATGTATATTTGGGATGATAATCTAGCTATTGTTGACTTGACGATATATAATGGCTCGGCTGGCTGATAAACTATACACTCTGATGAGTGATCAAGGGACATGTCAGAACTTGTGTAAAAGTTGCTGTATAATCTGTGACATTTATTAAGAGTACCGGCTTTGTGTGGTCGTGCTACCTGTTCACACGCTCATTATTATCCTGTTTACATAACCTGGATCATCAGAAGAGTAGAAAGGTCTCCATGCTTTACATAAACCCAATGGATTGCACCTACAATATGTTGTAATGTTTAACCGGTTGCCGCAAACGTTTTATTATGATGTCTTTTAGCCAGAGCGTATCTATGTGTTAGCGCTCTATATCTCTTTTTTAAAGTTAAAAAGGCCTAGCAGCGAAATTGCTCCATGAAAAAGCATCCACGGCATCCTTGGTGCCTCTTTGATATGTGTTTATTGGGGCATATAACGATATGTGTAAGCAGGATCCGTTGACTTTCAACTCCCTTTAATTTCACACAAAAATCGAGAATCTTAGTTTTGAACTCAACGGGGACCACTGTTGTAGTTGGGTATGATGGGTACCAAAGGGGACAGTGATCCTACGTTTTACATATTACATTCTTCACCGCCTTATAGCGAGAAATTTATGATAATTCAACAGAGCTTATACCAGTGCTTTATTTAATTACCTAAAGGTTTTTGTCAAAAATGATGCCAAGACAGCATGCAATCAATAATATATGTTTGACTGGGGAGTGTACGTTGTGGATGGTGCAATAAGCTGCTTTGAATGTATCTCCCGGCTATAATAGTACATAGCATTCCGTCGAAATGGATTTTGTATACTGTATTATACTTACATATGATATAGCTTAGTATCATATATGGCAAGTGTAAATCTGGGCTGATATAATTATGGAGCACATACAACAGTTGAGTTTTGGATACATATGCACCAGAATACTAAAATAACCTCAGTATATATTAGCCCATTTGTGCAATCGCGCATTCCTTTTGAAATAGGCTATCACTGTATATAAATTCTTTTGGGTAACACTTCTGGCAGTTGCGACGGTAGAGCCAACTTTGGATGATCAAAAGGAACCAGTATATATATATCTAACAAAAACCCACATTACGTTGTTGATCTTGCGGTTACCCTGTATAAGTCCTATCTTTGGTTTGTGCAAAGACATGACCCCCTTGTATACGCTCATCTGTATTATCTTCCCAGAGCAGCCGTATTTATACTTGATACTTTTAGGGAAAAAAAAGGACGTAATTGTCGACGACTTATCAGTTTCAATTTTCAATAAAGTAAACGTTAGAAATGGAGGACACTTGACATAATCATGTTGGTTATAGCAGATATTAGTAGGTATACATTCCACACTCTACAGATGTAGCCCCCAATGCATTTTCATCGAGAGTAGATCGATGTGGGTCAAGTGTCGATCAAGCAGTATGCATCATGCGTGTGCAACCTCAAAAAATGGTGACAACCCCAGCATTATCCTCATCTAAATCATCTTTTTTTTTTATCTGCTGATTCTCGCATTTCCTCCCTTTCCTTCCTTGCTCTATGTTGATTGTGCGTATGCGTGCACTGCGTGTTTCTTCCGCCGTCATTTTGGTTTACATACAGAGTACATATAGCAGACATAAGCGACGATCATCCCTGTGACAAAATGCGAGAAACTCAAGAACTCCCATACTCTACACGCGGTCCCACTACACTACCAATAGTATATGATGGGTCTCTCTATGCTGTCCCAGAGATATATTTTGAGCTTTCCGCAAATGAGAAAATAATATTTGTAGCGGCAACATAAAACCTAGCCCTCTGATGCTACAACTACGCATAATATAATGATGCAATATTGGCAAAATTCGTCATTAAAGATCTCCTTTCATTTTGTACATATAGTATCATCCGAGTATAAGCTTCCGTCTTTCTATGCACATGATTTTCTTTTTCAGCCCCTTTCCACCCCTCACGTTTTTCCTATTTGTAGGTACTTTTATCCTTCTTGAGGGGGTTTCCCCTCCCTCCCTCCTTCCCCTGTACGTGCTGCATTTTACCGCACATAGTAGACACTCGCACATGTGTATCACTCTCTTTCACATTCACAGTCAGGGCGGGAAACAGTAGTTTTCCATGTATGATAACAACACCGCTGCTGGTATACATAGACATTCTGGTATCATTAGCTGTTGATGGTTCAATGTATGTTTTGAGAGCATATATGATAGATTGATTTTTCATGACTGTAGTATGAGCTTTATTGAATCATGTACGGTCATGTAAGATCGAGACTAAGCCGGTGAACAAACGGAGCATGCAAAGAAATAGAGTTCGGCGCTTTAGAAAAACCCCACCCCCACAAAAAAGAAAGAGTGAGAGGATAAGGCAAGTATATATACGTTTACATCTCTTCCTTCGGGGTCGATTCCACAAAAACCCACCTCACACTCGTCATGGTCTTTGTTATCGTCTTCGGACGGTGATACCCTGAGCATTCTTATTAAAAACTGTATAGATGGTATCAATACGTCTTCAATGGCTCCCTTTTTCTTCTAACGGGGGTTCGTTACTAATCCTACACATCACGACGCATGATGGGGGTAAAGAAATAAGTCCTTGTACTAAGCAATGTACATATTGTGCAGGTATACATCATGCTGACATTCAGTGATGAAGGCTATTTCATATAGTATTAAACTTCATGTTCCGTTTGTATGGAAACGCTAATTATGTACCTCAGCTTCGACATTAAGCTACGTGGTAGGGCTAGTTCTAGTTGAGAGAGCGGCACCACTGCACCAAGATAATGTACTGAGGTACAGTAGTATATTACAAGGGAGAAGGGGAGGGGAGAATGAAATGCCAATCTTACGATGCTACCTGGTTTTCCCATTTGAGATCCACTTGTATAGGTATCAAATACCTTTTTTTGTAGTAGTTTTAACATGTAATATTAGATTGAGACAGAAAATTTATCATATTATTCAATCCACTATAATCCTATGATATCTATAATCAATTTGTTATATTTACACATACATATGATAGTATGCGAGAAGCTATGTTTATAAAAGTGATTCAGCTTACATTTATAGAATATTTTTATCGTGTGGTATCATAGAATGATGCAATGACCGATTTTGACTGAGATTCACCTTAAGAAAACACATCATGTTGCATGGAAATTATTATATTCAAGGAGCAAGATATACAGTAAGCTAAGAGCGATGATGATACTAACATTGACCAAGTGCATTTTATATTGCTACAGTACCACTGCTTACTGTGTCACGTATGATATCAAAATCTGTCTTTTTTTTTCTACCACCAAGAAGCAGTAACATTTACCAGCACCAATGATGTTTAGAGCTTAGGAGTTGTCTAATCGTGGTCATAACCGCTATTGCTCACAGTATCAATATTGCCCGGTACGTAGTAGTTTATTTATCTCTCATTGAACTTGATACATAGTGCGTATGTGCGACGATCCGTTGCTGGGTTAAATTCGTTATTCGGCCCTGTTTACCTTGAAATATGTAAAAGCAAATTACAGCACACAAAGATGAAAAAAAAAGAGATAACGGTGGATCAAAGGTATACAAGTAGTTGGTGATGACGATCGTATCTTTTTTGAGTTAATGCTCCGAGAAAAGAAGATAGCGAGATAAAAGAAGGGCGACAGGGAGTTAGTCATAAGAAGAGGGGGGAGGGGAAGGTGTTAAGTGAAAGGAAAACTACTACATGCCAAGCGGAAGTAATGCCTGCTTTTGGTTGTTTGGACACGACTCCTTAATCGACATTGCATTTCTATGCGAGCGCTAATATGATCGAGTAAGAGGTGATAGAGTATAGCATATACATATAAGATATATACACACACAAGATGTACTTTTAAGTAGGAACAGGGGATGAGAAGAGGGGTATTCTTCGAGCAAAAAAGAAAAGCGAATCGCATTTAATACTTGTCCTGGGTTCTTTTTTCTATTACAATAGGACACTGTTCCGCATTAAGGAGATTTAGTATGTGTGTTCGGTTGCTTAAAAAGAGAATATGGGTCGTCGCTTGTTTTTGGGGCTGTCACTACTGCTTGCTACTAGTACCCATAACAGGCCTGATGGCTGGGTTCCTACAGTGTATATGAATAAAGGAGAGAATATGCACTAGCACACAACTGTTATCTCCTGCAGTAAAAAGAAAAACATAGCATAGCACAAAAAAAAGAATACTGCCTCGCTTGCCTCTGCCGGGGTTTTTGGACTGAGCTAGCTTCGAGGGCGATCCTTGTTCTACAAAGAAATTACGGATCAACACATAACAAAATTACAGGGAGCTTTCTGTCCGAGCGGGTTTAGTAGCGATCTCTCTCCCCTTTCCTCGACCCCCCGGGAAAATAGAAAATTAAGAAAATTGAAATGATGCTGAAGGGTAGGTGTTGGGGTTTATTTGGCCAACGCACGAGTCCGTTTTATAATGAAGTGGGTTGTCATTGTACTGGTTTGTGAGGGGGAAAAAGAAAGTACAGAATACGTGCTCAATTGTGCAAAAGGGCATATACTGAGCTTTCTGAGGTTCGATGTCTGTTCGGAATGGTTCATGCAGCAAGAAGGATGCTTTGTCTTAAGCTGCATACTGTGCCGTAGTGTTAAAAATGTAGACCGGATCCCTTTTGCAGCAATGGAGAACAAAAAAAAAGACGGCATGCATTGCTTAATTCGTCACTCATAAGATTACAAGTGACAACGAGAGCCAGCATATGTATGTTGTCGTACGATATACAAGCCATGTATAAGCATCCCGCTTTTCTTTCTTTGAGTTAGCAATCTTCATACATTTTGCTTTCCAGTGGCGTTTATTGAAGATTATACGATAGCAATTGTCTTTCTCAAAGTACTGTAAAATTACTGCATGATCTAGTTGTAGCAGTAGCAGTAGCAGCAGCAGCAGCACGCTAAACTGATGCTAAAAGAACAATATGCTTGTTGTTGTTGACAATACCAAGTATGCGTGCCTGCTACCTCCGCGAAATCAAACTTTAACAAGTACGGGGTCATTTTCTTTTACTGTTCCGCTTCTATATCATATACTGATGCTTTTGCCATGCCTCAAGTCTCTCGCACTCTCCCAACCCCTCCCCCTTGATCCTCGAATCAAAGGGATAGGTGCTTCGAGGGAAGAGGGGGGGGGGGAAGTATATGCTGTCGGGTTCGATTCTGCTTGGTTATACATTTTAGCTCAAGAGGAGAAAATAACCTCCCATTTCCTGGCCACCATACATCCCGTTCTGAGTGGAAAGCCGGAGATAAGAAAAAAAGGAGTTCTTTAGATTGGGAAAGTAGAAGAAGAAGAGTACGAGGGGGTTTATTAGGAAGATGGGGCGACAACAGACGAACAACGACGAGCGGGGTGCTGTGGACAAAAAAAAAAGGTATATAAACCAAGATCATCGATGCCACCCATCGAGTCGATATCTTACAGCAACCCAAAAACTACTACTACTACTACTACTACTACTACTACTACTTACTACTACCACTCCTCCGAGTCTATTCACCTTCTTCTATCACCATGCAAACCAAGTTCATCACTTTGACTATCTCTGCCGTCTTGGCCCTCTCTGCCATGTCCGCCAACGCTCTTCCCGCCGGCAACACCAACGACAACTCAATCACTAAGCCTGACGACAAGGCCGTCCAGGCACATACCCCTGCCAACAAGGACGTCGCTGGTACTCAGGCCCCAGGCACCGAGGCCGCCGACGTCGCTGGTACTCAGGCCGCCGACCCCGCAGGTTTGCTCGCTGAAGTTGTCGGTCTTGTCGGTGATGTTGTTGTTCCCCTTGTCAAGGACCTGTTGGACGCCGTCGTTGACCTTCTGAACACAGTTGCTGGCGGCGCTGGCCAGGCCAACAATGGTGATGTCGTTAACCAAGCACTCCCAGCTGTCACCCAACTTCTCGTTTTGCAGCCCGGTGCTGCTACCAATGGTCAGCAGCCCACTGGAGAGCCCCAATGTCCTCCCCAGGGTGCTGATGCGCAAACCACTGTCCTTGTGTTTGTACAGAACATTGTGGCCGGTTTCGGTGGTCAGGATGCTGCCAACAACAATCCTGCCGGTGTGCTTGCTGCAGTTCAAGTCTTGGTTGGCCAAGTCACCACTGCTGTCTAAGTTAACCAAAGAACAGTTGCTCTCTCTCTCTCTCTCTCTCACTCTTCTTTCCCTTTAAATTGATCTATCCTTTGTTAAAAACTCTTCTGTTCTTTCTGCTCCTCCTTCCCTCCCCCCCCACCTCAAACCTTCTTGCACGAGTATACCTTTTTCACGCACATTACACGCACGCTCACACAGACACAAGCAAGCAAATTTTGTTTTGTTATAATTTAAAACAATAATACAATATACCTTTGTTGTTTTCGCAAAGTAATTAAAATTGCCCTGTCTCCTTCATAATCTACTACTTGCCATTGCTTTTTTATTACTGTGTGTACAAAATACGATTTTTTGAGATGCTATGTACTGATCAGCGATATTTGCTTTCTCATTGCACGGGAATACTCTTGGAATAATACGCAAACGTTCAATTAGCTCACACAGTGTATGCTTATATACAATGAAGGGTAGACAGTAGAAATAGAGTAGTCATTTAAGGCGATCCGCAGTGTACGGTTCATGCGGACCTAATCAGGAAAAAAGTCACGTCTTCCTCTCGTGTGTGCCTAAAACACGCGAAAAGCGCGCGCGCGGTTTTTATTTCCAACCCAGGAACGCGCTTCATTTAAATTTTGCTTCTTTGACACACTACCTTTGAATCATGACGATCAACGTGTTTCCTAGAGATGCACATGCTGAGGGTTTTACCACAGTTGCTTACAAGACCGATGGAACGTAAAGTACCGTTCATTACCCCGTTTTAATCCTACGTCTGGAGAATATATACCTTTTCTTTTTATAAAGAAAATCAACCTAAACTCAAGATTATATCTAAATATACGTGTAGTGGCATCGTAACCGGTGGACAGGATTCAATGCTTCGTATATACAACGCCTTGCCATCCCAACGCAAGGCCGAACCTAAAACTATAGACGATCACAGTGAGGCAGTACTGACAATTGCTACTCATGTAAAGTTTCTGTACCTTTCTTTATAAAGTCTTTTGTAAGACGCATGTATAACCTTATGCTGATGAGAGAACCCATGGTGGAACTTTTTTTTATTTTTTAGAAAGTAAACTTTGCAACAGCAGGCGAAGACGGATCGGTATTGATATTTCGAACTAGTAACAACGAATTTGAAAAGTTTTTGGTGCGAAGCACAGTGCCTGTACGATGCCTATCGTTTAACAGTAACGGAACACGTATCGCTGTCGCTACAGAGTAATGAAACATTTATCCAAACAAAAATTTGTGGGAAAGGGGTGGAGGGAAAAGAAAAAAGACAAGGAGGCAGTGTTTTTATATTAAACCGGTTTTTTTAAATAGTGAAGATGTCATTCGTGTCGTTCTTGTGCGTGATATATCCAAAGTCGTTACTCTATATGGACATACCACACTTGTCAAATCAGTTTCGTTTTCTCCTACTAGCGATCATTTGGTAATATATATATATATTAAAGGAACCGGGGTAATATTATTTTGCGTAAGGGTATAGTAGGTTAACAAAAAACAACTTGGATCCAATAGATATCAACGGATTGTGGCGGTGATGTCAAGATCTGGGACATGAATCATACGAGTGGTGCCCCTCATTGTATAAAGACATTATCCGGCGCAGTGAATAAATGTGCTTCGGATGCAGATGTAATGAACACAGTTGCTTGGAGTCCAGATGGTGCCTACTTTTGTTTTGCTGGAAAGGATCATGGTAAGGCTGCCATTATTGTTATTAAAGCTACTGCGCTATGGTGGAGAAAAAAGTGTTTCTGATCGGGTATTTGGGGGAATTGTAGAAATTTGTGTGTACTCTAGCAAAGATTGGACACAGAAATACGCCCTTGAGTTTGGCCACTTTAATGTAAGTTTTTATAAAGTGTGTGTGTTACCATATAAAGATCAAGGGAATTTGACAAAGTTTTTTTCTGGTAGGATATTATCACGATGGCATGGTCACCTAATGGCTCATACATTTGCTCGGTCAGTAAAGATCGACAAGTGTTGATTTGGGACACAACGAAAAAATCCACAGTGGCAAAGTATGAAAATACGGTCGGCGTCACTGGCGTATCATGGCATCCCAAAGAAAATGAACTTGCCCTTGTAAGTTTTGTATCCTTTATTACTGTTGGCGCGGGGGAGGGGGAGGGTAATTAATATGCTTAAAAGAAATTTAAACAATCAATGGGATTAGACCGATCAAAACGGCCGACTTTTAATATGGTTTGAACCCCTTGATCTATCAAGCATGCAACATCCTGCGCAACGCGCCTCAAACGACATGGATGACTTGGAAAAATTGTTTGAAGAAGACGGAACACAAGCGAGCTTTATTAAACGCGACAGTATACTGGATGATGCAGCAGAAGACGATGATGAAGGGGATGATGTAGAAGACGAAGAGGGCGAGGATCTGGATGATGGCGAAGATGTGGATATGATGTCGGATATGGGTGATTTTGTGATTGATGACGACGGGGCTGGGTATGCCGAAGAAGCGCGACGACGACGACGAGACCGCCAGCAGCAACAACGGCAAGGACGTGGTAGTACGCGCGTCATCCAGCGGGGTCCCCAGTTCACAATCATTGAACAAAAGCGGTTCCAGCCTGGCGCTACTGCATTCCGGGTCATGGATACTGCGAACCCATCCGTACCTGTGGAGGGTGAGCGCCGATACATGGCGTTCAACATGTTTGGCGTCGTTTATACCATTTACCAAGGCACACACTCGATCGTCAACGTCGAATTCCATGACCAAGCACACAACCGCAATTTCCACTTTACGGACTATTACCACTATACCATGGCTTCTGTCAGTCAAGATGGTGCTGTGTTTGCTGTTGAAGGCGGCAAGCCAAAGAAAAAGGAAAAACCGGCCGGTGAAGAAGAAGAAGAAAAAGACGGTGATGATGATGAAAAGAATGACGAACAAGGATCGGGCGTGACGTCTTCTGTTCTGTATTATCGACCGCTGATAAACTGGGCCAACAATGCGGAATGGACAGTGCATCTCCCAGAAGGCGAAAACGTCGTGAGCGTGGCGATCAATGAAGGCTCGGTGGTTGCAGTAACATCTGCAGGGTATGTGCGGATGTTTACGATATCGGGTCTCCAGAACCACATCTTCCGACTGGACAATGTTGTGGCGACAGCGGCGCATGGCACGCTCGTGCTGTTTGTTTACAAGGGCGGCGGTTCCGGACTCAATGGCGAACAGAACTTGGAGTTCATGTTGATGGATACAGGCACCCAAGACATTGTTCAAAAAGGCAATCTGCCATTGCAGAAAAACAGCCAGCTGACGTGGATCGGGTTTTCAGAGGCTTCGGTACGACAAACAGATCATTACATTTTAACACTTTTGATTCACACGCGTGTTTTTTTCTTGTGTGTGTGTGTGTGTGTGTCCGCTTTTTGCTTATGCTTCTTATCATGTCTAGCAAGCGCTCATGTATGACTCTCAACATGTGTTGAGCATCTTGCATCGACAGCGACGTCCAGGTCAGTCGTACTGGGTCCCTGTGTTTGACGGCAAGGCTACTGCAAAGTCACTTGAACGACAAGAAAAATACTGGCCCGTGGGGATGCTCCGGGATCGTCTCATGTGCCTTGTTGTGCGCGTAAGTTTATTGTTGTTGCGATGGAAAACAGTTTGAAGTGAGCTTATACGGTACGATGTATCCATGTATGTATAACGATCACTTAGGGAAACAATGAAAGCCCCTACTTCCCACGTCCACCTGTCGACGATATGGAACTACGTATGCCTGTTGTTGATTTGGAGACGGAAGCCGGACAGCTGGAGGAATCTCATATGCGAATGCGCCTCATTTCTATGCACGACCAAGGAGAGGCCGAAGCAACACACATGGAGCAAGAATACCAAGAGCTGTTGAGAGAAGCAGATCAGGAAATGGACAAGACGCTGCTACGTCTGATCCAGATTGGGTGCCGGGCGGATAAAGAACAACGGATACTCGATCTGGCATTTGCACTTCACCTGGAGCGATCAGTGGATGCGGCCATCAAGATTGTTACTCATTTCAAGATGACGGGCACGGCGGAGAAATTGATTCAGATTAAAGAGGTACAGTTACAAAAAAAAAAAGAGAAAGAGAGAGAGAGAAAGCGTTACACACATGGAGAGAAGTGTGTGTGTGTAACAAGGAGAGAGTGCGAGGAGTGTTTACTAATGGCGCGAGTCTCACAATGACAGGAAAAATTCATGAGCAGTCAAGACATGGTCTTTTCTAAACGGTCCATGGACTTGGACATGGATGAGAGTATGGAATCAAGCAAACGTGTACGATACTAGATGGCTACTACTATCGTTTCAATATTTTATATATATATACGACAACAACTTGTACATAGTTCAATACACATATACTATCTATTTGAGACAGTGTGTGTGTGTGCGTGTGTGTGTGGAGAGAGAGAGAGATAGAGAAAGAGAGATCCGATGACCGGCTAATGGCAACGAACGGGTTTCACACACAAACACATGCCCATCATTCTTCAATAGTCGTCGTGATGGGTTTCGGCGGCGTATGTTGCACAATCCAAACAGCACACTGACCCAATCAAAAGAGAGGCTCGGTTGAGTCGGGTGACGCTGATCTTTTTTTTTTATGATCATGTCGGTGCAAAGTGCGGGTCATGTGCTCTCTTTGAGAAAGAGCTTGCTCGGGATGGGTTGTTATACGTGGATGACGCACGATACAACAACAAAAGGTGGGGGGGCGTTGGAAGAAGAAGGAGCAGCAGCAGCAGCAGCAGAAGCAGCCACAGCGGAAGAGAGGGCGTCCTGCATGAGTTGTGATGAAAAAGACTTGATTTAGCCTTATATGTGTTCCGAATGGCAAACAAAGTGGCACCTTGAAAAAAAACAACAACAACAACATGGAAAAATGGGGGAGCATTCAAGGCCCACCGGATCATCAACTCTTGTGTCTATTGTCATTATACATAGTACGATACTCCACCGAGATTACCCCGCTTCATAACAGCACCCAGTCATCGAATGATATCCCAGTGTCATCGTCAGTCACCGTCACCATCGTCATCATCATCATCATCATCATCGTCGTCGTCTTCGGTCGTCTGTGCTCTCTCACTCTTTTGGCTTGTTACACCGGGGCGAGGGGCACAACCCGCCCCGCCTTCCGACCACACACTCTTTCTTTCTCCCTCTCTAGCTCTCTAGCTCTCATCTTCACAGAGCGTTCTTTCTATAATAGGCGCTCGCCTTCACAACCCATATAGATTCTTGCTACACACATCGCAAAAGGGCATGTGAGATGGGTCCTTTCTAATGGGGGGGGTTGGATGTTAGTCAGGAGGAGGGAAAGTAACTACCGGCAATCATCGGCGTTCGTTCCGACCAAAAAAAAAAAAAAAGCGTGAAACCCAAACAAAAAAAGAAAAAGGGCCATGCCCGAGATCTGCTTTTCCATCTTGTTTGTTGTTGTTGTTGTTGCTATTAATATTGCATGGAGCATCTATCTTTTGCTAAATACCATCAACAGCGGCGGCACCATGGTCGTTGTTGTAAGGTATTTTGCTTGGACCAAGCTTTGCCGGGCCTGAATAGAGGGAACAGATCGTCCCAAAGACGCGGTACAGGTAGTGAAAGACTGGTTTTTTTTTTGAAACTCCACGCAGGAAATAGGGCGGGAAGGAAGGGAAGGAGGAACAGTGCTTTTTCTTGAAGGCAAGAGGCCAAGCAGGGAAGGTGGGAGGGGGGGAATACGAGAACGACGCCTCCGAAGCATTTTTTTTTTTTTGGTGACACCTTGGATGCACCCGGGGCCGGCAAAAGAAACCGATGACCTGGTTTCTTCCCCTCTTCTCTCCAGTTTTTTGCTTTTCTTTCTTTCCCTTCTTCTTTCACCTTTTTTTTTTTTTTTACTCTTTTTTCCCCCCTTTACAGCAATCATAGCTGAGGACATAGAGTATCCGCAGTAGCATTCAAACTGAGAACAAACCGGCGCATTCTCTCTCTCTCTCTCTCTCTTTATAACGAAAAGAAAAAAGAATAAAGAAAACCTAACGAAACGATGCCTCCTAGCCCACCACCAAATCGCAACACCCATCAAAACCGACACATTGTCGTGGAACGCCGTTCGGCTGCACCCATGCGTACGTGCGAGCCGTGTCGCCGACGCAAGCGCCCATGCAATGGAGTGCGCCCCTGTGTCCACTGCAGCGAATCCCACATTGAATGCGTCTACAGCGTCGTATCCGATCTGCCTCGCACTGTCTTTACCACCAGCAGCGCGCGCCGCTTGAGCTCCGGCTCTGCCTGTGAAACCTGCCGTCGCAGAAAGACAAAGTGCGACGGCGGTAGCCCCTGTGGGTTCTGCGCCAGCGCAGGCATTGAATGTGTCAACAATTCAGAGCGACGGAAACGCGCCATGGGCATTCCTTCTTCTGCCAATGGCTCCCCCGTCAACACCACCACTACTACTACCACCACCACCCACGGTGTCAACGGCACTCTTGTTGCCGGCAGCCATCACAATAACAACAACAATCCACCTGACGCAGAAGCTATTGACCGGATCGAGGACCGACTGCGACGCATTGAGGAACTCATGACAGCATTCACACCGGCTACGCATAGTCCGCTGAGCCACGGCAGCAGCAGCAGCAGCAGCAACAGTGGTGGTGGGCATTCTTCAACACGCATGATTCGCCAGCATCGCCATTCGGTTCAGGGCATAAGCGTAGCCAAGGAACAGGCCGAACTGCGCACCGCGTATGCCCTAAAAAAGAAACAGCGCATGTCGCCGCCGCCTGCATCGCTCGCTTTTGATACATTTACTACGACCACTGCGACAGCCATGAACACCATCCTCACCAGTACTACTTCTTCCACAACCACATCAGCATCTCCGTATACAACAACTACTACTACTACTACTACAAAAACAGCACCCACGCCCCCGCATTCATCATCATCATCCACATCTTCGTCTGCCGCAGTAGCAGCAGCAGCAGCAGCGATCGCACGGTATGCAACTCCACCGAATAGCAATGGAAGCAATAAGCGATACAGTCCGCCACGCCACGCATCTCCATCACCCCCACCACCACTGTCACCCACACTCATGATACGACAATCCTCGACAACCACCAACCCATTAACCTCATCCATGCTCAACCTCACACTGTCTCCATCTTCGTCATCTACCTCCTCTACATCCAACAACTCGTCCATGTTGATGGCTGCGCCGCAGTCATCCATGTCCACTCCCGCTGCTGCTAACAACATTGTGTCGCCAACAACACCCACTAGCAATCATGGTCACCAGGACCACCACCAGCTGCTGCCGCCACCATCGTCATCATCGGCGTCAACATGCAATCCGCCACCACCGCCGCCGCCGCCAAGTCATTGGAGCACGGCTGACACGATGACGGAATGGAAAATAGCATCGTCGAGCATGCCGAGTTTGATGGGTAAGTTACTGGATCTACTACTACTAAATAAGGAAGAGCACGCCTTTTTGTAATATATGTGATGAGCCATAGTAGCAGATCATGTTACTCACACGAGGCTTGCTTTTTTAGATCAACTCTCAAAGCGGACGTTTGCAACCTCATCGGCATTCAACACTACCGAGTACCCGCCTTATCCCTTATCACTCACCCCTCCACAGTCGTCTTCCTCGCCTTCTCCTGCCATCGAATAGCTTGCTCGCTTACCTACTCACTCACTTACTTACTACTACTACTACTACTACTACTTCCTCTCTCTCTCTCTCTCTCTCTCTCTCTCTCTTTGTCTATCTGTCTATATCAATTCCATTGTATATCTTTACAAAAAACATGTCTCCAAACAGAAAAAAAAACGAACGTTCCTTTGATTTTACATTTACGAAAAGAATAATAAAGAGCACGGTTGGTGTCACCCGGCCCAACATCGACGACGACGACAACTGCCATAGGCAATCTTTTTTTTTTTTTTTTTTTTTTTGCGTCCTACCAGTGACCCACGACACAGATAGGTGTGCCCAGCATCAAGTTAACCCACTCTCTTTGGTTTTTTTTGGCGCTGTAAATGTAGCGTCATCTGTGCAAGGTGTCACCACTTGATTTGATCATGGGACTTTTTTTTTTCTCTCTTCCTAGATATCATACACATTACATCGATCATGACATGTGTAATGTCCAACCCTACTCCTCTCTCCAAAGTGGTCACACACACACACATTCTGCGGAACCGTATTCCCTGATCTTCCGTTCCTTGCTGCATTAGCATCATCATCGCCACCGTAACTAATCAGCATTGATCCATGCGTTCTTGTTTAACTTTGCTGTTGTCAGCGGATGGAAACTATCATGTTGCTTGTATAATCAATCGTAAGGAAATGGTCTTTGGACAAAGGGATTCTTATTTGAGGTATTTTACAGATGATGACAAAACGTTTCATTTGTACCTGGTCAATCATGCACACACACAGAGAGAGAGGGGGAGGAAACGGCCCTCCTGTTGTCCGTGCGCGCAACAACAACAATAATCGATTTATGCATCCTATGTACCGGGTACGTTACACTGTAATGCAACTACCGTGATGGACCATACAATTGATTGAGCTCAAATGAAATGAGTGGCAGGTTATGACTTTATAGCAATCATCCAGCACAGCAAGTATTTTGTTGGCATTTTGAGTGCTGCACAGTATATTAGTCATTTACTGCTAAGCCAAAATGTCCTGCTCTGACATATATTCTGTTGTTGTTGTTGTTGTTGTTGCATGACACCCAGTGTAATGTACTATTTCCTCCGCGCCGCGCGCGCATTAGCACTACTTGATGCATCTCCTGGTCACTTTACCTTCTCTTTTCGGCTCGGCATAAAAAGAGAGAGAGATCATGACAACAACGAAAAAAAAAAGGTTAAAAATCGATTGATTGGGTCCGATCAAGATCACCTGTCTGAAGGTCATACGTGCATTTTCCCCCCGCCCGCCTACCCCCTCTTCCTTCCTCTCTCTTCTCTGGGTAAGAACGTTTTAAGATGGAACACACGCATGCATGCAAAACCATATGAGCAACACAACATTTGCTGTTTGTTGCTGCCCTTCCTCTCACGTCAGGAATCCATCCGTTGGGGATCCATGATGGGTGGTACAGCATTATTCATCTGCTTACAAATGACAATAAACAAAACAATTCTTGTATACGGAGAGAGGGCTTAGATTTCATTGATGCTGATGATGATGATGATGATGTGGTGGTGGCATTTGTACGACAACCACCAGTGATGATGTTCTTTGCGATCATTTCTCTTCATATCTGTCATTTAACGAAAAGAGTGGATAGTAACAACGTACCACTGTAGCGCCCGTTTCGGTTGAAAGAACGAATTCTGTTTTATGGTTCGTCATACAAGGTTTTAATTGATCTCTTCTCTCGTTTTCGTTTACATACATATCTATGATACTATCTTAAAGTAATATTTTTTTGTTGTCTTTTCTCGTCGGCATTTACTGTACACGTGTATCCATGCGTGTTGCACATTTTTTTTTCTTCTTCCCAGCATAAATATATATAACTATATATATTACTAGGTGCGCTCAGCTTTTTTTTTTTTTTGGCTAGAAATAAATAGCTATTGATTAAGGAAGGCATCAATCCTTGCTTCATATGGAGGCTGTTGCCGTATACTGCGAGTGAGAAACATCATTTATAGAGAGCACAAGACCAAGCGGATGATGATCTTTTTGAGGTATGTATCATTATCTGCTTCTCTATCCTCTACATCCCTCCATTTCGCTTTTTTATTCGGACCTGTCTACAGAAATGGTGTGTTTGCCGATATCAGATATGTAGTCTTTGGTAATATTATAAATGTACCATTACATACGTATCACATTTGACCTGACAATTGATAGAAATTACCATGCTTTTAAGGAAATTGTTTAAACCTTGAGTTACTTGAAGTTAAAAAGGTTCGGACGTAATAATGTAGACCATCAACGCAGTGCACTACTGTCATTTTTCCAACATGGTTATTATCGTATATAAGTTACTATTTTTTGTATATACTTTTTAGTGCACAATACAAGAGTTTTTTTTTTGCAGTTGTTGACTTTTGGGTACTAGTTGTTAGAATATGTACTCATACTTGTGTAGTGTGCAAATAACGAAATATTTTTCTATGTAGTGTTTTATGCGCTAGCGAGAAAGAGAAGCTGGTATTACATATTATGTACAGCACGGCTGCATCTTTGCAGAAAAATAAACATAGGCCAAGGACTAAGGATCGAGCAAGTAGCACTATTCTGAGTCTTTCGTCATCATGATATGATACGAGTATGATAGCTTCATTTTTCGTAGCAAGGTGTACCATTGGTTATTAATGGTGACATGCACTTTGGTACCTCTGTCACATAATAAAATTGGTTTTTCAAAGAGTGGTAAACTATGTTATATACAGATGTACATAACATCACCGGCTATTTTAAAAAATATTTCAGTATGTAGTTTTGTAACCCCCAGACGAATGATACGTCAAATATATATAAATCGCGATCATCGTATACTTTGCCTGGCAAACGGCATGAGAACATGTTGCTAGTACAGAGATGTCTTGTAATTGGTCGAATTTAGCAAAGAAAATTGGGTAGATCCTTACACATACTGTATATACAAGGTCCCGCGTTCAGATCAACCCTAAGATGTTGATATCATATATAGGGGTTGACTTGTTAAAATGTTGATGGTTTCACAATAAGTTGCATGAATCATGCATAGCTCTCCTATTATGCACATTTTTTTTTCCGCGAAAGTTTGAGCGCCTCATTTATACGTGGAAAAGATCGTCGACAAGCGACTCATGAGAGGCAAAAAATTGGGTGTACAGAAGAAAAAACAAAGCTTTTACGATCAATAAATCAGTAAAAGAAAAAGTAATATTCGAATCAGTTATACTTTACGATGGGAATGTTAGTGACAAGAAAATATAGATACGTGAGAACTATTATAGTGGTAATGATAGCAAAACAATGTAGGTGGGAAAACAAGAGACTGTGGGTTTAAAATAAAAGTTCTTTATAAGGGGAGGGGGTATACACAATCACGCACACATACAGCACATATTACAACAGTAGCAGGGTAACTACTACATACTACAACACCATTTTTTTTTTATCTTCCTACTATCGCAGTCTTGAAACTAGATACTACAGCGCCCGGTTGACCAAAGGCAGCTTCCGGACCACCATACCCGGCCTTGATGTTGTTTAGAAAAGCTTTGGACACGCTAGCATCATCGCTACCAGCAGGTCGTTGAGGTTCTTCGCCTACAGGTGGAGGACGACCCCCGGTAGCCGCACCGGGCTCACTAGTAAGCAAAGTCCAAAGAGCTCTAGACACAAGCACAGGATCCAGAGGAGGTGCTGCCGTCACAATTCCAGTTCGTTCAACAGCAGCAATGGCTTGATCTATAACGCCTTGTACAACGATGATAGCGTCTTGCACTGGCATAAGAACGTTGGGAGTGGGTGGTAACGTGTTCATTAGCATAGCGATCGTCGTCAAATCAAAAGACTGTGCTCCCGCTTGTTCTGTGGAGTCTGTGCTAGATGCAGCATCAGCAGCATTGGCGTCGATACTATTGCTGGCCGGTGCTTTGTTGACGCTACCAGCAGCAGCAGCTTCCTTGTTGTTTTCAGAAAGAGCAGAAGAAACCGATGCTTTCTCGCTCGTGGTGTCAATGGGTAGACTATGTGCCGAAAGCGCCAAGATGGCTGCCGCCAAAGTCAACGTGAGTAGTAGACTGGTGCGCATGGGAGAAGGTTATATACGGAATAGAAATTTGGTTCGCAGTAAGCTTCTACTGGGGCCCGTAGAAAAGAATGAGTGGTTCATCCGGAAGTCCACGTATTTTATATACCATTTTGCCATCAGTGTGGTTTGTGGCTTCTCTTTTTTTTCTCTTTTTTTCTTTTTACAATGTATACGCAGCTGCAGTGAACCCCCTTTGCTCCGTCACCTTGTTTTCTCCTGCTTCCGTCGAGGCGAGAATCATTCCGTATGGTATGAGCTTAAAAGGTACCTTGCATATCTAAGGGGGTGACGTTTTGGTCGAGAGGAGGACATGTGTAGGTATGTAGTAGTAACTGGCATCATGAGTTGTGCTAATCATTAATCTTGCTGTATAATTGGCAACTCGTTGGAAGAACATTATATCTTGGTTGTGTAGCTTTCGGGAAGGAAAACAGATCTGGTAAATTGTTTTGTCCAAAGTATTGCAACAAGATTTGACATGTTGCTGCTGACTAGCTTCTAACTGCTGCGATCGTTTCAAAGCATTAGCGATCGATGTCTACGTCAATGTAATATATATATATATATATATATATATAACACATAATGTAACTAACATCATATCTCAGAACAATAATTGCAGCGAGATAAAACAGCCGCCATCTTGTTCATCATCATCATCATCATCATCTGTATTATCAAGAAAACTACAACAGCAACAAAAGCACAAGAAGAAACACAAAAGAAAGCCGATAATGTTCACAATAACAAGTATTAATCATCATGTGTGACCTGAAAAAACCCAGCCATCCTCACTGGGCAATTCCAGTGAGTGGAGGGGAAAACAGCAGATTGAGCAATGCAAACATCCAGAGAAATCTTTTAAGTGGCTGAACAGTATATAATACAATCTGAGCAGACGCACGGACTATATATAATGCAGAACGGCAACGCCCATCAAAGAGCGAACAAAAAAACAGTTACCTCAAACATTTTTAAAGAGCGATAACCTGCTGAAACAGACAACATTTATCACTGATAGAATTATTTTCGGTACATAGTCCATTATAGACGCTCTCATTGTATACAATCGTGTTCTCTATGCCGTTTTTTTCCGGCTATTAGAGACTCAGAAAAATATTCACTTACTATATAGACTGCCCGGCCGATGAACAAGCAGACTAGGTAAACCGCAGAAGCACGCTGATTTCTTTTTGGTGCATATAATAAGAGGTACCAGTGCAGAGGAAGGGTCCTCAAAGTTCCTCCGCGTCGACCGATTCTTCTGCCTCTGATATCTATATATCAATGCTGTTGGAAACCAGCCTCTCGTCCAACGAAGACGATGAAAACATTAACAACGCCAGTGATGATGCTGATGAACAATCTTGAACATATTGACCAGGACAAGTTGGCTGCTACTAAGATATGTTTTTTGAGGGGGTGGGTTTCGCTTGTTGCCGCCGTAATGATAGCAATATTTTACTGGTTCCAGCTGTTTTGCCTTGGATACGTATGTAGGCGAACATACTTGATTTGCTTTCATCCTCTCTCTCTATCGCATTATAAACAACTCGATATATCTTGTATGTATGTATTAGCTATCGTCATCAATGACGATATATATAGTCTTTCTTTTTCCCCCTTCTTTTATCCTGAAAAAGCTAAATATCTTTGTATCACATCCTTGTATTATTTGACTGACATCATGAGATAGACATAAGCAAGAAGGCGTTAAGGTATGTAGACCATTCCTAACATTGCTACATATATCACCGCAACAGTGGATCGCGCCGACGAGAAAGTAGCAGCACTTGGTCGTCTTTTTATTGCAAATTCATCAACTCTAAACTTTGTAGATCAAAAAATTTCTTTGACTAATTTTTACTTACGTGCAAGATGAACACTAGTACTCACTGATTTTATAGTAAGCTTGACTTGGTGTTATACAAGAGTTAGCGAATCCGGATTTAAAAAACCGGATCGGCCGCGTCCGAGACGCAAGAACAATGCTACCCTCCGACTAAACAGATGTGCTCGTGCGAACTTGAACTCTGTTCTTACTTCCTACTCTCCTTTTGCAGCCAACCCTTGATTATTCGCCACATCGTTTCTCATTAAACCGACTACATATAAGTCTGGATCATTTGTTGCATGCATGCTCGCTATCATCAGACGCGCTTTTTCCAACAAAAAAGCGTTATGGAAGAAAATTATCAAATGCGCTATAGCCTATGAAATCACGACCGTCCTACTACTGATCAAGATCTTTATCTACGTCCCTTACATTCTAATCCTCGCCACTCTTTTCTTTAATGCGGCCGGTACAGCAGGTGGTCAAATCAGTGAGCTGTTATTGAACCTGGTTTGTCTTGATACCCGCGGCCATCTTTTGCAGCACCATCACGTATCTCATTACGCTCTACAACAGCCGACTCGCTACTACGCACCCTGGACTGTACAGCAATGGCGCTGCAATCATTGCATCGTTGCCATTTTTTATTTGCGTGTTTTCTGTGTCGTACTATCGCGTCAAGTATCCCCGGCTCTTTTTGGCAGCTCTTCAATCAATGCCCCTGCCTTTCTTTTGCTTTACCCGTGACATTTACGAAACCAAATTTGACGTGATGATGCCAGCCGGTATCGTTTTATCCTCTTATCATTGGATGTGGTATTACACTCGTCGTTAATCTTTGTTTATGGCCTGAGACAGCTGCAAAAGCGTCAGAGTAAGTGTTTTTATTTCTTTTTTGTTACAAAACTTTGATGCTAACAAAGTAATAATGCAAACGATATAAAATTTTGCAACAACAAAAACTTAGAGCATCACTCGGAAACGCGTTGGTTGCTCTACGTCAATCGTTACAGCAATGTATGGACGACAACGCTGGTGAACAAGCGGCGTACACTAAGTTGCAATCAACTATTAAAGCCATGCGAAAGGCACAACGGGAGGCCAAATACGAGATCGTGATTGCGTATTATGCACCAGCGTGGTACAAGCCCCTAAAGGAGCTCTTTGGAGCGTTTGGCTGATCACGTGTATGGTATGGCTTTGACTCTGGAGCGAGCACAGCGGATCATGATTCAACATCGCGTACAGGCACAACTCTCAAATACTCGCGGCGTCCAGCACCCGTATCCTTCGTTCGATGACAATGATGACGACAATAACAACAGCGGTGACATTGACAATAATGAGCGAACACTAGTGGCCCGATCCGACGAGAAGGAGCTAAAACCAACGTATATGATAAGCATATTTCACGACTACATGCGCCCATCCAACCAACCGCACAAGAGTTTCTTGATCAATGCATACGCACTCTTGATCAGTTGCAGAACCATATGGCCTATCACCATGTGATCCCGCGTTCCCTTTGCAGTTGCTATACAAGAACACCAGCTACAAGGAGACGACGATGATGATGATAGCAACAGTGAGCAATCATTACTAGAACGCGCACTGGATACGCTCAACGAACAGATGCAAATTATCCTTCACGAAGAATTCGAGCACGAGGCACCCATGGAAGAGCATTTTCTGGTCTATACGGTTTTGTTCACGCTCACAGCACTTGGCAAGGAATTAATTGCATTGAAAAAGCAATCGAGTGACCTGATCAAAAAGAAAAGGACACGATGGAGTCTGTTTGGTCCCCAGGTTTCCTTGCGACAGTGGTTGGCCCGGGCACCGCCAGGCAACCATACGATGGAAGAACAATTCATGCTAGATGAGCGAATCAAGGAGTTTGAACAACAAGAACACCACGACGAGGTGGAGGAGGATATTCATCAACAACGACAAGAGAAACAAGTTCCACTGCAACATGCACCCGGTAGACACTTTTGGAATCGGTGGTTGTATCGTCTGAGCAAGTTTTTACAATACGGACCAACACGTTATGCTCTAAAGTTCACGGTGACGGCCGAATTACTGGCACTCATGGCCTGGCTCCCTATTCCTGGGGTCAACTTTTTGTACGACGTAAGTTTTATATTTCATTTAGGAGAAAGAGCAAAAAAAAAAACCTGTTACTGTCACGCGTTGCTGATCGAAAGCGGATTTTACATAGAACAGTGGGCATTACTCTCAGCCATGGTAGTATCAAATATGACCATTGGCGCAACAGCACTCCAGTGTTTCTTTCGGATCATTGCTACTGTCATTGGCGCTGTCTGTGGCTATATCGTGCTATTGGCAGCTGAGCGAAACACAAACCTTTACGCGCTCGCTGTTATGGTCTTTGTATTCCAAGTACCCATGTGGTACGTTCATCTCGGCACACGGTATCCACGGATCGGTATGATCTCACTTTTGACGATGGCAGTGATTGTATCAGCTGGCTACACAGACCTGTTCAACGAGACGCTTATCGAGCCACTGTGGAAGCGTATACTGACAGCAGTAGCTGCTGTCCTTGTCGTGATGGCCGTCGAACAAATCATGTGGCCAACGTGGGCGCGTAAATTGTTGCTCTGTCACCCCAGTCAATTACTCGTCAACACGGGTATCCAGTATGCTCAGGTGACGTCGCTGGTATGTCATGACAACACGTTGTCGCCGAGTTACATGCAAACGCATCAACGGCCCTCTGTAGCGCAGCACAGGCTGCAGCAGCAACTTGCTGAAACACAGCAAATGCTTGGATTGGCAGCGACGGAAGCAAGACCGACCAAGGGACCGTTTCCTATCGAAGAACATAGAAAGATGATTGATCTGGAAAAAAAGACCCTGTTATGGATCCAGCATGTACTTGAAGCGCAGGTATGTATGTGGATGCACCTTTAGAATAAAGAACTATGTGATAGGGCTTTTGATATAGATGATGATGATGATGCTGCTTCTTTCTTTGATACAGAGGATGATCACACCTACTGTCCGTAAACAGATTGTGGCGCCAATGGCCACATACCGCAAAGACATGGCTGCCGTGGTGCATTTATATTTGTATACATTGGCCGGATCCATACGCACTCGCACAGAGTTGCCTGCCACCATGCCTACGGCTGAGCTGGCACGACAAATGCTACATCGTGAGCACCTGACCAACTGGCAAAGCAAGTATCCGAGCCTAATGCCAGATCGGACGAATTTTGAAGCATTAATACACTGGCACACTTGTGCTGCAGGCACCGTGGAAACTATATCACTTCAGGAAGCCATTTCCGAACGAGTGGCTGCCCTTATGGGACGACGACATTTGTTTCAGTTGTAAAATAAAGGTTCCAATAAAAATTAGACGGCACATAGAATTTACCCGAAACTCTCTGGTCTTTTTTCCCCTTTGGAAAGGAGAGAGAGAGAGGGGCAGTGCGAGCAGTTCCACCCCGAACTTTTTGATTTTTCTGTTGTTATTTATTTTTATCACAATGTTACGGAAAACTGTACAAGATAACATTCCTCGACACATTGTATTTATACAAACGGTGACTAGACCTACCGTACGTACATTACACCGAGCAGCACTTGCGAAAAGACCAGCAACAGCAACAGCAGGACGAAGTGTGCATTTAAAAAATGTAATGCCATCAGTACGGCAAGCACGATTCCAATCAACGTCGTCTGCAACCGCCACGTCTTCTCCTTCTTCTTCTACTACTACTACTGCTACTGCTGCTTCTGCTTCAGAACCAACCAAAAAATCACTCAGTAAGATCCTTCGTTATTGTTTTTGCTAGACTGTACAACTTATAAACATTTCTATGCAGTGTCTCCTTTGGCGCGATACGACGCATTAACCTCGTCAGGTGGTCCTGTGCGGGCCGATAAACATCAACGGGTTATTGTCCAACAATTGGATCAGCTTTGGCACGAATTACAACATTACACACCACCTGCATTCAAAGCTGCACCGGCTGCTGCCCAGGACGAGGCATACGAGAACGCAGATGACGAAAACCTGTTCCGATCCGTAAGCTTTAGTCCGGGAAAATAAGGGGGGGGGTGGTGGTGGTGGTGAATAAAATTAGGGAGGTGTGGGAAAGTGGGATTGAGCAGAGCACTCATCAACCTTGATGACAGTTTGCCAAATGGCTTCATAAGAAGAAACCGGCTCCTGTCAAGCACGAGGCACCCACGGATATGCCCAAGTCATTGTACGTTTATGGAACGGTGGGCACGGGCAAGACAATGGTCATGGACCTCTTTTACGATACGCTTCCGATCCAACGCAAACGACGCGTGCATTTCCACGCGTTTATGCTCGACCTCCATGCCCGGATCCACGCTGTGAAAACGTCGCAGCCGCACTTGCCCAATCCACTCGGTCCCATTGCGGACGATCTTGTCAAAGGCGCCTACGTGCTCTGTTTCGACGAGTTCCAGGTGACAGATATTGCAGATGCAATGATCCTGCGCAAACTCTTCACCGAGCTCTTTGAACGCGGCGTTGTTCTTGTCACGACCTCGAACCGACACCCAACCGAACTGTACCAGAACGGCATCCAGCGACAGTCGTTCTTGCCCTGCATTGACTTGTTGATGAAGCAATGTCACGTCTTGAGTTTGAATTCAGGCACCGACTATCGCCAAATCGAGCGCGAGATGATGCAAACGTACTTTTACCCCTTGAATCAAGACACGTCTGACAAGATCGAGGCATTGACGCGGCAACTTACGCACAACAAGCCCATGAAACCGATGGCGCTCCATTTTTTGGAACGCACTCTGACCATTCCGGCGCAAGTCGACGGTGTCGCCAAAGTGAGCTTTGCTGACATGTGTGATAAGCCATTGAGCGCCGCGGACTACTTGCAGATCGTTCAGCACTTCCACACAGTGGTCCTGACGGATATCCCCTGTATGACCATGAAGCATCGTGCGATGGCGCGTCGGTTTATTACTTTTATTGACGCCATGTACGAGTCGCATGTCACTCTGATTGCTAGCGCAGAGAGTAGCTTTGTGAACATATTTAATGCGTCTGAAGGAGTCGGCGAGATGGATGACGAGATGCGGAAGATGATGGATGAACTGGATATGACGGATATCGAATCGCCGCTATTTTCTGGCCAGGAAGAGGCATTTGCGTTCCAGCGTGCGTTGTCTCGTTTGGTGCAGATGCAGAGCAAAGAATGGGTTGAACAGAACTTGCATTGATGACGATGATGATGATGTACATAAGTATTGATGATGTTTCATCTAGAGAAGTTATATATATATATATTTACGCACACATACTATAAATAGCCAGTTTTGTATAGATACCTATCAGGTTGACACGTTTCTGAAATTCCAAATTTCGCTGTTGTTTTTATCTGTTTTGGTATAGAAGACATACATGGATATGCGATGGAGATGGGAGTGGGAATAGAGTTGACAGGGGTTGACGGGATGAAAAGTAAAAGGACACTACGATAGTACAAACTTTGTATAGAATAATAATAATAATAATAATGGTAATGGTAATGGTAATAGTATATATGCATTTAAACTATAATAAAACTTAGAGGAAAAGCAAAGGAAAGGAGTAAATTTGTGAGAATACACGCGTGATCTACTAGTCATCTGAGAAAAAAAGTCCATACAAGTAAAAAAAACACGCATAAGCAATGCAGCCAGACACAAATATTATGGCTCGTTGTTGTTGTTGTTGTATTTCTTGTTGGTGTCACATACCGGAAAGTGCAGCGGAATAGGAAGGATAACAGCGAAAGTATTTGGCATCGTACATGGCGTTGTTGCTTTCGTCGGGGGAGGTGGTCTGACCCGATGACGGCGAGGATGGCGAAAAATCCAAGCGTGTATGCTGATAATTCATAATGAGCGGCACGTTCGCACTTTGCGACCGACCGTGTGGGGCAAAATAGGAAAAATCCAATTGTGGCGGCATTGCATGAGGTGCAACGGGCACGGCCTGCTGCTGCTGCTGTTGTTGTTGTGGATGGTGATGGTGATGGTGTGATGGAAGGGGTGTGTAATAGCCAGCGCTGCTAGCTAACGATTGCCATTCTTGTAATGGAGCCGGTGGTTGCTGTGGTAATAACGGCGTTGGCGGTGTGGTGACGGTATGTGTTGCTGTAGTAGCAGTGATACTCGATGAGGACGGCGACATGACCCTTTTTCGACGGCCACTGTCAGCATAGTGACCAGGACTACGGCCTCGCACGACAAGCGGTACGGACTGTGCGCTGGCCACAGTCATGCGGTCGCCGTTATCCATCTCTGCCAACAACTCCAAGACCAGGACGAAAAACTGTTGGGACGCTCGCTTCTTGCCGTTGTTGGCAGTAGCAGACTTGAATTGGATGCGCTCGAACGTGGCGGCGGTGGCCATGGCCGACTCTCCTGAAACGATGGGCGGAGTGCCGAAGGGCGGCGATACGATGATCGGCTGAATAGCCAAGAGCGGTGGGTCGTTTTGCGGCCCCTTGTCGCGCTTGGGAGTCAATTGGATGAGCTTGACTTGCAAGTCAGCCTCGAGCTGCCGTGCGCTTAATTGAAAGTAAAAATGACGGATGCGATGCTTGTTTACGTAAAAGGGGCCACCATGCGACACGATGAATGTGCCTGTCAGTTGAAAATAGTTGCGCCGGTAGCATGTCCATTTGCCATCAGCGAGGAAGAACCCGCGGTCCATCTTGCACTGTATCTCGACTCCACAGCTATATGAAAAGTTCGCATATGTTGTTGTTCATCAGCAGAAGCAAGAAGGCTGTATGTGCTGTTGGAGAAACTTACTCATTCCCATCGTCGGTGTATAAGCATTCATGCATCCGGGTTGCACCAAAAATATAACCGGCCTCGCCGTCTTCGCTGGAGGATGATGCTGTTGTTGTTGCTGCTGCTGAGCGCTTGCTGCTACTCGGGCGTGCATAGGGCGTGCTCTGCGAGGGTCGAGGACCACTACATTTCGTTTATTTATCAAACAAGAAATCAGCTTTAAACAGGTTTCTCACAGTAAACAAGGGGATTTTAACAAACGCGTGTGCAAATCGGCCCTTGCAAGGAAATAGGCTACGGTGGGTTACGACTCGAATATTTGTGTGTGTGTGTACATAAACAAGCCATAAAGAAAAGAAAAAGAGAAACTGTGTCGCCCTCAGCAACATGTTTTTCTCCGCTATGGCTGCTTACACGTCTCCGGTCATTGTCAAAGGCATAGAGTGCGATCGGTGATGGTGATGATGTTGATGATGACTGGCCAAGGTCATGACAGCGGTCGGTGAACTGGTTGAAGTCATGGCAGTAACTAAGGGGGGTTGCGGTAGTAGTTGTTGCTATGGTCGACAGAAATGTATGGAAAAATTCAAAAAAAATGGCGGATTGTCTGGAGACGTATTCGAATAAGAAGTATGGAAAAAGAGCGTATAAGAAAAAGAGAAGGAAGAAGAAAAAGGAGGAGAGGAGGGAATGGATGGTGCAGGTAAACTAAACGGGTGCATCCTATTTATATGGTATCGGTTTCATGTCGATCGAGCACAACACTCAGACACATCCGCCCCCCCCCTCCTTCGTTGCATCATACGCTCTAATATTGCTATTAAATTGCTATTACCACGGAAATAACAAGAAGCAAAGCTGGTTTTTTTTATTACTTGATGAGAGAGAGAGAGACAGGTATTGTTATGAATTGACTAACTACTGATAATACTGCCATGGTGGTGCTGAAGATGACGGCTGGAAAGGCAGACTCGAGTACTCCCTAAATTCAGCGGAAGCGACGGAACTGGTCGCGGTTGCTCTTAAAGTACTCTTGCAAGTCTCTGGGTTCATGCTGCAGCACTTCTTGCAAGTCCTTGGTCGTGACATCCGCATGGCCTTGCGAGGCAAGCTCGAACCATTCATAGAGCATCTCGACAAGATCATCGTTAAAGTAGCGGCCGATAGGCATCGTGTAGGGCTTCTCGGTGCCTTGCTCCTCCTGGGGACGCTCTTTGAAACGGTGGTCCTCACGACGCTCACGCATATACTTTTGCCATTCCTTTTTGTCGATTTGCTGGAACTTGAACTCCTCCGGGCTCTTGTCGACGACCATCGCCATGCCGCGCGCAATCTCCTCGCCCTTGAAGTTCTGGGGAGGCGTGAACTGGTACATTTGCTTTTGGCTGGCGAACGACGGCTGGCCCATCTTTTCACGAACCAGGTTCGCGATGGCATCCACCACGTCGCGCAGGTCGACGCAGCCAAACTTGGCATCCTTCTTGACCGGCAGGCAAAGCGCTTGCTTTTCCTCGGCCATGGGCGTCATCAAGTAAAAGAGCTGGTTGTTGATCGGGGTGCGGATCACACAGTGCTTCTCGCCTTTGAATTCTTGCTTGAGCTTCTGTTCGATCTGGTGGTACTCGTGCATATGGCGGAGGCGTTCACGGTCTTGCTGTTTGATGTGCTCAACCCCAATCCTACAGAATGTAATAATAGAAGCAGGTATATCAAGATTACGTATTTTAGTGTCAATAATAACAAATAGATACATAAGGAGCTAGTTAATTGGGCTCTTTCCCCTCCCTCTTTCTCTCTTTCTCTCTCTCTCTTTCTTCTTACATTGACTTCATCGCCATGTGTTCCACGTTTTCCTGTTTGGCAGCCTTGATCACGTTTTCAGCTTCCTTCATTCGCTGAGACGAATTCTCGGGAATCAGAAACACGCAGCGGGCATTCTTCATAGCCTGGCGGAGCTTGTTCTCGTCCTGATAGTTGACTTGCATAATCTCGCCTCCCATGCGCTCAATCTCTTCCAGACCTTCACGCTCGCGGCACAGACAACGGATTTGCATGTTGAGTTTCTCGCGCTCTTCCAAGAGACGGCAGGTCATAGCATAACCGGGAAGCTGGTCAACGTTGGTAATGCAGATAAGGTTCTTTTGGGACATGGTTGAATTAGGCAGAAGATAAGAGGTGGGTTTGATGATAATCAAGAAGAATTGATTGATTCCCTTCGAGTCGCTCACTGCCTTCTCTTTTATATCTTTTTTTTTCCAGCTTCTGTTTCTTGCTTTCACTTGTCAACGACTTGAATGGGCCGAGTCCGTGTCGGATTGAACCTGAAATGGCCGTTTCCGCGGGAGTGAACATGAATGAATAGCGCATACAATGCGAGGAACTACTGCTGGGGCACATTTTCCCATCCATGTTGGGGAGCGGATTGGACGACGGGCTATTTCGAGACGTTGACAAGGTGAGATGTCGTGGGAGATAACAGGTCAAACGCGCATAGTGTCTCTATTAAACAAGTTGTATTGGGCTTGTCTATGTCTCGCACTCTTGTGAGTATTCGAATTTGCCCACGATCCCATTTTACTCTTTTAACCATGTTGAAAGGAGGAATGATAAGTTCATCGCCATTGCTTATAAGAAACGCAATGCTAACAATAATAATAGCAAGATGGATGTTTATGTGATGGTGTAGTGATAACAAAGAACGGTATCATCCATCTAGTGTGAGCATATCTTTTGGGAGAGTGAGGATCTCTGCCCATAATAAGTTACTACTTTGTTCAAACATGGGTAGATGTATAAACTAACGACGAGCCTTATACGCGCAAACAGCAACAGCAACATCAACAATAACGAAGCGTGGGATTTCTAGCTGCAGACTGCAAAACCAGCATAAACACAAACAAAATGCACAATAAGCAATAGAGCAAAAACAACAAGGCAGGCTTGCGTGTTACTGGTTCTTTACTTCTTGTATATAAATTTTATTTGTCACAACTTCCTCAAAAGAATATGAGCCACAACAAGTTACCGTTAGTGTGGGAGAGTACTAATGTAGTAGGAGGGAAGGAGGAGGATACAGAGCTCTGGAAGGGGGGCTGCGAAAAAAAAAACGTCAGTGGGAAAGGGAGAAAAACTGTACATTATAGAGGGTCTTTTTTCTTATATCTTATATAACATTAGGGTTTCAAAAGGAAGATGCTTATTATTTGTACTTTGTGGAGATGATCTTGGCGACGGTCTCCAATTGCATATTGTTGGTACCTGCGCATATGATATTGCTTTGTAAGTAACATTCTCTACATCATCCTCCACTCCTGTTCCTTTCCTTCTTTTTACCTTCGTAGATGGAACCGATCTTGGCGTCACGGTAGAACTTTTCAACACCGGTTTCACGGACAAAGCCGTTACCACCCATCCATTCGACAGCATAGCTGGTAGCACGCTCAGCAACCTTGGCAGCGACAAACTTGGCCATGGCGGCTTCCATGACGAATGGCTTGCCTTCTTCCTTGAGACGAGCAGCATTGTATGTCATTAACTTGGCGGCCTCAATCTCACAGGCAACTTTTCAAAGAAAAAAAAAATCCAAGTTAGGGGGACAACCTTTGCAAACCAAAACGCATCCAGCGTGTTCTATCTCCTCCCTTTTTTTGTTATCCCTACACAAATGTTTACCTTGAGCAAACTGATGCTGCATAGCCTGGAAAGAGCCGATGGGCTTACCAAACTGCTTGCGCTCAAACATGTAAGGTAAGGCAATTTCATAAGCACCTTGGGCAGCACCGATCATCTGGGCAGCAATACCAATACGGCCTTCGTTCAATGAATCGATGGCATACTTGTAACCTTGGCCAATCTCACCCAAAACGTTTTCCTTGGGAACCTTGACATCGTCAAAGTTCAAGACACAGGTGGAGGACGAGCGGATACCGAGCTTCTTTTCCTTCTTGGCAATCTCAACGCCCCATTCCTTTTCGACAATGAAGGCAGTGATACCCTTGTAGCCCTTGGATGGGTCACTATAATTGTGTTTGTGAGCGTCAGTAAACTAGTTGTAATGATGGTATCTACCATAACGGCTATGTTGCACTTACGCATTGGCAAAGACGACAAAGATATCAGCTTCGCCAGAGTTACTGATCCACATCTTGCCACCGTTCAAGAGGTAGTGGTCGCCCTTGTCCTCAGCACGGGTCTGGAGAGCAAAAGCATCACTGCCAGCACCGGCTTCCGAGATACAGAAACTGCCGACGGTGTCAGTAGCGAGACGTGTCAAGTACTTTTCCTTCAAGTCCTTGTTGCCATACTTGCGAATGACAGTGTTCGTCAAGGTGTTCTATACATTACATAATAGATGGAAACGTGAGGATTATTATTTTTCTTTTGACTTGCCAATAAATTTCAACTGGGATGGGGTGGGTTTTTGCTTACGTGAATGTCACACAAGGCACTAATCGAGGGGTCAATCTTTGCCAACTCTAAACAGACACAACAAGAGTGTTTGTACGTGTTAAATTACAACTGAAAGTCATCGTCCGTGACAAAATACTGGACAAGTACCTTCAACGGCAAGGACAGCGGCAGTGAACGAGCATTCGGCACCACCAAGGTCCGCTTCGGTTTCAAGACCCATCAACTAAAAGGAATAGAATTGCGCTTATGTCAGGGCAACTTGCACACGTGAAAGAAGAACCATCGAAAATAAAGGAAAAAAAAGATATACGCTACCCCATTCTCAAACATAGCCTTGATGATGTCCTTGTCCATCACCTCGGCTTCATCCATGTCGCGTACTCGGGGCTGGACAACCTCACGAGCAAAGCGGGCGACTATCAATAGTAACATCAGCGTCAGTTGTCCAGCGTGTCGCGGGTTACAGGGCGCGGGGTTTCATGTCATAGCTGCAGTAAGTTGCAGTGATATTGATGATAGCACTTACCAGTCTCCTTGAGCATGAGCTCTTCCTCGGTGAATGACTGGAGCGAGGTGGGAGGAGTGTCCGTGACCGAGGGCACAGAGTAGGTCATGGACGAGTAGTTGCTGCAATAGATGGAAATCAGATACACACACACACACACACACACACACAAAGCGTCCACCCAGTGTGCGTGCTGTTTTGGGACGGAGATAATCCATAGACCCACTTCCTTACCGAGCAACATAGGGTGCCTGACGGCCAACCAACGACACCGATCGTGCAATCTGAGGAAGACGAGTACGCAAGAAAGACATGGTTGAGAAAAGCGGGTCCTTTTTTTTATTTTGAAAGAAGAAGAAAGAGTAAAGAAAAACAAAAATGCAAAAGGCACACTCGGCAGCTCTTTTTTTATACAGGCTAGGACAGCTTTCCCACGCTCCTCCCCCACACGTATACACGAAATTTTTAAGCTCCTTGGATGAAGTAGATTGACGACGATAATGCTGCTAACTTGTTGGTAGGAGCTCTAACACCCAATGCTTTAAAATAAAAATCAGCCGGTTACACCTTCCTTGCCTAATCAATCAAAGAGGACCCGTTCACACGATGGATTCGATCAGTCACCGAATCCGGGGTCCTTGCCTTCCCTATAACACCCCGCCATCAGCACTTTGCCTGCTTTATTGTTTGATGATATTGATATTTTCCATCAAATCGCAACTGTCATTCTCTAATTCTTTCATCCTGACAGCTGGTGCTTTTTCTTTATTACATAGTATTAAGAAACAGAACTTTTTGACTTGGTTTTCTCGAGGTACTGACATAGAGATAAGATTTGAGTTGTTTTTGCTGCAAATGCGGTAGTAAGATTTTGAAGCACACTGTAAAGTGATCATGGTATATGCAGCATAACGACACAAAATTATGCAAGCTGGGCCTGTTTGGATTAGCGGATAAACTAGTTTATCATCATTGCACCGGTGGTTTTTGATGCGGGGCCTACTTTCTTCCCTTGGTTCGCATGGATGTAGCGGTCGGGGGTTTCATCGTTATTCAAAGAAGCCCGTCAATCGATCATTGTTATTTGCTAGGCTACACCAGAAAACAAAATAGTAGCAGTAGTAGTAGTAGTATGAAAAAGAAAACTGCCCAGTTTTTTTGGTAGATCCAAGAATAGTGCGCTGGATCTAATTTGGTAGCGTTCCTCAGCAACCTTCTATGGAGACTAACAAGCGAAAAGACAGAAAACCCAAGAGAAAGAGAGACTGAGTTTACTCAAAATGGAAAACCCCTTATTCTTTTTGGTCGGGTACGCATCGATTCGGTATTGACCATATTTTTTTATATTTTTTTATTACACTTTCTATTAAAAGCTCGTCCCCTCGGGATGGAACAACATTGTCGTGATCCCGCAGATTGTCCGTTATTCCCGGTACACAGCTGCTTTGCCACTGAACGTGGTTTAGTATGTCGAAACCAGCGTAAGCACATTGTACATGTCCTCTTTTTCTTCTTCCAGCAGAAAGAAAGGAAGAAAGGCGTTCTTTAGAGGATTCACACACACATACTCTCTATCTCTCACATTACTTGACTAACTTAACATTTAAATGTCTGGAAAACATACAGACCTTGGCGGGTTCGAAATGAATCCAACCATCGTGGACACTGTTGCTTATTTACCGCACCGAGACGACGACGATGACATTAACGAGCCGTGCATCACCATTCCACTATCCGACGAACTATACAGCTACACTGAGTTTCGAGGGCCGGACGTCATTAGCCAAGGCGATCTTGAACTTATTGGCAACTGCAGCCGCAATGCCTACTGCGATAAAGCGACCCAGACCTGTCAACCGAAACGGACGGTCGGCGAACCATGCGAAAATAACATGGAGTGTTTTTATGGATTGGATATTCCTGGGCATTGTGTGAACAATTCGATATGCGCTGCTCGAGACGACTTGCCGCCGTATTATGGGGCTGCGCTTCATCAGTGGACGCTGGGCGACCAGTGGCAGTCGGCTGTCTGGGCCGTTGTTGCCACGGGTGCGATTGTCATTTTTCTGGTCGTTGGACGGCAGCAGTTGGGTCCGCTGGTACACAGCGTCCATCGATTGTACGAGAATTGGAAGCAGCCGTCTCCACAACAGCAGGAGCGGTGGTGGAATCTCGGATGGGTCTATAAGCGGTTTAATCGTAATGCCAGATCCAATGATGAGGCATATTATCCATTAACAGATAGGAGTGCAGAAGAACCGCCTGCTTATCGGGAATGATGATCTGTTTACTTATCCTTACTCCATTTACTTTAAAGTAACTCGTCTCTTCCATCACCTTTTTCTCTCTATCCCTATCCACCGATTCCAATGCCCCTGTCAACTTTGTATAATAGCCATTACATAGCCGATATCCCTTTCTCGTTACTTCTTTTTTTTTCCTTCTTCTCGACACATCCGTGACATGTAATATTTTTTTTTCCACTTTCCATGAATGAAGTATCAAACAGTTTTTTTTTTCCTTTGTTTGTGGCGGTGGATCAGCTGTAGCTAATTAGGCATACATCCAACCTAATACCGAGAACTGGGGATACTTATTGTACAAGTTTAAGACAGTATGCTTCAGCTTACACACTAAAAACCACTTCTTCTGATTTAATAAGCAACATTGATACAGAAAGTCAAATGTTTTACACGTAGTACGTATCAGCACATTCTCAAGATATATAAAACGCCGTGGCGTGGAGGGGCGCGAATGGCGTGATATCAAAAGAAGCGCCCCACAATGACAGGATGTCTTGGGCACACCACCCTTCGATTGTAGAAAAGCCATTGCGACGCTTCTTCTAAACATTGCAAATATGTCGCAAGCTATATGGTTGTTCTTAGTTCGTGGAGTGATTTGTCTGCTTAAATCCGATAACGAACGAGAGACCTTAATCTGCTAAAGAGGCAGACCAACTTTTGGATTGTGTACCTTCAGGTACCACTGACTTCTTAATAGCTAATACTCTTGAGCCGTTTTAGCGCTTCCAGAACGTATCGCAAGTCCCTGATACCGATGTAGCAATCAAATCCAACAATCAGCATAGGTCTGTATAATACATTTTTCCTTGGCGATCTATATGTATGGTGCAATTGCTCTTAATTATATATAGATAGACCTAAATAGGTCTAGCATGCCTTTCAACGCTCAATATGGCAGCTCACCTTCTACGCATAATAACTGGTACAACATAGCCTTCCTGTAAATGGAGGCAGGAAGGCTGCAGCATTATTTACTCCTGTCTATTTTAAAGCATTTTGCACCATAGTCGTAATGATTATGTTCTGCCATTGCCATTTTCTCCAGCTTGTCGGCAAGCCCATCGGGATGTCTCATACCAGAAAGTTGTCGGTCATCGTTTCGTTCGTAATGGTAAGGCACCTGCAACCAACCGAGAAAGTTGAAATTGGCGTACATGTGAAGCAAGTGCTTGTGTGAGGATGTTGCAACAGGTGCCAATAGAACCGGTTCAACTGTGGGCTGTGCGCCACGAGCTGTTCTACCAGATGTCAGTGTGGGTCTCCTTCTTAAATTACGGCGTCGTAAAGACGTAATCGCAAGGCAAATCAAATAATGTGTTGACATTTCTAGAGTTGCTGTGTATCGTCTTTTGAAAGCCAATATCTTTCGCAAACGCTACGGTAAATTCGGATATGTTAGGGGAAATAGTTGACACTCATAGGCACACATTACTGTAGCGCTACAATATGCGTCGTACAATGCGACTCGTCAAAGAACAATCTGATTTTGATTCTTTGGAAAACGAGTTGCAGTTGTGCAAGGTGAGCATATGTGAATCCTTCAGTTTATGTGAAATATTGAGAATAACAGTATCATTACTTTGAGTGAAAGGTAGCTGTTTCTGCTATGCATACGTCCAGGTTTTAGGAAGCAACAGCCCAAACGTTTGGATATTATTATAATACCTCCTTATTTTCATTGATGCATCGATTTACCTGTTTGACATGAATACGAGACAGTGATTGATATCCAGTCACGGTTTAACAGATCGCACTGTAAGTGTGATGAAGATAGGGGATGTGCTATTTACTTCCGCTTCGTTGGTAATGGATGATGAGACACCTTGACGTACACACACAAGTGCGCAAGATATGATATCATTCGTCAGAAGGTCAACTTATCATAATATGCAAATCCAATCTCGCTGAAAATATTCATATGCGTAGAGTGCTTGTTGTCTCGTAATAGTACGTACACTGATGTGTGTGTTGTTTTGTTGGTCACGAGCGGTGACAAGGATCTCGCTACATACTACTTCCTCTGTAATTTTTTCGTCTTCGTTTTGGGTAGGCACCAAGTCATCACTGTCCCCTAAAATATATCTCATAAAAGATCGATAAAATTAATCCTAGATCTTGTCGTTGTTTAGATGTAGCGTACGTAGCTATTTGCTGTCAGAACTATTGCATACATTAAGCATGCTACATATAACAGAGCTTAATTGTAGATTAACTGCAGTTAAGCAAAAGAATAAGTCCGTTTTACGTGTCCATAAGCAATAAAAGAACAGGCATTACACCACCGCACCGATTCAACGTGGTTTACATACCAATACTGGATCAATCGTTTCACATACTTTATATACATTCAGCATTTATGCCATTGTTTTGCTAGATAGTGTACCAGAGATCGAGAGCTAAGGCCGTAGTGTGCATATTAGACATTCAAGCGTGTAGTCAACAGCTCCTAAAGATATCGAATATCTGAAGATGAAGGCTACATTAAGTAACCTTATGGCATATGTGCCTTAGAAGAGCTTGTGGCTGGTGATCTGGTAACGCGAAAAACTTTAGCTACTACAGGAAATCACCTTTGTCTTAGGGGCACACAGTTGGCTCTGAATTCCAGTGAAGTACAATAACTCTAGTACATAATATAATAAAGTGCACTTCAATAATAAAATACATTGCTTTAGGTACAAAGGACCTGTATCAGCTGTTACCGATTTATAATTCCAGCAGTATTTATAGCTGCAGCGGAAGTGGTCAACATACATATAGTAAGTCACCTCATCTCATATTCGGTTCACTTGCTATACCATCAATTTTACCCACCACATTATCTATCTGACACCCTAAAGAGAAAAAGATTCGTTTGTGCCCTTTTCTCTATCTACATCACCACCCTGTATTAGATAGTGAATGTGGCTAGTAGAGTAGCTTTTGTAAGCAGCCATATACAGTACACTCGTCCAGGTTCTACATGCGTTACAGTTGTGTAATTAATTTTGTTTTTATCATACAGCTCTGCTTGAATCAGGTTTTTTCAAGGAGCGAGCGTCAGCAAAGAAAAACCATGGCTTCAGCTATCATATTATGCAAAGCAATATAAGCTCAATGCAACAGGCAGGAAAAAATGCAGAAAGAGCAATTTCACCTATGGAATACATTTTTTTAAGTAGCTTGTAGGCTTTTCTGTAAACGAAAAACAATCATTATCGAAAAGTTATATAATCTGGCCAAATTCCAAGTCTAGGTACGCATAAGCTAACTATGTTGTTTTCCCAACTAAAAATCTGCATTTCTAAAGGAAGCGGTCGTGAAGCAGAAACCGATTCCAATAATACAAATACTGTTACAGGTAATATCTTTCTCTAAGCTAATCCATCAAAAGGGATTATTCCCTAAACAACAGAAATATATAGAATCAAATTTGACAAGGAAGAAATAGCAGTGACTAACGACGAGTCTCCTCAGCCCTAAGAAACAGACATCCGCGCCAATTGAGAAAGAATTCATCCGTCGACAAAATAGTACTACGAGTTATGGTATAGAGCAATGCGCTAGGATAGCGAGACCTCAGAAGGCGACAGTTTGCGGTGTTAGCTCCATCCAACAGCACTGATAAGTAGAGAATTCGTCTGTTTACAAGCGTTTGAAAATTCCTGGCATGAGTCGTCATCGTCCAAACTGCAAGAAGCGGATCTGTTTAAATGCTTCCATGAGGAGGAAATTTTGAAGCACTACTGTACAGTAGCACTGTACATATTCTCTTCTTCATACGATGCTGCTGGCGGTTGTTGGTTATTCAGTTCCATGTGTAAGTTTGAATAATTACGTAGCAACAATAAATACGAAGGTAGAGCTGTCACACAGAAGCACTCGTCAACTTAACAGCAACCATGCTAAAGTATGCACTGTCGGTCTCATTTAAAAAAGAAAAACCGAAAGAAAGTACGTAGTACATTTGATGTAACAATATAACGTGTGCATTAGATGGTGCCGTTGATTAGATCATCACTAAAAAGGCACTTTATTGTTGGGTATGATATCCTCTACTGTATGGACTAATAAAAGTCAGTTGTGTGTTTTTACGATCCAGAGTGTACTATACCATTTTCTACAGGATTTATCAAATCAATTCGATGACCATGAAAATGGGTTGTTTCGATACTTGGATATTCTTTCAAGATCTGGATGATGTTTCCCTCTTCCTCATCTTCTGTACTGTATCTTGCAGTGAATTTATAATACATACATATCGCCTTTAAATAGTGTGAGCTATGTACTGTAGCTCACTTTCATTTTCATTCCAGCATCAAATGTTTGGGATTTTTGAGAGTCATGGATGGTTGACATATATATTATAACTGTTATGGTGAATAGGATATTTTAGAGAACACATGCTCTGATATGATATGTATTAAGTTCATATGATGATAATGCATCAGCGGCAGACATGTGCAAATGTGCAATGCTGTAAGCGGGAGCACGTAACGTTTACTGGATCGGGTCTTTCGAAGAAGGTCTGTTCTTTTGAACTATGTATCTTGTGTTTGTTTGTTTATTTTATTATCATGCTTTAACAACAGCGGTATATTTAAAATCTTTAAATACTTCAAGTTTACTACAAGAGGACTCAGTTTAGTAAACGGAGATAGCACTAAGATAAGGCTCTTTAAGGGCACAACATGTCTATCTACCTGTAAACAATCGTGATAACAAGAATAATGAACTCACCTTCGTCATTTAGTGCGTCACTTATTAGAAACTCCACTACAAAGTTTCTCGATCAATAGAGATATAAATTGAGCATCAAGATATGATTTCTGTTATTGGAAATCCCCCATTCCATCTGGAAGAAGAAATATGGCCTTTTATTGGTAATTGCGATTATCATTGTAAGACTGCACTAGGATCATGTTGTATCCCTAAAGAAGTGACAGCTCCAAACAAAAAAAGATCTTTTACTAGTAGCGTATGTAGAAGATATTAGAGTGCAGTAGCCTCTGACAAATGTGTATATATTAAAAATTTGCTATTAAAATCACTCCAGCACGCGCAGCGACACGATGAGGATGTAAAAGAAAAATATAAACGCAGAAAAAGGTGAGGAGAAGTATAAAGTATCTAAAAGGGGCTCAAGTTGCCTGGAGTATTATTAACAGGCAGGGGTATACAGTGGGATGTGTTGCGTTGTGTTGTATGCATGTGTGGGGGAAAAGATAGAAAGTGTGTAAAAGAGATTTCCAAACGAAAGTAATATGCACAAAAAGTAATGGTAACCAAGAAAAGAATATTGTCGGAAGATTTTCTACTACCACCAGCCCAATAATCGCCACCAGCCCATGCCGATGGTAAAGTAAACCACAAGATAGAACAGCGCTAACTGGAAGCCAATCAGGAACCATTTGGAACGTGATACGTAACCCGGGGCATAATACATTGCAGCCATGCCTAACAAGCAAGAGCACATATAAAAGTTGATGAGCGCTACATGCATACAACAGAAAGAGATTCTAACCTATTTTAATAAACGAGTTTGATGCTTACCTGTAGAGTAGTTTGTCTATAAAAAACGAGGAATAAAAGAGGTATGCATCGAAATGCGAGAAAGACGGGTCAGAAGAAGAGTATAAAGTGAACAGCAACTTGCATGGAAGATTCTTACCATGCAACCACTCAATGCACCAAAGTATGCCAAGAGTGCGGTCAGAAGCATGGGCTGGGCTCCCAATGCATGGCCTGCATCCAAAAAGGTGCCGACAAAGGCGACGATATGCGCACTCAGGGAAGAGAACATGAATGTCGTCAGAAAGTAAGACACGGCCAAGAACGGTACTGGTGGCAAGCCGAGCTGTTCAATTAAGCTGGAGATCTTGTGGCCCAAAAACGCAGATGCACCAGCATCGGACAATTGATGTGCCATGGTTACAAAGCCTCCGAGCCAGAACAGTGTATCCCACTATATGTAAATCCATAATAAAAATTAGTTTCTAAAATTAAAAAGAAATTATCCTCGTTTGGAAAATTACTGAACGAACTCCACCACCCCGCCCTTAAAACCGAGGAAGAGGTTGCAACCGGTGGAGAGCGAGAAAGAAAAACGCAAACAAAGATGTGCTTACCGCATTGGTATTTTTTGAAATATCCTTCCATGTCATCGTGCCCATATGCAGCAACATTAGGATGCCGAGGAGCGCAACGAGCGTCGCATCTAACTTTGTGTAACTCGACGTCACCCAAAGACAAAGGCATAGCAATAGAACCAGGCACAGTTGCTATAAGAAACAGTTCAATTTGTTAAACGTTAACGCAAAAGAACGAGTGTAAAAAAAGTGTAATGTCTTACCCATTCTTTGCCAGACATAGATCCCATGCGTTCGAGTTCAGTTTCAGCATGCTTGACAATGCCGTCATTGGGGAACTTTGTTGTTGCATTTGAAATGGCACCTCCGTTTGAACCACCTTGCTCTTCCTCGTCTCGTTGTTTGCTATCTGACGATAGTCCACACGACCAGCGAAGGATCACAGGCAATGCAAGTGCACATACCAGTGCAGGCACGATGCTGCCGGTCAGCCAGGTCAAAAAGTCAAAGTTCACTCCTTCATACAGCTGCGTGGCTTTGGCTAGAACAATTGGGTTGGCAGCCATACCTAGAAGAGGTTCATGGTGAATGGTTGTGTCAAAGGGTTAGCATACAGATAGACAATTTATCACCCCCCACCCGATCTCGCCAAAGGAGGTAATGATGTCGTTACCTGTGAGGTACATGGATGCCGAAATCAAGTTGGCATGGTTTCCGACCAACATCAAAAACGCACCCACTTTGGGGTCATGTGTAGGGGTGGAGCCCAGCGTGGTTGCAATCGCGTGCACGACAGGATGGACAATGCCACCGCCACGAGCTGTGTTGGATGGAACAAATGGGGCAAGAAGGAGCTCTGTAAAGTATTCAGAGAAAGTTCGTTTCAATAACGTGCTCCCTTTTTTTGTTCCTTTTGACTAGCCACAACTCTTCGACCCCCTTCTTTTCTTTTTTCATTGATGTGCAACCAAAAAATTGTACCTGAAAAGACAATGGCATAAGCAAGACCCATGATGCGCTTGCCAAACATCTTAATCATCAATAGAGATACTCGACGTCCCAGCTGCGTGACTTCAACGGCTTTGCCGAGATGAAACGCTGCAAAGATGAGCCACACGACCGAGCTGGAAAAACCTTCGAGCGAATGGTGGAAGGACTCCTTGGCACCGTGACACTTGTAAGGATCACCCGTCAATGGATTGGGTTCTCCGCAGAGTCGACATTCAGTCAGGAGCCCGGTGGCCTTGTCCTCACATTGAAACGAATGGGTCAAAGAAAGGAGCGCAAGACCAGTTAGCACAAGGAGCGAGATGTCGACTGATGTGGTGATGAGGGCAAAGATGCAGCTATTTCATATACACATTAGATGGAGGAATTTAGCGGATCCTGCTGCTGCATGCTGTGATGGAAGGGCTGGAGAATAAGTTTGCTGATTGTTATCATCATATACCTCACAAACACAGCAAGAATCCGAATGGCTGTTGGTGTCAACTCATCGCTTGCTGGTGTACAGAACCAGATGAGGGCACCGATAGTAACTGATGGCAGCAATGTAGCAGGCTGGCTTTTAAGGATTGTTGACCAAGGTATACGCTGCATTAACGAGGATTTTGAAGAAACGCCTCGAGTATCGGTGGTGCCTAGCAGAGCTGTGCACTCGTCAGTTGCGCATGGCGTAGCAGGCAATGCCATTGGGGTATTTGTTGGAGTCTGATACACGTTAATGGTACGGTAGCGGCGACTATTATTGCCTCCTGCTGGCGGTGCTACTGGTGGTGCTGAAGGCATTTAGGAGGGGGTGGACCGAAAAATAAGAACAAAAAGTACGGGAGAAATGTAAGAAGGACAGAAGAGAGATGGATCAAGAGATGCAAGAATAAAGAATTCGAAATTTCTGTCTTTTATATAACGAATTGAACAGAGGGAAAGAGGATGAGAGGGGAGGGATCTACAGTATAAGAGAGAGAGAGAGAGAGAGAGAGAGAATGAGTGAATTAACGAGAGCAGGAACTAAAGTATGCAGGCAATAATCTCTTTCTTATAGTCGCCAAAGAAAGAAAGCGGGAATACATGACAAGATTTCTCCATTTAGGAAGAATAAGATTTTCACTGCTGCAGCTGATTCGGCCAAACTGCCTTGCCTCCGGTGATGCCTTTCAGTGTATGCTGTTGCTTTGGGCCCATTTCTAATAGTTTGCGCATTCTATTGGTACCGCATTTTTCTGATTTCTCGTGACGAAAGGCAAGTATTCTATAAATCTGTTCTCCGCCTTCATTTGTGTGGGTGCGAGGTGCCATACGAACGAAGTCGGATCAGAGTGAGCAAGAGTGATTCTGAGGATGATGGCATCATAGGATGTATGCTATAACCTGCACTATTCGTCAATAAGTACTCTGCTGCTTATCAGCTGCTTTGCACAAGAGTCGTTTTTTTTTGCTGGAACTATATACTGTGATTTATCTTACCCTTCTCTCTGCTTCTCCCCCACTTCTTTTTTTTTTGGTTGTACCTTAGTTTTAAGGTTTTGTGCATCCTTCTATGACGTGGGTACATACATCAGGCAGCCTATTGGGTTTCCCCCAACTCCATTACCCGCACCTGTTTGCTGCTGCTTGTTGATGTTTGATGCTGTTGAAACGATCATGGCAAAAAATGCCAATAGCAGGAGAGGACCGTTTTGCCCATTTAACCCCTCTTTACACTCTCCTTCTTTCCTTCTCCTTAGAAAAGAAAAGGCACCGATCATTCTTGGTTATTGCCAAGAAATGCAAGGAGTGTCTAGCATTCGCCGAAAAAATCAAAAGCAGCTCGCTGACTTCGTTTTCCCAAGGCTAAAATGTGACAGCCATCACCAGAATCAACATAGAATTAGACCTAACCAGTAGGGTACTGTTTGTCACCACTGTGTTTATTCCCTGCACAATCATTAAAGAAAATATCACGCACGCACGCCCATCCGTAATTGTCATATATCATGTGCACTTGAGACAATTTTTCTGCACTTGCAACTGGCTGACTTGAAATGAAAGCCTCTCTTTATTCATTGTATTCAAATTCCACATGTTCATACGACGTTAATATGACGAGGCAGTGCATCTTTGGGTTGGTTAAACTTATTTTGATTTACGACCCCATATCATCTCGCATATTTGTTTCTGTGATCATGTATGTTGTATGTAAAGTAGATACATTGCGGAAGCAGGAATCAGTACTGTTGTCGTTTTAAGTAATGAGCCGAGTGTTGTATTACTATTAATTTCATCATCGCCCAGATATGATATGCCTTGTGCAAGGGTGTCGACTTGATGGTTTCAAAAAGAGAACAAAGAGTATGTAGCTAGCCAGAGAAAGAGGTCGTTTTGCTTCCCATGATGACAAATGCTACACAACGCAGAGCCACGATGGACGTAAAGAAGGAACCAATAGCGAACCGATGTGTTACAAGTAACCTGAAGATGCAGGTGCGTGTGTGTCATCATCACATCCTTAATATGATTGAAGTGCATCCTAAGAAGCATCGCTTCCCCTTTGTTTTCGATGATCGCCGCCCTCTTAAAGCTATTGTACGTGTATTCTGTAATAAGTATCTTTTTGCACTCTTTATTGTAACATACATATCCGTTGCTATTTCAGTGTCTATACAATAGTAGCTGGCCTATGTACATGTACTAAATTAGAAGAGTAGAGTATGTACACAATAGGGATATATATGGTTACACCAAGCTCGCCATTGCCACACCCCCATCGTGGTGTCGTCTGATTACGCTATTTGGCAACCGCGGAAAAGGGTAAATGATTCCACTTTTCTTTTACTTTGGCCTTTCAACCTTGAGCCTCATTAGCCATATGCTATATAGTACCTATGCATATTATCCAGCATACAGAAACAAAGTTAAAATGAAGGCAAAGAATGCAGAGATAAAAAAAAAGCCAAGAAACTATGGCAAAGTAAAACAGAAAAAACATGGATACTTTCCATGCACTCCTTGCTTACAGTCTCTCTAAGAAAGCGGACGGTGGAGACGAAAGGGGAAGGGGAAAGAGAGGAGGTAGTTGGTAAACAGCAGGGATATCAATACATTTTTTTTGCTCCCAGCTTTTTTGGGACAAATATGCAAAATACGAGCCTGCTATCGTCGCTTCATGGTCAAAACACTTTCGGCTATTGGATCTTTGCCTCACAGCATATACAAAGATCTGCAATCTTGAACTCTATTACAATAAATTCTTAGGTAAATTATTCGTTATGGATGTTTAATGTTATATATACGAAGAAGCAATACATACGGCTGGGTCTGAGAAATAGTCTACCTACTAACTAGCAAGCAATGGTCCTTTGTTAACGAGCGTGTTATTTTACTTTATTGTTCGGAATTCGTAGCTCCTCAGTGCCGATGGAAGCGGTGTCGTTCTCCAAAGAAAATCCTTTAGTAAAAATCTCGATCGAAAGCAGCGGAACTCAGCGGCAACAGCAGCAAGAATGCAAGCTGTGGTGTTATGCTGATAAAAAGTCCTTTTTAGGCAGTCAAGATGCATGAAAGTGATGCATCAGCAGCACACGCACAGAAAAAAAGCATATTCGATGCATCATAAGCCATGGCAGTGCAGACGATCGTCTAAACACAGGTTGGGTCGAAAAAGAAAGTAACGGAACGTACTGTACTTTTTATGCTGTGGGTGGTCTGAACGCCGCTCGACAAAAGGATACATAGCACTATATCATGTATATAACATACACACAGATTCCAACAAAAAGTGCTAAACGTTTTCCACATAGTTGATGTCTCGACGGGATTCCATATATACTTGCCAAAGGGACGTACTAATTTCATAAATAATGCTTCTTTATGCAGAGTACTGTCAACAACAAAAAGCATACATGCAGAGCATACTACTCCTTCTCTCTTTTTACGTTTAAAAGTAAGAACATGACATGCTGTACCGATGACTTTGTTTGGAATCAAAAATAGACCTCTACATATATACCAGCAAATCCAAAACAGTCAAAGAAACAGGGATATCCAATGCTTTTCTTTAACTTACTGTTAGCCCTTGTATAGCACAGTAGACGGTTACATAAAACCTAATTGGCAACTAGAATTTTATGCTCTTAAACATGGCATTGCCCAGATTGAGACAAAATCATCATCTGCGAAATATTTCATCGGTAACTGTAGATTGAGATTTCTTTAACGGCAATGCCAGAGGCTACTTCCTAGTAAAATTTGTCGATCGCAAGCCGGCCACCAACCGCTCGCATACATTTATACATATGTTATAAATAGATTGGTCTGCATAACATCCTGCACTTTGGAAAACGGCGCTAAACATACTATATAAAGAGAGAAACCATCTATTATTAGAGATGATATGTTTATGCATCTACACATGTTATGTAAGTATAAACGCTGGCAGGAGGACTCATCCAAAATTTCGTCAATGAAAGGGTAACTAACGCGATTGTACTTTTTACAGTTATGAGGAGTGTGTTTTCTCAAGCAATTATTAGGACAGGCATACGGCTTGGTGTTTGACAGAACAACTAAACAGTAGGATATAATATACATGTAACTGCGTCGACAGGGTACAAAAGGCTCTTCTAAACTCACTACTGACAGCACAGCCAGCAAGGACGCTCTAAGATTCTAAAACCGTGCCTATTTTGTCTATGCTTGCCCCAGATCATTTTAATTTGCGGTGCTTCGCTTTTTCTGTAACTGCTCACTCCTTTTCCTACATTGCGTTGACTTGGACAAAGTGTACATATCTCAGATGCCTTTTGAAAAAAATGTGTGTCGCTGAATCCTGGAGCAGCAGTTCAGGTACTGTATACCTGCCAAAAGCGAATATAAGCGGGGCTGCCCTGCAGCTGTGAAACATTTATGCCACTGCGATTGAACCATAGTTAGGGAATGCAAAATCGCTGCTGCTCAATGATTATTCTTTCGATCTTCTTAACTCCTGGTGGCGCATTTTTATTAATATCTTCTTCCTTTCTCTTTTTAAATTACAGGCATGTGATGCTGCTTGTGGTGAGTTCCTCCTCTTTTATTTTGGTCTTTCTTTTAGGCGTTTAGCTCGTGTTAAGAGACTATAAAGCCTTTCTTCCCCTTTCGAGTAGAGACTCAAGGTGTGCGGAACTGACGGTTACGCGACCAGACCCGTCGTGCACGGTTACTTGAGCGTGCCTAGTGGCCCTAAACCGTATTTGGCTCAGGTGTATATGGCCTTTGCGAGTATTCAGGGTGAGCGAGCACAAATCCCTATTTGCCCGACGACCAGTGGGCTACGAGAGCGTTCTATCTATAGTTTTGAACAGGTTCAAGCTACGGCTAATCCTGCTCTCTGACCGTACAGTAGTTGTGTATTCCCAAGTGGGTTTCTAGGCGCTGGGGAAGGGCTCGCCTCTCAGTTTGATACTCTCTCTGCGGCTTTTTTTCTATCGCGCTTACCATCTTTCCGTACACTCTTCTCTTATTGCACACTGACACGATCCCGAGCAGCGGTGAACCTTTTGATTGCGTAACTTTAGCTATGCTGGGTATCGGCTGGTGGATGTATCAATGGAGAAGAGGGAAGAGGAGGATGAGTGCGTGGAATGTGCAAGTCATACAAGAATTACGCAGTGAGCAATTCCTTCTTTTTAAGTTATCTTCTTTCGACCCGTAGTTGCAGGACTTCTTGTTACATTTGGTGGAAACAGGAAAGTTGATGTGTACTGTAATGTGCACTAGGTTGCCAAACTGGCAAACGCGGGCTAACAAGGTTTTGTCAATAAGATAAAATCTGCTGCAAGTAGTGGATATGATGCGGGGTAGTGTAGGCTGATCTATATCTCCTTATCAAATGGATATTGAAGTGTCTAAACGAGGAAGATAGTAGAGGAAATACAGCAAAAATGATGGACGTATATACAGGTAACGCGTTTTAGTGTGTCTCAAGGGATATTTGCTCTAGCTTACAGCTGCCATGCCGCGCCTATAGTAGAAAAGGCATAGATACAATGACAACATCATTCTCTCACGCCAGCCTCTTTTATTTTTTTTTGCTTTTCGCGTAACCGCATTGTAAGCGCTCTGTTCGTCCTTTCTGCAAGAGCACCATATTAACAATAAATATGTGTTGTGAGCAGAAAATGTTGATCTTTCTTGATTGTATGACAGTGTTGGATCACACACTTACGGAACTAACTGCTGATGTGGTCATTAAAAATTTCAAAAAGATTGTAATAAGGATGGTAAATATGTGCAAGTTCGATTAGTACACTTGATACGATTTCGTCTGCGGATATCTTCGCAGTGATATTGAGGTAAACTACCGCCGAGTTAGAAGTGGGCAAGAGCCCAGCCACGCATGTATTATGATATACAAGCCTTTGTCGTTTTCTCGCCTTTTAGATCAGGCCCATCCGCTTCGCTTCGTGTTGATCTCCACGGAGCCTCGTCTCGGCGGCTCTTTAAGATGTATTTCAAACTGTGAAGTATATCGTTTTTTTTACGTACACACCTACGTACTGTAGATATGTTGCTACTTGGTGGCATGAATCCGAATGATTTGCTACCATAGTGACACAGGCTCAAGATAATGATACATTCGCAGCGGCGAACTTTGTCTTGGTTGTAGGCCATCTCTCTTTAGAAGAAAGCGGCTAAATGGTTGCCAACCATTAGATACTATGCAGACATGGGTCAGCACCAGGATACTACATAGATGATTTCGCAATAGAAGTTGCCAAAATCCAGCTTATTGCTCAGCAACAATTAATTGCTTTAACCGACTGCCTGGTTCATAAAATCCATAATCTTACAAAAATACTAATAGGTTAAAGATTTTTCTTAAATGCTGTATCATAGTATGATAACGTGATATTAAATTAAGCGCATATTTCACTTACATAATAATGACAACGTCTTACAACTAGCAGCATTACAGTACTGCTACTGCTACTGATACTGCTATTGTTCCCAATTGTCATATCATAGACATGAAATGAAACGAACGCAGACGGCTGTCATCAGTCGCTGTTCTTACGTATACGTAGCCTATTAATAGAAGTGATAATCTTTCGTGTCAGTCGTACAGTTAAGCCAGCAAAAAGGCACAAGCGACGATGGATAAATGTTGAAAGCTCTGTACTACTATCTTTTCTATTGGGGGGAGGACTCCGTCGTCCGGTCTTTTTTCCTGTTTGACGATTTCTAAATAAGCGATAAACGTAGAACAAAACCCCTATTTGTGCAATCGTTTTTAGTTACATGTATAAGGCACTTGGCGTAATTGGTGTTTGTATCCTCAAAACTACAACCTGCTGTAGCTTTTTTCGCTAGACTGAGACCTTTATTCTCATGGAGTGTTACCGCTATTTCTTGCTAGCAATTTTATGACTATTGTTGTTGAGGTACTTGGCGCAAAAGAAGCAGCAGTTGCCATGTAAATACATACAGTGATCACAGGACGCTGGTCCGGGATATCGAGTGTTCTCATTGCTACTAATAGATCTATGGCGAATTTTTTTTTTGCCGGGTCTAAAAGGTATCTAGTTTAAACACGGCGCCACCGACGCTCGATGTATAGTGTGTAATGAGTACAACCATCCGAAAGGAACCGACTACCATTTGTTGCTTGATGATATCGAGTTGCACATAGTGGACAAAGCAAACTTTATCAAAAAAGTGTGCAACGTAGTAATGTTCTCACTAACCATGTATGTTTAGCTACACACAGACGACCTTTCTTGCTTCATATAGATATTTACCGGGCCCTTTTAACCTCAATGCGCTTTGACTCTCTTTTGTACGTCGAAGAAACGTAGAATAAAATGTTTAATCATAGCAGCTGAAGTCGGTAGGTATCGATGAGACAACCTACAGGTATCACAACGCCGTTGCCATCCGGCCATATTGATTTTCACTACTGGCCACTTGTAAGTTATATATGCCGCTATTTTAGCATCACCATTGTCCATGCAAAAAGTGTGTATGAAGGGGTGGGTGACCACGGTTGTTTTTGTGGACGGCGCGTTGATCTGTGCGCTGTTCCCGGTTAAGATTATGGGTTTGGAGTACTGTAGTCGTCGTCGTGGTCGAGATTAAACATAATTATTACGTTATTGTTGCTTGGCTCCAGAAAATGCTGACAAACCACCAATCATTAAGTTAATCCGCAAACATATATTTATTTATCCTTGTCGATAAATATATCAATCCTTGTATATCGCCACGGTGCTCTAACTCTTGTGTTATGTGCTTATACTTTTCTGTAGTACCTGTGTAATTAAAGTGTTCCGTGTGTCTAATCATGACCGGCTGGTCGATGAAAGAAATCGCTCAGCATCGGGTCGATCCTCACAAGACGTTCCGGTATCCCAATTTCCAGGGTAATGTACTGTAGTGAATGAAATCCAGTTTTCGTCCTGTATGAGATGTGCTATATCACCAAAATCGCAGAAAAAAAAAGCGCTGAAATATGGTGACCCATACACATTGAAAGCATCCCAAAAAAATGGAGCGCGCTTCTTGTTTGAATGTTTATTCTTTCGGCCCATTCTAACCTGTAGATCTCTGCGTGGGAATCAAATGTTCGGATACTTTGTGGGTGGAGCGGTGGGGGGGGGAGAGTTGGCGATCGCGGAAAAGATTAGTAAGGTTGCGAATATATGATACTGTCATAACTGCTTTGTAGCTTGCTTGCTTGTTGTTGTTGTTGTTGTTGTTTTTGTTCTATTTCACCTGATCGAAACAAAAACATATAATTTAACACTTATAAAAGTTTTCCTATCATACATGTTCATGATATGAAGGACTTCATATGTGGTAATCGAGTAACAGTGGTAGGGCAATGATTACCTTGATCAAGCAAACTCGTACATCTCATTATCCAATGTAAACGGCAATAAGACCATGGCAAATCCACAAACCATCGTTAATAATCTTCCCTCAGTCATTACGGAAGCAGCGATCCGCTCTGTGAACCCGAGTTAGTCGGGACTTCAAACCTTGAAAACCATTGTGCTACGCACAACCATCAAAAAACAGGCATATTAAAAAAAACTGGTGCCCCTATTCTTCTTTGACATAGGCGGAAAGCGGTACAAGTTGAATTATCAAACGAGGCAATGCTGTCGGATGCACCCATCGTGGACATATTTTATACATGCCACAACAGTGACACGAGGCATTGATAGCCAATTTCACCCTCCTTCTCTTGACAATTTCAACTGTTGCAGAAAGGTTTTTCTTTTATTTTATTTTTTGAGCAGTCAATAGTCAGTGTATGATGACAATTTAAGTAAATACACGCCATTAGAATGCTAGCATGCAGAAAATACAAAAGCTTGTTTCAATACAATACAAAGGGTAAAAGCGTATACAAAGCCATATGGGAAAGGCAAGAGAATGTGTGAATGAGCAAGCGGGTATGATATATATAGCGATAATACATAATGGATGAGGGGATATAGAAGTGTACTAGGGTAGGGTGATATATAATATTACATACATAAACTTTTTTCTTTTGCTTTGAAAACAACAATAAGAACTCGGTCATATTATAGAAAAGAAGAGAAAATTTGAGTTCCTTAATTTTTGGCGGTAGTGGTGGCTTTTTTAAAAGGAGAAATTGCCTGGGATGTGAGATGGATGTTGTTGTTGTTGTTGCTGGTGGTGTAAAGAGAATGAGATGATGATGCTTGTTGGTGTATAATGGAATGAATGATGTGTTGTGCAGTTATTTTTTGTTTGACGTGTCGAAGGGAGCGAATCCTTTATCTGAGGTAGGGACAGTATACCATTGGGTGACCATATTTGCCACACCATGTACTGGAAAAGCAAAAAAAAAAGACAAGATGAGTAAAAAAAGACACGTCGCTGTTGGCATGAGGTGGTGATAACAGTGTTAATGATAATGGTAATTATTATCTCAACATACCACTGGTGTCCGGAGACGTTGACTGGCGGTATAGAGTAGACATGCGTCGGCAAGGGCTGATTTGGTGCAGCTTGATTGAATCGGTGAGAGTGAAGATGGTATTTGCACGCCATGACTGGTGTTGATGATATTGTCGAGATAGAAGAGGGCAACAAAAAATGGACACCGCAAATGTTAGAAAAAAAAACGCCTTTCTGTTAAAATATCTTGTGTCCTTTTGGGTAGCCCTTTTATAATGTGAATGCCAAAAAAATATCTTTCGTGTGTCAAAGTTTGTGTGCCCACAAAAAAAAAGGAGACGGCAAAAAAAATGTGTGTGAGAAGATCTCTATTAGGATACGCTCCTTTTTCTTGTTCTTCGTCTTGTACTAAACAGTACCAAAAATAATGTTAACAATAGCCACACTAACAACAACAACAACAACAGAGACAACAAAACATGAGTGAATCTGGACCCCCTGGTCCTTCCATCGATGAAAAGCATGATTTTCTACCAGACAAGATTTCTTCTTTCTATGGCTAGATACGCAGGTGTATTGGTTGTCATGGTAATGGTTGTTACACGGAAGGGTGATGTACCATAGTTATAGATTCCTGTAACTACGCATTGGTTGCCGTGGAGATCGGACAGTCGATAAAAGTTGCCATTTTGGCATCGCAATCCGGAGAGCTAGGTGGTTGTGGTGACCTTGTCAAAACATCAAAGGAGAATGAGGGAGAAAGAATGGCAACGTTGTTGGTTCGGTGATGCGTTAGTGGAAGAAAAGTCAGTCTGTTCAAAGGTTAAAGCACGGACATGTGTTTGATGGGGTATAAATAAAAAAATATGGCGAAGGATGAGTGTTGTGCTTCAAAACACTTTATTCCAGATCGCCGATGACCGAACGCTTTGTTCTCGAAATGCACGGCTCGATATCCGCCGTTTCAGACCCCCATCCACCCAGTCGTACGGCGCCTAACGCGCTATAAATCGACGGAAACAAATTTTATTGAGTGGGTGGTGTATCACCTTCCAATACAATTGTCGGCGACGACGACGGTGCTCAGATGTTTAGTGACTATCCACTTTGCTACACGCCGGTGCTTTTAACTATTTTAGAAGCCTCTGGGAAGCACCAAAACCGAGCTTGTCTCCCCCAATTTGCCCAACCAACGAACCGGGTGGTTGGTTCTGGCGTTTCAGCCAACTTTCTTTATTTTTTTTACTGCGTAACGATGACATTATCTCTGTTTTTGTTGATGATGATGGTGTGGTGCTGTTAGTGAACAGCATGAGTTCGATGTGACAAGCATTTCTTTTTTTTAAGACTACGACTAGCTCTACTTTTACTTTGCATACACCCCAGTCTGGGAAGAAACAAAGAAGAGACAGAGTTCTCGTACCTTCTAGTTACCTTAAACGAAAGTTGGCACGTAGTGGAATAACCATTTTCTCTCTCTTTCCGAGGATGACATAGAGCTGTCGGATGCACTTTCAATTGGGACATCCGAGGGCTCGAGGAAAGGCAGTGTACTACGTCTTGGTTACGCCAAGATGCTACTGTTAACAAATTGTTTCAGCCTTTTTTTCTTCTTTTAAAGTTGACTGAATCGATCAACACACCAACAACAATTCTTTGCGTGTATGTATTAAGAGTGCCTATTTACTTCCAAAATAAAACAATAATAACTTTCTTTTATTTACACCAAAGAATGAGAGGGAGAAAGCGCGGGTCCATTACATCTGCTTCTTGTTGAGTGATGATTCTAATTTGTACTTGATGGGTCGGTAATATGATATGCCTGCTCGCAGTAATATGTATGATAGAAGAGACCTTCTTAAGTGTGCTCCATCAAGAGTACCACAAACATGGCAAGCAGAATTCCCAGTACTGCAGCAGATGCAAACAAAACAGATCCCCGGCTTGCAGGGAAGAAGCCATTGCACATTGCATGTTGGGCGTGAAAGTAGCGGGCATTCCCAAAGTACAAAAATAAAATGCTGAATGTTACAAAAATTGCGCCTACTGCCCGGCCTAGCTTCCGATGATCCATGCCCGTCGTGTCGCCCGGTGATAGGTGGTACAGCTGGGTGATCGCTAAAGTAAGTAAGTATAATATAGCATGGTTAATAATTTTGTTGACATGGCCAAAAAAAAGATAGTAAATAATCAGACAAACAAACAAAACAGATGAACGCCCTCTCCATCTCTCACTCCCATTCTATTCCCATGTTTGTATTTACCAACTCCCACGGTTATCAATGAAAGCGACGTCCTCAACCATGCCAAGTATGTTCGTTCATTTGCTATACGAATTGTTGTTGTTGATGATGATGGTGATTAGCGACTTGCAAATATTTGGTGCCGCCCGTGCGCAAATAGACCCGGGCGACCGAAAAAAGGTTGGGGAGGGGGCCGTGTGTGTTTTCACCGCTCCTTTTCTTCTTTTCTCTCCACAAACTTTTTTCTATATGCGCACATAGCCGCTATTTTCTTTTGAGCGGTCTTATCTCTCTCTTTCTCTCTTTCTCTTTCTTCCTTTAAACGTACCAAGATGGTCGCGGGCCACGCTAGCAGTATTCTCGAGCAAGAGGGACTGAGAACACTTGACGTAGATGTTTGGAATTCTGTGTCGGAGACCCCTTGATCTTTCTTCCTGGGCCGCTGCCTTCTCCGATCGATCATACTTCTCGGAAGTAGCAGTGTTGCAGGACAGGGTGTCTTCTTTGGCGGTTGGTGACAACGACGGTATACCCGACGATATGCCACAATCTCCGTGCCGATGACAGTGCTGATGTTGGGGACTATCAGGGTTATTTAATTTCATAGGTAAGCTGTGATTCCGTCTTTCGTCATACACCATGCTGTTCGGTGACCATGACAGTCGTTGTGACGAGGATGACAAGGAGGAGTGGTTACGGAAGGAGGAAGATGTAATGTCAGTGATGGTTGTTGCCATATTGGTTGTGTTTGTATTTCATACAACGTATGTTGATCGATTCTTTAGGGTACAGTAGTAGCAGTTAGGATATAAGTGGAGAGCAGAAAAGCTCGAAGAAAAGGTAGAGTCGGAAGAAGCTGTTAAGAAAATAAAAGTAAAAAAGTGAAGAGCAGAAAAGAAGAGAGGGACGAGTTGAAAGGTCGAGAGAAAGATGAGTAGGGCAATGTATGCAGAAATCGTTACGAGCGCCAGCTGCATCCTGTATCTGACCATCCTTATACTATCATTTTCTTCTTCAACACTGAGGTGCTTAGTAGTTTGTTATGTATGCATCTCATTAAAGTTAGCTTTTGGCCGTCTGATATATAATAGTTTCATTGAAGGAGTCGAGGAACTCATTGGGCGAGAGTTTGGGGGGTAAATGGAAAGATAATAAAGAGAGCGGAAGGGGGTATGGTTAGAAGACCTATGGATAACGGCGATCTACCCTACGCTCGCCGATCATTGAACTATTCTCTCAGACGTCACACTCCGGTGTATTTCTGGATGCATGATTATGCAATAATCAGTCCCACCTATTGCTGTTTTATCGTGCTACTATAATAGTCTTTCGTCTTGCAGATAATACATATAAATCCATCCATTTCCAAAACTCATCATTTAATGAAGGTCATGACAACCCCGCTACCTGTTTTTCATGCATCAGCTGTTTATTAAAGATTGCTTGCAAGGAGTGAGACGAAGAGGAGAGAAAGGGGTATGGTTGTTGGCCCGACCAAAACATTCGTCATATCTCTCTTTCACCCCAGCAAAGCAGCAGTATACATGCACGTCGTATACATCCTTGACATATGTTAGAACAGTTTGCTATAATATTTAGTTGCTCTGATACTCTAACCGTTTTACGCAAAATTGTACGTAGGAATATGTTGTTGTCAGTAACAGCAGAATACAAAGAGTATAGATATTTGTCTAAAGTCACCGTGATGTCTCGAGTTAACCACACTAAAACTACTGAGGCATAGAGCATTTATCATCACGTTACCGATCAATGTACATTTTTCATAGTATTCAGCAGCAGCAGCATATAATGCGTGCTGTTGTGATATGTACATAATTTATCGGGCAGTGATCGTGGTGGGATTGCCACTTAAGCTATCAATATGTAAACACTACGCATGTCGTATGCCGATCGGTATTTTTGACGACAGCAAAAATGCGTGCATCTTTTTTATAAGAAAACCTGGGAAACTGCAATGAGTAGATGATAGTACCGGACAGACGTCGTATGCAAATTTAGTGTCGAAAGAAAAGAGAAGCAGCAAGTACCAATGATCATGCTGACTTGCAGAATAACAACGCGGATCATCATTAACTGAAAAGAAGAACGTATATAGTGTCATAATGCCCATTTTTACAACTGCAGCAACGGCAATGATGAAAACAATAACTGTAATTGCAATTGTACGTACAGCGTACGTCATTTGCAGAAATGGAGAAGAAGGGCGGCGAAGAAACATGTCAGTCATATGTATATCACCATCCATGTATAGTAGTGCGAATACGTCGTTCTCATGACAAGGGAGTTCATGGATACTGCTTATGCTGGTACCAATGCCTTATTTCTTCTATAGGAGTTACTTCATATTGAAGAGATACATATAATGCGGGTGTAAGATAACACGTTATCTGCACCCCAAAAAGTCATTGAAGTTATTGAAGGAGTGCATTTTGATCCACTACATAAGATTCATATAAGGATGCTACTATGTTGTCCGTATAGGTAGCATGGTAGCTAAACTACGTTCACTTTTATTGCTTTCTTTATCGTTAATAAAGTAAAAGCAATAACCTAGAACAAGAAGCATATGATTGGCCATGATTATTAACTGTTAGTAAGAGGCTCATCAACCAATCACAAAGCGGATCGGAGAAAGCTGTATTATGCAGCAGTGTAGCTTACGCGATCATGACAAAGATTTGCTGACAAATTGTACACACGCAATACCAATAAGAGCTTATTTTCTCTTATTTAAGAGAAAAATCCATGCTTCACCGTGTTCTTTCTCACTCTCGATATTTTCGTGTACTTTATTCATTAAGAGCCGTTTCTATTCGAACCATGGCTTCTACCACACCACAACAAGATAAAAAACAACCCGAGATCCTCAATTGGGCTTCTAAAGATGGCGAGTTCCGTCGTCAACAATCATCATTTCGCGACCAAATCGTTGACGAGCCAGGTGCCAAGTTTGCTCCAGAACCGTAAGTTCATCTTGTACTTTATCTGCTGTATGTTCAACTTTGTTTCTATGCCAACCCCCTCCCTCCCTCGTACTATTGTTGATGATAGTAACCGATATCACTTGTACGTGTCGCTGGCTTGTCCATGGGTAAGAGGAATAAAAAATCGCGCGTAATGTTCCCCACGCTAATAGCTCGAAATTTAAAACATAATAGGCCCATCGTACACTCATTGTTCGTGAATTAAAGGGGCTTCAAGATCTTATCAGCGTGTCTGTGGTGGATTATCTGTTCCTTGACAAGGGATGGTAAGGGATCGTTTGGAGTCGAGAAAACCCCATAGTCTAATTGACCCGAAATTTACGGTTCCTACCCTTTTTCGCTAATACTGTTTACTACAGGAAATTCTCCACGTCTGAAGAATGCCCTGGTGCTATTCCAGACACTGTCAATAATGCAGCCTACATGCGCGATCTCTACTTTAAGGTCGAGCCCAACTACTCTGGTCGGTTCACAGTACCAGTCCTTTGGGATAAGAAGCTTAACACTCTCGGTAATATAGATATACACAGACTACTCTATGAGAGAGAAGAGGCAATTTGCGGATTCATTTACTCACCGCTTAAACTGGAAATGATCGTTTTACAGTAAACAACGAGAGCTCTGAGATCATTCGCATGCTTAACACGGCTTTTGACAAGCTCTTACCCGACGACAAGAAAAATATCAACTATTATCCTGAAAACTTGCGTGCCGAGATCGATGAGTTGAACGAGTGGGTTTACGACACTGTAAACAATGGTGTATACAAATCTGGATTTGCAACATCACAGCAGGCTTGTAGGTTGATCTTCTTTAAGAGAGTGATTCTTAGTATCCGGCGGACTTGGTACATAGCAGAGAGGGAACCTTCATAAAGCATGAAACTGATATGAGTTTTCTGTTGAAATAGATGAAAACAATGTACATCCCCTTTTCAAGTCATTGGATCGAATTGAAGGCATTTTGTCGAAATCCGACTTCCTAGTTGCAAACACTTTCACTGAAGCTGATATCCGTTTGTTCACAACTATTGTCAGGTAAGTAGCAGTTGAGGTGCTCACTAGCAGCGAGAATGAAAAGAAGAGTTAATGCTGATCCGCCGCGTTAAAACTTGACGTCCACAACAGATTTGATCCAGTGTACCATGGTCACTTCAAGTGCAACGCCAAGTCGATCGAAAAGGATTATCCCCATATCCTGAAATGGACACGTCGCATCTATCAGATGCCCGGAGGTATGTAACGTAACGTCAGCGATGTAACACGCCGATAACTATACGGGGCTTAGCTCACACACGCGCATTTTCTCTCTTTCTCTTGTTGTATTCAGTTGCTGGTACGGTGAACCTGGAGCATATCAAAAAGCACTACTACATGTCTCATCGTCAAATCAACCCTACCCAAGTCGTCCCTATTGGCAACGGACCCGATCTTTCCTTGCCCATCAACTAAATAAAAGCATGGTAGTTTTCCCCATCTTCAGTTGCAGCACCAAAACATATGTAGTCTTTCTCTTCCCACCCTCTTTCCTTCTCTGATGCTTATACAAGTAAACAGATATGTGTTATGTCAGTTTGTTGATATACAAGAAAAAGGCGATATTACAATGACGAAGCGAATGCCGTTGAAAGAGACACAGAGAGGGAAAGTCAGAGTTAAAGAAGATGTGCGGGTGTTGGATGGTAGGAGGGATATCCATCGTTGTTATTACTTGTTTATACGCCTTCGAGTTGACGCTCCATCTCGTCCAGCTCGTCCTTGACACCCTTGTGCTTAGCTTCCAAATCTGCGTTCTTCTTATCCCACTCCTTTGCTTCTTGATCAAGCTTGACAGCCTTCTTTCCCAGCTGTTCAGCACGCAAGTCAGCCTCACGGAAGCTGTTATAGAGAGAGATTTTTTTTCATGTGTAAGTCGTCCGATTGCCAAGTCCACTCGTCTTACAGAACTTCCTCTCTTGCTACCCAATACTACCTGGGGGATGGGTACACGCAATACACACACACACACACACACACACACAAAGTAAGAAATATTATATGCTTACTTGGAAGTAGCTTCCTTCAAATCAGCCTCGGCCTTCTCAAGCTGTTCTTCCAACAACTTGGAACGGTTTTGAAGTTCATTGAGGTTGTCGTCCTTTTGGTTGTGCTCAGATTCCAGTTCGTCGACCTTCTTTTGAGCTTCTTCAGCACGAGCGTTGGCAGTGTCGATTTCGGAACGAAGCGAGGCAAGTTTCTAAATTATATATTGTAACCACTTTGTTCAGTTTCTTCCTTTTTATGTTAGCCAAATAAACGGAAAGAAATCCTCTTTACCTCCTTGAATTTCTCCATTGTTGATTCTGATGAAAAAAAAAAAGAGAAGAGAAACACTTGGGTCCAGGGCACGCTATACATAAGAGAAATTCAAGCGCCGCATAACCGGCTTTTGAAAAGGCGCGTGGTGCGTTTTAGACATACAAATGCCGTAAATGCCTTCTCCCACATCCACCTTTTTCATCTAACACAAAGCACTGTAACAACAAATTGGTCAAAGAGTTTGAAGCTATATGTATCTATTTATTAAAAAAAATTATTTACACAACATTGTCAACGCCAGTGCCTCCCAACAATCTAGACATACGCATCGATGCGATTGAAGGATATGTGAGTATATCTTGACAACACTCAAAATACTTTGAAAACTCATCTTCTTTATATTACCTGGAGCTGGCAAATGATTGACCCTTCATAGCAGCAATACCTAGGACAATTACAAAAGTATAAAAGTCAGTACGCTGTTGCCCAATGACTTTAAAAATCTTACGAGCTTACCATAGCTAATTGCAGCGAGCAACAACGTGACAGCTGCGGCAATCAGCGGACCAGTATTCAAGATGTTTGATAGGAACATGACCACTGCGAAACTGTATGATAGTGTGGTAGATGAGTGTGATACATTGGGGTAACCAAGTATTTCCCCTCCCCTCACCCCCAAAATATTCGAACATTTCCTGCGGGACATTCTTGTTCATTTTTCAGTAGTTTAGCTCTTATTCTTTTAGACTTACATGAGGTACATGGTGGCACGGAACCAGCAGTTTTCGAAATAACCGATAAAGTTATCGCTACAATACAATGTTATCAACAAGGTCAAAACATGCACTCAAGTATCGTGAGAATAGTAGTATTAGATACATACAACTTTGGACTGGTTGGACAGCACTGATGAATCAACAATGTGAAGGAAAGGACAACAAAAGAAGTTATCGATGATCAGTGGTTCAATTACTTTGTATATCTGTTTTATCGTTCTTTGTTACCTTTAGACATAGTGGAATTTCAACGAATATGAGGATGAGTGCGATTACCCTGTATATAACATTTGCTATTAACCATTGCTCGAGTTTTTCTTTCGCTCTCGACTGCTGTCTAATTTTACCATCCAACAATGCTAAAGACGATATGTGATATGAAGCCCACAATACCCAGCGCGATCAGAACTATAGAATAGTTGATATTAAAAGACCACATCCGAGATATCCATGTCTCGCACTATTACTACTTTGCCCTTTTTCTGCTCAAGCTACGTACGACATATAGATATTATACCGAGCCTTTATAATCAAAATAGAATATGTCAAATTAGAACCGGTGTTTATGAGTGTCCATTACATATGACAGTGCGCAAAACTTTGCTTTAGAGCGAGTAAAGGAAGAAAGCGGAGGGAGCAATCGACTCACCATTGCGCATAGAGTGAAAAGTTGAGTGAGGTGAACTCGCTAAAAACGCCCATGGAGTAGTGAAAGGTTCTGGTGCTTCGACGAAAGTAAATGAAAGTTTAAGAGAAAAAGAGAAACGGCTGACAATTATACGAGCAGAAGGAAGTTTTTCAGCTCTTACGATCTTCGTTATCAAGAGACGGCCAAGTATGCTAAAGAAGGTGGAAGAATGGATGAATTTTCCGGTCATATAAGCAAACAAACATGTGTGATCCACCCTTTGCCAAGGCTAAATCAAAGACAGCCCCAGAAAATACTGAACTAGAGGATATGCCCGTCTACACCATTGCTACTTTTAATTTGGGACAATCGAGATCAAGTCGCTTAGTACTGCTATCATCATCACTAATTCCTCGAAGCCACAGACAACAAGTTCTTGTGATATTAGTCACAGTGAAATGCAGCACTGCGCATGTAAGCGTCGCCTTTGCTACGCATTATCGGTGCAATATGTTCTTATGTTGGATTTTCCGTGTCGCCAAGGAGATCACTCTGATATAAAGAGCTTATTATTTGATGTGATGTTGCTACGATACTGGTGGATACCATGGCAGCACTAGATGTGTTTCAAGGCTTTTTGAAAATCTTGCTTCTGGCGGATCACAACAGCCTAAAATCATTTATTCACGACACATTGATTTTAACGGCTGCTTCACAGAAAATTTAAAACAGCAAAGACTCTATGATACGTTACTTTTGAGCTCTTTGTATTGCCCATCATACTCACTTGCCGCGTCTTTGTGATTCGACTTTCTCTTAATTTTACATGTCTTTATGTAACAATATGAGGGGGGGTTCCTTTCTCCCATGTCTTGTTGCGTAGGGAGTAACTGAACTCAGCTGCAATAAACGAAAATCAAGCAAAAGTAAAAAAATTCGGCGCTTCTTTCTTATTTGAACGATCGACGCGTACAATGGGCGACATTAAAAGTTTCTTTGCAAGAGCCGCTGAAAAACAGGTAAACCCCTCAATTAGATCGACTTTTTCCTTTATGCGATTCGCTTACGATAAAATTGGACTTGACAGAAAGCGGAAGCAGGTAAAGTACTCGAATGACTGTAGCCCCCGCCCAAAAGAGGCGCTGAAGAGAAAGTTCAACACTTACTTATGCAACAATAAAATTCAGCGTCAAAACCAAAGGAAACAAAATCAACACCTGCTCCAACGTAAAGTCATTACTATTTTTCACCAAACAACAGCATTGCATCGATTTCATTCGTATTGATTCAACTGGTTTTGTATCCTTTTACGACAACAGAAAAACCAATGAAAAAAAGCCAGCTGCTGCGCAAGGCGGCCCTCGTAAAAACGCTTCGATAAGAACAACAAAGACAACAGCTTCTGCAACAGCAGGGTAAGCATAGAAATATCCATGAATACAAATGATGAGAAAAGTTTAAATATATAAAAATGTTTGATCTTTTCCCATGTATCGTTTCTTTATTAGAAACAAGACACGGAAAGTGACTGGAAAGCGAAGAGAAAGAAGCGACGACGAAGACGACGATGATGGTGATGAAGCATTCGATCCTATCGAAGACTTTGACGACGATGAATTCGTCGAACCCAAAAAGAAAAGTGTCCCCAAGAGAAAAAAAGCAGCCAAGACGGATACGAAGACATCAACAGCATCAGAAAAGAAGACTACTGCTGCAGCCGCCAGCGGCAGTGGCGCCAGTAAAGGCCAGTATGTTCATCGTTTCTTTTTCGGTTTATGATTTTTTACACTTCTTTGGTTTGATTACTTAACGCTGTTTTAAATGCTTAGAAATTACCATGCAATGTTGAATCGTGAAGGTCCCAAAGCGCTTGGATCACGTCCATTACCCGTCGGTAAAGAGAATTGCTTTGAAGGACTGACATTTGTGCAGTCGGGTGAATTTGACACCTTGACCAAAGAACAGATCAAAGATTTGATTATGCGTTATGGAGGGTATGAAGAGGATCAGTGGGGGATGTCTTTTTTCTTTATCTCAGCAAAAAAGAAAATGCTAACGATCTACCACCCTTTTTTTATAAAGTCGACTGACTGGTTCAGTGAGTGGTAAAACCACACATCTGTTGAGAGGACGTGATGCCGGCCAAACAAAAACTGCCAAAGCAGAGAAGCTTGGAACAAAGATTATCGATGAGGATGGATTCTATGCTCTCTTCGATTCAGCAGCTGCAGAACAACCCAACGCAGAAGAGAAGATGAAAGAAAGTGGGCAGTCAAAAGCAAAGGGTAAAGCCAAAGCTAAAGCAAAAGATGAACCCGCGCCTGCTGCCTTAAAGTAAGCTGACTTTTGCAGAAAGTTTCAACTGCGTTATGGATGGGATGCTGACAGTCATGGCTGCATGTAGTACTGCTCCTGGTAGCATTGAAGACAGTCTGTGGGTTGACAGGTATCGTCCCCAAACCCTAAAGGACATTGTGGGTAACAAGGAAACGATCAGAAAGGTCTCTGCATGGCTCGAGAACTGGTACGATATTATATTTTTCTGCAAAGAAATCTACTTGCTTGTCCGGCTTACTTGGATGTACGAATCAATTTCAAACAGGGAATCGAGTTTGAAGCAGAATTTCAAGAAGGGATCAAGTCAAAACGACGATATCGAGACAAAGCGGTCTGTTCTTCTGAGTGGTCCTCCGGGCATCGGTACGTATTTCCATTCTTCACTTGTATCATCTTTGCCATCTTCCTAACCATCATTGATCCCATAGGTAAAACGTCGAGTGCCCTTGTTATCGCCAGAACTCATGGATTTGAGCCTCTTGAATTAAATGCCAGTGATGGGCGCAGCAAAAAGATATTGCAGGTTCGTATTTTTCCTCTTCTCTCTCCTTGATGAGAATGCTTTCTTCCGTTTCAATAAATTTGATAAGTAAATTTTCTATAAAAATTATATAGGAAAACATCTCTGAAATGATGGACAATCGAAGTATGACCGAGTTCTACCAAGGAGACAAGAAAAAGCTGAAAGAAAAGAAGGCAAGTCTTAACAAAAAAGTACTTGCTTAAAAATATGTTTTAACAAAAACTGACCAAGAGAACTTTTATATAAAACAGGATAGCTTGATTGGTGGTCGAAAAGTTGTCCTTATCATGGATGAAGTGGATGGCATGACTGGCGGTGATCGCGGTGGATCAGCTGAACTTGCTTCACTTATTCGAAAGACAAAGGTGAGAATAACTCTGCAAATATATGGGGCATTCTACATAAACATCTATTTTGTTACAGCGATGAGCTAACGAAAAGCAAAAGATCCCTGTGATTTGTATCTGTAACGACGTTCGATCAGACAAAGTCAAGCCCTTGCTGAACGTGTGCTACGATGCCCGGTTCAGACGGTAAGAGTGAGCGAACTATACGTATGGTGATGGATACTAATAACTGCTATATGCGGATTTTCCTATCATTATTAGAACACCGGCAGCCCAAATACGATCACGCTTGATGACTATTGCCCATCGGTTAGTGTTCTTGAAAAGAGAACGGTCATTTTAGGTCGAAATGATGAGGGGGTACTAACGTTATATATCTATAGAGAGGGCCTTAAGGTGCAAGCCAACGCAATCGATCAATTGGTTGAAGCTACACACAACGATATGCGACAAATGATCAACATCCTGTCCACTTTCAAGTTGGCTCAAGACTCGCTCAGTTATGATCAAGCAAAGGCACTGTAAGTTTTCTTGTGAATACATGTTGTAGAACCTTCAAGAAACTAAAAAGCGATTACACGTCTCTATCCAGTGGTCAAGCAAACGAAAAATACGAGCAATTGAACGTCTTTGACATTGCTCTCACGTTATTATCCAGCAGTTCATCTGCCGGAAAATCACTCAGTGAAAAATACGATTATTACTTTCACGATTTCAGTTTGGCTCCTCTCATGATTTGGGTATTGTCTTTTCTTCCTCTTTGAATAGCTAACTAGCCAAGAATAAGAAAAGAGAGAGAGAGAGAGAGATTAACCCTTTCTTTTGATAGGAAAATTATCTTCGTGTAACGCCTGCCAAGGCAGAAGCTCCATCAGGTGATCCCAATGAAAGAGCACGTAATGAGATGCGTCTTATGGCAAAAGCAGCAGAAGCGTTTGCGGACGGTGATCTTGTCGATAGACAGATCCATGGGTAAATACACCAGTAAATGTAAAAAAAAGGAGCAATACACAGTCAAAGAGAACCCTCAATAACTCAATCAATAACATATAGCACGCTCCAACAATGGTCGCTCATGCCTGTGCACTCTATCTTCTCCTGTGTTCGACCCACACACTACATTGCGGGCAGAATCCAAGGCCGTCCACAATTCCCTCAGTGGCTCGGTCAAAACAGCAAAGCAAACAAGCACATGAAAATGTTGAACGATATCCGGTATCGCATGCGGCTTCGATCATCCGCAAATCGATACGAAGTGCGACAAAATTATGTGCCCACATTTGTCGACCGTATGTTTGATGACTTGAAAGAGGTAAATTTCGATATCCTACATTCATTTTCTTTTATCGTGAGTACCCATCCCCCCCCCGGGCAAAGAAATTAACATCGTCCTATGTATGAACAGAGCAATGTAGATGAAGTTATTGCTATCATGGACGAATACTATATGCAACGTGACAATCTCGATGCACTGAACGAATTGATAATCACATCGAAGAAACCCATGGCCGCGCTCTCTACAGCACAAAAGACGGCATTTACACGAACGTACAACAGTCAGAACCATCCGATACTATTCCAAGTTGCAGGAGAACCTATCAAGAAGAAGCTGGATGCACCTGCTGAGGATCGTGAAGGCGAGATTTTCGGGGAAGATCCTGATTTCGGCATGGCCGTGTCTGATGAAGAGTCTTCCGGGGAGGATTTGGGTCAAGACAGGTTGATCTCCGAGTCCAAGATAAAAAGACGCCCAAGACCATCATCGTCGTCGTCGTCTGGCAGACTTAGGAAGAAACAAAGAACGAAGAAATAGGCGGAATAGCAGTAACTCAATGGCTTTATGTTTTCTTTGCTTTTTAACTTGAAAGAAAAAGCGACTTTATTACTTTGCTTGTACATGCCAATCCATTTATTTTTTGGTTTCTGAGAATGTAGAAAAGAGGGGAAAGAGGGAAAGAAAGGTAGGAAAGATGGGTTAAAGAAAACAAAAGTAAACAGCAGAAGAGTAACATGAGATTAGTGTGTGTGTGTGTGTAAGTGAATGGCGTGTAAAATGAGAAATAGCATAGAGAGCTGAGCTAATACGTTGTAACTAGTGGATCCTTTTCCCTAATCCATTACACATCCATACTACTCCCCGCACCTCATCTTTTTGCACGCACCGCACTGCACAGCACCGCACGCTCACTCTAAATATGCAAGGGGAGAAAGAAAAAGTCAATACAACCATTGCTCGAGACGCGTTAATAGGTAGTGGATAGGCAAGTATGATATCGTTTTTGCTTTTTTTTTTTTGGGTGGTAAGTTGATAGGTGCTGGTGGCGGTAGCTGGTAATGCTCCTTTTACTTTCGTTGGGCCGCCACACGCAAAGCAAAACATACCACCGACGATATACGCTTGTCAAAAAAGTAGTCGAGAGAAAGAGAAAAGTTATATAATCACCTCGACCGTTCCTTTTTCCTTCACTCCTTCTTCCAATATAAAAAAACAAAACAATCATCCGCCGTTCTTCTTCTTCTTCTTCCGCCGCCGCCGCCGCCGCCGCCATCTTCCACAAATCTTCCCCACTTTATCTTCTTTCTTCATTTCCATATCTCCAACCCCACTTAATACCCGCTTGGAGGGCCTCGGCCACCTGGATTGCCCATGTTACATTTAGCACAGTGTGTCCGTTTTGCAAAGTCTAAAAGAAGAACAATGGAATCTGGTGTTAGCAACAAATGCCCCACCCCTTTTAAGGCTCCTTCTTGCTCATCACTGGTTGGTGATACTTACTATGAAATCCACAAGAGTCATTCGCACACACCCAATCGCCAGCTAAATAATCATTGAGTATCTCCGTGGGTTCACAACAATGGGGTATGTCAAATATTATATTTTTAGGCAGAAAACGATGCACTTACGCTTCATTCCTGGATTCGGAGGCATATAGCCGCCAGCAGCAGGAGGGGCGCCCTGATCGCCTACTGGCTTCGCTGTGCTGCACTTCAAGCACTGGAATCTGGATGCAAAATTATGCGAGTTGCATGAAGGACTAATGATTCGATACTCTCGAGTCAGTGATGCAGGTTCTTTTTTCTTTACTTTTTGATATAGCAAAATACGCTTACCAATACCAATCGCCTGGTCTGAAAGGAGCATTATTTCCACTAGGAGGACCATAGCCATAGCTGTTTGAAGGGGCGGGTGGCTGCTGTTGATGTTGTTGTTGTTGGTATCCTCCCTGGCCATATCCATAGTTGGAATCATAGCCATAGCCAGGTTGAGCAGGGTTATAAGGGGGTCGCTGTGTAGGGTTGGGGTTGGGCGTGTGGCACCGGAAGCATGCTGTCCGTGAAGCAAAATTTTGGAATCCACATGCTGGGTTGGGACAATACCAATCGCCTGGTCGAAAAGTGATGGGTGGTCGTTGATATCCGCCCGATGGAGGTGGGGGAGGATGTGGGCCAGAGCCTGCCTGTGGACGATATGTACCGCACTTTAAGCATTGGACACGCGACGCGTAGTTGTGGAAGTTGCATTGATAGTTGGGACACATCCAATCGCCCGGGGTGAAGTTTGGCGGTGTGTTGCCGACTGGTGGTGGTGGTGGCATTCCTTGACCATGTTGCTGCGGTGCCGCGGCCACAGGAGGAGCTTGAGGGTTCTCTGTGTTGCACTTGAAGCAGTTGCGTCGCGAGGCAAAGTTGTGGAAGCTGCAGTTGGGGCAATTCCAGTCGCCCGGACGAAGCGTACGGGCCTTGGCATGTGCTGGGAACGGCACGAGCATGCTACCTGCTGCTTCAATGACGCGCTCACTACTGGGCGATACTTCGACAGCACGATCGCCCAAGCATCGACCGTTCAAGGACAATGCACGCATGGCATCGTTGTGTGCATGGAAAACAACAAAGCCGGACAAGTTGGGCTTTGAAAAGTCGGTTGTCTGGATCATGTAAGTTGCTGTGGGTCGCAAACCGTTGGATGAGAACCAGGCCTCCAATTCACCCTGCGTCACCTCAAAGGGCAGACCCGCCAAATGAACAACCTTGGACTCTTCCTTTTTGAATTGCTGCAAATCGGCGTTGGTGTCAATGGCGTGGACAAACACGTCAGGATGGCCGAAATCAGTGAGATATCGGATAACATTGACCGTGGTCAAGCACGTATTGAGTCCGGCCGACTTATCCGTAACACGATCAACATGGAAAGTTTCGCACAGTTCTTTCAACGCCATGGACCGAAGACTGACTTCGCGATGGTGGACTTGCCAGCGTTGAATCTCTTGCTTCAAGTCAAACATGCGACAGAACGAAAGATAGGATGGAAGCTCGATACCCTTGTCACGTGCCTCGCGTGGTAATTGTATCCGGAGCGTCCAACCGCCATGCGTGACAAAACAGAACGACAGTTGCTTGGACTCGATTTCTTGTTGGATGTATTCGTCCAGCTTTGAAATGGCGTTCTGCAAGTTACCGGCCGAACCCAACGTTTCCGCAGTGATACCGGTGATTTGCGTGCAGTATTCTGTCAACGGCGTTTGCTCAGGCTTGACATAGATTTGCTCGGTATGAACGACTTGCATCGTTGCTGCATCGATCACGGCAAAAGCAAGTTCTGTGAAAAGAGATAAACAGCGTTAGCTTGCAACACCAATACTTGTCTCACAAAGAAAGGCTTACCAATAACTTCAGAATTCTCCTGAGTTCCAAGAAAAGTAGATATTAGTTATTGATCCTTTTAATCCAAGATAAAGAAAAATGATTTATAAAGTACCTTGGTCACTTGAACTGCTGACGGATTCGCAGCATTCTCATCACAGGTAGCAGACACATTGAGAACAATTAATCGGTTGAAAGGAACTGTAGATCCCACAGTACGCTTTGATTCAGCAGGGGCCTGATTATCAGAAGCTTGATTTTCCTTTGTTACTTCAGTGGACTGTTGTTGTTGTTGTTGTGATTCAGTTCCTTCAGCCGTTTCTTCAGTCTTGGCATTCAAAGATGGTTCTGCTACTGCCTGTTCTGTTGACTCCTTTGCAGTATCAGTATCGTGAGAGACATCCACCTGTTCTGTCTGAGCAATGACTTGTTCGTCCGCTTCTTCTTGTTGCTGTTGGTTGTCATCGTGAGTAGACGCTTGTTGTTCGTCCAATTGCTGTTTCTTTGACTGATTTTCGGCGTCCTCACTATCTTCAAGATCATCTGCTTTACGCTTACGATCTTGATCTTTAAAGAAATACTCCATGCTTGACATTAACGATTTTCTTTTAATTTTTTAAAAAAAAAAGAATGAGAAAGTGAGGATAGAAGAGAGAGAGACGGAGACGAGCGAATATAGAGAGGCCTGCGATTTCCGAATTTGAGTGGCTTGGAAAACCATAGAACGAAGAGAGAGACGTAACGAATCGTGTTATTATTATTCTCAGCTGCCACTTACTTCACGTAACCGTTGCAAAAGAGGGGGCGGAACAGAACGGCTCCCCCTTTTTTTTCCTTTACCTTTAATTCGTTCTTATAATTTCCATGTGGTCTGCCTGATGGCACCCTTCCAATATTTCCGGCGGAATGGGGGAAAGATATTACGAGGCGCTGCCTATGCCGTCCAATTCATGTGCTTTGCCCATGTGTTCAACCAGTATATAGCTGAAGCCACTTTTGTAAGTCATTCTAACAACAGAACAGGACACGCGTACTCGTTTTATATATAGTGGGAATGTTGTATTAAAATATGATTATGAAACTGTAATGTAGTGCATGGGGCCATCCATGCTGCCAAACTTCAACATGACGGGCGATATCGTTGCTGTTGAACATATTACGCCTCATTTCCGAGGATATCGCATGGGTGACGTGGTTGTTTGCATATCACCAGCCGCGCCTGGTAGAGCAGTGTTAAAACGTATCCTTGGCTTGGTAATTATGATAGCAATACATAGGTTTGCTTTCGTTACATTTTTTTCCAACTATATACTGATCGCTACTTTTTATTCTGTCTTTGATACAGCCTGGTGACAATGTGTGCGTCGATCCAACTGCTGAAGAACGGAGATACATTGATGTGAGGAAACAACACAAAAAAAGAGGCACACTTGTGATGGTAGATTTGCTAATAATCCTTTGTTGATTTAAAAAGGTACCGGAAGGACACGTTTGGTTGATGGGTGACAATCTGAGTAACTCGACGGATTCGCGTTACTATGGTCCTGTTGCGATGGGATTAATTCGAGGACGTGTGTTTGCTAGAGTAAGTAAAAAGATATAGTGAAGAACTTCTATCTTTGCAGCAAGTAATGAGTAAAAGTGAGATTATGCTAAACATTTATCGTAACATAGCTTTGGCCAGAATGTCGCCTTGTTCCCAATGCCTTGATTCCTGTATCTGCGGAAGACTACGCCTCTAGATAGTTCCTGTTCTTATTACTGCTTTATACACATACATTCTTCTTCCCTTCTATTATATTATTCACCGCAAAAACAATCAGAACATACCCCATCCGATTTTCCTTTGAAAAAAAAAAGAGACAGCTTGTTGCCATGTGCTGCAATCGGTATACACATGTATAATCTGCATTATTAGTTTACGTGTCACTGATCGTTTTTGTTGTTGCACCAAAATCCCAACCCCGGTATAAAATAAGAATGGGGGTCCCAATGCAGTAGTAGACTCCATAAAAGCTAATAGGTTGAATGTGGTTCTAGCCCTACAAACACTCACATAAATCTTAATTATTGCATACATATAATACTTTAATAATGAGCACCCCATTACCACAATCGATTCAAGACATTGAAGCCAAAGAACGTTATGGCTCAGCTCAACGTGGACGGAACGTCCGCTTTTCACTTCGTAGCCGCGTGCTTTGCTGTGTTGGCATACTTATGCTACTCACAGTTGGGCTATTGGCCCATTTCGGTAATGTGTCAAGAATCGCATCGTTTAGACTTGGCAACAAGTCGTCGTCGACGTCTCAGGATCAACAAGACGCAGCAGCTATCGCCGCTATGGACAATGACTTGCCGCCGATACCTCAGCAACAATCACTGGAAGCTGAACTCGAAAGCATTATCCGAGCACACCCGCTCACTGTGTTTTCAAAGACTTACTGCCCGTGAGTGGTCGTTTCCCTTGCGTCCAACTATCAAAAAGATAAAGAAAAAAAAATACTTATTTGCATTATAGATATTCTCGGAAAGCAAAAGCAATCTTGAATGAATATCCTTTAAAAGTACCATACTACGTGGTCGAAGTGGATCTTAGAGGTAGGGATCGTCGCTTCTCCTTCTTACTCAAACATTCTGACGCAATACCTGTGTGGAGAAAAAAAAACAAAAGAGGATATTAACCCGAAACGGATAATATTTTATAATTAGCGGATGCTGTGGAAGTTAAACGGGTGCTCGGTGAAAACACAGGACGTGACACATTCCCCAATGTGTTTGTCAACGGTCAAAGCATTGGTGGGGCTACTGAACTTGGACGGTTTGATCGGAGCGGGCGGCTTAAAGAGATATTGGAAGAAAACAACCTGCTGTGATTGGCATTGTTTCCTTCATTTATAAACTCTGAAACCGTGCCCCGCCCACTACCCCGCACCAAAAACTTGTACCTTTTCCCTTTGCCTTCTTACTCCACACGAAAAGAAAAATAAATAAACAAAAACCCCAATTTGTGTTGCGTTGTGTGTGTTGAAACATATATAACCCAAAGGGATCTTCTTAATTAAGATGACGTTCCTTGTAAATTCTTCTCTTTTCTCTTTTTCTACTACAAATTCCATGTTTTCACAACTTATGTCCAATCCCAAACCCCTGGATATCGAACTACTCGAACCCGTTGTACATCTTCATGGTCGACGGGGCGATGCTGTTATTCGTGGCTCCATAGGTGTCACTGTCTCTCGGCCTCATACCCTCAAATCCCTTGCAGTTCTATTCGAAGGCGACGCTAAGCTATTACAAAGCAACTACAAAGTTCATCAACGACGCATTGCCCATCACCAGCTTATTTTGTATCCAACAACAACAACAACATCAACAAGCCAGCAACGATCATTATTGCTACAACCAGGCACCACTCGCTTTGCTTTTGAGATGCAATTGCCACCAGGACTTGCCGGTACTATCCGCTGCGACCAAATCAATGTCGATTATAATCTTGTATCGTCAATCCAATACTCCCGTCGCTCGTCGATTACCGTCATGAAGCACCGAGTGGCCAAGCCAATCCACTTGATACGCCCGCCTTCGTCGTCAACGCTGAGTGTTTTGGTAAACGGCGAAAACGTCGAATCATCCGTGGATTCTCAAAAGCAACATACCAGGTGGTGCCAATACCGTGTCACGATCGATCAACGGGCTGCTATCATGGGCCAGCTATTACCAATCACGTTGTCGATCGCGCCGCATCTTGACAGTCTATGTCTCGAGCACGTTTATACACAACTTGTCGAACAGCGCTGTGTGCGGGAGAAGGAGAGCGGTGAATGGGAGACGCACAAAAGCACGCACATGCTTTTACCGGTCCTCGATGGCAAATCGTGTATGTTCACACCTGGAAAATCAATGGCTTTGCGAGAACCCTGGCAAGGCACATTACTGTACCGCATTTCGGCCGTGATGCAAGACGACCTCGTCCGTACTTGCAAACGTGAAAGTCCGGATTACTATATCAATCACAGTATCCTTGTGTCCTTTGTCGTCAGTTACCCGGTTCTGTGTCAGCCGAGGGAAACGCGAAGATGCTCAAAGACTCTGGTGTTTCAGGCCGATATCGACTTGTTGGATTCGCAGTGTTGTTCACCAAAAACCTCATCTGACGAAACGTTCCAAGGTTACTGGCAGACTTTGCCGCCGTATGAAGAATACAGCTCGTCACCAGCATCAACGTCGTCGTTATTGTCGGTTCCTGATACCAATACAAGCCATTTGTTGATGATGGGAACTCCTACATCTACTGCCACTCCTCCGTCTGCCGTTCCTCCACCAGCATACGACGAAATTTGTGCTTTATAGAATCTCTTTTGTGGTTATTTTCTATGATCATTATCACGTGTATATACCGCATCTATTTAGTATCTATGCATTCTACCTTTTGTGTATATAGCAACAGAAATAAAACACATACCTCGCTACAGTATGGACATTTTCCGAAAAGAATGTTGAAGCTTCGCGTAGTCGTTGGATTAGATCGTAACCACTGAAACCCCCCCCCTTGTGTCAGTGCAACATGTTTGGATGGTCTGTTAATGTACGATCTAATTGGACTAGGGATGTCCCTTTTACCTCAGAGATACAGGTAGGATGAAATCCACGGTTGCATTGATCGTTGATACAGATCACATCGGGTGTTAACAGTCCAAGGTCAGGATGTTCAAGCTTGTATGCATAGCAAATGGCACATTCCACGTCAAACGACGTATCCTGCTGATGGTGATGTGAGTTGGAAACCTTCGTCATCATACGATCGCCAAATATGCGCGACAGGTTCTTATAAGGTGTATCAGCTCTGCTCCTAATGCATTCATGATTTCGGTAAGGCACATACTGTTACTGAAATTGTTCTCAAAGAGTCCATTCATCTTTGAAAGTTATATATATTACCATTGTTCGGCTTGGCTTTCCCACAATTGCTGAAGCGTTTTCATATTCTTTTCACTTCCATAGAATCGCATTGCCTTTAGTCCAGCGCGCGGAAATTTCGGATCGAGTTCCAAATGAAGCGAGCAATGGCCCTTGAGGGCAACGCGTCGCCAGGCGTCTTTGCCAGTAGGTTGATCTGGATCCAACACACGTACATGCTGATCCAGTTCGTCCACACATACGAAATAGTCGCGAAAGGTCTCGATCCAATCGTAATAGTATAGAATGGCAGCATGCAATGTAGAGTGGGTTGTCGTCGTTGTCAAGGTCGTATCTTTATTGCTGTCACGGCCCTCGTTCATGCTATTACTGCTACTGCCATTGCTACTAGGTCCGTCCAATATCAATTTGAGTGGTGTTAGTGGATAACCGGGTGGAATATGTGTCTTTACGTTGTGTACTCGGCCGTTTTGATCTTGCAATTTGAACGTAATATGGTCCATCGCCTCGTTGATGTGAGATACTTTGTCAAAACCAATCTGTTTTAGCTCGCCCATGAGTTCTTTGTATCGCTTGGTTGCCGAAAAGTTCAATCCGTTTTTGCTCTTTTTGAACGTTTCATGTTCTTCCTGTGTGTTTTCAAGTGGTCAAGTGAGCCTTTTATTGCACAAGAATAATCTTACTGGCTTTTTTTTTGTGTGTGTCTACTTACGAGCATAGCCTTGAGTTCAGAAAGAAATAACGTGATTTCGTCACACTGGTTGAGCCGATTTATCAGTTTCTGTTCGTCCATTTCTCGAAGCATGTGCTTTAGTTCAGCGCCACCATATACTTGGGCTCCAGCACTGTTTCCAGGTAAGTGTACTTGAATAAGGTACTCAACACTCTAGATTGAAACAGAAAAAAAAAGGGGGGGTAGGATATTTCGTTGTTACTTGCAGACAAAGGAAAATGAAAGCTCGTGTAAAAGTAAATTACGTGAACGGGCAGAAATCCTCGAAAAACTTTTGCTTCTTCATCGACTGGTGTCATGAGTGGAAATCGTCGTAAAGCCATTATGCCAGCAGTTAGCTTGTATGTGTGAAAGAGAGAGAGAGGAAGACGACACGTTGTGTCGCGTGAGCGGAACAAAATGGGAGGAACAAAACGCGAACGCGTCCGCCTCTCTTTCTTTTTAATTTTCATTTTTCTCTTTTCCTGTCAAGTTCACCACATTAACTAAACGCAACAACAAAATGGCAGCAAATAATGTCGAGAATAAGCCAAGAAGTATGACGGCCGGTGCACGTAACGTGCTACGATCCAACGATTCTGCTAGTTTGTGGAATTGTACCTTGTCACCAGGTAAGCATAGTGCCGCAACGTATTCCACGAGCAAACAACAACGACAACGACAACAACAACAGCTACTAATGCCACAACTAATATTTGAAAGGCTGGAGTCAGGATGAATCCGAAATTCTACGAAAAGCACTCATGAAGTTTGGCATTGGTAATTGGGCAAAAATTATCGACAGTGGCTGTTTACCCGGTAAAACCAACGCACAAATGAATCTTCAGTTGCAACGATTACTTGGACAGCAAAGTACAGCGGGTAATTGTATACATGAATTGACATGACAACTAGAGGTGCGGTTACTTTAAATTTTTCTAAAAAAAAATAATAAATGAATAGAGTTTGCGAGTCTGCATATTGATCCCAAAGTGATTGGTGAACGCAACTCAAAAATCCAAGGTCCTGATATCAAACGAAAGAACAACTGTATTGTCAACACGGGCGGCAAATTGTCGCGCGAAGAGCTACGACAGCGTGTGATAAAGAACAAGGAAATGTAAGAAAGGGACTGTTTGTATAACTTTGTGGATTATATACATACTTAGTCTATAACACACAATGTTACAAACAGGTACGAGTTGCCCGACTCGGAATGGAAAGATATCGAACTTCCAAAAACTGAAGATGTAAGTTGTGTAAATTCGATGGCTCATGTTTCTTGGGACGAGTGGGGGCTTAGCAAGACTAGGGAAATGGAAAAGGGACAAGGAGGAAAAATTTCCTTTGATCTGATTACAGTTATGCTGTCATGATATGTCATTGGTAGCCTGTGCTCCTACTGGAAGCGAAAAAGGAAGAACTGCGGCACTTGAAGCAGCAGCTGGAGAAGGTACAAGGCAGGATCGCGCAGATGCGCAAGGTACAGCCTGCACGAGTCAAAGAGCTCCAGGTAAGTTGTATAGAGCATAGTGTGGTGACAGGGCAAGATGGGGGAGGACTATTTCATTCTCTAACGCAACAATGGATCGTTTGGCTCCATAGGAAGTGGTCAAAAACGAAGCATAAAAATAGTTATCTCCTCTTTTCTCCTCCTCCTCCTTTTCCTTTAACACTTTACCCTCATCACCCTTTGCAAACAACAGCGACGAATGCATATCAAACAAACATTAAAGATTCACGATCATTCCTTGGCATTAATGACACAGGCACATCATCCACCGATACAACCAGATACTTGGTACTTGTTGAAACTTTCACTGAAAGGAGAGGATATGAGGGAAGAGGGGCTGACATCATACCAAATGAGGCAACCATCGCCACTGCTGCTGAGCCTCGCATTTGCGCAGCCGAAAAATAAAATAGAGTAAAGTAAGGTCCGCATGACGAGTGTTATTAACAAGGTAGTGCGCTCGTTCGAACTTGCTCTAAGTACCCTGCCATATCAGTGAGCAACTTGTACATATGGAAACAAGGTCAGGTAGAAGGGGGAGGAGAAAGAATACAAATATGTGTGGATGCTCAAGAGAAAAATGGCGCGTATACGTAGTAGTAGTAATAGTAATAGTAGATTATGCTGCTGTCTTGGCTTTTCGTGCATTACACAAACACGCACAGCACCCACATAAAAAAATAGAGTGAGCACCTTGCGACTTTCTTTTCTTCCTTCTTTCCTTTCCTGCTTCTTGAGTATTTTCTTTTTTTGCGTCACTTTTGACTCTCTTTCTTCTTTCTTCAACGCCCACTTCTTCCTGGCCGGAGAACAACTCATACGATGGCTCGAAAACACAACAGTCGAATCCAGAAACAGCTCGTTATCATTGGAGACGGAGCTTGCGGTAATAATAGTTGTTGGAAAGGAATACCAAAGAGAAAACTTGTGTGTGTGTGTGTGTATGCTGATTTGTTTCAAGCAGGCAAAACAAGTTTGCTTATTGTATATTCCCGTGACCAATTCCCGGAATACGTATGTATTACAGTGAAACAGCACACGCATCGACGATAAACCGTCATGTAAATAAGGGAAAAAGAAAAACTCATGCTGGTGTATATATGCCCCTGTTTCGATATTAGCATCTTCCAACGGTGTTTGACACAGAAGTCAAGGAAGTCGAAGTGGATGGCAAACCAATCGAGCTTTCTCTATGGGATACAGCAGGTAAACGTATCATGTGCACACATCGAATACAGGACAGAAACTCATTGTGTTGCCCCTCCTCCCAGGTCAGGAAACGTTTGATCGCCTGCGCACACTTGCTTATCCTGACTCGGACGTTATCATAATCGCTTTTTCGATTGGAGAACCGGAAACGTTGGAGAATATCCCGGAAAAGGTTGGCTGGTTGGTTGACTTGCTGTGTTGGCAGTTGGGGATGGAGGAGGGTGGGGTTGGTGAAAGCAAAAGGAAAAATACTGACTGGGGGGTTATGATATCCAACCATGTTAGTGGGTACCCGAAGTAAATCACTTTGCCTCTGGAACACCGTACTTGTTGGTTGGCTGTAAAAAGGATTTGCGAACAGACCCAGCAACAGTGGAACAGTTGCGAAAAGAGCAACAAACGCCAGTATCCTATGGAAGGGTAAATAATAAGCGAGCGGAAATCTGGGGTAAATGTATGTGCTAATGTGTTTCCTTGATCTTTTTTGCAGGGGTTGAGCATGGCGCGTGAAATTGGCGCATTGGATTACATTGAGTGTTCTGCAAAATTAAACGAAAACGTTGAGGATGTGTTTGATGCCGCTGTCCGAGCAACATTGATAAAGCGATCCAAGTGGCGTTGCAATATTCTTTAAGGCATGTAAAAAAAACGACGACAGTACTTCTCCCTGGCTGCTTTCAAACCCGTTCTTCCCCTTTTACACTCTTGCTGTTTTTTAAAAACCTATAAAAAATAATCCATCCATTTGTATGTACACGTAGTATAACCTTTTCCTATAACCAATACAACAATCAATATCAGAGAATCCCTCCCTTTCTGGTTTTTTTTTTCTGTAACGGCGGTAATGTGACACACACACACACACACAGAGGGTCCCTTTTTCCCTTGTCATTATTTTTTATTACGAACATCGTCAGTGTACGTTTCCAAACGAGTGGCGCAGGTGTGTAAGGGTCCATTGGAGAGGTTTTTAGGCACTGGTGTCCATCGGATCATTACCGCTTTTGGCCGCAGTCTTGCTGCGCTTTAGCTTTTGCTGTGCTTTCCATGCGTCAATACGTTCTTTCACCTCGGGCGCTATTTTTACGTAAAGATGAACACAGTATTAGTAAGCTCCTTGCGGGGGTGTCTTTTTATCATACCTGGCTGGATCATATCCATCGAGAGTGGAGCACGGCTGAAAGGATCACGAGTATCACTCAGCAAGTGTGCACGGATCGTGCTGCGATCAATGATGGTGCCTGAGGTAGGCAATAGCACGGGATCTTCCATCACGCTGGAAAGAATAGGATCTAGACGCAAGAAAATGGAACAAGTTAAAAAAAAACTCTCCCCACCCACCAACACCAACACGTATTTTCTGTTCCCCTTGGCAAATATACAAGCCCCCCCTGATAGTTTACCCAAGAATTCGTCCGGAACATCGCCCAATTCTTCCTCCTCTTCAACGCCACATTGGATAGCCTCTTCGACCTTGTTGACAAATGCTTCCAATGAAGCTACATCGTCTGCATGCTTCAGACGTTGCTTGAGCAGAATCGATGCGGCTTTGGAAAAGTATTCCTTTTTGTAGGATCGCCCGTCACGTGCGACAGCTTCCACAAAAGCAGGACAGCTCAAATGTAAGTAGATATCGATGATTTCCGAAAGCAAGACACGGGGTTGGAAATGATACTTTTCACGGTTCTTAACCTGGAGTTAGAAGAGCAAGAAAGTAAGTACATGATTCTCTGGTGGCCATGGGGGGTGGGGAGCGATATTCCTTAAAAAAACACTAACCTTTAGCTCTTGGCACTTGGGTCCAACAAGTTGTGCAAGGTTGTAATCAAGCATAGCAGCCAATCGATCCACCACTTCTGATACCATGAACGGTTCGACGACTTCTTTGGTGAGGTACTGGAGCATATGAACCGTCTCATTACCTAATGCCACATAAGATTGTGCTTGACGCTCCAATGTACGCAGCGTGCCTTCGCGCTCTTGTCGTTGTTGCTATTGGATTTACCAAGGAAGAAAAAAAGAAGAGTTTGGTGACTTTATTCTTGTTCATTTGTCCTCAAGAGCACTCACTGGAGGCTGGGCTTCCCATGCTGTAGTATCATCCATTTCGGTCTGTATTTGATGGATTTCTGATAACTTGCTTAAGCTCTCGTCCAATAGATATGTAACGTCACTCATCAGCATGTTGACAAAGCGCGTGAAGAGTTCGTGATTTCTATCCTGTAGTGTTATACAGTGTATCTGGGTGTTTGTAATGCACACATGACAAAGTTATATACGTACTTGCTTTCCTCGCGCAACTTGCTGCGATGGGCCGGGTGGTTCCATATGGTCTTCATGATATGACTAATGTTGTAACGAATGTTGAACTTGTCATAAAACTGGGAACTAGTACCCGTCTGTTCCACCTCTGTTTTGACGATAGAAACAAGCACCTCGTTAGTCTCTGTGGCGATACTGTCCCTTGTTTCAATCGTAATGGGAACGACACTTACCAACATAAAAGTTCATCAATGATGGTACTAAATGATCCAGTGAAAGTGGGTGGGAGTTGAGCATAGGTTCCAGTTCGCCGGGTATGCCTTTACCGAGAGGATAAGTGAAAAAGAAGAGAATCTAATCATCTCAAGTTAACAAAGATTTTTTCCCAAAAGAGGAATCCGTATGTGACGCTACACGGATGCACACAGAAAGTTAGAATACATACCTCAACAAGCTTCGCTTTCAAGTATGGATTCTTGATGTATTTTGAATTGCGCAAAAAGGTGATGATAAAGGCAACAACCTCTTCTTGTGAGTTACTACGGAAAGTTGGAGTTTGGTAACAGAATCTAATATAATTTTAAAAGTAGTAGAAGGACAGATGGATTGCTTAGTATTACACGTACTCTTTCTTTCTTTTTTCTTTTTGCCATGATTTGCTACATACTTTCCGAGGAAGATAAAGAATTCAACAATATCTTCAATGATCCATTCTGGTAACATGGCAAACACTTCAGGAATCTCTTGAGCCAATGGGAGCGTCACAGTCTTCCACGGATGTTGTTCTCGAGAATCGACAAGACGAATGAGCCAAGACATGACCAGGTTGAGGAAGCGCATTGCTTGTGAGAGAAACTCAGTATCCATCAGCATAGACTCATAGGCCCTCTTGTGCATCGCCATGATGTCCAAACGTGCTTTCATACGCTTCATAAGAAAGTCCTGCATAGCCATCTATTTAGACAGAGTGGCCCCCAAAGAAATAACATGAGTTACATAGCTAAGGCTCTTTTCAAAACAACTACTACTTACAGCCGAACTACCCATACGAGCCATCTCCTGTTCCATGCGCTCGGTCTGTCGCTTCAGTTCAGAATATTCTCGCTTGAACTCGTTGTAGTTGACACAGGATCGGATGGGACCATAATGCATGAAGCATATGGTAAGGAAGAAAATCTCGGTAATGAAATTGTGTTCTACCAAACAGGAATTGCGTCAATTGGTTACTTTTTGGTGGTGCAGTTCAAAAAAAAGTATACATACCCTTTTGGGGTCGCGAATCGCCATAATATTCATCCGATTGTTCCTTTGTTCCACTAATCTTGGTATCCTCCTTAATGTCAAGACGGTGACTTGTGCGGAAATACGTTGGATCAATTTTATCAATCTACATATGGGCATGAAACACATGAATGAAACGTCACATTTTACTATAAAGACGAGTTTTCCCCTCAGATATGCTACGCCAGTGTGCAATAATACCTTTGACGCCTTTACATCCATAAAAGGATCGCATAAATCTAGCAATACTGCTGCAATATTGTGCATGAAGCCTTCACTTGCTACCGTCTGCGGATCAACCTGCATCTGAGCACGCTTTTCGTTCAACCGCAGTATGTGAGCAAAATAGGCAAGCACAGCTTCACGGGCAGCTGGACCTGACCGAACAATGCTGTTGATAATACCAAATAGGGTCCTCTATCATCCATACCACTTTAAAATTTAATTACACTGGAATAATCATGGCGGACTTTCCTTTTTACCTGGATGTTGTGCACTGTGCCTCGTAAACCGTTCATGCAAGATTCCAAGTCCGCTGAATATCTTTCTTCGGCATTCTGGAAAAAGTTCTCGGCCACCTTGGGCTATATCGCACGACGCAAGAATGATGAGATTTCCCTCTCGGAATTAGAATCATATATATATATATATACAAAAGAACCCGGATGTTCTTTGCTTATGTCCTTACCGCACTGTCAGGATAAGCCGTAAGCCGAAGGAAAGGCCCTAGTAGCGAGACTTCTTCAATGTTTTTAGCGGTTGCATCGGCTGGATCGAATTCAGGTAATGTTGGCAGCTTGAATGGTATATTGACAAGTTGCTGTTAGCACAAACCTGCTTTTTTCCTTTCATTGTTCCTTTTTTTTCACTTACCATGGCAGCGATCGTTTTGTTTTCGCAGAGGAACGTCAGTGTCTATGGCATTAGATGTACTTATCTTTAGTGTTTCTTTTTTGCTTTGGTTATTGTTCCTCTGTTAATACCTGCAAATGGCGCTTATAATCACCCAGGATATCTAGATTACAAAGTTGCTGCGATATAATAGAGACGGCTGCTCCCAGAATCTAGATATACAAAGAAAGTTTCAATTAGCAACGAAAATGGCAACATCAAGAATTAAGACTAGGGGAGAAAATGGACCGTACCATATCAAGTCCATCATCCGTAAAACGTATAACCAATTCATTAATGTACTCGGCCGGTAAGGCCTGTGCGCTATCCGGCTCGGCCAACAGACGTGGGACGAGTTGTTCAGGTCCCAATGATGAGCCGCTTAAAAAGAAAGAAAAGAAAAAAGGAGCGATTCCTCGAATCAGTACATTTGTTACATTTCCATCATTTTTTTCTCATACTTTTCTAATTGAGGGAACATGTCTGGCATCTGGATAAGCAGACCCGAATACGATATCAACAATCCTTTGACAGCATCCAATACACCAAGCCGTTTATCCAGCACTGCTTGTTCCAAGTTCTATTTCGATGAACAATAAGTTTGCTTGTCCTGATCTCTTCCCCCCCCCCTCCCGCATCCCTTTTCCATCAACTTCCATCCACGTCTTCTTGATCAAGTGAATATCAAAAGAGTGGGGCACACATACTCTGCTTCGAGTCAATGTATTTCGCTTGATATCGTGCGCCCGTTTCCAGCAAGCCAACAGATAATCAAAATGTAAAACCTTGAGATCGTTTCGCACATCCTCCGGGTATTCATCATTGGATTCGTTTGGATCGATTGACAACCGTGCCACCAAAATCCGATCTAATAATGCTTGACTCAACCGATATGGCTGTGGTGCTATTTATAATCATTCCTCTCTGTTATTTAGCAACAACGACATTACTTGACAAGACTGTATCGTCAATGCGAGAATAAACAAGTTACCGTTCTCATCCTCTAGTTCCGTGACTAATCCATGCAGATACACGCATCGTCCTTGTTTGTAAACCGTGTCCAGCTGTTTTGTGAATGTTTTTTTTTTTTTTCGTAAGCCAAATTTTTTTTTGACGTCCTCTGTCTGTCTCTTCCCCCACCCCCTCAATACGGTTTTGGAAGCTTACGCTCAAGGTCACTTGAAGGATACGAGACAGCACTTCATTTTGCCAATCTTCAAAGCTTTTCGCTGGTGCAACTTTGGATTGCTGTTCTTGTTGTTGTTGTGGTACGGGTGATCCTGTTGGTTGTGGTGACGACTTTGCGGGAGATGTCAAAGTAATGGGTCGTGTAATCTGTATACGTAATGTATATACACGATCGTTGAATATACTGGACGCGTACCCACTGGAATAAAATTTGGACGAATCCGATATATTTTAATCCCTCCTTTTTTTCTTCCTTCTCAATGCAATACCTCTACATTAGGTTGCTTTTTGACTTGTGGACTCGGCTGTTGCTGCTGCTGCTGCTGCTGCAGAGGCGATTTCGGAACTGTTGCTGACGAGGCACTCTGCTTCTGCTCAGCTGTCGCCGCCTGTTGTTCCTGCTGTTGTCTCTGCTGCTCTTCAGCCTGTTGTTGTAACTTTGCAAGACGTTTCAAACGAATCTAATAAAAACCACTAAAAGTAAGCAAAGGCTTATCAAGGGCGGATCGGTCGAATGCTACACGCACTTTATCAGCATCCGAAGGTTCAGACATGGTGGAAGGTGTTGGAAAAAAAGTAGTGAGAGAAAGGGCTGCGGAGTGAAAGTTGAATGTTCACGCGCCTTGACTTTCTAAGCATTTCTCAGGGCCATGACCCTCTTCCAAATTTTTGTTGAATTGTGTCCCGAGAACGATTAATCGATGTTATGATATCATACATAGGGGATTATTTATTATGTATGCGTTCAAGAAAAAAATGAGTAGATGTCTTTTATATGTCCATCCATCCTGCGTTCCACTTTTTAACAAGCTTCTTTGCTTCATCCACATGGCCACTTTCTATCAAAATCATGGTGACACCTCGAATGGCCGACTCCAGAGCGCCACTGATCCATGCATGTTTGATATCTGTTTGCTCACCAATAACAACAATGCCATTGGCATGTTGAAAATAAGCCGGCAAGAACAGTTTGGCTTGGCCCGGGGTCGGTTGTGCCCATGCTCCTGACTGAAACTCGTCGAGAATCCAGCATTTACGATGATAGTTTCCAGTATATTGCTCCTTGACAATCTCTTCTCCGTGCAACTCCATGATATCTTCCAGTACTCGTGTAATGTGTTGCTGCTCGGTCATGGATGCAAAGCGAAGACCACCCTGATCGGTAGAATAACTTGCCAACATGACACCCGGTCCACCACTGCCCAGGTTATTACTGGGATAGCAGACCATCTCGGATTTGAGGTCGGTGATATCGCATCCGCCCAAAATGGGCTTTTCATACTTTTCCCAGAACCGCGATTTGAACTAATTTGACAAATTTAAAAGGATTCGGTGGTTGGAACAGTACATAACTGTAGATCTCATGCAAAAGATAACCCAGTGTTGTTGCAGATATATGTATACCTCCAAAGCGACTTTGCAAGCTTGGCCATAACCGAGATTGTCAATAGCTCGGCGTAGTGTATATGGTAGCTCTACGAATGGTTTACAGTATTACATTTTCACTATAGGGAAATGGTAGCATGTTGCAATAGAAAAAAATATGTACTAGTACATATTGCACAAACCTTTTGGAAGATGCATCATTCTTGCTATAGAAAATGGAACAGACATGATCACCTTGTCATACAGTTTTTTATGATATACTGCATCTAATGTCGGCGTATCCTTCCATTGTACAGAGAGCATCCTGTTGTTGTCATCATCTTCTTCATAATCAATTTTCGTCACCTTGACATTGTATGTCACTTTGTGGCCAACAAACGGAACAAATGCATTTGTTATACGGCTCATGCCACCTTGTACAGTGCGCCACTCGGTGGCAGAACCCAAGAATGTGTGGTACATATAATTCCAGATATCCACGTTACCGAAACTTCCAAGCGCATAATCCGTTGCATTGAGTGTCACTCCCATTTTATTGTGCAACCACCCCCAAAGGGACCAATCGTCATAGCCTTCTTCCAATGCTTCCTGTTGATAGATAATTGAATGTTAGCCTTCTACTAAGAGAATTTACATATAGCTTTTTTATTACCTTGTGGGCCGCGTGAAGATTTTGACTCATGGATACCTTCCAGTGATCCTCAAGTAACTCTTGTGTTGCATTGCTAACTTGCTCAGCCAAATCCACTGGATCTCCAGACCAAAACAATGGGTTTGTAACTGCATCATTAACGGTTGGTATATTTCCATCGGGCATGCGGATACCGTTGCGATAAACCAAGTTGCTAAGAGATACATAGAAATGTTAGGAAACCGTATCAATGTATAGTATAGGGACATTGTTGTTGTTTTTCTGACCGACTCATGAAAGCACAGCAACATACTTTGACATTGTTTGGATCCAAGGTATAAAGTCGACCTTCAAATCGGGGTTATCAGCATTTTGGTTATTGAGTTCCTCCACAGCTTGAAATAGAATATCGTGATCCGTGATCGGTAATGTTGTGCCGTTATAGGTCCACTGGACAGGAACTCGCATAGATCCCATTTCTTGGTATGCAGTGTGCTCTTGATTAAAGTATACTGTTTGGATTCGTCTACCCGGATTTTTATAATTATAAAAACACAGCTTGAGTTGTGTATGCACATATAATAACGCTATGTATTCCTCTCTAGAGCTCACGTTCATTATCAGAAGCGTTTTTTCCCAGAACATCTTACCCTCCCATGCGATCACTTGCTTCGAGAATCTCATAATCATGGAAACCTGCTTGATCGAGCAAGTAGCCGCTGAAAAGCCCGGAAATACCGGCGCCAATAATTCCGATTTCTGCAACCCCAAAAAAAAATCATTAGACTTATATTCACCATTACCACAACTGCTATCTTTCTTGTTCTATCCCTTCATGCTAACTCACTCTTATTCTTTCCATCAGCCGCGATGAAATGAGTTGTGTCGTCATTGTGTACTTTTGCAGCATGTTCTTTAAAGTATTTGAACGCGTCAAAAAATTCTTGCTCTGAAAATCCACGTTTCACCAATCGTTTAGGTCTGATACGATACGGTCTACTTGATGCAACCAGTGTCACTTTGGTTTTTAAACCATCATCTTCTTGTTGGCGGTGTAGCCTTTTTGTTATTGTGGCATGGATGCATCCTTCTTGTTCTTGTTGAGCTTGAGATAGCGGCGAGGAGATGGTGGGAATGGCCCAGGTGAATTTGGAGGGTCGATAACTAGGCGAGACCTCTGTGGTACCAATGATAAAGCGACGGTGGAATTTCTCAGAGGTGATATCGCACACGCCAAATGATAATGTCATTTTCTGTCCTTCCGGTTCGATGAGCTTGTAGGCACCATAGTCGAGATAGATATTGGTCAATGAACCAGCTTCCAACGTATCATCCAAGACGTGTAAAGTTCCAGGAGGGGACAATGACGACGACGACTCATCAAAGTCGTTATGATTGTCGTTTGAAATAGCTGCTGCTAGAGTAATTGGTATGCAGTAGTACCACGTTACCAGCAGTAGTAACGGGGTAACGAGCATAGAAAGAATCATTAATTAATGTGTAGTACTGTATTGTTGCTTTGTGTTTGTGAGTCAGGTACGTAGTGTGTTTCGCAGTGATTTTAATAATAGAGCAATATTGAGTGGCTTTAGATAAGCATTGAAAGCAAATAAAATTTCTTTGTCGTCAAAAAGTTTTGCTTTTTATATACGGACAAACTTTGCAAAAGATAAAAGATAGCAGTATAGAAACAAGTTTCATATACCCTTTGGGCGTTTGTATAACCTTATAGGGTTTAAGGTGTTTGAAAGGCTATATACAAAGCAACTGTGTCTTTCGGGTGTACATATAAGGAATCTATGGTGTATCCAATTGGAGATAAGAAAAAACCCCATAACAAAAGCGCAACATGACTATGATGACAAAGCAATGCTATATTACTAATCAAAGTCATATCCTTACTCTTACATTTCCCGGAGTAGTTTTCGCGATAAGCAGCTTTGGTTGGTACATTATACTTTATCAAGTTGCTTACACGCTAATCTGCATGACGTGATATTGCGTGCTCTGTTGTATAAGTAGCAAGTTGATGTCTTGTCTGTGCTATGTGTGAAGCGTTTGCATGAAGCGGTGCGTTTTGGAAAGATTGTGATAAAAGAAATGGGGCGAAAGCCCTTTATCCGATGATGACATGTGGTACAAATAAAGAAAATAGTGACCCAGGCTATTGTCCGTTATCGCTTAGAGTGAATGTCAGTTGGAACTGCTGCATAAAGTAGTTGGACAGTTATGACAAGTCATACTCTCATACTTCAAGTACAATACAAGGATAGCAGAATCTTGAAAGTTTCTTGAATACTACGACAAGGTAATTTGAGGTTCATGAGCAGTATACTGATTTAAGTTTGTATGTTATGTAATAGTACACCTTGAAATTAAACATGATTGCGTATTACTGCTAGATGTATGCCACTGCACGTAGTCAGCGTAGTTATGGATAGTATATCACGTCTAGTATATGTTGGCTTTATATGATATGTACATTATCCAAGGCAAAACTTGAAAGCACATCAGTGTCACAACAAGTACTAAAGTAGCGCTGTCATTTCCACAGACGTCAATGAAGTCATCATGCTCGTCGCGTTGTACATACTTTTTTTAACATTGTCGTAAAATTTAATGGCGCTTGGTGTGTTGCAACCACCAAACCTTTCACTACCGTACCTTTCATATTACCGCTGTCATTGAAGGTTTTTTTTTCTTCTTTATTTGATAAGCATAGCAGGGAGAGAATTTCGCGGTCCATGCTTTGTTTTAAAATTTCACAGCTGCAAATCTACTTTTTCTGGCGTTTTTAATGAGCAGGAACCATTTTTTCCACATTTATCTCCACTATCATTGCTGATGGTTGTTCATGTTACTGCAGCACAAAAAAATCCAATCTTCGCCACCTGTGGGACTGACTATGTAGTGTTTACAGGAATACATACAAATTGCTGAGCATGAGTAGCGGGCGATGCGAGTAACAGCTCAACTTGTGTGCTTTGGTATTAGGGAAAAAAAAATCAAACATAATATTGGTTGAGCGGTTAGCAGCGTTGCTGCAAGTAATTATAATTGCACAGAAGCACATGCCCATAGGCGCCGAATAAAACATAATCTTCAACCTTGTTGAATAGAAGAGGTACTGTACCTTGTCCGTTAGACGGTACTTGTCAATTTGACTGTTAATCTCCCTCCAGTAGCGACACATTCTTTTATATGTGATCGCACTAATAAGTTGCTATTAGCACATGTATTGTAATAAGGAATTCTGCATTCTGGCTGTCCCAAATATGCTTCAATCTCTTACTAAATGCTTTTTTAAATACTTTACACTATATACCGTCCTTTTGTCTTAGCTCCAACCAGGGAAAGTAAAGCATCATCCTGCTGATTAATCAAAAACAGTCGCATCCTGCCCTAATTATGTGAACAGGCGGGAACCTTTGCCTTAATAAGAAATCCACAACTATGAGACGCAACTTGGATGTTCGGCATTGCTAACAGCTGCGTATATAACAGATACTATACTTGGGAAAGTAACAATAATTATAGCGTGAAATAAAGGTGAGCAGCCGTACCTGTATGTTCCTCAGTTGCTGCTATGCAATAAAAAGATGCATCAAAGTTTGAACTATCAGATCATGTTGGCGCGAATCAGTTCGTACCATGTGCTTTTCGATTGATCTAGACGATGCTAGTATGTGCTATCCAAGATACATCAAGCTAATGCTAGCAGAATGCTTAAGCCCCAACTTATTTACTGAATTTGCGATCTCTTTCTCACTCTTCTGTTACCGAAGGTCTGAGATGTGACGGAGCAAAATTTCGATGGTCGGATCTTTCAGGTTGAACCGAATTGACCAACCCCTTTGTTCGCACACACAGCCAAACCTTCTTTTTTATTTTATTTTCAACCCTTTTTTTTGCGCTTGCTTCTTTTTCCCTTTCCTTTTTTCACAAAACATACACCATGCAAACCATTGGGTCTACTGCCATGCGTCGCATGGTTTCTCGAGCTACTCGATTGACAACCGCGTTTGCCACCAAGAATGCTGCTGTCGCTGCCCCTTCTTTAAGAGCAACTCGTCTTGGCCAGCCCCCTTTTAACGCTGCACGACTTTACGCCACCGACAAACAAAAGGTCGTTGCGTATACCGTCGATAAGTTTCCCGGCTATATTCGCAATGAGGACTTTAAGACGGTAATTGAGCCTCAAAAATATTACACAGAAGGAGGGAGGGAATGGGATTCAGGACCACTCCAAAAAAAGGCACCACTGGTGAACGCGCGCACGCGGAACCGCTCATATTTAAAGAGTTGTTTTCTGATTTTTAGTTGACAGAAGACGACGTTACCTATTTTAAATCAATTGTTGGCGAGAACGGTCTTATCTACGGTAACGAGGATGATCTATTCGCGTTTAACACAGATTGGATGAACAAGTTCCGTGGCAAATCGCAGTTGGTCTTGAAGCCCAAGACTACACAACAAGTATCGGATATCCTTAAATACTGCAATGACCAAAAGTAATTAAGGAGTTTATGAATGGGTTGTTGGCACGGAGAGAGAAAGAGTGAGGGTGAGAGAGAGAATATGGATTCAAACACGCTCCATCCGTCGTTCAATTTAGGATTGCTGTTGTTCCTCAAGGTGGCAACACTGGCTTGGTAGGTGGTTCAGTGCCTGTGTTTGATGAGGTTGTGCTCAACTTGCAGGGCATGAACCGAATTAGAGGCTTCGATAGCGTCTCAGGTAATGAATGGGAGAAAGAGAGAAATAGTACGAGGACCCTGTTTACAGATATTGACATCTCTTGTTCTACACCCGCATCTAGGCATTTTGACAGCAGATGCAGGCTGTGTGTTGGAAGTGCTTGACAACTGGCTTGCCGAGAAGGGCTACATGATGCCTTTGGATTTGGGCGCTAAAGGAAGGCAAGTATCTATTTTTGTACCTTTATTTTTTGTCGTGTGTGTCTTTTTTGTCTTAGGTGAGGCGTGAAGAGACGAAGGAAATACGGATGGATCAACATTTTCCCCCCGCTCCGTGTTTGTCCTACTTTATGCAAACTGCATTCGATGACTTTTTTGAAAACAATAGCTCTAACATGTATGAACAACGGATTGTTACCATTTGATTAGCTGTCATATTGGCGGTAACATTGCTACAAATGCTGGTGGCCTTCGTTTGCTCCGATATGGTTCGCTTCACGGTACCGTTCTCGGTCTCGAAGTTGTAAGTCTTTTCTTAAAATTTTTCGTGTGACCAACATTAGTAATGGCTTTTCCATGATCTTTCTGCTGCTTAGGTATTGCCCGATGGCACCATTCTCGACAACATGTCGACCTTGCGCAAAGACAACACTGGTATGTGAGCAAAGTAAAAAGGAAACGCTTTCGATGGTTTCTGCACATGTCTTCTTGTTTGCAACAGCTAATGTATTCTCTATCCCAACATATTAGGCTATGATTTGAAGCAACTCTTCATCGGCTCGGAAGGCACCATCGGTGTTATTACCGGCGTGTCTATTTTGACCCCGCACCGTTCCAAGGTAAAAAGGAAAGGAAGCCCGGGAAATCAGGAACTAAAAAAGATGGATCATCAGAAAGTATTTTTGTTCTCACAAGCGAAATGTGATTTCACATGTAGGCTGTCAATGTCGCGCTCCTTGGTTTGAACTCGTTTGAAGATGTCCAGAAGGCGTTCAAGAAGTCTCGTATCGAACTCTCCGAAATCTTGTCTGGTAAGATTCGAAAACAAGTAGCACTTGCAGAATTATAAAGTACGAGCGGCTCTAATGTATACATGTGGTTTTTCATATAATTAGCTTTCGAATTCTGGGATAGAAATGCTCTTCAAATGTTCAAGAAGCATGCCACTCCCAAAGAAGTCATGGAGAGCGAATATCCCTTCTATGTCTTAATTGAAACCAGTGGATCAAACAAGGATCACGATGATGAGGTATGGGTCTCTAAACTACTCGTGCTGTTTTTAATTGAATTTAAAATGTTGTACTTTTGCTAAGAAAAGATGGCCTTATATATAAATAGAAATTGACGACCTATTTGGAAAACATGATGGAAGATGGTGTGGCTCAGGATGGTGTTGTTGCTCAGGACGAAACGCAGATCCGCAACTTGTGGAGCTTGCGAGAAGGTTTTACTGAAGCTTTGGGCAAGGAACCTGCCGTGTACAAATACGATATCTCAATGCCTGTTCCCAAGATCTACGAGTGTGTTGAGGACATGCGCCAGCACTTGAGAGACGGTGGTGTGTTTGGTCAAGAAGATTCACCAGTAACTGATGTGGTCGCTTACGGTCACGTTGGTGATGGAAACCTTCACTTGAACATTGCTGCCCAGCGACTTGACAAGAAGACATCGAGTCTCATTGAACCTTATCTGTTTGAATGGGTTTGTAAGTATCTAGCTGTGCAACTATAGGCATGGATAAAGAAGTGGAGGGTGTAGACCTAAGGAGATTATAACGGCATCATCGGTTTATTATCATTGGTTATTCATCATACATCTCACTACTGCTTTATAGCCAATCATCAAGGCTCGATCAGTGCCGAACACGGTTTAGGCGTTGCCAAGAATGAGTTCTTGGGCTATTCCAAGTCTCCAGTCATGATTAAACTGATGAAATCCATGAAGAACATCTTGGATCCCAACGGCATCTTGAACCCTTACAAGGTAAGAACAAAGACTAGAGCAAATAAGAGATTATGGCTCATAAAACTGACACTCTTGTTATTCTTTTATTAGTACCTGCCCTCATCATAAATAGATGTATCATTAAAGCACAACCTGCATTGTTTCCATCCCATCTCTTTTTCTATCCCTCTGTTTTCTCACGCACTATAAATTATGTTCAAAGAGAGAAAGAAAAGAAAAACAAAGTACGAAAAGCTGAGATTTGCATTTAAAACTAGCGTAAACAAGCTACTGGATGATACACGAATCGTGAATGCTTGGCTAGTAGTAGACTAGTTGAACAATTGTGGTTTGTCTTGGAAGACATGATGGTTGTTTCCTTGCGGCATAACTCCTGTTGCCACCTCCAGAGAACTAATAATGATATTAATGAGACCTGGCTAACAATGCAGTAACAGCATCATCAACAAGAAGTAACCAGTCCATTCCATTACTGTGAGTGAACTGATTATGTATTGACTGAGTGTGCCTACAATACTGTCATCCTCGGATGGAAGTAAACCTATAGATCCGATCGGTGTTTTCCTGATACTGTCGCTAGCATCATATATACAACTGGCGTCGAGCAAATCAAAAAATTTTAAAGTGGCTTCGCTAGATTGCACAAAGAATCTCAGTAGTATAGCTCCATGTAATGCATATATGTACTCGAGACTTCGACGCTAACAAACAAAATGCACGGAAGTCACCACTTTTCGGGATGTCTTTTGGAATACTGGCTTGCCCGATGCTATTATCGATGTAGTTGATAAAGCAGTACCGTCAGCGATCATGGAAAGATAAAAGGAATAGCTTTTGCTTCAAAATGTAATAGATGAAAGTTAAGCACAATATTATATTGACTCATCATTAGCAGCACAAAACAATGCGCTTCTAAAAACTTGGCAAGTTTGGCGCCGTTGAAAGCTATTGTAGATAAGAAACATCAATAACTTGACGGGATAACTTGTTATAATCTTAAGCAGTGATGATACATTCCATATTCAATCTATCTATGAGTATTACTAGTATACGTGTATCAGTAGCAGTAATGTTGAGAGACAGTAGCATGAGAGATTGGTGGCAAGACCCAACAAGTTGGATTATGTAACTTCCCTAATGAGCTTATGTACTGGGCCTTGTATACTGCAAAGAAATCAAGGCAAACATCATTTAGTTTGGGTTGGCGATCTGGTTCGTGTATATGTGAATATGGGGATGGTCTGTTTGCTTTGCGATACGGCTTTTTTATTTTGCCACCAGCAATTTGCAATCATTGTTGGTATAGTCGTGAAGGTAAACCAGCTGTATTGTTTTTGAGAGCACACATGCGAATGCACAGCCTACGGTTTTCTCGACGACTCAAGCACAAAAAGGCTCATTTGCAACTACATAACTGCTCCAGAGAAAGCACCAACAAGTACCAAGCGCAATGGCAGTAGGAAGATGTAAAAATAAAGATCGCGTTTATTACAATCGTCACTCGATCTGCCCAATAGTTACAATTACATTATTTAAGAAAGTACAATAAGAAACCAAGTTTATTTGATGTTGCCTGACAAGTCGACCGACTTTTACGAATCCTTCGTTCCTCAAGGGAGGTTGCCCTCCCTTGTTCCCCGCAAGCCTCAGTTCCCGGCAGAACCTACACCTCTCCCTTTCTTGTCCACAAGCCTCAGTTCCCGACAGAACCTACTCCTCCACAGTTCCTACAAATAAAAGAAATATGATAGCACAAAGGTCTGTCAGCGGCGAACATATACGTACCCACAAGGGAGGTTGCCCTCCCTTGTTTTCCGCAAGCCTCAGTTCCCGTCGGAACCTACACCTCTCCCTTTCTTGTCCACAAGCCTCAGTTCCCGACAGAACCTACTCCTCCACAGTTCCTACAAATAAAAGAAATAGCACAAAGGTCTGTCAGCGGCGAACATATACGTACCTCTTTGCACACACTCTCGCTTTAGTTTTTGAGGAAGATAAAAAACCAAGATGAACAAAGAACTTTGCAAATGTACAAAAGATGAGCAAGAGCCAGTCGTGCACGACTAGCTCCCTTCAACTATGCACACCCACAGGGACACTCGAGCGGGATGAAAAAAAAAGAAAGGTAAAAAGTGATAATGAAAGAAACACTGCAAATGTACAAAAGATGAGCAAGAGCCAATCGTACACGACTAGCTCCCTTCAACTATGCACACCCACAGGGACACTCGAGCGGGATAAAAAAAAAGAAAGGTAAAAAGTGATAATGAAAGAAACACTGCAAATGTACAAAAGATGAGCAAGAGCCAGTCGTACACGACTAGCTCCCTTCAACTATGCACACCCACAGGGACACTCGAGCGGGATAAAAAAAAAGAAAGGTAAAAAGTGATAATGAAAGAAACACTGCAAATGTACAAAAGATGAGCAAGAGCCAGTCGTACACGACTAGCTCCCTTCAACTATGCACACCCACAGGGACACTCGAGCGGGATGAAAAAAAAAAGAAAGGTAAAAAGTGATAATGAAAGAAACACTGCAAATGTACAAAGATGAATATGAAGACTAAAGAAAAGAATAAAGGGCAAAACGCGCAGTCGATTCTTTTTTTTTTATGAGCCGATAAACAAAATGACGGAGCTTAGAAATTTTGTTGTCACTACTGCCCTAAGGAGCCAGTGAACTGCAGCAATGTGAAGAAGTGCCTTGATCATAATTATCGTTGTAGTCTGACGACTGTCATGCTAGTGTCTTTTTCTTATGGTGCGTATATGTTTGTTTCACTATGCGGCTCCGCTTGCCGTGCTCCGCTCTGATCCAACAATTGTCGGCGACGGGTCTGTGCGCTTTAATGGAACAAAGAACCGGCGATATTTTTTTTTCATTTTACCGTTGGACAAACTGTGTGTTAAGCTGAAGCACCACAGCAGCATTATGCTTGTATGGATCGTACAGTTTACGTGCATAGAGCGCTCGTCATTCCTAACGATACCTCAACGGATGCAGCCTGCGGTCGTCAATTTATTGAGTATACAGTAAAAAGATCCTTTAATCAATATCCGGTAGAATTGGATATCCTGGAAATCAAAAACTAATAAGGAACCGGCGAGTGTGAAGATGCTGAGAAGCATTTGTACAACAGCAGCCAATTTATGAGGTGAACGGATTGCTGATGTTACTGCTGGCCCAGCTACAAGTGCGATTATTCTTGTGTGTGCCCTCGTCAAAAACGACGATCGCGTCAAGTCAGTACCCGAGCGCACGAGGTTGAACAGAGTCGAACAGAAGACGGCAGCAGAGGACGACCTCAAAGATGTGGGCGTGTGATACGCAACGCCATTCACAGTAGCCATAGACTTCAAAGCACAGTATTTTGGTATCGCTCATGACAGGTACAGCTGTGGGTCGCTCGTTGTCGCGTTTATGCAGTATGGAGAGCCAGCAGGATTATTTGCGTGGTGGTTCTCAATCAGGCATGCCTGAGTGATCGCTACAATGACCGCCACTGCCATAATCAGCAGCTGCAGGTATGGCCTGCGCTGTTGGAGCTGGCGAGACTGGCTGTTGCTACATACAACAGCCGGCAACCCACCACGGTGGAAGAACAGCGGATCCCGCAACATTCTCCGACGCATGCCACTGCCAGAAACTATAGCAAGAGTGGCTCATGCATTCGAAATCACAACAACGACGGATGCAAGCAGTGTCAATAGCTCTACCTCCAAAAATAATACTGACGAATCCAGTCAGCAGAAACTTCTACACCTCCAAACAGATTCTGGCGTTAACAACGTTAATAATGAATGAAGAATGTTATGGGACGACTCTTTAGCAAGCGTGTGCGGTGGTACCATAGCACGCTCAGCATCAGCAGCGTCGACCAACCCATTCCATAGCAGCATGTCCAATCGTCGCGATAGCGGCATTTCAGCCTTACGTATGCCCCGTATTCAAGAGGATGTATGATCCTTTGGAGAATCATGTTGCCATGTCCAGTGACATCAGCCCTACAGTACTGTAGGCAACAGATTACGCGCGAGTGTTTGATTTAATGTATCGAAAAAGAATATAGCTGAAACAAAAATTGGGAATATATAAAATAGTTTACATTCATAGGTAATAAGGATGATGGTGCTCGTTATCATTTGCAAACGAGTATTCTGGGTAAAAACAGCAAAGTTGTGCTTGGAATTGTTATAGACCTTCCATGATAGAGTTAAAGCATCAAGAGTGACCTTGTGTTATCACAATCAGGAACAATGTATGTATACAGCAGCAGAAATGTCAACGACTCTATTTCTCCTGGTAAACCTTAACCATATGTTTATCTCGCTCTAGATATTGCGCAACCTTTTTATAATACATAACTCAAAAAGAAACAAATTTGTGTAACGAGTATGTAGCAAACTATGCCAGCTGAAGGTGCTCTATAGTATTTGCTGGCAATATATAGAGCGTGTAGCGTCTGTACGCACTTTTAGAAAAATTGAAAACCTGTGCTCTTTTTAGATGCGTGTATAACTTGGATTGAGTCCGCTGACATCTTAAAGCACAGCTCATGCGTATTGTGTGGGGTCGGCCCTTTATATATTTTAAGGAAAAGGTTGCCATTGTAAAATACATAGTGTAATATAACAGGATGAAGAAAAGAAGGACATCGATGTTCATAAAAAGCATATGTATCAGCAGGAAAAATAGAAGACTTGTCCGTCTCATCCCCTGCGTGTTGCTGCTCTTTCTCCTCGTGTCTGCTTGATGAGCCTCGCAGAAAAAAAGGATATACATCGAGTCGGGAACCAGAGGATTAAAATCTTCTTATGATTTGCTAGGTGATTTGTGCTTGGTCTGAGGTTTTTATTCCCTTGGTATCATTAGTACGTGTCAAATAGTTACTGCAGTATGTTCATAGTAAGCAATGTAGTTTGCTTTTCTAACAACGGAAATGATGGTATGTGTGTGTGTGTGTGTGTGTGTGTGAACAGTACAATAAATGCTATCATCTACTTAATATATGTTAAGCGACATGTGCTACTACATACTTTTGGCTCGCTGACGACTGCACGATATTACAAGGTCTATGAGAGGCCGAGATAACCGAGTCTAGATATCTGTGACAATTCGATGTATGATGACAGGGGTGGGGGTGGGGGATGGAGAGGGGGAGGATAGCTGTAATTGATCATCAGTGCAAGTCAACATCCCTGAAAAGCATATGTCAAAGGAATCGGGATCAGACACACAGTAATAATTTCTATTCGCAGCTGTGGCTGTCATCATAAAAAAAAATATCCTGCAGAAATTAGCGCACAAAGACGACTGAGAAAACATTCCAGCCATTTACGATTCGTGATCTCACATACGTATTATACCTTCTATAAAGCAATGGCAGCACCTTCGCCTTCCACAGTTGCAGCATCTGTTGCATTCGACAGCGATCTGAGCACGGCACCTGGCACTGATTTTGGTGCGACACAAGCAGACGAAGACAACGACGACGAAGTACTGGCCGAGATCCCAGTCTATTTAAGCAACAATTTGTCGAAATACCTTTACGTGTACCAGTACCCGTTGCGCAATGCACCCTTTACCAGTCGCACAGGACCGGTAGCAGCACGCATTAAACCCAGAGCGCACATGGTAGAGTTGGATCTGCCAATCGACACACGATCGCCCCATTATAGCAGTGAACGTGGAGAAGATTTTGCCATGGGCATGAATGACAAAAAGATCAAGACGGCATACGATAAACGTATGGAAGAACACGAAGAAGAGCAGTTATATGGACGGTCAGGCAGTATGAAAAAGGAGGAAGAGTTGCTGGATCGCATGACGTTTAGTTCTACGGAAGTGCCTGCGCAGACCAAATATGTTGTAGGAGCATTGCGTGATGGTATGTGTTACTTTTTTTTAATTAAATCTTTTTTTTTTCTGTATTGTTTGGGGTGGGTGGGTGGGGGGGGGAGAGGGGATAGATTTAAAAGCTGTCTACTTTAGCATGAAGCCGTTTCTCATGACTGATCTCTCTTATTGGAACCATCTAGGCGAGCTCCATTTGACGCCTGTACGCGGCACTATTCAGATGCGACCGGCGTTCAAGTATATTGATAAGATTGATGAAAAGTTCAAGGCAGCAAATAAGCGGATTCAGGAATCGGAAAAGGATGAAGAAGAGACGAAGAAAAAGGCAGCAGAGGCCGGAAAAGCCCAGACACTACAGGTAAGAGAGGTGGGGGGGGGGAGTGGGGGCAACTGAGGTCCAAGGAGTGTAAAGAGGGATGGAAATGTGCTATTACAAAAAGAAAAAGTGGCGTTCAGAGATAAAAAGACAGGGTGCACTTAATGATCGGCTATGTATAGGTCTCGATGAAGAATGCAGAGAGGGACGGGCCAGCAAGACGGAACGCTTACTCGCTGGCAGTGCGAAATGCGGAAGAGGAGGCTTGGCAACCCGTAGTGTACTATGATGAAACGGTAAAGTAACGAGGTCTGCTTAGGACACACACAGAGAGAGACTGGACTGACAGCGGGTCTGGGGGTTTAATGTATTGTAGACTCAAGAGGCGGAGATGGTGTACGACGACCTGTTCACCCAAAAGAAGCAAGTGCTCAAGAGCTCAACAAGTCGCGACGATTATCTTGAAAGTTTAAGTGGAATAAAGCGCTCGCATTAGCAACGTGTGTGTGTGTGTGTGAAAAAGAAGCACCCAAATCTTGGATTTGATCTGCTACTATGAGAGTCTGTGGCACCAGGGCCAAAAAGGTGCACAAAAACCCATATTGTATGACGATAAAAATAACTTTGCTTGATTCTTCTTCTTGCTTTCCTCCCCTCCCTTCTTCCTCTCTCTCTCTCTCTCTTTCGTTCCTCCGTTGTCGTCGTCTGCTGTGCCAAACACGCTCCTTACTGCTGACTGCCTTCGTCACGCTTTTGTTGGGTTTTCTATTTTTTATTATTTATATTCTCTTGAGCAAGGCCAACAAAAAGAAGGCCAACACCAACAATAACGCACAGCTCTTCCTGTACCGTACCGTATCCGTATCCGTATCCGTATGCGCATGTGCACACCGAACCCCTCATTTACTTACTTGCAATATTCACCATCCCCTGGCTGGCTTCCTCTGCCCTCGTATATAATCCCTGCTTCCCCTTTTCCTCGTATATTCTCTCTCTCTTTCTCTCTTTGATAAACCCACTCGTTTCGATCCAACCTCCCTCTCCGTCGATCTAATTTTTTCGATTTCCTTTTTCTAGCATCGTAAGAGGCCAGCCGAAGGAAGGGGCTCTTCTCTCTTTCTCTTTTCTTTCCAATCTCTTCTTCTTTGCGTCTTTCTTTTTCCATTCTACTACAACACTTTCTTCTACTACTACTACTACTACTACTACTGCTACTACTACTACCAAGTCACTTATCGTTACGGCTGACAACCTTTCCCTTCCCTCACATCTAATCTACCTGAACGAACGACCAGATGCCTGCAGGTGTGCGATACAGCCAGGCAGCCGGTGGTGGCGCTCCAGGCAACGATGCACCAGCATACGCATATACGACTGCAACTTCAGCAGCTGACAGCTACAATGCCGGTGCGACATCCGTAGGTCGACGGCCCACCGTGCTTGGCCGTGCACCGACTCGACGCATGGCTCCCGGTGCAAACAGCATCGCCAACGCGGGCCAAAACATGCAGCGCGGTCGTACTCTGATCCGACCTGACCGTTATCAGGAACCGCCACCGTTATTGACGGGTAAACCCACGGCCAGTCGCAGCGTGTTTGATCCATGGGTCCTGTTCTCTCGCATCATCACATTCTGGGCCTTTGCGCCCATGTTGGCCGCCCTCGGAAAGAGCGATAGGGGCATGCAGCAGGCCTGGCGCGAAAAGATGGCATTGTGCTTTATCATTGCCTGTATGGGCGGCTTTGTCGCCTTTATCACCATCGGTCTCAGTTCAGTAATGTGCCCTCCAGAACAAGCGAGCAACCAAGCCAATTACGCGTCTTACAACGACTCTTTGAATAGCGGTACACAAACACTCCATCCCCCCCCCACAAGGATTTTTCCACGCGCAACTCACACCCCAAATCTTTCTTTTTTCTTTTATGATATCGCGCCAATTTAAGCATCGTTACTCGGTATCTCCGGCTGGCAATTTAATATCACGGACTACCAAGTCACCCACGACGTCAGCCTGTTTGATCTTGCCGACGTCCCTGGAACCGACATTACCAACTATTTTCAACACGGTTCCAACCTTGCAACATGTCAAAACACTGGCAACAGTGCAGCCCAACAGTTTACAGCTGTAACATTTGATCCCTGCAGTGACAACAATGGAAACGACGGCTGTCCCCTCGGCCAGCTTTCTCAGTCAACCTTCGATAGTCTTGGACTCGTCAACTCAACGCGCTTTGTCGGTTACGACTGGACCCAACTCGCTACTGCCAACTTGACCAATTATTTCGTACTTGACGGCAACGTGCTAAACATGGATCCTTACATTAAAGCAAATCCAAGCCCGATCGCGAACGATTTGCTCGATTTTGTTATTCGCGAGATTCTCAACTCAACATTCGCCGAAGGCGGTCGCGACGGTACAAAGCACTTTTTTCGACGAGCCGAATTGCGTCACGCGGTCAACTGTATTGTGCAAAAGTATCGGGCAGGACAAATCGACAAGTCGACGCCTGGTTGTTTTGCTGCATCGTTAGTGCTGTTCTGTGCATTGGGCGTGGTGCTGGCTATCGTGTTTGCTCGGTTCTTTATGGCATTGATTTTTGCATGGTGCTTGTCGTGGAAGGCCGCTCGTACACCTCCACCTGTCAGTCGCTCCCAGCATGTCTTGCCAAATCAGACCATGGAAATGTCGGATATCAAACGGAAGCCGGGCATGCAGCGTGTGGATTCAGGAACAACGGCCGCAAAGGATTTCACGCGGTTGGTCGGAAATGATCTTTATACGGCACTGTTGATCACTTGTTACTCTGAAGGTCTGGAGGGCATTCGCGCGACTATCGAATCATTGTCAGGAACGGACTATCCGGATAAGCGCAAGCTGCTGTTCGTCATTGCAGACGGAATGATCACGGGTAGTGGCGAAAACATGTCTACGCCAGATGTCTGCTTATCGCTGGTGACATTTGACGATCCTGAAATGCGGAATCCTGAGCCAATGCCTTATCTTGCTGTGGCAGACGGTGCAAAGCAATTTAACCGAGCCAAGGTCTATGCGGGTCATTACGGTGAGTTGTTTAGTAACTGGAACAAAAAGAGAGACGGTACGAATAACTAAGTCTTTCTAAAGTCTGCAAGGGTCACAAGGTCCCAATGATATTGGTTGTCAAGTGCGGCAATCCTGACGAAGAAGGCAAATCCAAAGCCGGCAATCGAGGCAAGCGCGATTCGCAGCTGATCTTGATGAACTTCTTCAGTCGCGTCACTTACAACGATCGCATGACGCCATTGGACTACGAGCTGTTTCGCAAGATCCATTACCTGATGGGCGTCACTCCAGACTACTTTGAGCTGGTACTCATGGTAGACGCAGACACCAAAGTGTACAAATCGTCTCTGCGGCTGCTGGTCAACTGCATGGTAAACGACAACTTGATCATGGGCCTGTGTGGAGAGACCAAGATTGCCAACAAGCGTGCTTCATGGGTCAGCGCAATCCAGGTTTACGAATACTTCATCTCGCATCATCTTGCTAAAGGCTTTGAATCCGTGTTTGGTGGTGTTACATGTCTGCCCGGATGTTTCTGTATGTATCGACTCAAGGCACGCAAAGGCGATGGCGACTGGGTGCCTATCATCACCAAACCAGAAATCGTTCAGGAATATTCTCAGAACACGGTGGATACCCTTCATCAAAAGAATCTGCTGCTGCTCGGTGAAGATCGATTTTTGACCACACTCATGCTGCGTAACTTTCCTTATCGAAAGATGATGTTTACCCCTCACGCTGTACGTATTTGTCTCTTCTCTTTGCTGGCTCCCTATTTCATGTCTCCTTGTCTCTGAGTAGCAAATTACTTAACGATACCAACATCGACAGGTCTGTAAAACAATTGTGCCCGATGAATTCAAGGTACTCTTATCGCAACGACGCCGCTGGATCAACTCAACCATCCACAACCTCTTTGAACTCGTACTTGTGCGCAACCTATGCGGCACATTCTGTTTCTCCATGCAATTTGTCGTCATGATGGACTTGGTCGGCACATTGACACTTCCTGTTGCCATCGTCCTTACTGTCGTTCTGATCGCATCGATTGCCAGGACAAGTATAGACAGCTTCACCACCGCCGTACCGCTCATCCTGCTGATCATTGTGCTGTTTTCGCCAGCCTTGCTGATCCTAATCACGACCAAAAAGTGGGTGTATTTGGGATGGATGATTATATACTTGTTTGCGCTTCCCATCTGGAATTTCGTTCTGCCTGTCTACTCGTTCTGGCATTTTGACGACTTTTCATGGGGTGAGACACGTAAAGTGACCGGTGAAGTCAAGGGTGAACATCACGGACAGAAGGATGGTGTCTTTGATCCATCCAAGGTACCGTTGCGACGATGGGAGGATTACGAACGACGACGGATACGGTCTGTTCGAAGACGTGAAAAGAAGTTGCGCGAGTTGGGACCGGTGCATATGACGCATGATATCATGGAAGGCAACGAGGAAGAGCGTCGACTGGTGCAAGGAAGCGATGACGACGTTGTGTCGAATTACACAGGCAGCGACATGTCCTCCATCCACGCTAATCCTCAGCATTACTTTGATCCATCGAAAGAAGCACCTGTCAGATCGGGGTCCGGATACTATCCCAGTTTTAGACCGCAGACAGCTACGCCTCCTCCACCGTTGCCCAAGCAACCAATGCATCAACCGTCACCACCTCCCCATCAACAACAACAACAACAGCGGCAGCAGCCTCCAACAGCCGGTCGAGGCTATTATCCGCAACCGCCGCCTATGCGGCAAGAGCCATACAATCATCCACAACAGCGGCCGGTCATGTCATCGCCACCGCCACCACAATCTCATTCCATTTTGCGCAATCCTCAGCCTCCACCTCATCAGCAATACAGTCCAAGACCTCCGCCTCCGGGACAATTCCGTCCGCAACAGCCTGGTCCCTACCATCAACCTCCACCCATGCATGCAGCATACGCCCCGCAAGTACGACCGATGCGACCGCAGCATCAACCGGGTAGTCCTCCACCTCCACGGCAGAATAATTATCGTGATTTCTAGATGGAGTCGTTTATATATTCTATTTTTGTGTATTCCCCTTACCTCAACTCATATTTTTGATATTTCTTCTAGTTGCGTGTTTGGGGGCTTGTATCTTTAATCCATTTTCTCTCTCTCTCTCTCTCATTACTTTGCGTGAATATATAACTTTACAAAAAAGGGTTTATAGTGGCTGGACATACTCATTTTTAGCTCTTCATTAAAAAATACAACCACTTTCATACAAATGCATACTATTCTCTACCTTATCGTCTATTATTATTTGTTATGTGTTTGTTGTTTTGCACCAGAATCTACTAAAAAAAGTCTGTATGCAATGTAAAGTCTTATCGTGCTTTTGCTGTTTTAGATCGGCTTCGATAGAATACTCACGACGCCGTTCACTAACAATAGTCAGTATGTGTACGTTTATTTGATAAACAGTTAAGCAACTATTCCGATCACCGGAGATTTGGCAAGCGACTACTTCATGCATGCATACATACAGTATCCTGCACTCACGATTTCTTCGTACAGCAGCTCTTTCTCTTCTTCCTGCACCTTCTGGTGAGTGACAAACCAAGCTTTGTTTGAAAGCAAGATTGCTGTTATCACCGGCGGTAGTCATAATAATGGGCATGCGGTTGCTAGTGCATCAATAGAACGAGGTGCCAAACTAGTAGTTATTGGCGATATTTTACATGATGAAGGACAAGCTACTGTGGAATAGTACAACTCAAAGTAACTACTAGAAGCATAAGTTTTTGTTCACACACATTGCAAAGCATTTGTATCGTACATGATTTGACATTAGTGTAGTCAACGTACACAACAATATCGTTTCTCTCGTTACTAAAGGTTACAATGTAATGTCTTTTTTTTTGTAGGGCCGGGGAACAGGTAGCAGCTTACCTGCACACCGATGTAATCGAAATACAAGGACTTGTCTGCCCTATTTCAACTCGTCAAACACACATTTGGAGGTGTCGATGTTAGTATACCCACATCCAACAGTCGTTGTTCTTATATACGCAAGGAGCAGATATGTACCAGATCCGCTCGTAAGGAGTGATCCACGTATTTCTAATGGATAACTGAATGGGGTTTCTGGAAGTAGATTGCTTTTCTTAATGCGGGTATTTCAATTGACCATGATATCCTCCTAGATCCTTTGGATGATACTAACATAATAGCTCGCATTTTCATTATGGGTTTCTTGTCTTTGTCCCTTCTATGGCATGTCAACGGACATTTGTATATGTAAACACAAAGGTGGAGTAATTGTCAACACTTTGTCAGGACTCGATTTGGAAGCTTTTGAGTAACTATGCTACTACAGCACTCTTTTAGGCGCTGAATTTAAAGAAGCAATGTAGCGATGCTACTGCTTTATTCCCCGCATCACAAAAAAAACCAGCTGTCCAGTTATCTATGATACAATGCATCAAAACATGCAATTGTCGGATGGACAAGAAGCTTCAAGCACCTGCATAGTATATGCAACATTCGCATCAATGCAGGTAGTGAAAAGAAATTGACTTGTACACCAGCACAAATAGCCGGATGATATGATGTAATAAATGTCGAAGAGGTTCCATCGATAACAGACAGAAGTATGTAACAGATGGATTTTACGTGCATGCATTGCTAGCACAACAAACAGTTTTTTAAAGTTCTACTTTGCGCTACGATGCAGTCCTAGCACACTCGGGAAAAAACGTGTCGATTTCACCTGACGTGACTTTAGCAATTCAAACGAATTACAAGGAGGATCTCGATAACGCAACAAAAAAACGTATTTTTCTTCAAAACAACGGTTACACTTGATACCCTAGGTTTTTTTGCCTCTGTCTCACCTCTTGGTTACGTTTGCGGTAACATTTAGCCATAAGCACTAGCTTAGGACAATGCTATCCAAGCGACGTGTACATACAAGATATACAACGTATCATGATTTCATCTTTACAGGAGAAATATATCGCAATACAGGCATGTGCCAACAACACAATGACAATCACTCAAACCGAATTCGTCTCGGTTGAATGTCTAGAGGGAGAGGGGGGTGGGTTCACTTGTACGTACATCTACAAATACCTTAACTTTTATCATTTATTTTAAAACTTTTGTGACCAGTGAGGATGCGTACGCATATATTTTTGGTATACAACAGGTTCATTTTGAGTTCTCAATAGTGTCTCATTAGTACGAAACTTAAACGCTTGCATGACCGTTTTCTTTTTACAGTAAACCCGCTACACATGTACAGTAGCTCGCAATTGTATATGCATCCAAGACATGCAGCTAATACATACATTATATCGGTTTCCCGAAACTTTGCGCATTAATCATTTTCCTCCTTTTCTTTTGCAATTCAACAAAAGATGACTCATAATTTCTTTGAAAGCAAAGTCGCTGTAATCACAGGAGGTAGCCGTAATATCGGAAAAGCTGTTGCAACTGCACTTGTCGAGCAAGAAGCCAAAGTGGTAATTGGTGATATCATTGACACCGAGGGCCAAGAAACCATTGAGGAGCTCAACTCAAAGTAATTATTATTATGTCCTTTGGTACGTGCGACACAGTTTTGCTTCTGTGAATCACTACGTATACTTTGATTATATACCTTTCGTATTTAAAATCATCATGCTATATAGAGACAGTACTAACATTAGTTCACGAAATATAGGGCCGGAAAAGAAGTAGCCATCTTTCAGCATACAGATGTGACAAAATACAAGGACTTGACCGCACTATTTCAACTGGCTGAAAGCTCGTTTGGTGGCGTGGATGTAAGCATTATTCATCGAAAAAAGTTATACAGTTACTCGCTCTATATAATGTATATGATACATACCTAGATAACTAAAATGTCTGAACCAAAATTTTCTTTACATATCAAAGCTTGTATTCTTGAATGCCGGCATAGCTGTGAACCATGACGTACTTTTGGATCCTTTGGATGGTAAGAGAAATCACATCTTCACCCTCTAATTATATGGGTGTAACAATAGTAGCTACATACTACCTTTTCCTGTTTTTCAGACGAGCAAGACGAGAAAATTTTAAAGGTAAATACGGCGGGCATTATCAAAGGTACCAAAGTTGGTGTTCGACATTTAGCAAAACGGGGCGCAGGTGCAATTGTCATCACAGGATCTACCTTAGGATTGGAACCTGCCAGGTAAATGTGTGCTGCAGCATCACATGCTTTACAGATGCATCCTTTGTATCGTGCTTTCACTTATTACTATCATAACATTATGCATTTCAATGTTGTTAATTATATATCCTACAAAAACGAATTAGTTATACGAGCATATACAATGCGTCAAAGGGTGCAGTGATTGCATGGGCGAGAAGCTTTCAGCATCTACAAAACATATGCAGTGTGCGAATCAACTCGGGTAAGGATCAATCATATTTGCCACAGTGGTTGTAGTAAGATACAGTGCTATAAATATGCTTCATTTGCTTTTAATATCTTGTACTTACGTGATTCATTTTAAAAAACGACCTACAGTGTGTCCTCATGCAGTCGGTAAGTGACGTGTATATACAGAGCACTGCAGCACCGGTTTGCAGGCATCTAAAATCTTTTAAGCCTTTTGTTATTACTGCATGTTTTTTCTTTTTCATGAACTTTTATGACAACTGATGTGATGTACTAAGAAAGTTGGTCGCTGCTATTAGATACGGAATTTTTATGGGGATTTCCTGATCTCAGTCGAAAGATTTTTGAAGGAGTTGCACCGACTGCAGAAATAAGTACTGTTGTTAAGGCTGTGCTTTTATTAATGGAGGATCAAAATCGTAATGGTAGGTGCAAGATAAAGTATCATGCTATATAGTGCGAAAAGTGGATATGTCGACAGTTTATAAGTTCTGAGTTCCATCATACTGTTCCGTATCGTATTACGTGTACCTCGTTATATAATAATAGGGCAAGTGCTTACTGCTTTACCGGGTAATGTCATTGAGGTTGAGGAGGCACCAAAGATCATGGCCAAAAGTAAGTAAGCTTTTTCTTAAAAGGAGTGATCTACACCAGCCAGTAAGGCATCATTATGCCAAATCCCGAAACACCGTTTTTTACTATCAGTTTTACTGACATTTGCTGCTACTGTATCATCGCCATCATGTATCAGCAACACAACATTTAGGAAATATCCCATTGGTCTCTCCGGAAGTGATATCCGAATTAGAAGCGAAATACAAGCAAGATTTTGATGGAATGATGAAAAGTTACTTTATGCAATGATTGCAGTACTACTTTTCTGCTGGATATTTGTACTACAGTAGCTCCTCAAAGAGCAAGAAAGATATCTTGTTCTCTAGCTTGTGACAATAGTGATTTATGTGCTCGAAAAATCTGCGGATTAAAGATCCTTAGAGCAAAGGCAGCTTGAATTTTTAATGGTTACTAGCTTCCTCGCTTCGCTCGGATGAATGAGCCCCTCCGCTTCGCTCCGTGTCATTCAACGGAAACGCGTCGCAAGGGGGTTCCCCCCTTGACCCCAAAATGGGGGGGCAAGCCCCCCAAACCCCCCTATGGAGCGAGGTTGCATCAGTGTTTCGGTATTAGATGCTTATTGTCTGTTTTCAAAAACAAAAGGAAGATCATTGTGCAGTGAGAAGTAGTCTACCATACGAAGTCGTCAAAGTTGGATACTTAACTATCTCAGTTTAGAATGCAATGCGAGAAGAAGTGTTGACAAAGATGATGTAGTGATATTGATAAAGAAGAGAATAGAAGATAAAGAGAATAAAAGATAAAGAGAATTAGAGAAGGACTTCGTGAAAAACAACATTTCTTGTGCTTTGGCCTTGCTGACCCGCGATACGTGAGTTTTCAAGATCTAACATGATTCTAATTGATGATGGGGTGTGAACGCGCGACATGGCTACATAGAGTAGACCGTGCGTGAAAGGAGGTTCAGGTAAGTAGAGGCCAACAGTGTTAAGAGTTTGACCCTGTGCCTTATTGATGGTCATTGCAAATGCCAGGCGAACAGGGAATTGCGTGCGTTTAAATTGGATAGGGGAGCGTGTTTGCGATGGTGTGAGTGTTATGCGAGGGATTACGACGATGTTACCGGCATGAGGCCCAGTGGCTATTTCGGCTTCAAGTACATATCGCTGGAAAGAGCGTACGATCAGCCGTGTCCCATTGCAGATACCACTTTGGGTGTGCAAGTTTCTCGAAAGCATGACTGGGCAACCGACTTTGAGTTTTAGCAAATGCGGTGGGAGGTCGGATGGATTCATTGCATTGAGAAGCTCTGGTGGGTATGTCATTTGATCTTGTGGATCATCCACTGTATCAGCGCTCTGAAATTCGTGTACGGTGCCTGGGAAATAGTCGAGTATCAAATCGTTGATTGCTGTAACGTCGACATTCTTTGGATTCAAGATGGAGCGACTGATGAGGTATTGACGATCCACGTGTGGTACGTTGAGGCTGCCGTAAATGGCTTCTATGAGCTCGTACGTGTTGTAATGTGCCATGAGCATCCGATCTGGTAGCCGGACTCTGTCATCAGTGGTTGGCACCAACAGCTCAGCACCATCACCAATGCGAAATAAAATATTGCGCAAACTGGCCAAGCTCGTTTGCATCATTGGTGTTGGCAGCTTGTTGGACGCGCATGTTGGTTTCAAGGCGATGGACGGTGACACTGGGCCAAATTGATGAACGATTTAGACACTGCTGTACGATTTGTGAGCGCGATGCATTTGGTATCATAGGAAGGACCTATCAACAGGTTTGATGCAGATACTTTAAATGTAAGTACCACCGCTCAATAGCAAAAGAATGCAAAGTAGAAGAGAGGATACAATGTTGAATATATGGCAAAAGTCACCACCAAAGACCCTGATCTTTCCACCAAACGGAACATCGGCAAGCGCTGGATCGTCATGTTTCATGAGATTTTGGATACTCCTGTATACATACAGTATTAAATACGATGATACTTGTATTCAGCGTATTTAAAGCGATGGCACTTCTCAGATGATGAAGGATTTGAGGTGAACTTCATATCGTGTTAAGGACGGTTATCCCCTCGAGTCTTTCCTCAATGCGATACCCGTCTACTCACATAGTCATACATTCATGTAGAATAATTTTCTGATCTGGAGGAGCCACACACCTTGGCGCATCATAAACGTGAGAGAGTAATATGATTGGATAGATTGAACTGGCTCAAATGCCGCGTAGCATGTGTGTTCGTTACTACTATATAACTGCGCAGCCGCAGCAATCATGCCGCTCTTCTTCCTCTTCGTCAACTTTTCTAAACCAAAGCTATTCAATGTGAGTGTCATTGGAACGGATCAGAGGATCGGAGAGTGTATGTTTATGGTGGTGAGTGAGAAGAGTGTATGCAACCGGTTGTGAGTATACAGCGATTTCTTAAGATCCGTTTATCTCACTTTCTTTCTTTTTTGACACAGACTTTCTTTCGTCTTAACCTGGTCCTTCTTCACTCAAAGCACAAATGCAAGAGTAAGTACAGTACAATATGGAAAGTGTGAAGTGTACTTTGAGGTTTTGCATGTGGATGTGATATACGATAGAAGATATGAACTTCGACGTGTCTAAAGAAGTGTGTGTACAGCATGCAGCCGCTAACATTATCCTCCTTCTTCTCTGCTACTACTGTAGAATTCTGACTTTTTGAAATGGTTGGTTCGGTTTGTTGTTTGCACCCCACCCTTAAACATAAGCAACAACTGTAAGTACGGTAGGGAATGAAATGTGAGCACGAGCTGGAGAGAAGTCGAGTGTCTGTTGGAGGTGTCAGGAATAGTTGCATATTAAGAACAGCCTGCTCATGATCTTTCTTCTTTTCTTTCTACTTCAGTTTCCGCTTTATGCTGGCTGGGTTAATTGTGTCCGGCGGACAGGTAACAGATAGTAAGGATAAGCAAAAAGGGACGTGAACATTGGTAGGTGAGTAGGATGGCCTGGGTGCTTGGGATGACGTGCCAAGTGTGTGTAGTGTGCGCAGCAGCGTGACGGGAAAGGGTTCCTGACCATGACGTGTGCAGTATGGCAGTCTCTCAAAATTTTTTCTTTCTCTCCTCCCCTTTCTTCTCTTATTCTTTTTTCAGAATTGGTCGTGTCCTTCTTGCTTTTCCTTTCTCTCACTTAAGGCTCTCTTCCTCCGAGCCAAGAATGTCATGATAGTAAGTATAGCTGTGCTTGTGTTTGTCTTTGCGTGTTTGAAGAACCAGGAAGATGTCTGCCGTGACATGTCAAAAAGTGTATGCAAATGCTCATAGATGTTTTCTTTTTTTCTATTAGAGGATGGCTCTGCGGTGATCTGTTTGGACTTGGATTGGCTTAGACCCCATCTCTCTCTGTCTATAACTTTGCTGTAAAACGACAAAACAAATGTAAGTATAGCTAGATCCAGCTTGGGATGGAGGAGGATCGCCATGCTGTGTCAAAAATAAAGATAGCACAGTGTGTGCAACCCTCTAATGACCTTTTTTTCCAGCTAGAAGAAGTGTTTCTATCTTGGCTGCGATTCTCTGCTCTGCTCTGGCCGTGTGTTCGGCTCTCCCGTGTCTCATCGTAGAAGTATGGGTAAGTATAGCACGATAGGATGTGTGTGTAGTTTAACAGTTTTCCATTAACTGTTCGTCTCTTTTGTTTCTTGGAATGGCGATAGTGCACAGATACATCCACGCTGGTCAAGATTGATGCTCTACTGCCATCCCGCTCCTAGAAGCCGACCTGTCAAGTAGTCCATCGGCTGTGGTCAGGATCTATCCATCCATCTGGACGGTGGCGTGTGCTTTTTGCTTTGACTTGGACCTGAGGAAGTCGTTAAAAGCCTCATCTTCTTCTTTGCTACATATATTATATCTTTATTGCTTCTTTGTATATTTTATCCCCCTTCCCCTCCTCCCCTTGCTCTGACCCAGGAAGTCGTTAAAAGCGTCTATTCGCGTTCTTAGTATAGTTTATCCTCCTCCCCCTCCCCTCCCTACCTCCCTTGCACAACCCGTATCGCCTAGTAGCCGCTGTTCCGTATCCATCTTCGGATGTTGCATCGTTTCATGCGAACGGCATACTCTCCACACCAGGCAGCCTTCGGGCGTACGTCCTGTCTTTCAGACTGTACCCAGGCCACGGGTAAAAAGTGAGCCTGTGGTCCCCGTGAATTAGTGGAATGCTCCGCGTAAGTGTTTACTTTCTCTCTTTCTCTTTTTCTGTCTGTGGATTTACATGGAAAGGGAGGGGTTTCCTTTTTTGTGAGTTACAAAAGCTAACTCGTAACTCTTAATTTTTTTTTGATAAATAGATGTGTTATGGAAAGAGAAGTCTTATATCATAGCCATCATACTATTAAGCTCTTAATAAAAAATCTTAATATAGTTTTTTACTTAGTCGCGTTCATACTATACACTATATCACTACTGTCGCAAAATCAATTCCTTTAAACATAATATTACTTTTTACTCTTTTTACTATGAGAAGTTTCAATCACAACTTTAGCAACTCACATACCGAGTATATGTAACGTCGTCACCTCATTCTTTCCGCTCCGTTGTTAGCGACTACATACGAACACGACGATGATATGATAACGGGACGCCATGGAGTTCTCGAATGTGCGAACCTGAAGGCCAATCCAAACCTGTTACACAAGAGGTAAGTTTACCTCGCCGCCTCTTGAAGCCACTGAGCATATCTACGTATGTATGCGAAAAAGGGTGTTCCTTCCTAAGTTAGAAACAAGCAGAAGATGTTGATTCATTAGTTAATAGGCTCTTTACAAAGTTTACCACAGTTGAGGGAGCCATTATCAATTAAGGATTGCAAGTTTGCGTTGTGTATTAGTGGGCTTAGCTTGTGTCATGTATGTTTCATGCGCATTGACTTCCAGGTTTGGTCTCATTCGCCAAGTCTGAATCAGCCGCACGGGCCGACTTTTTGCGAAAATTTTATTTTTTTATGTAACATTCCATGTGGAAACAAAAAAAATCTTTTTTTTTTGTGTAGATCAGCACAGTGCCAAACCGTGCTCTGTGGTATAAAAGAATACATGGTAAGAAGACAATACATGTGTGTGCCAAGTGTAATTTAACTCTTTGCGATCCGGCTGCTGTGTAGCTTTTCTATGTTATCTGTTTCGATGAAATCCCTGCGTGCTACTAAGATGTTGGACGCCAAACTTAAAAAAATCGCAAAATAGGTCCGCCGGCTCTGCCAGTCGTTTCTATTGTTCAAATACGTGAGAAAGATTCTGTGCAGAAAACGATGGAAAAGTTGTTGACTACATTACAACAATAGCATCTTTGATGTGCACACTACGTGGAAAATATATATCTGTGACATAAATTATGATATTGAGTCGAAATACCAAGAGAGATAACGCATAGAAAACAAACGAGATGGGCACAATGATAGATCAGTCCCAGGAAGTAACGTGATCTGTGTAACAAGGCGTGGCTTACATATACACACGAAGTATGGAACAAAGGCTGCTGGACATCGTACCTCAGACGTATGTAACATGCGCGGTGTCAAAAACACATTTATTCCGAGCATCTTATATTAGCCCAATATGAGCTAGCCTTATTGGTTTGATGCAATTTCTTTCCATTTTCTGAGCTACAAGCGTGCGGAACTTGCGCCGAACCAGTATATAAGGATCAAGGGAACCTCTTTGTAAAACTTCGTTACCCCACATTACCTTCTTTTCATTATACACACAGAAATGATTGTTATTCCCAGCAGTTTTAGTCAACTTGTTGATTCAGTCAAGGACATCAATTTATCAACCCGCCAACAACAGACGATCGGTGTTATCACTGCTGCAGCTGTCGTTACGAGCTATTCGCTGTATAAGCTTTGGAACCAGGTTAATAAACAATCTTGCATCATCCAGCAGTTTTCGCTACTCTAGCCAGCTGCACGCTGCAATACCAAGCTCCTTGATCTGTATCTGCTCACAGCTATTCATGCACCTGTTTCCTGGTTAGGGTCCGAACGACGGTTGCCCTGTTGTCCCGTACACCAATCCATTAAATGGATCGTCAGCTGAGTTTCGAAAGAACCCACGGGAATTTATTCAGACGTGGACAGAGAAGCTCGGCCCCGTCTACCGAGTCCACCTTTTTGGCAGAGTGAGTAACTTTAAATGTGACACGGTAAAACGTGCTGCGCTTTGCTTGCCCTCGCTCAAGAGTTGCATATCTGATTTACAAATGGCTTTGTTTAGTTGTACACGGTTGTTTCGGGCAGATATGTCCGTGAGGTGTTTTTGAACAATAATTTTGATTTCTTCACAGGCATCAACAGAGTAAGGATAAAATCTTTAATAACGCAGAACAACGATATATCTGTTCATGCACTGCGGGTTTTAATGAATTTGATGATCGTGTTTTCAGAGATTCAACATGCCGTTGATGGCTGGTATTCCTGAAGGTGAAATCCCTCAAGAAGAAGGCCGCAAGGTTGTTGTCAAGTATTTGACGCCCCAATTGAAATACTTTACTGCCCGCGCTGTCGAAAATGTAAGAACCATTACTACCTCTGTTAACGATGTTTGGCTTGATATAGAGTGATGCTAACCATCTTTTTAATGTAAAACCTAGTTGAACATTGGTCTTAAAGAGATAATGGGCGATCTCAACGGTAAGCAGTAAAACATTGTCGTCAGATAAATATAGTGAATTTTGACAATCATTCTTGGCTGTAATGGCTCATTGCTGTTTTATCCATTAGAACCAAAGGAACTGCCTCACATGTATCCCCTGGTACAACGCATGGTGGCCCGTGCAAGTGCTTCCGTTTTTGTTGGAACCAAACTCGCAAAAGACGACGAACTCGTCAGTGTGTTTCAGAATATCACCACAGACATTGGATCAATGATTCGTACAGAGTCATGGCTTGAACCGTTCGCTAGCTTGTTGCACTTCCGAATGTGGTTCGTATCTAAAGAAGAGATAAGGATCGGTTATAGGAATACAATGTTACTTATACAGTGTTGTTCTTTTGTCAGGGCTATCGGTAGATTCTCTTCTAAGGTCCGTGCTATTCGTAGCAAGATGACCAAAACTATCGGCGCTGAAGTTGAACGTCGTTTGGAGGCCGCTGAACAGAATCCAAATGGCTGGGATAGACCCGTAAGTGAATTGTCAAAAGTGTTGGAAATGTTTGGCAGATCCTATTTAAAAGGAGGTTAATAACAGGCACTGTTTTTATAAGGTGGATGTTCTTCAAGACCTTATTGAGAACGTCAACATCCCTCGTGGATCAGACCTCATTACAACGATTGTCAACTACACGATCGCTTTGATTTTTGCTTCCATCCATACCACATCCGAAAACGGTACCATCGTTTTGTATCGTATTCTGCAAAATCCTGAGCTAATGGATGAACTTTTGGAGGAGCAGAAGGAAGTTTTGCAACGTAATGGTATCGATCCCGAAGGTGCGGCCAAGGATGTATTTACATTCGAAATTGTCAAAGATCTTCCCAAGCTGGATAGTATTGTTCGTGAGTCCATGCGTCTTCGCAACGAATTCTACGAGCTGCCTCATTCCAATGTTGGCAATAAAAAGGTTGTCTTGAGCAACGGCACAGTCATTAGGCCAGGTAGAGATCTCACCTTCTTCTCTCTTCTTCCGTTAAGAAGCATAAGTTACAAAAAAGCTGATTGAATGTTCAATTTACTAGGTGAAGATGTCTTGATTAATACGTGGTACAACCAGCAATACGATGGTTGGGATGAATACAAGGTTGAGAACGATGACCGTTCAGAATTCAAACCTTACCGCTACATTAACACCGGTCGCCCATCGACTAAGGTTGGTGATGACTACCTTGTCTTTGGCGAAGGAAAGCATGCCTGCCCGTAAGTTGCGTTTACTGTTATCATGATAAGTACATATTAGCTGTGAAAATGTTGAGATACTTTACTGATCTTATTTCTATAAATAACCTAATGATACAGTGGCCGTTGGTTTGCAATCCAAGAAATCAAAACCATTATCTCGCTCCTACTACGCGATTACAAGGTTCGCCCATCCAGTGATGTTATCTTCCCAACCACTACTGCCACAGCCATGCCTTTCGGTACTGCTACCATTGAAAAGCGACAGCGTGCCTAGATTCCTACACATCCTCTTACTACTTGTAGAACCATATCCACTCTTTTGCAATTGTATTCTTTCTATGTATACTATTTTAGTTCGTCAATCCCTTCCATATATAAAAGACAAAGTACAGCAGCTGCTGCATTTGATGAAGAAATTACTCTATATGTATTTTTACAACATTGTATGATATTGAACAAATCTATGTACTGCACAAAAAGACTTCAAGAGAACCCAATAATTACAGCAGTTTTGTGAATACATTTAAAGGATCGACTGGGAAATACAGCGGATCCCTGTTAATCTCATATTCGTTAACTTTCACCCTGGTAAAAAGTAAAAACAATCTACATTCCCTTTTTTTCACTATCAAGCATGCAATGGTTCAACGCATAAAGGGGTCATTTCAGATATTTGGTGTTGATTCGATATAATATCCTCAAATAAGTTGCATGTAGAAGAGACGCATCTAAATGGAGAAATTATCTAAGGTATGTTCAAAGAAAGAAAAAAGGCAGGAGAAGGCTGCAAGATATAAAAAGACATGTTTGTAAACTATGTGATCTTTATAGTGACAACTTCCTGAAATCGGTAAGCTATGTAACACCAAGATGTGTCTGGATAAAGAAATGTCCGCACGTGTGGGGCTGTAAGGGAAATAACAGCAATCGTTTATGACGGGACAAAGAGTAGTATGTGTTAGTGACCATGTTGGATACAACAAATGTGTTATAAAACTCTAGAGTCGCTAGTTTTGGAACAGGTTGGATAGTGAGACATACAGAGATATAGATATGTGCACAATATATGAGACGATCATGTGTATCTTACAAAAAACACATATTATAGCAGTCGTATGGGGGTATTATATTAGTTCCGCTAACTTTTACACCCGCTTAATTTCACCAAAAAAAAAAAAAAAAACGGAAAATACCGTTATGAAAATAACGGGGACCCGTATATACAGGCGACGACAAGGGACGTTACGAGCATTCAACAGCGCGGTTGTGTTACATAGCGCCGATCCTTTAATTTCTGCATCCTTGACAAGAGCGGAAATAAAGAACCTCTTTTGATCATATATTTTTATTCGTACTGGCTACTTTTGAAAGAGAATTTGTTATCTTGCATCATTACTGACAACGCACGCTTAATTCAAATTGTACCAATCTCTTGATGGAAATGGTCACAAAAAGTTGACGTAGCGGATGACAGACGGACGAGAAACGCGGACAGCAGTAGCGCGGTGGCAGATTAATTTTCCCGACACGCGTTTGAGGTAAAGTACGGACGAAATGCCCGCAAAGAAAATATATAAAACCCCCTTGCTCATTTTCCACCATAATTTAGCACAGGACCCGAGTAAACAGAATGCAACTGACGATACCGAGCTCTCTTGACCAATTTATCGGCTCTGTCAAAGATATAGATTTGTCTTCCCGACAACAACAAACAATCGGATTGATAACCGCTGCTACTGTCGTAACTAGCTATACATTCTACAGACTTCTGTTCAAGGTAAACAACAGTAAAAAATTTGCCAGAGCAAGGATAGACAAAGACAATTGAATTCCATCTCATATTAACTTTATGTTTGCCGGAATAGGGACCGAGTGATGGCTGTCCAACTGTGCCTTACCGCGATCCTATCAAAGGTTCATCAGCTGAATACCGCAAAGATCCTCGGGCTTTTGTCGAAAAATGGACGAAAGCTCTCGGTCCTGTGTACCGTGTCCATTTGTATGGTAGAGTAAGTCTGCCATTCCATTTGATGCAAGAGAAGAGACGGAAATGGAACATTATGGCATCTTACTTGCGTTTCTTTCACAGATGCACACGATTATCTCTGGTAGATATGTCCGAGAAATTTTCATGAACAACAGTTTCGATTTCCATACTGGCATTGAAAAGGTATTAATGGGTCATAAAACCAGAAAAGTAATCAGTTAGCGACTTTCTAAGAGTACTGAAATATGAACATCAAAATTTTATAGAGGTTCGATATGAAGACGATGGCAGATATCAGCCATTCGGACGTTCCAATAAACGACACAAGAACATCCGTTGTCCAATACTTGACCCCACACCTAAAACATTTCACTCCGCGCGCTGTTGAAAACGTAAGAGATCGACAAATTTAACTAGTATGTAGACATTCGTAATTTCGTACTACTGCGTTTCTAATTGCTCTGATGGTCTGTGACAGCTACATTTGGGTCTCAAAGATGTTCTCGGAACTATGGAGGGTAAGGACATCGTTTTAACTTTTACAGAAACTGACAGATCATTATGCCGAGATACATGTTCCTTCATCTTACGTCATTATGTCTTAACTGTGGATGTATAGATGGATCTGTAGAAATTCAGCACATGTATCCATTAGTTCAGCGCATGGTTGCCCGCGCAAGTGCATCCGTTTTTGTGGGGGAAAAACTTTCCCAGGATCTTGATTTAATCGCAAGTTTCCAAGACATCACTACAGACTTGGGATCCATGATCCGTTTTGAAAATTATTGGCTGGAAACTTTCTCTTTTTTGATGAAATTAAAAATGTGGTATGTACTATGAAGATAGCTGACGATATGCAAACAGAAGTATCCGTATAAATATTGATTACTATGAGAAATGCTATTTAGGGCAATTGGTAAATTCTCCTCAAAAGTCAAAAAGCACAGAACCACAATGCTTCGATCCTTGACTCCAGAAATCGATCTGCGTTTGAGCTGTGCAAAGGACGATCCCAATTGGCAAAAGCCCGTAAGTTTTGTGTATCATTTCTCGTAGTCCTTTATTTTTAGATGTAAAGACGGGTTTTGGAGCAGTGCAACTAACTGAGTATATAGAATGATATCCTTCAAGAGCTCATCGACCATGCTGAAGTTCCTCGTGGCCGTGATATTTACACTCATATTGTGAATGAGATCATTGTCTTAATCTTTGCTTCCATTCATACCACGTCTGAGAATGGCACCATTGTTTTGTATCGTATTCTCCAAAATCCCGAACTCATCAACGAGCTTTTGGAGGAACAGCAAGAAACAATCGAACACGCTGGATTAGACCCTAACGGAAAAAGTAACGAGGTGTTTACATTCGATACTATCAAAGGCATGGTTAAGCTGGATAGTTTCTGCCGTGAAGCCTTGCGCCTCAGGAGCGAGTTTTACGAACTTGCCCATACCAACATCAGTAAACAAAATGTGGTATTGAGTAATGGTACCATTATTCCACCAGGTAAAGGCTACATGTGAAACGCGTACGAACGACCAATGCGAAATTATTTCATTCCATAAACACTTGATACACCTAACAAATGTTTATTCTGATTAGACGGCGACGTTTTGATTAACTCTTGGTATAATCAACAGAGCAATAGCTGGGAAGAGATGCGTAAAGATGGTGAAGATCGCGCACAATTCAAGCCTTTCCGTTATCTCAACACTGGCTATCCATCGACTAAAGTGAGCGATGACTATCTGGTTTTTGGCGAAGGACGGCGTGCTTGCCCGTAAGAATCCGTTATTTTATTATTTATCTTGAAATCTATTCAATTACTTTTCTAATACCATCGTAAAATTATAGTGGACGATGGTTTGCCATCCAAGAAATTAAAACGATTATTGCCCTTCTTATCCGTGACTACAAAGTTCGCCCCACTAGTGACATCCTTTTCCCAACATCATTAGACACTGCCATGCCATTCGGCAGCGCTTCTTTTGAGAAGCGCAACTAGACGCAATTTGTATAAAAAACGATTCTGCACTTAGTAACTTGCATCAATATAAAATGACCATTTTGACAAAATATAATCACAGTATGGTCCTAGGAAGTTTAATGTTTCAGATTAGCCGACTAATGGCAACCATGACCGCGTTTATATCGAGCTGATATATGACGTTTAGTCAAGCTGTTTCAACTCATTTTGGTCGGCGATTTGGCACAAATGCATTACTTAACAATTATGAGTACCGATTAGTAGCCTCTTTTATTAAAAAGAATCATGCACAATCATCACCATACGCTCTGTTTATTTCCAGCCCTGCAAGTGCAAATATGAACAAGTATTATATCGTGTCGGTATTATGTACATTGCGGTTGCTTAAATATTAGTAGTCCATTTTAGCATTGCCTTCGTTGTAAATTTCCCATTGCTACGAGCGAAATAAGCAAAATCGCAGACACATTATTGACTCGAGACTCTCGTGTAGCTCCGTGCCGCTGCACCGAGGATAGTTGGTTTTGAACTACAGACTATGCTAGCCATTCCCAAACAGTGCCCATGTCGCTTGCATGGGTCACTTATTCTTGTGCTTCCTTGATGGCTCTGCATTGTTGACATTTCCATCTTGTCGCCAGTTACGCCTTTTTGTTGGGGAGCAAACCGCAATTTATAATTGCTCTAATCTCCACCACTTTGAGTGTAGACTGATGAGCTTCATCGGTCTAATGTTGTCGCTTAGATTCCGTTACCGTACGTAGAGAGAGTTCTGAACCGTCGTCGTGCCTCTACTCTACTCAAACAGAAGCATGCGTGCTGCTTCTTATAGCCAACTGTTGACTGTATTGGTGCCAGACCCAATGATTGACTGTCCCGCTGCCATAGTTTCTAGCTGTTATTGTCACTACCGTAATACTTGAAGCTACATAGTTTTTAACTGATATTTCTGCTCCAGCGCTGGTCGAGAGTTCTTTGTTCGCATGGCCCCCTCGATTTATTTTGTCGATACAATATCGTTTCATAAATGCTGTTTTGCCTTTGAAGTGTCGTTGCCCAGTTTGAATTATGGCTACTTGTGTTCTGTTGCCAACTTATCAAGTTCTTGGCTGTCAATCTCGATTACCACGAGATTTAAGCCTGTCTTTTTCCGTTTCCTCTAATTTTGTCGCCACGAGTCCTTGTTGCTTTGCTGTCATCGTATAGACGCGGTGTTGTGATGAAGACTCGCTCAAAATATTGTATATTTTCCGCAGTTTTCGATTGTTACTGCTCCTTCCGTCCGTTTCCTATTGTTTTGAAATTGACGTCGTCAATGGTAATACTGTCTATGTTGTTGCATGAATGATTACAGTTTTGTTGCCCAAAGCAAAATAAAATTGTCTTCTCGATCTGACATTAAGCCACTTGAGCAGTTATTTTCTGCAATGATGTCGATTCCTTCCCGCTTATGTGCTTCTCGCTTTTTTCCCTCTGTAATGCAAGTTGCGAACGCTGATGTCACCTTTGTATAACGATTTGCTGTATTGTGCAGGTTCTTATGCCTTGCTTAGCTTGACGGTCTGTCTTAGCCGATTGAATCGTTGTATGCGTAGACATTTTTTGTCGCTACCATGTCTTGTAATATGTTGTTGTTACGAGCGCTGGTGTTTGGCAGCAATGAAGAGGGTCTGTACCTTCTTGATATGGGTACCAGGCTTCCTTGTTTGTAAATTAGAGTCTTGGGAAAGCATTTGGTTGTTTTGCACTCTCATTGATCTTTTCATTAGATAATGCTAACGTGTGGATGGAAACAATCATCTTTGGCAGGTGCAACGTAGAATATTCCGCAAAGGTGCTTCATAATATGTTAGACGCTTAAGAGCGATAGAGTTTCTCCTATTGAAGTATGTAAACAACAGTTGTCATGTACTGCACTCCATGAAACAACTAAAATTAACATAGATTCACACTCTATTACCTATAAAAGTAACGAGAAAAATACACAATAATGCTGTCAGCAAAATTACTGTGGCTGTACACTCGTCCTTAACCATCCAGAAAATGCATGGCTGCTTTGGTATCACACTACTATTTTACCAGTTGAATACGTTCCGGCCTATCAGCACACGCCAACTTCTAAAATACGTCACTCTGTATACCGGCAAAAACAAACTGTAGGCCCAACAACCCCGGTAAGGATTGCTTCTTACTCCTCTATCTTGTCAGTCGTTTCTATTCCCGCCACTTTATTGCTCGCTGTCTTTCCTGAATCTACTTGCTCATTGGCATTTGTGACTTATGTTTTGCTCGATACGGTGGCGTGCACGGACCACCCACAAGCAAGCAGAGACAGCATCGAATGTACAACTGCGCATGGTAATAGACACGTGCCACTACCACCGCAGCACGTTTGTCTACTTGACCACCAGACAACCCGTTATCTGAGCCAGTAAAGTTTTACGCGGTTTCGCGGAACGTTCCGAACTGCCGTGCGAGCGTGACAGTAAAAAAAAGAAACTACTTTCTTTCACTCGAATCAACAATGAGTGTTCGCAAGACACCCTATATTTGCAACCTGTTCTAATTTATATCAGAGCATGGACTTATTGCATACTTGTAAATTTACGACAATCTTATAGGGGATCTCATTTTTACTTGACGCGGTAACCAGCCTCAGATCTGTGCTTTGATGCAAATTTTGTTTCGTGGAACAGTAGCAGAAACAAACAATGACTTAAGGTATACAAAGTTGATTATTGTCAAAAAATGCTTTGAAGGCATCATTTTTACATGGAAGAAGCGTAAAATTAAAAGAGAACAGTTAATATCCGAGCTTACATTGATCAAAAGTAATACATAAAGACCTAAAATATTTTGGTGTTATTTCTTACTTGCTAGTGTAGATAAGAAACAATCTTTTGGCCTGCTGATGCTTAAGGAGCAAACATTATTGCTTCAGGACTTTTAAGGTTTGTCGTTTCGGAAATAAGCAAAACATGGATCGACCTTGGGATAACCCAAGTGTATTTTGAGCACAAGCTTCGCGCGCTGTTGGCCAACCATGTCGCATTTTTCAAGAACATAGTGTCGTTTCGAATATAATCTAAGACATTACTGTACCATCATCAGCATATCCTCAGGTAAGCCAATGTCGTAGTTGGTGCGCGGCGCATCCAGATTATCGACAATTCCAGGACAGTAGGCACGCAACATAATTACTAGGCAATTTTTTCCACCAATCGAGTCTGGTTCATCGTGCGGGAACGTGTAGATCCTGCGTCAGATGCTTACAAGCTTTTATACACTCAAGCATATGTTCGGGATATCCATATACTATTTCGAAAGTATTCCGATCCTTGTATATCAGAGAGTACCTGCGCGGTAACAATACATAAACAGCGCTCTTGAACCAGTGTTTTATGGCCTGTCTCCTTGTGGAAGCTCAGGAACTTCAAAGAGCATTAATTCCAAGATCTCAAGATCTGTTCTAAATTGGCTGAGTAACATTTTAGATTATGACAAATCACCGCTGTTTCGACCAACACCATTAACCAACGATCTACTGCTGCTGCTATATTGCGAATATATCCAAAGGAGACAAACGCAGGATGCTATTACAGCACACAATTTTATTCAAACCAGACAAGCATGCTAAACCCTTTTTTTTATATATATTCATGCATACATTCGTGAGAGAAAGCATCATATAGAGCGATATGTAATATAGAAGCTATTAAAAATCCAAGGGTAACCGTTTAAAAAAAAGCCAGTGCATCCGTTTTGTTAAGTGGTATATACAGCTTTTACTTTCTGTGTTGCATGTTGGATACATATATCGTTAATCAACGGGCACTTCTTGATTGTGATTGTGAGCTTAGACAATTGGCGTTGGGGGATTTTGTTGATTAGACCTCGTACGCCGTCATCTGTTACGTTCTTCAAATCATTCAACACGATAAAATAAATGTTACAAAGGTTACCGAGAACAAGCATGGTATCGTCTGTAATGGTATTCATCCCAGACAGCTCGATTCTCGTCAGCTGGTCGGATAATTTGGTAATAAGCCCGTGGATGCCTTGCGTTGTAACGTGAGCCAAGCCGCGTAAGGTGACCTCGCTCAAAGTTTTGATGCCACTCAAAGCAGAAAGCACAGGGTCCGATATTTCTGCGCAATATCGAAATATCACGGATTCTAAAGACTTTTGTGTTTCAGACAGTCTTGCGTATCGCTCAAACAGCTGTATCAAACTTGGACGCCCATTAATACTCTGGACATGCGCTATCTCGAAAGATACGAGTGGTTCGCCAAGGTTCATGATAGTCCTCGTCAATTCGACAATGTCGGCCGGCGCTATAACGCACAGGTGCTTCAAAGAAGCGCTGTCAGCAATCGAGCGTAGCAGATACGGTTGTATAGCAGCGCAAGGCCACATGTTTAGCTTAATAACACGCGGCAGTTTGAAATACATGTAGGTTGTGTTGAATTGCTGGACCTCTGGTGCTGTCAAATCCGTTAGACACGCTAGCAGCTCCTCCAAAGTATACCGGCTTTTGTATATCAATGGGAATATAGCAGACGTGGGAACATAGGCTTGGCCATTGTTTGTGTAGAGCACTCTTAAACCAGGTTCTTCACTGTCGGTCTTCTTTTTCAAATCCTTTAGCGCAGGAACTGAGACATCGGTGTTGTATCCCAAAATCTCAAGTTTTGGTGCGCATCGGTTAATTGAGCCAAGTACAGAAGTACGGCACCCGTTCATGACAAGCCGTCGTAATTTTTGGCAACTTTGTAGCATCTCTTCAATATCAGGCCCATTGATCGTCTTTGCTTTCAGCTCGAGATTCGTGAGTCCACAATTTTTGCTGACCATGCTGAAATTGCCTATACAGGTTTCGATCGTTGAGTTTGCCTGATAGATGAGATTGGACAACAAATTACAGGATAAAAGTATCTCGGCTACAGTGATATCTCGAAGGTCGTTGGTAATCTCGACGGTAAGACTCGTCAGCGTGTCGCTCACTCGAAATATAGCATTTGAAAATAGTATGATGTACGGTCGAGAGAAATTTGTGATGCTTGCTGTGAAATGTGATTAAACCCAGTCGTTACTCCTCATAGTAATCACGTGTATAGTTAGAACGAATGCTAACGTGATGTCACATACCTGTCAATTCCAGTGAACGAATTTTTTTAAAGTGATGCTCTTTTAAGGCCTGCAAGTATTTTATGCGTATTGACATGCTTGTTGTACTAAGTTTCAGGTGCTCAACATGAGAGCCGATGTACTGGGCTTCATCCACTAGTTTGGTGTCTTCTTGGGTGTCGGCGACTGATAGGTTTCTCCATGCATCTGTACACTCGAGTATCCGTTCTCGCCACACCTTCGATAACTCCAGACAGGCCACTGTTGTGTCCTTAGGTAGCAGCTTAATAACGCTGTTCACAATTTCAGTCGGAAGTATATCCATAAAGTCGATTCTGCTTTCATTTTTCTTGGTGGCCTCTTCTCTTGCAGTCGTGAGACACAGTATTTGTTCCTCTTGACTGGATTCAACCATTCGAACTCCGTCGTTGTATACCGCAATTGCGTGGCGTTGATTCCCGTACATGGAGTAGATGCTGGCTTTTCGAATATATCCAACTGCTGAGCGTGGCGAATAATCAATTATTCGTTCAGCTGCGACGAGTGCACAAGTGGGCTTTCCTTGCATAGCATAGGCATGGGCAGAAGCATCCAGGATCTTGAGAAAATGATTCTGGAGCAGGAACTCAGCGTGCTCGACAACGTGAGGGTGTTTATTGTTATCAATCGCGTTGTTGAGCATTTGGATCGTCTTTTGAAAAGACTCCGCAAGCGTATTGTCGATTTTGTTCGGGGCGAAACTAGAAGGCATGGAGGGAGTGCACATATTCATCAATAAAAGAACAGGATGAAAGAATAAGGGGAAAAGAGAGGTAAAAAATAAGAAAGAAAAAGGGCGCATCGGTAAGCAATCAATTTTCGGACTTGCATTCCGAAAGCGCTGTTCGAAATTTGCTCACTCAACTGTTGTCACATATCATACGCATAACTCATCGTCACCTATAAAAAAACATATCATACACATTGATGCTGGTTGTTTTGGACGTACTTGGTGCTGTTGTTACATAATCGATTCATACGAGCTTTAGAGCTAGTTAATAATATTGGAGCAATAACTATTCCAAGTATCTTTGCCGCTCAATAATGCTCGGTTTCTCAAATGACGATGTTATGCGCGCTAGGTGAAGAAATGTGTCATAATAGCTTGTTGCCAGTAAAACTTTTTTTACGTAAATATAGAAATGAGACTTATGATAGGAAGAGAGGCTATTGTAGCTTGCTACAGTGTGATTGTAATCTAAACGGCTTGCATACAACTCTTTGACGTTTTACTTCATTTGTTGATTTTACCATGGCGGCGCACTTACATTAGGGATCGTAGTTAGTGGGCCAAGAAACGGGGGTTTGACGATTGTTTGGGAGATCGCATATGTATAATACGTTTGAATACAACCTAGAGTTTGCTCATATCCGCACAGATGTAGAGCTTTCCATGTGATTTCATGTATGAAGCACGCTGTGCGCAAGTGGTTAGCTATCTTCGATTGAAAGAGTCGTACTCAGTCATACGCAACAAGTTTCTAGATGCTCCCACCACAGATCCTGCGAAAGATATTTTCTTTGTGCAAAGTTGTAAGGGTGCATACCGTTACGACGATATTCAACGTGCATGGTTGACGATAGGATGACTTGCGGTCAACCGCATGTTGAATAAGGAGTAATAGGCGTGGATACTCTAGATAGAAGTACGATGTAGATCAATACTAAGACGCTAGCTAGCCCTATTACTCAACGTATATATAGAGACAGGGCCCTAAGTTATATGGATCCCTATCGTTTTATCCTTTGATATATCCGAGCCTCACCTTTTTCTATTGATTCACACTGTCTACCCATTCACGTTCCCGATTGTAAGTATCTGGGCCGACACTGTTACAAAAGTGATATCAGAAAGGTCTGCTCTTGTCACAATTGTCGAGCCCGTCGCCATAGCAACCGATGCGTTATTAGATGTGCTTTGCACGATGGATCTTTTTTTTGACCGGGTACCTTTGGAGATCACTAACGTTACGTTTTCACACATATCGAAAAACGACTGCCTTGGATACTTGTGTGTATGTGTGTGTGTGTGTGTCGTAAATAGTTTTATAAACTATTTACATACATATGCGGTAGATCTTTCTACCAGTTGAAATTGCCAAGAATCAGCCTGCTAAAGAGAAGACCCCTTTGCCGCCAATCACTCCATTCACGGTTGAAAAGAGAAACACTGGAACTTCAAATTCGCATAATCAGTATTGTTATCCGACGGAGCACTGACATGGAAGATGTGTGCATGGAGATTGTTATAGGTGGATTCGCGGATGACAGTAGTAGGAGGTCTGATGAGGTTGCTGCAGAAGCTTTATGCAGTTGTGTAGCGTAATTGTATGCAGCTGCTGTACCGAAAGGATCGATGGCGGATGCTTGAGACAACCAGCTAGCATGTGGATTGGGTCGATATGGATCATATTGCTCCTGTTGTCCTGCCTGAACTCTAATGTTGTCATGGTTATCCGCAATGGCATGCGTCGGAGAAGAAGGTCCAAAAGCCAGGTTGCCTAGTACTGTTGATCTTCAAATGTTGGGATCCACAGGCCATTCTTATTGTAGCGATCACTCAGACGTGCCTGATTGAGAACCACCACGCAAATAATCCTGCTGGCTCTCCATACTGCATAAACGTGACAACGAGCGACCCACAGCTGTACCTGTCATGAGCGATACCAAAATACTGTGCTTTGAAGTCTATGGTTACTGTGAATGGCGTTGCGTATCACACGCCCACAGCTCTGAGGTCGTCCTCTGCTGCCGTCTTCTGTTCGACTCTGTTCAACCTCGTGCGCTCGGGTACTGACTTGACGCGATCGTCGTTTTTGACAAGGGCACACACAAGAATAATCGCGCCTGTAGCTGGGCCAGCAGTAACATCAGCAATCCGTTCACCTCATAAATTGGCTGCTGTTGTACAAATGCTTCTCAGCATCTTCACACTCGCCGGTTCCTTATCAGTTTTTGATTTCCAGGATATCCAATTCTACCGGATATTGATTAAAGGATCTTTTTACTGTATACTCAATAAATTGACGACCGCAGGCTGCATCCGTTGAGGTATCATTAGGAATAACGAGCGCTCTATGCACGTAAACTGTACGATCCATACAAGCATAATGCTGCTGTGGTGCTTCAGCTTAACACACAGTTTGTCCGACGGTAAAATGAAACTCTTTTTATATCGCCGGTTCTTTGTTCCATTAAAGCGCACAGACCCGTCGCCGACAATTGTTGGATCAGAGCGGAGCACGGCAAGCGGAGCCGCATAGTGAAACAAACATATACGCACCATAAGAAAAAGACACTAGCATGACAGTCGTCAGACTACAACGATAATTATTATCAAGGCACTTCTTCACATTGCTGCAGTTCACTGGCTCCTTAGGGCAGTAGTGACAACAAAATTTCTAAGCTCCGTCATTTTGTTTACCGGGCTCATAAAAAAAATGAATCGACTGCGCGTTTTGCCCTTTATTCTTTTCTTTAGTCTTCATATTCATCTTTGTACATTTGCAGTGTTTCTTTCATTATCACTTTTTACCTTTCTTTTATTTTTCATCCCGCTCGAGTGTCCCTGTGGGTGTGCATAGTTGAAGGGAGCTAGTCGTGCACGACTGGCTCTTGCTCATCTTTTGTACATTTGCAGTGTTTCTTTCATTATCACTTTTTACCTTTCATTTATTTTTCATCCCGCTCGAGTGTCCCTGTGGGTGTGCATAGTTGAAGGGAGCTAGTCGTGCACGACTGGCTCTTGCTCATCTTTTGTACATTTGCAAAGTTCTTTGTTTCATCTTGGTTTTTTATCTTCCTCAAAAACTGAAAGCGAGAGTGTGTGCAAAGAGGTACGTATATGTTCGCCGCTGACAGACCTTTGTGCTATTTCTTTTATTTGTAGGAACTGTGGAGGAGTAGGTTCTGTCGGGAACTGAGGCTTGTGGACAAGAAAGGGAGAGGTGTAGGTTCTGCCGGGAACTGAGGCTTGCGGAAAACAAGGGAGGGCAACCTCCCTTGTGGGTACGTATATGTTCGCCGCTGACAGACCTTTGTGCTATCATATTTCTTTTATTTGTAGGAACTGTGGAGGAGTAGGTTCTGTCGGGAACTGAGGCTTGTGGACAAGAAAGGGAAAGGTGTAGGTTCTGCCGGGAACTGAGGCTTGCGGAAAACAAGGGAGGGCAACCTCCCTTGTGGGTACGTATATGTTCGCCGCTGACAGACCTTTGTGCTATCATATTTCTTTTATTTGTAGGAACTGTGGAGGAGTAGGTTCTGTCGGGAACTGAGGCTTGTGGACAAGAAAGGGAAAGGTGTAGGTTCTGCCGGGAACTGAGGCTTGCGGAAAACAAGGGAGGGCAACCTCCCTTGTGGGTACGTATATGTTCGCCGCTGACAGACCTTTGTGCTATCATATTTCTTTTATTTGTAGGAACTGTGGAGGAGTAGGTTCTGTCGGGAACTGAGGCTTGTGGACAAGAAAGGGAGAGGTGTAGGTTCTGCCGGGAACTGAGGCTTGCGGGGAACAAGGGAGGGCAACCTCCCTTGAGGAACGAAGGATTCATAAAAGTCGGTCGACTTGTCAGGCAACATCAAAAAACTTGGTTTCTTATTTTACTTTCTTAAATAATGTAATTGTAACTATTGGGCAGATCGAGTGACGATTGTAATAAACGCGATCTTTTTTTTTACATCCTCCTACTGCCATTGCGCTTGGTACTTGTTGGTGCTTTCTCTGGAGCAGTTATGTAGTTGCAAATGAGCCTTTCGTACTCGAGTCGTCAAGAAAAACATAGGCTGTGCATTCGCATGTGTGCTCTCAAAAACAATACAGCTGGTTTACCTTCACGACTATACCAACAATGATTGCAAATTGCTGGTGGCAAAATAAATAACCGTATCGCAAAGCAAACAGACCATCCCCATATACACATATACACGAACCAGATCGCCAACCCAAACTAAATGATGTTTGCCTTGATTTCTTTGCAGTATAAAAGGCCCAGTACATAAGCTCATTAGGGAAGTTACATCATCCAACTTGTTGGGTCTTGCCACCAATCTCTCATGCTACTGTCTCTCAACATCACTGCTACTGATACACATATACTAGTAGTACTCATAGATAGATTGATATGGAATGTACCATTACTGCTTATGATTATACTAAGCTACAAGATCCCACTTATTAAACGCGCGTTCAAAGTTCTCATCAGCAACTATGGAAGAGGGGACTTTAACAGGTGCAATCCGTGATATTGTACATATTGCGTTAATTTCAGGCTCAAAATTGTATCTGCAATTTTCATTGATCGGCGAGAAGCATCACAAGAATATATAATATATGGAATTCTTCTGACATTTACACGCTGTATAGGGTGGAAAACATATCATCTAAATTGTACACACTAATAGAATATCTTTTTCAATCAAAGATAACAATATAATGTGGTATAAAGTAAACTTTTTCTTTTATTTAAATTCTCATTGATGACAAGAGTGGCATAATTAGTGAATCATGTCGTGGTCGATGATTGTCATAAGAAGTAGGACACCACGAGCGACGACGTTTAAAACATACAAAATAAGTACTCTTCAAGCGTGTCATTGGACCTGGATATAATGCCACTCCTGACTGTACAAGACAATCACACAACTCGTCAAAATAATCCAACGACGGTGGCATAAGCCATTCTAGGGAAAGGTATTCAAGATGTGGAAGCGATTGAACCAACGCACGGAATTTTTCGACATGCAACAAGTCGTCGACATAAGCCAGCTCGAGTCGTGTCATGGTGCGCATATCGAGTTTTATCAATGCATCCATGTCGTCTTCCATCAAGAGTGAATCCTGGATAGCCGCGCAAAGAGACAAGTAGGGTCGCGTGTGCAGGGTCAGTCGAGTGGTTTTGGCAAAGGGCGCCAACAGGGAATACAAGTGAGATGGCTGGCTTGGCCGGTAGTGGATCAGTTTTAAATGTCCCGAAAAATCAGTGCTACTACTACTGCTGCTTGATGATGTGGGTATAGGGCTGTCGCCGCTATAGCCGAATTCAAGACCTTGAGCAACTAGACCGAAATCCATGACAAAATCAGTGAGACGTGGAAAGAGGGTATCGAGGAGGGTGGCCAAGAAATAAATAGGCTGTTTCACTTGTTGTTGTTGTTCTTCTTTGTGGTATTCATCGTCGATTTGTTGTTGTTCCCAACCAGATAAGACATGATCAAGAACAGATGTCGCTGCGTATCGCGCAAGTGTTCGTTGTGAGTGATCGGCAATGGAAATGGTACGGACGTATCGACTGGCACGTTCCGAATACAACTTGTTTGTGGAGAGTTTGGAGGATAATGCGAAAAGGGCTTGAGGTTTGGTGATGGTGAGGTCTTGGTAGAGAGTGGGGAGGAGGGACCAATAACAGTGGTTGCATGTCTGTGCTAGCTCGCCAGCAGTGGCTGTTGGGAGATATGTGGCTATACAGGATATTAGCTCGGACGGTAGTTCTTGAAGCATTTTATTGTTCAAGAAATTGTAGTTGAGAAAATAAGAGAAGAAAAGGAACCAAGGGGGAAAAGAAAGAAACTAGAACGGGTGGCGAAAAGGTTAAAAGAAGTAGAGTGTTTTTCCATTTTCTCCCCCCCCTCGTATCCTCCTGTATATATTTTGACGCTTTGTATGTTTCACTTTCTTAGGAACCATTAAAATCCAATTTGATAAACTGAAACATAATCAGTGAAATTAGATGATGGGGATAAACTATTTATTCTTTCACTATTATAATGAAGTTATGGTTAAGGGTTGGTAGTAACAACATGATTTATCAAATGTTTTGTGTGATTATGTTGTTGGGAGAGATTGATGGAGCTGTAGTAACCTTTTTTTAATATTTTTACAAATGACTAGCATATCTAGCAGAGCATTTCGTGGAAGTAGTAGCGCCATCCATGTCAAAGACGGCTTCCACACCATCCCACAATGATTTACAATAAACAAACTTGATGGCTTGACGAATGTGTTCAGGGACGTCCTGGAGTACATCACGTTGATTGGTTGCAGGCAAGAGGATGCGTTCAATGCCAGCCCGATGTGCCGAAACCACTTTTTCTTTGACTCCACCAATCGCTCGTATTTGTCCGCGCAAAGTGATCTCACCCGTCATGGCTGTTGTCTTGGCTACAGGTTTCCCTGACAACAAAGAAATGATGGACATTACCATGGTAATACCTTTTCAAAAAAAATTGGGCAATATTGAGCAACTTTTTTATTAGTATGTTAATACGGTGCCTCTATCAGTTGTTTTGTTACCTGCAGAAGGTCCGTCTTTTCGAACCGCTCCATCTGGCACATGGATATGTAAATCCACGTCCGCCAAGAGTTCTTCTTTTCGAGACGTCGTCAATCCCAAAGCATAAGCATTTGCTTTTATCCAGGAAATGGCAATATAAGCTGATTCTTTTAATACGTCTCCCAACGAGCCTATTGTGTACAATAAGTGTTTATGACAATTGTCAATTTTGTTATTCTTTTCTCCAGTTCTCTAGTTTTTTTTTCTTACCTGTCAAAATCAATTTGCCCCGGCCTGGCATCTGGTTCACTTCAATTGCAAGAATGCCACCCATACCACCTTGTGAATAAGCCAATCCAGACACAACGCCTGGCACAGCTTCTTCACCATCCACCACATCAAATGCATACACGGGTGCCTAATAAAAATATATAGAACTGGATGTGTAAAAAAAAAAGGAGTTTCCCCCACCCCCTCATCCATGGCAAGGAAAAAAAGCCCACAATATACTTACACCTAGAATAGTATGCACATCCTCAACGTCGATAGTAGTTTTGAATTGTAACGATGACGACGAACGTGACTTTTTGCGGCGTCTGGTACTAGTAGCTTCTACGAGATCCGCATACTCCTTACACTTGTATCGACACAAACCAGCGATACTTCGATCCAAATGACGCACGCCGCTTTCTTGGGTATAATGCTCAATCACATAGAGCAAGGCCTTGTCGGTCAACGTGACGTTCAATTTGTCTAATCCATGTGCTTCCAATTGCTTTGGCCATAAATAGGAACGTGCAATATGCATTTTCTCGTCCGCCGTGTAGCCGCTCAAATGGACGACTTCCATACGGTCCAACAGAGGTCCAGATATCGTCTCCATCGAGTTGGCTGTAGCAATAAATAAGACTTGGGATAGGTCGAATGGAATGTTTAAAAAGTGGTCCACGAATGATGTGTTTTGACTTGGATCTAATACTTCCAACATGGCCGCAGCTGTAAATATGAAAAACCAGTTGGGTTCTTAGCAAAGGATTATCATTGATCATCATGTCGCCAACTTTCGCTGCTCTTTCTTCAAACCTCTTTTTTTTCCCTTTTATTTGTACCTGGATCTCCCTGACTTGAATTTTGCACTACCTTGTCAATCTCATCTAATAAGAATAAACAGTAACAAGCATGGTTGTGTAAGTTTTACACCACACAACACACAATCAGAGCCTTTTTTCTTATAGCTTATTGTTTTTATATACCAAGAAGGATAACAGGGTTTTTGACCCCACATTTCCGCATCCCGTTGATCAATAAACCAGGCATGGCTGCCACATACGTGCGTCGATGACCTCTGTTTCGTGCATATTTAATAGTGTGTTCCGCATGAAGAAAATCTTTACCGTCCCCGTTTTAAAAAAAAAAAGACTTACCGAATATCAGCTTCATCACGTATACTACCCAGTGACATTCTGTAAAACTTGCGATTTAATGCAGTGGCGATAGATCGAGCAAGCGTTGTTTTTCCGACACCAGGCTATACGTTTTTTTTGGTTTCTTGTGTATCAGCTTTCTCTCTTCTCTCATCATCATTACTTATCTCCCGCACCGCCTTCCCCACCATAATAGCTATCCAAAAAACATAACCTGACCTCTTCGCCCACCGCTCTCTCTCTCTCATATATTCATATATAAAATAAAATGGAAACATACTGGTCCAACCAAACATAAAATAGGAGGGCTCAGATCCTTTTTGACTTTAATCACTGACAGATATTCCAGTATACGCCGTTTCACGGGTGCCAAACTAAGAAAAAAGATTGACGAAGCTGGTTAATAAGTTTTGTTTTTGTTTTGCATAGGTTTGCATAAAGTGGGCTGCAGCTTTGCAGATAAACACACACACACACAAAAACTTGTATTGGACTTTTTTTACCCATAATGATCTGCATCCAAATGCTTTTTTGCAACCGAAATACTAACGTCTGCCTCTCCAGTAGTAGTAGTACTACTACCAGCAGACGATAACGACACTGTTGCTCCTTGTTGCTGCCAAGGTAAAGCAGCCACCAGTTCTAAATAAGTACGTAAAATGCCAGATTCAGGGGTGGATGGCATGAGTTTCCGCAGACGTTTGACATCCCTGTATACGACCGATTGTGCATAGGTTGGTAGGTTTGCCTTGTTGAGATGATGAATAAGATCGGCAAGCTCCTCGTCGTCTTCATTGGAGGGTGTGATCATGGATGTTGTGTTATTGCTATTATTACTCCTGAGTGCTTGCGTCGTGCTGCTGTTCTTGTTGTTGTTATATTTAGTTGCTTTGGCAGATAAACTAGAAAAGTTTTGTTCTTGTTGCTGCTGCTGCTGCTGCTGCTGCTGTGTCACACAAACACCACTGTTGTTGTAGTTATAGTAGCTGCTGCTACGTTCAATCTGATTAAACTGTTGTTGTTCGTGTGTTAGTATATGGTTTTTTAAGAGGGTGAGAGGGGAAAGAGTGCTGCTAAAAAGTGGTTCCGTCTCTTTCTTACCTGATGTCGCAAATAAAACTCACGACGATGACGGTCCAATGTCTGCTCAACGCTTTGCTGCGCGTCTGTTGATTCTTGTAGTGTCTAAAAAAAACAGTTTGTTTTTTTTTAATGTAAAAGAGAGAGAAAAAAGAGCGTCAATAATAATCTTTGTTTTTATGCACAACGTGTCTTGCATGGAAGTTTTCCGTGCATATTTTAATTTTTTTGGTAGAGAAGAGGTCTTACCTGCAAATGGCAACTGACCGCCCGGATCCCTAGTTCCAACAATTCTTGTACGTTGGTCGTTTCCAAGACACGCAGCTTGTCTTGGTACGTAGACTCTGTAAGACAGACGACGACAAGGCTGACAAGCTCCGGGAGAGCTCCATGTGTCATGCTTGTTGTCAATTGTGACAACACCGCATCAGGAATACCCAAGACGTCGCGCATCCTTGTTACATACTCCTTGCATAGATAACGCAGTTGTTGAGCTGCAGCAGAAAAAGTCGTCGACTCACGGTCATCGTCACCCGTTCTGCAGTGTAAATCATGGTGGTGGATCAAAGACGCTTCTAGCATAGGGTTTCCTTCATAAAGTATATCGTTGATCTGGGACCGACATATCCCTTGCACATGAACACCAGCGGTTCCAGGAAGCGTTCGATCGATTTTCAGTACCTTGGCGGTGCATCCGAAATGATGCAGTTGACTCATGTCGTCGTAGGTACCGTCGCCTTTTAGCGGAACACATACAATGTAGTCGTCAGCAACGATGGACTTGGCTTCAGTGTCGGATAGCATGTAGCTGGTGGTGATGGATGGTAGCAGGACCTTGTTATTGCTTAACGGAAGGATTGGTAGTTTGTCGGGCAATGTTGGCACTGGTGATAACATGATGATGTTGATAGTGAATAGTAAAAGTTAGCTAGTTATTAGTAGTAGTAAAAGTAGTTATAATAGTGAGTGATAGTGATAAAGGAAAGAAATTCATCGTGGAAGGAGGCAGGGGGCCACACTGCCTTTTATATTGTTCGTGTGAATGCGTCTCTCCCACTGCCACCGACCCACACAAGTTTTGGCAGATCCATGCGGGTGGTCTAAAAGAAGAACAACCACCAACCCCTCCTCGTTCTCATATTAAAAAAAGCCTCACATGCCAACACCGCTCTAATAGCACCACCCCCCACCCCCTTCATTCTATCGAGTTGACCTCCTTGAAATAGAAAAATCTGGGTGCACGAGCAAGGGGGAGAGAGGTGGCGGGACATTATTTTTAACTTACTACCACTTTCCCTTGCGGTCAAACCACACACACCCAACAATCAAACTCTGCTAAAATGGGTCGATCGGATCGTTCCGCAGAACGCCACCATTCTAGGAGACGTTCACGTTCACCATCGTCACGACGTCATCATCATCATTATCGTTCACGGTCATTGTCTCGTTCTCCTTCAAAAACAACACGACGACGTCATCGCGACCGATCGCCTTCCAAGGATAGCGAATCCGATTATAGCAAAAGCTCACAACGGCATAGTCATCGTCACGGCAGTTCGCGTTCAGAACGGTATGCTTGTAATCCACCGTTTCTTCTTTGCTTTACCCCCAGCCACTTGACCATTTTTATTCTTTTGATACAGCAAGCGTCGCCGATCACCTTCACCTTCATCGTCAGAAGAAAGCTCTTCTTCAGCATCGTCCGAGGATGAACGACGCAAGCGACGTAAGAAAAGCTCGAAAAAGAGTAGCAGTAAAGACAAAAAGCACAAATCAAAGGTATGACATTGAACGCTTTTTGTTTTTTTTTTGCCTCCCTTGGTCACTAACAAAAAAAGGAATGGGGGTATATAGAAAAAGTCCAAAAAGAAGAAAAAGAGTAAAAGCAGATTGGGTTCTGTCGGCAATGAATGGGGCAAATATGGTATTATCCATGAAGCAGAGTGAGTGTGGTTTGTTCTTTTTAAAGGCGTTCATGAGTCACGATCAACCAGTGAATGGATAGACTCATCTCTCTGTTTCTCTTTTTGCTGTGCATAGCATTTTCACCAAGGAAGCAGTAAGTTGAGGCGGATGAAAGAGAGCACAATTATTTAGGCATATCTCACACCATGTGTATGTATGTATGTATGTATAGGAATTCCAAGCATGGCTACTAGAGGTCAAGAAAGCCAACATTGAAACGTTGCCACAATCTGACAGAAAGAAGCTATTTATCGATTTCATGGATGGTAATGAGAAGAAAAAAAGAGAAAAAGTGAAATAGAGTAGTGAACTCATCCCCTCAAAACATCATTGCTTAGATTACAATACGGCAACCATGCCTCATGAAAAATTCTACAACTTGGCACGATGGGAAGCGCGTCAACAGGCACTGCGGATGGGAGAAAAGGTCCCGGACGATGCTTCTGGCTCGGTCAATTTGTTACGCGACGAAGAAATCCTCAGACAACAACATCGCCAAGCAGCTGCCCGTGCTGCTTCCAGCCAACCCTCGTTGCAATTGTCAAAGGAACAGTTGGACGAGCTGACCAAAGTCAACCGCGAACGTGTTCAAGCGGATCGTATGCGCAAATTGGGCATGACACCGAAAGAAAGCATGGGTGTTCGTTATCAGTACGAGTATGACTAAAAAAAAGATAATAATATAGCTTCCTTCTCTGTGGAAATATTACAATGATGATTTGCTATTTTGACAAGTCATCCTTTTTTTTAAAAAACACAAGCATGGGGATGACGTGAATGTATACACCCTATTTGCTCGAACGGGGAGGGAGATGGAACGATTATGTAAAAAGAGGCGTTAAAGTGCCTGGGTCATGGTAAAAGGCAGAGGATAGACGAGAGAGAGAGAGAGAGAGAGCACAGTATGGGCCAAGTTTTTGATCTACAGCACATCGGCACCCTTCTTGTACGCGACATATTCAGTGTACCCAGCCTTGGCCTTGGACGACTGATAGCGTGTCAATTTGATCGACTTTAACACTTTCTCTGTAATCGCGCCGCGGTATCCACCCTTCCGCAGCAACGAGTCTATCGTCTCCTGTTTGTTCCAGCCCTGTTCAGGCATCACCTCGGGCAAATACGTTGCCGTGCGCTTGTGACCTTGATCATTCGTGAACTCTATCCAGATACCGTGCACGCCAATCTCCCAGTCCAGGTAGTCTTGGCCGTCCTCAAAGTTTGTCAACAGAGACACGCCGCATTCAAGTCGTGGTACTTCGCGTAGTGTGATTGGATTGAATCGACGGTCTTGAAGTGCACTTTTGTGTTATCAGAATGGTTGACGTTGTTGTGTGACATCAGGTTCGGGCGGGCGGAGTGAATGTTTTTTTTTATTATATGCAGCCAAGAAACGGTTTAAAAAAGAGCATCTTTCTCTCTCTCTCTCTTACCTTGCCAACGCATATTGTTGGAGACCAGAACCCAAGGGCATCGCGTTGAAATTACCAATACACCCTCTGAGATGCATATCGCCATGAGTGTCAATGTTCCATGTTACGAAAAGAGGACTGCAAATCGTGTTATTGAGTATATCGACAAGGGGATTACGCAACACGTCTTCCTGTGGAACCTACTATTCTGCGTCGACACACTGAGCTTTGGGAATGGGTTTGTCTTCTAGACGCGATATGAGTACGTCAAAGCAATAAAAGCAGTGTTCTATTGTGGCAGCTTCTAGTGCTGAAGGCATATCTGAAAGAAAAGAAAAAAAAAAAAAGAAAGAGGAAGAGAAAGAGAGAGAGAAATGATTTTAGGCTGGTTCCTGCAATCGAACAGACCCACCCGATTGATACTCAGAATGTGAATATTGGGTCATGTGCTCTGTTTGGGATGTGTGGATTACATGCTGTTGTTGAGTATGGCGTGTACCTGACTATCAATCAACAGTGTGTGTCCTTACTATGCAAATTCAAACAAGGGTCAACATTTCTTACAAATGATAAATTAGATAGTAAGAGATCGATCAACCCGTTCTTCTCAATTAAGCCATCTCGACTTCTCAAGATTTGGAAAAGAGACTCTTTCTCTTGCGAACACTTTCCACTCGTTTTCATATTAATTTTCAAGAGTTTTCATCTTTGAAATACCCTTTTTGCGAAACTTTAAAGCATGTGACTAAAACAATGCCTACTGGAGAGAGTATTGGGCTTCCCTGTCAAACGACCACCATCACGCATTAAATAACGCTCCACCTCATAACTTCCATATATAACCGCATATTTCCCACGCGTTCGTCATTTTGCAGAGTCAACTAGATAAATCACACACACACGCCTTGGTCTCGATTCATGCTAGTTTTTCCAACCGGTCCGGTACTCAGAAGAACCAACAACAATAACAACGAATAAGAAAACCCTTTTCTCTTGTCCATATTCCCAAAAAGTCCGATGACGAACCACACAAAGAGATCCAAGAGATGGTTCGGAAATACAAAAAAAAAGGTGGGTAAGCCTTCCCCCAACCCCTCAAAGCTTCTTTTCCTTCTTTTCCTCTCTTTTTACTAACTGATTGGAAATTATACTCTCTCTCTCTCTCTCTCTCTTCACACAATGGTACCTCCACAAGAACCTCAAATCACTCATGTCATGGCCACTGCTGCTGTCGAGACCCACAACAACAACAACAAGAAGGAACCTCATCTTGTTACCTTGGACCAACTCGTAAAGAACATTCATCGTGCGCTAGGTCCCGATGGCGGTCTGGATTCTGAGCATATCGATGCCAATGAAATCATGCGTCTGATGGAAGAGTATAGTTCCAATGCTACCGATTGGGAAAAGTACACCCTCTTTGATCATAGCAGAGCGTATACACGTAACTTGATCGATGATGGTAACGGCAAGGTATAAATCGATAAAAGATTTCATTTTGCTGCTGCTGCTGCTCCTTGTAGTAGTGCTCCTTGTAGTAAGTTGATATTTTTGGTCAAGCCCACTGATAAAACTGAACCTCTTTCTTCCAATAGTTCAATCTGATGATCTTGGCTTGGAGCAAAGGCCAGCAAAGGTAGAAAAGTCGTTCGTCTCTTTTTTTTTTTTTTTTTGTTGTTGTCCGTTGGTTCGTCGTCATCGTCGTCTCATTCAGCCGTATTTTTTTCTTGTCGTAGTCCAATCCACAACCATTCAAATTCACATTGTATCATGAAAGTGCTGGATGGCCAATTGCAAGAAACACAATATGAATGGCCTCTGTCGTCGTCGTCGTCTGATGATGATGCTATCTGTAAGAACAGTAACACTTCTTCTTCTGGCGATACTGTTGCTGGTGCTGGTAACGGTGTGCGTAGCGACAACCACCAATCGTCGTCGTCGTCCGATATCACAGAGGCGGTACAAAGTGCGTCATCATCTTCTGAAATACAAAAAGGAAAGCCGCTCGCAATTCACAAGTGTACCCGTCTCCATCCGAATGAGGTGACATACATCCATGGTAAACGTTGTCCTTGCGTAAAATGGTTGTGCCGGGATCGCTTCTTGTTGTTGTTGTTGTTGTTGTTGTTCTAAAAAACCTAACTTTTTTTTTTATTCCCGCGGTTCCGTCCTTCTCTCCTTATTATGTTGCTCGTTTTTTTCTGTAGACAAAATCGGGTTGCATCGTATCTCCAATCCGGACCAAGGGCGAGGTGCGGTCTCCCTGCACTTGTATACGCCACCATATCAGGTGTGCAAGACATTTGAGGAGAACACCGGTCGTGCTCGTATGGGCGGCAAGTGTACCTTTTACTCCATTGCAGGCACTCGCTGCTGTGATGCTGACCACCAGTAGTACACCTGTATATATATTACTTCTTTCCCCACCTTTTCTTATATCCCCCCCAAACCCACACAAACCAACAGTCCAGTATAAACAGTCCCCCACCCCCCAAACAATGACCTTAACTTTTACCCGTTTGTCCCCGTTCAATAATATATATCATCGTACCGTTCTTGAAATAAAGTAAAGTAAAAAAAACAAAACGCAAAGGGAAAGTAAAAGAGAGAGAGAGAGAAAGAAAGAAAGAAGAAAGGGAAAGAGGATCCTATTCCCACTTTCAATGCCCTCTTTCATTTTTCTACTTGTTGTCGACCACTCTTTGGTCTTGACGATGGCGAAATCGTCCGTGAATTTGATTGGCCGAGAGTGGTGGTTTTCCTCAACCCACCTCCTTGCGACATTTTGCTCTCCCTCTCTTCGTCCCTGATGACCTGATACCCCCCCCCCCCGTTTGTGTGAGGTCTTGAGAGAGAAAAAAACTCAGTCCGGTGACACACACATATTTCGTCATGGCCTGCTTTTGTAATCCATAGAGAGATTGGAGCCTGCTGTTGTCCCCATTATATAACGGTGTCCCCATACCTCTCTATCATGAAGCTTCATCTTATATAAATTTCAAAGATAAGCCGTTTTTTTTGGGTATCTAGGGTTGCCATCCTAGTTGGAGCTATCAAGTGGCAAGGACGAGGAACCCTATAATAACCTCACTACTGGTTGCACAAGAAATTCCTGTCTCTTTTATTTCTCTGCAACCCATACTACTACAATTACTACCACCACTAGTTGATATATCTCCTACTTTCTTACCAACTTTTTTTATTTTTAATTCGAAAAAACCAACATGGATGACATGTATCAATATGCCTCTGCTGCTGTCAACAGCAGCAACAGTAACAACCAAGCAAATCAAAACAGTGAACGAGCAGAGGACAATGACATTGTTCTTCAGGCATTTAACAACTTTGGTTGGAGCCAACGATTCAATAGTTTGCTTGACACTGTCAAGAAACAAGTACGGGGAGAATTCAACATTTATTTTGAGACCAAATATACTTGAACTTTTCTTTAAATATGTGTGTTCTCTTATTAAACAACTAGAGTGAGGCAATTGTCCATGTCACCAGAAAAGATTTGGAAGAATTCGCTAATGTGCTTCGAGAAGATAATGCAGCCACGACACCGAGCGGAAACAACAACACCAGTCAAAGAGACATGAGCTCATCAGCTGCGTCTAGCTCTTGTACAGACGCGACGGAAAAAGCAGCAACAGAAACACAAGACGCCAACGATGCTACTACTACTACTACGAGTAGTACTGGATTTGCAGCACTTCGTGAAAGTATCAACAAGATTAGTACGTTTGATCTAAACAGTTTGCGTGAAGGACTCGGCAACACATTGAACCAATCCTTGCCTACACAACTGGCAAATGTGCGATTACCCGAGAATATCGATATCAGTCAACTCAAGGCGGAAATGGCCCAAGGCACTCGGTTTGCAGAACAATACGTGTCGAGATTCGGTACGGAGGTTGTGGATGCGTTGAGCAGAGCAATCACGGTGTTGGAACCGGACAACAGTGATGGTAGTGATTATGAACGAGGTGGCGGTACTAGTAGTAGTGGTAACAGTAGAAGAAACAGTGGTGAAAGCAGTCGAAGGGTCTAGTAAGTCATCCCATTTCATCAATATGGGGATTGAGACGTGTATGATGATGACGTGAAAGACACGCACATGGTTAAATTGGTTTTTTTTTGTGTGTGCAATGATTAGTGCTACGCGTAAAGAATCCTTGTTGGCAAAAATGCGAAAGAATCCAAACACGTATCTTGATGATCCAACACAGGGTTTAGCAGGCGACGCCAAGAAGCTCAAAGTGTTGGAGACGTTTAATGCAGGATTCAGTATTGATGCATACACTGAAGAGATTGCCCGGCTTTTGGACGAGTATCCCGAAATGCGAGACATCATGAATGAATTAGGTAATTTTCCCCAAACAAGACACACCTTTTTCTGTGTGGTTGGTATGCTCATCTGAAAAAACATCAAGTTCCTGTTCAAGTCAGTTATACCGCGTTCTGGCAACGCTACTTTTATCATGCATGGAGCATTGAACAAGACGAACAAAAGCGACAATTGATTGTAAAAGGTAAACCCAATTTTTTGCTTGCTGAAATCCTTTGGTTCCAAAAAATAGTTGGTAACATAGAAAAAAACCGCTCAATCTGTTGAAAGGTGTTGATGACGATGAGGATGTCGATTTCAAGTGGGATTCGGACGACGAAGAGAGTGCACCATCGCAACAACAAAAGTCAACACCATCATCATCCGACGACACCCATCATCAACAACAACAACAACAACAACAACAACAACAACAGGCTAAAGGCAAGATTTCCAGTGAAAGCAAAGGATCGGATACGGAATTCAGTAATATCTCGGAACCTGTTTCGACTGAACCCAGTCTTGTTTCCCCGCCTCTCAAGTCGCAAACGGAAGATGGCGAAGATTGGGTCAAGCCTGAAGTGAAGAGTAGCAAGGATAGTGACGATGATGATAGCGATTGGGAGTAGTGCTTAGAATGAGTTTTGTCTAGTAAACTAACTACAAAGAGCTGTATTTTCCACAAATCAAAGCATCCTCCAACCCCTCCCTCCCTCCCCAGATCCTGCAACAACAACACCATGTATGCAGGTGCTGACCAGCGGGGCGACATTTCCCCCAGTCCTAATACATCTTTTTTCTTGGCATCATGTTACATTATGTGCATAATCAGCGTATCACTCATCATCAAGCTGTCGATGTTCGTATCTTCAATAGTAAGTTGGTATATATGTGTATTTAGTTTTCGGTAATACATAATCATAGTCTGAGTATATATCATATATATATATATGTATATATATGTTTGGAGGAAAGATATGACAATGGCTGTTGCTGCGAGTTGTGAAAGAAGGGTATTGTGATGAGGAAGGGATCCTCAAGTAGAGTAAGTGCATGCAAAACTCTTTTTTTTTTGGTGTGTCAACAAGTAGGTATACATACATAATGTGATATGTGAAAATATGTGTGTCTGTGTCTGTGTCTGTGTTGCTATCAAATTCCTTAAGCAGCTGGCACAGCAGCATCCTCATCCTGCTTGAACCCGGGTGTTTCGGTATAAGCCGCATTGGCTTTGGCAATGGCTCCATACACGGCGTTCATGCTCTCTGTCAGTTTCTCATGGATCTCATAATGGCGTTCCAGCTCGACGGCTTTAGCCATGCCATGAGATGCAATGTCTCGAGTACGTCTGCGGATCTGGCAAGTATCGTCTACGAGCTGAAGACCTGCCTTTGCGTATGTCATGACGGATGTGAGAACATCTATATATATATATATATATATATATACATGTATTTGATAAACGTTAATACACACACACATTCACATACAATGTATGTATATAGTTAGTAAATGTTTCAAAAGAGGTTTTTAGAGGGGAGGGATCAAGAATGTTTCAAAGTTTTCTTTTGGGGGGGAAAATCATGTCAGAAATTGGGAAAGAAACTCACAAGGTACAGGACTCTTTTTCAGCGTTACTGCGCCATAGACTAATGCATTTACAACGAGTTCGGTCAATCGAGTGGCACTATGTGTCGTTGTTGTTGTTGTTGTCGTTCCATTCAGTGCCTCAGCCAGTTCAGTGACATCGGCAGGAGGTAAGTCGAGGTTGAGTCGTTTTTCTTGCTTGAATTCTCGAATCTTGTCTTCCAACGCACGTTTCATGTTTGCGTTGGTTTCCACTAATGAGTTGTTGTTTAAGTACGGTAATAGATGATGTGTAATGATTAAGGGTCTAGTGGGGAATGAGTAGTGATGATAAAAATACATACATGGGAATGCAGATAACATGCGATCCAGACCCATCATGTAAAGATCAAAGGCCATTTGATGATTACCAGACTGGTCCATCTCGGAAGCAATATTGATCAAAGTAACTGCATGTTCGACTTGCTTTGTGTCAATGGTTGTCGTCATTGCGTCGTTGGTGCTGTTGGGATGGTTCGAGGAACCTTGCGTGAGTCCACTCGCCGACAGTAGTTTCGATAACATGGATGGTGAAGAAGGACTGGCCACTTTCTCATAGGGGGGTGGTGGAGTCGCTGCGTAGCTTCCGCGTGGTGATAATCGGTAATAGACAACGTCTTCGTTGGTGGCTGTTGTTGTTTCATTTCTAGTGTTATTACTATTGGATGTCCAGCTACTAAGCGGGTATCGAACAAGGGGTAACTTGTCACCCGCATGGGATATGACTTTGGATATCAGCCCGGGCTCGTTGGCTGCCCTGGTAGCAGTCGTGGTAGTGGTGGGCATAGAATGATGATGATGGGCTTTTGGAGAGAGAAATGTGAGAGAGAGAGAGAGAGAGATGGACGATTGAACAATAAACAGCACGGAATTCACACAAAGTGCATTGCATGTGAAACACGAACCCCCTTCGCCCTTCCCCCCGGGGAGAGCGTAGCACATCCGACGATGCACAATCATGTGAAATTTTACCTTATAGCTAAATCCGTTATATAGCAACTTACCAATGCAGACTGTTTTTTCACTCCACTTTGCTGTATATGTAAATGAAACGAAGCACATGTCTCAAGCTGTATATTCACTGTGCTTTTGTGTATGGTTTGACAACATGGGACGGGTAGAGGGAAACACAACAAAGCTTTGTTGCTTTCACTCTTCCGTTACTAGCTACTACTACTACTACTACTACTACTACTACTTTAAAGAGTTTTCATCTCATCAAAGATGAAGAAAAGATGGACGAATGGACAAAACTGGTGGGAGAGACAAAGCGGTGACTCGTAGCACATTTACTTGCAGCAAACAACTTTCGACAAGTATCTCTACTCTTATAAGAAATACAAGGGGGAAGATCCTATATGCTGGTCCAAAAATTGCTTTGCTTTTTTGTACTAATGCATAGCGTGGGTAACATCATCATCACCTGGTGTATGGGCTATCGTTGTATTATTTTCTTGTCTATGACACCTTCCCGCTGTGTCGGTTTCAGTTGCTATTTAGTAATGTTTAAAACTGTTATACGTGTAAAGAAGCGATTGAATACCGTTTGGTTCTATGTGTAGTTAAGCAACGAACCACCGGGTACATACTCCCTTCGTTCATCAGTTTGTTGAACGTTACAACATGTGTCGACGAATTTCATTGTGATGCCACCCGCGCCACCCACTCCTTGTTGTTACTCTCTCTCTCTATAAGTCTCTTCGTCCCTCCTTTGTATTACCAAGTACAAACATGCCAATTATGGTTATCCACTCGTTATGAAATTCCTTCGCTCTAATGACGGACAACCAAGATACGTGAATTAGGAGCTACTGCATTGACAACGCAACTTTATAGGTGTGATGAGAGAGAGAAAAAAAAATGGCAGTGCTGATAATGCTTTTTTCCCCCCCACCTAAATACCCAATTGTGGTAGCTCATGACTAGGTAATAAGGTATAGAAAAGTCAAGCATGCTTGTATTCGTTTCCATCAAACATTCATCAAGAGAGAGACGTCTGTTCATTTGATTCTGACATGTCTATACGACATACGAAAATGAACCGTAGTAAAGTGCTTATGCACACATGTGCATGCAATGATGCCGCCCCGGGGTGCATTCAATGCTTTATGATGCATTACCGGCCCTTTCCTTACATTACTGTTTATCATTGCATCGTGTGAGTATATATACCCCCATATGATCGTTATTCTCTTCGCACGCCCTTTTCTATGTCTTACAATACTGCGGCCCACAAAAAAAAAGATATGCAATGTTCATTTATTTGTAGAAATGTACATACCTTGGTGAAACACCAAGCATGTTCCTACTTAAAGTGTCAATTCATGCTGCTTTGTTTGTATTATAGATATATTTTGCTTCAATAAGACAGAAGCAGCAATCATAGCATATGCACTTGAAAACAAAAGACGTCAACCCTGGATACATGTTGCTTGATTATGGATTGTTCGCTCTTTGTTTGTCATCTACTGTTGAACAAAATCAACGCCTTATTTATTAATAATGCAAGGCTAGTCACTCATATTCTTTCTTGACATAAATTTAGATATGATAACTTCAAGAGCTACAACTGAAATGCAAGATCTGCTGTATGCACGAGGGCAGCCCCAATGCTTGAAAAAAAGTTTTAGAAGCAGTAAATGACAGATGGCCAAACTGGTCATAGTATGTCCACCTGGTATATTAGGGTAAGACTTACTGTCATGCTGAACCCTCGTATTTTATGCTGTGGAATAATAAGGAGTTATTTGCTAGTCTTTGATGATGAGCTTTCCTCGTCTACTACAGCACCACTAGTTTATGATGTCCAAGTACATGTTACTACAGAAAGTTACGGTCACCATAAAACTCTCAACTCATATCGCTATGAACGATTTGCAACACTTTGTTTCAATTATAAGCACCATGGCAGCATGATGTTATATGAATATACTGCTCAGAATAAGCACAGTCATCATTTTTCCAATTATGTATGTTATGACGTTCCAGAACAACAGTTACAAGGATAATCACTGGCCTAGTGGTATAGTATATGACAGTGGATGCTGAGAACCTAAAGAGAGATCAACAAGTAATGAACATTATATGCTACCTACAGTTTACGAGATAAATATGCAGGTCTTACCCTTTTTTAGTAACTGGGAAGACCTTAATTTTGGTTTTTGGTGCCTGGATATATATGCTGGGAAACATAAAATAGAAACCCCATTGATATATTTACACAGCCACCTCCCGGAATACATATCCTATCTGTGATAATTCACGCCCGCACTCTCTTTTCTTCTCTCTTTCTCTCACCACACACATTCTATACATGAACGAATCGTTTGCTTTCAATGACACCTTTAGTACCAGCGAAGATCCCATGGAAGACATGTTTCCCCCCTTGAATGAAGACGGCCAAATAACGTTTGACGCTCTTGCGATAGCCAATCACGACAATAACAACAATAGTGCACAAGAAGAGATCGATTCCCAAGAAAACGATTTACTGCAATTTCGACAAGATTCTTCTTCTGATTCACTTTGGCATGACGTGGACAGTCTTTCCAACAAGTCAGGAAACAACAACAACAACAACGAAGCTTCCTTATCGTCAGCAACAGCGTGCGATACTGGGGACGGTGTTGGCAATAACAAAAACACTGCTGCTGGACTAAGGATGCAGAGCGACAATGACAGTGGTACTACGAGCACATTGTCAGCAACAGCCATTGGCTCTAAAGATTCAATGTCGGCACAACAACAAGCAGAAGCATCAGCCGTATTTAATATATCGTGGGGAGGAAACGATAAACCACCGGCCGAGTTACACCTTGAACAACCTGAAGAATCGGAAATAGTGTCTCGGCGGCCCCTCCCGAAGCCTCGAGGCGTGAGACGGTTACCAGAGCCCGAGCCAGCTGAAGATGGCACTCTGGATGAGGATACGTTGCGGCGACGAAGGGTATAACCAGAAGGCTGGGAGTTTTTTTTATTTGGGGGACATGGAGAAAGAAAAAGAGCGAGACACTGATTCGCAAAGGGAAATTATTTAGAACACTTATGCAGCTCGAAGATCACGTATGAAAAAGTTTCTAAAGATCGAGAATCTGGAAAACCGAGTCAATCAGCTTCAGACCGAGAATGCAAAGTTGGTGCTGAACAACGCTTTGCTGGAATCGGAAAAGCGAGGTTGGATGGCCAAGGAGGCCGAATACAAGAAACGAATAAAGCTTCTTGAGTGCCCGAGTGATGCTTGTTCCGCAAGTGGTACACCACCAGCTGACACCGAGGAACAGCAATGGATGGACATCCAATAATCTCTTTATCTTTACTGCTCATTTAACCCTTAAACCATTCAACGAACACGTACACATATTGCATGATCATTTACCCATTGTACATAGATACTCCCCTTCTCCCCACATCATCTTTACATACCATAAATATTATCTTTAATCTTCTTTTTTATATTATTATTATCATTTTCAAGTCTGTCTTCGTCGTTCCATCATCATTATGCCTCGTTCATCAAACGCAATGTCTTTTGTACTTCTGTACGCCGTTCATCCAACAAGTTTTCAAGTTCTCGCTTTTTGCTTCGAACATCATCCACAATGCGATTCAATCGACGTACTGCGTCACGAGCAGCTTCAATATCACGTTCCTGCTTGCGGACCTTGTCCTCCACGTCTGCTTGGTCTGTCAATTGTCCAAGTTTGTAATCGTACAAAGCCTGGAACTGGTCACGCAAGGGACGCGATGCAAATGATTCATATGATTCGTCGCCCTTTGCAGTGTCCACCTTACGTTCAGCTTCCCTGACTCGTTCCTTGAGTTCTGCTAGCTCCCGCTTGAGCATATCCTCTTCATCATACTTGTTGTTCTTGACCGAGGATCCTATATCATCATCATCATCATCATCATCATCATCATCATCATCATCATCATCAACGAATAAGTACTCCATTCGTTCCCTATCGCTTCTTTTGTTTTTTATTTCCAAATCCCCTCAACCATTTGTGTTGCTCCTTCCCTTACCTTTGGATGTTAACGAAGTGCTTGCAGCTCCCAGACGATTCACATAACTATCTGCAAGCGCTGCACTCTTGGACATGGGTGTGCTGTTGCCCTTGCGAGCACCGCTGCCTGCACCAGGACGTTCACCCAAGTCCGCAGAGTATTCGCCAGCAAAGGCATCATGTAAATCTGGCGGCAATTCCTTGGGTATCGGAGCTCCTTTTGTTCGTTGGTTTAAAATGTGGAAGAACGTGAGGCATTGATCCTGTGTAAGGCCTTGCATGTGGTTGACATTCACCAATGTCCTATTTCAATTTTTATAACATACATTACATAATCAACATCTTTTTTTTTCGTTCTTCTTCTTTGGCATGATCCAGAAAAAACTCCCCTCCGGTTCTCTAAAAACCCATACCATGCACTTGACAGATCCGTACGCGTAAGACCCAATGTTGCATAAAAGTCCTCCATCTGGCTAACTGTTCATAATTTGACGTGTCAAACCAAAAGTTCATTCGTTTTTTTTTTTTTGCTTCCATGAATAATCATCCGCAAAATTTAATCTGCCACTTACATTTCACCTTGCCAGAATCATTGGCGTACTTTGCATATATGTTTTGATAAGTCGTCATGTCCTGCGATGTCATATCCCAGCTGAATTCGACAGGTGGTGTTGATGCTTGTGTGTATCCGGTATATTGAGGAACTTGAGGAGGAGGAGTATAATTTTGTTGTTGCTGTTGATAATAACCTGTTTGTTGTGGTGCAATACCAGGGGATGATTGATAGCCGGTCTGTTGAGGATACACGCCTGTAGGTTGAGGTTGTAAGCCTGTGGGTTGAGGCTGTAAGCCGCCGCCAGCAACAAAATGCCCCTTGTTGGCAGGTATTAACGTAGGAGGCAAGGTCATGGGTGGTTCAACGCCATTAATACAGTCAAACGTAAGGTGCATTGCAACACAGAATTCTTCAAAGTCAAGACTGCCATCCTTGTCTATATCGGCAAGATCCCTACAATAACGAAAATGGTTTTAGTTTGCTTTGCTAGATCTCGCCTCTTTATTCTCTCTCTTCCCTCCACCTTTGCTTCGAGAAATATAAAGTGTTATTCGTTCATGTTTTTTTTTTCTTATTGGGAATTACCAAATTCGTTCGAGTCTATGCGGAGGAAGGTTGGAGCTTAACAGGACATCTCGAGCAGTGGAACCTAAAACATCATCATCCACCGAATCCCAAGTAGTGGTGGTTTGTCAATAACCTCAAGATAATAACGGGTTTCTTGAAGTTTAATGTTCTGACATTACCAGCCATATAACCATTGACTTGTCCGCGTGCTTGGAAAATCTCGGCATACTTATGCCGTTCAGCTTGTGTAATTGCAGACATTGAGGGGCAACACAAAAAAAAAAGTTGTTGTGGGGTTATTAGATGGGTTAAAGACAGACGAACAATATAAACCGCAAATGGAAACGCAAACGTGCTCTAATGTAATTTCCAAGCTGCTTCCCAAATTCCCGACTTGGCTGGCCTTGTATCACACGAAGGAGCATTGCAATCAGTCTTTTCTTCACTTGCCTTCATGCACACTGTTGAGATACAACAATCCTTTCTTGACATATGCTCAGATAGATGGTATTAGTCGGTTATACTATCAAAGTACTGTGCACAATTCATGTTTGATCTAGATGGTGACGAAATACATAAAGCGAGGTAAGCAAAGTAATAGATCTTTTGACGATATTGTCCCATGCCCTGAATATGTGCAATACGGACGATGACAGTTCGTTGAGGTTGCTTCAATGCCATTTAAGCAGTGTATACTGCAGCCTGAGTATTTTTAGTGTGCTAGTTTCTGTGATAGATCTTCTTTATTAACACCTAGTATACTTTGGTTTCATAGTATCTTTGTCGATGGCATAGTAAATTAACTGCACTGAATGTCAGCTTATTTTCAAGGGACACTCTCAAGCCTATAGCAATAATATATTCTGCCTCTAGTAAGACTATTACTGCTATAAAATACTGCTATCAAACTTATAAAGCAATTACAGTACGTTGCCACTTACGATGGTTGATATAAGGTGGGGTGAGCCAAGCAAATAAATAACGGGCTGCTTTCCCTATTTTTATGGGCGTGCTTCTTTACTGGGCTGCGGAGAGAAAAATGGACAGTCTGTGAAAGTGTTTTCCACAACTTTCTTTCTCCCCCACTGTTTCATTATGAGCAATTATACGAACGCTGAGGACACTACGTTGACACCAACACAAACCGGAACAACTCCATCCACAGGAGGAGCGGCTACCGGAACACCAATAGCAACGAGCAATGCAGACATATCTGCAGGTGATTCTTCTGCTTATTATGATCCAAATCAATACTACTACGGTTATGATTACAGTGGCACGGCCGGCGCTGATGGCAAAGCCGGCGATGCGTCGTCGACGGCATACAATTACGATACCTCACAGTATTATTACGATCCAAATTATTATTCTCAATACTATGGAACCACGACGACCGGCGCTGATGGTTCATCGTCTAGAGGCCGTGGCGGAGGAGGCCGTGGAGGTTACAATCAGCCGCATCGAACAATCTCTAAGTTTAGCCATAGTTATGCCAATTACAATAATCACAACAGCTACAATAACTACAATAACTACAACGCTTACGACTCTACGGCCACTGCTTACGATCCCACCAGTGTAGCGGCTGTCGAACCGCACTTTGCCAAAAGCACTGCCGGCGCTGGCGCTAGCAGGGACCCAAACAACCCGGTGATTCAAATGTCAACTTCCGGATACACAGGTCCAAATACACCACCTGCATCAAGCGCGGACGATCAAAAGAAAAAAAAGAAAAAGCCTGTAGTACGGGCGGCAGCCGGCGAAACATGGGAAGATCCAACACTTCAAGAATGGGATGACAATGACTTTAGATTGTTTGCAGGTGATTTGGGCAACGAAGTGACGGATGAAATATTGTTCAAGGCATTCTCCAAGTATCCGAGTCTCCAACGGACGCGTGTTGTCCGTGATAAGCGAAATACAAAGTCGCGCGGATATGGATTCATCAGTTTCAAGGATCCGAACGATTTCGTGAAGGCTTGGAGAGAAATGAATGGTATGCGCTTTAGGATGCATGTGGCATTGGATGGGTGGAGAACCAAAAATATGATCATTGGTTTGAGGTCCTCATTTGATGCTTTTTTTCTGTCTCTGTGTATAGGTAAATACGTAGGTAATAGACCAATCAAGCTAAGAAAAAGTAACTGGAAGGAGCGCAATATGGATGTGAAGACAAAAAAGGAGCGCGAGCGTGTGGGGCCCTACCCAAAGGTGCGCTAGTTCACTACAGCATGTAATAAAGAAAGACATTTTGTTTCTTGGGTGTTTTCTACCAAATTTTAAAGCATTAAAATAAACGATGGTTGTTCTAATGGGGACTGATAGGTAGTGGCATGTTTATGAAACGCGAGGAGTATGATTTAATATATGGTGAACTTCATCTAATAACGAATGTTTGCTCGGGTATAGTACAACCGAAAAAGAGGTATTCAGGGTTTTCTATATCACACACTCCAACAGCTTTGTAATGGTCTCCTTCCTTTTTGATGAAAGGATATAAATCCGTGTTCTTCTTCGAGTCAGAGGTAAAATGTATTCCAGTGAGTATCGCGCATTGATCAGGTCCGTCAAATTCCTCCGTCAAATGCTGGCTGAAGCGGTCAATACTTGCAAACTCCTTGGATGGCGAAGACAGATCCCACCAAAACAGAACGACCGTCTTGATAGGGAAAAAGTGCGATAGAAACAAAAGTTCGTCCGCAGCAGATAGAATGATATCCTCATCGTCTGGGCGTCCATTGCCTATTGTCCGGAGTAGCATTGTTTTCTTGACGCCCTTGTTTTGCCCACCATGACCAGGTAATCGAACCGAAACTGCGAGACATGAATCATAGTGGGGTCTAGGTGGGAACTCGGACAGTAGCTCAAGCTCCATGGATTCTTCTTGATCGTGTCTTTCAATGGTTAATGATAGTTTGAATGCCCCTTCTGGAACAGCGTCAACATCCTCGTCGACGTCATAGTATCCGTCCCCATCTTGTCCTGCTTCTGTGGAGGAATTTATCTCTCTAATTGTGTCGTCGCTCATAGTAAGCGCACTGCACGTTACTTGCAAAGATCTGCCGCTGATACTGTAATTTGTAAAAGAAGTCTTCAAAGATGGGTCTTGCAAATGCTCTCCAGCGATACCAGTCCATGACGGTAAATCAAACTTTCTAATGGGAACATCGTGATACCACTGGGTTTGTTCGCTGAAACCGAGGCCACCTACGTCGTCGTCTCCAAGTGCGAACCCTCCTTGAGGTTTACGGAAGCAGAGGATATTCAAATTCTTCATGGCCAAAAGACCGTAGAACTGCACCATCACATCCAGTGCTGGCTGATCATAACTGACAGAAATGTTGTTCATAAGGTCGGAAAAAATGTTGGCCAGAGCAAAGACGTGGTCGTGCGCTTTGGTGCTTGTGCGTATATGCGCATAGCGTAACACCGTGTTGACATTCCATCGTGCTGGTCGCTGACAAATATCGCGTATCACTGAAAACTCGCGTTGCACGTACCACCAAGCATGGACATCCCGACCAACGAAAAGCAATTTTGGCGACAATAATGCTTCTTCCAGCGTCCACATGCGCTTCATCCATTGAGAGCCTAGTATCTTTTCAAAATCCACCAGATGTTCGCGCCATTTCTTTTTGTAGTAGAGTGCGCTCATTTGAAGCTCGGGCATCAGTATCAAGGTGCAGTAGGCGTTGCTATAGATACGATGCATTTGTTTGATCTCGCGCTTCTTCTCTTCCTTGTCATTTTGATTGATACACATTTGGTCGAACCAAATGTACTTTACGTTAAAGTCCTTGCAGATCTGCTGGATGAGTTGCTCAAACTTGACCAGTTTAAGTTGACGGGCAAGGCGTTTTCGTCCTCGTGGCGATCGTCGTATTGTCCTGGCTGGATAGATGATCTCGTGTTTGCCATTATCGACGCGCTTGCTTTTCCCTGTTTCTTTGTCAACGATATTCTCCCCGGACTGATTCCAAGAGTAAGAAAGCGTGCAGTATTCCTCGTTGACAGTGCAGCCCCGAACAAGTTGCAAATCGGATGTACGAACTAGCCAGGTCGGCATGAATTGCTCGTTTGGATCTCGTGGTACTGGGAAAAACCTTCGCGGTGGTTTGGCATGTCGCTTGGGGTCGCCATTTGGAACATAACTACTGAATTGACGCACCTCGTACGTGAAATAGTTGGGGTGTCTATTGTATTTATCGTCACCCTATTGATGTTGTTACCATATAAACCTTCAATATGCATTGTTTCAATCCGAACTTACTTCATCCATTTATTGTAAGAACAGTACCTATCAATGAACTTGTATCTGATAATGCAGAGAAATCAGTATATAATTAAAAGGGTTGGCTGAAAGAAAGAAGAAAGGAGGGAAGAAGATGCAAAGGAGCAATAAAGAGATTCGAAAAGTCTTTTTGGGGTTTTACGTGTGTAACATTCGTTGCAATGTGCCACAAAAAAAGCTAAGCCGAAACTTTACACTTGAACTTCGACACTTGTTGCAAATCAACCGTCTATGTACAAATGCATAAGAGTCTCCTATAAAAACATTGGATCATATTAAGGAATTAATTCTACACAATCACAAATGTTTGTTTGAGTAAAAGTGTAATAATATACGAACATATTGAGGAGCCACGCTATGCATACATAATTGCTAACTGGGTGATATGGCTGATTAGGTTTTTGAAAGGTACTTTTCTTCCTGATGATTCAAAAGTGTCGGCGAGAAAAAGAAGCACGCGCTGCGAAAAATACTTGTTCGGTCAGAACGTTCGCATCAGCGCAGGGCATTGCACTGCACACAACGGCGCCAAGTTTTTAGAAGCGCATTGTTTTGTGCTGCTATTGATGAGTCAAAATAATAATGATGTGCTTAACTTTTATCTATTACATTTCAAGTAAAAGCCATTTCAGTTTACCCCCTTCCCTTCTTTTGTCTTTCAATGATCGCTGGCGGTACTACTATATCAAACTACACCAATATCCGTATCCGGCAAGCCAGTATTCTAAAAGACATCCAGAAATGTGTTGACGTCCATATAATTTTTTTGTGAGCGTCCAAGCCTCGAGTACATAAATACATTACATGGAGCTATACTACTGAGATTCTTCATGCAATCTAACGAAGCCACTTTGAAATTTTTGATTTGCTTGACGCTACTTTTGATATCAACACTAGCGAAAGTATCAAATGTAGGGGATGATGATAAGGGAAACCCGATCGGATATATACGTTAACAGTAGTTTGATCCAAAGATGATAGTAGTGTGGACACACTCAGTCGATTACCAAGTAAGTCTATCACAAGCTCGGTGCAACGGCGTTTGGTCGCAAGTTTGTGCAGGCACTCGAAGCAGCTGCAAAGACGGAGGGGCATCACGCTCTGAAAAAAAACGTCGATATTATGACTCACTAGGCTATGTATTACAAGATCCCACTTATTAAACGCGCGTTCAAAGTCCTCATCAGCAACTATGGAAGAGGGGACTTTAACAGATGCAATCCTGATATTGTTGTACATATTGCGTTAATTTCAGGTTCGAAATTGTGTCTACCTTTTTTACAATACAAAACTTATGACTGCAATTTCCATGATCGGCGAGAAGCATCACAAGAATATATATATATATATATATATATTCATGTAAACCGGTGACGTATGCCAAAATATAATAAAAAAGAAGGGCCTCCTTCTACACGATAAAAATATTGCTACATAATCAAAAGACCAGTGCATAGAAAAACTTTGTCTACGTATAAAATTAAATTTGGCTCGTGTTATTGCGATGGACACGTTATGGATGATGCTGTTGCTGCATTGTTGGCGAGGTATAATAGTTGTTGTTGTTTTCTCCTTTAGTAGTGGCGACAGGGTTATCGTCACTGGACATGGCAGCATGGTCCTCCAAAGTCCAAGCATCTTCTTGAATAGGTGGTAAGCTTCACTTATAAAAATCATCACAATCCCCACGTTTCATAAAAGAGATTGTCAAACCGTTATAAATTGCGTGATGAAATTGGCAGCGGCCGTTTTTGATCGTCAGCTAAGAAAAGAAGGTCATATCGAGTATCAATAGTATTGCTGGTACGCTTCACATATAAAAATCATCATGATCCCCAGGTTTCATACTCTTTTTATATCGCCGGTTCTTTGTTCCATTAAAGCGCACAGACCCGTCGCCGACAATTGTTGGATCAGAGCGGAGCACGGCAAGCGGAGCCGCATAGTGAAACAAACATATACGCACCATAAGAAAAAGACACTAGCATGACAGTCGTCAGACTACAACGATAATTATCATCAAGGCACTTCTTCACATTGCTGCAGTTCACTGGCTCCTTTGGGCAGTAGTGACAACAAAATTTCTAAGCTCCGTCATTTTGTTTATCGGGCTCATAAAAAAAAGAATCGACTGCGCGTTTTGCCCTTTATTCTTTCATCTTTGTGCATTTGCATGTTTCTTTCATTATCACTTTTTACCTTTCTTTTTTTTTCATCCCGCTCGAGTGTCCCTGTGGGTGTGCATAGTTGAAGGGAGCTAGTCGTGCACGACTGGCTCTTGCTCATCTTTTATACATTTGCAGTGTTTCTTTCATTATCACTTTTTACCTTTCTTTTTTTTTCATCCCGCTCGAGTGTCCCTGTGGGTGTGCATAGTTGAAGGGAGCTAGTCGTGCACGACTGGCTCTTGCTCATCTTTTGTACATTTGCAAAGTTCTTTGTTTCATCTTGGTTTTTTATCTTCCTCAAAAACTGAAAGCGAGAGTGTGTGCAAAGAGGTACGTATATGTTCGCCGCTGACAGACCTTTGTGCTATTTCTTTTATTTGTAGGAACTGTGGAGGAGTAGGTTCCGACGGGAACTGAGGCTTGCGGAAAACAAGGGAGGGCAACCTCCCTTGTGGGTACGTATATGTTCGCCGCTGACAGACCTTTGTGCTATCATATTTCTTTTATTTGTAGGAACTGTGGAGGAGTAGGTTCTGTCGGGAACTGAGGCTTGCGGACAAGAAGGGGAGGAGTAGGTTCCGACGGGAACTGAGGCTTGCGGAAAACAAGGGAGGGCAAACTCCCTTGTGGGTACGTATATGTTCGCCGCTGACAGACCTTTGTGCTATCATATTTCTTTTATTTGTAGGAACTGTGGAGGAGTAGGTTCTGTCGGGAACTGAGGCTTGTGGACAAGAAAGGGAGAGGTGTAGGTTCTGGCGGGAACTGAGGCTTGCGGGGAACAAGGGAGGGCAACCTCCCTTGAGGAACGAAGGATTCATAAAAGTCGGTCGACTTGTCAGGCAACATCAAATAAACTTGGTTTCTTATTGTACTTTCTTAAATAATGTAATTGTAACTATTGGGCAGATCGAGTGACGATTGTAATAAACGCGATCCTTTTTTTATATCTTCCTACTGCCATTGCGCTTGGTACTTGTTGGTGCTTTCTCTGGAGCAGTTATGTAGTTGCAAATGAGCTTTTTTGTGCTTGAGTCGTCGAGAAAACCATAGGCTGTGCATTCGCATGTGTGCTCTCAAAAACAATACAGCTGGTTTACCTTCACGACTATACAACAATGATTGCAAATTGCTGGTGGCAAAATAAATAACCGTATCGCAAAGCAAACAGACCACCCTCATATTCACATATACACGAACCAGATCGCCAACCCAAACTAAATGATGTTTGCCTTGAAATGGCCCAGTACATAAGCTCATTAGGAAAGTTACATCATCCAACTTGTTGGGTCTTGCCACCAATCTCTCATGCTACTGTCTCTCAACATTACTGCTACTGATACACGTATACAAGATAGATTGAATATGGAATGTACCATCACTGCTTAAGATTGTACCAAGTTATCCCGTCAAGTTACTGAAGTTTCTTATCTACAATAGCTTTCAACGGCGCCAAAGTCGCCAGGAATATGTAGAGGCGAATTGTTTTGTGCTAGTGATGATTCAAAATTATGATGTGCTTAACTTATTTTTCTAATTTTGAAAATAATTTACTCCCCTTCTTTGTCTTGCCATGATCGCTGACGGTACTGCTTTATCAACTACATCGATAACCGCATCCAGCAAGCCAGCATTCCAAAAGACATCCAGAAATGTGGTGACGTCCGTGCATTTTTTTGTTAGCGTCGAAGTCTCGAAATTGCATGGAGTTATACTACTGAGATTCTTCATGAATCTAACGAAGCTACTTTAAGATTTTTGATTTGCTTGACGCTACTTCGATATCACCACTAGCGAAAGTATAAAATGTAGGGGATGATGATAAGAAAAACCTGATCGGATATATACGTTTACAGTAGTTTGATCCAAAGATGATAGTAGTGTGGACATATTCAGTCAATCATGTACCAGGTCTCTCACAAGCTCGATGCAACGGCGTTGGTCGCAAGTTAGTGTAGGCACTCGAAGCAGCTGCAAAGACGGAGGGACAGACGGCAATCATGTTGGAGTGACACGCTTTAAAAAAAACGTTGATATTATGATTCACTAGGCTATGTATTACGAGATCCCACTTATTATACGCGCGTTAAAAGTCCTCATCAGCAACTATGGAAGAGGGGACTTTAACAGATGCAATCTGTGATATTGTACATATTGCGTTAATTTCAGGTTTGAAATTGGGTCTACCTTTTTTACAATACAAGACTTATGACTGCAATTTTTATGGATCGGCGAGAAGCATCACAAGAATAAATATATATATTTATGTAAACCGGTGAAGTATGCCAAAATATAAAAAAAAAAGAAGGGCCTGCTTCTACATGATAAAAATATTGTTACAAAATGAAAAAACCATTGCATTAAAAAAACTTTGTCTATAAAATTAAATTTGGCTCGTGTTATTGCGATGGACACGTTATGGATGATGCTGTTGCTGCATTGTTAGCGAGGTATCATTATTATTGTTGTTTTCTCCTTTGGTAGTGGCGACAGGGTTATCATCACTGGACATGGCAGCATGGTCCTCCAAAGACCAAGCATCCTCTTGAATAGGTGGTATACGTAAGGCTGAAATGACGCTATCACGAGGATTAGACATGCTGCTACGGAATGGGTTGGTCGATGCTGTTGAAGCTGAGCGTGCTACTGTACTACCGCCAGCGCTTGCTAATGCGTCGTCCCATAACGTTCTTCCTTTGTTATTATTGCTGTTATCGTCAGAATCTGTTTGAATGTGTTGAGGTCTTTGCTGCTTAGATTCGTCAGTGGTATTAGAGGTAGAGCTATCGTTATTGACACTGCTTGCATCGGTTGTTGCTGTGATGCCAGATGCACGTGCGCCCGTTGCCGACCCTTGCTGCCATCGTGCTGCAATTTCCTTCAAAAGCCAGCTTCCTCGCTTGCTGCCGTCACCGCCGCCGCCGTTGCCTCCAAAAGCATCCATCTCAGGTGATTGGCGTGATTGATCATGGATAGTAGGTGCAAGTGCTGGAACATAGGCACCACCACCAGCTGGTACCGTATTGTCTTCTGGCGGAGCACTGACATGGAAGATGGGTGCATGGAGATTGTTATAGGTGGATTCGCGGATGACAGTAGTAGGAGGTCGTTCGACTGATGAGGCTGCTGCAGAAGCTTGATGTGGTTGTGTAGCGTAGTTGTATGCAGCTGCTGTACCGAAAGGATCGATGGCGGATGCTTGAGACAACCAGCTAGCATGTGGATTGGGTCGATATGGATCATATTGCTCCTGTTGTCCTGCCTGAGCTCCATTGTTGTCATGGTTATCCGCAATGGTGTGCGTCGGAGAAGAAGGTCCAATAGTCAGGTTGCCATAGTACTGTTGATCTTCAAATGTTGCTGGATCCACAGGCTGTTCTTCCACCTTGGATTCTCGGTTATTATTATTGTTGTATGTAGCAACAGCCAGTCCGCCAGCTCCAGTAGCAGCGGTCATACCTGCAGTTGCTGATGAAGATGACAGTGGCGGTGGTTGGAGCGATCGCTCAGACATGGCTGGTTGAGAACCACCATGCAAATAAGCCTGGCTCTCCATGCTACGATTATTGCCCAAACGTGACAACGAGCGACCCACAGCTGTACCTGTCATGAGCGATGCCAAAAAGTTGTACTTTGAAGTCCGATTATCACCATGATCGGTGTCACGCATCACGGCGGCAGTTTCGAGATCGTCCTCCGCGTCTTCTGTCCGAATTTGTTCAAACTTGCGCGCTCGGGTACTGACTTGACGCGACCGTCGCTTTTGACACATCATGAGTGCACCTACAAGAACCACCGCGCCTGCAACCGAGCCAATAGTAACACCAGCAATCTGACCACCCGATAAATTGGCTGCTGCTGCTGCTCCGGATTCGTTGGGCCGGTTACCACATGTGCTATTGTCATCACAATAGCTTGATTGACACTGGAAATCCTCATAGCATTGACCGCCATTGTCGCTCAAAGCGTCACAGTGTTTCGTAGCGGCGTTGCAAAAGTAGTCGTATGGGCAAGTGCCGCCGACTGCGGTTGCATCTTCTGCGCACTCGTTAGAACCAAGGACGAGTGACGGAGTCGCAGTCGAAGAAGTGATGGAAAAGGATTCGGTGGTGGTTGTGGCGGGTGTAGGTTGCTCTTGGGTAGAAGATGAATCTTGCTGTGTTGTTTCAGCAGCGACGGTTTGTTCGGTAGTTGTTGTTGTTGTGGGAACGACTGCAGCTGCTTCTGTTGATGTGGCTTCTTCGGAATATCTGGCCGTTTGTTCCCAATAGGATTCGGTCCTCGTGTCTTGCCAATCATCAGTGGTCGTGGTGTCCTGCCAGTTATTCGTGGTCGTGGCTGGATCCTCCCAATACGATTCGGTCGTGGTATCTGCCCAATTGGACTCGGTGGCTGTCGGGTCATCCCAGTTCGTTTCTGTTGCTGGGTCAACGTAGTAAGTGTCTATATATATGTATATAGACAAGTTCAGCCATACGCATCTCAATCGTAGCAATTGGCAATCCGCTATCTAACATGCGTGTCTTATTTACCAGTAGCAGTGTTGTCGTTATAATTGGTCTCAGTAGAAGGATCTTGGTAATAATCGGTAGTTGTGGGGTATACTGCTGTGCCGTCAGTGGGATCGTCTTCCGACCCATCACCTTCGACCCATTGTGGATCTTCGTACGTGCCGTCGTCTTGTCTTGGAATTAGTTTCACCGAATGTTTGGCATCTGTGTGGCAAGAATCACTGTAGGTCAATGCGACAACAATCTAGTCGGACCGTGTTATCAGTAATATAGAGTATCTTACCACTGTCGGCGTGCGCGCTAATAATTATGGTAGAAAGTATATAAAATAAAACAAAGAGTTGTTGACAGGTGCTATTGCTGCCACGAACACACATTGGGGCGACCATCCATGAAGATGTAAGTTATTATTAAGGTTTGTTTTCTTTATAAAAAGAGATAAGTATGTACGGATGAAAAAATATTAAGTTAAAAGAAAGGACAAAGGGAAGGAAGAAACAAAAAAAAGACAACATTGATGAAAATTCAGGAGGGTGACGAGACGAGAGGCAAGAATAATAAAAAAGAAGGTTTTTTTAATGAAAATCGTGCTACGTCGCTAAAGCCTAAATGGGTTATCAGACAAGAAGTGATGCTTCACAGCCAGCCAATGGCACGACACTTTTAATATAATTCTTTGCGACTCAGAAATGAATTCTGCGGATGTTGATCCTGACCCGCGTAGATCCGTACTACCTATAACTATCTGGAATATCTTTCTCATACTCGCGCTCTCTTTCTGCCCGTTTGTGATGTGATATTTTTAAACTTTTCTTTTTCTTCTCCGTCAAGTTAGATCCAAAGTACAGTTCGGAAATCAAGGAAGCGAATGTGCTACAGTAAAGAGCACTACTACTTGTTTTACACACAACGTAATATGTGTAACCCCTAATTTAACTTCAAGCATTAGCTCTACGAAGGCTCTCTCTTTCCTATTTCCTCTCAGGCGACCAAATAAGAGAAATTTATACGCTTGTATTATGATGATGAAATAATCATATCACGATCGTGTGCAAATTTAAATTGCTGAACCTTCCTTCAAGAATGGATGATAAGTGGGCCTGGCCATCCACCCCATCATTGCTAAAATACAACATGATGGTGAGCACTTTTGAAGTATCATACTAGAACAAAGCCATATTTAACTGTTCTCATTCCGGATAAACTTACTCCGTGAGCATTTCGACGCCTGTAGTGGTAGACAACTTATCGATTCTATTACGGTGGAATAAAATCTCTTGGTTGGATTACCTACACAGATACTAGGATAGCAATTCCTTTCGTTATGACGTTGCTTACATGTCATACAGAGTAGCACTGATGGTGGTCACCTCGTTGAAAAGTACGCAAAATAATGATGGTCGGCAATCTCTACCTTACATCGCAACGACGTTCGGCATTTGCAAACCGCTGTTATACTTCCTACAGGCAACCATGTTACGCACATCCACCTGTCTATTACATTTTTACAACAGAAAAGCATTACATACAAACTTCGATTTCTTCAATACTGTATTGAAATGATATATAATGATGTAGCACTAGTGTTTATTGAGATAAATGTAACAGTACTGACGTAAAAGACTTCAAAAACTATGTTTGTTGATGTTGTCCCTGTTTTACAAACTGCAACTTGAAGCCATCAGTCAATGACATAACTCGTAACTTAAATGTCAAGGAACTAGCTCTGCATATCGTTACTATGGGCAACAGCAGCTACAGAATTCAATTGAAAAAAGTCACTTACAGAACAAAGCTGCACAGAATGATTTCTTCTATTCAACAACGGATACATTATATAAATTTATGGCTTTTCGTTTTCAGACTGACGACTAAAGAAATGACAATCTTGCAAGTGTTTAACATGTAAAGTGAAATTATTTGAGCATGATCATCATTCGGATAGGTTGCTGCATTAGAACCCTACAAACAGCTTTTGGAATAAAACGGTATCAATAGAATATTTGGCTTCGAGTGCATAGCAATGTATATACATTATAGCTTCATGATTACTATATAGCTATAAAATGTTTTGAGTGATGATCACGCTGAAAAAGGATCTTCTAGCTCTCGAATGCTGGGTCACGTTTTCTACCTGTCTGTCGTCATTCCTTCAATGCACTATAAAGATCAGTACTGTACAACGTAGTACAAGGTAGATCAACGATCGAGTATATACATATCCGGGAGCGCGGGAATGGTCGATCCTTGTTTTTACATAGTAGTGTACAGTGCATATAGTTCATATGGAGATGAAACGTTGTCATTAGCATTAAATTAAGAGACCAGACGTATATGCTGGCCGTTGAAAGGTGAAATATAATGTTAGTAGGGTGCTTAGACTTGAAGTATTCATGTATTTGCAAAAGCAGCAACAATGACTATCAGTTAAATGTGATCCAAACATATAATGGGTTGTATGTGAGAATCACCGGGGTTTCTCAAATGTTTATTCGAGTATATAGGAAAAGATGTTTATACTAAATATATCATTGCTTTTCAACGAGATAGCTGACTCCGGTACCGTTAATTACACCATCTTTGATAGCAGATGCTTCTTGCGCAATTATGGCTTCCACAACAGCTTCTCCAATAGGCGTATCTTCCAATCTATGATGAGGAATTCCGAAAAACAGTACTATGAGCTTCTTGAATTTCTCCAAACATACCCATACAATCCCTTGAATACACTAAAAGAAAATGTGAAAAAAAAAAAAAACTTTACCCAAAAAGAACAAAGTTGCACTGCAAGAATGGCTGATTACGAGCGGCCTTAACAACAGACTCGTCCCCACTACCAAATGCTTTGGCAAGGGATGTAATCATTGCTCCATGGCTCGACATATGATGCCCTTGAAGACCATGCTTGAAAAGGTTCGTGGCGGCTTTTCTATTAAAGATCGAAGCCCACCGCTCAACAGGCGGGCCTGACTTTGGATCGATCATTTGTTCCCATCGTGCCAGAAAAGACTCGCTCTTAATTGCTGGTTGTAAGATGTGATTCCCGATTCGTAACAAGTCGAGACGATTAAAGAAAAAGCGGGCGGTTGGTTCGTCAATAGCATCCGGATTGAATTCTTCAGCAACAAGAATGCCACCCTTCTTGAGGAAACGATGTGCTTGTTCGACAGTCTATAAATATGAAGTTAGGGAGTAGTAGAGCCATTTAATAACCCATGAGATTTTTGTTTTATTTCAGGTTTTCCAAAAGATATAACACGTACCTCATCCAAGGGATCACAATGATGAAGCGATTTCGAAAACAGAATCACGTCAAAATGCTCACGATATCGTTCAGGATCCATATCCAAAATCGTAGTGGCACGGTATTTGACAGCTGCATGATGGCTCGCGCAAGTCTGGATATCCTCTTGGGATGGGTCAATGGCCGTAATGTCGATACGATCCTTGAGTTGATCCTTCAGCAATGCTGAGAAATGACCCGGTCTATCATCATTAATGAATTAAAGCAATAGTTGTATCAATCAGTACTGGTAGGTTTGAATAGAGTACGCTATATATGCTTTGCTTTACCCGCAGCCAACTTCAAGAGCTTTGATCTCGTTGGTGTAATCACGCGATTCTAATAGGCCCTATTATCGTTATTATCACCACAGCGTTACGTAGACAAGAAAAAAGAAAAGAAAGATTTGGGTTAATCAAAGTGTACACGACCGGCGGTTGTTGATGCGTGGCAGTATTACCGTGAAGTAAGCGAGAAAAGGCTTGTGCTGAATGTATCTGATTGAGTTCATGATTGTCATATATGTAGTATTCTTTTGATCTGATTTGACTTGACAGCGAAAGTGACCCACCGGACCCTTTGCCGTTTAATTTATATGAATCGCGCATTGACTTGCGGGTAAATTGTTTTGATTTTTTACCGACCTCGGTCTCGGCAACGAATTTGTCCGAAATTTTCTCCAGTAATCACCTTTCATTGTTTTACTATGTACACGCATGGCTGCATCAGATTTTGGCATTCAATAAACTGTTACTGTTATCCCATTCCTAGCACGATCAAAAATTTTTATGCATTTTCGCTGTTTGACAGGTTTGTCTCATAAGCACAATTCTTAAATTTTTCCAATTCCTGCCAAGTATCGTCTTCTATGATCACCTTCTTTTTTTACGCATCATGAGTATCTACTGTATGTACTCGGGCGTCACGTGTTTTGGATGCTGGATACGTCTTTATTTAAAAGTCTTGCAATATGTGGTTATTCCACAAGTAATTCCCCAAGCAAAGGAGGCTCCACACGGACAAAAAAAATTGATGTGTAAAGTCCCTTCTGTCATGCAATGATACCTTTGGTCTTTTGAGGTGGTATGATACATATCAAGACGTTGTTCTTTATCGTCAAAGAAACGAAGAACAAGCACTACTGGTGTGGAGTAACTGAATGTGGACTTTGTCTATGTTGTTTTGAGTATCTATTTATATCATACAAAAGAATGATGGCATGGTGCTTTTACTTTAATAAATTATTGTTGGTTTGCTATACCTAAGCTTTAGAAGGAACGGTGAGAAGTTTGTGTGCTCCATAAACAGGATGTGAATGCGTTAATACATCTCTTGGTCGGGATAGGTTAAGGATGCAGCAGCACTTCAAGTAGTAAAACACAATTTCCGGAGCATACATGTAAACATCGTCATGTCGTGATTCAAAAGACGAAACACTCAAATGAAATGTAGTTTCATCTCGGCTCACTAACCCTTGATACTTGCTTTCGCTGATTATCGATAAGCTAGAATACATCAGGAGCATGAATGATATCGACATGTTGTTCATGAAGACCACTTGGATTTATAAAAAGGGTCGTTATAATTGCTTTGACTGTACCGTCGATGCATAGTCGACACAGTTCTTTTACCCCTGCATCCTATCACTTCATGTATGATCAGGCGAATCGACTTCAGTCGTTTTCAGGTTCTTCTTTTCCCAATATATATCATTTAATGATAGGATACTTTTACGAATGTAGTCTCCTAGGCCATCTTTTTCGAAAAAAATACTGTATCAGCAACATTACTTTAGTGATTTGACTCGCCTAGCCTACTACACTGGTGCATTAAGAATCACATTATGCTGTTATAATTAATGTCTATATTACTGGTCCGAAAAAGGTGATACCGTTTTCTCAGTAATCCAGTCTTTCGTCAAGGAAATGAATATTTCGAACGTCGTGCCGTAGTAGCAGTAGTTTCACGCTCAGACTAGCAACTATTGGAGAGAAATGAGCATAAAAAAGAGTATATAAAGGTAGCTCTGTAGTAACAATGCATATATGTATATATATTGTTTTTTGGTATTTCTTTAAAATGTTTTAATGATACATGTTGATACATATTTAATTTTGTATATGTTATTTATATACAGTCAGCAGCACATCACTTCATCATCATTATTTAAATCATACAAACAAAGCAAAAAGTACATGGCATTCGATCATAATTCTTTGAGCATTTAGACATTCTGTTTCTTTATTTTGCTGTTGTCAGACATTTCGTTATTGGAGGATTTTATCTTGTGCTGTCCATGTGTAAGATATATAGTGCTGAAATATATATGATAAGTATCTATGTCTATCATTATAGATTTCGGAAAAGCCAGGAGGATATAATGGACAGGAAAATGCGAGAGAAGATTGGTAGGGAGTGCGTAATAGTATTATCTGTTGTCAGTCGCAAAAGCAGATTACAATGGAATCGAAAGGCGTATCAAAAAATGTCGTTGTTGTTGTTGTTAATACTATGAATTCGCTTCAGCATCATCATTTCATCATAGAGTCGTCTTCTTGTTCATCGTCACCATCATAGCGCTGATTGTAACTGGAAAGACTGGTGAGATCTATACTAAGTTGTGATAGCAAAACCAAAATACCCGCAAACGTTTATACATATATACGTCACAGAAAGTTAGCACCATAGTCACTCTTACACAAAATTGTATGTTAGTAATGGGAAAAAAAAAAGAGTAGAAACTTGCGCTGAAACATTAAAAGAGAATTCATGAGCACCATCGTTGTCAGTACTGTTACTGCTGTTATTCGATTCTGTTCCTTCTTCTTTATCACATTCTGGATCCGAAAAAGGTGAATCACCCGAAAAGGCGCTACAGACACTAGATACAGTGCAAGATTAGAAAGAGTTTAGAGAATCATCTGTTTCAGTTATACAATGTAGCGAATTGATCTTTTAATAAGCTGATTATTATCAATGGCAACCCCTCTCCGCTCGAAAAAATACGACAATAATGACCTGCGTGATGGTGATGCTGGTACAATCAGGGGTGCTCTTACTGCTGCTGCTGTTGCTGCTATGGATGATGAAGTTGACACAGAAGCAGCGCTTGATACAACAAGTCCTTGTTCTCTCAATGTTTGCAGGTAATCGTGATATAATTGCTCCTCTCTTTCATAACTCTGCTGATGAGCAGTATTAAAATTTAAAGGAAAAAACAAGTCGAATTATTATGACGTTCAAAGAGGACATTGATGATGAATGGTGAGAAACAAAGAGATACTTATCTACGGGAGTCACTGCCGCCGTTCTTACTACTGTCAATATTGCAGTAATAGTTATCATTCATAGAGCGTTTTTGTTGATGTCGTCCTTCTTCTTCTTCTTCTTCTTCTTCTTCTTCTCTGAAATAACTACAAGTGTCGGTACTGTCTGATCTGATAGTTATTGTATCTTCATCTACAGTAGTAGTAGTCGTCGTTGCAGAAACTTGATAATGCTGCTGTTGTTGATCGTCAGTAACTATATTACTTTCATTAAAACTATGATGCTGATCTGATCGTTGCTGCTGCTGTTGTTGTTGTTGTTCCTGTAATAGCTGTGGACGCCTTTGTCGTACTGTTACTGTGGCTGGCATTTCTACGCGTCGTCGATTCCGTTGATCCATCCTTGCTGCTTCATCATTCCATTTGTTAAGCAACAGAAAACGAGCAATCCAAAGATTCTCACATAAATGAAGCGGTATGATACTGTTTGTTATTCTGACCAGAACACTGATCGCAAGGTCACGCATTCTTTTATCCAAATCTTTCCAGAATAAAATAGGTTCTTGCTGCTGCTGCTGCTGCTGCTGCTGCTGACCACTGTTGCTGCTTAATAATGTGTCTGATCTGACTTTTTGGATTGTAGCTTCGACGGAGTCACGTAAGAATGCATAGAGGTGTTTCCCATCTTGGGGGGTTTGAGCGAGACTTTCGATGGCACGAAGAACGTCGCTTTTGCGTGGCGAACGAGGTAAGCCGGAGGGTACGCGTGGCTGGGCAATGAAGGCTTTTGGGTATCGTCTTTGTTGGGCCTTGCGATCTTTTTTCTTGTCTATTCTTTTCTTCTTGTCGTCGTCGTCGTGGTTGACGGCGTCAGCGACCTGTTGACATTTTTTATGAGGCTGCTGTTGCTTTTGCTGTTGCTGTTGCACCACCTGATTGTCGGAGACCCCTGGAGTCCTTGTTGTCGTCTGCATGACTTGTTGGACACTGTCATTATACATCATTTCTGACGAAGACGGTTGTTGCTTTTGAGCTAGTATATCATTATTGTGGGGCGATGTGGTCATCAAGGCCTCCGTCTCTTCTGATAAAGTGGAAGAAAGAGCAGATCCCATTGTTTTACAAAACGAAAAGAAAGAGAAAATTATCTTTTTGTTGGCAGCTAGTCTTGAATGTTTATAAAAAGACGAAAGACAAAGAAAATGCATTGATTGCGAAACAACCACGAGACCCTGTGTCTGAGCGCAACACAAAGAATCATGAAATCAAAGGTTGTTGCTGTTGCTGTTGTTGTGGTCAACTAACCAAGAACCACGTTTTTTTAGGCAGTATCGGGTTGCGTTTCGTGTTATATGTAACAAAGAAAAAGCGTATGATGTGCGAATGCGTATGTGTGACCTTGATATGAAATGCAAGATCAAAAGAGTGAATTATCTAACAAGAGAAAGGGAATGGTAACTGTTGGAAGGGGAGAGAAAAGCGGCAAGACAAAGAAGTTGCGAGTGGATAGAGATAGAGATAGAGATATGGGGAAAGAGAGATATACACAACAATGACAACCCAGAAAGAAGAAAGAAAAACACGGAATAGATATGGAATCGGAGAGTGGTAGAGTAAAGGAGTATCTATACGAGAGAGAGAGAGAGAGAGAGAGAGAGAGAGAGAGAGAGAGAGAGTGTGTGTGTGTGTGTGTGTGTGTGTGTTTGTGTGACTGGAACGATAGAAACTAGTAGTCCGGATTATAGCCAAAGCGTCTAATCTCGTCACAGCTCTTCATCGGCATCTTGAGCGCCTTCTGATACTGCTCTTCATTGCGTCCGATGCCAAACACTCCAGCCGCCGCATTCAACCGCGTGGCACGTTCCCTCCGTTCATTATTACAGGACTGCTGCAACCCACGCACCCAATCCACCTCGACCTGCTGCTCCACGCGACTCAGCTTGTGTCTGCTCTGTTCGGTTGCTTTGAAGGCCGAGGGGTTGACATAGTAAGGTACCTGATGGCTCTGCGTCATACGTACTTGGGAATAGACCGACGTCGGCCGCAACGAGAACGTGGGCGTGTTGTCTGTAAACAGACCCGACAGGAGCGAGTAACCGAACAGAATCAAGAGAGGCAGGATCTGTAATAGCACAGTCCATCCGGGCGTGTTTTGTTGCTGTCTGCCAGCCCGTTGCTGTTGAGCAGCCGTGCGGCGACCGGCACCGCTGCGGTAATAGTGCGGAGAGAAACCAGGTCCGACAAACGTTGCACTGCTGAAGCCTGGGCCAAATGCTCCTCCTCCACCGCCGCCAAAGAACATGTTGAAGAGATCTTCGGGCGATATCTCTTCGCCGGCAAATCCGCCGCCTCCCGCCTGTCGTGTGTGGAAGCCCCGGAAACCTGCTCCTCCCATACCTCCACTACCGCGTTGTTCTGGGTCTCCTCCTCCTGCATCATGGATTGCTCGTTTTTGTGGATCTGACAGTACCGTGAAGGCCTTGGAGATTACTATTGTCAACGTTGACGGCTCATCATTTAGTATCACCAAGATATATGCATGCCCGTGAGGGACCGGTTATTCAGGGGGGGGGATAATAATACAATTATGAAGATGATGATAAACACGTGAAACACTACTTTACATTTGAATGCTTCGTCGGCTCCTGGCGCACTGTTCTTGTCCGGATGGAATTGCAAAGCAAGCTATAGTAGTATCGTGTAAAACAACCCGTTCTTAATACATCTGCATCATCCCAAGTCCATCTTGATACCTTTTTTTCTCTATACAATACCTTGCGATATGACTTTTTGATCTGTACATCAGTACAACTCTTATCGACAGAAAGCACTTTGTAGTAATCCGTGCCGCACGACAGAATAGTCTTTACAGCAGCAACTTGGTCTGTTGTATACTTTTTCTCGGATGACGATGACGACGACGAAGCTGCTCCAGTTCTAGCACTGGCTGTTGTTCCTGAAGGTGTTGCAGTACTACTTGCTGTCGATGACGCTCCTCCCTCTGTTGCTGCCTTTTCTGCTTTTCCGAGAAACTCCTTGGCTGGATCGGTGGGGTAGAGATTGATTGATTTCTTGGTGAATCGTAGTGCAGCCGAAAAGTTGCCATTGCCAAAGTGGTTCTTTGCAATGTTTAAACAACGAATGGCTTCGTCCTTATTGATCTCCATGGCGCATTTAAATTAATAAAATATATATATATAAGGTATAGTAGTTGTAAAAGAACGCAGACGAAGAAAGGGAACAGCAGGCACCGGTTTCAAAAAATAAAAAATACTCTTGCTAACACCACGCTGAATCTCATTGGATACTTTAACCCACCTTTTGTGTTACCCTTCTCCACTATACCAAAAAAAAAGAAAAAGAACCAGTTGATTCTGTTGATGATAAGCTTTTTTGTTGAATTTTTGCCTTTTTTTTTATTTACAACAAAAAGCGACATCTACTACAGTAAAGAAGAAGAAACAAAAGAAGAGAAAGATGGGGATGACTGAATGAAATAATAAGAAGAAAAGAAAATAGCGACTGTGCTTATACAATGAGCGTGTAAGTGCGTGCGTGTGTGTGTGTGTGTGTGCGTGTGCAGTGAGAGATAAAGAGAGAGAGGCATATCAGATGTTTGAAACGATGTGAGTTGCAGGAATTGAGACGGTGTACGTGTTGGTAAGCTGTGGCATGTAATGGATAATAAATATAAATTATTTGCTTCGGACATATTTGCCAACCACTACAGCGTGATCTCTTTCGTATGGTTCCAGCGTCAACTGTTCTTGGGGCTTGACACGTTCTTCCTGGAGCTTCTTGACTTCACGGGCAAACACGGTAGAAGCATCCACCGTCGAGTCGATACACGACGCCTTGATCGAAATAACAATATGGCCATCATTCTTCAAGAAGTTGTGGGCGTTCAAGGTAATGATACGGGCCTGATCGGGCTGGGCGACATCGGCAAAGATGACATCGACCATGGGGACGAGCATGCGGTACTTGTGAGGATGACGAGCGTCTTCGACAATGGGGACAACGTTGGTACGCTTCTTGGCCATGTTGATCAAGTCACGACCGGAACGGTGAGAGAATTCGACAGCATAGACAGCACCTTCGGGACCAACCACATCGGCAACGTGCGAGACAGAGGTACCAGAAGCACCACCCAAGTACAAGACCTTCTTACCGGGTGCAATGTGGATATGGTCGACACCACCAAGCACAGCAGCGGCCAACTTTGAACGGAAAGGGTTCCATACACGGTATTCAATCTTGGTGCCTTCGGGGCCGTCGATCGAGATACGCTTTTCACCGTATACGGATTCACCAGGCACCAAGTTCTTGGTGACCAACAAGTCTTCCTTGCCTCGGGCAATGAAAATGCCCTCGTGACGATGGGGTTCGATGATTACTTTGTTACCACCCTTGGCACCGACGCCTCCACCTCGGCCACCGCCACGGCCTCCACGGCCACCGCCACGGCCACGACCGCCGCGATCACCGAATCCACCACGGCCTCCTTTGCTGATACCGCCGCGGCCACCGCGATCGCCACCGAATCCGCCACGGCCTCCACGGCCACCGCCACGGCCACCGCGATCACCACCGAATCCACCGCGGCCACCGCCTCGGCCACCTCGATCACCACCGAATCCTCCACGGCCACCGCCACGACCGCCTCGATCACCACCAAATCCGCCGCGGCCACCGCCACGACCGCCTCGACCGCCACCACGTCCTTCAAATCCCATTGTTGTTGTTGTTGTTGGGTACGTTAAAGTCGGGGTAAAAAAAGAAAAAGAGTTGTTGCTTCAAAAAATTCGAAATGGGGAAAAAGAACAGGACTTGCGGGACAGATCGTTCGTTTTTCTTGTGAATGTGAAAAGCAAAAAAAAAAAAGTTTGGGCTGCTTGTCAAAAAAAGTTTTTGGCTGTCAGCGCTTAAGCAAGGAAAAAAAAATTCAGTCACTTTTATTGAAAAAGTGAAACATGATTCGTCGGCTCAATCCAGCATATATGTGTACTTTTTGTACTCAACCGGGTTTATCTTTACTGCCTTTTTCCCAAGCGAAACGGGACATATCACCAAGGCAAATTTCTTCTTGGCTTGCCAGCTGATAAATCTGTCACTTCTGATATTTGCGTAGCTTACATAAACAAGGGAAGAGCATTCCCCCTTACTTTTCTTATTACAAGACTCTTCGACGGCTGCCAGTACAGTATCTCTCATTTCAGCACTGATATTCTCTAGCAATAATATCTAGCAAATTTGAGACATTATCGGCTGCAACTGAAGAGAGCATCTGGCTCATATATGCATAACAGAATGTGTTTTTGAATGATAGGCCATAGGGTCCACTAAATGCATCAAATTAGCTTGCGCGCATTGTTATGTTGTTGATCAATCATGCGCTTCATCAATATATTTTACTCGGCTACAAGTATGATATAGTTCTTGACTGTGTTCAACCAGTTAGCTCGACAGTGCCTTTCTAGCACGAAGCAAGCTGGTTTTTCCATTTTGTAGCAATATTTCTACCATGTAGAAGCAGGCCCTTCTTTTTTTTATATTTTGGCATTCTTCAACGGTTTACATAAATATACATATATATTCTTGTGATGCTTCTCGCCGATCCATGAAAACTGCAGTCATAAGTTTTGTTTAGTAAAAAAGGTAGACCCAATTTCAAACCTGAAATTAACGCAATATGTACAATAATATCACGGATTGCTTCTGTTAAAGTCCCCTCTTCCACAGTTGCTGATGAGGACTTTTAACGCGCGTATAATAAGTGGGATCTTGTAATACATCGCCTAGTGAATCATAATATCGACGTTTCTTTAAGCGTGACACTCCAACATAAATGCCGTCTGTCCCTCCGTCTTTGCAGCTGCTTCGAGTGCGTTAGCAGGATAATGGTGCTCATACATATTAAAAAATATAGTAATAAGGCGTATCAGTATATTTCAGTTCTCGAGAGCCTTAAACACGATACGTATTAAAATTGATGCAATAAGAAAGGGAAGAAAACTCAGGTAAAAACTGTGAGGGAAAATCGTACGACTGTTAGGCTAAACGACGAACATTGGAAATTTGCACATATCCGCTTTCTTGTTTATTCCAAGTATTTGATGGTGGGGCACTGAAAGAAAGTGTCGAAAAGCATGTATCTGCTCCTAGCTTCAATGAGCCAAAGCAATTGAAAGTGCCGCGTTAAATCTACGGTGCTTCTTTCAAAGTTGACGGTTAAAGCTACTGTAGCTAAGAGTGATTAGTTGCAAGCAAGTGGGTATGCAAACAAGTTGAATTGTCGACGGATAATCAGTCCATTTATACTAGTGTGTTATATCACACTATAGAAAGTGGGTGCATTTCTGTCATAAGCACAAAAGAAAACGTTAGCTTAGAAGTATGTCTAAACGATTCATTTTTGTTACATTGAGGAGAATGCGCAATAATATTTAATATGTATATCGTGCAGAAAGATGTCTTGTTTTCTTTTGCTCAGTATCAGACAATTAAGTTAGTTCATATTATGGGGAAAATAAACATCATGTTTTGGAAAATCTAGGTACTTGCCCGATAAGTAAGATATAGTCTGTTTCCTTCATAGTACTATAAACCGTCTATGTAGCCGACTGTTATCGTATAGCTTCAATGCAAACCGGTGCTTTTAGATCAGCAAGATTCGTTTTGTTATTATTTTGGTAAGTAGTGTTAAATGTATTGGACAACAAAAGTGAACGACACATGTAATTAAATATGCTGGTAAGAGCTTCTTTTTTGTATGCACTACTACTACTAGATTGATAGGATGTAGCCTAACGACCATATCAAGACGGCATTTCTTTGACCTGTATATATGTGTGTTAGCTATTTCCATTCACTAGGTATCGTACACTGTTCACATCCTATCTAATATCTCTGGTTTTCTTACCTTTAGATATAATTGCAGTCGTGGCTAAGATGCATTCTGCGAATGCAGCACGCTTCAAACATCGATGTCATATACGTTTCACCAGGGTCTTTGGTTATTGTGCATTGGTTATCTGCCCATACGCCCTTTGCAGATTTGCAGCAGTCTTGGGATGGTCTAACCACCAAATCGCCTTCTCCGCCCCGTTCGGTTCTGCATGTGCAAAGTTTTGAGGAATGCGTACCAGCATCACCCTTTTCTGTAGCAACAGAGACACCATCAGCTTGTTGTTCTGGTTTTGCTGCCAACACCGTTGCGTGGAGGAGGAGGGATGCTGTACAAATATAGTAAAGAATAGGTCGAGCTGGAAAAATCATAGCTGACTTTTCTGAAACTGTGTGGTTTATATATCTTCTTTTACTTTTTCCTAACAGTCGGATTTATCGAGATGGGCTATTAACCTGCAGTAATCTATTTTACTTTGGATGGCAATTTGCACGAGCCAGGAGAATTCCTTTTTATATTTACAAATACAGTTTTCTCAACCCTTAAAATTCGGCGCAAAGTAAAAATGGATGGTGGTATCACTACGTGTAATAGATGACTGTGATTTTGAAAAGATTATTGATGCAAATTAAGTAGGATAATTTTATCACTGTATCTCATCAAGTAGTATTATTTCTTTAAGTGTGGTTGTTGTAGAAATGTGTACTAGTGGCCGTGTATTACAGTATAATTGAATATGAAAAACAGTTAAGTCTAGATAAAGGGTCTGTCACATTATCCAAGCAACACGGACCAGCACATTTTCAAGGACCGTGATTGGAAAGTGCTAACATGACGGCGTCCTCAGTTTATCCCTACTATAGGCAATGGTGACGGAAGCTATAGCTTCGGAATAGTATTGAGAATGGAAGGAAAGGGATGAAGATGGGCAAGAGGAGACAGGGGGTGATAGGAGCCATCCTCTAAAAAAAGACATCATCGTCAGCATGCATTCAATCGTCACGCTCTGCTACAACATCTGTCATTACCTGCATGTACCCTCATGCATAAACCTGGGTATATCACTTAATACTGTTATATTTTATAAAGTAGTTGAGTCGAGTTTTTACAATGCGAGAAACTGTAATAATATTTTGATAGACATAAGTCGTGAAGCTGCTTTACTTACGTCCCTTCTGAATGGTGATGAAATGCATGAGATTATACTGTTGAATAAATATTTGCTTTTGAGCCGCAAATTTCTTCCGTGAACTGGCATTATCCATTACCGTCGTCGCTGTTTTCTATTATGTAATTGTCTCATTACAGTCGCTGTGCTCACCGAACAATCAACTACTTAACACTTTTGAGCATCAAGAAACTAATGGCACCTTTGGGGGTAATTTAAAGCGGTCAAGTTATCTTGAGAATATGCTATGCTTAATTAAATGTAGCTGTTGATATTCAACTGTTTTTGAAAAGAATGCTATAAATGTAAGACCATACTATGCTGTATGTTGAAAACTCCACATATCATGCCTTGTAAATCTACCGTTGTCACTTCCCAACTGAGGAGACAAATTCCTATCTTTAAAAGAAAGCTCCATTCGATGTTAAAACCCAGATTTTTTTATACTTTTATGAACACGATTGCCGAGCACGCGAAGATCAGTACCAGTCGCGTGTCTGTGAGTGGTGAAGTGGAAAACAAACCAATGTCGTGTACTGCCTTATCGCTGAATCAGAGACCCTGCACGCTTTAGACAAGCCCATGATTCATCGACTCCAAAGATATCGCAACTACGCCTTTTGCAAATTTAGGATTGACTCTATTAGATCTACACGTTGCACCAAATTTTAGCAAGGGCGAGATTAGCGGTGACTCTTGAAACATCTTCTCCATAGCAACACTTTTAAAATTACCTCAAACAATAATATTACCAACGACAATCGAAACCCTGATGAGCAACGGTGGACTGCCTCACTATTTGGTAGCTCTGGATTACGTATTTACGCAGGCAGCAATGTTTGTTGCATGGTTTCGACCTCAAGACGACCTCACGGTAAAAGGTCTATATTCGATGCAAAGGACCCACAGTCAAGGTCGTTGTGGACTGGAGGACACAGCGAGAATGGTGGTCCGAACTTGAAACGAGCGCGTGAAATACGCAGGAGCTGGCGTGCGGTACAGCGAAACATGTCTCCAAAATATACAAGTAGCCTTCAATATCGATGCAACAGCAGTCCCGATACATCTTTTCTCCAGGTATACGAGCAAACTATAAGGACAAAAATTGCCAAAGAAATCGATAGATATCGAGTCATGAGGTGAAGTTCGCTGATGGAGCGAGATGATACCAGTTTAGTAGGTTACTATAATGCCATAGATGGTGAGGAACTTAGTATATCAGATTTAGTTTGAGCCAGTCAAAATGAATCACTTAAGCTTTATACTAGCTACGCTCAACGTCGATTGCTTTCGCATTTCAGTGGTTTCTCCATGAAAAATGCTTTAAAGCGGTGAGTTCACACTGATAATACCAAAACCCCCGCAATATGATAAGCAGACCGTTACTAATCAGCAAATGGAACCATGTGTTCTGCAGTAAAGTAGTACTCAAGTGCTGTATCATTGTTCTGCAGACAACTATCTTAAGAAATAGATATCATTGTGTACCTTGGTTCTCGGTAGGCAAATAAAGTTATCCTTCACATATCCTGTATAATTTGTAGCCATTTAGCATAGCGTAGTTGGTTTGCTGTCATAAAGACCAGCAATGTGCTTTTGAAAATACTGTGCCAGATCTCATTGCAAGAATATAATAGTGTTTAATATCTAACCCCGAAGATATTAATTACACTGTTAACCCATCACCTTCCAACTTCGCAAAAGTCCACCAAAGATTGGGTGCTGCAATATACGGTTGTCGTTACACAGCATTGCTGGGCTAAGCCGAGAAAAAAATTATATAGATCACCGTACCAAAAAATCGGAATAGACTATTTAATGTCATACCATTAAGAGAATCGTTGTTAACTGTATTATGCTGCTTAATTATTGAGACTACTGCTAGAAGAGTCCGGCTTATTTGAAATAAATGTTTGTGTTATATAAGAATAAATGAATAGATGTTTATAGTGTAAGCAAAGCTTGCATCCAGGCAATAGCAATTTTGGCTTTTCCTGTTGGCGCATGTTCCCGTTATCTGGTTCAAAAGGCAGCACAATGGCGCGCAGAACAGCTGCCACTCAAAAAAAAATCCGTGTAACACTAAATGTATAAGCCCAAGGTTGAACAAGCTTTTTTAAATCTTGTAGCTGTAGTATGTGTGACATATTTGCGGTGGCGCAACCAGTACTAACACGCCAAACAAAACAAAAATCCTCGGTTCCGTTATACGTTGAGTCGACATAGCCCCGGGTCGCACACAATTGCTTCTCTTTATACATCATGTGAGCATACCACTACCATGGAAACAGATCATGTATTTTTAGATTGTTTCTTGGATACTGTGATTCCACTTAAAAAATTTACAGCAAATGGTCATAGTTGCTCTTTGGGCTTTGAAGCATTGCGAATAAACCTTTTTACTTCGCCACTGAATGACTGATTGTTCGAAAGAGCAGATTATGGGCTTGTTTTTGATAGCTCTTTTTAATAACGGAGAAAAACATAAAGCAAGCTATTCTGACTCTCTTCTCCTCTTTTCTCTCTCTATTGCTTTTTCTCTTGAAAGATTCAGTTATCTATCGTTAATTTGTTACAAGCCTAAATCCTATGATCTACATCATATACGAAAAGAAGCGTGGTCGGAACCATCGATTACAACAAGCTGCTGTTCGATCCGTCACGTTTTTGTCCATGATACTGTTACTGCTTATGTTTATGGTCGACGGCGTTTGTGGCTCATATCCAATGGACGTAAGCATTGAAACGCAAATACCGATGCGTACCAATGCAGCTTCTTTTGTACGTGGCCGTGCCATGTACATATATGGTGGCGAAGGTCGGGGCAATGACAGCGCCACCAACGATTTCTTTTCGCTCAGCTTTAACGCAGAAAACGGAGATCTCATATATGAGCAAGTGCCAGTTGCATCCGAAGACAAGGGGCCACGTATTGCTGGTGGAAGAGCTGTTATTTTACCAGACAACAACACTGTTCTCCTGTTTGGCGGATATGCACCCTACAATGAGAATATAACTGCTGTACATCTTTTGTGCTACCAGTACACTTTTGACAACCAAGTATGGGCGCCTATTCCGGTGAATGCTACTGGCGAAATTCCAGAGGGTGCTCCAGAATTACCTACCCACCGCGAAAGTCATACTGCTACATTAGGTGCTGATGGTCTAGTTTATATTTACGGTGGCATCCGCTCAATTAGAGATACAGCTCTGGTTGGCGACTTTTGGGCATACGATCCGTCAACAAGACTATTTAGTAGGCGGGAGCTCATCAGCAACATTGTTCTGTATGCACATATTGGTATTCCCCTCCCGTAAGTCTTTATTTCCTTTGTCTAGTCGTATACATTTAAAGGTCGATAACATTGATTCTCTGTTTATACTACACTTAGCGATGGAACCATCGTATATGCCACCGGCCTAAGCGGCTATGCATGGAACTTTACCACTGATCCGGATAGTGCGCTTCTTACGGTTTCCGAGGGATTACTTTTCAATACTGCTGACGGTTCCTGGCAAGGAGTAGCATTCGGTGGCAGCGAAGAAACGTTGATTGGCGTCTCTAGTAGAGTATTTTCTACGGCCGTTCTTGGTACAGAAATATTGTAGTTATTGGCTTACATAAGCATATCAATCCATCTAAGATGTACTTAATCACATATCATACCTTACATACAACGTCAATAGGTCCCGAGCAAAGATACATTTATTTCTTTGGAGGTTTGTTATCAGCTTAAGTGTTATATAAGCTTACACATAGTAACTTTTGAGCTTGTGTCAAACCTGATTAGGTTCCGACCTGGTGGCTTCGTATCGAAAACATTTTCGCCGTGCTCTTTCAATATTAGATACTCAAACATGGAATTATACAATCCCAGCATCAGAAGGTGTGGGTCCTAGCCGAAGGGCAATGGCATGTGCTGCAATACTTACGAATGAATACATGGTCATCGCACAGGGTACGGTAACTTGTTCTCTAGTTTTTCTCTGTTTCTGTGCCGTATATACATCTTGTAATCAAACTTTACCACCACAGATCCAAGCTAATTGAGAAATAACTAAATAATAGGCGGTGCACGATCTTACTATTATGGAGATGTCAATGTTGTACGGCTACCTACACTCACGACTAGTAATGACCTCCCCCCAGAACCGACTGTACGCTGGGTGAGCAATATCATTACCGGTGCAGCTGACGATATGGATAGGTCAACGTCGGAAAGTGTCAGTAGAGGCATCATTGCGGCAGTTGTGATCGTTTCAGTGCTAGCTGCAGCAATGCTGGTCTTTTTGGCATGGCGCTTCCGCCATCGACTTCGTTGGCTGATAATCCGTATCCATAGTGATATTTGGAGTCCCCGGTAAGTCTCTGTTTACATTTCTCTCAGTCTAGAGCTGTTGTCTTGCTACCAATATTGTAATCGTACATGGCATTGATTGCTTTTTCAACCAATAGGACCGGTGAACCACATTGGGCTGAAATATCTCGTCTAATCACTAAAGTAATTCTCGCATTCCTATTTGTGGCGTTCTTTGTATTTGTCGTCATTCAAGTCATGCAAAGTCCAAAGGCAACGTTTACAATCACCGAAGTTGCATACAATGAGCAAGTGGATATACCCGGTAAGTTACACGCAAATACATGTGGTAAGTCAATAGTTGTATTGATCATTCTTTGCCACAGAAATCCGATTTTGCTTTGATGGCTACCAGCAAGTACCTGATCTGAGCACCGGTGAGACTTTCCCACTGGTTAGCTGTGTAACTGATGCTGGAGCAATATGCGATGAATACATCTACCCACTCAACATGTCAGACCATCAGCCTTTCTTCTACTCTAATCTCGGCGCAGTAACATGCTACCTGTTTCTTCCGGACACGCTTCACCTCGCTGCTAATGTAACTTTAGACTCGAATAACGGAAGTATGCTGCACTTTTCTTTCCACACATCTCCAGCAGTGGCTCCGCAAGCGGGACGAACCCATATTTCATTCTATCCGCGAGGAAGGGATCCGAATCGGGCCATTTACTTGGACGGGACCGAGCTTTACGAAAAACAGCTATACACTGACGCCGAGCTCTCCGATTGGGTCATTGACGACTTTAATGATTTCCATTCCGAGAATATTGTCGACGTCGATATTAACGATGCTGCATTTATTCACTATCAGCTTCAGGAGTATCAGTATCTTCAGAATACCGGATGGAATTATATCGGTTTTTCACCCGTGCTCAACTCGACGCCAGAAGTGGAGATTACCAGCAGAGTGCAGCCCATGAATCTGGAAGGTTACTCGCCTATGAACGGTCAGCTTAACGAAGTCATTGTCAAGCCAGCATCATTCAATACAGTCCGCATTCGGGAGCAAAAGATCTACTCTCTGTTGAACGCACTCGGATTCCTTGGCGGTCTTTTTGGCTTATTCGTGGCATTCCAAGCACTCATGTTTGGCCATCGACCGAATTCTCCATGGGGTGTCGTCCACCGCTGGTCCATCGGCACAATGAAGCGATCCTTGTCTCGCGAATTAACCTCTCGGTTTGACCTGCTGAAAACACCGGTACCGCTTATGAACCCGGTGCATCGACGCTTTTCAACCATCAATCTTAAGAATTACGGTCCACGCGAACTTGAAGATGTTGACTATATGGATGCGGCAGAATCTGGTAGCCTGAATACTCCTGACGGCGTGACGCTGGCTCCTGGACAAGAAGAATGGGACGAGCAAAAAAGACTTGAACAGGTCGAAGAGCGTATGCAGCTGCTTGAGCTGTTGTTCAAGTCGTATTACATTGATGATGAAGTATTTCGTCGTCTGGATCGTGCGCTCAAAAGACCGGATGTCAAACCTCCTTCTGTCAGTAAACGCGGCATGTCGAACTTCTTGCGCGGAAATGGAGTCGGGCTGCGCAGTCGAAATAACGCTGCTGATGACGCGCATGAATCACACAGCTGGCTTGCAACAAACGGTGGAGGCGGCCAAGATGGTGCTACATCAGAGGAGTTGCGACTTTCACCTGCGCCCTATATTCCACGCTTGGCATCTACTCCGCATTCGGCTTTACCTATTCACGAACCAAACGAGAATATTAATAACAGTACTCAAAAGCAAGATTGATGAGAAGATGATACTTTGTCATGTTTCTAAATAATAAATACTTTATATATATATATATCAGCTACACAGGATCAGCACCAAATGACCAATCTACTACAGTATGGTAGCAGCAGTAGTAGTATTGTATTAGCTGTAGTATTTTTAAGCTGACATCTTGCCAACCATTCGCAGAAGTCGCATAAGCAGAGTGCAAGGGAAAATCATGTTTCCCTGTTAGTAATTAGCTAGTTTATGCGAAGTAGCAACTTAGAAGACCAGCCTACGTGGCTCAAATGACGCAAATTCCGTACCCAATGATAAAACGTCTTCCAATTGACAATATTTGTTGGCACATATACAGTACGTCGTTATTAACTCGTCGTTTAACCTTATGGTTCCGTTTCTCTCACTGAACTTCTTCCAATCAAAATTACAGTAAACTGATACGTAACCACATCTACACTAGCTAGTCCCATCAACATATATTCACTTTATGCGTGCTTATCATTGTTTCAACCAAATCAATTAACAGCTCCAATAGTACACTATTCATGTAAATATTCTCTCACTAAAAACCCATGTCGTTTATATCTCTTCAATCTTCCCAATCATCATGAAAACAATGCAAAACCGTTCAATAGAGTATTTATTAGAGTTCGACTTCCTACTGGTTCTTATATTCCATCTACCTTCTTCCTCTTTCTCATTCTGCAATATTCCCGAAAATACGCTTTAGCAGACATAAGAACCCTAATTACCCAATGGTAAAGAATTATCGCCCTCAACGACTTGTGCAAAACCCATCTTTAACTTTCTTTACATAGGACGACTTTCCACCTTCCAAACAAAGAGTCAACTTTAAAGACCCACTTGTAAATCGCTATTTCTTTACATAACTCTCACATTCTAATTTGTTTTCTTAGCGTGCCAATCATTCTTTAAAAGAACACCTTTGCAGAACCTTTCGCCTACGCAACATCCCTTATTACATCACAAAGCTTAGTCCACCAAGACGAGCACAGTGACTTTTCGACCTCTTTTTTCGAAGGTATAACACATATGACAACTGATGTCGCCAATATAGCACCAAAGTAATTCACTTTTTCATCCGCATTAGACGCAGACACCTCCGCCAACATCATTCCGTTTCAACCTCAACATACTCCACCATCACCACAGCAATTACCACGGACTGTCTGCAAGGCTGTCCAAACAAGATCCCCGTCACCTCCTCCCACACACAGTGCCGGCGTTCAAGTGAACTTGCATCGCATCACACAGTCGCAAAAACATTGTACCCGCCGTTTACTGGAACATCCTTAGCGAATAATTTCAACTTTAAATATCATCCAACGATCCCCTTCTTCTCCATACGTTCTCCTTCACCATGAGTACACCGCAGTCGATCGTTTAAAGATCACGTATCTCAATTCATAGACAGCTTTCATATCGAACATTAATCCCTTCACACTCGATTCAATCTCTTCTTTGCGTGTACAGAACGCCCCATTCCTGATCCACCGCGTGGTCGGAAGCCAATTTTTAAGTCAGTGACCATTTACTAGTGTCCGTATACTAACAGATTCATCTAATCCTCTTTTTTCTGTATTAGACATTGAGTTTTATAAATTAGATATAGAAATGACTGTGTTTATTTGATATAAAATGCATATTGATATAGATAAGAATGATATGTATAAGCTAGTAGTTAATGTTGTGTGTTTGTTTGAGCCGCAGTTAATTTTCTTCTTCCTCCAGGCGGAATAATGCTAGAGTGAGCTTCCTTCTTGATCATAAAATTTCGTATGTTGGATGCTTACGTAGTATATGTACTATTAATTGACTAGCAAAAGATGCAGAATATTCGTTTTGATTTAGATTACTGCGTGAGGAATTACACTTACTGTAGATAATACAGCACTTGGGTACAATAGATGGAGACTTACTTGTATGTTTTGGAGTTGAGACTTGGCTTGCTGCTGTTTTAGGCGCCAGTGTTGGTAGGATCTATGCCTTGGTGATAATAGACAGCACGACCGCCCATAGGATCTACGAACCCACCCAGGACATCGGGCTTTTTGCTGTTTCTCATAGGATCGCGAAGAAAAGCAGAGCTTACGTTGTTACCTGCCGCAGTAGCTGTCAAGGAGCCGAGTCGGACTTGTTCCTGCTGTTGGGAATAGCTTTTTTGAGGGCTGGTTTCGCTGTTGACTTTTTTCGACTTTAGTGTAAAGAAGGGCATAACGTGTGTGTAACCAAGCGGTGAAAGGGGGAGTATTTTCCAAAAAAGGCGGAGAAAAGAAGTATGCGTACGCGCTTGTGCGTGTGAACTTGTGTGTATGTTGGAGAGGAAGTGAATAAGTTAGAGAGTGGAGAAAGAAGTAAAGAATCAGTAGATGAAAGTTGTGGTATTTATAATAAGAAAAGTGGGGGAAGTCCGGCGAGAAAGAAACAAGCTTTTCCCCCGGATTATTGGTTAAACTATCATCATCTCGTTTTCTGATCAGTTGCACATTGACTGTGACTGAGCTTCTTGGCTTGATCCATTCTCGGTCTCGCTTGTTGCAGCACAGCAGCGACAAATTTTATCCTCAGAGTCTTGTTGTACGGGAACTCTTCTTTGTACTTTTGAAATTTCACAGGTTCAACACGTGCCGAAATTCTCACAATAACGCCTTTTTCCAACACTTCTTTGTCCTGCCAATGCTGGTTATTTTTTGTTATCTTTTGTAATACGCGAGATTATGTTATTTACGAAACACAAGATCAACTACGTTAGGTTTGCCTTGTCAGCTGCATAGAAACTGTATTTGAAAATGCTATTACCGAGGAATAAATAGAGTGAGAACAGCGGTAGGCGTTTTAAAATTGAAAAAAGCTGTGAGAGCGAAGACTGAAAAAAAAAATTCCGAAGTTCTATTGGTAGCTGGTCTTCTTCTAATTTCAAGAAGTGTATGTTATACGAGATCAAAAAGTTGGGCGTTATGGTTTTTACCCGGCTTGTTGGTACAACAATAAAATGAAAGCTTACTGGATCGGACACAGTTGTTTACCAGTCTTCGGATATTCGGAGCTTCATTGAACCATACTTCCCGAGTCATAGCAGCAGCAGAACTCAAAACTCGTATCTCATAACGAACCAATTGTTATTGCACTTTTTTGGGCGCTGCATCTGGCAAAAATCGGCTGATGCCGTAATGCACGCTTTGTGACAGCTAATCCAAACTCGCCTTCACTGTCATTATTCCAACTTCTTCTAAACGAATGTTTCTGTTACTCCAAGTCGTATACCCCCGACTTTGAAACTGTTGGGGATTAGACGGATGTACGATATTCTCTCATCTTCTACATGTCTCTTCTCATGTCACTTGAGCACATCTCGTCAACAACCCCCCATTCCCAATCGATCTTACATCTAAAAAAACGAATTCGTCAATAATCCATTACGTTGCAATGCGCACTGAATCGGCAACTGCCGTGTTGCTCTCCCAACGATGCAATCATTTTTTACTTGAACCAACTGCTCTTACTGGTATATATGGTTTGTAATCACAAGGCTCTTTTTACCTACGAAGAGAGGAATTCACAAATCGAATCAGGTGCCCTTTGTTTTCTTTCATCGTCTATATGCCCATTACTAATTGCAAAGAAAATTATTCACTCACAAGGGCAAAAGCTGCTTATCACCAAACAATTATTGCTTACGTTACTAATGCTAGGAGAATGCTTTCTTCGATACAAATGAAGAAAGCTTTATAGGAGGCATACCTTTGCATTTGATTTATAACTGTCAAGTCTACGTACTACTATATCTAACAGCTGCTATGTGGTCATATTTTCTAAAGCGTTTCTCACAACATGTAGCAAGCGCCTTCATTCTGGAGATATGATGCAACAAATGGAGCTACCGACAAAATTTACTCGTGCTTGTAGGCATCGAGCGAGTATTATAAATTTAAAAAGTCTTTATACATCTCATTCCAGATATCCTCCTTGTTGTACAACAGCAGCGCTGTCCATCCCCTTTGTTTGGATTGGACGAATATTTACTAACCGTCGAATATGGTCCACGAGATTCGCCACACTCCGAGAAAGTTACCTGATGGAAACCATCGATTACGGCGGCAGATTAATGATGTAGTCTTCCCTCCCGTACTCGTTGGATAAGGAATAAATCTTTAATTGGCAAGAACGTGGTCAATTAGTTTCTTAGAAGCTACTCTTGTATTGCTTCTTCGTATGCTGCGAAGAAATATCACCGTCCTAACACATCATTTTGCTTTTTTATACTTTACGCCTTCCTTTACTTAGAAGGAGGATAATTGTTAGCTTGATGTAAAAATACAACAATAGCGGTTTAAACAAAGATGTTTCTAGAGTTATCATCGCTTACATCGACTTCTGTGAGTCAATTCGCTAAATAGGAGAGGACTTTTTATACAGCTCAGCACCATGTTTTGCTGCCGCTGCTGCAAGAACATTCTGATGACAACTCTTCTACATCGATCTGAAGTGACTTGGCAAACTTATAAGCATTGTCTGTAGTTTCTGCACATGATGCAAGCACCGAGTGGTAGTAATAATGGCTTTCCAAATATCAGGGATTGTATAAGCAGTATGAAGTAACTAACATAATCATCCACAGTGCACGGAAAAAGAAAGAGGCATATACACCATTTGCAACGCGATGTTATCGTACATCCTTTCTATGAATATAGAAGCAGCTATCCATTTATTAGGTTCTCATTGCAGTCATGATATATACACCAATTCATTCTTCTTTAGCACTTTGTTGTAATACTCTGTCGAGAGTTTGCTTCTACTTGGACTTATTCAAACAAAAGGAATTGTTTTGTACCAAGCGTGGGGAGATTGATGGCTTTGTAATGATAGTCTCCGAAGTGGATTTGGGGTTTATCAAATGGTGCAGGCACCTTCCCTATGCGTTTTGTACTTTTCATGGGTCAGTTTCACGACATTTTTCAACCGTCGATGGTTGTGAAATAATCCGATACCGCGAGCGGTGTTCACAGTTTTATAGATCGCAGACATGGGAAGCAGAAGCATAGTAGCTCAGCTAGAATTTCCTTTTTTCAATAAAGAAAGAGGGCCCATGATGGGAAGAATATATACCACAGTCTATTTTTAAGATGATAAGTCCAATTATTTTCAGATGTTCTGAATCTAGTTTTTCTTTTTCAAAACAAAATTTTACTCAATCTCTTTTGATTCTCTAATCCGCAGAAAAATGGTCTTTCTGATTACTGACCTCATTCCTCTCGTTGCGATTATCTTCCTTTGGCTGGTAAGCAGCAATGTATTTTGTCTTTTCATTCTGTACGTGTCCCTCCCTCGAAAACAGAAACGACTGCGATCACTTCTTCGCCAGTACCTGCATCATCATCTCCATCTATGTCGTGTGCCTTTGCAAGACTGTTGTGTCCCAATCGATGACGATTTGTCGTTGAATTACACGGTAGCTGATGTATAAGCACTATTTCAAAGTATCAAGGTGCTGCAAAGCAATGCGAGTAAGTATGGCACTTAATAACTATTATAGTATCATTCTTTGTATACACGAATGTATATCGTGGGATGCTCTCTAACACTTTGTAGATCTATACAAATTGATAAACAGGAGTAAAAGTGTGTCCAGTTCAACAAGAGAGAATCACGTAGCCAGTCATCGTTCTAAATCCTAGAGAGGTATTCAACAATCGTGCTAATAACCTGGAATCAAGATTTACAACAGTTGAGCTTCAAGAAACCAAAGGAAGTCGATAGCCTTACAACAACCCCATTCCACCCACCTTATGCCACTACCGTCGTATTTTTATTGTCGATGTAGTCGATGACCGCCACTGTCTGGAGACTTTCCAGGCGTGGTATCATTTGACGATTTTTTTTTGTATATATACGTAGTGAGAACAGATATAATTATGTATATGTACCCTAAGACCAACTCTACGTTTGCGCAGTAGCAGTTTTTTCCTTTACCCGAGGCATGCCGCAGTCACTTTATGGAATGTTTATCTTTGAGAAACTGTCTATTTCATACCATTTCACACAATTTTTTTGTAAACATTATTTTAGTCAGCGTGCGAAAAACTGAGGAAGCGCATAACAACCTCCACCAGCAGCGTAGCTGAAGGTCGGCCGATGCTCTGGACACGTAGTACGCCAGTAGTCTTTGTTTATCAATTTTCGAATATCTATCCATGAATGTATAATATATCTGGCATCTTGAGAGTTACTTCTGTATTGGATTGATCATGTACATACAGAAAATTTCATTCGTCACCATTATATACGCCACTTACAAGTAAGTTTTAAGTCTTCAGCTATTGGGTTTTTTTGCTACTAAATACGCATCAGGTACTATGAGAAAGAACAAGAGCAAAAAAGGGAAGAGCATCTATTCCAGCGATGACCCCTTATTTGATTATTTCTTTAACTACTGCACTTTATTATGTAGTTGATGAGCTGGAAATAGTGGAACATGTTCTTTGATTTGTGCACAACAGCAACTGCGACAGTCGTGGTAGTACCATCGTTTGTTATATTGGTTCTCATTGAGAAGCATCGATATCAGAAAGAGTTCTTATTTCTATTACAGTAACTTATTTCCTTATAGAAAGGCTGGATGTAGATATGAGGACCTGCAATATGGATGTAATTACATATAGATTCCATCGCGGGAATTGCTAGGATGAGCTGTAATAAGTGAAAAATAAGAAACGAGAGCCTGCAATAAAAAATCAGTTATTCACTAAGTGGTGTGTAATTACATGACATCCGTTAACATAATTTGCACCTTTTCATATGTCTCTCTCCCCTTTGCTGCAGTTTGTCATTTGTTATCTTTCGATGGTGTAATGAAGGGAAATATCAGCGTCAAATTAGGATATACGTGAACAACGACTTCGTCCTTACCGGAAAAGCAGTGGCGGGGTTCGCGGCTCAAGTAGACGACATATACTACAAACTAAAGTATTGAATATGCTTGGCAGGAAACTTTAGAGTTGGTGAGAGCTCTTCGTACTAACTCACTTATAAGATTATGTTAGTAGAAGATTGGTCTTTTGCATCGGAAACAGTGATGACAGTTCACATAGCAGTAAAGGATGTACATCTGTCGCTGTACAAATGGGATTTCGAATAGACAACGTGAGACCGCAGCTATACCGCGCAACTTTACAAGATATCTAGCCAAAGTATTGAGCCTTTTCTCCTTGATGACAAACCCTTCATACCCGTCCAAGTTATAAACGATCCAATATCTCATTATCGTCGCATAGGTAAGGGAAAAAAAATTTACAAAAGTTACAAAAATATAACTTATTGTTGCACCCACACTCTTCTCTCCACCCTCCTACGCTTTGTGCAGCCAATGAGCTGCCACCCCTATCACTCTCTCCATGCTTTATAGAGCCCTGTAACTAAACAGAAGGTTAACCGCATCTTTGAGCGGACGATGTAATTTAAAAAACTCCTCCACTGTTTGTTGTTTATGATATATATTTTGTCCCATAAGATATGCTACGTAAGTACTATAGCTACATTGGTATAAAGTCAGTAAAGTAAAAGCATATCTGTCGGGTATGCTTTTAAAAAAGATCAGACACTAATATGAAGGTAAAATCATGTTGTATGTCGAAGAGCCATGGGAATATTTAATATTCATGGACTGTAAGCTTAAAGTAAACCTGCATACAAAGATAGCTTTTAATTTCCTAAACAAAAAAGAAAGATGCTGTATCACAATGATGGTGCCACCCATTAGCTCATTACTCTTGTTGATCCTCCAACAGTCGCTACTAAACCAAGAGAATCATAGATGCAGCAATACATATCATAGACCAGAATCATATCGAATATTCGCTTTCCCAAGCCCGATGGGTGCTCTAGCAGGTTTTGTAAGAATCTTGAAAAAAAAAAACAAGTTGCCAAGTTTTGTGATTTCACTTGTAGGCTACTTTTTTTTAGTGTGAAAGCTTATTTTTTTTTCTCAATTCTCGGTAAGCTAGAAAACAGCAGCGGTAGCAGCAACGAACGAGTATGTTTTATGCGGGCGCAGCAAACTGTAAAACTGCTGATACCGTACTAAAATGCTATGTATTGCGTTATCCATGTATGTCAAAGAGAGGAAGAAAGAAAAAGGATTTTCACCAAAAATAAAAGTTTGGTTGTACGGGATACTACCGTAACACATGAAATCAAAAAAAAAAAGATGTGCATCCCTCTTTATGCTTTAACTCGGAGAACCCTGGTGTTACACATTTCAATCTAAAACTTTTCTGTAACTTTTGGGTTTCCGTTTTTTGACGATGCTCTAGTAATATTTCTTTGCAGATAATCTGCAAGAACGTTCTCAAGAAGCGTATAATAGTGGCAGTGATCTCTAATATTGATGACAATGAGCAGTAGCAAGTCTCAAAGTGAATATGTTTGGAGTAAATGCTGTTCCAGAAAGAAATAATATGCTTCTTGAGTATCTTTGACAGAGTCTGTTCAAAGCTCTAGAAGAAATGTATAACTGTAAATTTCTTATTCTACAACCTATAACCATTTGACTATCAGATCAATTTTTTATAATGTGGTAGATCAATGAAAAGGAAAAAATGAAGCTTTTCGTCTGATGAGAAATAAACGGCGTGCTTCTCATATTGAGAGGAAAAAAGACGCTATCAGGGGAATTTTTAATAAACTCGCTCTCTTCTCCCAAACACAAACACAACATATGACTATTGTTGTTGCTCCTGCTGTTATTAAAAAACAAAAGATCTCTTGTACGAATGAAGAACGTTACATCTGTTCATAGAGTTTTGCTTCGCCAAGGTATGACAGGTGTAAAATGCTGAGTCTTCAAAGTAACTGGACTTTTTTCTTTTCCTTGCTTCACTTGCTGCTCTTGTCTCTTGAAGTTTATATTTTTTATTTCTAATCTTACGGCACGTAGCAAACATACGTACACAGACGAGCGCGCACTAGCCAACGAAGAAAAGTGTAATCTTTCCTGCATACAGAACAACAACGATCATGTCACCACTTGGTCTGCTGCAGCATCAACTGCAGATAGCAGTAATCCTAGTGCTCGTCCTACTATCTAAAATCTCCAATGGCGAATATCCTGTCCAGCCTTTAGTTAATGAAAAGATCCCATCTGTAGTGGGCAGTACAGGATTCTCTGTTGACAATATCATGTACGCCTACGGTGGCGAAGATCGTGACAACGGGTTAACAAATCAGTTTTCGGCAATTTCGTTCGACGCGGATGGAAATGTCGAGCATAACAATATCAACACGCAAGGCCCGCAAACATCGTACTCCAAAGCTGTGGTCCTACAGGACAACAGCACGGTTGTTATCTTTGGTGGATTCTATGCGGATACCTCTGGTGACGGCACAGATCCGATGCGTGCAAGCCAGTATTCATTCAGTCAAAATGCGTGGTCGGCTTTACCTGGAACACAAGTGGACGTCGGTGCTACAGTAGTTCCTCCTAACCGTCAAGATCATACTGCTACCTTGGCATCGGATGGACGCATTTACATCTGTGGTGGTGTCCCCAAGGCAACAAACATGACAATCTTGTTGGACTCTTGGGCGTATGATCCTACAGCTGGAACGTTCACTCAACTTTCAACCCCACCCGCAAGTCTGTATGGTAGCACAGGAACTGCCCTATCGTAAGTGTATCATAGAAAGTTGCTATTGTTCTGGGATTGCAAGAATAACCTTTGTTGATTTTACTACCTAACGGTTTGTAATTACTCTCTTTTAAGTGATGGACGCATCATCTACCTTGGTGGATTTTACGCCACCGCAGAGTCAGCTCCTGCAGGGATCTTTCCTAATATGTCTCTCGTGTATTTTACTGCTAACGATTCCTGGGCTGAGCAGCAACTTGATGGTGCTGCTATAGGCAATCCGCGCCTTGCCAGGGTACGATCTAATGCTGTTTTAGGTAAGCGTGTTTTATGTATTGAGGTACAATTACCATAGCATTTAGTATCTGCTTCACTGAACCAATTTCAAAAACAATCATAACAGGACCGGAGGGTCGCTACATCTACTATTTTGGAGGTAATTCTATCAGACATCCGAGAAATCACTTTTATTTTGCATGTCAAGTCATGGCTCATGTATTTGTTTTGTTTGCATAGGCGATGACCTCGATAATGAGAGTAATCGTGGATACTTTAATGACCTTTGGATGCTGGATACTCAGACGTATACGTGGCACGTACCTAGCGTTACTGGCATTGAACCAAAACATCGTTCCGGTGCAGCCGCAGCTCGAGTTACCAACGAATACATTATCTTTTGTTTTGGTAAGTGATCAAGCTTGATTGCCCCCTTTATATTTCACGCTATAAAGCAAGTGTGAAACATATCGTGTTCATTTGTTGTCTTTATAAAATAATATAGGCCTTGCCCAATTAAACTACTTTAACACGATCGATGTTCTCAAGACAGCCGAGGTGACAGACCCCAGTACGCAGGAGGTAGACTTTGCGTCTGCAAAGTGGGTTGGAGACGTGACCACTGGAGAGGCCCTGAATGAGCAACCATGGGGACCCTTTGGTATCAGTGGTGGTGTCATTGCCGCAGTGGTAGTTGTGTGCGCTCTTGTGCTAGCCATGATTTTATATTTGCTTTACCGCTTCCGCCACCGTGTCCGCAGGACCATCATGAGAATACACTATGGTATTTGGAATCCCAGGTAAACTAGACACTTTGCAGGTGACAATGTTATGAGTTGTTACGACTCACTGACTTGCTTTCTTTTAATCACCTTTATTTCCTATGTAATAGAACTGGTGAGCCACTTTGGGCAGAAACTGCACGGCTGATCTCCAAGGTCGTCTTGCTTTTCCTCTTTGTTGCATTCTTTGTCTTTGTTATCATCCAAGTACTGCAAAGTCCCAAGGCATCTTACATTGTCACAGAGGTGCCTCCTGATGGAGCAGTAGAAGCTCCAGGTAATACAGCAAATAGATTCCATAGAATTAGTCTGAATGAAAGCCTTCCACCCACCCCCCCCCTTCTTTCTTTTCTAATTGATCTCTTTTGCGTGCACTGTTCAGATATTCGCTTCTGCTTTGAAGGATTTTCTATCGAGCCTCAAACCAACGATAGATTTTACCCTTTGGTCGGCTGCATGACCGGTGCAGGTGATTGGTGCGGTGAGCATCTTACTGTTCTCGACTTGACCATCCACTCACCGCGCTTTATTGCCAACATGGGAAACCGTCGATGCTACCTGTTCACCGGCGACAATTTGGAGACGGGAGAGACATTACACTTTGCATCCGACACCATCCCACAATCCAACAACGGCAGCGATATGCAATTTACGTTTTGGGCTACAGATCCTTCACAGAATGGGCGGATCCATATATCGTTCTACCCAAGCGAGCGCGATCCCAACCGAGTCCTGTACTTGGACCAGCCAAGTCCGTTGCTAGACCAAAACGATCTCAGTACCTGGCTTGACGACGACAATGATGATTTCCAAGCAGGCAACACGGTTGATCTTGAAGTGTCAGATTATGGATACCTCGAATACCAGCTTGAACGAACAGAGTCTTTGCTCGACAAGGGCTGGAACTATGTTGGTTTTGCCCCCGTGCACAATGCAACGCCCAAAGTGACAACGACATACCGTGTACAGAGTCGCATGAATGGTGTTTCCAACTCGTCTGACTCTGGTAGTATGCTTGCACGGATTATTGTATCACCAGCAAGTTTTGCGACGATTGTCCATCGAGAACAAAAGATCTATTCTCTCGTCAATGCTGTTGGGTTTGTCGGTGGTCTTTTGGGTCTGTTTGTCGCATTCCAGGCTATCATGTTTGGTTATCGTCCACGATCACCCTTCGGTATTGTCCATCGCTGGTCTGTTGGTTCTATGCGTAATTCTATCTCAAGCGGTCTCAAGGATCGATTCGATTTGAATAAAACGCCTGTGCCTTTGGTGAATCCAGTTCACAAGCGCTACTCGTTCAGCTTGAGAAATTATGGACCGAGATACGTGGATGAGGAGGAGGAAACATATATTGACGATCTCAGTTCGGTGGACACTAGCGAGCAACGGATGGCAACAGCAACCGGTGTCATGTCTCCGGCCTCTACAAACGGTGCTGCTGCCGCAACAGCTTCCAGTCAGATATTTCACTCTGAAGAAGGTCGTCGATTGGCATCCGTTGAGGATCGTATGCAGCTGCTCGAATTGGTGTTCAAGTCGTATTATGTGGACGATGAAGTGTTTCGACGATTGGATGTTGCACTCAAGCGGCCGGAGGACGTCGGTAATCGTGCTTCGCGTCGTAGCTTTGGCGACTATTTCCGAGCGAGACCAGGAGCAGCGGAGGAAACCCCAGTGCATCCAGCTGCTGTACCTGTACGTGAAGAGCGCAGAGATTCGGATAGCTCATAAACCCCTTGTTTGGGCGACACATGCACATAGTATCAACCCTACCTTTCTTATGATGGAACTGCACTAATTATGTATCAACGAAATTGTATATCTACTTTTATATGTCTATCAACGTATGAGATAAAACCACATTAGTAACTACAGTACTGTAAATTTATCATTAACTTTCTATGTTTCAAAACAAGCTACTATTTGCTGCTACCTTTTATATCTGTCGGTCATTATAGTGGACGGGCTAAAGAGAAAGCAGCAATTTGATTAAATAACGATTATGATATAATATAAAAAAGTGCATGACTACCGGGTCAACATTTCATATATTTAGAAAAAGATGGCATGACAGCACGAATAATAAAGCCTCAATCTAGCAGTTTATATCGTTTCTGGGCTAGTATATGTTATTCTCTTTCTATGCGAGAACTTATTTCTCCATCCTACTATATCCTTTCTAACTGAAGATAACACTCACTCGCGGGAGCGGGTTCTTCTTCCGGTGGCTCTCTATACATTTACCGACAGGTCGACGACAAGTTAGCATATACACATTGTCTCATAACTAAGTTTGAACAAGGTAACATTAGTTGAGGACTATTTTGCAAAACATCGTTTTTCTTCTTCTTTTGTTATTCAAAGTCGTTTATCAAGAAGAAAGAAGCTATGTTTTGATAATACGTGAATAGGAGATAGTACTCCTCCTCGCTCTTTTTATTTAAAATTAGTCAATAAACTAGCTACAAGAAAAGAACATTTCAGAGAGAGAAAGAAAAACTTGCTACTAGCAAGGTTGTTGCTTATCCATTTTGAGCTACGATTATTTACGGAGGGTGTTATCATCATCATCATGAACAGGTATCATTTGTTTTGCATGAATTTATATGGTACATAATGTATTAGCCAAAAAAGAAAGAGGTCGTCATCATTGCCTCATATCTCATTTTCTTACTATCACACAGAGCACAGATCATCAAAGTAAAAAAAAAACTCAACAACAACGGCATCTTTTTCTCTTTTTACCTTTTTTTCCTCTTCCAACTACTTTTACAGAAAAACCACCCAATATAATGGCATTGAAAGATACAGTCCACAAAACGGCGAATGTCATTGTCTTCATTTTCTTTGTAGCCATGACTGGTTACACGCTTTTCAGTAAAGATAAGATTGCTGATCTTCTTGACGATTATCAAACGTAAGCACCGTTGTTATTATTCTCTCTCGTTCTCTCACTTGACCAAAAAGCCGTTAATGTGTCTCTTCTTTCTTTCTTTTTCCTAATAGGTACTTTAGCCCTGGTAATACTGCTGTTACAAAGACAAGTACACGGGATGCATGTGGGAAAGAGCTGACCATCAATTGTGTAAAATGATATTTTAGCTCGATGGTTCTTTCTTGTATGGTCGGCGATCCATCTTTTGCTTCTTGGCTTTGTCGCCTATCAGTGGACAGAAAGTGCTCACGGCGCTGTGATTGATGGTGTTGGATGGATGTTTATTGTCTCTGCCCTGCTCAACTCCATGTGGTTTAGTCTTTTGGTAAATAGTGATATACCAGTTGTTTTTTTTCGACCAACACTTTTCATCAATGAGACGATCGACACTTGAATAACAATCATCATCGTTGAAAAAAAAAACTAGGAGAACAATCATACCATTCTTGCGTTTATCATTAGTCTGTTTCTTGTCTTTTCCGTTTCTGTCATCTTCTGTAAGTATATACGTCTCTCTGTCTGTGTGTAACTGTTTTAATCTCGCCCTTTTTTGATATTCTAATGGTACTTTTTATGCCCCAGACAATTTGGCAAACGAACATCCGGCCGATGGATGGATGGAAAAACTGTTTGTCCATGCGCCATTTTCGTTGTGGCATGGGTTTACGGTGTTCTTGGCGGTCCTGAGCGCATTTATCGCATTTACCAGAGTCCGCAGAAACGATCTCGGCCAAATTGTACCACCTGACGTGCTGCATGTCATTCTCGTCTACCTGGCTTTGATCTTTTTGACAGCTACTGCGCTGGGCTATGTACAGTACAAGCATGATCGTGGTGATGTGACTTCGGCATGGGTGATTGCAGTTAGTTTATGGGCAGTCTTTGATGAGGTACGTGGCATTCTCTGGAATGCGTACTACTACTACTACTACTACTACTATAATTATTAGCAAACTCAACAAAAAACCCTCACTTGAATGTTTAACCTTGTCATACATTATCTATAAATATGTAGCAACATTTCGATGTCATCCGTTGGCCAGCATTGGCAGCTGCCATTTTGAGTACCATTTGGCCCGTCAAGGTAAAAACACAAAGAAAAAATAGAGTTGACATGTTGTTGTTCACTTTCAATAAATGCATATAAATTGCTGACGCATTGCTGCTGCTTAATATGTATTCTAGCCTTACATATACAAGATGCTCGGTAGGCGTACAACGACCTCTGGTCAAGAAACTGCCCCCTTGCTAGCTTAAAACATTCAAACAGAAGTAGTATACCAAGTAGCGTCAGGTGTGGACCCGGCCCCCCACCCCGCTCGTACCTTCTCTCTCTCTCTCTCTTGCAAACAATTTTGTGCGCTTTCAACAAGTTTGAAGATCTTCCAACTACTGCTGCTACCACTTTTTTTTTCTTTTCCTCTTGCTGTTATTAATAGGAATAAAGAGAAATTTTTCTATCAACCTAATCCATCTTAAAAACAAAGGCCCAAAAAGATGATCTAAAGATGATAACGAATCTATCAATCATTTAAAAGATAGTGTCATGGGGGTCGGGTGGGTGGGGACGCATTATAAACGTGTGCATGGTTTTCGTGCAACGTTGGGCCAGGGGCACGGTTTTGGGGACAGACAAGTTCCTCCGATGACGTTTAGGCGGGAATGCTGGGACACACTGAGACAAATTTACCCGCCGTTTGTCACAATTCTTGAAATATATTAGCTGCATACCCATCTCAAACTAATGCTATCAGATTGGAAAAAAAAAAAAAAGTCATGTCATCTTTACTGTGAAACGTCCTCAGTAAACGTGTAGCACTGTCGTAATGGTGAGTGGGGACGCGACCACTGATCATCTTGCTTGGAAGTCTGGGGCTCCCTTATCTCATATTCGGTTCATTAAGCTTTTGGGGAGCTTCTGTGACGGAAACTCCGCACTTTTTTTTTCATTTTAAATATCTTGTGGTCGGTGGGACGGAACACCGTTTTGACTTTTTCTTATCTTTCTGAAACGCGATCTATTAAACATCATGTCTGGTAATTTTGTTTGTTGATGAATCTAGAGAGGGTTGCTTAGACTTGTGTGTGTGTGTGTGTGTGTGTGCATAAAGGGTCAATTAAAAAGAAGAAAACTGAATATAAAAATAACTCATAGGACCTACACCATTGCAAGGCTCCTCGTCACTGTCGCCCATTCGCGCCACTCCCAACAAATTCGATCCAACCGATGAGAATCTCGAAAAGTTGCTTGAAGCCAACCGTCAGTGGGCCAAGACGGTGAAAGAACAACAGCCCGAGTTTTTCAAGAATATTAACCTGAAGCAAGAACCCAAGATCCTGTGGATCGGTTGCTCCGACTCACGTGTGCCCGCTGAACAGATCCTGCAACTTGGCCCGGGTGAAATCTTTGTTCATCGTAACATTGCCAACGTGGTCCCCAACGCCGATATCAACTCCTTGTCGGTGGTTCAGTATGCTGTGGAGGTGCTCAAGGTCCAACACATCATTGTGTGTGGCCATTATAACTGTGGTGGTGTCGCTGCTGCTTCGGGCCACGGTCAGTTTGGTTTGATCGATAACTGGCTTCGTAACATCAAGGATGTCTACCGCTGTAAGCTTCTTTTATATATATATATAGATAGGGCAAAAAAAAGCATCTGTTCTTTCACTCACATACATTGACGTGTCTATCTAGTGCACAGCAAAGAGCTGGAGGAAATCAAGGACGACACTGCACGTTTCCGCAAGTTGGTGGAATTGAACGCAATCAACTCGGCCGAAAACTTGTGTCATACCTCGATTGTGCAAAATGCATGGAAGAACGGTCAAAAGCTTACCGTCCATGCCTGGACTTATGATCTTGCTGATGGGTTAGTTATTTTATGAAATTTTCTATTGCGTCATCGTGGTTTGGCGTGGGGTTCGTGAAAAAGGGAAAAAGACGACGTCAATTAACACGCATACTCTCTTTAAAAATAGTCATGCCCGACGATTGAGTTATCGCGCAAAGGACAACTCTTGCATGGAATACATCTATAATGTTTCCGAGTAAGAACGAATTGTTAACTTGAAGGGTAGTGCCAGAGGAGGGTTTATGAAGGAATAATAAATGAGATAAAGGGCTGTGCCTTTTAGCAAAATGCTTTTGTCATAGTAGTAGTAGTAGTAGTAGTAGTAGTAGTAAGCAGAACTGCTGAAACTTTTAATGGATGATTATGTTTGTTTGTTTGTGTGTGTCTTTGGAAGATGAAAATGCAATATTGGGGTTGGTTGGGTGGAGGAGGAGGTTATTTACAGATTATTAAAATGATAGCGATTATACACAACGTAGATCTTGATACTTTCTCGAAGAATGTGAGTAGCCTGATAGAGTGGAGGGAGCACTCCACCTTGCTGCTGTATCCAACCATCCAAAGCATCTTGCACCAATGCGTCAGGGACGAGCGCAAATCTTGCCACGTCGTGCGCACGATTCGGTTTCATTGTCGCCACTGTTGTTCCGCTACTATTACTACTACTACTACTACTACTACTACTTGGCCAATAAAAGGAAAAGCCATAGTCATGATGCCCGGTAATGACAATCTTGAGCACAGCCTTGGGTTTGCCGGTCATGACTTCCGTTGCGGTAAAGAGTCGTAAAGGCGTGATGTGGGCCCGTGACATGACCAGGTCGTTACTGAGTTGGTACGTCCGCGTCAGGAATCCCCGTAGCCCGTTAATTTTCTTATGAAAAAAAAAAAAAGGGTTGAGTCTATGTGTAGTTGCGGGGACGTTAATGCGCCAAAAATACCTTTTGAACATGAGTAATCGGTGGTAGCTCCTTCCGTGCAGGTGGTGGTGGGAGTGGTGGAAGCGGTGGTTCTTGTTGTCTTTTTCCTTCTTTGTTTTCGTAATCATGATGGAACCGGACTTGTTGTTTCATGCGCGGTGAAGCAGGCGGAGTAATAATAGGATCGTCATCATCCTCTTGTTCGTTGTCCTTCTTGGGTGTCGGTGGAGGGGTGGATGGTAGTCGAACGTCGAGTAGGAATGGTTTGGCTGGGGGCTGTGGGGGAGGGACAGAGGGAGGAGGAAAAGAAGGAGGTGGGTGTAGTTGTGATGGTTGTTGTTGTTGTTGTTGTTGTTGCTTTGGAAGAGAGTATTCTGTCGATATCCTATTAAGCTCTTTTTGGATAGATTGGGAACGTTCAAGTAGTCGATAATACCGGTCCAGCGGCTTTTTATTGTTTGTGTCATTTGTTGCTTCAGGTGGTGTGGTAGCTACCACCGCTGCTGCTGCTGCTGCTGCTGCTGTTGCTGTTGCTGTTGCTGTTGCTGCCCATTGACCCGTAGTTAGTGATTGAATGTCGTATAAGTAATGAATTGCACAGGGTGTGGGGATCCTCTTTTGTTCACTTACTATTGTCAGCAGTAGCATTAGATGACGATGACGACGATGACGATGATGATGATAAAGAAGATGGCGGTGGTCCAAGCCTCTGAAGTTCTTGAATACGAGACTGTAGTTTTTCGGCCATGGTAATAACTTTAGTGTACTGTTGTCGGTCATGTTCAGAGTCAAGTTGAGAAGCAAGTTTCGCCAAGTCTCGACGCTGCTCCATAGTCATACTGGCATGGCCCTTTTTTCTTCTTCCTTTTTGTTGGTTGGAAGGAAAAAAGTAGAGGTCTCTTTTTCTTGCTTGACAGGTGTTTGTCGATCGAGGACTTGTAACAACTGAAAGGAAGAAGAAGAAGAAGAAGAACAGGGAACTCTCGAGGATTCACTTAGTTAGTGTGAACCGGGGTGGGGGGGGGGAGAATGTTAATGTGTATATATATGTACTCTATGGGAAGCATATTTTCATTGTAAAAAGCGTATATATTGCAACGGCATGTAAAGGATGTAAGAAGAGCTCCTTAATTTCTTTTCTCTTGCACTATTTTATATGTGAGTACCCTTCCAAAAGTACACACACCATATTATACATGCTACTTTCCCCTCTCCCTCCCCCCTCCCGTGGGCAGGCACACACGCGCTTTTTCCAGTAGTATGTACATGCACTTGGGAGAGAGACTGAGAAAGACAGTCTCTTCTTATTTACATGCGTTGTCTTTCTTTGCCCATCAGCAGTAGGCTGTTGTGTGGCGATCTGGCCCTTGTTGTTTGTTTGTTTGTTTTGTCTTGTATGGTCACCAACGCGAGATATATAGCAAAAGTAATTTATTGGCATCTCTCTCTTTTATCCCGGGGGCTCGGGTTAAAGTCAATTGATTTGGCAAATTGGGGTGTCATGCTGCATTGTATTATGATTTTCCTATAATATATCGTGTAGTAGAGTGAGTCTTTTGTCTACTCAACAATTCAATATTTCATCGAACTGACTAACACTGAGAGCTATCAGTTTCATAATCTTTCAGGTTTTTCTTTTTGGAGAGAGATTCAGTTGATACCTTGGGCTAAATGGGAGGAAACAAAAAAACTTGTTCGCTATTGGTTACACGTCGTTTTATAGAGAGTACTGATTCATGACGATGAACGGCGTTTTTCCCTGTGTTGGCTTCAATTTGGGAGAAAAAAACGTGTGTGTGTGCGCCTGTGTTGTATATGTGGGTAATAGGCTCCCACTTGAAGAAGAAGAAAAAGCTTCTTGGTAAGTAGAAAGAAGCACGACGATTCATGTGAAAGGGTGGGGGGACCTCTCTACTACTACTTTTTACTTGATATGTTTTCTCAAAAGGAGCATTGTCAAACGACCTCGGATAAGTCTTCCGATGTTTCCGATGACACGATCGTGGTGTGTACAACGTGTGTGTGTTGTGTTGTTGTGTCTCGTTTGAACAACATGGTACAAGTGGTGTGATGATGATGCCGCTATAATTAGTCGAGATCCTAATATTCAACGTGCTTGCATATATTACACACACACTCTCTCTCTCTCTCTCTCTCGTGGTTTGTTATTGTTGTTGTTTTCCATCGCCAAGCCAGGCCAAGCCAAGAACCCCAGTTAGGTAGTTAAGCAAGCAAAATAGACGCAGGGCAAAAAAGGGGAGGGAGGGGACTCGATAATAAATCGAAATATATAAATAAATTAATGGAAGTTTTTGTGATGTCATGTTGGTGCTGCTGCTGCTGTTGTGCTTCGGAAGGTTCAACGATGAAAAAGGAAATAATTTTGGGCTCTGAACGATAAGGATGATGATGATGGGATGTAAATAATTTCAATTTGAGCTGCTGTGGTCCGTGCATTTTCCTATTGTTTAGAAACTCTTCTTCATTGTTGATTGGTGTTACAATCATAAAAAAAAGCCCTTGATTGACGATTGTATGGCAAAAAGCATTATCGTGCTGTAACATATACATATACACATGATCATGATTAGTTTTGCTTTAAAAAAGTGAATTACGGGACAATTAGAAATAAGAGAACATCATTTTATTTTCAAACTACAACATTTATATACGTATCGAAGGGTTTAAAATGATAATGATAATAAAAATAGAGAGAGAGTAGCAGTTTCGTCGTTGCTTGGAGAGAGAGAGAGAGAAAGAGAAAAGAAAAAAGTTGACGCGGGAGAGAGAGAGAGAGAGAGAGAGAGAGAGAGAGATGTGTTAAGAAAAAAAAACATTATTTTTGTTGATTGTGAAAAATGAGAATAATGATTTTTGATAATCAAAGAGGTGATGATGATAATAATGCGCTTGTTTGCTGGAGTAAGTAAGAGAGAGTGTGGTGTGAATGTAGTAGTAGTAGTATGAGAGACAAATAACATATAATATATATAATAAACATAAGAGAAAGAGCCACCATTAAAAAAATTAAAAAAAAAGGGTCATAGGGAAAAAAGTATAAAGTAATAAATGAGGAACGGGGATGAGGAGGAGTTAGGAAACTCTGCGCAGAGTTATGTAGTAGTCATAATGAGGGATGTTTTGAAGAAAAAAAAGTAGAAAAGGTGAGTTTTGTTGTGTTGTGGATGCAGAAAACAAAAGAAGAAGCAGAAGAATAGACATAGAACGAGAGTAGTAGGGGTATATATAAGAAAAAAAGGAAGAGATGTGTTTAAATTGGGCGAGATCGTTAAGAAATGATATCAAAGAAGGAGGAAGTTCGGCGCGTACACGAATAAGAAGAAGGACTAGTGGTTGTCGAAGTAGGTGTTTGTGGAGAAATAGGTGCTGCAACGAATGCAGATGGATGATGATGATGATGATAGTAGGGATGATACGGGTAGTGCTGATAGTGCTGTTGCTGTTGTTGTTGCTGCTGTGGTTGACAAGTAGTTGTCGTTGGGAGCAATGGGGGCAATTGGATCAAAGTAGGTGGTGGAGTCATGAGCGGAGGCAAGGAACGCCATTCCGACTGCGTGGGCGAAGCAAGCGACGGAACAGGCGATGTTGCAGACGAAGACGCAACATCACTCACTACGCTACTATTGCTGCTGCTGCTGCTGCTACTGCTGCTACCACGTCGATTACTCCAAGTAGGTGATGATGGCACCTCAAACGGCTTCCATTGCAACGTTGTGCGTTTGACTGTAGTGCCATGTGCCATCTTTTGATGCTTTGTCAAGACCGTCTTGCGAGCAAAGCTCTTGTTGCAACCTTCGTGTCGACATTTGTACGGTCGTCGGCCAGTGTGAATTCGGCGATGACGTGCAAGCGAGCTGCTGTCGCTAAAGCTTTTTCCGCAATCCGCATATTCGCATACATGCGGTCGTTCGCCTGAGTGGGTTCGCATGTGCACTTTGAGTGCAGAGCGCTATTAGATCCCCCCCGAAAAGAGAAAAAAAAATTGCGAAAAATTAAAAAAAAGGGCGTTTTCTTTTTTCAGGGGACAGTAGAGATACATACCTGGATAAAGCTCTTCCCACATCCATTCTCGTCACACGCATATGGTCTGTAAAAGGAAAATTTACAAAAGTAAATGCATTGCTCGATAAAAAAGTGAGTGTGGAGACAAGAAAAAACTAACCTTTCATTCGTGTGAATTCGGAGATGGCGGGCAAGGTCCGAACGACGACCTATTGTTGTTTGTAAACCCCGTAAATTAGATACATCATTTCCACTCTTCACGCATTCAATGAAAAAAAGAACGTACCGAACGCCTTGTTGCAGTTGGCGACAGTGCAACGGTGCTGCTTGGCGGGGTTGTTTTGTGTTTCGACGTGGATCAATTCGAGAATATCCATTTTGCTACTATGGCAACAAACAGGTATTAGTTACGGTTGCCGAGGAAACGGTATATTTGGTAATTGAGTTGTCTCATGGTAATTGAGTTGTCATGGTGATCAGTTGTCAAGGATCATACCTACTATGTTATAGTTTGTTTGTTTTTTTTTAGTTTGTTGATTGTTGTTGTTGCTGTATTTGGTTTTTTTTTTTTGGGTTTTGGTTGTTGTTGTTGTTGAACAATAGGCGGAGTTTTGCTTTCTGATGGTACAAAGAAGAAATGGTTCGAATAACTTGTACAAGGTGTAGAGAAAAAGAAGAAGAAAAAAAAGGGAAAAACAAAAAATTACAAGAATATAAGGGCTTCGAGAAAGAAAAAAAAGGTTCTCTTTTACGCGAAGAAGACGCGCTTGGGGATTTATTCTTTTTTCAGCACAACTGAACAAAGAAGGGGGAGAGCGAGCGAGAGAGAGAGAGAGGAAAAAAAAAAAGATGAACGATCCCGTTCATGAGCTTATTTATAATGGCTTGTTGAAATTCAAAAGGTTTTTTTCTTTTGGAGAGAAGAAAAGAAGGGGTGGGGATTGGGGGGATGTGTGTGTAAGTGTGGAGTTTATTCGGGGGGGGTTGAAAGAAGAGAAAGAGAATAAAGGGGATGATGGAAAGGGAAGACGAGGATGTCATTGTCGACACCCTACAACAACAACGTGAGGTGAATGACACTCTTATTTTCCTAAAGGGAGGGGGTGGGGAGGAGAGAAAAAAAAAGTGTGTGTGTGTGGGGGGGAGAGAGAGGATGAAAAGTGTGTATGAAGGGGAGGAGGAGGAGGAGGGGGGAGGTTGAGAGTAAGAGTGTGAGAGAGGGAGTTATTAAAAAAAAAAAGAGTGGGGGAGTTGGTTTGGTTTGAAGAGTAAAGCGCGATCGAAACGATGCATTATGGATCGTAGGATGATCGTGGCTAATACATATTATGTCTCCAATATGCAGCCCATATGTGAGTTGGGTGTAATAATAAGCAGCTGCTGCTGCTGCTATATGTGCGTGCAAATCATTTTATTATGCGGTTGGTGAAAAACTCCCATAATAATAACGATAAGACACACACACACACACTGCTGTTTATTTGCCTTGACATGCAAGAGACCGGCATACGAAAAAGAAAAAATACAGTTGCCTTATTCTACCTCGCTCTCCGACTATCAATTACGTATGTGGTCCAGCTTGTGCGTAGACCCTTCTTTTCCTTTTACGTACATTGCACCTTTGACAGCTCCAAACGCCCAATAATGATGCGTGGTTAAGAGAGAGAGAGAGAGAGACGCGGACGGGATCAAAAAAAAAAAAAAGGGGGGGGATTACGTAGTATAAGTTAATAGAGCAGTTGCTTGGTTAACTTTGACACAGTCCGTTTATACTTACTTCGTTTCTCTCCTCTCTCTCTCTCTCTCTCTCTCTCTCCTCTCCGTTCATAATCTTTTCGTGTGTTTGGGATTCAGCTCCCTTGTATAACATCATCCCATCTCTCTCTCTCTCTCGGTCTCTCTTTTTAAGCTGCATGCGCTTGCGCACAAACAATAGTGGAATTGAAGGAAAATTGGGGTTCCGGGGAGGTGGGGGGGGGTTATCATCATCGTCATCCGCTTCTTCTACACATACTACTACTTCTACATGCCCTGTCATCTACTCAGACATGACACATCTACATTCTGAATGTATGTGTGTGCATTACACATGTTCTCGGATGCTTTTGCTGGCTTTTTAATAACTACGTGATACATGACGATGCCGCCGATAATGATTATAATAATAATGATGCTGGCTATTATTTATTGCGTACGCCATACATGATGCCAAATAAGGGAGAGTGCACGAACCACATTTTTATTTACGTGTCTCTCGCTATGATGCTTTCTCTTGATTTGGTCATCATTGCACTTGGTTGGTGCTTTGATGATGCGTTTCTGTTTGTAGGCGTGGTGTGCTTTTTTGAAGCAGGTTCCTTTCAGAATCAACTGCATCTATAAAGGTGACCTCTTTTATCCGTTTTTATGGTTGGTGGTGCTGTATCTATGTGTATATAGCTTCCGTGCGTACATGTGTACATATATACATAGCTGGCCCAATGAAAAGTCTTGCATATGTATCAAATTACGCTGTATATCATAGCTGCTGTTGACCATTACTCACCTTTCGCTCAGAAACAATCCCGCTTCCCAAATTACGATTACTTATTGCTATCCCCCCCTTCTGAGAGTACGTAACCGTTCTATAACATACGAACCCATCCCCCCTAGTTGTTCCTCCTCCTCTTCCCCCAAACCTCCGACACCACCCTTCAACTCCTATTGTGCAGAAAACAGTCTCCAATGTGATTAACATGATTCAAACTCACTTTTTGCGTATATGTAATTGTCTATCTCTTTTATTTATTTTTTCTGGGTGATGATTCTAGACTGCAAAGTTTCAAAAAGAAAAAAAGTGACCCCATCCGAACTGTGAATTGATGTTTCGCTTCCCCGGCTAGTTGTGTGCTACGCTAAATAGCCTGCCAAAGTATAATGTATAAGCTTGTGTTCTCCTGGCATACATTTCATAGACTACATAATAATGTTTATACACTATGCAGCCTACTACTACTACTACTACTACACCACACACGCGCACACGCACACGTAAAACCGGGATCGGCCGACACACCAAAGAAGGCTCGTACAGTTGCCATTTTCGTCCACGTCGTTCAAGGGGTGTGCGGTGTGGTGTTTGTGGAGGAGTTTCTATGATTTCAAGGAGAGGCAGAGAGAGATGGATGAACTGTATAGACCGCCCACTCAAACCACATCATAAACAGACATACATACACACACACACACACACACACACATTGCACATCACATACACGCAAAAATCAAGATATAAAAGTAAATTAAGCAATCAACAACTGACGCTGCGTATTTGTGTACATTGTTTGACACTCCCAACAAATAAGCAATGAACTCTCATGTCTTGTTTGTATTAACTTGCGTCTTTCCTCTTTATTGTTATGTTTTCTGGTCTCTAAAATAATAATAGTAATCGTGATCACAGATCTAAAATACTGCACCCATGCCGAAAGCTTGCTTGATCGACCGCCAGTAATAGCCTGTCCAGTTCCGCTGCGTCAGTTCCTCCTCGCCGATCGGCACACCGGTTTGCTTCACATGCAACTGAACGCAATCGCTTTTTTGATCCAGCGTCATGGTTACCGTTGAATAGTGACCTAGAAAGAGGGGGGAAAGAAAGGAATTTGACATTTAACATACAAAATTATAAGTAGTAGCAGGGGCAAAGAAGCGTATATACATATATTCGATATGCGTCCAAGAACGCATCATGTACTACTACTACTACTACTACAGCTTTTAACCCCACTCGATGCACCAACAAACAACATCGCTTACCTTCGGGCCATGATTGCAACCGCCAAGATTGTACAATCTTTTTATCCGGTTCCTAATAATCATAATAATAATGCATCCCGCAAACAAACCATCAATATTCCCAATGTTTGAGGGGCGGGGGCCCACCTATTCTTTCTTTTCTTTTCCCAAACTTTACGCTCATCCATTATAGAGTATATATTTTTCCTATACCGTTCCTACATAGATGTCTCTCTCTCTCTCTCTCTCTCTCTCTCTACCTTATTTGCCACTCGCTTCACCAAATACCATCACAAAAACCCAATTCACTTACCGTCTCCAGGAGCTCACCCCTCACATTGCCGTTAAACAATTCAAACTTGCTTCCCTTCTCCTTGGAGATCTTGGCAGGACCGCGTGTCCAGATCGAGACTCGCGGTGTGTCGAGCAATGTTTCGTAAAGTTCATGTGCAGAAGTTTGAAATTCAACGACCTCTTCAAGTGTTGTCGTGTTGACTTTGGTGGATGACGAACCCTTTGCGCTAGCACCGCCTGTTGCTGCTGCTGTTGCTGGCTTTTGACTACTGCTACTGTTGTTGATCGATGTACGGGTCTTGGTGACAGTTTCAGATGCATTATTAGCTGCTGCTGCTGCTGCTGCTGCACCCAATTGATCCTTTTCGATATGAACATCTGAGCCATGCTCTAAAAAAATAAAATATTTTTGCCAATTAATTATTTAAAGTAAAAATTATTTCGATCGATCAGCTCACACTATAGAAAACTTGGATCTACACACACGCCCTTTCCCTCCCCTCCCCTCCCCCGAAATCCCAAAAACCAGATTTATTTACTTTTGATGAGATCCCCAGAGAATGCCTCGAATTTCTTAACAAGTGATGGCGTCAATGCTTTTCTGATCACTTCGCGGAGAGGCTGCTTGTCATTGTTATCGTCGTCGACAGAAATTTCAAACTAAATAGAGAGATAGAGTATTATTTCCCTGCTCTCATCCCCCATTCATCTTTATAGAGACACGTTCACACATTAAAGTAAAGCTCATAGACACACACACACACATGCACACGCACAGTACCGCATATCCACGAACTCCAAGCTTGTGTATGTATGTGTATGGTGGTCTCCTTAAAGAGAAAAAAAGTAAAAAGAGAAGACTGCATGATATACGAACCACATATTCATCTGCCTCGGTGTCGTGGGCGACCTCGGGAACCAAGACTTTGCCAGTGGCATCTGTCCCGTCTGCCGTTGTCCCTGCATACAGAAAGGTTCGATTGAGTTGAGTGTGTGTGTCTATGAGTTAAGGAGAACCGCACATTCTTTTTCTTCTACATAGCTACTACTGCTACCACATCGATCACCCAATGCTCCCCTCTCTTTCTCTCCCCTTTTCTCTGTCTCTCTCTCTCTCCTCCTCTCCCCTCCCCCAACCAAACCCCCACTCTTGTTTTTCTTACCTTCCCAGCTAAGCTTCAATTGGACGTCATAGATAGTGATAATCTTGCCCTTACGGTTCGAAAGCTCTACGTCACCAGTACACTCGTCCACCTTGGTGACCTTGACTTTACTTTCATTCTTCTCTGCCTCCAAGCCAACGAGTTGTTCTTCAAAGTACTTTTGAGTCCAGTTGAGACAATTCTTGCTGACCCTATTTTATTATGTTGCAAATCACCAGAACGATTAGAATTGTTTGGTCCATTTGGTTCATGGACGCTCAATCGTTTGAATGTTTTTATTAATAAACTAACCAATGCCTAACATTAAAACATTGAACACACAAAAAAAGACACAAAGACGGATCAGTGAAAATTAAAGTTGAAGCATGCGCGTACGGTCAAACTTAACAAAGGTGATTAAGCCCCATGAACGAACCAGTTGTTGACGTTTTTCCAGTTGGACATTACGAAATGGACGCGTTTCTTCGTGTGGAGATATAAAAGAAAAAGGCAAAAGTGTAAGAATAAAGAAGTTGCTTTACATATACGTTCTCACACACACACACACACACTCTCTCTCTCCGCCATTAGGTCTTAGCGCCGTGACTTGAATACTATAGGCGCGGAAGATTCTAGCGTTTTCTGTCAAAGTAGCAACAGGTAAAAGTATATGCTATTGCCAACTAGCCACAATCTAGTGTTTTCTTATTAGTATTGCTTTGCTCGTCAACTCCCTCTGTGTCTCTGCCTCCAACACTCAAGGGAGGAGCATTGGACAGATACGGTAGGTATCTCATATCAAACTATCAAAAGTGTTTATCCATCTATTTCTTGACAGCGTAGTTGTCGCCGCAACCACGACTATGAGCATTTTTTTCATGCTGCTTAAACTAAGAAGCGTCTCTTTGTTTAAAATCGATTGCTTGGAAGGGTGGTGAGGGTGGGGGGGAGGATGAAGATGATAAGACAAAAAGATAATACTGTACCAGGTGATGTGGTCCCTTCTCCGTTCTCCATGTCTGTCACAATCCTTCCCCTCCCCCACCCTTCCATCCACACCCGTTCACCCCACCAATTTGTACACTTTTAGGAAGTGAGGCTTGACCCTCCCTTCCTCCCCCACTGCATGGGATGAGTTGTGCTAAAGAATGAGCACTTTTAGTAAAGCATGCAACAGTAGTTATTAGTAGTTAGTAGCCAGTATATGTATATATACATCGTAGGAGTAGTGATCTGCATTACAGAAACACAAAAACAGAGAGGGACAAGTCGTGATAAGAGTATGATAGACGCTAAAGAATGGAACCTTTTGCGTCGTTGGGATTCACGTTGCATGATTGACACCAATTATTCTTTTTTGTGCCTATGTAACTCTCCCTTTGAGAGTAAATGGGCTTTCCGTAACGCATACTCTTGATGATAATGTATGCTGCTCCCCTTCTCTTAAAGTGTGTAATATGCAAGCATGTGGTTACAGGATCCAGCAAGAGATGGTAACATAGCATCTGAAATTAACATCTTTACCATCTTCGTGCATGGCATTTTAGATGTGCGAACTTGTATAAAGTAGTAATAGTAATAAGTACCCAACCATCTTCGCGTTTTTTAATATACATCACGCGTCATTCCCCCTCTCCCACAAGAAAAGTAAAAATGCGTTTTTTTCTTCTTCCTATATCCCTCGTGTGATAAGCATTATTAATCCCCTTTCTTGTCGCATGAGATTTGGTGTTGATTATGAGAGATATGTATGGGGGAGGGGGAGCTTTGTAAATGTACTCATGTAACCTGTACAGAGCATAAGTTTTACTATTGTTGCATGACACTCATGTAAATGCCTGCATATAATAATAGCAAGTAATGTATGCATGTCTCTTTTCATTGGCTTATTGGCGATCGAATGCAGCAGCGACCAGTTTTTATATCCATTCGACAATGTTGATTATCGTCTGTCTCAATTTATGAGATGCTTGGGGGGGGGGTAAAGGAAAATATTAAAACGCTCCTACCTCCTCCCGCACCCCACCCCCGCACGGTTATTACTGTTCACCTATTACTGATTTGTACCACATTCACGGCTGTCATGCCGATCCTCCTCCGTTCCCCCGGTTTCTTCCCTCGTTTATTTACACGCGCAGCAGTACACATCATACTGATGACCCCTTTCAATATCCCATGAAAAGAGGCCGGGGGGAGGAAGAAGAGGCAGTCTTTCCCCATTCACACACACACATCATCATCATCATCATCCTTATTGTTGTTTTACCCGTTAAGCAAGAGCCCAGCGGGGCGAGCGGTGATCCTCAAGACCCTTTCTCTCTCATTGTAATTCATTTCAGTTTGCCGGTGTGTGTGTGAGGCTGAATTGCTTCCCGTGGTGCCAGTATGTACTAAACGATTGAAGATAGCTAGCCATTCTCCCGGTGAGGGTGAAACAATCCCCTCCCTTTCTTCTCAGTTTCTCTTCTCCTCTTCCTCCTCACAGTCCTCCTGCCTTGATACTATCCCTTTCAATAAAAGATGCGAGTCGCAGCCTTCGCTTACCGATGAAGGCTTTTTTCTCAGAGGAATAAAGAAACTCAGGAGTATCGATACATCATTTACTGTATGCATCTTGAAGATCTATCACAGCTTTTTCCTTAAGGGAAAAAATGTCGTTGTGCAAACTGAAAAAAAAAAGAACAGATGCTTGACACTCGTATTAGGCACCCCGAGACAAACTGCACTTGCCTTTTTTTTTTTTTTTGAAGAAAAAAAAAGACGATCGATCGTGCTAAAAGAGCGATTGTCAAGAGTTTTTTCTTAATTGACAGATTACCGGCTGTTGTCATGACCTATTCTCTCTCTTTCTGTGTGCGTGTGGTGTGGCTTGCATGTAAATACACGATTACTTGTTAAATCTGTCTATTCCTTTACTTCTCGCTAATTTCAACTTTAGCATATGTTGAGTAACCCTTAAGCCCTCCCCCCCTTTTTTATAAGGCATCATCCAGACTGTGATATCTAGATAAACAACGTCAAATCTACTGTTGCTCTCTGTAGGATAGGTTGAACAAGCAAGTTTAGTTAGAAAAAGGTGCCTAATAATGCACGTCAATGTGCGGTTGATTGGGTATAATATATAAGTCATACGAATACTATAACCTCAACGAGAAAAAAGAAGCAGTAGTTAGCTACAAACGAAATGAGAAGCAGTACCGTTGTTCTTTTAACTAGCAAAGTGTGTGAGCTGACACTTTCGACAAACATGGCTTTTAACGCGTACATATTAGTCGCAACAAATATACATAGTAATCTCGCTTACATAAAAATAAACAGTGTATGCGTACCGATACGGATATCCAGTTACGAACGAAACAAGAACTTTTTCTATACTTTGGTCCACTATAGAGTGAGCGCTTGATTAGGTCCCATCTAGTTACGCATGGGAAAGCGAGAAAACGGGTCTGATAGGATGACAACCAAGATCTACTACATGTAACTGTGCCGCGGGCCTTGGTATATATTCCGCGGGAGTTGCTCATACTATCACACGATCCACAAGTCCTCATGAACAAGTGCTACTGCCGATGCTGCTGTTGTTCAGCTCATTAGATAGTTTTTCCGAGGATGATTTAAGAGAAAAAATGCCCAACAGGTTTACATCCTGATCGCCGGTCACATCTTTTGCCCATGTAAAAGTCATTCATAACCATAAAAGATGAATTGTATGATGAGTCACCCGGTTCTTCGAGTCACCCATCGTTATGGGGAGGGTTGAATGTAGTCATCATCATCGTTAAGCATATAAATACATCTATTTAGTAGTTCTTGAAAAGAAAAAAGCAAACTATTTGTTTCTCTTTCTTTCTTTTACATTAATCGATGACCGATAGTGCTACTTCCAATAGCAACAAGAACAGCAGCAACTTTATTTCTAGCATTCATGCGCCAACAACAAGCAAAACAATAACATCCAACTACCAACAGCAACAGCAACAGCAACAGCAAAAACTACTTTTACATGCACCCGACAAAGAGTTTATGATGTTGGTTGACGAATATACGACTGAAGACTTAAAGCGACGTCGCGCAGCAGCAGTAGCAAGGCAACGGTCGTCATCGTCGCCGTCTAGACATTACGAGAATATGGAGAGAAACCGTACTGTGCCATTAGATATACCTACGTCGTCACCATCCAATGCTCAGGTTACACCACAGCCTGCTCCGGTGCTTTTATTACTACCTGCCACATGTCCTGTCAATAGCAGCACAAGAATAAAACTACCACCACGGAGCAATGATTTTACCGTCGGAAGCATGCCAATAGAGGAGTCTCCGATCCCGTGGCCTACCCAAATGCTTGATCACGTTAGAACGCCCGATAGTAGTAGTAGTAGTATGGTACATCTGTCAGAATACATCCAAACACCTTTTGCCAATGATGATCTTGTAGATGAGCAACTATTATTTAAAATGGATGATTAAAAAAGAAAGGGCATCATAAAAGAGTGGCTATCCATTTCTTCCCCTGCCCATACACTGGTAATTGTCCAATAGCCAGGATTAGCACCATGGCTGTTAAAAGTAATTGTATGGTATTAAGCGCAAAGAGCCACCAAACAGTGAAACAGTGCTGTTGGTGCTTAGTAGAAGAACAACCGGTCCACCAGCCAGCAAACACACGTGAGGGAATTCACAAAAAGGCAAAGGACCATGAATTCTTCACAATATATGTGAAATATAAGCTGATGTATCTGATAATGTGCATAGCTCTGCTAGCTCTAGTGCCGTCTACTATCGTACTGTTGTCACATTTTAACGGTTAGCCTATGATTTGTCTCTTTGAAAAGGATTTGTATGTAAAACGCACCAGCTATTGCCAGTCAATAAACAAAAGTCCCAATGACTAAACTTGGGCTATTAGCAAACAAAGAATAAATGATATGTGCGTCCAAATAGACAATGCCAAATTATTTCTTCTCTACTTCTAGAAAACACGAACGGTCGATTTGCTTATTTCTTCTTGCGACTACCCTTGCCACCTTTCTTCTTCTTTCCACTTTTAGGGGATTCTGACTTGTCTACTTCGACATAGTCATCCTCCTCTTCGTCATCACCGTCTGCTTTATGCTCCTCTGTAGCAACCTGTGACACTCCTTCATCAGCTTCTTTCTTGGTTTCCTTTTCAACGGCTTTTTCTTCCGCCTTGCTTTCCTTTTCGACGGCTTTTTCTTCCGCCTTGCTTTCCTTTTCTTTGTCCTTCTTGGTCTTCTTGTTCTTCTTTTTGCCATTCTCTTCTTTCTTCTCTTCTTTCTTCTCTTCTTCGCTTTCCTCTTCGGTGGTATATGCAAACAGTTCCTTGAGCTCACCACGGGCGGCTGCAGTGATCAGGACGGACAAGATACAAGCAGGAGAAAGATACAACAGTGCAGGTTGAGCGGCGTGGAATACGTGCATGACCACCATAGTGGTGGCCAATCCGAGAATATAAGCAAAACTACAAGCGGTAAAGTATGGCTTGCTGAACAAGGTGGAACGGAATTCACCCTTCGGTTCGCGCTCCCACGACATGTGGCGATCGAATCGCAAGCATAAAGCGACAAAAATACCTAATACATAGCGTAGATATCTGCGGGTTAGACACACACCATCAGACCATTCCATCTTTTAACTTCCCTGCATACACATACACTTGGTAAGCGACACAGAGTCTCCAGCCGCTTATATCTTCTTAGCACCCTCTCTCCCTCCTCCCCCACCACCGTTTCCTTGCTTTCAATACGTACCAGGAATAACAATGTCACCCAGACCAAGCATCGCAAAACCAAATCCAGACTTATCAGCACTCAAGAGATAGCCAATAATATCGCGGGGCCAGATCACTTTGATGGGTGCGTCAAAGTTCTTGGCGACGCTAACCATGACCTCGGTGCCAAAGACCCAGAAAATATCGTAAAAGAACAATCCGCTCAAAAGAATCATGCCGGTCTTGAACGAGTCGAGAGACAACAGTTGAATGGCGTTGATAGAGAAGGACAAGCCAAATACATTGGATGCGATCCAGTTTTTGGTCATGCCGTAATATACGGTCAACAAAATAGATGCGCCCAAAAGAATAAAGTGGATCACGGTAAAGCTGACGTGTGATAAACCTATTCAACGGATTAACAAGAACAATATATGAGGTCGGGTCAGATGTATCAATAACAACAAGAAAAGTATATGTAACCAGCAACAGCATCCTCCCCCAAGAGGGTTTTTCAACCTCACTCCTCTCCTCCACTCACTCAAGAGAGTTGATAACTTACGCTTTCCTTCCCGACTCAACGTTACTCGATATTTACTGACCCACGACTTGAGCATCTTGACTGGGATCACCTTTTTGGTTACCATCAGACCGGTCTTTGCCACTGCGGCGCAGCCCATGAGTGAAAAGTAGCCGGTGATTAGGTAGTTCAAGACCTGGGGATCAAGGTACCTGAACAGCATGTAGAGGGAAAACAAGACGATCGAGCCCATGACAGGGAACATCCACGCGTCGCTAGACGATAAGCTTTCAGTAATGCTTTCGTCTTCATCTTCAGAATCTTCGAGTGGCGAATCCGTCTTTTTGCGTTTCGATGCGTTGGCCGGTCGTTTCATCCCGCTCAGTGAAGCGATTGATCCGCTATAGATTGGCACAAAGGCCATGGTCATGAGTGCGCCATAGGCAAGATAAAGCCCAATCTCTTTTTGTTGCTGTAGTTGTTGTCCTTCTTCGCTGCTGTCCATTGTGTCTCAGGGATGGAAAGAGAGAGAGGAAGAAAAAATAATGGGTTTGGTGGGGCAGAATGGATTGCGCGGAAGAGCAGGGCGTTGGAAATAAAAAAAGGTTGACGACGCCGTTGGATTAATAAAGCATCTTCCCTCCCCCCTCCCCCTTAATGCTGCATTTAGAACCTACAGCCACGGTATGTGATTGGCCCACGTGTTTGGGCATCTTTTAAGTTGCTTTGAGTTTCTTTTTCTTCTGGTATAGTATAGCCTTACAGATAAACCACTCTCTTTGTCGTGTTCACACCCCTTTTTTCTCTACCAGCTATCACTATCAAAGTAAAGTAGTGATAGAACAAGAACTCGAATTTTGCTTTTGTTTGACTCGCTGTTGTTACAGACGGGGGACATTGGTCGTGTAACCTTACAGCGCGTGAGTGTACGTCCGTGTGAAATTGACAGCTGTGGTTCGTTGTTGTCGCACTGCATGATTTTTGGTCTGCAATTGACAACACCATTGATCTTGCCATCTTGATTATTAGCTTATTTCTCTTATTAACTATTTCAATCTTGGTTGTTGTCATTGTTACGTAGTTCTGGTGTTTTTCTTTACCATAGAATAAGTTAGTGGTAATCGAGATGATACAGTCAGAATTTATTATATAGAAAAGATATCGTTGAAGCTTTTTCTCTGTGCAGTTCGCACTCCTGTTTGAGACTATGCGAGAGTTTCAGTAGCAGTTCACATCTCTTCACTGCCACCCATAACTATAATGGCAGCAAGGATAGTAAATACGGGTGGGTACCGTGTTGGATTAAGAAACTTAATAGGTCCGTCGTGGTCTTTGTAATAAGACTAGCAACATCCAACGCAGGTGTAAGTATGATCCAGCTGCACAAATCATTTATACTGGTACCACGGCATGTGAGCGTAAAGACAAAATACTTTATATTGAGTAAAAACTTCAATCGTCAACATTATAAGAAGGTGGCCTGTTCGATCTCGTCGTACAATAGCAAAACGGAACGTACTACTAATTACCAGACGTCATCGTTTCCATTATTGAATAACAGCACAAAGAAAACACTGCATATGTGATCACTTTGCTTTTCAACCATAAGACAAAGGTATCCCTTTTCAACATTTTTCCATCTAGTATAGGAATGGTGCCCCTTATCCTCTACTACCCATTAATAAGAAAAATATGCCTATATTTAAGTTTTTGCTTTCCTCATATAAGTACGGCACAGTTCTAAATTGTATTTAACTGTGTATCATGGTACATTTTACTTTGGCTTTTTATTGAACAGACTGAATATAAACCAGAGAAAAGTATATCTTATTTGAACGTACGAACCGGCAGATTATAGGTGGATCGGGTAAAATTTCAGTCCGCATCTAACTCAAAGGTAGACCCTTAGTCTATATTTCTGTTCACGATTAATCAGATACTCGGACAGCATATAGTGTAATGTACCTTTATGTGTGCTCCAAATTTGATCTTACCAGTATAAGAGTAGTATCATCGTAGTCTCATAGTTGTGTCGGTGCCATGGCACAGACTTTGTGTACAGCTGCAGAACACTCTGCCAAATCTCATGATATGTTTGTTGATTTGGAGCCTTTTTTAAATGCACCTTAGCTTTTACAAAAATAGCCGCCAAGACACTATAATGAACCGTCTGTGATTTATGGAATAAGTAATTTATGTTAAATACAGCCCATTCACAATGCTTCTGTGCACTCAATTGACCGTATATTAGTGTTCGCACCGGCATCATATTCTACCAATGCGGAACACTATGTCTCACATATCATCTTTGATTGCTTTCCGTGTTAATCATTCCTTCCGTTGATCCTTTCCATTCAGTTTTTTCTGTCTCTCTGTTTTTACCCTTTTACATAGCAAACAGTAAACTGTGCCTGTACTGCGTGACATTGCACATTAATGACTAGTCAAGGACGACACTAAAAAAAATATTGCCTTTAAAGAACCACACTCAATTGTAAAACGCTGAGAAAAAACCGTCTAGTTACCTGAACAAGCTGCTTAATGTGATTGGCAAGCGAAAGTCTCCCATAGCAGCTGCTTACTGCTGAACGTTGTAAGCTATTGTCAAAGGTGAAATGAGATAAACGACCTTACAGTAAAAACATAATCACGGTTCGCAGAGGCCTAGACTAAGGACATAGGCTTGAAAACTGTCACTACAGTAATTATTAAAAGTAGAATTCCGCCATCATTCGCACAAGTTATCAAGCTTTTATAATTAAATAAAAGGTGGCATTTCACTAGGCGAAATGGTCGCTCTATTCCGAAGGAACCGTCGACACTTTGTCGCAATGGTGTAAACATTGATCTACGAGTTCTAACATAACCATTCAAAGATATTTACAATGCTGAGACTCGTTGCCAAAACATTAAACTTATCTGGCTTGATACCGCAGGCTCTGTCGAATGAAGCGCCTCCTCCAGAGCTGCGCAAAACAAGCATTGCTATGCCACACGGACTCCCTCGATTTTGCTGTCAAATAAAGGAAAAGAAAAATCGATCACTGGATGCCCAAGATGTCGTACAAGGTATACGCGACACTCCTATGAACAAGCTGGTCCACACAATTCCCTCGTATGACTTGGGCTCAGTCAAATATGTCTAAAATGAATGCCGTCCTCCACTGACATCCGTTTTGCATTGTACTGCGCTGACGTGAAGATCTTACTATTACAAGCTAGGGCGTACTGGAAACTCCTTCTGTCAAAGACCACCTTTTGATTACAGCCAAGATTTTAGATTAAATGGCTAGATACTTTTTTTGCTGCGAGTAATATAAATCATTGAACCAGGTATTAGAAAAAGAGAAGAGTTGTAACTAACAAAAGAAAAAACTGCTTTTATTCTTGAAAAATACGGGCTTGGAATTATATGTTCTAAGGACTGAGCCTCTCAAATTCAACGCAAAAGTTTATGTGGTGTTTTGTGTCAGAAATATTCAATTGAGTGGCTCATCGTCGTCGATCCTTGCCTGCTACTACTATACCTCAAAAATCATGGTAATGGTAGCTCCTCGTCGTTTCGCGTCAGCGAATAACGGAGCCCGTTTCTTTTTGAACTTATGTATAGAAGTACAACTTGTTTTGGGCCGAGCAACAAAGAAGAACAAATAAGAATCACAGAAGAATAGTAGCGTGTAGCGCCCGTGCTACTTTTTAGTCTTTTTGTACCTCAAGAAGTTATCGTACCAACTTTAGTAGCTACCATGGCACCAATCCCGTCAACTCCTTGGCAACCGTATTGTAGCTATCCTTACTGTTCCTCTATTTTTATAATTGAAATTGTTATATTCAAGTTGTACTTTTTATTGGTTCTTGTGATATGATCAAAACGTATAAATACCAGAGGTCGACAATCGGAATAAAGCTCCTCTTTCTTATTACCCACTGGTTTTGCGATGCTTGCTACTAAAAGGATGTCATAACATAACGCTCAGTCATTTTAGTAACCGCATTCTTCTTTCATCTTGTGTTGCTGCGCATAACTGCTGTCTTGACGGAATACGCTGTATACTTTTTGCTAAGAATTCACAGTCTATTATATCTCTATTATATGGTCATATCGACCATCAACATTTTATCTGCAGTGATTTTATATATTTATTTTAGCTTCACAGAAAAATATAAAAAGGCGTCGTCTTTATTAAATGAGCTGTTATCTTAATAAATAACCTACTTTCTCTATGAGTACCTTTGCATTTGTACTTCTCAGTGGTTCCTATGTATAAAAAAATACGACAAGGATTCGACAAGAGCAAAATAGCTTTAAAAAAGCAAAAGCTTACACTCCTGTTACCAGGAGTAACTGTGATTTCTGGCGGACTCGAACCGCCGACCGTCTGTGTGTTAGACAGACGTGATAACCAACTACACCAAGAAATCAACTTGTTAATAGTGTTGTGGTAGAAAATTATGTTGCATTGGCCCCACAAGTGACGTCGAAAAGACGGAAATTCCGCCCTAGGAATCCGGGTCGCCCGGCAAAATAGTTCAGCCTGTTGGTTTTGCCGAGGATGGATGGGTTCACCGATCATCCCTTGTTTAATAAATGATCCCATCCACTCCCCATGCATCCCTGCTGCCATCATTCCCATTAATTTAATATATTACCCTTCAATATTTCCTTTGGCAGTGATGGTTTGCTTAACACTTCTTTTCTTGTTCATATTTATCTTTATTTGGCTTTATTTTGTTGTCTCTCCATACATACATTATCGCTGATTCTGTCTTGATTACATTAAGTAGTATTTTATTATTAGCGTTTTTCAGATATAAAAAGGCATTAATTGATGGCCTGGAATAAACAACAATTGAATACCAAGCCTTTCTATTATATACACTTACCTCTAAGCCTATTTATCTTTCTCTCTCTATTCCCGTCTTTTCTGTTATATCTCCCTGTATATTTTCAGTATCTACCGAAGAAACCTGGTCTAGCATAAAACGATAGCTTGCGGGCGAGGCGTCTTTCAAAATATTGTGAAGAACCTACAACAGATCTAACAATAGTTATGTTCTAGTAGCAGTCTATATACCATATATATAAGCAGCAGTGGCACATAGCACAGCAACAGTGGCAATAGTGTGGCAGTTCAGTGAGAAGAGTTGCTCTCACCACTAAAAGGTGTAAACCCTAGAGAAGCTAGGGTACGGTATCTTTTTTGGGTTATGCCACAATTTTTTTTATAAGTCTCTGAAGAAATCTTTATTATATAGTAATTTTTTTTCTATTATAAAATAAGAAAAGGTTTATTATAGAGATTTTTTGTGAAATTTCATTAAAGTACATTTTTTTGTATAGTTATTAGTACTCTATTATCTACTCTCAATGACTTTTATATATATCATCTGACTATAAAAAGAAAAATACATCTTAAAATAGTTATATAATGATATAGTAAATAGTAGTAAAGAAGGCTATTGAACTTACTCTGTATTATGTAGTATATTCCTCATCAATTGGTACAGTTAAACTATCCTTTTGCTTTACTTCAAGTACAAGGAGACCTCCTATGCTAAAACATCATTATTAGCTTTTTGGTGCCTTTTTCTCTTTGTATAGCTACTACCTAGGTGCTTAAACATTCATCATCACTAGAAGATAAAATTTCATAAAGACAAACAAAGGGTGTGTAAAAGCAGACAGGTAGGCCTCACTTGTTATTACCACCAATTAAATAACAATGTTCTTACTACTGTTTGAATCAAATCTAGTGCGTGATTTCTGCAGGCACTGTATCAGCTCTCAAATCTGTTGATGTTACTTCTTCAATGAACAGTTAACTTAATTACTTGTGGTATATAAGCTGATGCATACATATTAGAATCTAAAAAATTCAAGTAATAGGCAGTCGTAAACTGTAGAGGGAACATTGGAACGATGTGTCCTTCCTTCTGTTTACTGCTTTTACTTTTTTTTTGCTCTTTTATATCTAGTAATAACTAATAAGTATAATAAATGAGACTCTCTCTTCCATATTGTACAATTTGACTGTTCAAGATCTCATGAACATCTTGCCTCCTTTTACCGGTTCTCCAGCGATACTATGGTATAGATTGTGTTCTAACTATTGGTGTAATAAGGGCATGTGAGAGCTTGTCAGATAAAAGATTGCTGGATCATTTATTTAATGTATTGTGCATGATGCATGAGTTGCTAGAAAGACGGTTTAAGTGTGTCTTTGGCTCGCAGTTTTTAATGCAACTTAATCAGTATAGTTGATTATGCTACTTATAATGAGTCGACATAAACCCTTAGAGAAGAGCACCAAAAGCGAAAATCGCATAGGCCGTAGGCCCGTAGCAGTGTAATAGCCTAGAATACTGCACTGCTGACTTGTAAGATATGATGTAATTTTCCTTTTGGAGACGTGTCTGGCGGCGTTCCTTTTACAAACTGACAAATAAGGTATTACTTGTTGTTACCAATTGAATAGATGCCAGCGATACAATCGTTATCCTTGAGACCTTATAAAGGCTATAAGAGCAAACAGCTTCAATTCTGACATGAAAAACTCGATCACTTGCTCGAACTACTAAAGATCCGCATGAAAAATCAAGGAAACGAGACAAAAGTCAGGTAAGATCGGATTTTGATGGGTCAGCTCTATGAAAAAATTGAAGCAGAACCATCTCGTTTCTCTTTACGTATAACAGAGAACTGAGTAGTATAGATGGTCGATTGCACGCAGTGTCCAGTAGGACGATATGTTGTGCTGTCCAGACTTCGGATCATTTACCTGAGGAACCCTACTTTTCAATTGAGGGAGTGTGCTCATGATTTGTTGAATTATGTAACTCTTTTTCTTGTGAGGACGTCAGAGGGTGGCCGATCGCAGACTTGGGAGACTCCAGTACCTTGCTCATAAGGGGGCTATAGTGTAGTGCTTCCAGTTGGCAGCAGGGCAATGGCAGGGCACTCACACAGCGGGTACGAAGATATCTAGTGCATCCGCCATTCAATCAGTCGATGGCGATTACGAGTCGAGGCCGGCTGGCCGGCAAGTATTGGATTGGGTCAATTATTTATATATTCAGAAAGCATCAAATAAAGCTTCTTTGAGGCATAATTCGGCGTAATCGTCGTCTCATTGTTGCTCAGTAGCTTGTTTGACAGGATTATCGGGCAAAATGCTGCTAGCACATAGTTGTCGATAGAGTTGGAGCAATGGATTAAAAGTAGTTAACTTTCTCCATTATTAATTGTTGATGGTTTTCTTTGTAGCATGCCCAGCAAAAGAAATGTCAACTCTGTTATTTGCGCTGGTGTAAACACTAAGAAAGTTGTCGGGTGTCAAACTTAAGCTATAGAGTGCGAAGGCAAATATTCATTGACAAGAGATTGACTAAAACCATGAGGAGTAGCGTTGGGTATATCGTTGCTCCGTTGCAGTTGAGGGCCATTTTGGCGTAATCAATTTGAGCTTTTCTACAGTTACCCTTGATGTTTAGCTGTCAAAGTAGTAACTCCTAGGCGATTATCTTCTAGGACCGGTCGGATGAAGGTGCGATATGCTTAGAGGCCAATACCGGTTGAGGTGGGATACTTGATACTAGTGACTGTAGGAATCGGAGTATTGTAGAGTGTGATGGTGATGGTGCTATTACTGTTGGCTGTATAATTACTGCGCACTTTGGTTCGACTTCACCGATAGTCAAGGTTCGGAGTGTTGTTCAGAAAGTATGGGAAAGGCGCTCCATATAAAGTGAAATGTATCTATGATCAAAAATGGCTATACTTATCAGAAGGCGTAATGTCTTTTTGCAAAGCGGTATTTATCTGTTAGAGATTGTGTATGACATCGCTGCTGCATATATCTCATTTTGGTTATGATGATGCATGATATACACCAATGCAGAATTTATTAACTAACCGAATGATTCAGCCAGATTATATCCACCGTTTTATGTGTATCGCCGTCTTGTGCAGACTAGCATACTAGTAAGCAGTGCTGCAGATAGCTCTTCTAATATTCAGGGTGAAATGAAGCCCACTTTTCTGAGTAGTCTAAATGTCATGGGTATAATGAAAAGAAACCTACCACTATAATATGGCCATCATAAACTGACTCTTTGGTGTCATATCTACATACTACCAGTACTATCAACATTTGTATATTACCTGCTGGAAACAGACAGCACTTTATTTGTTTATACGTAAGCAGGGAAGACGGGCGATCGCTGCTACAAACATAACAGCTAGTGATTAATTGGTTTATTGAATAGGAATGGTGGTATGAAGCATCTATAGGCTGCTGCTATAAGTTTGCTCTTGCACATCAGGTATCATACGCAGTGATACGTTGGCATCACAATATCTGTCTTTTTCTTTTTGTTCTATAAAAATATACATACAGTAGAAGCAACACTTGAATTGTGGGGCCCATCAAGCTTAAATAATATGTTGCGAGGATACAAAACAGAAGCACCACGCTAATGCTACATTCTACACTTATGTACTAAGTAGCACGAGACGTTTACTTTAAGCGCTGGTGTATAATTTTCATCTTAAACAACAACATGTACGATCGCAAGGCGTGGTTGCTAATAGGTAACTAAAGCGTTAGTAGAATAGCAGTAAGGGTAGAAAATACATCTTACAACTTTTCCATCCTCTTTGTCTCCAACTTTGCCTGACTGAGTATGACATGCATGTGATATTATACTCTACACTTGTTATGAACAAGAGATCAGCCTCAGCTGTTGCCATAATTTTTTTTTTTCGCACGAACGAAAAACAAATAAAAGTAGGAAGATCATAACATTGAGAAATCAGCAAAACGAGACAATGGATTTCTGTTGCTGCTTTATCAGCATTAAACAAAGTAACGTTACACCAACTAAAATTTCCCTTCATTTTAATTGTTCATCGGATTAAAGGAATAAAATGGAATATTTTTTGTATAGACTTCCCATGAGAGAAAAAGTATGCGTTGTGTGTGAGAGCAGTTGAAAGAGTATATGGAAATAAATGAAGGTTGTCTCAAGTATATATAGAACGAGCTGCCGTGTACTGCTGTAGTAGACCAAGTTTCTTTGCTGTTCTCTCTCACACAGCTCTTCATATTTTACACACGCTCTCGCTGAACAGCGGTTCTTATTCCATCACTTATAATGAAGGCAGTACGAGTAGGCCAATGTATATTCCTCTTCATGGCAGTAGTGCTAGCAGCTACTGCCCTAGCACGCGATGACAACGACAACGGCCACGGCGGCAACGGTGGCAGGAGAAGAACATGTATGATTCCACACAAAGACGGGGACACTTCCGATGCAATCATGTCGACTTTCAAAAAATGCAGTCAGCACTCCCGCGTCGTGTTCAACAAGAACTTTAACTACATGGTGCATCAACCCATGAACATTAGTGGACTGAATGACGTGCATATCTCAATCCAAGGCAATGTGACTTTTGACGATAGTAACATAACTTGGTGGCAAGAGAACATCTTTCTACTCAATTTCCAGAGTGCCGGTACGTGGTTTGTTATTGGCGGCGATGATATCCGTGTCGACGGAGGTGGTACTGTAAACGGTCAAGGTCAAGCCTGGTGGGATATTAAGGTATAATATTTTCTCAGATGTGGTGGTAGATCTGTGAAAAAAAAGCAAGCTCGATTTTTCATGCAGAAAGTGGTGGAAAGCTTTCGTATCACACAGACTGAAATGTTCTAAATGCAGGCTAAAGACCCTCGGCCGGTGACCATGACGTTTGACAATGTCAATAATCTTCATGTATCGGATATTTGGGTTATTCAATCACCTTTCTGGCACATTGTCGTTAGAAATGCCAATGGTGCAGTTTTCACCAATATGAACATCTGGTCTCAGTCCAACTCTTCAGTAAGTACATGGACAAACATTGACAAGGTACAAAACGGGCTGACATATGTGATGTAGTTCCCTGAGGCCAATTCGGATGGCTGGGATATTTTAGCAAGCACCGGTGTTGTTATCAAGGATCCGGTTATTGCGAACCATGATGATTGTGTTTCATTCAAATACAACACTACAAACACTCTTATTGAAAATGTGGACTGCACTGGATCAAACGGTTTGTCTGTAGGCTCGCTCGGTCAGTACGCACGTGACGGACAGATCGATGCTGTTACGGATATTGTTGTCCGGAACGTTACATGTCGTGATTGTTCAAACGGAGCAAGGTAATAATATATAAGGAGCATCATCACTATATTGCTAGAGAACTTGTGGTCTCAGTTCAATATAATATACTGAATGTCATGTCTTTACCTCATTCTGGATGATATAGAATAAAGACCTGGGCAGGCGGCAAGGGGATAGTTGAGAACGTTACATTCACAAACATGGAGGTGACGAATACTGCAAATCCAATCATAATTACTACTCGTAAAATATTTTTTTTTTCATTTATTACGGTCTAAAAAGATAGAATGAACACTATTGTAACGAAGCTATATTAACAATCAATTTGTTTATATATGTGTGCATAAAACAATCAACAATAGACTACTGCGATGTCAATCAAATGGACTTTTGTGTCGGGTCAGATGACGCATCACTCACGATCCGGAACATTACCTTTGATAATATATTCGGATCCGCAAGTGAGGCTGGCAATCCTATTGTCAAGATGAACTGCTCAATCAATACTCCATGCTCAGATATCACACTCACAAATATTGACATCGAGCCCGCTAGCAATACCATAGAGAATGTTTGCGAACATGTTACGGGAGCGGAGGACATTCCTTATTGTCCTCAGTACCAATTGTAGTTGACCTGTCCAATAAAGAAGCATCACTTTTTTTTATTATCGAGGAATGGTGTATAAATGTGAGATGGAACTACAGCGTCGTCACCACATACCACACACAGTCTAGACTCTCAAGTTCCCTCACTAAACAACGAGTCAGAGCACAGCTCATACTTAAAATTCTGCCTCGCGCGATCATACTGTTTATCCACAATGAAATGAAACACGTTTTTCAGCTACAATCTTTGCTGACCCGTGAGGACCCTTAAACCGATCGAACTTGCTCGTTTATGCTTGATATTTACCAGGTTTTATGCCTGATATAGCCTGAGGATTATTGGCAGGAAATAATCAACTATAGTTATCAGCAACAGACATCTAGCTAGCAAACAATTACAATATACCACAGCAGAAATGTTGTCTTGAAACGACTGCTAGTGACATAGACGGCAGAAAACAACAACTGTCGTTTTTTTACGACGCGAAGGTTGTGACATCAATCAATCGCTGTGTCATCGCGCTTTTCTTCCTTGAATTAAACTACTTCCATGCGTATGATGAAGTTAGATACGACGTACAGAGTACAGTGATGGTACATGATTTCAAGGGAATTCGTTTAAGAAGAGAGCCCTAAAAGAGATGAAAAAGCAAAACCAACACATCAGCTGTTTTTGGTTGTTTTGCTCCTATATTGTTCGCTCGGAGAACCATTTAGCAGGATGAGATAGTCACCCGTAAAAGAGTTATCGTTATAAGTAAAGAGCAACAGAAAAGGGTGATTGATGATTGATAAATGAAACAGATATGCGCACTGTTAGACGATGTCATCATATCCAATACATATATACAGAGCTCGAGACGCAAATCAGCATAGAATATAGAGCATTATGTATGTAAAATAAGGTATTTGGCGCAAAGTAATAGTATAATAAGCATTAGCACTTGTTGCCTCATAACGAGCTTTACATTAAGCTTTTATGATTCGATCAAGAACACAAGACCTCGAAGAGTCGACAGTGCTGATCCTTTCAGTAAACCTTTTAATAGCGCTCTTATGGTATAAGCTTACGCAAATGCAACAGAACAATCAGCACGTGAAAAAAAGTATATGAAACGCAGGAATTGTAGACATGTTTACTTTTTGTTCACAACTCTGCCTTTTGCATTTTGTTCGATCACATCGGCCAATGAAATGTCCGAGTGTCAACTGGCGGCCATTTTTCTCCAAAACGTATATCAGCGACCGCCCTGCGGTCTTTTTTTCTTTACATGCTTTCGTGTGGACCTTTATTTTTCTTCCCTTGTTAAGGCAACAGAAAAATGTCACAACCAGTGGAAGCCATTGAGCGCACGCCCGATTATGAGCAGTTTATGAGTCAATTACGCGACTTTCACGAAAGAAAAGGGTATGTTATTGCCGAATGTGTTTTCTTTTTTCTAAAAACCTCCTCCGTTTTCGATTGTAGAAATTTGAGAACAAAGAACGTAAAGGCGATTAAACTAACAGACGTTTTTCAATGACGTGATTAATATACAATCAGGACGCCTTTTCAGCCAGAACCGATTTTAGGTGGAAAAAAACTAGATCTGCTGCGGATCTATAAAACCGTCATGGAGGCTGGAGGTTATGAAAAAGTAATTACAACACTTGGGGAAGCAAGAACAATAAGAGCCATAAAACGCACCGATTGAATCTTTTTAAAAAAACGGAAGAACGAAAGGAAAAGCATTTACTTATTTCATTGTCTGGCGATTTACTCTACGCCGCACAATAATGATAGGTAACCCAAAACCGTGGCTGGAAGCAAGTGGGTGACCCATTTGATTTCCCTCCAACGTGTACAAACAGTGCATATATCCTGAAGGCCGTCTATATTAAAAATTTGGTAAGCGAAAGAAACGGGTAACTATTCTCACCTTGGACATTTATCATTTCAACTTAATTTTTAAATAGCTTGGTTGGGAGGAAGAACACTATTGGAAACGACCATGGAATCCACCCAAAGAGCCAATCGAACCACGACAGGGAACTACACATAGCAAAGCCGGATCACCTATGCCAGTCGCTTCTGCAATTAAACCTCGCGACACTGCAAGACAAACTGCTACTGGTAATCAGGAAACTTGGGAAAAGAGAAAGAGAGGAACGAAGGCTGAAACGATCGTTAATGGGATTATCCACGAGACAGGATTAAAACTAAAACGCGTGTATTTGTGTCTATAATATTATTAGCATTCAATTACCAAGCACAGCAGCAACATCCACAGCAGCAACAACAACAACAGCCATTAGCACCGCCACCACCAAATTCGCATTATCAAAATATGCGACAACCGCCACCTTCGGGATTCATGCCGCAATTTCCTCCTCCAGCAATGCAAAGTCCTGCTATGTTTTACCCGCCACGTAAGTTTCTGGAAAAGATATAAACGACGAAGGGACACTTTGCTAACCTATTATATACATGATGGATATACAGCAATCTTTGTGGATGAAGAGTTTCGCGCACGATTAATACTCGCACTTAAATCCAGCCTACCAAACGAAATCGATTGGGCATTCAACACACTTGTCAAAATCTCGTTCAATTTCGACGCGCTCACACTCGATTACATGCCGATATTACTCGACATCCTTGTTGACTTTGCCGAACCATTTTACAGAGAACACGTTGAACCCGCACTCGAATACAAAGTCAACAACAAGAACAACAACAACATAATACCCGAACAACAACAAGAACAACAGTATCTTCGAATCAGTCCTAGTATGTTTTCCAGCAAACGGAACCAAGAAATGCTCGAACGTGTACTCCAAGTTTTTCACATTCTACGAAACTTTTCATTCCTGGAAGCCAACGTACGACGCATCGCACATCAACCACGACTACGTCAAATGCTAATGATGGGGATTGCATTACCTCCAGACTCGCCGTTTGCTGAATTGAGTCGCCATTGCTTGGATATTTTGGAGAATATCGCGCCTCAGGTGATTGTCAATGGCCCAGCTGATCCATACATTGTGACCATGATTTTCCTGCTATCCACCAACGACCGAGCCCTGATCTTGGGCGCCATCCGGTCCTTAACACGTGTGGGTGTGACAGAAGTCAATGAACGTGTGTTGGGCACAGGCAATCCTGAAATCATCCAACGCATGGCACAGTTATTACTTGTGGATGACGAAGAAATGGCTGCTGCGACGCTGGAGTATTTCTATCAATGCTCTAGTTTAAATGGTAACTTTGCGACGGTGCTGGTCAAGCATTACCCCGGTAATCTCATTGGGTTGTTGACCGGTTACTTGTCGTACAAGTCTGTTTTGGCGCCCAGATCCTCGTCATTGATGGCAACCGTTCATGGTATTCCTCAAACACATGCTGGCCACATTGGTGGTGCTGAAAGTGGGGGTAGTGGCAACACAAAGAAGAAAAACCGACCACCGACGATTCCGGATTTGACAAATTATGCACATTTGGATGAGCCTTATCGGTGTCTGGGATGGTAAAGTTATATAGTTTAGCTTAAATTGCTGATCATACAAAAACAGGAATGGGGAAATTTAGTTGTGGATACTAACTGTTTTACAATTTTTTTTTATTTTCGATGAAACTATTAGGCTTAAAGAGAAATTAGCCAAGGCGGGTCTTGAGGACAAGATAGAACTGAAGGAAGTCTTTGGACTGTATATGAGCTTGTTTGGTAACGAGAAGCCGCTAGGATTGAAGGAATTCTATACAGTACTCAAGATTGCATTCCCACAACCCAAAGAAGTCGAAAATGCTGTTGCTAGCGGACAATTGGATAGCCTGACGCTGCAGAATGTCAAATATGCTCCTCCAAGACCAGCGGATGGTAAGTATAGTGCATTTTGAAGTATTGCCCTACTTTGAATTAGAATTTAGCTTTCCCTCTAGGAGTGTAAATTAACTTACACTTTTGTTTATTTAGAATTAAAATGTAAATGGGTTGATTGTGGACAACAGTTTGAAAACGAACAAGACCTACACAAGCATCTTTTGGTAATGCATTTGGTACCAGGAGCCTCAGCAACACCAGCGCAGCCACCAGCTCAACAACCTCAATCTCAAGCATCATCACCAACAACTGCACAGGCTTCAGAAGCAGCACAACCACCAACCCAAGCTCAGGAGCCGGAGCAAACATCAGCATCAACTCCTTTGCAATCGTCAGCTCAAGCATCTGTCCCTACACCTGCACAAGCACAATCACCAAGAGCCGCAGAACCTCTCCAGTCAACAGCATCTTCTAGAACAGAAAACCACAATATCGAAAACGACAAGAAAAACGACAGCGACAAAATGGACATTGATAGCACGGAAAATACTGCAGTTGCTGCGGATCAAAAAGAAAACGAAAAACCCGTGGTGGATGACGATGGATACAAATGCCGATGGCTCAACTGCAAGCGAAGTGGATTCAAAGACAAAAACTCGGCTATCCAGCACCTAAAGACACATCTAACTACTAACGGTGGCAAAATCACCAAGCAATCGACCAAGAAGCGACAACAACAGCAACAATTTTCCATTGATAAGATCCCAGTGGATGATTCAGAGGTATCGGGTGTGCCACTAACAGCGGCTCTTTTGTTACGGAATTTGGCACGGGATCGACATCATCATACGTTTTTTATGCAATATCAAAGCGAATTAACTTCTTTGGCAATACAACGACCGAAATTAGCGAGATACATCTTGACGGTGTTGGGAGAATTGCAAGCGTAAAAGAGAGAAAAAAAAACACCACACACACTCTCGTCCAAACGATTTTTCCGCATCCATTCATCCAACAATCAAGTTAAAACAGCATTCAAAAACCACAATCTTAATGATAATAATAATAATAAAAAAAAGCAAATAACAAAACCGTTGACGTGATTGTCAATTTAAACTTTGAAAAAGTGTTGTGGGAATGATTTTGATATTTCCGTTTTCCAGAAGAAAACATGGGAACGTGAAAAGGATTACTATTTATACACAATATGCTAGACGTGTAAAAAAAAAGAGAGAGAGATAGAGAGTGTGCATGTCAATAGAGGAGAGAAAAGGGGTAGAGGAAGATGGAAATTTTACAATAGCATTATACATGCAAGGTATGTCAGAACACCCACGGAGGCCACATCGGATATATCCTTGGCCAACATGGACAATGTTCTTCTAATGGGTGAGGGTCGTGGAGCCATGACAGAAGGTGCTGGCAATGTAGGCGTAGCATCTTCATCATAACTTTTGCCAAATCCGCGCTGTTTCCGTAATCTCAACCATCTTGAAAGATGCATCAAAGCCAACCCCGAGACGGATACAACCAGTAAACACGCATAACCAATAAAGATGGCAATTTGATCTGGTAACCAGCATAGCTTTGTAGCAAAATAATCCTGTCCTGGTTCTCCTCCTCCTCCTTCTTCTTGTTGTTGTGTGCTGTCCGCTTTTTGGTGCTTCGTTGGGGTTAAATCGAGCAAAACTACGCCTGGGTATTTCAAGCCTTGTGCCATACTAAAAGTCGGTATCGTCATTTCCAATGTTTCAGTAAACTGTTGACTGTTATATCGATGATTGACGACACAATAATCATGATCGTCGCCCGAAAATACAGCGACAGGATTGACGCGTTCAAGGATCTGTTGCGACAAGCGTTCGCCGACTAGATTTTGGTACTGGTATCCACGGCCCTGGCGGATGCCTTTTTTATACTGTTGTCGATCCGGTCCACATGAAGCGGTGGGTGGTCGATACAACGGTACATGTGTAAACAGGATGCGAGGATGTGGTGGTAAATGGCGGTCCAATAGATCCAAAGCGCTTTGTTTGCTAGGTAGGTCATCGTTGGTAGCACTGAGTGATACGGTGTCTAATACCACGATCGAGTATTCTGAAATGTTGAACGTGTAGGATGTCGGTCCGAATTCGTTTTCGAAGCGTTCGAGTATATTCTTCTTGATCCCATTGCCGAAACCGATATCGTGGTTACCGGCCATGAAGAATTGTGGTTTTGTAGAGTGAAATAAGCGTCTGAAGCGTGTTACTTGCTTTTGGTATCTTTTGTGCATCAAAAGTTTAAAAACATTACGATTGACCGGTCGCTTTTTGCTTTTCCCTCTTTTATCTTTGTAATTATAGAAAGAGGACTCACCCGACATCATTCCATTCTCGGCCACCGTCCATGAGATCACCCATGAATAACTGCGCTTGTGGATTCAATTGACGGTTCAAATGTCGGTAGTTGCGATGCATATAGAGATCGCTATAAAATTCGGATATACGAAGCACTATTCCTGGACGGTCATAGGAATACGCGTCTGTCAATTGAGGATCGCCAATAAGGAGCATACGATCGAGTGCCTGGTTATTGTGTTGGTATCAGTACACAGAATCTCATTGTTTCGTTTTTAGGTTTTTGATGGCATAAAACAAACAAAAAAACAAACTTACGCTCCCTGATGCAGCGTTACCGATGGCAGCGTTGTCGGTGGTACTTGGCCAGGGGGCACATCGCCGAGCTGCTTTCCAAAAGACATAATATTCGCCATGTAATAATGCGAGAATCCAAACCATCCGCAGACAGTTTATGAATGCTCGGGAGGATCGTGTCGGTGAAAACCGTTCAATGATGTGTATTAAGGGTCGAAACATTAACTAAAAAAACAAAGCAACAATGAACAGAACAGAGAAAAAAAAGAGAAAGGAGGTTGGGGAGGGAGGGAGGTCGGTTTAATGTAGGGCAGCAGCAGTCAGCCCCCAAGCAAACAGCAATAGGCTCTCAAAGAAGCCGCTGGATGTGGCAGAGGGTCATAGAGAAAGGTGGGAATATTGCCTAACTAGTGCTTTGTGCAACGTCGATGTCAATTATATTGCATGTAACTCCAGTCCAAAGAATTTTTGCTTATCAAAACGCACAATCACATTCTTATGTTGCATACATGCATGATCAACTGTCCCTGATAAGCAGTAAACAGCCATGCCAACAATTGCGTTGCTACTAATAAGACCGTTGATTCGAAAATTTCATAAAGAAGATATTTCCCGAATATAAAAGCAGGCACACACAAGTACTAGCGCGCGCCAATGGTGCGTTATTGAAACAAGTGTAGAGTTCTAGTGGCTAGACATCCCACAGATACAAAATGCCGTTTCATGCCGTTTATGCCTTATGATGCCGTTTGATGCTATTCGATGCCGTTGGTCGGACCCGTTCACAAACACAACTTTAATCTGGTTGAGATGACGATGATGAGGTCACGTCTCTCTCTTTCTCTTTCTTTGAGTGTGAACAATGGTCTTGTTGCCCTGAGAATTTATAAAAGGGTGCGCGACTTACTAGTGCCATCTCTCGTCATCTTTTTCTCTCTCTATCTTTCCCTTCTTTCGACTCTTTTCTTCTTCTTCTTCAACAACTTGCACAGGTTCCTTTTTTACTGGCAACAATGACCCATCGAGCTCTGCAACTCTTGACTTTACTATCCATGATAGCAGCATGGACTGCAACCACAGCCCTTGCATTCGATGTAATGTATAACATGCGTGCTATGAATAATGAGATCAATAACTAACATTTGCCACCGTATGCGTAGAATGCATGCAATGATAATCTCGTTACATGTAAGTTGGCCCCCCTCCTTTCTTTCTTCAGGCACAGCATCAAGTATACTACTAGTACAAATTTCTTCTTCTATGTAATAATAAACTCAAGCACGTTCGTCTTGACTTTTTTTTTGTCATTATAGATTGGGGCCAAAACTCATACGGTGCAGCATATCCTAATGACCGTGACGGATGGCAAAAACCATTACGGTTTTACTGCGATGAAGGCGCGACTGATATGTTTCCGATTGCATTCTTGACGAACTTTTTTAGTAAGGGCGGCAAACCTACGATCAATTTGGCTGATGTAAGGAAATCGCACAACTGCTGTTCATGTCGTCGCCTTCTACATTTTCCATTATACATATTCGCACCAAAAAATAATAATGATTAAAATAACACCGCCCCTCATACAACACTTTTACTGTGTGGATCTTCGTAGGAATGCAATCGCTATGATAACGCCACATTTCCCGGCACTGATTTGGCCAACTGCACAGCTGGCATCCAAGATGATATCAAGTACTGCCAATCAAAAGGCAAGGCGCTCACATTGTCCTTGGGAGGAGCCACCGCCGGTGCAGGGTTTCAATCAGATGAACAGGCCATAGGCTTTGCCGATACCCTTTGGAATGACCTTTTAGGCGGATCCTCCAACACACGACCTTTTGGAAATGCTATTCTGGACGGGTCAGTGGGATGAATGATGGTGTCATATGAAGGAAGGGGGTGGTAGGGGGAGAATCTCTTTTGTTTCTTTTTCTTTTCTCTCACACAACAAAACGAAACAAACAAACAAAACATCATTTGCTACGACAACAGCATCGATCTCGATATTGAAAACGGAGGAGCTGCTCGTGAGTGAGAAAAGGAAATACAAGAATATCATATGTGGTCATTTCATCTCATATTTCATTGTGTATACCCTGCTTTTTTCCTTTTAGATTATCCTGCGTTTCTACAAAAGCTAAAGTCATACTTTGATGCAGCCGATAAAAAATACTACGTGACAGCTGCTCCACAATGTGTGTACCCAGATGCCAACTTGCAGACCACGCTTGACCAATTTCCTGTGGATGCTGTATACGTCCAGTTTTGTAAGCTTCTCCTCTTTCCATCTTTTCTTGAATCCATGTGATATATCACACATGAGAGAGAATGGGCCCTTTTTTTGTTTTTACATGACTGAACCCTGTAATTGAACCCTTATTTGTCACCACTAACCCGTGGGCTTAGATAACAATCCATGTGGATTACAGACATATGGTCAGGCAAGGAATTGGAACTTTGGCATGTGGGACTATTGGGCCCGACACGTGTCTCCCAATCCCGATGTAAAGGTATACATTGGTGCACCTGCCAGTAGCACGGCTGCAGGCAGCGGCTATGTGTCACTGGACACTTTACAGAAAATTACCACAGAGACCCGCAGCTCGTTCCCAAGCTTTGGTGGTGTTATGTTCTGGGGTAATTCATCTTGATTTGCCCTCTGGTATATCTGCATGTGTTATCTTTATATACACATATTTGTGCTAAATACAACAACAAATACATGTAGATACTTCACAGGCTTATGGAAACAACCGATTGGATCAAAATATCAAGGATATTCTCAAAGAGGGTGCCTCGTGTGACCCTTCAGCATTCGCCTATCCTCCTTGCGATGCGCCTGCTTGGTCTGATTCAGGTCGAACATACACGACGGGCAATCGCGTTTCACACAAGTAAGTTATCCTTTTTACTCAAATTTCAATCAACAGAGCGATAGATATACACATGTTTCTGCGATACTAACAAAATTTCTCTCTACCTTTTATTCTTGATCTTTTAGAGGGTAAGTGAACCGCCTATTAATCTGTAAATTTCCAGTACAAGTATCTCACAATGTTTCTAATCACAATAACTCTAATATTGTGTAGTTACATCTGGGAGGTAAAGTATGAGTAACAAAGGGAATTTATCTAGTCAACTCCACTCATTCTGTCTATGAAAAAAATCTCCTATAATGAAGGCAAAATGGTCGGCAGGTTCCGAGCCAACTGCTAATCCAATGGGTGAATGGGCTCCAGGTAAAATTATCATGCTATGCAACTTGAAGGACTTTAATATATTTCCGAACGATCACTAAAGCGTACATATACTCTACGATTTAGTAAGCGCCTGTGAAGACAACAACAGTATCGCCGCAGCAGTTAATAGTGACCATGGTCCACCGTCATCTTCTGCCAATGGTAGCAGCAGCAGCAGTCGGTCGTCAGGAAAGGCCTCCTCAACTCCAGCATTGGAAACAATCACTATAAAGTCACCACCACCACCGACTGCTACTAACCAAGTGCCAACAGCAGCAATTGTGGTTACAACAACCGTTTTTCAAAACGTCAATCCAGTAGGAGGAGACGCCTCCAACACCATTCCTCATCAGGATAAGAACTGTGACAGCATCGAGCCCTGGTCTCAATCAAAGACTTATGTTGGTGGAAGCAAGGCGATCCATCAAGGTCAAGTATGGACAGCCAAGTGGTGGTCATACGGTGATGTACCCAGTGGTCCTGCAGGCGTGTGGTCGCCATCAGGGTCGTGTTAAGATACGTTTCTTTTAAGCTTCAAGGCGGCATTTCCACCCCCCCCTTCGCAAACCTTCAAAAGAAAACGCCTTCTCGTCGCCATCATTACACCCATCATTTTTTCTTTTTTTTTTTTCCAACTATTCTTTTCAGTAATTATATTTAGCAGCAGTGAAAGTCAGGAAACTAAGCCCCTTATTATACTCTGTTACATCACTACTCTTTTTTTTCCTTTCAGTATTTCGAATAGGATCTCGCTCTTTTTCTCTCATTCATATTTACACATACAGCGATGCAGTGCTTTGTGTTAACATTGTATGCCATATGAAGAAAGAAACATAAAAAGAAACAGTGTATGTATTATCATCCATCGTTCAAACTATTAAAATAGGTCACCATTTCTATTTATATTCTCAAATGCACCATCATTCCCGCTACTAGTAGGATCGCTGTTGTGATTGTGCATACTGCGGATACAAATGTTTTGTTTACGAATCTTTAGCATAAAACTCCACACCTGTAGATCCCGAACACTGGCCAATCGATGGAAGGGATAAACGCACATGGAAAAAAATTTTCTTCCAATAACTCAAAAAAGAAGTACAGATCTCAACAAATGCCGTGCATTGTGAGTTTTTCTGCGTGGTGTGCAGATGCATCAGAAATCAAAGAAAAGAAGGGGCAGGGTTTGTTATAAAACAAGGGTGTGTGTGTCATTCGAAACCGCAGCAGATAGTACGCCATCCATCCATCTTACAATTTCAGTTGGCTGGAGAGCCCAAATAGCAGCAATAGGAACCAAACAAAGTAGCTTATTAAACATTTACGCACATATACATAAAACTCAACAGCAAACTAAAACAGGCGTCTAGAAAGACGCACTGCATGTGTTACGAATTTCATATCCACTAAAAGCTGTGTCATGCACTAACAGAGACAGAAGAGTAAACAGAAGAAAGAAATAACCCATACACTATTATAGCATACTGGAAGATTAATTCGCCGAGGAAAGAATCTTTTTATTATCACCACGCATAGGTTATCATGCTTATCATTTACTAGCCCTGTCCCTATCTATGAGAAGTAGCTGTGGGGAGCAAGGGATCAGCATTATCATCAGCCCTTTCTCCCCCACCCCTCCCGATGATATGTATGAATCTTTTACCTCAACCCCTTCCACATCAAAACAATATGATAAATTATTATGCCCTTCCCCCAGAACCATTATATTTAACCCATCCTTTTCTCAACCCCACCCTTTGTTCTTCTTTCTTACTTCTAACCACATCATGTCAAGCACTGCCCAATCGGTTGCTACTGCCTTTTGTGGTTGGCCTGCTCCTACCACCGCCACCATCTACGAAGACAAACAACAACAACAGCAAAACACAAAAGATGAAACCACACTAGCGATCCCACGTTCCTTGCTCCATCAGCTTATCCAGGATCACCATACTGTTTATCACATGGAACACCGTGATCATCCGAATCTTTTGGCGCGTGTACTTGTTGCACTCCATGAATTGGGTGGTAAGTGCTTTTCTTCTATACAAGTGTTTTGGAGAGAGAGAGAGAGAGAGAGAGAGATAGAGACAAAAGATGTCAACAAACTCACATCACCTTTCATTGATAGCCAATCAAGCTCAACTTATTAATGGATACTACAAGGTGTATCCTGATCTTGTGCCATTGTTACAAACGTCGATTGAACAACGTGTCCTTACGGACGATTCGTGGCTGGAACATTTAGGGGATCCAAAGTAAGGAACCAACAACAAAACAATGAACTTTTTTTTTGGTTACTATTTGCAAAAAAAACATTATTATTGACGGTCTTCACATCTACTGTATACATAGATATTATCGTCCGTATCTAACTTTTTTCCAACGTAAAATTGAAGAATACGGCATGGATCAAGTCGTACAACAGTATTTCTTCGACAGCCCGCTATCTAGTTCAATTGGGTCCCAGCTGCAACCAATCGTGCATATGGCATTCGGGCTCGAATACGACATGCCCGATGTTGTCACGCAAGGCCTTGCTTATCTAGCAACGACGTTTGTTGATGTGGCATCATTATTAAACGTCGATGATGAAGAAGAAGAAGAAGATCACAGCAGCAATGAAAGACAACGACGATTGTCAACAACAACAACAACAACCATGGATCACGAAAGTTTGTTGTTTGATATGATAGCAGCGGACCCCAGATTTGGCGGACGCATGGACGGCACCAACACGTTCCATTCTGCGCTCAAAGTATTGATCAAAAGCCAGCAGTCGCTGCTTGGCATGTATATGCGTCAGAATGCAACCCAGGTCCGACTACAAGACCTAGTTACCTTGGCAGCTCGATTGATTCCTTGTACAAAACAAGCGCATCGTCTGGACTGGTTTCTCGGCGGAGGACAGCTGCTTGCGTCTGCATTAGCGATCCAGTATCTCATGGAACGATTTGAAAAGCAATACAACAACAAAAAGCTCGTACGGTTACAATTCTTAGCCACCTTGTGTACGTTTATTGTCCAAGGTCGACCCACGCGTCCTCCTACCTCCCACTATGATGCGCGTTATGTTCATTCAGAACAACAACAACAACAACAACTTTCTTGGGATTCGTGTGGTTCCACTGTCGTTGCTTCGGGTGATCCAAAATCGGTATTAATCTTACAATCCCTGGTGAAAGCTCGCCGACTTTATGGTAATGGCGAAGAAGAGGGGTGCTATTTAGATATTGCCAATTTCATTGCTGGGTTTGTGCAGAGAGCAGACGGTGCATGGTGCAAGACAGATGATCGCAGTGTACGCTAAAAACAGGGGGGCATACACTACCAGAGAAAAAAAAAGAAATCTCCCTCCCTTCTCCATCTTACCTGTAAATCCGATTCATAATTCCCCTTTTCCTCTCACTCTAGAACTCGTTCATCTCCTGGTTCTTATAATTGCTTCTTCTTGCTTTTTGTAAAAAAATTACTTGTTTATTGTTATTACATTCTAGCTAATATACGCGAAAATGACATCTCTTCTGCTGGAATCACCTTGTCCAAATCAATCTGATCTATGCTTGTGCAGCCTATCATGGAGCGAAAAATGGTTTTAGTGGCAGGCCGAAAGAGAAATATAGAAGAGGGGGGAAATACTTGCCAGACAGGGCCATGGTGGCTTCAAAATCCTTTTGGATACGCGTCAAAACTTGCTTCACTCCTTCCTCACCCTATGAATTAAAAGTGATGTTAGCGGACTCTTCTGAAAATGATTGCTACTCATGTTTACCTGATGCACTAATCCATAGATAATCGGTCTTCCTAAGAATACAGCTTTCGCGCCCAATGCTAGTGCTTTAAAGACATCGCTTCCTCTGCGGATACCTCCATCCACATACACGTCTACATTGGTATTTCGGCATGCTTTAACAACTTCTGGTAGTGCCTCAATCTATATAAAGCAGGTTGTTAGTCATATGTGTCGGGCGAAAAAGAGAGAGAGACATTGGTGTATACATGCTGTAGCAGGACATGTGTCGAGTTGTCGACCACCATGGTTGGAAACAATGATACCGGCGACACCATGGCGTACTGCTAACGCTGCATCATCTGCACGCATGATACCCTTGATAATGATGGGCAGCTTGGTAAAATTTTTCAGCCATGCTACATCGTCCCAGTTGAGTGAAGCATCCACATCATATCCGAAATATCCATCATGCTCCCGATCTTCAAAGTTTCCAAATCTCAGATGCTTGGGCAACTTGAATCCCGATCTACGAACGCGGTGTATATATTGCCCACAAGTACATTCAGTAACAGGATATCTCCTGGAAGAGTATAATCCATTGTATTGAAACAACACGATTGCTGTAATATACCTGACTTCCTGAAGTCGACGGCCGAGCACAGGTCGATCCACCGTAAGCACGAGTGCTTTATAACCCGCCTTTTCGCACTTACGCACGAGCTGTTCAGTCAGCTTGCGGTCCTGTTCCACATACAACTGAAACCATCGAAGGGCGTCCTCATCGACGCTAGCAGAAGCAGCAGCAGCTTCCTCCATGGAATAGTTGCTGTAACTCGAAATGCAGTAGCAAGTGTTGAGCGATGCGCATGCTATAAATATGACACAGATTATATATTCACACGCGTTAGTCATGCACTTTGTCAGTCAAACTTTTAGTTGCCACAGCCCAGTTCCAGGCCAAGAAAAAAAAAAGGTACCTCTAGCAGTAGCCTTTTCGCCCTCATGATGGGCCATGCCATGCAAGGACGTTGGAGCTACGCATATGGGGGACGCGAGTGTGTGGCCTTGAATTGTAACGGACGTGTTCACTTTGGATACATCGATCAAGACTTTGGGTCGAATAAGCAGACTTTGGATGCAGTCATAGGATGATGATGATGTTATGCGTTAGGATTTCTATTTCATGCACTTGGCGTGGCCAAGGACGATATGTAACGTGGTGTAGTATCAAATTGTACGCACCGATCGTATGCCTCACGGTTACGACGTAAGGTCACTTCGTTTTCGGCGCCAGTGCAGTAAAATCCAAATTCGCCACCTGCCATCTTCTGGCGGGCCAACGTCTCATAATCATCCAAGCACGCCAGTTTAGCCATTCACACAAAAAAAAAGGGTTTTGAAGAAAAGAAAGAAGTAGAAAAGCAAAAAGAGGGCCTTTTCGGATGAAGGGAAAAATGGCCCTTTTTTCTTTACACACCAGAAATTGCCCGGTAAACTTTAAGGTTTTTGTTCAATCCTTTCGTTTTCGTTCCACAAATCTTTTATTTACAGTATCGATCAGATTTGACCTTGGCTCTACGATCCAGCATAGCTTCGGCAACACGTCCTTCTTCTCGGGCCTCTTTCAGTTTTCGTTTATCCTCGCGTGACATGTGTAGACGGCCACCTCCCCAGGATTGATATCGTTTACTAATGATGTGAAAATTTGTGTTAGCTTTGTGTACGCATGCATTCGATATATATCTTTATATAGCACAGCAGCTTACACATTCTCCAACTCGTTGGTAGAGGAACCCTCTTTTTTCGATTTCTTCTTGTCGCGCTTTGCCTTGAGTTTGAATCGTGCCTGACAATAGATACGGAACGTTTCGCAGAATCCCACATCCTCGGAATCCGCTCGAATTTTAAAGCCTAGTAAACCATTTCTTTTTTTAGCCCACCTTATTGCTCTCCCTGTCTCTCTCTCTCTCTCGATATACATTGGATGCTAACCTCCTCCAGCAATTTCATCCGCCATCAAAAATTTGCCATGTGTATTCTTGAACGCAAAGCCAGCTTCTGTGAGGGTAGGTTCCCATTCCTCCAATCCACTGATAGCTTCACGATCTGCCGACACCACACCAAATTTGTCGCTGCTCAAGTATTTGCCATTACTGGATTTAAACGTGAACGTATTGGATGTTCCTATCAGTCGCGCACCCACAAATACTTGGTTGACAATAAGTGGTTCGGTTTGACTTTGTTCTGGTATCGGATAAGCCAAGAGTCGATCGTCATCGTCAACAGTAAAACAAATGGGTGGATCGCTTGGGTGTGTAATAAAGAGTGGTCCAACGAGATCATCGAGTTCATCGGCACGTACCCAGCCTACATTATATTTTAAATAATTCAATACTCTTTTATTCGAGGCTAGTATAATCGCATAGCATCCGTGCTGATCAAAAAGTGTGTAATGAAAGATAAGTTACCTTCGTCCGAGCCGCCACCTTCGTGACCTTGATCTTTCGCTTCAGGTCGCTTTCTCTTTTTCTTTCTAGATTTAGAATGGCAATAATTAGATTAAGGCATTCATCTTTAGCTATTACCTAATATTAGTGTTTGTGTTTCTGGAATTTTAATGTTACTTGTGTTCTTTATCACCCTTGAATATGAGTTTGCCTTTGCTTTTCTTTGGTGCATCAGCCATGGTGTGGTGTCAAAATCGATTATCTGAAAGAGTAAAAAAAAAGGGAGTTATCGTGCAGTCGTTATGCAAAATTTCACTTGCCACCATTTTGGGGCAGATGATGATGTAATTAGATATTGCTAGTCAGAAGTGTGTTTTGTTTTTCATCAAGCGATAGCTTTACATGAAGTTTAACTTTGTGTTGTCTGATAGGAATAACGTCAATGTTATAATGAGTTAAACAACCCAAATCTACGTTTTGTTTGATAGATATCACAAGTTGCCTGAGAAGAAAAAATGATTCTTTTGATGGACATACAAAAGCACGAAATGTACTCTTGACAGTAATGACATGCTAACAATTCAAACGTACTCACTGTAATCGATGGTGTATCTATACGTTAAAGAAGAAGTTTGTTGTCAAGTTCAATCAGCATAGCAATAGCAACGGTTATCTATAACACACCTACTGTATAAGTTAGATATTGATTATCATTGCTGTACTCGATGCTTTAGCTGACCCATTTCGTTTGCGCACACTTGCTCTTTCAAAGCATTGTTGATAAGTTTGGGATCCTTGTGCTGACAGAGCAAATTTTAAAAACCATGTGGCAAAATGCTATGTGGTAGCGTCAAGTGTATAGGGGTTCATATGCTTTTACTACTGCGATTGCTTCTTTGTGCCGACGGCATTAACTCTTCCTACAAAGTGTTAACCATCGAGGTTGAACTACCACATAGTCGGCTAAATCAATTTACCATCCTATTGCGCTAAACGACTCTCTGTCTGGCCCATTCTACTTGTATATTCTACGTACGATTTATCGTGCTTCATAAGCTGCTAATATTATACCTTCTCTTTGATATACAGAGAACGAATCATTGTAAAAGTAGCATTGATATATAAGCAGTAGAGTGTTGGGTAATTTTGTTGTTCAACAGTGTAGTACTCACACGATGGCAGCAGAAATGAAGCTACGGCTCACAATGTAAGATGACCTAGTCTTGTACGACTTGTTTCTCTCATTCTGATACTGTGGACAAAATCTGATAATGTAATATCAACACATCCAAAGGGCAGTAGTACCTAAAGCTTAGCGTCTCGTAGAAATCACAGACCTTTACCAGCAGTTGGGAAAAATTTTCCAGATCATGTGTAAAAATTTTTGATCACGCGAGAAATTATTTCTGTTATGGACAGCAGTAACAGTAAACTGAATGATGGCAAACGGCACCTACTTTTGTGTTGAGCACCTGAAAGTTTCGGTCATGCAAGGGATCTCGGATAAATCCATTGCAGTAGCCAAGGCGTGCAGGTCAATGCGCGAATTCACATATAAATGGACATAAATGGGAAGGGTCAAAAAAATAACAATCATGAACTCAATCAGATACATCCAGCACAAGCCTTTCCTCGCTTATTGCACAGTAAATATGATACCACTCATCAGCCGTCGTCGTGTTGTATCTTTCAATTAATCCATCTTTTTTTTTCATTTCTTGTCTATTCTGTGGTGATAACAATAATAATAGGGCCTATTGGAATCGCGTGGTTATACCAACCAGATCAAAGCTCTTGAAGTTGGTTGCGGGTAAAGCCAAAAAGCAGAACTTTATAAAATGTAATGCAACCTATATTATCAGTACTAATTGGTATAGCAATTGTCTTTTATGATCGATGGTAGACCGGGCCATTTCTCAGCCTTGTTGAAGGATCAACTCAAGGACCGTATTGACATTACAGCCATTGACCCCTCCGAAGAGGATATCCAGGTCTGTGCGAACCATAATGCAGCTGTCAAATACCTTGCCACGACGATCTTGGAAATGGATCTTGAGCAATATCGTGAGCATTTTGATGTGATTCTGTTTACAAAGTCACTCCATCACTGCGAACCTTTGGATGAGGTACGTGTGGAAATTGTTGAGGAGGGCTTTGGATACGCTCTGTCGCCCTGCTATTTTCTCTCACACACATCTTATATAGACTGTCGTACAAGCTCATCGTTTCCTTAAAAAAGGTGGCATTGTTGTTGCTGAAGAATTCAATCCGGAAGCGATTGACGAACCTACTGCCCGGTTTTTCTTCAACCGTCTCGACTTGTTGAAAATCGGAAACCACATTTCGCGACCACCCATCAAGAGCGAGACTTACCTAGCTAAATGGGACCAAATGATCGATCCAACGTCTGGTTCGCCTTTGGAGCGCTGGGCTTTAATTTTCAATAAAGACAGCGCCAAGAAGCTTTTCAAACACGGTCTTCAAGGGAAGCAAATGTCGAGCCACGAAGCTATGATTTCGTCCTTTGCCAAAGCATTTGGTAATGGCAATGAGTCTGTTGTCAAGGCTGCGCGTAATCCATTCTTGCAGAGTGCTTTCGTTTTCCTCGGGTAAGTTTTTTTTAATTGTGTATTCAAAATAATCGTATGTGCTATGTGTTTGGATGGGTTCAAGATACTCATGGCTGTTGTGGAATTACTTGTCATAGTTTGCAAGATACGCCTATGGGAGAAGCTATTGTGGAAGCCATCATTGCGCAAGAAGCGTCTGCTATCAAGGATGGAGTGATTAAAGCTACTGGAATCGCCTATCTCGTTGAGAAACAATAGGCTTATTAACATCTAGTCGATAAACGTTCTAGGAGTACTAAGTACTCCTTCATACAACATAATGTCACATCGACCAAAACATTTGCTTTTTCTGGTTAATAAATGTGTAAAACCAAACGATTATTTTTGATTCATCTAAGGAAAAGTGAAGGAATGATCATAAATAAACAAAATAAAAAACAAACCACGAAAATGCTCATAAAACAAGTGGCAAAAGAGGTGGGGTAAAAAGGAAAAAGCAAATATACATCATTCAAGAGTGTAATATTTTTTTTTTGGAAATGGTTCAGGGGGCTACGGGTTTGTATGTTTTCAGTGCTAAAAAAAGTATGTTGTATGGGGAATCGTGAGGGGTAAAAAGAAGGAGGGAAGGGGGGGGGGGCAGATCTACGAGTAGCAAGCCAAAGTAAAGCTGACAGCAAGCTTATTGTTATCACTTTCTGGGAATAATGCCAATGTGCCATGCGTGATGAGCAGCAAATTCAACATGTGCGTGCACGCACCACACTCGCTTATAGTGTGCAATAGTCGCCACAGCCTTTTCATTTTCAGTATCATTGAAAAACACATGATCGTCATGATCTTCATCCGCCTGCAGACCCACAATGACCGTCGTCAACGTATCGCACCAACGCAGCATCATCCATAATCCTTCGGCCTTGACCACCGGTGCAACCAAGTACCTCAGCCGAGGACATTTCGCAATAATCATCTTGGCAACTGACGCCGTCAATACATCGTACCGATTCAATGTCAATGATAATAACTCGTCTCCATACGTCGGTAATATACCGTTTCGTAAGGCACCTGGATGATGAAAATAATGTGAAATGTGCATCATGGTGGATCGGTCCACTTGGTGACCATCATGCTCTCCTTCCTCCCCATCCATAGTGTTGTTCGTTGGGAATATCAAGCACGACGAACAGCAATCCAGTGGTAATATCTCGTCGCTCATATCAAAGTCATTGTCGTTGTCATTAAATTCTTCTTCGTCATTGTGATTGATATGATGATGGTGATGTTGGTGATTGTCGCCGTTGTTCTGATGATGATGAAGAGGCTGTTGTTGTTGTTGTTGTTGTTGTTGCTGATGATGATGTTGATGGGTATTATGATGAATGAAATTAGTGTACAAATCGGCTGACAATGATGTGGGAATATGTGTCAACATGAACGTCATGGTTGGTTTACGATACCGCTGGACTTGTTTGGGTGTCATGCTTGATTGCAAAAATGTCAAGCGAGGGCACAGTTTGTTGAACAAGAGCGAGAAAAAGATATCCGAGTAGTATCGTCCCTGAGGCAGTTTGATCGTCTCGAGCGATTGACCGTACTTGTGGCAAAACTGGATAATGTCTGTCATGGATGTGTTGTCTGGAAACACAGCTTTTCGATACACTGACGGGCTGACCAGACTGTACGTGAACCGTGAGACAAATAGATAAACCACGCGATCCGTCGTATGTGTAAAGTTGATCACTTGTAGGAGCAATTCATTGGGAAGGACTGGAATGTTGTTCTTGTTATTGTTGTTGCTGGGCGATCCCGAGGGTATTACTACTAATGGTGAATGCTGCTGCTGTCGTTCTACCGCTATTGTTGTTGTTGCTGTTGTGCTTGCCATTGTCTTGACATAAAAACCAAACGGGAAATATTCACACCAGTGCGTTAGAATTGCAATTGGGCAAAGCAAAGAAAAGGAGTAAATCAACTGTGCTTTAACAAAGAATTAGAAAAGGAAGGAATGTTGTGGGTAGACACTAGTTTCTCTCTCTCTTCCCTCTTCTTCAAAAGGAATAAAAAAAACAGAAAGAAAGAGAGAGAACACGTGTTGTGAAAAAAAAAGGAAGCCAAGGAGGAGGGGGTGGGGGAGAGAGAGAAAAAGAAGGGCCTTTCGGCAGCTCAATTCTTCTTATGCACAGGAACGATGGATGGTTTCTTGTCCTACCTTTCATCTATTATAACTCGGCAATTGTTGTTTAACCTCATAAATCCCGTAGCAACATGAATCGTTGACATGGATATACCCGCTAGGTCCAATGTACACAATTGATAGGTCATTACTATGTTAGTTCTGCTTGTTCTTGGGTGTAATGGCATGGTTAGCAAGGAACTTTGAGTACCAGTAATGATAGTATGCATTATATGAAAACATGAACCTCGCTAGACAAACAGTATGGTATGTAAGTAATGCTTTTTCTCTATAACTTATGATACCAGTGGGGTGACAATCCCATGAGATGGCATGGGGAGATAGAGAGGGAAAGAGAAAGTATGTTAGTATGTACCGAGAAAGTGACCTTATTTTTATTCTGGGCACCTCGGTCCCACTGAATTGCTTTACAAAACAGCACAAAAACATTCCTCGACTCTTTTTCTGGAGAGCGTAATGCTATTGCAAAACTACGTGCACTGAGAGGCGATGTGGAGACATAAATTAAATGTTACAGCTATAACTGTTCTTAAAAAACGTGGCGATGGTGAAGCATGATGTCAACTATGATAAATAAATAATCATCAGATGGCTCATTGGAATTTCTTTAATAGTACAACGACCTGTAATATGCGTATCAGTAGTGTGACAGAGAAAGAAAAGAGTGCACGGTTGGTGCTTTCTGGACACACATACCAGCGACGACTCCATTGTTTAAATTGCGAGTGATGCAGTTAACAAGAACATAAGGTAGTGTGCTTCCAGGCGGTGCTCTCACTATAGTAAACTAGCATTTAATGGGAAAAAGCCCATGCAGGAATCCATGTACTACTTGCTAACTGCTCTCTATTATTAATGTGTGCGATCCATATCTTCACAGTTATATGGTGCCTTTGTACTATGGTTATACAATGAGCTACATACGCATTATCCTTTATTGGCAACGGTACACTCTGTTACTATCTTCATCAACCGCGTGACGGTAGCACGTATTGTGATCATGCTATAACTGCTATCAGCAGTTTCGTAGAAGGTCCTCAGGTGAACATGGACCATGCGTGCACCTGTAGCACGTATAGCAGAATATCACATTAGCAAATAAAAGCCTCTTTTCCCTTGGCTACGACGTATTCCATTCTTACACAAGTCTGCATAAAGCCCTGTCGAAAGATGTATCATCCAACAAAGAACGTGCTGCCATTTTAAATGAAGACCACTATCCGCTTCCTTTCTGTCATAGATTATAGAGAGTATTTTTGTTTTCTCCGTACCAAAACAACCACAAGAACTTGGAGCATTCTTCGCTATTTTGATAATAGCTCAAAGACTGTGAAAGTGTCATGCGAACTTTTCCACTTATTTATTTAATACTACAGTAAGTCTGCTTTATCTCATCTCTTTTGTATATAGAATAATATAGAGTGGACCGTTTCTTCATTACGCATGATATCTGTACATAGATCAAAAGCAAAGAGATTGATATATAAATGCTCAGCCCCGTATTTCATTCTTTTTATATTTTAGAGTCAACTGCTTATACTTGGCTTCACATGCGCCTTCGCTCCGTTTGAGCTTTTTGCCAATTTCTTCCCAATCGGTATTATCCTGTTGCTGTTGCTTCTTCTTTTTCAAGTTTTTTGCAACAGTAGCAGCAGTAAATTCATGGACATGTTTGAGCAACTGCTTTTCTTCGTCATCGGTCCATCTTTGATATGCTCGACTTGCTGCTGTTATTTTCGTCGGACCCTTCGATTTAACCACCGGGTACGATAATACCACAGATGATCTCTTTTTTGCTTCTTCCATTTCTTTAGCCGCTTTGGCTTCTGCTGCCTTTGCTTCCGCTTTTGCTTGACGAATGGCCGTGCTTTGGGCTTCTTGGCGGCCTCGTTCAATCTCTTTATCGGTTACATGGTACTTGTAGAACACTTGGCAGATCTTTACTGAAAATTGGACCTTTTCGGCAACGTCTTCCCAAGGGGTAGGTGGATCGCTTTCTCGCATCTTGGCTATCGCTCGACGCTCTGCTAGTCCCAATGGCGTTGGAGGAGGCTATTCAAAGTAATATTACAATTGTTATTAAGAAAAAGTTTACTGATCACCGTGCCCTTCCCTTTTTTTTTCGGCTCACTCTGCTTAGGTATTTACCCTGTCTTTGGCATGCCTCTTCCACATCTGTTGACATGCTGACCCAGAGTGAATGTCATCCTGAACGAGTTTTGCAATAGCGTCCCAGCTCCAACGAGGATGATCGCGCTTAGCTTTCAGAACTATTCGTCTGTCACTTTCAGTCCAAATCGGCATAGCAGTTATACTTAGTCTTGAACGAGATGCTAAAGTAGCTTCGGAGAAGCGATAGAAAGTGTGTATGGGAAAAATAAAGAACTAGTTAAAAGTCCTGAATATTTATAGAAAATTAGTTTTGTAAGCAACATATGTATGATGGCGTTTGTTGTCAACAAGTTAATAATGACCGTTCTTTAATGGCGGTTGTTGTCTGATAGTTTTATGGTGTTTTTTGCTGCTTTTTGAAAAAGGAACAGTAATCAAACATCCACCCGTATTGTTGTCAGTATGTATATATGATGCAAGGTCTGCTGTTGATACGCTATTGGCAACGAATCGTCCTTGCTCATTCAGTGATGATTTTGCTTTACTGATTTCTAAAGTCTGACTTGCCATGTTTAAACACACAGGAGAATGTAAGTTTTGATTTTTCTCTAATGCTTATTATTTTCGTTAGAACAATGTGAAAAATTGCTTAGCGCCATAACTTATTCAAATAGGGCTATCGCTGAGCCCTGCGATTTGTTTAGCTTCGCTTGTGTGCCATTATACTTTGACATTAAAACTCTTTTTAATGATTTAGATTGATCACGTAAAGCCATAGAACAATGTGCCTCTCGGTTTTAGTCATTAAGCAAAGTCCTTCTATTTATTTGGTGCTATAAAGAACGTTTGTATAAGCTACTAAGAGAGAAAGTTTTACACATTATCCAAATATCTATTTAATCATAGTCCTTCTTGTGAGACCATTTCTTCTCGCCGCCCTTGTCACTGTGCTTTTTCCAGCCACTCTTGTGCCAATGACGATCTTTTTCTTTGCCGTAATGATGACTGCCTCCGCCATGGTCATTTTTGTCGTAGTCATCTTCCCACACTGGCACTTTGATGGGTATGTACACAGTCTCTCTACCGCCGTTCTCTGTAACGGTATGCTGTTCGGTTGTCGTCACCGTGGAAAGATCATGGATGGTGGTGAGTGGTATAGATACTGTTGCGGTCTGCACGGTGGTCACCGTTGTTCGAGTGAAATCTCTATCGTCTACGGATGGTTCTTCGCCTGGAATTGTCTGTGTCGTTGTCGTAGTATGCTCACTCGTTTCAGTGATTGTTGTCACTCCTCCTTCATTACCCACAGTTTCAGTCGTTGTAGTCACACCCGTTTCCGTGGATACAACAAGGTTGGTGGTTGTTGTCGTATCTGTGTTTGTGAGCACTGTGATGGTTCCAATCGATCCTTGCGTTTCTGTAGTCGTTGTGATCGATGTCTCCGTTTGCGTCTCCGTTGTTGCTGCTGTAGTTGTGGTCGTGCCTACTTCAGTTTCGGTTGTTGTTTCGGTTGTTGTTGCTGTGTCGATCGTTGATGTCACTAATGTTGTAGTGCTGAGGGCAATGATAGGGGTTATTTTAACTTGATTACTTGGTCTATTGCTGGTGTCATGTGCATAGACAAGAGAAAGCCATAGGGCTCTGATGACTCACCAAATTTCAATCACTTCTTCGTTTGGAACAAGCGGCAGGCATCCGGTGTAATTAATATCACATCCTGTTGCGCTAAAGTCTCTGATAAGACCGCTGTTTCCATCTTGCCAGTAGTAGTCTAGTCCAATCACTTGTCCAGCAAATGTTCCTGTGGGGGCGTCTTCGATATGACCTATGAATAATGTTTTCAGTATTAGTGTTCAGTGAGTCGTACCATTTCTATGCCACTCCTCTTACTTACCAAGTGGAGCAAGGATCATTCCCTGCAGTTCGCCATCGTTCTCTCGATGGAGTGTAAATGAGCCATTTGGTTCATAATTGCCATCGCTATCCACAGGATAAAAGTTAAAGATGGTACGGCAAGCGTTGAATCCGCCCGCATGTGGACGGCGTGTTCTGACGTAAATGGTAGCACCGTTATCCACAGGGATCTAATGAATACATCATAAAAAAAGCGCCGCCAGAATGGATGTTATTAGTAGTTAGAGCAAAAGATGCAAGACGGTGCATTAAATTTAAAACAAAACAGCTTATTACATTGAGGACGATAGTTTTGTCCGTCGGAAACACTCTTCCGTTAGCGAGACCGTTCCAGTTCCCACTGCCCAAAAGTATACGGTCTGGATACGACATTCGATCTGGCCACAAGTCTGCACAGCTGCCATCAAAGACAGTACATGTGTCGAGCGCCATAACATAGTAATTCTCAGTTCCTGCTGCGACAGAGTTGCTTTCGTCGATCGTTAGCTGATCGGATGGGTCAAGCACCATATTTGGCGGAAAGCTTGCTAATTCTTCGCTTGCCACAAGATATGCATTGTGCATGGCGCCAAAATCGAACTGTCCGGTGGTTCCTTCATTGAGTGGACAGCCTGGTTCGACTACACTAACGTGATCTGTCGTGCCGCCGCCATCCAGAAAACCTGCACCGTGTACTAAAGCGTCGTTGGTAATGTCTACTGCGCCATGCACAACAAGACCATAATTGCGGAGTGGGTTGGTATCCAGATCAGAGCAAACGCTACTGGGGTAATGGGTGTTCAAATCAAAGTCGGTGCCCAACAAGTTGCCGTCAACGCCTAGAGGACCCCAGATTTCTTGCGCATTTTGTGCGTTGTAGTCACCGAATACGATGACGTTAAAGTATCGAATCTATACATAAAATCGTATAAGTATTTTACTTGAGCTCTTTTACTGGTGTTGAATGAGCGAAGGAGACATGATAAGAAATCTTCTTTTCACGTACCGTCCGCGTAATATTATCGGACCCATCCCATGTGCACTGATCCAGGGCTTTGTTGAGCCGTTGTTCCGTATCGTTACCAGGAGCTTCGTTTCGCCCGGGAACGGTGATTGTCTGCGTATAGGTCGCGTCGATGTTGGTGGTCACCCAAGCAGTTTCAACTGAAGGAGGGACTTCAACTGACGTAGGTGTTTCTACAGGTACTGTGTAATAGTGGTAGGCAATATGATCGTTTAGATGCTTTCTGTCATCGTCTTTGTCCTTATCGTAATCATAGGCGTCGTAGTAATCATCAAGATAATATTTATTTTTCTTCTCGTTGTTGTTGTAATGAGATGCTTCAACACCGACAAGTTGGTTACTGGATAACACTAGAAGATAGGCGCTACTGATGGCAGCAACTGCGCAACATAGTTTCGAATGACGGTAGTTACGGGTCATGCGAACGAAGAATGATAATGATATAGATAGGAGAAATATCGGCTTCAAAAGCTTCTTTTTGTTATCTCTTTATATATTTTAATCTTTCTATGGAAAGTACAGCATTCCTAGCTTCGGGGACTTGTATATTATAATCCACTGTGCATGTTGCGCATGGAAAATACTTACATTCTTCAAGGCTCCTAAGACTATGTTAAGCGTATAGTTTGTACATTAGAAGCAACATCATATACATCCGTCGATTTATTAGCTACTGTGTCCTTTTGCTAATGAGTAACATTCTATGTGACCGCAACTTTGAGTTTAACAGTAAAAGGCGGTAAGAGACGGATGCGCGTCGGTAAGAGTCAGTGCAGTCGACACCCCCGTACGCAAAACGAAGTTATCCAGTCAAATTCTCCTCCTCGGTAAGTGTAAAGACATCTTTATTGAATTAATTTTTTATTCGCATGGAAGATTAATCGTTGAATTATGCAACAAAGATTACGATTGGAAATCGAACCTTGCTTCTTCTAATACCGGAAGTTGCAAATTACTTTGTAATTGACAATTAAGTAGCTTACACTTGGGAATTTTTAGACGCGACAGTCCCTTCACCCCTACAAAAATGACGCGATCTACTTTTTGTATAAAAAAGCTTTCGGTGTCATGCGTGAAAGTGTTAACTATTAAACACCACTTTCGTGCGGACGATGCCGATTCGAACAATCAAGAGGAGTGAACACCACATGTTAGCTACTTAATTTGATAATTTTAATTTTTAGGAGAATGCAGTAGCAGAACATCATCCCTAGTGGTAATTTTTATGGTTGTGGTGCTGCTTCTCATACAACCATTTTCCATCATCACCACCACTCTTCTCCCAGTGTTTCTTTCCATGATAATGTTGGCGTCGACCACCTCTTTCTCCCTTATGATATCGTTCGTCATGACGGTCATTTTCAGTAACAAGATTACCTTTCCAACCAGCAGGCACTTGGAAAGGTATGTAAACAGTTTCGGTGCCTTGCATTATGGTTGTTGGCTGTGCTTCGATTATGGTAACAGTCTTGGCACTGTTTTGTAAAGCAGATTGTTCATGTACGGTAACTGTATGGGCTTCAGTAGGCGTTAATGTCTCGGTGGAGATTTCGACACGGGTAAGCGTGACTACATTGGTAGCGATTATTCCCTCCCTTGTCTCTGATGGAACACTATTGCCACCGATTTCCGCGACAGTAGTACCACTTTCTACTACTATTGTCTCCGTCTCGGTTGTTGTAGTGGGAATCAATCGATCATATATCTCTGTAACTGTTGCCTCGGACAAATTCGTCGAAACTTCAGTAGTTGTGGTAATCTCCACATCAGTGGTAGTAGTCGTGGTTGTATCTGAATAGCTTGTAATGGTGCCCAAGGATCCTTGCGTCTCCGTTATAACTGTGACTGATATGTCGGTTTCCGTCAGAACCCGAGTAGTAAGTTCTGTTTCTGTAATGTGAGATGGAGTAACTTGATCGACTGTCAACGGGGTTAAAGTCACTTCGACGGTAGTGGTGATTACGCCTGTTTCGGTGAGCGTAACCGTCGCCATGTTTGGCCCTTCGGTTGGAGTGCTTTGAAAAAATTGAGGAGCAGTGGTAGGAGATGTTATTATATATTTAATGTTAAATTTAAGATTAGATGACTCACCTGGACAAAGTTTCTTCACCTGAATCACTGCTGTCAATAGTGATACCTTCATCCGGGTCGATGACATCAACAGCAATTAATGGCAAGCAACCGGTAAAGTGCTCATCACAGCCAGTTTGACTGAAATCTCGAAGGGAACCGCTATTGCTGCCATTTTGTCCATAATACTGGCCAACAACTTGACCGGCAAAAGCTCCTGTGGGGCCGTCCTCAATGTGGCCTGTTTATTTAAACACGGATAATAATAGGTGGAAGTGGAAACAATTGAGAAAGTTAACATTCGCTATTAAAGTAATGAGCGATCTTCTTTAGTTACTTACCAAGTGGAGCGAGAATCAGGCCTTGGAATTCACCTCCTGTTTCTCTTCGTAAAGTAAACGAGCCATCGGGTTTGTAATTGCCATCAGCATCGACTGGGTAAAAATTGTAAATAGTGCGACAAGCATTTAATCCAGCTGCATGTGGACGGTTTGTTGAAATAGTGATAGTAGCACCATCATCTACAGGTATCTGTTGTGTGGAAAAAAATATGCGGAATAGGGTATGTTTAGTATAGGTCCTAGTGAGACTTGTACCAGAAGTGGTGCTTTATATAGTCAGCTTACATTGAAAGCGTAGGTCTTGTCAAGTGGAAACACTCGTCCATTGGCTAAACCATTCCAAGTTCCAACGCCAAAAAGCATATTTCCGGGATACGACATTTGAGTTGGCCATATCTCACATGCACCATCGACAGCGGTGCAAGTATTGAATGCAAGTACGTGATAATTTTCAGTCCCTTCTGCAGCAGCAGCAGAGTTGTCAATCAATAAAGTCTTGCGATCAGTAAGTACGGTATTGGGAGGCATACTTGCAAGTTCCTCGCTGGCCAAAAGATAAGCTCGTCGCATGGCATAAAAGTCAAAGTTTTCCGTACTACCCTCAATTAAAGGGCAGCCTATGTCCACCGTATTCACATTGTCTACTGAGCCGCCACCATTTAAAAACACGGCACCATGTACCCTGGCATTATTCACAGTTGTTGTACCATCGACTACCAGGCCATAACTGTAGAGCGAATCTGTGTTCAAATCACTGCAGGTGTAGGCTTGGTGCGAATTAACTGTAAAATCGCCACCCGTGAAATCACCGTTTACAGCCAAGGGTCCGTTGATAAGTTGTGGTGTTTGTGTATCGTAGTCGCCAAATACTACGCCGTTAAAATATCGAACCTGAGGCATCATAACATCTTATGAGCTTAGCGCTTTTCTTTCTCGCTGTGCCTTTGTCCGTAATATACAAACCGTTTGAGTAACGTTGTCACGCCCGTCCCAGGAGCATTGATCCAATGCTTTATATAGACGTTGATTTACTGGGCTAGAACTGACGCCAGCTGGAGGAGGGATGCCGGCGTACGGAATAGCGACACCAGCAGTAAGGTATTCAGTGTACGTCGTGTCTATAATCACCATTTCCGTCACGACCGGAACTTCAGGTGAGGTTGTGGGTGCTTGTACCGGCTCCGTATAATAATGAAACTTGATGTGATCGTCATCATGGCCATGATCATACTCTTTGGCATACTCATTCTTGTTGTTGTTCCTGTTCTTGCCGCTGCCATATGAATTTTTCCAATGCTTCCATGAGGAACCAGCATCAACTACTGCTACCAAAGCGAAGCTGCATAGTAGAATGAAGAAAGTAATTGAAGTTGTTGAAAGTGCTGTAAATGAATTTTGTAACATCTAGCAGCAGTATGAACGATAATTATTACAAAGATTTGAAAAAGGGAATGCATGATACACTTTGAATAGCGTATTTTATAATGATTTATTCGGAGCAATGATACAAGCAGCTTCTGCAGAGTAAAAGACTCAAATTCCGCGTCTCGGGAACTTGTTACTAGGCAATAAAGTACAGTTACATTCTAGAAGCTCCTTTCCCCAAATTGTTATTCCCCCTTTCTCATACGGCTTTTTACAAATGTGACAACAGTAACACCTTAAAACGTTTATTATTGCAATGCTACTGGGCCTGTAATGATCATTAAAAAAGCACACGGTCTTTAAAAAATAAGCGACAGTACCAATATGAAATTTGAGCAGTTCACATTAAGATTGGCAACGCCACTGGCATGTGCACATAGCATGAAAACAGTGTCAGCTACAGAATATTCTACTATGTGAAGACACTACTACGCATATACAAACAGGACAGATCTAAACATCAATAACTTGACGGGATAACTTGGTATAATCTTAAGCAGTGATGGTACATTCCATATTCAATCTATCTATGAGTATTACTAGTATACGTGTATCAGTATCAGTAAAGTTGAGAGACACTAGCATGAGAGATTGGTGGCAAGACCCAACAAGTTGGATGATGTAATTTCCCTAATGAGCTTATATACTGGGCCTTTTATACTGCAAAGAAATCAAGGCAAACATCATTTAGTTTGGGTTGGCGATCTGGTTCGTGTATATGTGAATATGAGGATGGTCTGTTTGCTTTGCGATACGGTTTTTTATTTTGCCACCAGCAATTTGCAGTCATTGTTGGTATAGTCGTGATGGTAAACCAGCTGTATTGTTTTTGAGAGCACACATGCGAATGCACAGCCTATGGTTTTCTCGACGACTCAAGCACAAAAGGCTCATTTGCAACTACATAACTGCTCCAGAGAAAGCACCAACAAGTACTAAGCGCAATGGCAGTAGGAAGATATAAAAAAAGATCGCGTTTATTACAATCGTCACTCGATCTGCCCAATAGTTACAATTACATTATTTAAGAAAGTACAATAAGAAACCAAGTTTATTTGATGTTGCTTGACAAGTCGACCGACTTTTATGAATCCTTCGTTCCCCAAGGGAGGTTGCCCTCCCTTGTTCCCCGCAAGCCTCAGTTCCCGGCAGAACCTACACCTCTCCCTTTCTTGTCCACAAGCCTCAGTTCTCGACAGAACCTACTCCTCCACAGTTCCTACAAATAAAAGAAATATGATAGCACAAAGGTCTGTCAGCGGCGAACATATACGTACCCACAAGGGAGGTTGCCCTCCCTTGTTTTCCGCAAGCCTCAGTTCCCGTCGGAACCTACACCTCTCCCTTTCTTGTCCACAAGCCTCAGTTCCCGACAGAACCTACTCCTCCACAGTTCCTACAAATAAAAGAAATATGATAGCACAAAGGTCTGTCAGCGGCGAACATATACGTACCCACAAGGGAGGTTGCCCTCCCTTGTTTTCCGCAAGCCTCAGTTCCCGACAGAACCTACTCCTCCACAGTTCCTACAAATAAAAGAAATAGCACAAAGGTCTGTCAGCGGCGAACATATACGTACCTCTTTGCACACACTCTCGCTTTCAGTTTTTGAGGAAGATAAAAAACCAAGATGAAACAAAGAACTTTGCAAATGTACAAAAGATGAGCAAGAGCCAGTCGTGCACGACTAGCTCCCTTCAACTATGCACACCCACAGGGACACTCGAGCGGGATGAAAAAAAAAAGAAAGGTAAAAAGTGATAATGAAAGAAACACTGCAAATGTACAAAGATGAATATGAAGACTAAAGAAAAGAATAAAGGGCAAAACGCGCAGTCGATTCTTTTTTTTTATGAGCCCGATAAACAAAATGACGGAGCTTAGAAATTTTGTTGTCACTACTGCCCTAAGGAGCCAGTGAACTGCAGCAATGTGAAGAAGTGCCTTGATGATAATTATCGTTGTAGTCTGACGACTGTCATGCTAGTGTCTTTTTCTTATGGTGCGTATATGTTTGTTTCACTATGCGGCTCCGCTTGCCGTGCTCCGCTCTGATCCAACAATTGTCGGCGACGGGTCTGTGCGCTTTAATGGAACAAAGAACCGGCGATATAAAAAGAGTATTTTTTTTTTCATTTTACCGTTGGACAAACTGTGTGTTAAGCTGAAGCACCACAGCAGCATTATGCTTGTATGGATCGTACAGTTTACGTGCATAGAGCGCTCGTTATTCCTAATGATACCTCAACGGATGCAGCCTGCGGTCGACAATTTATTGAGTAAAAGATCCTTTAATCAATATCCGGTAGAACTGGATATCCTGGAAATCAAAAACTAATAAGGTACCGGCGAGTGTGAAGATGCTGAGAAGCATTTGTACAACAGCAGCCAATTTATGAGGTGAACGGATTGCTGATGTTACTGCTGGCCCAGCTACAGGCGCGATTATTCTTGTGTGTGCCCTTGTCAAAAACGACGATCGCGTCAAGTCAGTACCCGAGCGCACGAGGTTGAACAGAGTCGAACAGAAGACGGCAGCAGAGGACGACCTCAAAGCTGTGGGCGTGTGATACGCAACGCCATTCACAGTAACCATAGACTTCAAAGCACAGTATTTTGGTATCGCTCATGACAGGTACAGCTGTGGGTCGCTCGTTGTCACGTTTATGCAGTATGGAGAGCCAGCAGGATTATTTGCGTGGTGGTTCTCAATCAGGCATGTTTGAGTGATCGCTACAATAAGAATGGCCTGTGGATCCCAACATTTGAAGATCAACAGTACTATGCAACCTGGCTTTTGGACCTTCTTCTCCGACGCATGCCATTGCGGATAACCATGACAACATTAGAGTTCAGGCAGGACAACAGGAGCAATATGATCCATATCGACCCAATCCACATGCTAGCTGGTTGTCTCAAGCATCCGCCATCGATCCTTTCGGTACAGCAGCTGCATACAATTACGCTACACAACTACATCAAGCTTCTGCAGCAACCTCATCAGTCGAACGCCCTCCTACTACTGTCATCCGCAAATCCACCTATAACAATCTCCATGCACCCATCTTCCATGTCAGTGCTCCGCCAGAAGTCGATACGGTACCATAGCGTCATTTCAGCCTTACGTGTACCACCTATTCAAGAGGATGCTTGGTCTTTGGAGGACCATGCTGCCATGTCCAGTGACGATAGCCCTGTCGCCACTACTAAAGGAGAAAACAACAATAATAATGATACCTCGCCAACAATGCAGCAACAGCATCATCCATAACGTGTCCATCGCAATAACAAGAGCCAAATTTAATTTCATAGACAAAGTTTTTCAATGCAATGCTACAATTTGCCTTGTTGTGTTTGTATTGCATTCCAGCCCTCTCGTGTATGCATAATTACACAGGTAATACACGTTCAATAGCTCCCACTTCAACTACCCAGAAATGTCTTTTGATGCTATTGCCTATGTATTTCAACCATCGACCAGCACCGCTATTGACTGTCTTTGTAAGAGTCTTCACTCTCTTTCAATACGTATCCAGGGTTATCACTTGTCACTTGCGGTGATTATGTGCAAGTATAATCTGAAATGGTCGTACTTGGGTACACAGATCTAGTGTACAGCACGCTTAAACGCTTGGATGGCCGTTTCAATTCCAGACCAGGATTTGGCCCAAGTGTAAATTCGCTGCCAAGCGACTTTGACTTTAATCTAGTCTACGACATTAAATATATCACTTTTTCGGATACCCTGTTAATGGGTGCAAGCTATTCTTGTGTCGTGCAGTAAGCTCTCACCAGTGTAAACGAGCTATTCTGCCTTCTCTGTCAATCAACCATCTTTTCCACAAAAGATTACAAAGAAGAGAGCAAAAGAGCGATAATGTATAGAACATTTTACTAGAGGATACGCTTCGGATTTCAGAGATGTTCGCCTCGAGATCAATCGTAAAATATGAGCCAAAGCTCACTTTATTTCAAACCCCAATCAAGTCAACTCTTTAATATACTCCCTTGGAGAGTTTGATATTAACGGGGAGCCATATCTCAAATTTCTAATGTTGCTTCTAAAAACAGACAACATTAATATCGCGATTCCTAAGCAGAGCGATATCAATTTGAGCACGTGACATTAAATTTTGCTGCCAAGTGACATTGAACTTTTTATTAGGCCTGCGACATATAAGTTTTTTTTCCCTCTTTATTCCCATTCGATCTAGCATTTACGTCTGTTGCACCATGGTACAAGGATCATTAAAAAAGACTGGTGGCGGTCAAAAGAAACAGCCCAGAAAAGCCAAACAAATGAAGAAAGGAGGTGTGTGTTTGTTTTTACTTTATATTCCATTTCAACAGTTATGAAAATCAACGATCTTTTATACTGAAATCTACTGCACTTTTTAAGCTCGAACGATCGCACCCAAAAAGACAGCACTCGTCACTCAAAAGACCCTCGAAAAGAAGCTGTCAGCCAAAATCAACAACAACATTGAACGTGAAATGTCCATGAAAGCTAATGCCGTTGGCAAACTTACGGTTATGAAGAAGCTGGCAGAGACCTCGATCGCTGAAGCAAAGAAAAACAGCAAGAAGGGCAAGAAATAATCCCTGGACTCGACAACACACAACAACACAGCAGCAAACCATCTCCCTTTTTTCTAATATTGACAAACGAAGATTGCCGTTCCCATATCTCATCTTTTTGTACCATATCATATCATCATCGCTATCCTCCTCTTTTTGCTACTTTTTAATACATGCCTTTCTTTATATTTAATTTTATGTGCACTTGAAATGCTACAAGCCTTCTATGATGCCAAAGTTGAGGTCGGTGGATGTTGTCCTGCCGCTTCTTCTTTTGCTACGGGATACGTAAATGTAGAGGTGCAATTGGGTGCCGTAAAATCTGGAAAGGTATTAAAGATCCATAAGGCAACACCGTTCGTCCATCCAAATCCAACTTGTACAGTATCTATATTAAGAGTTGATGATGTTCAGCCTAGATCGCTCGGGCTAAAACGTTTACACGCACAAAATTTATGGATATGAACTCACATTCACCACCTGAACCAGCAAGCCCCATGTTTCGCACATCAAACTTTTCAAACATGTGTCCATTATCGTCCGTATTCGCTGAAACCCGGTCCAGCAATCCAGGCAATGATCCACCAGTCTTGTACCACGAGCAAAATGCCGAGGCTGCGTTGCGTTCAGCCAAGGTCCGAGCCAATCGAACAAACTGTCCTGTGTGATGATCACTGCCAATCCATGCATCCGCATTCAAGATGGCACGCATGGTAATATACTGCAAAGGTGGCCAACCATTTGGCCAATCCCATTGAAGGGTTGTATTATACGTCGATGTAGTCAATATGCCTTGACTCGCTTGCAGTGCTTCAATGACATGATCAAATGCACGGGGCAAAGCAGCCTTGGCTCGTGCCGGTAAACTGCCTAACCAGAACGGAACCATCCCAGCCGGCGTGAACTCTACGTTTTGTTGTTGACTCGTCATATTATAGTCATAGAACGCATTTTCGCTGGCGTTCCATAAATATGTATCCATGGCTTCTAAGCGTCGTTCGGCTTGACGCTGGTAGTATTGTTGTTTTTGAGGTGCAGCATGGTGCCATTCTGATAACGTGATTTCCATGTTCCAAAGCATTGCGTTTAGGTCGATGGGGATGATGTTGTGTGCGTTGAGATGGCGTAGGATGCTCAATGGGTCGTTGTTTTCAATGCTTTTGGTCTTGGTCCATCGCGAAGAATAGTCCCATCCGGACTCGGCTCCGGATGCCAAGTTACTGTACACTTTGGTGCGCTCGGTTTCATTTAATGGTTTGTCTGATAAGTAGACGGCGTCGTGATCTTCAACATACGATTCGGGTCGTGGAGCCGTGCTATGTACATAGTATCGGTTGAGTACATGGTCCTTGTCGAGTTGTACTGTCGTATTGGTAAGCCAAAAGTTGTATTCCTTGTCGAGTACAGGTAGTGCCTTTTGCAAGAACGCCTTATCGCCTGTTTTCTCATAGTATATTTTGATCATTTCTGTCAATAACGGTGGCTGTGATCGGTTCAAGTAGTAGATCCGTGCACCATTGGCTGTTTATTTTTTGAGTAAACAAGGTCAACACTCTGACTTGGCCTATCCTCAAGTAAACGAGAACAAAGAAATCTCTGGGTATATACTTGCGCATGAAACCATAGGTATCCACAAAGTCCAGCAAGTTCTCGATCATGCCCTTGGCCAGTTCGTCCAAACCGCTCAATAATAACCCTCGAATCACAAAATACGTGTCCCTAAATGACGACATATTCTTTCAACATCTTCATAATGTTTTCTCACTTTCTCTTGCACTCTTTTTTTTCCTACCACTACTACTACTACTACTACTACTACTAACCATCAATCACCACCACACCGAGAATCAATTGAGTTCGGGCTCACACATACCAATAATAGAATTCACGAAATCTTCCGCCTGGAATAACAAAGGGTCGTTTTACAGGCAGTGTACTAGACACACATCCGTCACATAATTTGGACGTATCGAATTGAAAAGTAAGATTAAGCCACGCGTCATTGAGCACTGAAAGCCATCCACGGTAGATGGGGTCTTGTACAGTTTCTAACCAGCTTGGTTCTGGTGTAGAGTTGTCATACTCCTGGACATCAGAATGATATCGAACCAATTCGGCGCCGGGCTGAGCAAAATTTTGGATCACGAACGATGCAATCGCTCCACGCGACGCTTCTTCTCCGCCAATCGCTTCAAATGCATCAAGAACTTCGTTTACAGGCTTTTTTGTGGGCTATGACAAATATATACGCCTATATAAGTTGATACTAGAATAGAATTATTTCACTTTCTTCCGTTTTATCTTACCATATCAACGAATGTTTTTGAGTCTGGAAATAGTCGAGCGAGCTGCACTGTACGTAGTAACGGGCCTTCGCAATAGATCGGCGAGTTGCAGGTGTTGGTGCTGCTGCTGCTGCTATTGGTTGCGCCATGTGCTATGAGTGTTGTGCTAGTAGCTGCGATGGCACCAGCAGCAATGCACATCCATAGATAACCATGATACATATGTACCGGAGATATGTTTTTAAGTAGAAAAGGGGATTTGAAAAATAATCAACAAGAGGTAGTATAGTAATAGATAAGATCAAATGTGGGGGGGAGGGGTTTATCGAATATAAATAAGTTGGGAGATAAGCAACGTACGTAAAGAAGAAACAGTGATTACAATTGATAAGAGAAAATGCTGAACAAACAGTAGATGTAAATGTGGTAAAAGGTATGTTTCTCCTTTCTTTATATTGCGACGTCTCGTAGTCGTGTAAGTGTGTGTGTGTGGAAGAAAGGTAGATTTAAGTGTTTCTTTCAATACTATCCGAGACCAATGATACTGGTTTGAAGCTGGTTTGACGAAAATGATAAAACAAACAAAAAACCAGCAGATGGAAGGAAATAGGAAGGAGAGAGAGAGAGAGAAAGAAAGAGCAAAAAGGGGACGGCGGGATGTTTTCGAACCGTTCGTAGTTTTTCTTCAATCTTACGCCCATTGACGGCTGCATGAGACACCTTCTATGTCACTTGTATCGAGATCCACATATCCTCTCTTGAACTTTTTCTCTTTCATTGATCAACGACTGTATCTGCTAAACCTGTGGGCGTAATTGGGGCAGCAGAAGTCTCTCAATTCTCCCTGGAATTGCAGACATATGCATACATTGAGAGCGAGAACGAAGTTTGCATTTTGGTATTCGGTCATTGCTCGCTTTTTTGGAAAAATATAAATGTATAAATTCGTGCAGCATTTATGCAGCGACGACAGCAAAGCTACCCTGTGAACGGATGGCCACACCCCCCTCATTTTTGTGTCAGTTTGACGATATGGCTCACTATCCAAGAAGCAACATAATAGAACAAAAATTTTCCGATCCTTCTTAATTAAAGAGAGAAATGTTCCAGACTTTGAAGAGAGCCCTCATTGTTCTCTTTTTTTTTTTTTTTGCTTCGGGTCACAATAGGCAAATAGACTAAGTGTATCAGTTCTTTTTTATCTATTGGAGGTGTTTGTGTATATTTATTATATAATGATAATATGGAACTTTTCTTTTGGGGGAGTTGGAGAGGAAAGTAATGTACAAAGAGGACCGGGAAGATGGGAAAAACTAATCCTCCAAAACGTCCTTGAGTGATTGTGTTGCAGAACCGCGTTTCTTGGGCAACGGTTGCGTTGGTGATGGCTTCCAGCCAATCTACAGACAGAGATCTTATCAGATTTTGTGTGTGGAAAAGTAACCCTAACTTACCATGTATATGATCTGGAAAGTAGCAGGCACCGTTCCGTCTGGATTGCCATGTAATTCTATAACGAGCAGTCGATTTACACAGAGTTAATTTCGTAAATGATAACAATAGCCGCTTTTTCTTTTCTCTTTCCTATTTTACCTTTATAGATTGAGGCAGCTGCCATTAAAGTATCCCGCTTTATGATAGGTCGTCTATATATTCAATATGGAAAGAAAAAATACACGATGAGCGATCATACTTCACTTCACATATTCTAACTTCCAACCAACACAAAATATCTCCCATATCTTTTTCTGTTTACCTGCTTAAAACGGCATTGTTTTCACCCATGGCCTTCAAATCTTCCATCAGTTCGAACATAGATGGATAATCCACAACAATTTCATCCACATCGACTGTAGTAAGTGTGAATCCAGCACGCGAAAGTAGACGTGCAATATCGCTTGAATCTAGATAGTATAGTCATTATTCAGTATACACAGCGGATATATAGTTGCGTATCATATTTTGATATGATTGTTATAACAATGCAACGTCAAATGTGGTTATCTGTGTCTGGGTCAAGTCCTTGAAACGAACCTGTCATTGGGGATACGTGAGGTGAGACACCGCTTTCTCGTTCGAGTTCAGCCAGCTGTAACGAGGTTCTGAAAGAAAAGGACGTAGATAATCTATTTAGCTTCCACTTTCTGATACTGCTACTACTAGTACTACTGCTACTAAACCGTCGAACAGTGGGGGGGGAACATATACGTACCGCAATTCAAACAATGTATCGCCTCCAAAAAGTGCACCCACAAATACGCCGTCGGGTATTAAGGCTTTGCGGACCTGGATCAGTGCGCCTGGTAGATCATTCACCCAATGCATCGACAAACTGCTCACTACCGCTTCTAAAGAATCCTCTTCAAAAGGCAAATGCTCTTCATCGACAACGCGTCTCTCTACCTCCACTATATTGCAAGCAAGTCTTGTTCTTTAGCATTCCAAACTGCTATCTTTGTCATCCCATCCAAAGTATAATACACACGAACGAAATGATGGGTTTTTACCTGGAGCATAATTATCAGCGTCGCGACGTAGTGCTTGCTCTAATTTGTAGAAAAAAAATATACACATCTAGGATTCAGCCTAAACCTAGCTTACTCTCGTTCAGCATTTTCCCTCTCTCTAAAAATTTATAAGCTTCACAATCTTTTTTACACAAGATCCTTACCTGACATATCACACATGATCAACTTGCCCATCATTTCGTTGTCGACGTGTTTAACAATATGTCCGCAACCCGATCCAAGATCCACAACTGTTTTGAAATCGCGTTTGATATCCTAATATGGTTTCGTTTTGTGGTATAAACGTTATTTTTTTTAAGCAGACAAGAGAGAGAGAGAGAGAGAATCGTTGCTTCTTACAGCTAATCGATCGGCTACACGAGCAGCGACTTCGTCTTTAAGATAATCAACAGTACGACTGGTTTCAACTTGCGAAGCTGCACGATCCTTTTGCATGAGTTTCACGTTACGGTTGAAAACTTGAAAATTGGCCGCGCCGGGTGCTGCTGTTGCATAGGATCGTCGTCGCCATGCTGGGCATCGATGCACAAGACGTGTTGTAGCAGCAAACATGGTAACAAAAGTTATTATAAGAAAAAGAGAGACAACCAGAAAAGTCCGGGGCAAGTTTGGTAAATAAAAACTCCGTTACTCTTTGCATTTATTTGTACTTACAAAAACCTCTTCCTCCCGCTACCATGATTTCATTTTTATATGTTCCATAGTTGCCGTGCCATGTTAACAACTAATTCAATCTCAAACGTACAAAGTATCATATGTTACCGATTGCTCAAACACAATTAGGAACACCAGGGTTGGTACTGTACTCTTAGGGGCCAAACTGATATTGGCATCAGCGTACCTGTATTTATACAGCAACCATTATTTGGAACTTTGGTCAACTTAAGCACGTATGTACATTTCACTCAGTACTACCGGTCACTTCAGTTATTGAATGCACAAACGAGAATACAATGGCTAGCGAAAGTGCAATCATTACAAACAACGCCTTATGTTCGGGTAAGAAGTTTCTAACTCACTTCATTGGTTATATAGAGTCCATTCGTTGCTTACTCCTGCTACTTTCATATTATTGGCATGTATTATTGGGGATGGCTTGAGAGCTGGTTTCGCTGTTGACTTTTTTCCGGCTTCAACACTGTCGAATATGGTCAAAAGTATGCCATGGTTAACATTTGAAATAAGTGGAAGGTATCCGCGTTTATTAGTATCACGTAGATAATGTACGATCATTAGTATCACTGAACTTCTTCACTAATGCTATTAAGGTAGCTTTTATATGAACAGACAGTATGTCCCATGCCCCATGGATAATTCTCTCCCGTTGATACGCCGCTCACTATTGCGACCAGAGCAATGCGGTCTGTTTGTCAGCGCTACTAAGTAATCAGTAGAGAGTGACACTCGAACTGCTCGAGTAGTGCTGTTAATTCAGCTTACGGAATCATCTCCTGCCAAATCTCTACTACAAAGCTTCGACTACGCGGTGCTTGCGTTTGGCTCGCCCGACATTCCAGAACTGTAAACTGAGGATTAAGTGATATTATTGCTACATCAAAAGATACAGAACTGACTCGTAACCTAATCAACTCGCATAGACTCGTGGGAGCTCTGAAAAAAGGAAGTAGAGGTGATGCGCTTGATTTGCGTTGGGTATCTAAACTGTACAGTAACGTAGTTTTGTATCAACTACCATTAGAAACCTTAACTTGAAACTTCATGAATATCTAATTGTTGCTTGCTAGACAACGTTGAAGATCCGAAACAGTTTAATTTCTGCTATGATCAGCACGAGATATGCTCGAAGGAGAATTTTAGCTACTTTTTTAACAGATTTGCATAGTAACGACTACTAAACGTTGCATTGAGTTAATGTAAACTGCCCTCTTTTATTTGGACATTTCGAAATTAATAAAAAGCACTATCAGTCTTCGCACGATAATTGATGTAAATGTATATATGTTACTGTTGTGTGTATATCTACAATAGCTTTCAACGGCGCCAAACTTGCCAAGTTTTTAGAAGCGAATTGTTTTGTGCTGCTAATGATGAGTCAAAATAATAATGTGCTTAACTTTTATCTATTACATTTCAAGTAAAAGCCATTTCAGTTTACCCCTTCCCTTCTTTTGTTTTTCAATGATCGCTGGCGGTACTACTATATCAAACTGCACCAATATCCGTATCCGGCAAGCCAGTATTTTAAAAGACATCCAGAAATGAGTTGACGTCCATATAATTTTTTTGTGAGCGTCCAAGTCTCGAGTATATAAATATATTACATGGAGCTATACTACTGAGATTCTTCATGCAATCTAACGAAGCCACTTTAAAATTTTTGATTTGCTTGACGCTACTTTGATATCAACACTAGCGAAAGTATCAAATGTAGGGGATGATGATAAGGGAAACCCGATCGGATATATACGTTTACAGTAGTTTGATCCAAAGATGATAGTAGTGTGGACACACTCAGTCGATTACCAACTCTACCACAAGCTCGGTGCAACGGCGTTTAGTTGCAAGTTAGTGCAGGTTAGGATTTCTTGATATTGTAGAAGCAATGAAGATCCAGCTATAGTTGATACTTCGATGCTCCAATTGGTTAATCAGTATTCCACTTTTTACGAGAGCATCATTAATGGTGGCTGGGAGAGAAAACCCCCTTCAGTCACCAAACTTTGAGCGACAAACAAGACATACCAGCTCACCTCCAGAGCGATAGTTGGCTTTATGTGATAATAAATATTAAGCTGTAGGGATAGCTTTTGCTATTGTTAGAGGTGTGTGTAATATCCCAACTCATTTGTACGTTAAACCTCTCTGGTTTCTTTTTTTCATTTCCTCCCACATCATAATACTAATAATAATGACAATGAGGAGTCTGTTCGCTATATTGTCAATAATTTCGAAGTAGTGCGAGGAGATAAGAGCAGCGGCAACAACAACAACAGCAAGGAGCTGCATCATAATGGGTTGGCGGTCATGCTGACGGTGTTGAGAATTTATGACTACGGCAGAGCTATTGTTGATGATGCATTACGAATCAAACTGTAATATATTATACAATATGAATTACCGAGATTATCACGCATCTCTAAAAAGGTGTTAAACACCCATTAATCCGAAAAAATATAAAAAGAGCAATGTTCTTCAGCAGTGACGGAGCAGTATCACTGCCCACCATCGCCAGCATCATTAACAGCAGCAGCCGCAATAGAACAACAATAGCAATATAATGATGCAGCGCTGATTGCCATCATGTCTGAAAAGTCACACCAGACAGCTTTGATCGTCCGAACGTTTTCCGAAGGAAGTAGCAGACTCGCGTGTTCCATCTGCTTTAAGGAACCTATCGATCGAGGATCGGGAAAACGCCAGCTTCAATGCAGACATAAATATCACTCAGAATGTATTGGTAGGTAAATATACAATCAAACTCCAATGCATCTTGTCACAATCTTCGCCACCGTAACCATACATGGTTCCTTCCATTGTACCTGGTGTTGAACGTGAACATTCTTTTTCATTGTTGCTAGAAGAGCTCGTTGTAAGCTTCCTCGTCGTCAATAGTCATAATAACGGTAGTAGTAGTCATATCGAGTTTCGTGTTTCTTCTGTTAGTGAACGTGTCGACGAGGATGATGGTGGTGGTGGCTCGTTTGGTATTGGTGCATTGCTATTTCTTGACAACATTGCCTGTTGCTGCTGTTGCGATGCATAAACGCCAAGAGCATGCGCGCTGTTTTCGCGCTCAAGTTTGGCTCTGTTGAGTACATGTCTTCTCTTTGGTCGCGAAATTTTCGAGTTAGTTGACTCCCAATCTAGTTAAGTCATGTGGACGAGATGATCTCTAATAAGTTGACTTAGCCGCGTGCGCGCTTTCGCGTTTCTACCTAAAAGAGTGCGTCAAATGCCAAACCTAACGGATTCTGTATAACTCAGTTTGGGTTGTTCCCCAAACTCGGGTCTCTTCTAAAACCGCCTCACGTCACGTTAGTAGAAGTTTGGGCATTGTGAAAATGTTGGTCATTGAAAGTTTCGTATAATCATATAGCAGTTGAGTATATGGGTCTATATCCTATATGTGTGCCGTACCTACACGCCACAAGTGGTTGGGAAGCTCTGATTGAGTAGATGATAATACAAGTGAAGAGAAGTTTAACACGTGCATTTACAAAGGATATAGGAACGAAAGAATGAAGATGGTGTGTAGTGGTCTTTCGTCGTTGACTACTAGTTCATTGTCGATTGCTGGGATGGAAATGGATACATAAAAGAGACTTCGCATTGCTTAGCAACGATTTTGTGTGGCTGGTCAGCGAACTGAAAAGAACTTTCTACATTCTCTGCGTGTGGAACACCAATGGGTCCAAATAGTCTTGGCACCGCTACATAGGACAAATGGCCAGGTGCATCCTCTTGCAGCAATACCATATAGCAAAAAGCTTGAATGTAGAGCAACATGACCGTTGAAGTCCAGTGATATCACGCATAGTACTTTACTGGAATCTAAGGCAGATGCCGTGCGGGTCCCCTGCTTCTTTTTTTTTTGCATGAACTGCTTAAAAATCCAGTAAAACCACGTGCGACGTGTACTCCGACATAATCACCAACCTCACGCACCTCTCTCTTCAAGACACACCCCCCTCTTCCTCCTCGTTACTCTTTTAGCAACCTTTTTCAATTCGTGAATTGACTCCTTATAATTGCATGGCCAGTACCAACACATCATCCGGTATTGCTTCAATTTGGACGGGCGAACCAACGTAAAAAAAATACGAGCATCTCTCATTCTTGTTCGTGTATATAGGCTCGTGGGAGACGTTACTTGACCCACAGGAAAAGGCATCTTATGTAGGATTCTTTCGAACGGCCGACACTGAATCCAAAGGTGTACTTCTCAAAGATGAAGCCATGGCTTTTTTCAAAAAGGCCAACGTTCCCAGCAACATTCTAAATGAGGCACGTAATATATATAACTTGTGCTTCGAAAACTGAACAAGAAGCGAACAAAGGGTTCAAAAGAACGGCGGTTAGCTAACAACAAAAAGAACAAATGATATAATGCAGATATGGGATGCTGCCGATGGTGACAAAAAAGGGTTTCTGACAGACCAAGAGTTCTGTATTGCACTCAAATTGATTGCTTGCGCACAACATGGTATTATTCCAGCAAGTCCTGTATTGAAGACATCAGGTAGGAGGGTGCTTTTTTTCTTTTGTATGCTCATCCGTGGCGTGGACTAGAGAGAGCGAGAAGGGAAGAGGGGGGTTGGGGGGATGCTTCCAGATATTGACAGATGAATTCCAATCTTCTTTAGTACCGTTACCTCAACTTGACGGCGTGCCAGTGCAAACACCACCTCCTGTACTCAACACCAACCGCCCTACACCGGCAAGCCCAAACTTACAAGCCAACAACAGTGGCAACGATGCAATTCTACCCGAAGAACGCAACAAGTACATTAACATTTTCCAGTCGTCGGGACAAGTAGACGGTATTTTGCAGGCAGACAAGGCGCGAGATATCTTTCTACATTCCAACTTGCCACCAGCAACATTACATCAAGTCTGGGCGTTGGCAGACACACGTAAATCGGGTACACTCAACCAAACCGAGTTTATCATTGCCATGCATTACATATCGCGCGTCATGACGGGCCATCCATTGCCTCCTACGTTACCAGCGCCCATTTATGCCGCCGCTGCATCGGGCCGTATGCTATCCCCTGTCATGGCGAACCGGTCGTCACCGACACTACATCGACAGGCTACGGGCGTATTCACAGGTCAACAATCACATCATCCCGGACGAAGCGAGAAGGATATTTCGCCCGATGAGTTTGTGAAATACAAAGGGTTTTTTGAAAAGTTGGATACGAACAAGTCGGGCAATATTTCTGGTACATGAATACTTTTGGGATGAACATGGATTGTGTGTGTGTATAAAAAGAGAAAAGGGTCTTGTTAGATATATTAATTGTGGGTCTCGTGACTCAATAGGTGCGGATGCAGTCGTCTTTTTCAGACATTCCAAGTTGCCTGAAGCGGATCTGGCGCGAATTTGGGATTTAGCAGATACACAGCAAGCGGGTCAATTGGACGTGCAACAGTTTGCAGTGGCTATGCACTTGATAAACCGAAGGATAGCAGGCGGGCAAATCCCCAGCGCACTTCCAGGTAAATATAAAAGGCTGTGATTATATGTCTTGTCGGCTAGTCCATTAGAGCTAACACTATGATTTCAGATAACGTATTCACACAACAACCCGCATTCGCAAATGCTGCAGCTGCACCTCAACAACCTGCTGTCGACTTATTGGATTTAGGATCAGACGCGAGCCAAGCACAGCAACAACCTCATCCACAGCAACCGGTAGCAACCGGCAGTACCATCGCAACACAACGATCCGACGTTGAAGCCAACTTGGCATCTGTCCGGGCAGAAACATTAGCACAAACTGACCGTAACAATCAACTGCGAACGCAACTCAATCATGAGAACGACGCCATTCGTGAGCTCGAACAAGCACTGGAGCGAGAGAAGGCTACGCTAGAATCCCTCAAACAAAATGCGCTAGAGGCTGAGCGTCAGCTGGCCCAGGCAAAGGAAAAGAAGGAAGGATTGACACAGGAACTGCAAATGTACAAGCAAGAAGCCAACCATTTCCAGCAACGTGGCGATAAAGCTCGGCACGAACTCCAACAGCAGCAACAACAGCAACAACAACCTTCCAACTCAAACACAGCTACATCAACGGACCAGCAACAACAACAACAACAGTCATCATCCGCTTCCTCCCCAGCACCTTCAAATGACTTTTTTACGTTATCCAGTGTACCTGCTAACGAGCTGTTTGCAAAAGTCCCAGAAACATCTCCTACAACGAGCCCACATTCTGCCGCCAGCCCTGCCCGCAGGACGTTTGATCCCTTTGCCGGGTTTAAAGAGAGCAACAGTAAATCAGCTACATCATCACCTACCGTGTCACTCAATAGACTCAAAGAAGATGCAGTGGCCAAACAACAAGCACGAGCTGGCACGCCCAATGTCGATATCAGTGCTATTGAAGCCAAATTCCCTGACCTATCCACTATGGAACAAAACTTCCAAACACCCGCTAGCACCGGTAATTCCGCTTCTGCTTCTGCTGCTGCTACTGCTGGTGGTTCCTCCACACCAATCCAATCCCACGCAACAGCAGGAACACCTTCAACGCCCAAGCAAACATTCGCATCACCATCACCTCGACAGCAACCCTCACAACCCTTTACTGCCTCACCTCGACAACCATTTGCCGCTTCTCCTCAGCTACAACAACAACAACCCAACCCGGCATTTTCACCATCACAAGCAAAGTCAGTAGCGAAATATGGATTTGATCTATCTGCTTTTGAAGGCGAATCTTCCACAGCTTCTACAACACCAACTGGACACAGCAATAATAATAGTAGTTCTGTCAAGGACGACCTCAACTCCTTATTTGGCAGTCCAAGTCCTGCCCAACAACAGCAACAACCTGGACCTGAAGCTTCCAAGAACAACAACAGCAGCAATTTTGATGATATATTTGGTGTACCATCATCCACTTCTTCATCACAACAGCCACAACAAAGGCAGCAACCAGAGAGAAAGCCAACGTTTGATGAGATGTTCTTCCCATAAAAAAACCATGTTATAATATACTTATCATGATCATTAATAACATAGCCTTGTACAGACGTATTACTTCCCTTTTCTCTTTCTTTTAATATTATCGCTAACTAGACTTGTTTAAATCCATCTATACACACCGGCATCATAAGTGTGCGGTTATGAATGGGTCATTCAAAAAGATGCTATTGTCCATCCGCACGCACGAAGAACATGCTCCTGACAAATTAATATATAGCAGGGCAAATCAATTACTTTCGAACGATATTCTATGCAAAAGATAGCTTGTACAGTATATTGGATAGAGATGTATCTAAGAGACCGTTATCAGTGTTACTTTTAGACGAGATACCACTATGTAGTACAACTACAGCTTACATAATTATGATTGGGAAAACCTCGCAATTTGCCGTGTCTGAGAGAGTGAGGAGCCCTGCTGACTTTATCAGTTGGATAAAAACCTTTGCAATCATGTGGTAACCCAATATGCGCATATCTTTAACCTTTTCTCTTTTTCCTAAAAATGACTTACAGTATCCCTACCATTGACTTTACAGATTTTTCTGACCGATCAGAGACGATTGCTCAAGAAATCTTCCAAGCATGCAAATCAACTGGCTTTTTCTATGTTGTCAATCATGGCATACCAAAGCAACAAGTGGATCGTGCTTTTGAACTTGTAAGGGAGGGCGGGGAAAGAACAGTTTTCTTTTACATGCGCCTTGTGCAGCAAAGGATGCATTGTTGATCTTTCTTTTGTTTATAATTTATTGACAGAGCAAAAGCTTCTATGATCTTTCGTATGAAGAAAAGTCCAAATACAAGGTCCAGAGTAACTTTCACGGATATTGGGGTCTCTACGTTCAGAGGTATGTATGCGCCGTAAACGAAATATATGTTTTCCCATACATAGAATGTTTAAGATGATAATATTTTCTATGCCACTAGATTGGATCCAGAAAATCAAAAACAAGGAGATCATAAAGAGTAATAAGGCATTCTCCCTTATAAACAATGTTTGACTCTAGTAGCGTATTTGCTTCTTCTGGCTCGACCATATGATAACCGACTACCACTCCTATTATTTTGTTTCGATGCTACAGAGCATATGATTTTCGTCCTTTTCGAAAAGGCGATCCTTTGAACTTGATGCCATCTATGTTTCTGGAAAACAAAGATGAAATCGAAACGTTTGCTAGAGTAAGTTAGCAATATATACATTTCACAGTGCTGATGATCACACCATGAAAAAACGTAGTCGACCTTATATATCTGTTTGTAAATCCGTAGACATGTCATGCTGCAGCAATGCAAATACTGGAAGCTTTTGCCATTGCTCTCAAGGTATACATGATAGTTTTGAAACGAAAACAAAAAGTGCAATCCAAGAGATGTTTTCTGTTACTGACATTACAATGACAAGATTCCAGAAGAAGAAGGAGGTCTTGGATGGTTCAGTGCTCGCCATCGCTATGATGTCCCATTATCGAACGAGCTACTGCGTTTCTTGAAATATCCAAAGGGAGCTGAAGCGACGTACAAGGATCCGGTGCGTACAGGTGCCCATACCGACTATGGTAGCATCACGCTCTTGTTCCAGAAAGATATCCCTGGTCTGGAAGTGCAAGCAAGTCGAACGGAATGGGTCTCGGCGCCTATTGTTAAAGATGCTATTTTGGGTTTGTATATAACAATTGAAAGAGGAACTCTTATTGGAGAACGAAATGATACTTATCTTCTATTTTTATTAACCAAGTCAATGTTGGAGGTGTTATGGAATATTGGTACGAAATGTTAGCGTTGGCTTACCGTCCAACATCTTCAGCAGGAGGTGTATGTCATTTTCTCTACCGATAACTAAATTGCTTTCATTTAAGGACCAACGGCTTGTTTAAATCGACGTTGCATCGTGTCGTTTTTCATCCCGAACACCAAACTCACGATCGTTATTCAATTGCATACTTTGTACAACCAGAAAAGGACGCATCCTTGGCTGCAGTACCAAGCTGTGTGATCCCCCAAACACGACCCGAGTTTGAAGACGTTATACACGGAAAGAAACCTGAATTAGCGATAGTGAATGATTATACGACTTGGCGATATGAGCAGTCGTATCGTCACAAGAAAAAGTAACAATGTGATGACTATAGTATGTAAGCTTGATAAATGATACCAACCTTCTTCAAGCGCTTATCTTCTTTAACTACCATGGTTGACAATATAGCAGCTGGTGTTCTTGATAAGCTAATCTGCTTCTTTTCAAATTCAGCATCTTATCATATCATGAATGAGAACGAACAAAGGGGGTGAACCGTTGAAAGCGGTAATAGCTTTACACATGTCATATTGCGTCGGCGTCTATGCTAGTTGTGTCTATTCTATCATCAAAACATATGCCATAATGAGAAGCACTTACGCATAAGTTTTAATTTTTAAAGAAGAATACAAATATGATGAAGATGATGAAGAGGTGTATATCTTTATATATATTCTAATTTATTTTTAAGCAGTCCAGCATCGCTGGATTAGTTCGGTCAATCCGATCTCATTGGTATTAAATTCAAAGCAACCCCACATCACCAGACCCGTCGTTCCCATCAATGCCCAATTGGCAGCCCGGTGCATGCGTGGATACTCGCGTTTCGGCACATAGTCGATGATACAAGATTCCATGCCGAGGTACAAGTGGAAAGGCAAGATGACACCTAATAAGCCATCACAGATTGGGTGGGCGCCATAGATAGCCTGTGTAGTGAAGAGTGGGATCAAACCAACGGCTCCTACACGTTCTAATGTCCAAAGATAGGCACCATGTTCATATCCGTTTTTGTCATTCGGTGCTGCTACCCCTTCTTTTTTGTTTTTGTTGTCACCCTCTTCTTCTTTTTTGACAATCGTATCTGCTGCTGGCTCTTTTCAAAAAGAATACATAAGTTTTCAAGTAATTAATGATAACAGTAGCTTTGAAGACTATAAATTATTGAGAGAGTTTTTCTTTTTTACCTTCTTTTGGTGGTGTGCCGAGTATCGGGTTAGAGATAGCTGCTGCTGCTTCGGTACCAGCGCCAGCGCTAGCAGGTGTGGAAGAGGAAGGGGAGGAGGCGTTATTATTTACAGTGGCCACTATGAATTCGAATTAAACTTCGTAATCAGAAAAAAAGAAATCCGTTTAAATGGTTTGACAGGTGTTTGATTATGTGAATCAAGTTTGGTGTAATTACATGGTCGGATGGCAAATGCTGTTCGTGGTCGATAAAGTCGTGGTGCGCGAGACAATAATCGTAGTGACATTATGATAGAGTATATATGTGTATGTTTATGCGTATAAAGACCCACACACTTTTCCCGGCAACCCCGGATTGGGAGTTTCTATATTCTAAGCCTCCCGACAACCACACACATGTATAATCTTGCATTGACAACTTTTTTTTTGCTGCGACACCTCCGCACATACCACCTCCACCCCTTTTTTTAGAATGAGTGACGCCCAGAAAGCAAAAGACCAAGAGCCAACAACAACAGACAGTGCCGAATCCGTAACAACCACAAAACAGACAAAACGATCGCTTCCCGAAAAAGACAGCAGCAATAACGGCAACGATAATGAACAAGTAGTAGAATCCAAACGACCTAAATCAGTATCACCATTTGACGATTTAAAGATTAGCGACGACAGTATACTTGACACCGTCCAAGGACGAACAAACTGCTCACAGTGCAACAAATCTGTGAAATATTTTTGTTACCGATGCTTTAATGTTGTCGGTATGGATCGGTCCGAGATTCCGTCGCTGAAGCTACCTGTACCTTTAAATGTGTACGTGTCCAGACATAAAAAGAAGAGTGTGAGAGCTATCATTGTAAACAGAAAATACTCATTCATCAAATGGTGGGGATTATCACTATAACAGGATTAAACATGAACTAGAACTCGACGGCAAGTCCACTGCCATCCACGCCGGCGTGATTGCCAAAAACGACGTAAACATATACAACTGGCAAAACATCCCAGAATTTCAACAACCCGAACGTAGTCTGCTCCTCTTCCCTGGACCGGATGCCAAACGACTTGACGAAATACCACGCGACTCATTCGATCGTATCACCGTCATTGACGGTACTTGGAAACAAGCAAGCAAGATTGCCAGAGAAACACCACAACTACAACGTATGCAAAAGGTCACGATTGCACCGCGCAAAACACATTTTTGGCGGTACCAGCAGAAGAGCGATGATCATTTGGCGACGATTGAGGCTATTTATTATTTATACCGCGAGTTTGCCGAAGCTTTTGAAGGCAGTTATGAGGATGGTCGGTATGATAATCTGTTGTTCTATTATCGGTTCTTTTATGATATGATCCAAGACAAGTATCGATGCCAGCAAGGTAGTAAAAAGTTTACTCAACGGCATCGTTCGGATTATATACAATATGATGGAAAGTCATAATAAATCATTCAGCTTCATCCGTCCTTACACGCACCACTTGCCACTTCTTCTTGACCTATTCTAACTGTTCACCCTGATTTCTCTCTTGTTCTCGCCCCCGAACCTTTTGTTTCTCCTGCAACTGTATATTCATTGTCCACTTAATTGCATGTTCTGGTTTTGTTGTAATACAAAGATTTAATAATCTGAACTTTTTTTGAAGGTTTCTATACAGAAAGAAGAAATGCAAAGGTTGTTGTTTGGAGTGGGAAACAGAAAGGTGTTACAAAAGATGTGGGTGCGGTGTACATGTATAATAATAGGTTTAGTGACGGCAGATGGATTTTTCTTTAGTTGAGAGGAATACCAGCATATTCATCAAAGCCCAAAGCCAAGTTCAAGTTCTGGACGGCCTGAGTAGCAGCACCCTTCAACAAGTTATCAATGGTAGTGGCGACAACCACACGCTTGCCATCAGGATGGACAGAGAATCCACCAACACGGACGAAATGCTTGCCAGAGTTATCACGAACATAAGGTTCACCAGATTCCAACACATGAACGAGCTTCTCGCCCTGATAGAATTCCTCAAACACGCTGCGGACATCGTTGCTGGTCATGGTCTTGTTCAACGGAACATTGACGGTCAATTGGATGCCCTGGAAAAACGAGGCAACGTGGGGGATAAAGTTGACGGGCTTGCCGAGTTGGTACGAGACTTCACGTTCGTGGATATGGTTGGTCATGGCGTAAGGTAAGAGATTGTCGTGCAACACCTTGGGATCGTTCTTGGGCGAGGGCTTGGTGCCAGCACCAGAGTACCCCGACACACCAAAGACGGTCGGTGCTGAGTATTGGTCGAAGAAGGGGAGCAATGGACGAAGTGACATTTGGGCGCCAGTGGCATAGCAGCCAGGGTTAGAAATACGTGTGGCACCGCCCAAGTTTTGACGGTTGAATTCTGACGTCGAAGAGAAAATGATGAGTCTTTTTTTTGATTATTTAAAGGTTTGGCTTTTCATTTCAAGGATGACGATGATGATAGCTTACCAGGAAGACCATAAGTCCAAGTGTTATCGAATCGGTAGTCGGCGCTCAAATCAACAAGTACCTTGTCGGACGACTTGCCTTCCTTGACATCAGCTTCTACCTGGTTGACAAAAGGTGCACAGACACCGTTGGGCAGAGCCAGCACCCAGGCATCGACTTGCTCTTGAGCCTTGAGATCTTCGGGCTTCAAGTTGACGTAGGTCAACGAGGACTTGGTGTATCCTTCCAAAGGCTTGCCTTCCAATTCACGCGAGCTGACGTGAGTGAGGTTGAGTTCGGGATGGTTGTTGATAATGTTGATCAATTCGCGACCGGTATAACCACGGGCACCAATCAAACCAACATTCTTGCGAGAAGCCGATGAAGAAGCAAATCCACGACGTTGTTGAGCGAAAGTTGAGAAAGATCGGGCGCCAGCAGGGGCTTTTGCGGAAGAGGTATGCTTGAAGCCATCCAAAGTCTGTTTAACGCTGTCCGAATCCTGGATACCGTAGAAGAACATGGTGCTACCATCTTGAGGGCTACGGAGCGAGCCATCAGCACGCTCGAAATGCCACGAGCGATCCAAGTTACCGTCCTCGGCCTTGGAACCGACACGCCAGGTCAACACATCAAAGTCCTTGCGGATGGTGTTCCACAAGTTCTCGGGAACATTGTTAAGCACAGCGGTTTTGCTAGCCAACAGCTTTTCCAGCACGGCAGGCTGGGAAGGATTCTCAGGATCCTTGGTAACAATGGCCAAGACCTGACCAGGCTCATCGGTGTAAAGCGTGACGTCCTTCTTTTGCAAGTCGCGCAAGTAGCTAGCAACAGACGCTTCGCCAGTCTTGACGACCTCATCCTCGGCTTCCATGATGCGACGGATCTTGTCGGGATCGACCTGGTCGAGTTTGTCAAACTTGAACAACTTGTGGCCACGGCGGATGAGCGTACCAGCACCCGAATCAGTAAACAATTCCTTGTGCAAATGGCCGGCCGAGATGATGGCGACGGACGAAGAGCGTGGCAATCCATCCAACAATTCCTTGCACTCACGGATCTTGAGCTTGGTACCATAACGAACCCACGATTCCTTCATCAAATCTTCATATTCTTCATCCAGGTTGATTGTATCGATCTTTTTGCCCGTCACGCCGTGGTAAAGACCGTTCTTTTCGTTCAAGAACACAATCTTGAGAGGTTCCAAGACCGTAGCCAATTCGGCGGCGGCGACATCGGCATTCACGTTCAAGATCTGGCCATCAGGCGTCTCTGCAAGCGAGGTCAAAATTGGCAACGCACCGGCGCGGATCGACGATTCGATAGCGTCCTTATTCACCGATGTGATTCTGCCAACGTACTGATACTTGGCCTTGTCCAAATATTCAGCCACAAAGACACCGCCAGGGATGGGACGCGCGCGTGTACCGTGGCGTTCCAACGCATCGACCAACTTCAAGTTTTCTGACATGAACACCTTGCGGGCAATTTCGAGTGTTTGTGGGTCGGTGATACGGATACCTTCATCGTATTGTGGCTCAACACCGGCATCTTCGAGCAATCGGTTCAATTGTGGACCTGCACCGTGAAGTACAATAGGGTAAAGACCCACACGGTTTAAAAACGTCAAGGCAGAGGCCAACGTTTCTAACTCGTCCGTCAAGACGGCACCACCGACTTTGATGACGGCAAACTTTTGGGATTCGACAGACGAAAAGTGGCGCAAGTATTGCTCGACTTCTTTGCGAGAGCCAATGTTGTACAGCAGTTTGACAATTGTCTCCTAATGATACCAATAAAAGAATGAAACGAATATAAGTCTTTTTTTGACATTCAAGGTCCAACAAGGCACCACAACACACACACACAAAGAACTAAGGTGTTTTTTTACCTTTTCAGCAGCGGCAGTGCTCAAGTCATTGCTGTATGCACGGCGTTGTTGGATATATCGAGGGGTCGTAGATAGAATGGATCTGGTAGCCAGGGTGTTTGTTGCTCTGGCAGCAGTAAGTCGGGTGGTAACAGGTGCCGAAACCTTTCGTGCAAAGGACAACATTGCTGTTCTATTATGTGTATATATGCTTATATAAGAAAAAAGAGAGGGAATGCCGCCACTGGTTTCGTCTAAACAATTAAAACCGCCTTGTTGTTTGTTCAATGAAAATTAAACCGGCAAAGAAGCTGGAATTAATGACAAGGGGAGAAGGGTGACAACAGGGAAGGAAAATAAGCGGGGCGGTTAGAAGAAAAGATCGGATTGTTTCCAAAAACGGATAATCGTGTGGCTTTTTCATCCACATGTAAAATTGACTCACTTGAATGTGAATGGGGGGCCAAGGGTGGGGCGGTTTCATATCTCATTTTTGGTGTCACCATAGCATTACCGAGTCCAGGTACATTAATGCACGATGCCAGAAATAAACTGCTGATTTATATGACCCTTGTTCCTCTTCTTTCGTCGCTGGAAATAATTTAAGCTTCATAAGCATCATCACCCTGTACCTGCAGGCAGTGAAAAGAGTATCAGCAGTATTACTTACCGGTTCGTATTTCGTATAGGACAGGAGCATGCATGGTAAAAACAGCCCTGGCTCAAATAATACTAAGAGATGCCTGTAATTGCTGATCTATCTCGTTTTAGATGTCTGGACTCTCTGAGTGACAGCGTGTATCTTTCCTACATACACTACTAATAGATCCACAATTTGTGCAGTGAGATCTATATCTTTTCAAATACAGCCACGAGCGGTCACCGCTTATAGTTACTAGTTCCTACAGCTATCGCGCATGATACTTGGACCGTGTCGGTCTTAAACATACCCTCACTTGTCGCAGTACATTAACACTCTATTTTATTCTTATAACATATAGCTGAGCGTTTACAGGTAATTGAAAACAAGGAAAAGTAGATTGTTGCCTTTCCCTTTGGTAAAACCCAAACAAGTAGGCGTGTTGTAGATGTGGCAAGAGATATGCGTGTTGAATGGTTGTTCGACGTGCTCGACGTACTTTGACGAGCGCCTGTCGAATCGCGTTTGCGATCGATGTGCACGGTAAGCATTGGATCGCTCAATTTAAGTCATATACATGTACAGTTCTGAAGGCTATTGGAGACACGGTATTACAAACGAGAAACCGAGCCAACGGGCGCAATTCTATGGCTTGCCAATTGCATGTTCCAACACGTTTTGTACTGCTTGGTTGTCACTGTGTCGAAGTTTATTAAATTATAATTTACAAAGATATAAATACATATACTGTTTTGTATGAAACCATCTTTGATGTGTAAATACAGTTCATGTAGAATACAACTTGTATCTACTCATTGCTGTGATCAGGCGTTGTTGTAGTGATGAGCCATCGGCTGCTGCTGCTGCCGAATAAGCGTGTTGTCATGTCTTGATCCAAAGGTCCAGTACCGAGTCGAGCACCACAAACAAGCATACAAAAGATTAAGGCCACCGAGGATTTCTACCAAGCACAGTTGGGCAATGTCGGCTGCTAAAGCGGATGGTTGGGGAGTGAAACCTCTGACTAATGCTATAACGGTGAGGACAATGGTGGGAACCAGAACTCCAACGAGATAAACCGATAGTGACCGGATCATGGGTTGTAGTTGTCGATATCCAACCCAAAGCTGTATGATGGCGCACAACACATAGGCCCAAATGCCGAACAATAAGAAATATTCGAGATTTTCGAGCGCCGCGAATGTATTCAGGTCGTGTGCCCACATCCCACCCCACACAGCGGTAATAATCACGTAGATAATCGTAAAGAAATAAGCAAAGTACGTAGGGAGAAGCTTGCGAAGATGGAATCGGCGACCAGAAGTAGGAACCGTGTTGATCTTGTCATCAGTTGTCGTTGTTGCGGAATTGGCGTTTTGCGGCTGTTGTTGAAGGCTGGCGGAGCTGATGATCGCTGTTCGACAAACATCGAAAAAAACACAGTAAAGGAAGGGAATATAGAGGTAATAAGTGCATTGGTACGCATAGGCTCCTTTAAAAAGGTTGATTGTTCCGTTAACAAGCGTTAAAAATAACGATTTGTTGATAAGACATAATGATCCAGCGAGAAATGTAAAGGTATAACGCATTGGATACTGTTGCGTTCGGATGCATTGGACCACAGAGCCGATTACTGCAATTGATCCAAGGAGGATGGGCGGAATGGAAACGCCATATATATGGGCATAGACGGAATTCATAATTTTGGGTAAAAAAAAGTTTAAAGAAGTAGACGGATCAAGAATGAGCTTTTATACCAATGTTTGATTTTTTTCAAACTCACTTACCGTGCTCAGCATTCTATGTGGAAATATTGTGTATCAACGTATCATTTTGCTCTGGATATTTAGCAGATGCGGTCTGTTCCCAAAATGTACCGCCAAAATGTATTTTCAATACGTACATATACACCAACGAATTACAGCAGAACTAGATTAGTCACGGGGGGTAGCAGGATAAGAATGACAACAGCTTACCCAGTTCATTGCCCGGAGCAAGGTAATTATGGGTTTCTACAGAATTTATAAACATCTTTACTCTCACTTTTATTTACTCATGTAGTCGACTGACGTTCTGTTTTCATGTGCCACATTGCCAAGGAAAACCAATAAGAATTCCTTACATTCGGTTCCGTAGCATCAACCTTTCAACCGCGCCAAAACTAAGTAGTGTGCTTCTTGTACTAGAGAATGCATTATGAGTATAACATAAACAATGATATCCAGTAAGAAGAGGAACAGCAGCAGCTAACAATTGTTCTAGCCGATGACGCTAATTGTGGGAAACAATCCTTCCATACCTAATTCGAATGTCACCTAATGCCATTATTTAAGAATCAGAACCTCGTATTACCATGAAAAAAAATTCTTCCATCATACATACAGTAACAGATCATATCTCCTTCAAGTTACACAGAAATGATGAGCTCATTTCAGTCGGTCATCGTCTCGTGTACTGTATCAAGTGGCTCTTGGGAAGGTACTGGTCTGATACTGCTGCGAGCCTTTTTGATTGATAAGTTGGTACATAATGAAATAGCACCTCATTGATCTCGGTGGATCTCGTACAGCTACCAAAGAGAACGAAACGCTATTAAAACTAGATGCTTTTTTGGTTAATGATGCAACACCTTCCGTGCTGATTCGCACTGGCTGCCATTTATGTCGATTCACTGATGTCGAGCGTGTGTATATGTCTTAAATCGCCCAGCGCATCAAGAGCTGCATAAGGCAACAGTTAGACAGGATAAAGTCAAAGGTCTTCAATGCTTGTTTCCGTTTCACACAACTTGTTGATATAATTGGAGTATTAACTCGTCACCGCAGAGCATGTAAGAAGCTTTGACGTCAATGCATACAATTGTCTGGATGTGAGCTATGGCAAAGAGCAGTTCGTACGTAACATCTGTTACATCAATGAGTCGCACAGTGCGTAGTAGTTATGACAAATTGTGCTCAGCCAATTGCTGAAACGGACGAGTTGAAACCACCACTGGGTTGGCCCAACCAAGCTTGCATTGGCGACTTCAAGATGCTTCATATTTCGCATGTATCGGTAGCATTTTGGGTCACCAAGTGCCAGATAACTTTTGTGATTAATGATGAGCTTTTCCAGATGGGGCATCCGTTCCCATATCGAACAAAAATTGCGATCACCGTATTCATATAGCGTGTATGCAAAGCAGGAAAGTCAGAATTCACGAAGCGTTTTTGGTTTGCGACTGTAGTGCTGATCGCTCGAAAGAATGGACAGCTATTTCAATCACCAGTGTTTTAATCGGTGGACAACAATTGAGCAATGCTACGAGCGAACTTGCAGTGTAGTGGATTTTAACAAAGATCAATGTAAGTAGCTGAGGCATTGTCGTCGCTGTCATCATCATTCTGTGTTCGAATGCTGAAGGCCAATCTGAAACGGTGATCTGGAGATTTTCAACAGGCGTAGCGTGTTGCGCTTTTTAAGCACACGTCGAGGGATTTGATTGATGCCTCGATGTTCTCCAGAAGCAATATAATACACTCCCAGTTCTCGTTGTCGTTCAGTCACTGTGCGGTATCCCTTAGTCACTAGTGTGTCATGGCTACTGTAAAGAATGTAATCGCAAATGAAGGACACCAACTTGGGGCACTAAGTCATTAGATCATCGGGTTGCAGGCAGTTTCGTTCCGAACCGTGTTGTAGTGGAACATTTGGCTCGAGACGAAATCGCGCACCAATAGACGTATCTTCATGCTGCATTGTTAGAGAGAGGCTACCAGGAAGCAAACTCTTCCTGATTATGTGTACTAACAAGGAGAAACTACAGTACCTTCTTTATTATTACCTGCTACGACCTCTCATATTCACTCTATGTGCTGCTGATCTACTGTTCCTTTTTGTGACTGTTACTTTTTGTGAAACTGACAAAGGGTCGAGGAGGAAGTAAACTTCTTGCTGTTGTATCAATTACGGCTGCCGTTGCTGCTGCAGCAGCAGCAGTAAATTCATCGTAATGTACTATGCGTGGAGCGTCCGTCATTTCAACTTCTTCCAGTCCTTCAGTATAAAATGCAAGGTAATAGTAGTTAGGTTCTCACATACTGTTGATAGAACGTTATGCAACACAGAAAAGACTAAAGCATAACTTATCTGTCACTGCTATCAGACGAAGAAGAACACGACGATAAAGTGTATCCGTCGTCGTGTAATGGCATTGGTCGTTGGCGCATTTTGGTTTTTTAAAAACAGATAGGCCACTTTTGTTTTAACTAATATTGCTGCTGCTGCTGTTGTTGCGATACTTTGCCGCCATTACTAAGGAAAGTAATACCATATGTCGACATCGACGACGATGATGATAATGATGATTGAGCAGGAACATGAGTATATGGGTTGGCTGTCGAGGATTTTCACCAGAATTAGACGTAGATAGACGTGGTCGTACATTATGCAGCAGTAGCCACAGAAACATTCTGTGGGCGTTTCATAGCGATGATGGTTTCTGTGGCTGATTATCAGGCCGGTAAATTATGCTTCGAGGAAGAGAATGCTAGCGATAAAAATGCTGACGTTAATCTACCAGCTACTTGAGCAAAGCTATTGCTAGCTTGCGTTGTCATGTTTCCAGCTTGATGTTGTTTGAACCCGCTTCTGACTTTGACCCAAAAGCGAGTTTTTCCCAATAAGGAGACAAGTACCATCGGGCGATTTGATTTCTTTTCGCACAAATCCATAGAAGTACATTGCGTCGTTGTCGTACATGACGGCACCAGAATCAGCATTGGGCAACATCATAGACCTCGTGTCGTTTTCTTTAATGAAACTCCTCCTTTGTATTGTTTCGCAAGAATTATTGACACTTTGTATTATCTTGGCGTGTTCTTTCTCAAAGGCCACAATATCGGGCAAGGATGCTTCCATTTTCGCTATCGTGTCTTCCATACGTGTTGCTTTTCATAAAAAAGACTTGATAAGTTCTCGGAACGATGGGATGATGTGGCGTATTAGTTTATTTATCTTTTTCTTCGTCCGAAGCGGACGCTGACGATAATAATGACGATATGCCGCTACTAAAACTACTGCTTCTGCTTCTGCTCTTGTTGCTGTCGGCAATGCTTGACATTTTTCTTCTTGTTCGCTGATGCTGCCACTCAAATGAGAAATAGATGTAGAAACAAAGAAAAAGGAAGGATAGAGGGGACTGCTCCCGTTGGAGAAAAGTGTGTGTTTGATGAAAAAACAAAATGTGTGCTACGTATAGCATGACGGTGCAATGTGTAACCATCATCTTGGAACCACCGCTCTGGAGTTATTCGTACACAAAAACGAAAATGGTGCACAGTTATGGAGTGGCACTTTTTTAAACAATCACTCTTACGAAGATTCGTACTGCAGCTTTACAGCACATGCGAAGAAAGAACGACAACAGCAATGGTAAATTTAAAAAAGGGACCAGAAGCAGTAAGTAGAGGTCGTATGCTTTTTTGTTTATTTCGGTAGAAATTTGATATCTCATACAATGAAACTCAAGTCAGCCGATACATTTGACTACATATAACTGCATACAGTATATACTTGCTATATGGCTACATTATCAATTCAACTTTTTTCTGTACGCGAAAGTATACCATCGCCCATATAAAATGTGGCGAGCAATCCAATTATCTTCGCACAATTCAAGAGGGATGCTGACAGGTCGATGTTCTTTGGCAGTTTGTAAGAACCATAGCATGACACGATTACGTTGTGTTTCATCTTGATGAGTCCATGACAGTTTTCCTCTTTCAAACGTTGCCCATCGGGCTAGTCTGAGTATTGCGTTGTCGGCAATTTTGTACACAAACTTTAACAGATCTTGGCCTGATTCTTGCTGTTCATTGTTGCTCAGCGGCGATGCTGCTGCTGCTTCTGCCAAGCTATTAATGGCTGCTAAGACATCAGAGAAAAAAATGCAGCGACTATGTGGATGCCACGGTCTTCTGATGAAGAGCTTTGGAAGGCTATGTTGTTGTCTTACATGCGGTGGAAAACAAGTTTTGCGATGCACTAAAGTTGTTGATGATGATTGCGGCGAGACCAAGGATGTTGGCAGCGTCGTCGTCGTCGTCTTTCTCTTCTTTTTAACGAGGGTGTTGCCTATGTTGCTGCTGTTATTGTAGTCTCTCTTACTACCACCGTTGGTCGATGGTAGAGGTTTGATTCCGAAGGCCTGTTGTATTCGCTGTAATGCATGGTCCTGACGTTGTTGATGCTTTATGATATCTGACATGATCTGTTCCATAGCTTCTGTTCCTCGTGTAATCATCATCAGCATATCCGGGACCGACAACTGTTGTTTCTTTTTATTGTCGTCACCGTCATGATACTCTTCTGCTATGCTGTCATAGTCAGCGCTACTGCTACTACTGCTGCTGGCGCTGTTGGATGGCATTGGGAAAGTGGGTAAAAGAGAAAGGAGGATTGTTTTTGTTGATGGATTGGATGCTTTGTACCACCTGCAACGTCATTCCTATAACCTTAACCAATGGTTGGTGCTTGGTATTCTTCAGATTGGCGCTGGTTTGAATATCAGCTTGGCCGAAGGTAATAAATACATGACGCCCAGTGATTTTCAGCTTGGCGCTGCCGTGCTTTATACATAACTCCTGTCACTTTCACTTTGACTTGAGCCACATGTGTTAAGCACCTTCGTTCAAGCTGATAACAAATACAGCGCCAATCTGGAAATTACCCAGCGCGAAATGGAAAATTTGTGTTATGCCAGGATGAAAGAAACCAAGCGCCAACCATCATATTATATGCAGAGGCATGCTTGATGCACACCCAAAAAATGGACCAGTTACACAAAAAAGTGGACCGGTCTGACAACAAAAAAGTGGACCGGTCGGACAACAAAAAAGTGGACCGGTCGGACAACAAAAAATCGACCACTTGGACCCGTTGCATGAAATCCTTTCACCTGCTTTTGCCGACACTCGCTTTGACACAATGAAAGTAACGAAGGAACAAGCACTTTGCATGTTTTATTACGAAGAGTATACGGAAGAGAATGTTGCAAGGCTTGAAAAGCGTCTAAACTAGATGGAAAATCCACACCTTGTTCGTCAATGCTGGCTGTCTCATCAACATTGACATTGTCTGCTTCGACCTCCCGTTCAACATCTTCGGCAGCGAGCAAACGATCGGTGCCGCCAACACTGTCTCTGTCTTCCTCCACCCCAAAGACATTGTCCTCACCAGAGTACGATAACGACGACCTACAGCAGCAACTACATACCATTCAACCATTCAACCATTCAACCATCCAACCATAAATCATCGTTCTTTGACAATAAGTACTGCGGCATTTCCGTAAACTTTGTTGGCAGCAGATGCGGTGGTGATTTCCAAGCGTAAACGTTTTTGCAACCCATTCCGGTACCATCGCTATGCCACCCGAGGTCGAAGTTGTACCGCAGAGCAAGAGTTTTCTAATCCGATGTTCAGTAAGTAGCAATGATTTAAATGATTATAATGACAGTTCTAACCTTATATAACAGTGTCAGCAGAAATATACAAGGATTTCTTGAACGACGTTTACATGCAAGATCATCCGCACAATGACGCCTACAGACGCGAAAAACTCACCATGCCAGATACCCAAGCAGCAGCATAAAAATACACTACCATATTCAACGACAAAAGCTCACTGTTCTTTGCCCGATGGTGCTCAAAGGGCAATCTTGATCTGTTACAAGCTGCGGTGGAAAGAAAGATGATTAAAGGGACCGACGGAAGCTGTTTTTCAATCCCTTGACATACCCCCTCTTGCCCAGTGGAGGTCCGTCATCGTGTATTGTACACCTTGGACCCAAAATTACATGGTAAGGTAACTACTGATATTGTGGAAGGAAATAGCCCATAAGCTTAATTTTTTTATAAATGGTGTCGCGAAAAGCATAAAACAGCACTTACCAAAGTATCAAGAGCATCTAAAGGAGATGAAAAAAACGGGCAGCACCATCATCGGCTATTGCCGTAAGTCATAGACAAGTGAAGATGAAGAAACCCGAATGCGCCTGTTACAGAAGATGGTCGACAAAATGAGAGCGAGGTCGTTGGTTGATAAAACATTTGTATCCCCTATTTTGCTGCTGGAGATGAGAGCAGCACAATGGATTTCCTCATGATATTTTATAAATCCAAACATCCATTGACATGTCAAGCTTACAGGATGTAGTTGGTACTACGCAGGGTAAGTAAAAGTTTGGGCTTGGCGCTTGGTTGCTTATAAATTGGCGTTGTTTTAAGGTGTTTATTATATTCGGCTCACGTCAAAGTGAAAGTGATGGGGCGCCATGCATAAAGCACCGGCAGCGCCAGGCTGAAAGTCCTACAAGGCGCCATGTATTCAAGACCTTCGGCCAAGCAGATACTCGAAGCGGCCAATCTGAAAGAAATCAAGCGCCAGCTACTGTATAAGAAAAAATTCAATACGTGCATAAAACCTGTTAAAGCTCATAAAAATCTTCACACGCTATTGAAAGCTGTTCGCAGCAAGGCTACCCTTTCGATCTACAACTAGAAGCAATAATTTGTGCGTAATGCAAGTGTCATGTTACTCCACAGTCACATCGTTTATTGACCGGTTTCTGTCGTGGTCGTCGTCATCAGCATATTCCACGCGGGATCTACTATATATAGACAAGTAAATAAAACGAGTTTATTAACGGTGCTGCTTGTTTACATGGATGCCTACCATGTTGTTTAATTAAGGTTCCATTTATCCAGCACTTTGTTAGTGGTTATTTCATCATACACTGGCATTTAAACAAAAGAACTATATTGAAAAAAGAACCATCGTCTTTTTCTTTACTTTTTGATAGTGACAGGCTATAGTATCTGTCTAGCCCTCCCGTACAGCTCCGCATACAGTAACATATGTTCTCTTTTGTATTACCTGCTACGACCGGTTGAAGCCGCTAAGCTAGTATTCTTTTTATCCTCCAGTGTACAGCGAAAAGGCTGCGTGCGCTGGAATGTGATGGAAGAACAGCAGGAGATACAACAGGATAGAGGCAGCAGTAGCGCTAGTGGTGGTAGTGTTAGTCATAGTGTTTGGGAGAGGCACTAATTTGTCGATATTGCTCGTTTGTGTTAGTCTCTGTTTACTTGCAAAATGAGACGTCGTAAAACAGAAAAAAAAATTGACCCACAGTAATGCAAATCATACTGCATTTGTTTGACTCAACAGTTAAGACATGCGCGTTTCAAGGTTACACTTTATTCTATGCCGCGACCCTATATGTAGTACATACAACCCGCTCTCGTAGTTCCCCTCAGCATATCTACTCGACTGGTCATTCTAGGGCTCTTCTTCTTTGACATCAGCTGCAGCATTCTCCATCATTCTATCAGTATTATTACACAAAAAGCGTGTCAACTTAAATGTGCTCAATCCCTGCACACGAGAAAAAGCTAGTACAGATAAAATTCATTTGTCCGTTTCATCACCACTACTGCAACGGCTACTATTGCCTTCTTCTGATGATGATGACGACGATGAGGGCTCATTAGCAGCGGCTGCTGCTGCTGCTTCCCGAGCGCGTACTATTCTTATTTGAAGTCGCCGCAGAATCCCATCGTTCACAAAGACCCGGTGGATTGGCTTTCCCTGATCTTCCATGACAGCCATTATGAGCTTCAACTTGCTGGTGTTGAGTCGCCGGCGACGGCCAAGATTGCTTTCCTGATTACCTGTTGAATGGTGGTTCAACTACTATGCGTTTTAGGTCGTTTTACGCAAATGTCCGGTGTCGCTGCTTCGACCATCGCTGTTCCCGCACTTCCGTCGTCATCTTTGCCGAGGCAGTTTTCTACTGCTATTGGCATGCTGTTGCTGCTGTTGTTGATATCTTCGCTTACACCTAAAATTTCATCGATTTCTTGTTGGCTATTTGTGATGCTCATCAAGGTTTGCTCGATGCGGCCTGTTTTAAGTGACAGTAAAGTAATCATGTCTTTGAGAGATTATTGAGGCTGTTGTTGTTGTTGTTGCTGTTGCTGCTGACTGTTTGCCTCCAGAGCGGTGTTACGAGTACCGGCGGTAGTAGTTTTGCATTGTAATGAAAGGTAAACCGTAAGGAACAAAGAAAGTGAGTGAGAGAGAGAGAGAGAGAAAGCTGCAAGAAAAGAACCCACATTTCAGGCTATAGTGCACTGTAACACGTTCTGTATTACTTTGAATCCATATTGTCACAACATCCTGTCGGCCAAATGAACAATACAAACTTCCCATGCGCACACCACGCCAGAATAGAAGGGCATGAACAGTATTTTATCCAGGCACATAGCAATGTAAAAAGAATTGTGTCGTCTTTAGATCATAAGCATTGTACAAGAAAGTATTCAGTATATGTCAATGATAGATGGAAGGGGGTCACATCTGTTATTACAGTGTCGCTCCATGTTATCGCTACGGTTATTTTCCAACAAGCTTTTTTTCTTTCACTATTACCGTTTGTTTCGGTCAAAAAGAGGATGCGGTTTTGTCGGAGGGGCAGAGTTAGAGACACTATATTTAATAAAACCGTTCCCGTAAATGAGTTTAAAGGTAAAGAACTATTTTCTTTTCGTCATCACCATCTCTTAAAAAAACATATGAAACAAAATAAACCCTACCCGTGCTCTCATGTCTTCAGATGGTACGGCCAGCTCATTGCTGTTGCTTTTGTTGTCGTCATCGCCGTCGCCGTTTCCAGAAGGCAGTGGCTCGGAAGCAGGTACCACAATCGGTGCTCGTCGCTGTCGTCGCTGCTGCTGCTGCTTGTGGTCCTCTTGATCCGTACTATCTTCCTTGCCACCGGCAGACAGCGAATCTGATATTGCGGATGTCGTTGGAAGCATATCTAAATCTTGCTGCTCATGCTGATTATTACCCTGTCTTATCGTCGCCTTAGTAGAGGTACCCTTGCTGATATGCTTGTTTTTTATAACATTCGATAGCTCCTGCTCCAGTTGTCCTAGTTGCTGCTGCAACAACTGCTCTTGTTGAAGCTGTTGATCACGATTCATCACTCTTTGCTCCTCCTGTTCCTCTTCCTCTTCCAGAAATTGTTCTTGTTGAATCCATTCCGCCTCTCTGCTCTTTCTCTCGCGCTCTGCATATTTATGCCAGCCCTTCAACACCCACTGGTATGCGATCCAATTCTTTTCACACTTGTCAAACGGAATGGATGGCTCATGGTTGATTCCTTTTTGAACCACATCTTGGACTGCAGATCTTCGAACATCTTTGTCTTGACACCTCCATGGTTGGATCTTCTGCTCGGCGGTTGCAGCATTTCGTATCTTGTCCACCGCCTCCTGGACCAGCCCATGCACAAATTTGAGTAGTTCTTCGCGAGTTGCTGGGACGTCGGATAAGCTCTCAATGGCTGCGAAAAAGTCGTATATGTACGCCTTGCGCAGTGATAGTCCACTCGCGCAACGTGGGTGATTGATAAACACGTATGGGATGCCTTCGCTGTTTTTAGGTGGTGGCGGTTGCTGCATACGCGCCTTTTTCGCGGTAGCAATCGTAGTCTTTTTCCTTCGCGTGTTGCTGCTGCTAGCAACAACAGCAGCAGCACCTGTAGTAGCTTCTGCGGCTGGCATGATAGGTTTTGATACTTTCCGGGTTAGTACTGGCGGTGCTGTTTCTGATATCACTGCGGCTGTTGAACTCGTCAGTTGTTCCTTACATCCCGAACCAGTGATGTCTGCTGAAGTGGGAGATGCTATTCTCCTTCGCTTGAGTATTCCTGTCTTGGGCGAAGCCCTTGATGTCGGAAATGGGCGCCTTGGAGGCATGATGGTACTCGTACTCGCATTGTCACTGATGGTGTCCGGGGCTGCTTCGACGCGAATACCAAGAGTTTTCTGTACTAGTTCGAGCATTGTGTCTTGACGTTTTTGACAAGTCAGGATCGTTGATAAAGTTTCTTCCATCGTGTTGGTTCGAGCTATGAGTGCCAGCAGCATATCCTGAATAGATTGTGGACCACCATTTCTCTCCATCGTCATGCTATCATCCGACTGCGTATCATTATCATTATCGTTATCATCGTCATCGTCATCTCTATAGTCGTCATACGGCAGTTGCGTGTCGTCGTCCTCGTCCTCCTCCTCCTCCTCCTCATACTGATGGTAGTACTGCTGTTCTTCTCGCCTTTGTTGAGACTCGTGGTTCTTTACTTTAGTGCGTGAAAGCATTTTGTTGCTGCTGTGAAAGAAACGAACTTCGTTGAGATGGGAGGGGGGAAACAAGAAAGAAAAAAAAAGAAAAAGTGTAAACAGGAAAGAGCTCCTTTTCTTTTGTTGCTGTCACAAAAGCATTGAACTGATTCATTTTATGTATGTGCGCAACGCCAAACCGAGTAGTGCAAAACGTCCTATGATTAGAAGGCGCGTTTGTAGTTACACAGACACAGCTCTCTCATTCCGTGGCACTCCCCTGTTTAATACGTATGCGTCCTTCGTGACTGAGCGATACGAATTATGATAAAATAGGAGCTGGCTGTGTGTCCTTGGTTCATCATAGTAAAAAAGATTATACTATGTTCTTCACTCAAGCTGAGCATTAGCAGTAGTGGCTTGTTTATTGTCTTTGTCTTTCATTTCAAGACAGTGATTATGAGAAACAAAATAAACATTAGAGTATTTTTACTCATCCATCTGGCTTATTCTTTCCCACAACTCCTCCTCCGAAGCTGCATTGTCATCGCCATAATTGTCGTTGTTGCTATCAGCATCGTCTTTTTTGATACGCGGCAAAACATGGCTATCGTTGCTATCGCTTCTTTATTATCTTTTTTTTTCTCGGTTTTTCTTGTCCTTCTATCCTTCTCGTCTTTGACAGTGCATTCTAATGAGCTCCCAGCAAATGACATAGAGGCCAATTATTCTCACAACATGCTGAGGTTATGCTTAAGATATCGTTCAATGAAAAGCAGTGTCGAAAAATTATGGTGTCCTTGTTGAGGTACTTTCAAGACATCACAAGTTGTTTATGGAAGGCTCGCTTCCGCTGTTCGTTCAGCATTTTTCGATAACTTTCTTCGATAGTACCTGCTGCAACACTGATACTGCTTGTAGGTGCTTCGCTAAACAGTTCATGGCTGCAGAAATATTTTTGGCGATTCCCTCCACGGGTGTATCAATAAGTTTCACCTGCATCCATAAGTCGGTGTTGATGCTGCTGACGACAGTTGTTGTGGTGCCAGCACGTATAGCCTCATAGTAGTATTGTGTAACCCCCTGTGAGGTTTCAAAGTGGATATTGCAGATCAGTCAGAGTGCAAACACGGCTGGCGACATTAGCAGTACTGATAAATTTCAACAACAACAGCAGCGATTAGCTACGACCCTGCCAGAACACCTCACGAATTCCCTTCCGACAAGACCTGCTCTCTTATATGATGATCGTCTTTCCAATGTACTACCAGTATGCAAAAGGAGCCTTTTGCCACGCGGCTCGCATAGAAGTTAACACTATCGCTGGGGTGTAACGCGCGCTTTTGTAAGCATCCCAAGGAGAAGAACCCTTTCTTTTTTTACTTGGAAGAAATGAAATCACTAGGTATTATATAGCGCTATTAGATTAGCTCATTCTCGAGATCACCCTCTGTCTTCTCGCAAGCTCCACCTTTCTTTTTCATCCCACTCTTTTGTACTTCTATATCTGCCATTCATACATCCAAGTCTTATAGAGAGTTCGATTGGCTACATCGAGTAAGTTCCTTATATGAATAGTGTCTGTAGCAAGCTCCTACTATGCTAATACATTGACGTGGAAAGAGTAACAACACCAATTACTATGTATTTTGCTCATATTTACTGGGACAAAAGGCGCCGAACCAGCAACAACAGCTTTCAGACTACCTATTGTTTAGACAATACAAAAAGAATGTCAGGAATATGCCTGCGACTAACCAGCGTTTATTAATCGGCATACCAAGATACATTTCATTACCACCAAGAGAGTCAGCTACTCTTGAAGGCAAGATGCGTGGATTATCCAACGCCTTTCATATTGCTGATCGTAGCACAACAGCGCATGGCTACAAAACACGTGTATTTTGTGCTATATTTTGCATGATACGTTTTGCTGTACAACAGAAGCATCATTAGTAGTAGTATTATCCCTAGAGATTAGAACAGTGTGTGTTGTTACTCTTCGAATGCTGCTGCCTACCAATCGTCGTCCTTGCGCCCGTTTCAAAAAAAAAACTGTATGCAACAATGCGTGCTGAAACTCGACTTGGCAGCGCATGTTTACTATAGGTGCTCTCCATACTTCCAGAGTTGTAGATCCCTGTCTAATCACCTCCCTCGCGCCTCGTACGTATAAATTTCTATGGGAAAAAGGACGTTATAAGGACAACTCTACGAGTATACTTGTAGTAACTTCACACAGTGAGACAGAGAGAGAAACGAGAATAAAAGATAATAGTACAACATGTAAGAAGCATATTGACAACACTTATGCTCATACAATGACATGTCTGCGCAAGGTTGGTTTTTTAATTTTTATAAACGCAATGCTTATGTTGAAGCTATACAACAAGGATATGTTTTTTGGGGGTTGCTAGTTGTTACACATCATCAATGTATGTCGTATAGGAGAAGCAAAGCTAAAAGGGCCATTACAACCACATTATTGAAGGCCATCGTAGCTGTAATTCTCCTCCTCGATCGCCAACTGTTCCGGTTCGTACTGCGTAGCAATATCCTTCGTTAACTGTGGGCTCTTGTTTTTCTTTCTTGATTGATCATCAGGTTCCAATTTTTACGTAGCACGTAATGTGCCAACCAATTGTTTTCGCACTGATGGACCGGAATGGTTGGCGCTGGACTGTCATTTCTGCTACTGCTCTGGTTCAGTTGCCCAGCAGAAGTAGTAAGCTGCTTGCGAAATAAACGTCGTCTTGGTCAATAACAGGACGGCACTTGTTACCGCATCTGTCATCTTTTTTTCTTTTCAACTATGATTTGATGAACCCTGGTGGAAGGCGATGTCCTTGTTGGAGCAACAAATCTTCTTCTTGTTCTTCTTGGCGTTGATAATCTGGTGATACCATAACACCATGACGGCGTCCTTGATGCTTCTCAGTAACGCCCTTCTGTTCTTTCTGATGTCGATCATCTGATGATACTATAACACCATAACGGCGCCCTTGGATTTTCTAATTAACGTCCAAACGAGGTTTCTTGATTGCGACATAAACTCTCTCTCTCTTCAGGTGATTTTGTTGGTTGCTGTCTCGTGTATGACGGACGTCGAATAGAGTTTTGTAATGAAGCAGACAGCAATGATAATGCTGATACTTTCATCGTTGATGGTTCTGTAACTGTTGTGGTGGCTGTGGATGGCGATGTCGATAATTCCAACTGCTTGTCAGTTGTTGACGCCTTTGTGTTCAGCACAAGATCGCAATCGAGCCCTTTTTTGAATTTGCTGCCAACATTTTTTCCATGCGCTTTGAGCGTTCTGTAGCTGATAGCAAAAGCTCATAGATTGACGGTCTCGGTGCTGCTTTTTGAGAGGCCGCAGTCGTGGTGCTGGTATTGAGAGCAGGGTGGTTACGAGTAACCACACTACCATTATTATTAGAAGAGGCAGCGTGGTCGGTAATACTCATGCGGTAGTAGACATATCCTTGATAGTCATCTTCCATTTTAGGCGACGCTGATGGTGGCTATGGTGGTAGCTCTGTGGGAGTGGGACTGATGATTTGGAAGGCGGAAAAAGGAAGACAAAGGTAAGGCTAGCCTTTAGCCGAGCTGGTCGATTTAAGATTCTGTTTCAGTTTGACATGTACATGTTTTTTATAGGCTGCGTCGGCACTTTTTTCCTCAGCAGGCACTGGACTGGGACTGTGATTTGTGCTCGCTTCATGTCTCTCCAACACGTAGGACTCATAGATACATCCAAGTATATGCGCAAATGCTCATCATCTAATAGGACTTTACATTTAACTCTAATGACTAGGTATTGAGAAATACGTATCCGATCTAAAATGAACAGCGGTAACACCTGACTTATGCAGGTACGTGTTTCTCTGTGCAACTCAGCAGTGTTGAGCCTGAAACAAATCTTACCAGGTCAGTGAGCAAACCATTGGATGAACCTATGTGCCAGCTTCTTGACATGATCATTAAGCACCCTTCAAATGCAATCCAACGACTTGACTATGCACTGCTGCTAATAGTCAGTCGAAGGAACGCTCAGCGTACCATTAGCAAATAACCTACATGCAAGCCATTGCTTTATCGAAAGTCCACTTTGCACGTGAACTGTATTATACTTACGATATACTTTTCTTTGCTAGCAAAAGAAGCAGAGAACATCCTCTATAGACTTTGCGAGGTGTATTCTAGCTGCTATGAGCACGTTTCGAGGAACAATGCGAACGGGTACCTTGGCAAGCGGCGATCACGCACCTAAGCCATTGATTCCGGTTCATGATGGCAGTCTCAAGGGCATTCGGTACCGCATCAACCAAGTCGGCCAGGTCGCTCCTCAGATTGAGGTCCAAACCCTCATCGTCCGTTGCCGCAACCCAAGTGGAATGAATGCGGGCTCTGCAGTTACCGTCTGGAGGTCCCGTTTAATAAAATCTCCATCGCAGACGCAATCAGGAGCGAGGATTCCCCGTCGAATTCTATTTCACCGGACCCAACAAACTAATAACGGATTTTATGCTGATTGTATAATTGTGCTATGAGTTGTATGGGGTTGAAGTACTGTAGGCATGTACTTACTGATGGCCTTGACAAACTCGTGCGAGGCGAATTTGGCTTCCGCACTATCTGAGATTGCGACAACACTCGAATAAGAGGTATATTTGACTCCCACATAATTCAAGGGCTCAACATCAGCTTTAAAAAAAGGCGGCTTCAAGTGCGTTTGTGTACTAGTGTCGGCTTCCGTCACTGTCGACGGATAAGCGCACGCCCCTCCATGATGCCGGATTGCGTGCAAGAAGGCAACGGGACCTTTCATGGCACACAGACCGATCAGACGAAGCGGCTCATGTAGATCGTACTATTTCGTGGAATAGAGGCCAATATGGCATACTCAGCACATGAACTGTTTTCCATTCCTTTAAGTTAAGGCTGTAGTGAATCTTTTCGACCTGATTCTTACTTACTACCAACGTTTGGCACAAAAATATCTTGGCTTTAAAAGAATTTCTTCGCTTGTAAAACGGATACGATCTTATAGGTATCGCAAAGCAAAAACATCAGAAAACGCAAAGCTGATTATCACTCCTCAAGCTTGCAGCGCCGACAAGAGCTAGAATAGCATCAGTACATAATAATAAACGCACAGAAGAAGAATGTTCGAGCCCCTTTTAGATATCCTATATGGCGTTTTTCTAGTGTGGTCCATTGCATCTTTAGGCTGTCACAGTTTATGTAGTATAGTGGCAAATGCTGTATGGTGTAGTACCAATTGGCTCAGCAAAGAAGGAACATTATCTGAAAACTTTAATGTACCAAGAGGAATGTGCTTCGCCTAGAAAAGAGTGACACAAAGAAAGTACCGGCGAGGCACACTGGTTGCCACCACCACATGAGCGTACAAATGGTAAAACCCGAGAATCCGGGGCACTCAAGCATCATCGTAAGTCTGTATATATGCCATGTTTTTTTAGTACTAAAGTCTATCATGCATTTAACTTGCTATCAAAGAAAACAATTGTGCAAGACCTGGCTTGCACCTGCACATAACCCTCCCCATCTGATAATAGAATCGGGACTCAATATTTTCCGAGTAACTGTCAAACGAGAAGATTCGTAGAGCTGAGCACAGAAAAATCTGTTCTTGCTGCGTTTCTTTAATAAGCTTTGATTTCTTGCTCAGCCTCGCGGAAAGTTAATGCGGGGCGGCGTTCGACCCTTTTGCCTGTATAGAATTAAAAGTGCGTGTGTGCTTTTTGCCTCTGCGAGTTGTGAGTAACAACAGAGCATACAGGATTCATATATGAGCAAGTTTGTATCTCATCCTGGGGCACTACAAGGCGATGAGCACCCACTATAATCTGGCCCGTCTCACACGTAACAAAATGCAAAAGTTGTTGCTTGAGCTTCTTAGTTTAGTGGTAACAGTCTCGACATGTTGTGCCATCGTCTCGTCAAGCTGCCTTTGGTTAATTCAGAAAGTTTTGTTTCGTCGTGCGGCGTACAAAGGATGGCCAGAATCTGACTCCGCGATGTAGAAAATACAGGCTTCATGGTGATGCTTATTCCCTCTTTTGCTCTCTCAAGCAAACCATATACATCATTTGTACGACGCTGCAAATACCAGTAACCGAGTAAGCCGCCATTATTTTAAGAACAAATTGTTGCGGTCGTACCACCAGCACCATGAAACATTAGGCTGAGGAAGTAGTATGGGTTAATTGAAAAGAACGGGTGCTATCGTTAGTGGAATATACTTCGTTTTTGCCTAATTAAAGCACACAATCAGCAGCCGCACAGCGCGTGCGCCTAAAAATACATATCATGAAACCCGCTGGTCTTGTCAAGGAATAGAACAGCAACACTATAATTTGATACACAGGCACGAGGCTTATCGCTCCTCCGGCCGGGTTTTTTTTACCATAATGGTTTTTTTGTATATATCCGGATCGTCCATACCATATAAAAGAAGCAGGTAATTAAGCAATTCTATATTAATTGTGATGACAGTAACTGCCCTCTTCAGCCGCACCGATCCTTTTATTTTCTGTCGTTTGGTCCATTTCTCTACACTTCTTTGATTTATGCATGCAAATGCAAGGTCCATTGTCCCTGCCTTTTTGTTTTTTAAAAGTCAGCTAAAACGTGTAAGCCGCACAGCACTTCTTGTAACAAATATCTTGTTAAAAAATAATGTAAGAGATTGTATTCAAATACAAGGAATCTGTAACAGACAAGGAGAAAGTAGTAGAGTACCATGTGCAGTAAAGTGATGGTCGCGTGGCTGTGCGTGTCTTATATTACTCATGTCGCACACATACACGAAACAGTAAAAAGACGACGTCGTCGATGTCAGATTGTTTCAAATACAGTAACTCGAAGATGCGATGATGAGGGTAACCCGTACCATGTACACGCACGTCAAGTGTCAGCGCGACGTCGGCAAAAAAAAATAGAGAGGGGAAAGAGGAGAAAGAAAAAGGGAACGAGTGACAAAGGGTCTGGAATCAACATGGAAGAAAAAACCTATAAAAAGAATCGATATTTCGAACCCGGTTAACTTTTTTTCTTTTCATACGAGAAAAATTTGTTTATTTCCTTTGCCCCTCCCTCTTTCTTTGCCTCTCTCTATATAAATATTTGCTTACACCTAGACCACATGACAAAACCAAGCAGTAGCATCAGCATCAACAACAGCTGTGATAGCTCCACTTATTGCTACCTTTGTGGCTCAGGTAACTGAAAGAAAGAGAAGAAAAGAGGGGGCTTTACCAACAATGTTTACATAATACATAGCCTAATAAGCTGACGTATCTTTTCCAACTGACATACAGACAAGCACAACTCGAGCAATTGTGTAAGTTGTTTCAATATTTCCCCATTAGCATAGTTGAATGCAGAAGACACTACTTGCATTAAATATAAAAGTGGACGATGGATGTGCTAACGGAATATGGCTTCGCTTCTTTTTCGACACTTGGGTTATCTGACTTTCTCCCTGTCTCTCCACATTAAACTTCTGTGTGTACTATGTGCGCAGCCTCAGTATGTAACGTTACAATAACAAGAAAAAAGCATATGTGTGGTTCTGTGTTACATATCTCATAAATCATCCATTAATCTTTCTTTCTTACGCGTGGTAATTTTTTGTTTATATTACGTAGCTATGCTGCCCAAGAACGCCTGTTGAATGAAGTCGTCACTGAGATACTTTCCAGTCAGGGACCATCATCATCTCTATTACAACGACGGTCATTATCACCGACGATGGCTACACCATTATCACTGTGCACATCACCACTGCTATCGCTACCATGTTCGAATTCAGCATTACTAATTCCACAACAACACCAGCACAAGTTCTTCACCATCATGCCAGTAAAATAACCGTGCAATAACCGCATCGCAGAATATGATTGATTCATACAGTGTATAGCCGGGTGGCCAGGAGCTTCTTCTTTTAGCAGCATGTGTATATCTTCTGGCTATAGTAATATGCATCTGTAGGCACGGGACCTACTACTAGCTGCAAAGCAAACGATATATTATACGCAGCGCGCTTTCTTTACTCTTTTCTTTTGTACTATACTTTATCTTCACACATATACACATATTTAGATATCATCATCATTTATCACATCACCATCTCATCTACTACCGTAGCAACAACAATTAAGAAGCCCATATATCACCTTTAACCCTTCCTCTTCTTCTTCCCTTGTTTCCATGTATATTTTTATCGAGAGTAACGTCCATGACAATATGAAGCCCAATTAACATGGTCTGTGCGCACGCACTTCTCTTAAAGTGACATATACATAACAGGGAGAGGTTTTGGAGCATCCTCCCCCTTTGATATATTCAATTATTACAATTCGCGTTTTTTCTTGTCGACTTTTTATAAAAACAAAAAGAAAGCCAAGAAGTATTTCATGTACCTTTTGTAGCGTGGATTGAAAATAAAAAACCAACCATTACCATCGGAGCAGGAACCCGGGTTCTCGGCCTGCAAAGCATCTTTCAGGCTAACCTATAAATAACGGATTCGAAGAACCCGGGAAAAAAGTCACACCTGTATTTTCGTAAAGATATAAAATGAGAAAGAGCTTAGAACCTGCAAGTTTTAAAATTGTAGAGGAAGTTCGGTAAAGCCTCTCGTAAACGAGCGGGATCAATCGGGAAACATTCCGTGACGGAAGAAAGTCTAGATCTTTTTTAACTAAACTCTAAATGTTCGCAGTCCATCCTTGGCGCCCGCCCCACCCCCCCCTCCACTCCCGGGGAAACCTGCTGGATGATTCCATTTTATTCAAATTTATCCGTTCGCATTGCCTTTTTGACAGAGCAATGATACCAACCCATTCATCTACTGCACCCAAAGACAGGACGAAGAGCAGCTGGCAAGAGAGCTCGGGTGCAGCATCGTACAATCGAGAAAGGTGAAGCGTGTTTGTTTTTGTTTTCTTTGGACGGGGTGACGGCTGATTGCGCTGTGTTGTGTATGAGCTTTATCCACAAAAGCGAAAACGTGCAGGCACCCTTGGTTACTACAGCTGTTTTTGTTACACCTTGCGCGCGATGTGGTGTTGCACAAGATGCTTAAACATCGCTTTAACGGCGGAATTGCCAATATTATCGTTAAATACAGTAGACGAATAGATCTCTGTTGTATTAAACCCTCGAGGAGATTGAGACACGTCGACATCGTTGACGGTAAAAGAAATAATTGCAAAGCGAATATACGATTCGTGACGGTAGTAGCTGTGTGCAGATTTGAAGCTGTTGAGTCAGTGATATCAAAATTTTCATGTGTAATCAATCAATGTGTGCCGGATCAACAAAGACTTATTTCTCATGTTCATTCTTTTTGGTACGAGAAAACTTGTCACTATTCTTTAGCGCGTGACAACCTCTTGGTTCGTTTCAACACACGTGACGGTGGATCCCGATATCTTTCTGTGATCAGGCTGACTTGCATCTAAAACAAGCATGTATACTTAAAGGACGTGTCCGAGCATGTTACCAGTGTGTACAGCTGTATATTAGGGACTTGAATTCTTGTATAAACAAGCGGGGGTATTTATTGTCATCGAACTTGTTAATAATAATCGTTGTAGCCGGGATTATACTTTTGTTTGTGGTACCATTCTTTCTTTTTCTCTTCATATCCTTTGTTCTTCTTAGCACCATGATAATGCTGCTCTTTTTTCTTATCCCATCCATTCTTTTCGGTGCTGCCGCCGTAAGGGTGACCACGATGACGATGATGGAATCCATTACCACCTCCGCCCTGATACTTATCGTCATCATCTTCAAACCATCGGCCGCCATCGGGTACAGGCACTCCAATAGGTATGTAAACGGTTTCGTGATCATGTTCCGTAGTAGTCATTCCTGGCAAGTACTCGGTCGTTGTATCGTGTTGCGTCACAACAATATCATTTCTACCATCATCGTCTCCAGAGAAACTTGGTACGAGTGCTTGAGTCACCGTAACTGTAGCTGTTATGGCATCGTCGTTCGTATAAACAGTGGTTGTGGCTATCGTTGTTCTCAAATCTACTGAAATAAGCGTATCATGATTTGTGACTGTCTGCATGTCTGTCGTGGTCTCGGTCGTTTCTTGTGTCGTCGTAGTAATGTCGGTTTCAGTCGTCTTTTCAGTGATCGTTGATAACTCTGTTGTTGTTGAGGTGCCCGCGAACTCTGTTATCGTGCCAATAGATCCTTGTGTTTCTGTGGTAGTGGTTAATTCTGTGGTCGTATACGTCGACGTAGTGGTGTCTGTTACGGAGACTACATCTGTTTCTGAAACCACACTAAAGGACACCGTGTATACTGTAGCAAAGTCAGTTTCAGTGCTCGTTTCGGTCATTGTTGCCATATCATGAATGGTGGATATAACGTCAATGGTAGTGGTTGTGCTATTAAGTAATAAAAGGAACAATGAGAATTCAAACCTCCGAGTACTGGTTCCTTATCGGTCAGTAAAAAAGAAAGGCCTCCTTACGTGCACTCTGATGTATCAGTGTTATTCGGAATAATTGGTATGCAGCCAGTAAAATGGTCACCACAGCCGGTCGCCTCATAGTCCTTGACAGCTACACTGTTGCTACCTTCCCATGCATAATCCAACCCGATCAATTGTCCAGAGAATGATCCAGTAGAGCTGTCTTCGATGTGACCTTCATTTCAGACAATATAATGCCCAAAATTAAATATGTATAGCAGCAACAAACAGAATTAAAGGAAAGATCAAAGGGAGAGAGACACCAATCGATCAAAATTACCAAGGGGAGCAAGGGTTAAGCCGTATAGTTCACCCCCAGTTTCTCGACGAAGTGTGAATGATCCATTAGGATCATAATTTCCGCTCGCGTCAACTGGGTAGAAATTCCAAATAGTGTTGCAAGCTAACAGACCACCTTGAGTTGGGTGATTGGTCTTGAGCGTGATCGTGTCTCCGTCATTGACAGGAACCTTCAAATAGGAAAAAGAAATAGTCAACAAAAGTATTGTTCAAAAAAAGAGAGAGAGAGAAGAGTAATGGAAACAAGCTTACATTGATAACAAAAGTTTTATCCGTTGAGAATTGCTCGCCACTTGCGGGACCATTCCAGTTACCTATGCCATATAGCATATGGTCAGGAGACGACATAGAACCTGGATAAAGGTTACAAGTATTATCCATGCTAAGGATGCTACAAGTGGCAAACGTCATGACATCATAATTCGCCGTGCCAGCTGATGCAGACATTGTATTCATCGTCAACCCGTCATTTGCATCTAAAACCACATTCGGAGGGAAACTAGCCAATTCTCGATTTGCTAGTCGATAGGCCGTGCGCAATGCATCAAAGTCGACGCCACCTGTGGTTCCCGTCATTTTGGGACACCCGTTATCCAATTGAGCCACTTGGTCCGTCGTTCCACCTTCTTCCAAAAACGATGCACCGTGCACTTTGGTGTTGACGACATTAGTGACGCCACCAACCACTAAACCATAATTGTAGTCAATCAAGCCACTGCTGGCGCTCAGGCTGGCGCAGCTCGAGGCATGGTGGAGATTTACTGTGTAGTCGTTGCCGCTATAGTTGTCTTGGATACCCAAAGGGCCATAGATTTCTTGTGCACTCGAAGTATTGTAGTCGCCAAAGATAATCGCGTTAAAGTCCCGGACCTACGTGTTACAAATTGTTTTATTGAAATGTCGTTAGAGGATATATAAATGACTTTTTTTCCCCACATACTTTTTATCAAAACCTAGCAGTATTGATAGCTGTAATGCCAAAACAATATCACGAACCGTCTGGGTCACGTTACCCGTTCCGCTCCAATCGCATTGATCTGTAGCGAGACCAGCTCGTCTTCTAGAAGTTCCGCCAGCTCCACCACTTCCGCCGCTTCCAACTACTGGATGAGAAGTTGTAAAGTGGCCAGCGGTTACAGTTTGTGTATAAACCTGATCGCTGGTAATGGTCTTAACATCGGTAACGACAGGAAGGTCTTCGGTAGAAATAGCGGTAGGAATTTGAGCAGGTACGGTATAATAGATGTATTTGATGTCTTTATCGTTATAGTTGTAGTGATTGCGATATTCATTGTTGTCATGGTCCTTTTGGTGCTTGTACTCGGGTTTTTTCTTGTCATTGTAGTTTTTATTGCTGCTATCACCATCGTCATCACCCCACCAAGGAGATGCATCCGCCAGCAGTAGAAAACTGCATAACAGTACTAGTATGTTGCATGCAACAATCCAACATGGACTGTTGCTGTTGTGAACCATATTCGGTGATGGTGAAACTGTAATGCAAACAGAAAAAAGAAGAGTCAAGAGAAGGATAAAGAAAGGAAAAAAGAAAGAGCCCACATCAGCAGCCGTGATTGTGTACATTCCCCTGAAGGAACACTCTTGTTATCGGAAATTAGCAAGGCATATTTTTGTCACATTTTGCCTTCGACAGATTTGAAAAATACGACTGTAATATCTAATATCCCATAAACTAAAAGAGACAGAGTACTTCAACGAGACCCGCAATGAGCTCAAAGTTCTTACTATCCATAAGAAATGGCTTGTTCCTTGGCAACTACCACAGCGTGCGCATTGAACGGATGAATTGATGTTATAAGCGCATCCTATAGAATCAAGTAATATATGATGCGTGAGTAAAAGGTACACACAGGTAAATGCCTCAGAAAGTAGCTAATGTATTACATGATCTATACATATAGTGACAACTTCTTCCTGAGCATAGCTAATCCATGTAACACCAATTGGTGTTTGGATGAGGGAACGTCCGCACAAGTGAGGTTATGGGAAATAACTGCAATCGTTATTGACGGATCAAAGAATATGTGTGATTGATCATGTTGGATACAACAACGACACTTATTAGATGCTTCTTCAAACAAAGAGTGTGGTATGACACCGTTCATTATCGGAAATTATATGAGCAGTTGAAGAGGAAAGACTTTACGATCCACGCATCGTTGCTCTTACTTGGGTTAATTTTTCGAGCTCGTTAATGGAAGGGCAGTCAATTTCGATAACAGCTTACACACCGCTGGGGAGGCTGTTTCTTGAGCTATTAAAACTAGCTGCGGTATTTGTGTGAGCCATAACGACAATTGAGAAAATGACGTTTTGGATACCATTTGCGGTGATGATAGTATACGATCTAAACTACTACTACTAATAATCTGCGGAAGCCCACCAATATTTTGCTAAGTACATTCATAGTGTCCACCGCTTTTATGATATTTTCGTAAAGTGTCTAAGATGCGGACGTAGCAAGAAGGATAAGTTGGATGTAGACTTGCTTATTATTATCTTTTTCCAGCTTCTCTGCACGACTACACGTATAAACCATCGAGCAGAACTTGAGAAAACTACACTCTTTCAATCTATTAACTAACTCTTTGCGCTGACACTACTGGAAAATTGTCTCCGAAAAACATCCAGCTGCCATCCAGAAAATCTAGATTGTCAATATATCTCTAAAAGTATCAAGAACATCTACAAATTAAAAAAAAAACAGAACTTACTTTATATTGAGTCAGTACAATCGATGTCGTCTCGTATACAGCATAATTTGACAGTTAAAACTAATCCAACATTAGATTTTTGCAAAGTGGCATTAAAAGCATTACTGCTTCTCGGTTGGAATTACCAAACATCTTCAAAAAGTATACTCTTTGTCTACAGTTTGTCTACTGCATGGCTTCTTCCGCTATTGATCACGAACGGCAGACAATGGCTCTGGCACTCAAACGCCCACCTCCACACAACATCACTCGCTCCAAGTAAGTCGTATCACGTACGCGAGAGTCGTTCAAAAGCATCGCCAATTCTTGATGCGACAAGAACAGTAAACGAACAGATCTCTGTTGTACAAAAACCCTCGGGGAAAATGGATTACGTCGACCTTGTTGACGGTAAAAAAAATAATGTTGCAAAAGTGAAGATACAATTTGTAACGGTAGTAGCTGATGTGTGCAGATCTGAAGCTGTTGAGTCAGTGACATCAAGTTGAGATTTTTGTATGTGATCAGACAATGGATGAGTTATCTTTTGTTTAATCGATCTAATATACTCAGGTTCTTCTAAGATGGTATGCAAACAGGTGCGCCGGATTAACAAAGACCTATTATTCTTTGTTGGCTCTCTTTGAAACGAGAAAACTTGTCACTATTCTTCATTTTTCCTATGAGTGTGTGACAACCTCTTAGTTCGTTTCAACACACGCTACGGTGGATCCAGGCATCTTCTCTATGATCGAGTTGACTTGCATCTAATACAAGCATGTATACTTGGAGGACGTGTTTGAGCATGTCACCAGCGTGTACAGCTGTATATTACGGATTTGAGTTCTTGTATGAAACAAGCCTGGGGGTATTTATTATTATCGAGTGTGTCATAAAATTATTTATAATAGTCGTTGTAGCCCGGATTATACTTTTGTTTGTGGTACCATTCTTTCTTTTTTCCTTCATATTCTTTGTTCTTCTTTGCACCAATATGCTGCTTTTTTTTCCTATTCCACCCATTCTTGCTGGTGCCGCCACGATAAGGGTGACCACGATGATGATAATATCCGTTATCACCACCGCCATGATAATCATCGTCATCATCTTCAAACCACCGGCCGCCATCGGGTACAGGCACTCCAACAGTTACATAGACGGTTTCTTGATCATGCTCCGTAGTAGTCATTCCTGGCAAGTACTCGGTTGTTGTATATTGTTGCGTCACAACAATATCAATAATACCATAATCTCGTACGAGTGCTTCAGTCACCGGAGCTGTAGCTCTTAGGACATCGTCGTCCGTATAAACAGTGGTTGTAGCTGTCGTTGTTTTCGAATCCACTGAAATAAGCGTGACATGATCTGTGGTCGTTGTCGTGTCACGATCTGTGATTGTCTCCATGTCCGTCGTAGTTCTCAAATCCACGGAAATAAGCGTGTCATGATCTGTGGTTGTCTTCACGTCTGTCGTGGTCTCGGTCGTTTCTTGTGTCGTCGTACTAATGTCGGTTTCAGTCGTCTCTTCAGTGATCGTTGATAACTCTGTTGTTGTTAGGGTGCCAGCAAATTCTGTTATCGTGCCAATGGATCCTTGTGTTTCTGTGGTAGTGGTCAATTCTGTGGTCGTATCCGTCGACGTAGTAGTGTCTGTTACGGGGACTATATCTGTTTCTGTAACTACACTGAAGGACACCGTGTATACTGTAGCAAAGTCAGTTTCAGTGCTCGTTTCGGTCATTGTTGCCGTATCGTGAATGGTGGATATAACGTCAATGGTAGTGGTTGTGCTATTAAAGTAGTAAAAGCAACAATGAGATATCAAACCTCTGAGTACTGGTTCCTTATCGGTCAGTAAAAAAGAAAGGCCTCCTTACGTGCACTCTGATGTATCAGCGTTATTCGGAATAATTGGTATGCAGCCAGTAAAATGGTCACCACAGCCGGTCGCCGCATAGTCCTTGACAGCGACACCGTTGCCACCTTCCCATCCATAATCCAACCCGATCAATTGTCCAACGAACGATCCAGTAGAGCTGTCTTTGATGTGACCTTCATTTCAGATATTAAAAAATCCAGAAATTAATTATGTATAGCACCAACGGAAAGGTTAAAGGAGAGAGAGACCAATCCATCATATTTACCGAGAGGAGCAAGGATTAAGCCGTGTAATTCACCCCCGGTTTCTCGACGAAGTGTGAATGATCCATTGGGATCATAGTTTCCGTTCGCGTCAACAGGATAGAAATTCCAAATAGTGTTGCAAGCTAACAGACCACCCTGGGTTGGATTATTGGTTCTGAGCGTGATCGTGTCTCCGTCATTGACAGGAACCTTTAAACAGGGAATAGAAATAGTCAACAAAAGTATTGCTCAAAAAAAAGAGAGAGAGAAGAGTAATGGAAACAAGCTTACATTAATAACAAAAGTTTTATCCGTTGGAAACTGCTCGCTACTTGCAGGACCATTCCAGTTACCTATGCCATAAAGCATATGGTCAGGAGACGACATAGAACCTGGATAAAGGTTACAAGTATTATCCATGCTAAGGATGGTACAACTGGCAAACGTCATGACATTATAATTCGCCGTGCCAGCTGATTCAGACACTGTATCCACCGTCAACCCGTCATTTGCATCTAAAACCACATTCGGAGGGAAACTAGCCAGTTCTCGACTTGCTAGTCGATAGGCCGTGCGCAATGCATCAAAGTCGACGCCACCTGTGGTTCCCGTCATTTTGGGACACCCATTATCTAATTGAGTCACTTGGTCCGTCGTCCCACCTTCTTCCAAAAACGATGCACCGTGCACTTTGGTATTGACGACATTAATGACGCCGCCAACCACCAAACCATAACTGTAGTCAATCAAGCCACTGCTGGTGCTCAGGCTGGCGCAGGTCGAGGCGTGGCGGACATTGACTGTGTAGTCGTTGCCGCCATAGTTGCCTTGGATACCCAAAGGACCATAGATCTCTTGTGCACTCGAGGTATCGTAGTTCCCAAAGATAACCGCGTTAAAGTGCCGGACCTATTTGTTACATATTGTTTTATCGAAATGCCGTTAGAGGATATACGAATGACCTTTTTTCCCTACATACTCTTTATCAAAACCTAGCAGTATTGATAGCTGTAATGCCAAAACAATATCACGAACCGTCTGGGTCACGTTATCCGCTCCGGTCCAATTACAATGATCTGTAGCGAGACCAGCTCGACTTGTAGAAGTTCCGTCAATTTCGTCAATTTCGTCATCGATTGCGTCAATTTCGTCACCCATTTCGTCAATTCCGTCGTCTACTATAGTAAAATCTGTAGCTTGACCAACGGTTACAGTTTCTGTAAAAGTCTGATCACTGGTAATGGTCTCAATATCGGTAACGACAGGAAAGTTTTCGGTAGAAATAGCGGTTGGAGTTTGAGCAGGTTCGGTGTAATAAATGTATTTGATGTCTATATTGGTATAGTTGTAGTGTCTGCGATAGTCATTGTTGTCTTTGTCCTTTCGGTGGCTATACTCGTGCTTTTTCTTGTTGTTGTACTTTTTGCTGCTGCTGTCGCCACCGTCGTCCCACGAAGGAGATGCTTCCGCCAAGAATAGAAAAGTGCATAACAATGCTAGTATACTGCATGCAACAATGCAACAAGAACTGTTGCTGTTATGAGCCATTTTCGGTCATGGTGAAACTTTCAACGCAAACAGAAAAAAGGAGAGTCAAGTAAGGAAAAAAAAAAAAGAGCCCACATCAGCAGCCTAAGTTGTGTACATTCCCCTGAAGGACATTCCTGTTATCGGAAACTTTATTTGCCACATTTTGCATTCGACAGGCTTAGTTGATACGACTGTAATATCCAATAAGCCAAAAGAGACAAAGTATGTCAACGAGACCCGAAAGGAATTCGAACTGGTTTATTATGATAACATAATTCTCACTATCTATCTATAAGAATTGGCTTATCACTGGCAACTACCACAGCGTTTGCATTGAACGGATGATTTTTTAAGTCTATCATATAGGATTAAGTGATGTATGATGCGTGTGTAGAAGGTACATCCGGGTATGTCTCAGATAGTAGCTTGTGTGAGCTACGGTCATCCATGTAAATGCGAACTTCTTCCTGAGCATAGCTAATCCCTCTAAAACCAAGATGTGTTCTAATGAGAAATGTCCCCACAGTGAGGTTATGAGCAAAAATCGCTCCTATCGGTCGCCCAGGTTCTGCCCTTCCGTTTATTCTTTGTCACTCTTATAACCACCGCTCTCTACTGACGTAGGTATAAATAAAACCTGGACGCGAAAGTCCTTTACAAAAAAAAAGTGAGGTTATGAGGGAACTAACAAGCAATCGTTAATGACGGATCAAAGAATTGTGTTATTGATCACGTTGGATACAACAACGACTCTTCTTAGATGCTTGTTAACAAGAAAGTGTGGTACGACATCGTTCGTCTTCGGGAATTATATGAGCAGCCGAAGAGGGAAAACTTTACGATGTAGCGCATCGTTGTTCTTAATTGCGTCTAATTTTTTGAGCTCGTTGATGGAAGGGCAGTTAAATATAAATAAGTACAAGATAGAACCAACATTCATGCTTGATAACAGCTTACACACCGCTGGGGAGGCTATTTCTTGAGCTATTAGTACTAGCTGCGGTATTTGTGTGAGCCATAACGACAATTGAGAAAATGACGTTTGGACACCATTTGCGGTGATGTTTGTATACGATCCAAACTACTACTACTAATAATCTGCGGAAGCCCACCAATATTCTGCTAAATACATTCATAGTATCCGCCGCTGTTATATTATTTCTGCAAAGTGTCTAAGATGCGGACGTAACAAGAAGGATAAGTCGGATGTAGACTCGCTAATTGTTGTTTTTTCCAGCTTCTCCGCATGACTACTACACTCCTTCAATCTATTAACTAACTCTTTGCGCTGATAGACATCAACGTGTGAACGTACGTCAAATCTCACGGGCTTGTTCTGCATTTATTGGTCCATTTCAGGCCCAAAACCTTATGAACAAACTTTCTTTCTCACCTCTTTCAAAAAACACCACCTTCACAACCCTTAAGAAAGATCAACTACTATACTCTCAGTACAAACAAGCTGAATGCTAAAGAAGTAATAATTATAAAGAAACGGTCCCAGCCAACTTGTCCAATTAATCCAAGACGAACTATGGCACATTAAAGTAACAGTTACCAGGTACAGCGTAAAGGGTCGTGTTTCTGGTATGAAATAGCAAGTGCATTTGACACATTGTGAACGTTTAAAAATAATTAAACGCAGAATTACGTATCCGATAAGCGGCTCGAGTAAGGGCACGAGTGTGCAAGTTGTTTTCATGTGCAGTAGCAGCAGCAGAGTTGTATTTGTATTCACTCTTCTGTAAGAGTATATTGACGCTGCTGGCGGACAACAACATTGCATGAGCGTCAAGTTCAATGCTGTCAAAGTGAACATATATTACACTATGCAGCTGTAGCCGCTCGCATCAATGAGGCGACAGCATCCTATCATTGGTTAGTCGTGTGGTTGGTAGATATTGATGGAGGAGAGAAATAACAGAAAAACACACACACACACACACATAAAAACGTAGAGGCGCCCTTGAAACTACGATGGCAGGTACTATGAAGTCATCTTAGCTTTGTTCTTTCGCTGCTCATAGTCGAAAGTTAGTGCTTGGCGCACTGGAGTACGCAATAGTGTGCTAGAGTATCTAGTAATCCAACAAGTTGATTGCGTTCCCATTCTCACGTACTGACCCAGGATACCAGAGAACAGCTCCCTGGTACAGCTAGCTTAGCTACTCAAAGATCATATGTAAGTGTTTATTATTATAGGTCAAAGGAGTAAGAAGTGTTGCTTTTTTGTGTTCATCAGGTTTATTCGTCACAGGTATGTGTATGAGGATACATTGTTTAACAGCGAAGCTCTCATTCAATGTATCTGTAAGGTTGTGTTCAATTCCCAATCTGGTCCGCCTAGGCTCCCAAATGACGACAAAGTTGTCTCAAAAAGACGTGGCGATCTTCTTTATTGGCCTCACAACAAGATCATCTCACTACACAAATGTTTATTCACACGCAGAATTGACCCCATCCTCCATCTGGCCGCTTACTCTGAGGATCGCCACCGCCTAGTCAAGTGGCGTATGCACTGGCTTCCATTATATCTACTTTAAGATTGCTGCTGTGGCGTAACCGAAGCCAAGAAAGCATGAGCATTTCGCTAGCTGCCCTCTGCTACAACTAAAACTGAAGGAGCTCACTGAAGCATTCGGCACGATACCAGTGCTATCTATCAACAACTAGATGATAGATCGCATCATGAATAGTCTCCCGCATTCTGAAACCGAGCTATCCCATAGCATTTGGAAAAAAAGCCTGGTCTGTGCTAATTCATGTCCTCAGGGAAATAGACCAGTTAAGTCATCCTGAAAACACTTATAACGACGATGACCAACCAGCAGCTCTAGAAGCTGCATTAAAACCTCCTCCACTAGCTACTTACATCTAAGAGCACAAGTAACTCTCATATTTGTATTTCAAATCTATCATATATACCTCTCTTCTCGCCTTTAAATTTCGGCAAGCTGCAATATACCAAGCAAACTAAGCGAAGAACGTTAAAAGCCCTATTATACCATAAATGTTCTTTCATCTGCTAGAGATATACATTTTGTCAGCAGCTTTTTCTGTAAGCACCACCACTACACTAGGATAAGAAGACCTTGGCCGTCATGCTTATATAAAAGGGACGCCATCTTAAAAAGTAGTAAACGTCATCAAGATAAACAGTAAGCGCCATTTTGAAAAGAAATAGGCGCCAACATGAAACTTAATAGACGCATCGTTAAAAGTAGTAGTCGCCATCCTTAAAAGAGATAGACGCCATCAATAAAAAAGTAGACGCCATCACGAAAGTTAATAGACGCGAAGGTGAAAAAAACACTGCGCCATATTGAAAACATCATCTGCCATCTTCTCGTTCCTTAGGCACTAAGCTGACGCCATCTTTAAATCCAATATTGTATAGTTATACTAGTTTCTATGTTGGCTCCATGGCTACTCATTTGTGTAGGCTGCTGTAGTGGCAGCTAATGATGCATTAATAGATTTCTGACACCCTACAATACTGGAGCCGCAAAAATTTGCTCAGTATCTCTATTACTGCAGAGGAGGTAATGATGTACGGAGCCAAAAAGGCGTATAAGCCAATTTCCGTTCTCTCATGGAAAAATGGATAGCCCCTCATATAGCTAAACCATAATCTTATATATAGTAATAGTTGTTCTATATCCATTTCTCTCTCTCTTTCTTTTTACACCAATTCTCTCATATCATAAAAGAAGTATGTTTTAGCCCTCATTCTGTCATAGCTATCTGTATACAGTTTTGCTTACACGAATAAACTTTAGCCAATAGTTTGTGAGGTATAAAGTCTAACTACATCAGTAATAGTAATACGACCTACACCCTAATATCTTTCCAGCCAATTTTTTCCAACTTCGTTTTACCCTGACGCATCTCATTCTATTTGATTTTCTATTTTTCACTATAGTAATGATCACTAGAGAACAAGCAATTTGTATATTTTACTGCGGAAAATACACCAAAGAAAATATTGCCAGGCTGAGTAAAAGAATAGAAGAAATGGAAGACATTTACATTTATAACTTGAATGATGCAACAATTCCATTATTGCAATATCAAAAATAGATACATCAAAATCCTTTTTTATGCAACATGTATCCTGTTGGGGAGGCAATAAGTGATAACGACTTAGCTCATTCTGGAATCATGCTTTGTAAATTGGTGGCAACAAAAGTAGAAACTCTAATTTATGTATTTCTTACTTTGGTATACTACACTAGAAAATCAGGCTCAGATCATACAGTTTCTCAATCTTATGTATCTCACCAATGACCAAGGCAATGGTGTGATATCTAATTGCAAAGACATGATCACGAGTGAAGTAATGAATATAGTTAAAAAGTACTCGATCTTTTTTGATGACAAGACAATCTTTGTGTTTAGACAACAGTGTGGTTGAAAAAAAGTAGAGTTTATAAATGTGGGTACCAAGAGAGCAAGCAAAAATAGCAAGTGGTTAACTACAAGATCACTGTATATTTTGAAGGACAATCTAGGTAAATTTTCTTAATATTTATTCCATACTTTTAATAATATAGGCCTGATAAATCAGTATTGATCTTCTATGATGATGCAGCAAATAAGATTTCTAACTAGAGCTAATAGTATCTTAGACATTATTAGCTTCTATATACATAATTTTTTACCAGGCAGGTAGATTTATAAAACAACTAGTAGTAGATATTAATAATTAATATTATATAAGACTTAGAAAAAACAATGCAATTTTTTAAAGTTTTAAATTACATTAATAAAGTACTGCTGACTATTTTATGAGTTTTGTATATCTATATATCTACTACTATACAACCTAATAAAAGATCTAATATTTGAATATTATATAATATTCTATTAACTACTACTTAAAATTAGAAATATCTATTTAAACTGTACACTTCCCCATTTTTTAAGGTTTAATAATACATATTAAACTACTATAGTACAGACACTGAACGGTTATGTCCAAAGAGCATAAATAATACTAAAAATAATAATTTTTACTTGATATGCGGCCAACAACATTCTGTATTTCCGCGATTATATAACAAAAGAAATGCCCGGATGGTGTAGTGGCTATCATTCACGCTTCGGATGCGTGAGGTCCCGGGTTCAAATCCCGGTTCGGGCCCGTCCTTTTCAAGGACAACTTAAGTCTTAGCAGTTTTGCACCGATTGTCTTTTTTTAACAAAGAAAAGAAATCAACTTTTGCTTGTGCATCATCTGTCCACCAATGTCTTTACCTCTTTGTTTTTTATCGTAGAAAAATTGTTGAAAGAGCCAGGACCTGTCGTCGATTTTTATCCGTTTCCGTTGTTTCTATAGTAATCGTTCTCTTTCTTTTCGTTGTCGATTGCCTCTTCTTTTAGTTGCAGAAAAAGGTATAGTTGTTCGTGGTCGTCATTTTTTATTTTTTAAAAAAAATAAATCGGTGGAAGGAAAAGAGAACTCCTGTTGAATTTTTAGGATGCAGACCACCGTCTTGATTCTCGTTCCTTGGAAAAAAAAGTTTTTTCTTTCTATTCGGTGAAAAAGTTGATAGATTGAACTCAGTAAACGTTTTTTTATCCGGTTGATCGTGCGTATATCGGAAAGCACAATGTAAAGGTACAAAAACACCAGCTGAGGAATACTAAGAAAGCCAAGCATTTTTAGTAAAGTACACTGTGCTTTAAAATCAGGAACAGGCTGCTCTATGATATAAACTGAACAGCAGTTTTGACAGCTATGAGATTTTGTGCGAGTCTATTTATCTGTTGCGAGCTTTTGCGTTCTCTCTCCCTTTTTTTTGAACAAAAATAGGGGGATGGACTGCCGTTGATCATCGGGTCATGTCAAGAAGTGTGTCGTTTGTTTTCTTTCACTGAGAAATTGCCTAGTCATGTGCGCATGAAGACCAATGAACAAATAGTAACGCACGGAAACGAATACACCCGCGAGTGCGTGTGTGTTTTGTCTCACGAAGAAAACGAATACCAAGTATTTGGGTGAAAGAGAAAATCACAAACACAGGAATTACATTCTTGAATGTACTTTCCGGCAGAATTGTTGTTGACAATCAGAACAAAAGTATCGAAATGATTACCAAGCTTAGCGAAAATGAATTTCGAGATTGAATGCGTTTTCTGTGGCAACGATCTGTCTTGATAATTTATTACGAGGAACGACGTTGATGATGCGGTTGATGACGATGTCAGTGCTGTCCGCGGTTGTTGCGATGACGGCCAGGAGCAGGTACAATGCGAACAGTATTACTACAACCAGCATCCTTACTATCGATGCTTTTTTAATGATTTTTAAACCATTATCATCATCCTCCCCATCTTTCAACGAAGGGAGAGAGCTTTATCGACTGGAAATAGTAATCGCTGAATTTTGGGTCACATAAACAGTTTTCTTAACGTGCTTCGTGGTTGTCTAGCGCTGTGTCGTTATTTCTGTCGCTGTTCTCGTCTCTCGTTCCGTCGTTGTTCCTGCATTCCAATTGTGGCTATAGTTTCTCCAGCTGCTATGATTGTTCGTGTTGCAGTGACTATGGCAGTTCTTAAACCTACTGCCGACACCGTAGTTGTTGTTGTTGCTACTACCGAAGATGTCCCTTCGGTATAGTCGGTAGTAAGCATATATATATCACTTTAATATGCATCACGTCAATTACCAAGGCAGGTTCTGTATATTATATCAAGGTCGCAAAAACAGCGTGGATAAAGAACTGCACATCTCTATATCAATTGCTTTGAAGCAGACTTATTACTACCAAGTGGAATGTTCTCTGCTATGGATGAGAATTCTGTCGTAATACTATCACTTTTCAATGAGGGTCGTCTTGCCCTGGTGTTTCTTTAGTACTGACACGAAGAGGTATTCTTGTTGCTGTCGTCAACGTTGAAACAATAAGGCTGACAGTGTTGGGCATTTGTAAATCTGCGCACCTGTATCCGTGTGTGTGCTGCTGACACTAGGTGTATCGCCATAAAAGTTGCCGCCGACAACTAATGGGTCAAAGATTCTTTGAGAATTTTGTGTTTGCCAAGCACGATCGCATACTACCGAATCTGATGAACGAGGCTTTTTTTTTGCGTGCATATACATTCACATGAGTTTTGAGCCCTTTTCTTCTTTCAGAAGTGATGGTGTAAGGTAAGGCAGAAAGATCCCTCACTGCTTGGTTGCCTGTATTAGACCCATTTCAGTTGCGCTGATCCAATGCGTATCCCAAGTTGATGGGGGCCGGCAAGATTTTCCACAAGCGGTTTTACCAAACGGGCTTGGCCAGCAACGTCAGATCAATCGTAGCAGGACCATAGTTGTAGTGTTCGTAATCTCCTCAAACGTATTGTCGATATTAACAGTGTTAGTTGTTACTGATGTTATTGGCATTGCTGCTGCCGAAATAATTCCGCTTGTTGTAGGTTGTATTTCGGCATAATAGTAAAACTCGACATGCTGATCATCTGTATCATCCTTGTCGTAGGCATAAAATTGTTTTTAGTCGTTCTGTGGATGATGCGTAGAATCAGCAATAATTTCGACTTGGTACTGGTAGTGGTGATGATGATCGCGTTGTCGATGACTTCAATGCGAAGCACGGCAAAGGAAGCTGTATAAATCAAGAAGGTCTAGCGCGAAAAAACAAACAGATGGAAGAGGAGACGATAAAGTGCTGACATGTTGCAAAAAGGGCACCGATCAATTTCAACACACACATCCCGGCATCAATACTATCTGTTATTGGTGTAAGTAATAGAATTGTTGGAATGTACTGTTTTATTGGACTATATATTCACAGCGGCTAGCAGCATTCTAAGATATACAGAAGAGTATTCGTCATTAATGAGGTTCTCTAAAATTTATATTACGCATGCATAAAGAACCCTAATTGTGTTTAAGAAAAGTGCAATAACTTTTTCAAGAAGCATATGACAAACTACTATCAGACGGAACTGTGAATGCGACTACTTTGGGCTAATGATGGTCGGCTTATTGTAGGCTAAGCTAGAATACTGGTCGGTCCATAATAATGGTTCGTCTTGATCGAGCTAAATCGACGCGATTGAATAAGGTGTTCCTCGGAGTCTGCAGAGAGTTAGCATTATTAAGGAACTGCACCACCTGACTTTTTGAGTAATTACATTCGCCTTCTACCCCACATTTTTAATACACACTTGTGTTTCATGTTATCAACGAAAACACGTCTCTGGCAGCGAGCCTTTCTCTCTTCTTCTTCCTCTTTTTGTCACCGGCGACAACACCACCGCGACTTTTTTCTTCGCCAGGCTCAGTTTTATTACTATTCGTCCATTGCTTCTAAACGACAAGAGGCGTATAACGGTGGTGGCGAATCAAAACATAAAACTCAACATGACAAGGTAAGTGTATACATTACACATACCATGAGCCCTCTTATGCATTGAGAACTAACCGACCTGTTATTGTTTTTCTTACTCTTCTTCTTGTGCGCGATTGGCTATATACCTTTCATAGGGCAAATTATCAGCACGCGAAAGACTCGATTTACTATTGGACTCGGGTTCCTTTCGAGAATATGACGCATTTGTCGAACATGAATGCACAGACTTTGGCATGGATTCAAAAAAGGTACTTTTAATTACAAACACAACAACAATACTGAGTCAACCGAGGAACGGACAACCTAACCAGTCTCTGGGCCTATTTTTTCTTCTTCTTAAAGATAGCTGGCGACGGTATAGTGACAGGACACGGCACAATCCATGGCCGACGCGTTTTTGTATACAGCCAAGACTTTACCGTGTTCGGCGGCAGTTTATCTCGAACGAACGCCAACAAGATTCTCAAAGTGATGGATCAAGCCATGCTTGTGGGTGCACCTGTGATTGGACTACAAGACTCGGGCGGTGCACGGATCCAAGAAGGTGTCAACTCGTTGGCGGGTTATGCTGACATTTTTCAAAAGAACGTATTGGCTTCGGGCGTGGTTCCACAGTTATCCGTCATCATGGGACCTTGTGCGGGTGGTGCCGTTTATTCACCTGCGCTGACGGACTTTGTGTTTATGGTAAAAGACACATCCCACATGTTTGTCACTGGCCCTGATGTGGTGAAAGCCGTGACCAATGAACAAGTCACTCAGGAAGCTTTGGGTGGTGCGAGAACGCATACAGCAAAAAGTGGGGTGGCTCATAATGCGTATGCAAATGATATGGAAGCGTTGCAACGAGTACGCGATTTGGTGGATTATTTACCCCTTTCCAACCGTGAACAAGCGCCTGTTCGTCTGTTTGGAGACCCGGTGGATCGACAAGACGAAGCATTGGATACGATTGTCCCGGCAAATTCGAACATGGCCTATGATATGCGTGAAGTAATACAGCGCGTAAGTGTTTCTTTCTTTCTCTTTAGAGAAGGAGGGGTCTTTTATGTGCGCGCGCGAGAATTAGAGAGGATTATGCAGCTACTTACGAATGTATCTTTTTCTCGGGGGGTGTTTGTAGGTTATGGATCAACATTCGTTCTATGAGATTGGGCCTGAATATGCACCCAATATCCTTGTAGGATTTAGTCGAATGGCAGGACAAACCGTCGGCGTGGTCGCCAACCAACCACTGATATCATCGGGCGCACTCGATATGGACGCATCTGTCAAAGCAGCACGCTTCATTCGGTTCTGTGATGCATTCAATATACCCCTCGTCTCATTTGTCGATGTGCCTGGATTCCTACCCGGCACGGCACAGGAACACGGCGGCATTATTCGCCATGGCGCCAAACTGGTATACGCTTATTGTGAAGCTACTGTACCAAAGTTGACCGTCATTACTCGAAAAGCCTATGGTGGTGCTTACATTGTCATGAGCTCCAAAAACATGCGTGGTGATTACAAGTAAGTTGTAGCTGTGGATCGTGGAGAGGGGAATTGTACACTATATGCACCATTCTTTATCGTCACCTCCTCTATCTCTCCTTCCCTTCCTCTTTCAAACATGTTTGTAATACATGTAAAAAGGGGGTTGCTAGTGGGGAAGGGGTGGGGTGGTAATGTAAAGTTAAGTTTCTACGATGGGACGCGATCGCAGGGGAAAACAAGCAACAAACATAAAGACAGACTTAACACTTTCCACTCTCCACAATTTGCAGTGTTGCCTGGCCAACGGCGGAAATTGCAGTCATGGGAGCAACAGGTGCTGTGGAGATCATATTTAGAAACAAGCCCGGCAAGGATGCATTAGAAGCAGAATACAAGGCAAAGTTTACAACACCTTTGGCGGCTGCTCGACAAGGATATTTGGATGATATCATTGAACCAAGGTTAGCCAGGTTTCTTTACTAATTAGTGGAATTATATCTCCCAAAGGAAAACAAGTTTTTCTAAGCATGAGAATATGTATCTCATCAATGAAAAAGAGAGAGAGAGAGAAAAGCTCACACATACTAACAATCTAAACATGGCATAATCGTGATTAGAACGACACGTGCAAGACTTATTGAGCAGCTGGAACTACTCAAAACCAAGTCAATGCAGAACCCTTGGAAAAAACACGGCACAGGCCCCTTATGAAGGAATAAATTTCCGGTGGAAAAAAAGAGAGATTTGCAGCGGGCAGTTCTGAGGTCGACTGGATATCAAGTTTATTGGGATACATTCATCATATGAATTGAAGGAGCGAGAAGAGGGGGGTGGGGTGCAGATTAGAGAGAGAGGGAAAAAAGAAAAAGAGATAATTCAAGAATCACTATTAGGGAGTTTTGTGGAAAGAAAGTTAGGGTGTGAATTAGTCACTTTCCTTGTTTCTTGGAGAAGAGAACCAGAAAGAGATTTTTTTTTTGTTCTTGTAGTAAAAACAGTTTATTACTTTTTCCTTGAAAAGAAGGAACAATGTGTAACATTGAGGGAAGCTACTTTTTTTTTTGATTTTTTCATAAAAATTAGGGAGAGAGAGATAGAAAATGTTTAGAAGCAGTCTAGCTGTAGTAGTGTAGTGATAGCAGTAGTATGTAATGAAATAGCAGTAACAACAAGTGATGATCAAGAGAGAGAAAAAAAAGAGCGTTCATCTAAACAAGCATACTACTGCTGTGCGGTATCTCTGGTAAAAGTGACACTTCTTCCTTTTCTGATGGGGCCTTGTTGTTGGCTACTGATACTGAAGACGACGACGACATGGCCGAATCACGCCGCTCTTCACCACACGTGTGTTCTGGCTCCCGGGCATCCATGATTTGACGATATTCCGAAGTCCGTATAAACTTTGGCACCGAGTCCGATGCCATCAGACGAAGAATATGTTCCTCGACCTTATCGAACCACTTGAGCATCATGCGCAAACTTTGGGAGGTCGAGTGGGTCGAGATGATGACGCGCTGGCTTTGAGGGTCTTGCGCGATAGTGACCGTGGCATTAACCAAACGAGCCATTTCTTGCCGCAACAAATGATCCACATTCAACTCACTCAAGGCATGGGGCGCCAGATACGTCGACCAAACACTGTAGGCGTCTTCTAACAAATCCTTTTGGTTCTGTGACGGCATGGCTGGACTTTGATTGCGGCATTTCCTGCGCAACGTCGCATAATCGATCCAGAAATCCAGGTTTTCTTCACAAAAGTTGCTGCGCAAAAAGTCCTTGAATAACGAGCGTAATTGTGGGTCGTCTAATATTTGTTTCAAACGGCCGTTCAGTCCCTCTTGTTGGTCGACATTAACGGAGCTGTTGGGTCGAGGACTGCTGTGATGATTGTTCTTGGGCCGTCGTGCATAAACATTGCTCGTGTCTTGATCAGCTGCTTCCGTTTCTGCTATCGCTCGTCCTTTGGCCGTCACCACAACAAGCACATTTTTGTGGGCTTGGATGGTATGATGGCTTTGGCGCTTGTGGTCTTGATGCTCGATCCATCCTAAACGATAGAATTCCGTCACCAATTCTTCGGATTCGTCGCGGTTAGCTACTGTGCAGTTCTCAGTGATCCAATCACAGCATAACAGAGTAGGGAAAATAGCTCGATAGCCGACGACCACATTGTTGTTGCTCTTTGCAGAGGATCGGCGCTGCTGACTTTGATGTTGACGCTTCATATTTGCTACCGTGTTCAATAATCGATTATCCAAAAGCTGTAGTCTTGACTTTTCGCTCATGGTCGTTCCTGTGGTCACTGAAGAGGCTCTTGACGACATCGCAAATGGTGCACCAGCACCATGGGATGGATTTGTGGATGCGGAAGATACGGACGATGTAGAGGATGCAACTGATTCACGTCGTTTCAATCCACCTCCTTCAATAAAAGAAGAAGAAGAAGACGATAACACATCACCTTCCTGTTGCTGCTTCTGTTTGCTGGAAGCCTTGGTTGAAGCGTTCTCCTCTTGCTGATGATGATGCTGCTGCTGATGATGATCCACTCCTTCCAAGGGCAAAGAGCGGACCATGATTCGAAACACACTGGAAACCGTCTGTCGGGTCAACAGCATCTGATCGTAATCCTTGGACCGACCAATCTCGATCAAATCGAACGCGTCGGTATTTACTGTGGGCGGAATGGCACCCAGAGGCATATCCGCTTCGGTCCGGACACAAAAGTCTTGTAATGCCGCAACACCTTTATGAGTCAATCGCCAGAGACCACGTTCTTTAAAAGAACGGACTTGTTGATCTACAGCATTTTCCATCAGTCGAGCCCACGCAAATTGTTGGCATAAGGCTCGGGCCATGTCACGCGCCATATTGAATGTCGTTGTCGTGGTTGTGCGCAACAACCGCGAAGGATTGTTTGGGTCAGGCACGCGAACAGTTTGTGAGAATTTCAAATTGCCCAGTACTTGGATGGCATCTTCGGATGAAAAGGCGTTTTGGTAGTTTCGAAACAAGTAGCGATGAGTTTCGAACCGGATTTGGACCATCAAGGCACCAAATAAGTCGTGGATATCCTAATGCCGCCCCCAACCCATTTTGTATGTCCTGTGTGAGTTTGTTTGTTCGGCCTTACACTCGACAAACATTGATGCAAGCTTAATTTTTAGCTAAGAAAGTACTAACCTTGACATAAGGACGACCATCCATAGTAAACTTCATCATGGACGTATATGCCTGCTGCGACATGCTTGAATCCATCATCGTAATCGATTATTTGTATGAACGTAGTGTAAGAGAGGGCGAGTATATATGTATAATGGATGTACTATTATGTAGTAGATAGCGATAGTAGTAGTAGTATTAAGTTGATTTTTGTTCTTTTAAAAGAAAAAAAGAAAAGAAAGAAAAAGTTTTTGTATTTTTTGCTCTTTTTAAATCATAGCAGCAACAACAACAACAACAGAAAAAAGGTTTAGCCATACTAGATGGGGAAAAGGGAGCAACAGGACGTGAGGCTATTCGCACAAAAAATTAAGTTTAGGAGGGGGTTGGAGTTGCTCAAGTGTTATTCGTACAATGTAGGACTTGTAGGTGTACATACACACGCTTACTACACAAAGAAAGAAAATAGACATTTTCAGGGCCTTTGACAAAAGGAACCGTACACACATTTTACCAATCTTACCTACATTCATGCAAAATTTCACTAGCAAACTGATAGATAGTCATGCTAAACAACCCAAAGCGAGATATACCTGCTGAGAGGGGAGGGATAGTAAGCAGTAGCAGTATTCATAGTAGTATGGCGATGATATATTTTTTCTTCCTAATAGAAAAAAAAAGATTGCTAGTCACTACACACAATAGCTTTAAGGTTGCATGTTGTAATAAACCATACACATTCTCAGAATATTATCATGATTTATTGTACATACGTAAACGAAGCACAAAACAATAAAAGGTCGATCAAAAAAGCCCTTAATTGTTTCCATACATGCATACACATACTTTTTAGAAAAACACCCCCCCCCCTTATCCCAAGACGCAAATGTCCTCTTATTTTCTTTTGTGGGAAATACGACACACACTATCCATTATCATTTAGTAGCTACGCTGCGAAAAGCAAGGAGGGAGAGAGGAGGAAGAGTCTACAGAGAAGAAAAAGAGACTATGTGTACATGAAGGGGGGACGAAGCACCGAATCCAATAAAAGGGGAGAAACTTTCTTGGAGCGGGGGCTATGTGTGCAATGCGTACTTGGTGCTTAAGTAGTGATATGAGTAGCTCTATGTGATCAGTTATCAGTAGGTATAGCATATAAGCTATCAAATACATACTGATTCATTTAACCAAAAAGCGGTGGGGATTAAGCAAAACGTGAATGCATGCTTCTACATATCCTTTAATTATTATTGTTCTTATTACAAGTATATGTTTTGTGGACAGAAAAAGAAAGAGAGAGGAGAGATTGTGTATATCGAAGCTTTATTGCTGTTATTATTTGGACGATTGATCCAGTAAGAAGTTACTTGCTTTAACCAAATCTTGATCATATCGCTCTAATGCTTCCTTGGCTTCCTTTTGTCCGAATCCCATCTTAATCAACTCATCCAAATTACTATTTCCAGTAGTACCTCCTGGTGGAGATAATGATGCTGCCGGTTGTTGCTGTTCCTCCTCCCTTTTATTGTTGTTGTCGTTGCTGCTATTGCCTGCTGATCCTTCATCTTTAGATGGTGTTGTCTTTTTTTGCGCCGTGGTTGCTGTTGTATCAAAACTGCTACTGAATGCATCCTCGAACCCCACAAATGCATCCTGATCCGCAGCAGCAATAGTCCGAGTGTTATTGGCTAGTGGTGATGCTCCTGATGCTTCAAAAGGTGTACTAGCTACTGCTCCTTTGCCAGCTGAACCGCCGCCAAAGATAGAGTCCCAATCATCTTCTTCTGCTTTGTTCCCCTTGCTACCAGTCGTCGTAGTTGTCTCCGCACCGAATTCAAAACCTCCAAAACTGGATGCCCAATTCAAATCGTTCCCAGAAACATTGTTTTTCTGTTCTTGTTCCCCTGTTGTTGTTGTCGCTGCTGCTGCTCCTTGTTCCTTGTTACTGGTGTTATCGCCGAAAATGCCAAATGCATCGTCGAATTCATCTTTTTTCTGCACGACTTGAGATTCATTCATAGGGTTTCCACCAGTAGCGGTAGTACTAGAAAAGGCACCGTCAAATGCGTCGTCGTCTGTAGGAACCGTTGTGGTGCTAGGTTGTTGCTGTGCATGGTTCGACGCGGGTGATGATGGCTTGTTTGCTAGTACGGCAGCAGCAGCAGATGATGGTGGTGGCGGTGGAGGAGCTCGCGGTTTCTTTGTTGTTGAGGTCGTGGATGCATGGCTGATATCGGATGTCTGGCGATGGTGTCTGCTTTGGGGAGGTGGCGGGGGTGGAGCAGGGCGTGAGGATTTGGTGTTAGCCGTGTTATTGTTGGATGATTCTGTTGCCTTTTCCGGTGGAGTAGCCCAACCAACAGGATCGAACACACTCAATGGACTGTCTTGTTGAGGTTTCTTTTCCGATGCTGCTGGCGATGATGACTGACCAAAGTTACCGAAAATGGCATCAAAATCATTCGGTGTTGCTGCTGCTGGAGAATTGACAGCTGCTGCTGCTGTTGTTGCGGCAGCGTCTTCCGATTTAGGTGAGAATACATCAAAGAAATTGGTGTTGTTATTGCCGCTGCTAGCCAAGGACGATGCTGCTGGACTCGATACTGCTTCTGTCGCCTTGTTTTGTTCCTCGTCTTGCTCCACAGGAATTTGATAATCCTCGGGCAATCCACGCTCTTCCTTAAAATCAGCCAAATCCCGCTTAGCTTGGTCACGATCTTGTTCCGACGCAGTAACCTGTCGACGATTGATATCCAACATCATATTCTGTTGTTTGACTTGATTCCGTAATGCATTCAACTCATTCACCAGTCGTTGCGTTTCCTCCTGAGTCGTGTGCACATTCTGTCGAAGTCGTTCGCTCTCGGCACGATTTGTCTCTAACGTATGTTGCAACTGCGCAATTTCTGCTTGTGTGGCCGTCAATTGTTGCTGTGCTGCATCATGTTCTTGTTGTGCTTGCGCAAACCCAGGCTTTTCACTTTCTAGCTGTTGTTGAAGTTCGTTCAATTCTTTAAGTTCTGCCTCGTGTTGCATTTGCACTTGTGTAAACAGGGCTTGCAACGTTCGCTTTTGTTCGGCCAGTTGTTCTAATGTTTGCTTGGTGTCGAGATGTTGCTTATGTATTTGGCCCGTGCTCGTCTTGAGTGCGGCCATTTGGTTTTGTAGTTGGTTCACCTGGTTCGTATCTTGCGTGAATTGGTCATCGTTGTTACCAAAGTCGCCCAATAGGTCTTGATCATCAAAGATATTAGAGCCACCTGCTTGTATATATATCATTTTTTATAAGAGGTATTTGTGAGTTTCTCTCTTTTCGACCTTTCTCTTGCCTTTGAACAAAGTCATATGCATATCAAGAGCTCCTTACCTGTCATAGCTGGTGATTGGACTTGTTGATGCTGTTGCAAAGGAGTGTTATGCATCATAGCTGGACTACTAGTAGCTGCCATACTGATACCAGCATGTTGTTGTTGTTGTTGTTGTTGTTGTTGGGGAGGAGGATGTGGGCTCGTCGGTGGTGGCATCAACGACTGTGGCAACGACGTTGGTAACATTTCACCTCGTAAACGTTTATGAATCAAATGCATAGCCACCGCAAACTGATCACGTGTCAATCGTCCTTGTTGCTTTGAATCGGCCAAATCCCAAATATGGGCCAATTCACCTTCAGGCAAACGCGAGTTTTTGAAAAACTCTACGGCCTCTGCGCCTTGCACGTACCCACTCTCTTGACCATCAATTTTGTCGAAAAAGATATCGAATTGTGCCTTTTCTTGCGGTGTCACATTCCATCGTGTCGTTTCTGGTGCTATTGCTGCTGCTGTCGTTGTTCCACCCGCAGCCGAAAATGCCATGGTGCCTAGTGAATCAATTGTTTGTGATCGTTGTTGTTGTTGTGTTGTTGCCTGAGCAGGAGGAGGTTGAGGAGAATGGTGGAGAACGGGCGGTCGGGGCGAAGGTTGCACAACACCAGCATTAGAGTCACCATTGGCAGTTGCATAAACAGAAGGTGGCAGTTGTGTCGGTAAGGTTGCCAGTGTACCGTCCATAAGTTTGGCAATATAGTGCATGGCAATAGCAAACTCGGCTTGGTTCAAATTACCGGCTTGGCGTACGTCTGCCAAGCACCTACACATTTTTTATACATACACAATTTTAGTCTGTGTCTATTTCTTATAATAGCCCACATACACATAACAAAACGTAGTTGCTTGTGCACCATCACAAAACATCATCATTACCGTGTGTACCAGTGTACCTACCATATTTGCCCCAATGTCTCATTGGGTAGCTTTGACTTCATAAAGATGTTCTTGGCGTTGGTGGCGTCCAGAACACCATCCGTAGGCTGATGGACACGGAAGATAGAAATGTATTTTTCGCGTTCAGCGGGTGTTAATCTCATGCCCGGTCCGTCTGCTGGACCAGCAGGAGAATCACTACTGCTACCACCACCCGTCGTTGCATTATTAACATTATTATTATCCAGTTTAAATCCTTCAAATTGAGGCAAAGGTACCGCTAAAAAAAATCCAATAGATTTTGAGTGAGCACACGTCCGTCCTTTTGTCGCTTACCCCTCCTTCCCTCTCTTATCATCATCTATTACTTACACGTAGCAAGTACGGGCTCGGTCACTTCTTTGCCATGTTGAGCACAGGCAATCAATTTCAAGGCCACAGCAAACGTCTCGGCTGTCAAGTGTCCTATATTGTCACGGTCAGCCGTCTCCCAAATCTAACCCGATATTCAATAAGTTTTTATAGTGTAATAGAAAATCAGTTTTTGCAAACAAACATATAATAAAAAGTCAAGTCATTCAGAGACGAGAGAGAGAGAGAGAGAGAGAGGAGGGAATGACCCGTACCATCCCCATTCTGTCGTCGTCTTTTCCTTTTTATACTTTCTTCTTACATCAGACAAGATTTGATTAGGTACGCCAGAAGTAGCAAAGAACTGTACTGCCTCGGGACCAGTGACGATGCCAGACTGGCTACGGTTAGCTGCGCGAAAGTATTGTGCATAAGCATTTATTTCCTGTGGTGTCAAATAAGACTCCCAGGATGATGATGATGATGACGACATTATCGAGAGTTGTTGTTTTCTGTCAAGGAGAGTAAGATTGTGGGTAAGAAGAAAAAAAAAGAGAGAGAGAGAGAGCGTGTGTGTGGTTAGAAAGGGTAAAAATAGAGAAAAGAGACACGCTTGAATTAAACGCCTGCCAAGTTTGCAAATTTGGCAATGTGCCACATGCGGAAGTTCAGCATACACAGTGCACATTTACATGGCGCGCTAAAAGCCAATCCAGGCTGTATCAATACATCATCATTCATCATTGAGGAGGAAACATGTACATACACTTGATTGATAACTCTCGATATATGACTTTCCAATTTTATTTCAGTGAGGTGGTGATGGTGTTGTTGTTGTTGTTTATACAAATTTTTATACATCGTACATACTTTTTTGAGAAAAGAAGGAGCGATAGTAGTATACAATTTGTATGTACAAAATGTGTTGAGGTTATCATCATCATCATCATTGGATATAACATTTATAAAGTGGATAACTTAAATCTTGATGCCCAAAGTCTGACAAACGCAGATAGTAAGTCTGCCTTGATGGGGAAGATCTTTGCGTGCCGCGAAATTTTTATCCGGTTCAGGTCCACGCGGTTGACGAATAGGTCGAATGGTGGGAGTAAATTCATTACTGCTTGTCGTTGTTTGTTGCTGTTCTTGTTGCTCTTGCTGTGCATTCATGATGTTGTTGTTATTGTTGCTAGTTGTAGTACCAGCTGTTGATAATGATGCCGTTGACGGGGAATTTAGACTGTTATAACCAGAGCAACGGGTTAGAATATCCTTAATTTCTCCATCAATTTTTACCATTATCCCCAATCCACTACTTACTTCAAGGATCTTCTACTTTTTCCTTCACGAGATGACGATGCCGATGGTCCTTCACCCCTTTCACCACCGCCGCCA